CTGATTGTCCACAAATGTTCAGATCTCTTCATATAGAATGTATAAAAGTAATTATGTCGATGACTATATCTATATATCAATCAAATTGTTGGTAATATTACAGTATTATGTACGTTAAAAACTATCAAACTCAAACTAGAGATCATAATTAATCTCGGAAACATCGAAACAATACTCATTAGCTGAATCATTATATTGTTTCATGATTAAGCAAAGATCATACATAAAGTAACTTGGCAAGAATCTTATGAAAAGATAAAAACCTAAACAAACAATGTTCTGATTATTTTAAAGCTACGAGAGACTATACAAGAGAAGAGTTCAAGAATAAATGATCTTAAGGGTAAACTAAAGTATCGTCGAAACGAACTTTTAACAAACCCTAAAACCCTAACTTCGAAAAACCAAAACCATCTTCCATTTTCTTTTTTTCTTTTTGTAGTTTCGAAAAATCCCCGACGATAGTTAAATAATCTAGAACCCAAACCCACCTAGAGAATCCCCACCAAGAAAATAAAATAAAACTAAAAAAATGTAATTAGGCGGCCGGGTTTTCGGCGAGTTTAGCCAGCGATTGCAAGTTGCAACGTACAATGGTATCGGCGAAACTGCAAGTCTCTTCCTTATCGTTACCGGCCGGTACGTCAACGACGTATGACTCCACGACACGTGTCCTCTTCTTACCGTCCTCCGACGACGAAGACTCGTGCAACGTCGTCACCGACCGGTAGTTTTGAAGCCTGTGGTCCCCACCGACGACGCTGAAACTGATGACGTGGAGATCGTCGTCCATGATCTCAAGTCGCTCTAAGCTGAACGCAGCGGGGAGACCCGAGACGACTCGGACCTCTCTCACCGAACCAACCTCATGACCGTCTCCGAGAGCCACGTGGCAGCTCTTCACGAAGTGTTTGTACGCTTGAGGGTGTTCGAAGCGGCTGAGGATCGACCACACGACGGAAGCCGGAGCATCCACGTCCTGCACCACGACGGAGAAGCACTGAGAGGGACCCACGACGTGCGTGTGGGAAAGCTCCACGTGCTCCGGCACATCTGGCATCCCGCGCGTGAGGCTCACTTTCGAGACGGGGTGGTGAAGCTGTTTGTGGTGGGGGTGGTGGTGGTGATAGTTACTGACGGTGGCGTTGGCTGAATCTGCGGCGGTGGAGGCTCTCTGAAACTGTAGCGACGTTGGCATTCTAAAAGCAATCTCTCTCTCTTTTATTATTTTCTGGCTCTGTCTCTCTCTCTAAACAAGAGAAATGGTTTGCTTCGTGAGGTCCTATGAGATATTTCTAAGTGGATATATATATATAAGGACGAAGGTATAAAAATATAAAAAAAATGCAAGTATATGTGGACAATAGATGGATGGATGAAGAAAGAGAGAGAAGTTAGTTTGTGTGGGTTCGTCGGTTGTCCACTTGGGATTTGTTTGGAGTTTGTATTTTCACAGAAGAAACAGACTCTCTCTCTCTTTATATCGAGAAGGACCGGCCCGGTTCCCCACGTAAATCTATGGATTGGTTCTCGATAGCATAACCGGTTATCTATTTGAGTTCTTCATTTTTACTTTGATTATTTACTGCCTTTATTAGGTGGGTTTTTGTTATGACCAAAACAAAAAAGCGCATGCAGACGGAACAAAAAACGCTGAATATATACAAAGAAGCACAACTGCAAATGATATCTTGAATGGATTATGGAAATAGTTTGTTTACATGTGTGTGTGTGTGTGTGTGTGTGTGTTTTAATCGCTATAATTAGTGGTTAAAATCACAATTCATCAGTAAATTGCCAAGAATACTTAAGTTAAGATCACAATTCTATTAAGTAAAAAAAAGGAACTCGATCAAACTCGATCATCGCTAAAAAGTATACTTAAGTCTTAACCATTGTTTTCATGATGCAGCCAAAGCACTCTTGGAAGAACTTGGAGGAAATGAGATCAATAACATTCAAGATATTTGGGAAAGAAAATGTGTAACTCTTCTACCGATGATATAAAATGCACAAAAGAACACTTGCATATTATCCAACGAAATTAAAAATCTAATACCAGATTGAGCTATCTTGAAACTTTTCTAAGATCCGCACATATATGCAATGTAGACCCATTTTTTTCAAAAATCTCCAGAGAAAATATTGGAAACTAAAAATTCGTAGTGTTAGGACTTAAAACGAAAACTTGGATGTTATACACACTAGAACAAGATCACTATGAGTCAAGTTGAGATCTATTTACTTGTGCGGTTAGTGGATGTCTTCTTGGTGGATTTTGGATTTCGTTGGAACCTTCTGACTATATATGTACCGCTAAAATTTTTACCTTGACCAAAAATAACTATAGAACTTTGAATAAATCCAAGTTGGTGAAAGTATCATGTCGTGGGTCCATCATAACTATCTTTCCTCATCTTGTGATCAACTTGAGGGTTTTGATTGTACTAATCAAATTCCTTTTCAACAAAGAAATTAACAGAATATTAATTAGACGAGTTAGAAGAAAATCAACTAAAGCCGTTCTAAAAGTAACCAACATAAAGTCAGGAAATTTTTCGAATTGGACAATATTTCTTTGGTGTGTTTCCTTCCACAAACGTATATTCAAATCAAATGTATGAATATTGGACTCTTAAATTTGAGTGGTGGGCATAATAACAAACTACAATTGGGAAAAATAATAAAGGGTTACTTAATGCATTAGTTTTTCCAACAACTATACAACTATACATATTCCCAACTAGTCCTAGTTGTTAGATTAATACGAATAAGTGAGCAATTTGCATTACTACTCAAATCTAACATTTTATAGAATAAGAAGAAAAAGTTTACAATTTGCAATTTTTTGCACAATCCTCGATGTAAAGATTGCTCATCTTATAAGCTTCCTGGTTAGGTCACATAATCACTCACCAATATTATACATACATTACTGAACACATTTGCAAAAGAAAATGTCCTTCATAGATGACAAGTTGATGTGGAAAATGTTTTGTTTTTTTTGGAAGTTTATGTCGAATTATACGACCGTTCTGTATCTACATCCATGAAAATCATTTTTTCCTACACTAGCAGTAATAAGACAATACTATTATGAAGCAGAGAAAGATAACGATGTAATGTGTCAGACGAATCTTGAAAGCATTGATGAATGTGAGAAACGAAGGAAATCTTGTTCTATGTATATTCAGCACGGTATGAATTAATGTGATGATGTATTTGACAAACTCGAGATTTACTTTTTCTCTAGCATTATGGTAGGGATGTTTCAATCACTTTGATACATTTTTCGTGGAGACTTACGATGTATATTGTAGTATTATGGATGATAGATCCGGTTGATGAAAAAAGTAATATAATCAAATAATTCAAAACTAAGCGGCGAGTAAAATCCTCTAGTACTGAACTAGCTAGTATTTCGAAAAGAAACTTGATTATAGACAGTTAAAAAATAATTAAAGACTTGGATGTAGATCATTTTGTTATAGGTAGTTATTTTGAGATCATTGTTTATATTATACATTCTCATAAAAACATTTCTTAAACTTCACGTATAGAATTTCCGATAGATATTTTACTTGAATCTAAATGGAATGAAGTTTGGTTTAAACTAACTGAACAAAGTGAGAGATAGAAGCACATTTCTTTGACTAGTTTGAGAAAATGGCATCTCAAGAGTAGCTCCCATAACAAGAAAAGCCCGAGGGTAGTTTTGACGGGGTCAATCAGATTAATTTTTTTAATCTACCATGTTTTGTCTTTTGTGTTATTTCTTGTTGACCCCCCCCAAAAATTGTGTTTGAAGCTTTGACAAAAGTTTGTTTAACCAAAAATCGTGTTATTTATATATTTATTTGTTACGTCAAAGTATTTTTGTCAAAGCAAACCACAAACATTCCATTTATATAAAAATGTCCGTTTTTTTCCAAATTGCTTTAGATATATAACTGGCGGTTTGTTTCTTGATAAAAATTGTAGAAAAATAATTCTCCAACTATCAACTATTCTAAAATTATATCAACAAAATGCACTTAAAAATATCCAAAGTAACGAAAATTTCAAAATAGTATTAAAAATAATAATTCAAAGTAAAACTCAACTTCGATGAATACACATTTGATTGAATCACATTACAACGTGAAACCACAAGGAAAAAAAAAACAAATATCCTTCAAAATTCATTAAAAAGAGAGAAATTGTCCAAAAGAGCTGCATCTCATTCTTGTGCAGAAAGAGGGACACATTGTCAAAGAGGAATTGTGGAGATGCAAATATCCAAATCTCATACCAACTAATTTGTTTCGATAATTAAATTCACAGCTTGCCAACTTGTTTTTTCTTCATTTTTTCAACCGGCTTTGAAGATCTTCAGGATTTGGGCAAGAAAAACGATTTTGGAGACCAAAAGAGAATAAATAAAACAATTCTGAATAATATATAGAAATACGTTCCATTTGCACTTTCAAATATCCTATCTGCTTTTTGTATTAAATACAGATAGATAATAACATTAATATATTACACTAGTCTTCTTACCTCATTGCTGATGTAATCTTAAGACAACCTGAGGGAATTCTGCAGACCATATAAGCTAATTTATCCAATTTTATAAGTGAAGTAGTATGAACGATTATTAAATTAAGCCATTTTTTGAAAAATCAAACTTGAAAGTCAATAAATTCACTACGAAATGTCTCACATTTACTAGTCCATATCCATTCGCTAAGATAATGATTAGATGTAAGAGGATATAGTTCACATAAAGGAACCAACCAATTGTATCCAAACCTCAAAGATCAAAACTTTACAGCTAATATATATCCAAAAAGTCAGAAACTTTCCATAACTCCAAGTTTGAAACTTCATATGTATCCAAAATTTTGGAATCATATTCGAAACTTGTCCTACATTACTTAAACCATATTTACTATGCATCAAAACCATTAACATCAGTAATTATCAGCAGCTTCAGCTAGTAACGCCTAGAATCTGAGACCTTACTTCTCACCGTGCACATCTTTTTCCACTCCTTCAAAATCCATTTCATGTATGTCAAGATCCTGAAACCTCCCACGGTCTAACTCCACACCATTGTTCTTCTCCACATCACTCGGCTGCTGCACAAGAGGATGAGCAATCTCAGTGTGGTTAAGGCTCCCGAGCAAGTTAGCATCTTGAAACTGCGTCTCATCTATCTCGTCCAGTAAACCCAACAGCTCATCCACATCAAACACTTCGTCCACACCAAAGTTCCATGGTTGTAGCTCACTGCCATTTCCCATTAACCACTCATCCAACTCCTCCTCTTTCGGCTCCAGTCCAAGAGTATCAGCTGAATCAACCTCCCTCATTTCCTCTTTAACACACTGAGAGCTACTCAACGGAACACATTCATCATCGCTAACTTCCTCTACTTTCACTTTTACCAAATTCGCATCCCCAAAAGCACAAACTTCAGACTCGCCTGACAATGTAGTAACCGAGCCAGAGACAGTAGCAACAGTCGAAGAAGAGTCAGGAAGATTGAGTCTTGCAGACTGACCATACATAGCTTTAGCAGCCTCGTCATAAGCCAACGCAGCTTCATACGCGCTAGGGAAAGTACCGAGCCATAACCTAGCACCCCTACCTGGCTCACGGATCTCAGAAACCCATTTCCCCCAAATCCTCTGCCTAACACCTCTGTACTTACAAACCCCGTTCTCAGGTCCTCCTTTGCCTTTCATACAACCTTTCTTCGAACCTTTTGGAGGAGCCTTTCGCGTCGGCTTGAGACCACCGTTACCATCGTTGCAAGAAGAAGAAGCTTCTGTAGACTCATTGTACTCTCTCCATCTCTTTAGTATCTCAGCTACACTGACACCATCTCGTGCCTTCCTTTTCCTGTTAGAGAATCACAGCAACATTAGCAACATGTTCACAATTTTAAAGCAACACACTCAACTATACTTTGAATCTAAGCACCTTCCAAGAAATGGTTTTTTAAAAAACTTCGGAATGCAATCACACCCAAGTAGCTACAAGGAGAAGTTTTTACAATCTGCAGCATGATAGCGAGCCAAAAAACAGCACAGAGCATACTCAGAAACTGAGAATCGCCTAATGATTCTCCCGAAAACCCAGAAAACCTCGAGGAAAGTAAAGAATGTATCCATAAAATCAGCTAAATTTCAGGGTTTTACGACTTTCTCAAGTAAAAATCTCTCATTTCCAAGGCTCCTAACAACGCCAAGCGAACAATAGAGAGAAATTAAGCCAAAAGTTAAGAAATTTCTGTTTACGAAGAACATCGAAAACCCCAAAACCCCCTGAGCTTCCACCTACTACATAAACATGGCGATTCGCACAAAAAAACAACCACAATGCGAGAGAAATTAACTATTCACACTCAATAATCACATCTAGATGAAGATTCAACCGATTTAGAACGCACACGCAGGAGAGAGACAAGGATTAAGAAAAATTCGTAAATGTTTCAAACAAACCTTTCAACAATCTTCGACGGCATGTAGTATATTTATTCGAACGAAGAAGAAGGAGAGGAAGATTCCGATTAAACTTCCGTCAAAAGCAAAGAACACGAATCCGAAAGAGAAGAAAACGAAGGGATTGAATGTAATAGTGTGTAGATTAGCATCCAGTAGCAAAGACGATTGTTTTTTTTGCAGAAAAAAAGATAAAAAGTTTGCGACGGAGAGAGGAGAAGCGTATTTGCACTATCAGCCTTTTGATGATATTTCAGATATTTTGGTGCTGACGTGTCGTTCGAACTTTCCAGATACTTAATTTCGGCCTTCCTTTTTGCTTTGGGCCTAAGTTTTTCCATTTATGGTTTTTGACTATTTTACCCTCAGAGCTTCTATGTAACTTCGCTTATGCCACTCTTTGGATAAGGAGAGGATAGCTAAACTTTGACATGGAGTCATTTGTGTTGACTAAACAAAAACCAAGTCTTTGTGCTGTTTGAAATCAGGAATAAGGAAGCTATGGGCTTTGGCCCATATTTTTGTTTATGAGGCCCAGGTATGGCTTTGTGTTTTAGTATCCACTAAGAAATTAAACAAATCCGGAATCTGTAGAACAGTTTGTGGATGTAACCTTCGAATCACACAAATTGTCTACGGTTTATACAAATTTTGGAAAGACAAAAAAAGAGTTTGTCATTCTATAAAATTGTCGATGCTCAAAGTAGAAATGGTTGACATAATTGGACAAAAATTCAAATTTACAGAAAAAGGAATTGACGGTAGTAGCATCACCTTTCACGTGGCGGACTGTTTTTGCATGCTAGCATCGACAGCGCTGTCAACTTTAAACACATAGCAACTCCGACCAGATTTATAGCCACGTCCACGCTTACGTATGAATATGATCATGATCGTTGTTATGTATGATCATGATCGTTGTTGTTGTTCAATTGAGTTTGAGAATGAGCTTAATTTGTCCAAATCACTTGTTTTTAATTCAACCGCAATTATGTGTATAAAAAGACTGATACACAAATTTCAGTTGGATGATAATAAAGGATTTTGAAGAGGCTATACTGTTGCAAAACCTGTTTATTTGATGAACTTTACCTATAAAGATGCTTGTTAACTTTTTTCTAGAGAGTTACTACTATCTTAAATTCTTAACTGAATTTGTTAATAGAGAGAAAATTATAATCTAACTTGATATCAGGTGAAAAGAGCTATGCATCTAAAGCCAAAAAAGCATTCTACTAAAGACTCTCAGTCCCATCAGATAACCGAAGCCCTATAAATTCAAGTGGTCCAAACAAAATGATATAGTTTTGCAGTATTGGTACTTAGGCAAAGACTTAGGGGAAGAAGATTGCACACCACTTTGCACCAAGGGTCATCTACAGTTTGTAAGATAATGTTTATTTTTCTATGTAGTAAACTATTAAATAATTTACCAAGAAAAGTATTACAATATGGATTATTCTCTTTCTTTTTTAGGCTAAAACACAATAGGGATTTTTCTAAAGGATTATACGTTATATTCCTATCTACTCAACTGTCCGTTAGATTCATGAGTGGATACGGGTAACATGCATAAGAATGATTATCTTCGGTAAATTGTTATAAGTCATGACAACTTTTGTTTCTTCAGGTAATGTCGAAATTATTATTTCATGATGATCACTTTTCCGGCTACTTTTCTGCTCAACTAACGTGAAATCACACGCTATTTTTTCTTTATGCCATTTCATTTCACTTACTTTTTCCAAATAATGTATTGCTTTTGATCGAAACACGAGCTAAGTTGATTGAATTAGTTCAAAAAAAAAGACACTAGATCTATATCTCATCTCAAGTTCAAATGCCCAATGTTACGTTAAAGAAAAAAAAATTATCAATAAAGCAAACTGATATCCGACTAAAAACACCATAATAAAACAAAATAAAAATTAGGCTGAGTTTCGTCTTCAGTTTTAGAACATCAATATTCATCATGTGGTTGAACCCTGGAGTTGACTCAGCCTATAATTACGCAAAAAGTATTTTGTAAACGATCTCTCAATTTCCATGCTTATTTTTGGAAACAAATAGAACTTTAGCTCAACAAGACAACAACCATTTAGTTCCCATTGTCAAACCCAACTTCACGAAAGATCGAGGTGATGACTCAATTAAGCATAAAGGAAGACGAAAAATCAACTTTGTCTTTCATAATACACTTAGCACTAATTTGGTACTATAATGTCAAAAGAATACCATAATAATCGAGAAAAATAAAGCTGAGGGGTCTGGTCCAACTCAGGAGTACGTAGGACCAGTTATCTATAACCAACAAAAAACAATCGAATATAACATGAATAGTGAAAACTATAATTTGGTATTTATGCTACAATGATCTTGAACTCCTAACAGACGGGCAAATCTGCCGGAGGCTCCTCCATTCTCTCTAATAATCCTTTTCCGTCCTCAACCAAGAAAGCCATGGCTAGTCCCCAAGATATGTGTACATCTAAATGACAATGCATTATCCAAACCCCTGTTTTCAATCAAATCATACACGCAGTTAATTTAGTCAATCCCGAATATAATTTACTAAATCATGTAAATTGAAAAAGTCGATTAAAAAAAACAAACGAAAATCCTAGTATAATTAACTGATACGAGAAATATTTTTTTTGATGTTTTACTTATTTTGGTATATATTTTACGTAAACCAAAAGTAGAAACATTTTTGATCTAAATTCGTTTTGAACACAGAATATTTTAAAGAATTTATTTACCAGGGTTGTCAGCGACGAATCTGATGACGGCCCAACCATTAACCGGTACACCAACGGTGTTCCTGAGAGGAGGATCTTCAAGATTGAATTTGGCGGTATCTTTCTTGGGATTGAAGTTACCAAAACCCTCAGCGACGATGTAAAAATCGTAACCGTGTAGATGAATGGGATGGTTCTCGGGAGTTACTATACCAGTGTCCTGAAGAACGACTTGGACTCTTGATCCATACTTGAGTTTGTATAGCTTAGTCCCTCTCACAGGTTGGTAAAGAGATCGGCTTATGTTGCTACCTGTGTAATCGAATATCACCGGAGGCTTCGCCGGGAAATCGGTTGTGAAGACTCCCGGGATCTTGTGGTGGTGCGCTTGGAGTAGAGAGTAGTTACTTGGGAGAGCAAACGAAACGTTGTTCATCGATGCGGTGAAGCGTGTGCCGTTAAGACCTTGACATCTTCTTGACCTAAAGTTCTTGGGACAGTTGTTGAGACCGAGTCCGATGGTTACAAAGAGATTCTCGTCGATTTCTGTCGGAACCTCGGCTCGTTTTAGTGACCGGAAGCTTTGGCTGAAGCGAGTGACTGTGTTGGTGTCATTGTAGGCAGGTAAGAGTGGCATGATCGGTTTGACGGAAATGCCCTTGTTGTTTCCGCCGATGCCGCAGCAAGGGGCGGATTTGTATTGGAGGATCGCGGTTGTGGTTGTGTTGTCGAACGGTGCGTTTTGAGCACTTTGGTAAGCTCTTGCGGCCATGTAGTAACGATTTGGTGGTTGGTCACCGGTTATGAGGACGTCGGTGGTTTGGCCGGGGCCGAGAACTATGACGTTGGTGGTGAAGGGTTTTAGGTATGACGCGTCAGCTCCGACCACCGTGAGCTTGTGGTTAGCCACCGTGAAGAATAACGGTTGGTTCAACGCGGAGTTTATCACTCGTAGTAGTATGGTCTCACCAACATTTATGGGTACTATTGTCGTATCTGTAACAAAAATATGATACAATAATAATAAAAAATTAATATACTTATTTGGGTCTTTTGGGGTAATGCTTTTGTTTTTCCCTTAAAATATATTTATTTGAGTAAAACAAAATATACCAAATTCAGTTAGGAGTTATGACAGTTGAGAAAGAAACCGAAAAAGTAATATGCATATATGAAGCAATTTTTTTTTTTGGACGGTTGATTTGATAGAACTGAAATCATATTGTACGTAAATGAAATATGTGAAACCTTGAGAAGAGCATTTATAAAGATCGCCAGGTTGACCATTGATGGTGTAAGCGTCGGAGTTATTAGGAGCTGCTCCGGTTCGTATAGATTCTCTCAACACATCAACCGGATTTGCGTCCCACCATTCACCTTAAAAGATCATGATTTGCCAAAATCAAAATCTCAACAATTGAATTCAAGTTTGTTATAGTAATAATCATGTAATTAGTTTTTACCGAGAAGGAGTGGGACGTTGCGGTGTGGATTTGGGAAAGGGTAAGACGAACCAGCAGGAGGAAGGACGAGAAGTGAACCGTAGACAGTGGCTCTAAGCCACGAACTATGAGCATGCCACCAAAGTGTACCTTCTTGTCCTTGGATTGTAAACCGGTACGTGTAGCTTGATCCCGGTCTGATTGGGCATTGGGTCACAAATTCCGGTCCGTCAGCCCAACCGGTTCGCATTTGTCTCACACCGTGCCTGTAGATAGTCCACATCAAACAACCGTTCAATATTAGCAAAGAAAACGACGAGAAAGAAAACATTACGTGATTATGGTTGAATCGTATTTTTACCAGTGGATTGTGATGTTATACCGGGCCCGGTTAATGACTGTGACGACGAGAGTATCACCGTTGTTGACTACAAGTTGTGGACCGGGAAACATTCCGTTGACCGTTATACTATTGTGTGTTTCACATAGTCTCTTCACCTTCGTTGCTTGTATCTGCATGTATAATTACAAATCTGTATCATTCTTTACATTTTAATTAAAAACTAATTATAAATAAATGAAATGCGATCGTACGATGAACTCGTGGTGGTGTGCTTTGTTGGCTTCTGCCATGGAAGTGAAAAGAAAAATGGCCGATAAAGAGATGAAACAGAGGAAGCTCTTGATAATCTCCATATTGACACGATTTCTATAAGCTTCTTTCAACGGCAGAGGGTTAAGAGATGAAGTGTTGAAGAAGAGAGAATGTGTTGTTGCTGGGCATTAGAATGGGGTTTATATAGGGAGATCAAAGTCATTTGAATTTTAAACTTGGTGGATTGTTTCTTTAATATATTTCTTTATTTATTAGTTTTTTTTGAAGATTAATTGAATTTATCAGAGGAAAAACATATGGTGTTTATGCGGTTGGAGGATTAGGTTTTGATTTAATTGAAGGCCAAAACTTGGTTCAGTACTAGAAGAGTAGTTGCACCCACTGGGGCCTAGTTAGAAAAAAATAAAAAATTAGAATGGTAATTACGTCTCTTGAATTCGTGGTTAACACGCTTTTTCTATTGACTTTGGATGTAATATACCATAATTGCCATAAACATGGTACACATGAATTATATTAAAAGATTCTTGTTTTGGAGCCATCAAATCGATCAAACTGTTTGGAGATGTGTACAATGGGTTGCCAACAAAATTGAAGTACGCAATGTTGCGAACTCTAACTACATATTAAACTTTTCAGGGGCTCAGGCTCATCATGCAATTAACCTGCATGCATCAATACACAAGTGTTGTAATTGACTTGTATATATTCTCCAAGATAGGACATTTATTTTTTGGCATTATGCCTTTATATTATAAGGCTGAGATGGGTCCTCCAGGATCAGATCGTTCTGATAATGGTTTATATATCGTCGTATATATATAGACTTATTATGAGGTACGATGTTTTCACATCATGTGTCCATATATTGGTGAATTATGGTAGTTTATTTCGTTAGAAATTGGGTATTTTTCTGGCTCGGGTTGTTTTGTATTTGATTAAAAAAAACAAAAACACATTAAAGCGAAATCAAATAGCATCCATGACCGGCTGAATTTCAGTTTTACACTTCACTACGAAAAATAATTGAAGGCCACATCAATTGCTAATCGTACTAAGTACTAAGTTTGTCGCTATATTACGATAAATCATTGACGGCAACATATCCGTCGTTAATAGTTCCTCTAGTATCAACTAATATTTGTCGTAAATTTACCGCAGGAAGGTATGATAAGAGCTTAAAATGTCATAAAGTATCTGCAATAATCAGTTACTTTAGTTTACGATGGTAATTTGTCGCTATTCACGTGATTCCAATGGTAAAGACCCGTCGTTGTTTTACCAAAGAATTTGTAACACTTTCATGCAACCATGCATTCGTATATTATCGTTCAAGTTTGATATTTTTAATTGTTACTTTTATGATTTTATCTAATTTTTTTTATTTATCTTTTTGAGTCTGTCATTCTTTTGCCTAAATGAATAAAGAATTTGAAGTAAAAACTCAAAAAGTTAACCATTACAAGGAAAGCTCATCTAAACCCGAATATGCTTTACTAATCTAAGTTTCGGGTTATCATCATCATACTTCGCAACGTATTTTACTGAGAATGTGTGTGTGGATTGGATTGTCGTAACATCGTCACTCTATTTTCGATAAATATATTCGTTGCAAAAGATCGACACGAATTGACATGGTATTTTTACTGTAGTGCATGATTTTATTTTGATCCTGATTTTTAAACTATAATTTCGCGTCAGAAATATATTCCTAAACTATTGATATTTATATCGAAGAAGGAAAACATTAAACATAGATAAATAGAATTTGAAGTATTGTATATGTATGTGGCCACCTACATGCAACTGTATAATACCTAAACAAAGACGAATTAAGCGCTTGACTAAGTCATAACTGTATTTTAATCATTTTTAGCATTTTCAACTTTCTTATAACAGTCTTTAATTTAAATTCTTTTATATTGGATATTAAGTCCAGTTTAAGGATATGTTTGTTGAGAAGTTTATAGTTTTAGTTGAAAATATAAATAAATTTTGATAACTTCAAGTATGAAGGAAATGGAAGAACAACGGTAAGAACTGGAAAGTTTTCTTTCGGTTGCTATGATAATCATTAATATAAATAAAACAAAAAACTTCAGGCATTGATAGAAAAGGTATTTTAGGTGGCTTGTCCATAACAGTTTTGACATTCCCATTTGAATTTGGAAAATCTCAATGCTGTTTTCATACTTACCCAAAAAGAGAGACATAACATAAGGTCAACTTTCGATGCTGTTTGCCTCTTTTGAGGTTCTGCCTGTTTGTGGAACAAATTAATTAATTGTGGAGATCAATATACAAGTAATTTATGGAGGGGCTGGATGAAAAAAAAGAGAGGACCAAAGCATGCAAGTACTAAAAGATTATATTTATGTAATAGTTGATTAACATGATCATGATATCATGGTACAGTCAGTAATATATCAAGGAAATGCAAAGCTTTATATGAAAAATAAAAAAATTATGATTTATGAATCAACCGTAACACCACTGCGTAAAAAGTTTCATATTATTATCCTTATAACGCAAAATAAGAGTTGGTTTAGTAGTTGAAAACAAAAAGACTGGCTTGAGGCTTAAGTAAAAATGATTATTGTTTTGTTAATGTTCAAAACAGTAAAAGTGATTTGAGGTAGAGAAGATGATTCCTCTAACCGCCTATGATACACCATTTGTTTCAACTTTCAAGTTTCAACCCCTATATTCTTGTCTCAACAATAACACCTTTTTCTTTAACCGAATCTAGCTAGCTCTACACGACTACACCTACATGAAGATTTTCCTTTACCTTTGTATATATAAAAAGCTAGCTACTCCAATTTCCACGTACGTATATATATATATATATATATATATATATGATATCATCGGAATAAGTTTTTTTTATATGAATAATTTATACGATGCATGTTTTAAAACAAGTGATAGTTTTGCAAATGTAAACTTTTGTGTTTACATTTTTGTAAAAGAGAACACTTTTTTTTTTTTCTTAGCAACATTTGCAAATTAAAAACGAATATATATGTATGTATGATGTTTAAATGTTGTATAAACGCAAAAGCAAATGCAAAGTAGCGCTCAAGTCCTTTTACAAAGTTGAGTACTCCAACTCTGCAGAAAACAAAAGTATAGCTTAAGTAATTTCATCATGTTATTTTGAAATTATTGATTGGTTTTTCTGATTTATTTTGTGAATCCTACGAGAGTTAAGTAGTAGTTCTGACTTCTGATTTTGAATAGTCAAAACCGTGTATGCTTACGCAAATACCTTTGACAATAACGATCCGAAAGGTAAAGAAAGTGGAAAATGTAAACATCATGTTGTTAAGAAAGGAAGAAGTACATGAGAAGAATATTGGGGACATTGATTGGTGACCAAGAAATTAGTAATTATGTTTGGTGGAGTTAGTTAGTGTCCTCTTCCATGGTATCTTACGATCTCTATATCTCTATGTGCTAAATCTATGAAAATGACATCGGACGTTTAGAAACTAGCCGTACCTTGTAGTGGTAGATAACAAAGTTAAATCGACCCCGCATCTGCAATAACGTTCAGAGTCAACATGCTTTACTTGTCTCGATTTTGTGTTTCTCTAATTATACCACATTTTTTTATTAACTTAAAGACAAAACATAATCAAATCAGTATACAAATATATCCTCTCTTCTCTTTTGAGAAAATATCTTCACTATATTATTTGAGAAGCTAAAATGTATTACGTTTAACTATTGTTGTGAGAAGAACTTTAGAAATGGAAGTGTATTTGATAAATGATGATAGCATAACTATTACTTTTACAATTGCTTAATTAATCATATATGTTAACAGCATGAGAAATGGTTTGATGTTTCTTTGGTTAAGTGGTTTCCTTGGAATCTTGATTTCATTAGTCAAAAGTGGGTACGAACCCTAACTAGGTTTCACATTGTTGGGTCGATTTGTCTAACCTCTCGTTACAAGTGGTGATAATCTTCTTTACACAAAAGAGAAAACCCTATTTTCTTTCGGTTTCATGGTTAAATACCTTTTTCTATATATACATCACCAATAATTAGATTTTTCGGAATATATTTCACAAGAGAAACCTCATTCCACGAATCTACACCTCATCTCATCTCATGTAACGAAGATTGAAAGCAGGTCACCAATATAATATCTAAGAAAGAAATCAACTCAGTGACTTTGACCCCAATAAAAATACACAATTCAGGTGAACAAAGATCTTAAATTTGATTTTGGTAACCAAGTTTTTTAGACTGAAACCCAAATTAAGCGTGTGGCGGGCTTAATATACTGGACCAGATTTACCACTAATTCGTTCCTGTGATACATTTCATTGCCCAGCCCAAGCTGATATAGATTCTCACATACTGTACTAAGGAGTGTGAGTTTGAGTATTCAACTTGGGTTTCATATTCCGTAAATATGAGAATCTGGATCAGGTCCTGGCCTCAAGAACCTACTATTTTCATATCAACGTGAGAAGGGAAGAAGAAAACAAACTTTGTACTCCGCAAGGCTAGATCTTCTTGTCAGCAAATTCTTGTGTATAGTTTCTCAAATTTGTTATCAGTTTCTAATATCTTGAAAATGTCTTATAAATGTATTCAACGCAAACACAAAAAAATGTTATGATACTAGCCATTATAACACATGGAACATTCTCCAATGTGTTATAATGTTACATATTCAGCAAATGGTGCAAATTAGTCTAAAGATGCTTAACTAACTATGTTTGGTCAATTTGACACCAGTCTCTTATCCTTTAGAAACCGTTATGATGAATCAAGAACAAAGGTTAAGACAACAAGAAAATAAGACATATATATTGATTTAACGTAAATGAGATCTTACAAAGAGGATAAAACTGAGAAGGATCAGCTCCAGATTTCTCAACTGTGAACGACGGAATACAAAAATTACAACACAACAATGCATCTTTAGATCTCAATTTTGCAGAGCTTCGTATTGAATCTACACTCAAAGCATGACCAAAAAACCCTAAACCCAGAGAGAGTTTACCACTATGAATTGACGAGAATCGGAATTTTCAAATCCAGCTCTCAAGCTCGTCCGGCAACAACGGCAGCAGCAGCTGATGTAGCAGCAGAATTACCGATGAACGAGAGCAATCCGGCGTTGGCAGGCTCTTGCTCGTCCAGGAACAGATCATCCGGAACCCTAAACGCACCGTGTAAGCAAACAATCGCGACGCCGATCGTCAGAGCCGAGGTTAACAACGATCCAACGCTCGTCATAAACACGACTACAATCGTGGTGAGAACAAGAGCGAGCAACGTCTCTCGATCGGAGAAGCTACGGCCGAAGATAACCAACGGCTGATCCGAAGATCTGAAGAGGTAGAGGAACATCCAGCCGCCGAGGAGAGAGAGGAGGACGAGGAGAGAGAACGGATGGGAGAGGAGGGAAAACGCGAGCACGAGGGAGACGATTGCGGCGTAGTTGACCTTGAAGTAGGCGAGATTCTTACGGATCCGGGTGAAGGAATCGGTGAGGGAGTCGGGTCTCGCGAAGGAGCTCCGATCGACGAGCTCCATCCATGGACGGCGTTGAGAGAGGCCGTCGCGGAGAGAGGAGGAGAGGCGCGAGAGGAAAGTGCGGAATGCGTGAGTGTTGATTGGAGGCTGAGACTGAGTGGCTTGCTGGTTGGTAACGGGGAGAATCGCCGGAGAAGAAGACATTGGTGCGTGTCGGTGCGGCGGATTGGCCGAGAGAGAGTGTGGATGTTCCGATTTTAGTGGAAAGTGGAAGAAACTGAAGTTGCGGCAAAACCGCGTTAGGAAGAAGAAATTCTAAAGGCCTCAACTTTATTGGCCCATAATATTGGATCAGCCCAACATATAAAGTTCAAGCGAACGTCTTGTTGTTGGTTCATTTTGATATATAAAAATTAAAAAATGAAATCAAATATATTTACTTTGTAAAAAAAAAAGTAAAAGGGATACTGAAAAAAAAAGAGTACGGATTTAAAATTTAAGTGGTGATACAACAAAATTGTAATAACTAATAACATTATACTCCCTCTGTCCTACAATGTAAGCTGTTTTGAGTTAAAAAATTTGTCCCAGAATATAAGCTGTTTCACATATCAAACAGAAAAGTGAGAGAGAGAAAGTTAGAGATTGGTTTACTTCTAATTTTTTATTTAGTTAAATGTTTTAAAGGATTAAAAAAATCAGAAAGTAACATTGTCTAATACTTGTGCCCAAGCCCAAAACAGCTTATAGTTTATAATTTAGGACAGATGGAGTATTTCTTAATCAACACTATGATTTTTTCTTTTAGATCAAATCATTGCAATAATGCAATTATATAGTAAACTAATGTAGTACGTATAGAAAATGGCTTACATTTAACTTGTAGCCAGATTGTGTTTTGTCTTTCCTCTTGTGTGTGCTGTTTTCATAAACGTTTGACGTGCAAGAATGTTTTGTACTAAAATATTTACCCCTAAATGAAATTTAAAGAAGGTTCTAAATTTTGCCCAAAAAGAAGGTATATATTATGCATTATTTGAAGCCTAGTTAGATAAAGACGAAGAAAACATTATTGAGGTAGAATAGGCATCGAATATCAATATTCTTGGGGCCTAATCAAGAATATTTACTGGAAATTCGGGTTGATATCCACATAAAGAAGAATCTTCACCAGCACGTACTTTATCCAATTACATCCCGTTTCAATGGTCTAGCTACTCTAGTTAGCATCTAATACCTTCTTTCTTGTACGTTATTCAATAATTTTCCAGGACTATTGTTACATTTCAAATAAAGAGGCGATTCGTGTAGCTCCATATTTTATGTTATAAGTCATATAATATAATCCATGATTTTGTATTGAACGATTTGCACACTTCCAAACCCAATTATTGTTTTGGTCATCGGTTCCAAATCCAATTAGTTTACTTCTTAGCTTAACCTTTTGAAAAAAGAACAGAATCTTTCTCTTCTTCTTTTTCTTTTCTTCCACTCATTAATATGTTCTCTCTATATATACATGACAAATATAGTAATATACCATACATCTAAAAGGACAACAAGATCTCAAGATCATTGCTCCAATGGCCTCTTGTGACTCACCTGATGCATTCTCTTGGCTTCAAACTCTTCCTCCTCTCTCTCAATGGATTAGAAATTCAATGTCCATGTGCATTTGCTCTCCAAATTCATTACATCCTTCTTTAAACTTCTCTCTTACTCGTAGCCCTCATTTTCCAAACACATTCACCTTCTCTATAATAGCCAACTTCAAGATTCCTATATCTCTCTTTGTTTCAAAACCTCTCAGAATCATTAGCACTAATTCAACTAAGTTCCTTAATGAAAATGTCATCTCTACTCTATTGATGGGATTTGTTGACGTAGTGCTCAACTATAACGCTAAGAGAACCACTTATTCATTCCAAATCCAAAACCTAACCTCCACTTCCAACCTCAAAGACGTTTTTAACCTCGCATTTTTCACTTTCGTGTTCCTCATCTGCATCTACGAAGCACCCACGAGTCTACGGACGACTTGTCTAAAAACGGTGAAAGATCAGCTGGTTACTTGTAGGTCAAGGCAAGGCTCTAAGTTGCTCATGGTGCAACTAGGCTCTAATCTCGAAGAACAATGGATGAGATCGCTGAATCTCGCGATAACCAACTGGATCATCGAGACCAAAGCGTTTCAGCATCTCAAGTCGCCTTCTCCTTTGTTTTCGTATGCGTTCTCAACTCAAGGTTTGTGGAAAGTTCATATATATTGCCCTGTGATTGCAATGGAAATGGAGACCGTAAATAGTGCTTTAACCGACGAGAGATTGTTCTTCTCGCTCAACTACCATCAACTCGAAGGTGTGATCCAATTCAACCACAGGATTTACGTTCGTGAGAAATGGTTTAACATCGCAGTGAATATTGACAACGTCAGGTACTATCGTCCTTAACCTTAAACTCATATAATCTATAAAGTTCTAACCTAAACTCATACAAACTCTAGATTTTTTTTAATAATAGTTTTCTTTATAATAGGTGCGACATAATTAGGCTTGTGAACGAGACACTTCTGTCGGAACGAGGCATGGGAGACGAAGAAAAACATTTTCCTTCACGAATATCATTGCAACTAACCCCAACGGTCCAATCAAACATCTTGATGGTCTCCGTGCAAAAATCCTCAGAGAACCCATTGAGAGAATTCGAAGTAGAGAAAGGCATAGAAGCAACGATAGAGCCACCAAACACTTTCTTTGGACTCAAAGTCTCAGCCAACGAGACCACAACGAAAAGCATGAAACCATGGAAATTCGAGGAATCGGTTCATGGTTATAGCGCCAATCTCACTTGGTTTCTACATGACGCTGACGATGGAAGAGAAGTCTCTTCCTCTAAACCATCCAAAGTCTCGATGATGAGTCCTCGAGCTTGGTTCAAGAACCGGTACTCGAACGCGTTTAGGCCGTTCACGAAGCAAGGAGGAGTTGTGTTTGCAGGAGATAGTTATGGGCAAAGCGTGTTATGGAAGGTAGACAAGAGGGCGTTTGGGAAAATGATGGAGTTTGAGATCAAAGGTTGCGTTTGGTTGACTTATTGGCCTAATAAGCATCATACTTTTTATAGTGATACTAGAAAGTTGGAATTTAAGGAGATGCTTTACCTCAATCTTCCTTAGTTTTATCTTAAGTTTGTTTAGCTATCCTAAACAAATTCACCTACTCTCTCTTTTAGAACTGAATAATTAAGTTGTGTTTTCTCAGTTTGGTCTTTGTTTTTTTAAATAACCATGGTAGTATAGTATTGATGAACTTAGGACAAATTGTGGCCATAATTAATGTATAAGTCAAGCTATTTGATGCTATTATCGTGGACATGTTGTTTAGCCAAATTAATATCTAAAATCACAGGATTTGTGACTCCTGTTTCTGCCCGACATTATTGAGACTTCTATGCTTCGTGATCGTGGCTATCTTATCTTCACATAAAGCAGTATTTTTTTGTTTTCGTTTTCGTCTCACATGGAACCCACATTTTTAGATAGTTGACATAGACAGATTTTGAAACATATTCAAAGCGTGTATGTAAAATTAAAAACAACTCTTATGGAGTTTATTAAACTCGATCGAAATGTGTCAAAGCGTTTCTGATGACTCTACGCGCGTCTTTACCGAACAAATATATATATATATATATATATTTTTTTTTTTAACTTTTGTTGAACTAAGAAATTTCGGTATCAAAGAATAATAAAGTCGCATATTAAAGAATTTTGGTATAAGAGAATAATAAAAATCGCATCTACTCCATAGTTTTTAATTTTTATATTTCAATTGTAACAAAAAAACATTTAAAAAGAAATTTAGTTGTTAGATTAAGACCCGCGTATACGCGGGTTTATTTTAAGATTTTGTAATAAAATCATGGAAAAGTATTAAACCAAATTTGATCATTTTAAAGTAAACAGAATAATATTAAAAACCCGATAAAAATATTTAAATAAAATAAGATCGGTAACCTTTTTACGTTTTTATTGTAATTGATATTTTTTTGAATTCATGATATAAAAAATGAATTAATTTGTTTTATTTTTATTTTTATCCAATATAGAAAGACTTATATATGTCTAAATATGATCAACTGATTAATTAATTCAACAAAACTTTATTATTCCATTCAAGAGATTTCAATTGATGAAATCTTTATTTAATAATTTTTTACCTAACAATATTGAAAATATATTAAACTATTTAAAATTAGAATATCGGTTCATTATATTTTCTTAATATTAGTTAGTTGCTTGATAATTAATTTGTTAGTTTTCTATTTATATTGTTTCTTTCTCAATTTTGTTTTTGACTCAGACCATTATAAATTTTCATTTTCATTATTAGTTAGTTTTTTTATTATCATTATTTTATTACACATATCGCAATTTTGTGAGTTATAAAAATCATACGTATTGCTATCATGTTGTTTGCTTTGATGAGTTTGTGAATGAGAAAAAAAAGACTACTTTAACTCTCTTTTTATAGGGGTTCATGTAACTTATTCCATGCAGTTATAGGAAATTTAGTTTACCTAACCTATTTCATGTACTAATAGGATTTTATTTATTTCATTAATTTGAATCTTATATGTGTTTGGATAATATAAATTTGATGAATGAGAAACCTTTTTCTATTAGGATATGACAAATATAATTTTTTTTTCTTTTAACTATAAAAGATTAACTAAACCTAACCTATTTCATGTACTAATAGGATTTTATTTATTTCATTAATTTGAATCTTATATGTGTTTGGATAATATAAATTTGATGAATGAGAAACCTTTTTCTATTAGGATATGACAAATATAATTTTTTTTTAACTATAAAAGATTAAAATTTCGTTTTTTTTCCTTTATCTAATTTTTTTAATTATTATTTTTTTCTTTTTTTTCTAAGACACATGTCACGATCTTAACGGACATAACATTAAAAGTGACACATGTCGCAATCCTAAATTTTATAAAAATCCTACGTGTCGCAACCACGTCACGCGCATCCAGCTTTATATAATAAGATTTGCAGCGATATTAAAAAAAATGAAGAAAAACGAGAGCCACGTCTTTTAATTTCACGCGCGAGATAACAAATCAAGTGTGTCTTATTCCTCTCTCTTACTCAAACGATGCAATTAGCTGACGTGTACCCAAAATGAAGCCCACCACCAATGGGCTCTTCGCATCTCAATCTTCCTCCTTCCCGTTTCCGAGATTCCGCGGCCAACCTCCGCCGATTAACTCCACTGACAAGCAGAAGAAGTATCTTCCAAAACTCGTCACTCTATCCCTCGCTTCCGATTCCGATGTCTCCTCCTCCCATAGAGTCGCCTGCTCTCGCCGCGCAATTCTCGTCGCACCACCGCTCCTCGCCGCCGCCGCTTCATTATGGCCGTCTATTGCCTCAGCCGCCAGTGACATCTCTTCCACCGTAGCAGATACTTCGTCGGAATCAACAGCTTTTCCTCCTCCGCCGCCGCCTGTTTCTGCAGCGAAGGAAGAGTCGATAAACTCCAGAATCTATGACGCGACGGCGCTCGGTGAGCCGATGGCTGTTGGGAAAGATAAGAAGAGAGTTTGGGAGAAGCTTCTGAATGCGAGGATAGTATACCTTGGAGAAGCCGAACAAGTGCCTACAAGAGACGACAAGGATCTCGAGCTCGAAATCGTGAGGAATTTGAGGAAACGATGCATCGACACCGATCGTCAATTATCTCTGGCACTGGAATCGTTTCCCATTGATTTGCAAGACCAATTAAACCAATACATTGATAAGAGGTTTGCATCTTGATATAGTCATCTTCAATTAGCAAAATTGCAGTTTGTTTCTGGCTCCAATTGTTCTTGGATTGGTTGCAGGATCGACGGAGAGGCTCTGAAGTCGTTTGTGTCACATTGGCCGGCGCAACGGTGGCAAGAGTACGAGCCTCTTCTAAGCTACTGCCGTGAAAACGCAGTTAAGCTCATTGCTTGTGGTACTCCCCTGAAGGTAATTGGTTTTGTGCACTTAGTTGATAGTTTTGACTTTGTTTTTTATGCGCATTGCTTAATCTTGATGCAGGTTTTAAGAACTGTGCAAGCTGAGGGAATCCGTGGACTTACGGAGCCTGAGCGTAAACTATACACTCCTCCTGCTGGTTCAGGGTTTATCTCAGGGTTTACTTCCTTCTCACGTAGCTCTTCACTCAACATGAATCCCTTAACGCAGATTGTTCCGTTTGGACCGAGCTCTTATTTGTCAGCGCAAGCTAGAGTTGTTGAAGACTATACAATGTCACAAGTGATTGTGCAAGCCGTTGCAGATGGAGGTGGGACTGGTTTGCTGTTAGTGGTGACAGGGGCGAACCATGTTGAGTACGGGTCACGAGGAACGGGGTTGCCGGCGAGGGTCTCAAGGAAGATTCCGAAGAAGAGTCAGCTTGTTGTGTTGCTTGATCCTGAAAGACAGTTCTTGAGGAAAGAAGGTGAATCTCCGGTTGCTGATTTCTTGTGGTACTCTGCTGCTAGGCCTTGCAGCAGAAACTGCTTTGACCGTGCAGAGATCGCTCGGGTGATGAACGCTGCTGGTAGGAGACGTGATGCTCTTCCTCAGGTTAGAGTTTCTTATGATTGGTTTGTTGAGACTGGCTCTCTGTGTGATTGTTGACATTCTTGATCTTATAGTGAAATTATCTTCATTTAAGCATTGAGGTTACTTTGCCCTGTTTCTTTTGCTTTTGAGAGTTAACTTTTACTTCTTTTTCTCACATGACTATAGAGTCTTTGTTTCCATTGTTTCCAGGACATTCAAAAAGGATTAGACCTTGGTCTGGTGTCACCTGAGATTCTGCAGAATTTCTTTGATCTGGAGCAATATCCTCTTATTGCAGAGCTTACACAACGGTTTCAGGTACATTTTATGATTTTTTGGCTAAATTATATGTTATAGCATTCATATGATTCCATGGTGCTTTGCCTTGTCCTTTACTTATGATAACCCCCTTTGTGTTACAGGGTTTCAGAGAAAGGCTCTTGGCAGATCCCAAATTCCTGAATAGGTTAGCTATCGAAGAAGCTATATCGATAACAACGACGCTTGTAGCTCAATACGAGAAGCGGAAAGAAAACTTCTTCGAAGAACTGGACTATGTGATAACCGATAGCGTAAGAGCATCAGTCGTTGATTTCTTCACGGTTTGGCTTCCTGCACCGACCTTGTCGTTTCTCTCATATGCTGATGAGACAGCTAGGCCAAACAGCATAGACGCTCTAAGAGGGCTACTAGGATCCATACCTGACAATGCGTTTCAGAAAAGTCTTGGTGGGAAAGACTGGACTCTGAATCTTAGGATTGCTTCGGTTATCATCGGTGGCTTGAAGCTTGCTGGTGTTGGAGTTGTCTCCAGTTTTGCAGCTGTGGGATCTTCAAATGCTTTGTATGCAATAAGAAAGTTCATTAAACCAGAGTTGGGTGCTTCTGAGCAAGCAAAGAGGTCTCCTATGCTGAAGACGGCTGCTGTTTATGGAACTTATCTGGGAACATCTTCAAATATTCGTTATCAGGTATGACGATGCACTCTGCTTTACATGTTCCACTTAATGTGAGAAATTAATGAAATGTAGGACTGTATGATAAATGTAATGAACTTCATTTGCAGATAATTGCTGGGCTTATAGAGCATCGGATCTCTGACGAGCTTTCTTCGCAACCTCTACTTGTTAACATGATCTCATTTGTTGTTCGAGTAGCAAACTCCTACTATGGAACTCAGGTCAGAATTAGGCCTGTACTATTGATCTCTTGACTTCTTTATCTCCTTTTTTCTTCAATTCAAACATCTCATTGTCATTTTTTGTTAATTATGGAAATGTTCTTTAACTTCATTCCAACTTTTCATATAAATGCAGCAATGGATTGATCTTGCACGCTCTACGGGTCTGCAAACTCAGAAAAGTGTCACAACTCCAAACCAAGTGCCAGAGGCTTTGAATCAATCTACAGTGGAAATTGCGGAATACAGTACCACCGAAGAGGCAACTATCGATGATCTCAAGAATCAATGATATTTATGCAGCTATTCTAACTGGTAAATGTTTATAAAAGCTTTTGATCGTCTCGGAGGGAAATGTTATCTTCACGTTGAGTTGTATTTTTTTGTGTATCTCAGCTTTTGGGAAATAATGATTCGTAATAATATTTTCTTCAAATTAGTCTTGTTGATCTGCAATCATTGCTTCAAATTAGCTTCTGATACAATGTTATCCAGTGATCCAGTTTTGAGAGGTTACATGTAAACGTGCAATTATTTATGATTATTGTGAAGCAGGAGTATTAAAAATGTTGAGATCCAAACAAGATCCTTTCCATTCCAGGTCAGCAATGCCTTCAAGCTCTTTCATCATCACTTGTGTCAAATGATTCTTCCAATCTCCAACCACACGTTTCCTGAAGAACATCTCATACTTAGTCCCACTCCAGTGAACCCTCTCCTCTCTCTTTACTTGTATTCCTCAGAGTCTCGAAGCTACACTCTTCCACGACCTTCTCCACCATCGTCTTACAACCCAAGAACTCGGCGATCCTCCTCACGTTTTCTTCTGGGTTCGCTTTCAGATCTTCGTAAGTGACGAACAACACACGGTCTCTTGCTTCCCAGAACTCAAGGACGTGTTCGAAGTAAGGACCTTCCGGGACGAGCCCGTTGCAGAACTCATCGAAAGCTTCTTGGATCGAGATCTCTGTCCCGAACTTGTTTTTGTGGAGGTGCCAGAGAGAGACGAACGTGTCTGCTGGGTGATGAGCTATGTAAATGACTCTGCATCCTGAGGTCTTGACAGTTTCCGGTAAAAGCGAGAGAGGAAGATGAGTGTTGAACACTCTAGGAGAAGAGAGAGTGTCTTTCAAGGTCACATAGAGAGTGTGTTCATATAGAAGAAACACTTGGGAGGTTTTAATCTCTATAAAGACACGACGACGTATGAGCTTTTGTCTGTTTTTGTACCAAATTGTACCGTTGTGATTAGATCTAGATCACATGCTTTTGCTACCAAACACATTCCACAACAAGATTAAATATTATAATAATGTTAAAGTTGAGATCCATTGCATGCTTGTACTTGAATATTCTTTATGTTCACGTGAATGCTTTATTTCCAACAATATTCTTGTTGTCAGTTAAAACAATATAAAGTCAAATTATTTCCCACGAATGTGTAAAACAGTCAAAAATATTTCACCTGGAAATTAACAGAAACCGTAACAGATCACTTCAATTTCGGGTGACCAATAATTGGAGAAGACGGAAAGACAAGACTGTTGAACCTTTTTTTGTTTTGTCTTAAAAAAATTATACTTTTTTTTTTGTCGAATAATCCTTTACCCAATTGTAAAGTGAGAGCAGAGGTTATTCAACAGAGTACTCAATTATCATCGCCCGCCTCCTACCTCTGGTAGCAGGAAATATCCTAAACTTTTTGGATTTCCTGAAATCAGATCAAAGATGGGTAACGCTCTCACGTTTCTCTACGGAAAATGCTGCAAGCCGACGCCGACCAATGAGTCTCTCGGTCCTCACGGAGTCTCCCCCGCCACCGTCGGTGTTTCAGCTCTCGCTCACGATCTCTTCAACTTCGACATCACTTCCCAGGTTTCTTCACTTTCGCATTTAGGCCGCTAAATATCCTTTGATCTAATTCTTGTGCTTTCATTCCAGCCACTTTATTTGTTTCCTAGTGATCTTGAGAAATTAAGTGATTTTGCAACTTCTCTTATCTGAATTTCGTTCAAAGGATCTTTAGCCAACCTTACGGTGGTTTTCAGAAATTGTAACGTAGTTATGCAATTGGGTATTGGTTATATTGATCGTGACCGGTAAATTTGCTTCTAGGTTCCTGGAGGACTTGGGAGGTACGTTGAATCGTCTAAAAAGGCTCAAGCAAAATGGTAAAACAACACAACCTTTTGTACATGTTTAGTGTAGTATGAAGATGTGACATTTGCTGTGTAATCAATATACTTTCCATGCAACTTTGTGAAGGTTTAAAAAAATACTTGAGGCATGGAAACAAGCAAAACCTCCACCACAGACGGCAGAGGAAGCTTCTAGGCTTGTTATCGAGATATTAAAAAGGAATCAAAAAGCGGACGTTGAGGTATGAATCATTAAACTTGTTATTGAAGTTGGAATAAATCTAAGTTGTTTTTGTTGTGTTTTTGTTATGACAGGGACTTTTATCTTTCTATGGACTCCCTTTGCCTGATAGTCTGGTTGAGCTCTCTACTGAAGCTCATGTGTCTTTGCCTGAAGGAGTTCTATACGAATTTCAAACACTTCCGGTTAGACTCACTCCAGTACCAATTGTCCAATTTTAAAGGAAACATAAAACTTGTCTTGCAAATCAATTATGTTTCTTTTGTTTTTCTTTCTTTCTCAATTGATTGTGTTGCTGATCAAGCTTGTTTAATGAAAAATAAGGTGGATCCAAAAGCTGTGGCAGATGGAGACACCATCACAGTGTATGTCAGTTCTTCAGACCCGGCCGTGTCATCTTCTGTTCCAAGGGAAGTAAATGTTGCAGCAACTGAAAGATTAAAAGCACGCGAGAAGAAGGATTACACAAAAGCTGATGGACTTCACCAAAAGATCATTGATTCTGGTTATAGGGTGTTAAAAATTCAGAATGAGGAAGTGCTTGCTCGGAAGTTCAGGATTAGACTAAGGTAAAAAATGATTTGTTTCCTTTCATGATAAACTAAGCTTAGTTAGATCTGTCATGATTTTTGTTGTTTTTAAATGAAAAGATGTTTGGTGATGGAAAATGAAATAGGGGAATAGATGCACCAGAGGGCCAAATGCCGTTTGGGAAAGAGGCACAAGAAGAGCTTGTGAAGATCGTTCAATGGAAAAGCTTGAAAGTGTTAGTTTACGGTGAAGATCAATATGGTCGATGCGTAGGAGATTTATACTGCAATGGGATTTTTGTACAGGTAATAAAGTACTAACTGTTATCATTCTTCCTTATGTTTTAATTAAGCTTAGCTTAAACCGGTAATTTCTAACATAGGAGGCAATGCTAAAGAAAGGTCTTGCTTGGCATTACATAGCTTGTGACAAGCGCATGGTTCTAGCAAAGGCAAGATTAGTAAAACTTGTGCTCTATATTCTACAATTTAATAATTTTGAGCCCTAATCATTATTTTTTTAATGTGAAAATCAGTGGGAAAAGGAGGCAAGGCAGAAACGTATTGGATTGTGGGCTTCTTCAAATCCTGAGAAGCCATGGGACTGGAGAAAAAATAGGCGTGTATAGATAAAAAAAACATTGTATGGACCAAAAATGCAAACAAAAATGCTGAATTTTGCGTTTAAAACAATTGAGATTTATTATTACTGAATACTTTCTTCTAATTTCTCAGTCTCGCTCCATTGATGTGGGTAGCTGGTGCATTTATTCTTTGATAAAACATTACAAATCTTTGTAAAATTTATTGTGATTTCCAAATCAAACAAGTTGATTTTAAATAGTACTAGGATTGAGCCCGCGCTGGTGCTGACATTTTATATAATCAGATCAATTTTTAATGTTTTGGAACTTTCAATTGATATATAAATAAGTTTCCTCTTAGCTATCGTAACTATTTTCCTCGTTTCATTGTAAAATCTTTTCTACCAGCGTTTCATTAACTTTATGGTCTCTCATTATCCTATTTTGGACTTTGTTTTTAGAAGTCATTTCCCCTTTGGTCCCAAAGCCAAGACATGACATAGAAAAATATAAATTGTGGTAATGCTGTTGTATCTCAGGTAACTGAAAGTCTGTCATTTTCAGCTCATGTCGTGCATTCGAAACCTCAATTCAAACCCATGAAGATCTGTAGTCACAAGTTCTTGAGTAGGAGTAGTTTGAGTCATGTCCTAAAAAAGAGTTAAATTGGAGTGAAAAGTGAAGCTTAAGTTTCTTCAACTGAGAATATATTCTAAAGGATATATATACCAAGGTAGGCAAGCATTCAGTGGCGTGTTTACGCAGAACAGAGAATCCACCATGAGTGCTTGTATCTGAAGCCGTTAGAATCTTAACAAACGAATGAAACGTTTGTTTTGCTGGTTCAAACGATAGGTGGATCAAGACTTGTCGGTTCACTTTGCTGCAAAACAAAAATTCAAAATCACTTTCATCAAATCACAATGCCCAAAAGAAAAAAAAAGAAGTTATCTTTTTATATGCTCAAGCTTTAACGAACTTACATCTTACATCTTCCTCTGGTTGAACTTACGAGCGTGAAGAGGAGCAGAATCTCAGACCGAAAGAAAGTTGTGCGGTGTTTGGTTTGACGGCGGTGAACGAAGAAATGATACAATCGGAGTCGGAGATAAGACTATTTGGGCCTATGGAGTTTTGAGGGATCAAGTGTAAGCCTAATTATATTTAAGATTAAGCCATTTTGTTTGTCGTGTTATCGTGTATCATCCTCTCCTTCTTCTTCACCGTTTCTTCTCTCTAGCTAAATAATTTATATGAAGATGATGCTTTGTCGCCTGATTCTCCGGTAGGTTTCCACCGCCGTGTCGGAATTACGTTCGAAGTTCGCTCGTCGTCTTCATGGATTCAATCAGCGAGTATGACATTTTTCTTTTGTGAATTTCTATTGGAAATGAATTTTGTATTGGTACCGTGATTTGATGTTTATGGTTTGGTCAGAGAGGAATACACAGCAAGAACAAGGAGGCGATAATTACGTTGTTAAAGGATGGAATGCGATTAAGTGCATACTTCTTTATCTTTCCGCCAAAAGTGTAAAATCACATTTTTCCGCCAAAAACGTAAAATCACATTTTTCCGCCAAAACGTAAAATCACGACTATCTGTCGAAACCATAAAATTATGTTTTTCCGCCAAAACCGTAAAATCATGTTTTCCCGCCAAAAACGTAAAATTGCGGTTTTTATCATAGCCAAAAAACTGCGGTTTTACGTTTTTGGCAGAAAAACATGAGATTTTACGGTTTTGGCGGGAAAACATGATTTTACTGTTTTGGTGGAAATTAAATTTAAAAAACAATTAATGCTTAATTTTTATTGTATTACTTTTTCATTTTAAATAACTATTATTCCTTCTGTTTCATTATATAAGAGGTTTTAGTTTTTGCATAAAGATTAAGAGTCTATTTAATTTTTGTACTTTTTACAATAAAATATATTTGCTCATCAATTTCAAAACATTCTAACCAAATGAAAAAGTATTATGCACAATATAAATAATCAAAAGTAACAAAAGCACATTTAATTTTGCACAAAAATTTGAAAATCCCTTATATTATGAAACAAAAGAAAAACTCTAAAACCCAGAGAGAATAACCAATAAAAATTATAAATTTCTCTTGAAGTTTGCATTTTTGTGACATTTATTAGCAAAAAGTAACTTAACCAATAAAAATTATAAATTTCTCTTGAAGTTTGCATTTTTGTGACATTTATTAGCAAAAAGTAACTTTAAAAGCTAAAACATCAAATAATATGGAACAAGGAACAAAGAAGAAAAACTTAAACATCAAGGAACGGAGGAAGTATATAATCTACTCGGCGATCGAGAGTTGTATCAGTCACGTGGGTACCTCACTTGGGCAGCTATTTCGGTGCTTGAAATGTTGGATCACTGTTTCGAACGCTTCCTCAGTCTGGACTTTGTTCACATAGCCCCTTATCATTCGGACCGTAAGAGCCGGATTATACTCCACAAACGATTCGAACTTACTCGACATAGAAATTTCGTCCAATTGTGATGTGAAAAACTTGTAGACTTCATCTTCGAGGATCCTGTCCGAGTGAGTCTTTGCAAGGTCGAGGACATCAAATGCATTTGATGGGTCCAATGAGGCAATGAGCTTGTTTCTGCAAATATCTTGGAGGTACGGAACCTCGTACTTGTCTGCAGCTGCGTAGAGTCCATGGACGTGTTTCGCCAGCGTTGTGTCGACAAGCCAACCGTTGTACATGTATTCAAGAAACGTCTCTAGCTCATCCCGTGTCATCTCTGAAAGAGTGATTGTGTCTTTCGACGGACCTTTGCAATCATCTGATTCCAACATATACTTAAATATCCTCGATCTTGCCACCTTAATTTCAAGTTAGAACAAGTAAATGCTGATTTCTTTATAGTAGAAGAAAAGAACCTTAAGTTCAAGTTCGAAGAAGAGAGAAGATACCAAGATAAGTTTGTGGGCAGGGATTGCATCGGTTTCGTCACCTGCTTTGAGCCATACATCGACATGCCTTTGTTCCATAAAGGCGTTCATAAGTCCACCGAAGAAATCCATCTTGTTATCTACTTCGTCCACCATACTGTCTGAAAAACAGAATATCATCGTCTTTTAGCAACATTAAGTCTCTAATTTGCGTTGGCGTAAATTCACAAGGTATACATACAGTGACGGAATCTAATTTGTTCATCTCTCTAGTGGTTTTTAAACAAATAAAAAGTCTAGTTGATAATTTACGACCGGTAAATTTCTTGTTGCGAATTAACAAGTTCTATCAGATGCAGAAGAATTCAAGGATCAGATATGAAAGTCAGAAGCAAAAAATAATTCAATACTAAACTTCTGGGTTAAAACGAGCACTAAGATAAATATATTTCCATTCGCTAGCGAGAAGATACAGAGCATAACATACCGATGAGAAAGGCTACACAAACCCTCTACTTTAAAGAGCAATTTAGAAAAAGGAAAAAAAAGAGAATTAGACAGGTTCTATAATAGAATTCTAAAAACAGAAACAGAGAAACAGATCACAACAAACAGAAACGAAAATTCAGAAATCAAAGAAGAGGTGAGACCGTGTGCAAGGAGATTTCGAATTTCTGGAGACTGGGTTGCCATTGATTTGGAGGAGAAGAACGCCGTCGTCGGGGTGAGAAGGGAAAGAGATTCTAAAACTAAATGTAAATTTATAAAAAAACTATTTTCCATTATTTAGCAGATTTCAGCATTGGACCTGGGCCTGATTAGTGGCTGAGTAGAAATCCGGTCCAGCCGAAAACTAACAGGGAAAGGGAAATTTACAAATAAATAAAAAAGAATTAAGGGAATGGAGGTGGAGACGTCTCAAGTGTGCATTTTCTGATTTTAATAAATCCGCATATATTATTAGTTTGCTAACTTTAGCACACTTCTCTTTGAAAAATACTATAAAGTCGACAAGATGTAGGAGATGGGAGGAAGTAGAAAGGCTTAGAGATGGGATTTCAGAATGCTCCAAAGATAAATGCCATGAATTAGCTAGGCTTAGCTTTGAGAAAACAGGGAAGAAGAAGAATATTTGAACTGATTCCTTTCTTCTAAGTTGTGATACCTTGTTGGACAAGGTAACAAGAACGACCAATAATAACGTCAGACTATGGTCAGCGATTATTGATACGTAGAGTGTATGATTATCGGACTTATTTTAAACATCCAGATAAATACATCACACGGTTAGGTTATTGTTGATTAGTGAGCTTCCATTTAACACCTATACCAAAAAAAAAAAAACACAAGTAGTTCATAAGTTGATAACATGGTCTTCTCCTACGTAGTCATCATCTTCTTTCCCCTAAAACAAACCATGTTTTTAATTTGAAGGTGGTCCCTGGTGGTACTGGATAATATTATTAACTTCCCTTTTCAAAAACTCATTTTGTCCCAAAATCTACTTTGTAAATTAACAAAGGGAAGCTGCTTATCCCAGCTTATATTTTGGGACCAAGGGAATATATAATTAGTGGGTGGGTCTTATAAACGTTGCACATTTACCCAAAAAAAAAGCCAATCATGAATTATATATTTACGTCATTTTTAAAAAAAATCGCATTGAACATAACATAAATCACACTCTAACGATATGCATATCTCAAAAAGGTTTTTCAGTACACTAGCATAACATAAACGATTGTCAACAAATAGACAGATGACAGAATTTTAAAAGTTCTTGCTCTAGATTGTCGGCATCGGGGGACAGTGTAAGATCAGTGTCGGGAAGGGACTTAGACAGGGAAGAGTCGGGAAGGGACTTAGATAACTCCCGCGAAACGTCTTCAAGCTTCGAGATAGCCTCTCGCAAACATTTCTTAGCCGTAGGGTAGTCATCCATGCGAGCAATCTCTGCCCTAGCAATCTTGAGAACTCCGTTTATTTTATCGACCACAATCTGGGGAGGAAGTCCTTGGATTGACTCGAATAAATATTCCATGATCTGTAAAACAAGTCAAACACACATGAATTCAGTACACAGAGAATTCAAGACCATTATCAGATCAAACAATATCAAAAACAACCTATAGGTTTCCCAGATCCGGGAAGAACGTAACATCAACATGAGAGTAAAGAACTGTATCCGGATCAAATGGAACGGACCCTAATACAAACATTACCCAGATCCTTTAACTCACCCAATACTAAACTTTACCTCCCCCAAAACGATAAACTTGTGTTCTTTCTTGCGACAAAAGAAAAAGGCAATTTTTTAAACCTATAACAAAAAGCTAACCGAAGAACCTTTCAGGTCAAACTGATTCAATGATATGTTAAAACGAGGATCTAAAACAAAATTTCAATTCTCCATAAGCTAGCGAGAAGACAACATTCAATAATATACAGAACATAACCTACCGAGGAGAAACCCTAATAGAAATATTCCTTGTTCTAGGGATTTAGGTCTTTCTATATGTCGAAGAGGAAGAAGGTACTGTATTTATAATTTTCGTTTTCCTTTTTTGCTTCTTTTAATTATTAGTAGATTAATTTTTCTAAAGCACCTAAAAAGAACAAGAAAAACTCACTATTAACTTTTTATTAGTTGTGGAATCCGTCAAGAGAAATGGAAAATTTTCAATAAAAGAAAATACAAGGTTTAGAAACCTTATAAACTCGTATCAATATAGTAGATGTAATTAAACTGATTGATTCTTAGATTTGGGAGCATTATTGTCAGGTTATGACGTTCATGTTAATACTAATTTGGCTGAAGGTGTTGCAGAGAAGATTTTGGAGAGTGAGGGAGAGAGGATAAGTTTTTACAAAGTTATGCTTTTTTTTTCCAACTCTTCTTATTAGTTACATTAAAATTAAGCTTGGGTTTAGAGGGAAAACCATCCTCGTTGTAAACTACCATACAACAACATAACAAATTAATTAAAGCATAAGATAGAAAAGTCTCCATGTGAGATGTGACAGCGGATTATAAACAAATTTATGCTCTCTAATGTACATATAGGAGATTATGGCTTTCCTCCGTAGTCTTAATTCTTCTTCGAGCTTTCTACTGCGTAGTCGTCAGTCTTCTTCTTATCCCCCTAAAAGAATCCACGAATTAATAAGAGATTAAGAGGTTTTAAACAAGGAAATAAAGAATCAAATACATGTATTTGTTGGGATGATAGCTAACCATGCAGGAACTTACGTTAATATCCAGAAGACCGCATGAGCCCAAGGAGATATTCAGAAGAAGCATCAGAGTATGGTCTCTCGTACTGGGTAACATTAGTCTCTGTATTCCAAAAGTAACCATACCCGGTGCTAATATCCACAAGACCTTTCCACGGCTTAGGGAGATTTGGATCCTCAGGTGCGTAGCAGACTCTCGAAGCAGGTTGTAAAAGAGAAGGTGGTACCTCCAACTGGACACCAGTCTCTGTATTCCAAATGCACCCATAGCCAGTCCCACTATCCACACGATACATCCATGGATAAGGGAGAAGACTAGTCATACATGGCGGCTTAGGGAGATTTGGATCCTCAGGACCTAGATAAGCCAATGCCATTACCGAAGTACTGTTAGAAGAATGTGGATAAAGAGACCAGGCGGGTGGCATATTGCAGGCGCCCTCTCCATCTTCACAGGGACAATCAAACCTAGAAAAATTAAGACTCTCCCATCCTTCCTCGTTACTTCCACTAAGTTGCAGCAACTTCTCTACTGCGTCTATTCCCACAAGGGTAACGTAAGCGTTACTATAAAAAGGCAGCAAACAAAAAACAAATCTTTGGTTAGCATTTGATGACATGAGAGCAAATTGGGAGGAAGAAGCCACAAACCTGAAGACAAAACCTTCTCCATCATTGCAGATTAATATCATCACACGTCCACATTTAGAGAGTTGTTCATACAGATATCTCTTGACATGCTCCAAGGGAAGCCGAGTGTCATATCCACCAACAGCAATCCTAATAATTTGATAATTTTATCAACCAACATGACAAGAACCTATCTTACAGAAAAAAATCTACATAAAAAAAAAAACTGACGTGTGATGTTGTATATTGTCTACGTGTCTCGTAGGAGGGAACTTATGGTCAAGGTTTTTGGCATGAAACGGGTAAGGCTCCACGACTAACTTGTGTCCTCTGCTGCTGTAACTTCCGCTAAGTGTCAACGCCTTCTCCTCTGCACCTTCTCCCCGAATATAAATCAAGGAAAATCTGTAAAAAAACAATATCAAGAGTTAATCGCAAAGCAAAACTGATAAAACTGGAGGAAAGAGATCTCTTGAGAGTAGTGCCACAAACCTGTTGAGAGTAGTGCCTTCAGTGTAGCCAGTGTATCCGGGAATATAAACATGCATCACCTCTCCACATGAAGAGAAGTGTTCTCTCATAGACGCAACGAAATCGTAGCCAGAAAGCGAAGTGTCGTATCCCTCTACGTAAATCCTGCTCACGATTCTACAGCCATAGATTTGATTGCATGTGAAAATACTATTAACATGACAACAACACATCTAAAAAAATATATCAATTTGTACCTGCTTTTTCGAATGTTTGCATCATAATCGTTCCTTTCCAGAACCTAAGGTACAAAGGATCTAATCAGATATTTCAAATTCATAAACAGAGATATTAAAGAGAGCCATAATAAGGGTCGAAGAAGAGATTACTTTGGTGGCGGATCCCTCCATGGACAAGTTGAGAAGATGCGACTGCGCTGGGTTTTCGAGGGGTGAGGAAGATACTTTTCAGTTCTAGGGCTTTAGGTCATTCTAGAGGCTGTCGAAGAGGAAGAAGGTATTTATAATTTTATTTTTACTTTTTTCTTCTTTTAATTATTAATTATTAAATTAATTTTTCTAAAGTATGTGAAGTGATTTTGGAGAAAGAAAAAAAACTCACTATTAACTTTCTGGTCCATATCCAATTAGTTTTGGAATCGATCAAGAAAAATGGAACATTTTCAATAAAATAATATACTCTAACTCTTGTCAAATACTTTTATAAATATAGGATGTAAACTGATTGATTCTTAGATTTGGGGTAAAATATGAATATTTGAACTGATTCCTTGTTTCTTAGTTGTGGTATCGTGTTGGATAAGGTATGATTAATCTTGCAACTTGAACTCAACAGAGTTACAAATCGTCTTCAAATTCCTTATGATTAATCTGGCAACATTGTTGCTGAGGGTATTGTCAAAAGGAATCAAAAACAGCTCCAAGACTAAAAGCATTCGACGACTTAATGTGAATCGTGTGTTTCTCTTACTAAACAATTAAAGATATGAAAAAAGAAAGCCCTAATTCTCTTTTCTCCCTCTCTCTCAAACCTCTGCCGCCAACACCTTCAACCTTTAATTTTCCTTCCTCTCCGGCGGCCGGCGCTCCTCGCCACCGCCGGGAGAGGCCCCTTCTCCCTTTCTTTCTCGTTTGATTCGGCTTCCTCTCTGTTTTGCTCGATTTTCAGCAGAGAGGGTTTTGTGAGTTTGGATCGAGATCCGCGAGGTGGTCCTCCGTCTTCGTGGTTTGGGGATCTTAGTGGAGGTAGAGTGTGGCATTTCGGCTCCTCCTTCAGATGTGGTGCTCTGGTCTTTGCTCTGGGAGGTCGTGGCTGAAGTTTCCGTCAGATCTGAACGGTGTGGTGGTTCGGAGGCTTTGAGGACGAGTTTCCGCCGTCGATTTGTTCAAGGAGGTGGGGTTTTCGGCTGCTTTGATCTCGTCAGGGCAGCGACGGCGTGGTCTCCGGTGTACCGGAGAGTGGCTCATTCCGTCGTCTCTCTCGTTCCTTTCTCGCCGGCGGCTGTTGTTGGGCGGTGGTCGACAGTGGTGGGATCTCACAGTGACGACTGTGGTTTCTCTGCTCAGATTTGGCCTTCCGTGTGGCTCTTTCAGCTTCTGCTGGTTCCTTTTGCTTCTCGGGTTCGTAGATTGGCTCAAGCTCTGATAGGGGATGACTCCGTTAAAGCTTAAAGCTTCCGAGGTGGTTCAATGTTGGATAGAGGCGGCAGCTCCGTTTTTCAGTCTCTACTCGCCCTGTGGGAGACTATTCTTGTGGCTTCAAAGCTTGAGTTTGGTGGCTAGAGGCGGCTTCTCTAGCTGTCCGTAGAGGCTCCCGTGCCGTCGGTGGTGTAGTAGTTCGCTGATGCGGTTCTGTTTTGTGCTAGTCCTCGGAGAAGCTGCAGGTACCGCTACTAATGAGGTTTTGAGGACTGGCCTTGTGTGCGGTTGCTCACGGCAACAACGATGGGGATTCCAGGTTTTAGGATCTGCGGCAAAAGCGCAATTTTCCAAGCTTTGGTTTGGAATCGGTGTTCCTCATTGGTAAGCTCTCGGTTGGTGCAAACATGTGTCTAACTTGTTGTAGTTAAGCCGTCTTTTAATCCTGTTTGTATCGTAGATTTCGGTCTTTCTGTCTTCTTAGTTTCTCTGTATTCTGTCACAAATCAAAAATTTGGTAATAAATCTTAACATTAAAACCAAAAAAAAAAAAAAATTAAAGATATCTTAGATTATATAAAGGAGAGCGTAGAAATCACGATACGATACACTTAATGTTAAGAGTTAAATATAATATAAGCTCGTTTCTGCATTGTTTGGTATAATATAATATTGAACATTTATACTCGGTCGATCTTTTTGTTGGTGATCAATATTTTATCCAACATTAAGCCATGATCTTACATGTTTCAAAGATTTTGTTCAAATGATTCAGCTAAGCTGTCATAAACAAAATATAATATGATTCCGCTATTATTTTATTATATTTTTGTGATACTTATTATGCGATTCCAAAACAACTTTCAAGTGTACACGACAGTGGCGACTAATATTTCGATTACGATACCACGTATTTCTTGACATTACCATCTCCATCACAAATCTCAAATCAAATCATCATCAATTTCGCTAAATCTCTCCGGTAGTTGAAGGAGAAATGGCTCCGGCGATTAAAGCCCCTCTCTTGCCGAACCTAGAGCCTTCTTCGTCATCACCATCGGAGGAGAAACATGGCTCATTCGCCGGAGCTGTGTTCAATGTCTCGACGAGCATAGTCGGAGCCGGGATCATGTCGATTCCGGCGGCGTTTAAAGTCCTGGGCGTAATCCCATCTCTCTCGATAATCGTGATCATAGCTTGGCTCTCCAATGTATCGGCTGGGTTTCTGATGAAATCCACGCTCGCCGGCGAATCAAAGACTTACGCCGGCGTAATGAAGGAATCGTTCGGGAAATCCGGCTCCGTCGCTGTTCAGATTATCACAATGGTTGTCACTTTTGGGTCTATGATCATCTTCTCGATTATCATAGGTACGTATATAAATCTTCGTCTCTCTCCCAAAAATTCTCAAATTCCACAAACCTAAAATCTCAATTTTGATCCAGGTGATGTTCTCTCGGGTAATGAAAACGGCGGAGTTGTACATTTGGGTCTTCTTCAAGGATGGTTTGGTTTCCATTGGTGGAATACGAGATTCTTCGGATTGTTGTTCATCTTCGTCTTCCTCTTGCTTCCTTTATCCTTATGCAGACGCGTAGGTTCGTTTTCTAATTCCAAAATCCTAAAAAGAGTATTTTTTTTTTGCCTTAGTCTATAATCTGATGAGATTGTTTGTTCTTTGTTCTCTGTAGATAGATTAGCATTTAGCTCTGCAATCTCGTTTCTGCTTGCGTTGCTCTTTGTTGTGATAAGCTCTGCGCTAGCGATCATCGCACTCGTGCAAGGGAAAACAAAGAATCCAAGACTGTTCCCAGAGCTCAACAATGGAGGAGAGTCATTCTTCAATCTCTTCATCTCTTCACTGCTTCCCCTGTTATTGTCACTGCCTTCACCTTCCATTTCAATCGTAAGAACCAATAACACAGACACACGAAAAACAGATCTTTTTACTCTTAAGTCAGATTCTTGATTCTGAAATTATGTTTCATTGCAGTCCATCCAGTAGGATTTGAGCTCAAAGATCCATTAGATGTGGTTTCAGCGTCAAGGATCTCTGTGATTCTGTGCGCTGCGATCTACTCAGCGACTGGTCTCTTCTGTTACCTTCTCTTTGGTGATGCCACAATGTCGGATGTTCTAGTCTTCTACAGTCTCTATCGCATTCATCTTTCCTGCTGCAATTGTCCTGAGGTATGCTAGTTTTGTAACCCCCTTTTGGTTATGTAATTCTGAATGAATCAAGTTTCAATTGGTTTGGTGTTTATTGGAAAATTGGCAGGAATGTGAATGGTATCTCGACGTTGAGAGAGAAGATTGTAGCTTCAGTGATGCTTGTTCTTGCTGTTGCCACAAGTGTCATCGCCATTTCTACAAATATATACACTTTCACAAAGACAGAAGAAACATGAGAAATGCTTTGTAGCGGTCCCTTGTCTTCAAGAATCTGTAAAAATGGTAGGGCTTGTGTTGCATTTTTGTTCATATCTATGTAAAATAGGTTTGCAAGGAGTGTACTGTAACAGCAACTTGAGGAGATGGAATGTTGTTTGATTTGTGTTGGGGAAATGAACAAATCAATGTAAACAAGAAGAGAAAAGTCTTTATTGATCCGATTAATTACTTATAAACAAAGAATTTTTTATAAGACCATCCAAAGCCCAAAGGTTAAAGCAAAGTTAAGGTGTAGTTTTGAAATTTCCCCAAAGGTTAAAGCAAAGTTAAAGTCGAAATCTTCTCAGCTCTATGTTTTTCTCTCTGAAAATCACAGTTAGATTTTGTTCTTGGAGATAGCTCTATCATCTGGTGTATTTGCTCATTTCTCCAAAGTAATAATTCATCAAAGAGATTTACCATTAGGAGTAAAAAGAAACTTGGTAGCAACATCTTTTGTATGTTTTGTTTTCCTCACAAACTCAAAATTGATAATAACATGTAATACAACATGTATGAGTAGATTATAAAAATAGTAATAGAGCTGCTGTCGTCAAGCCAAAAGGTTCCCTCAAACAAGCCGTAGACATAGTTGAGAAGAGCTCCTAGTTCCTGCACATTTCATGATCATAGTAAGAACTCATACATTTACTTTGTTCACTGTATTGAGTCATTTGCAGTTAAGAAACTTACCTTCTAATGTTCTTAGACGGAACAAGTATCCCTCGCTTCTCAAGGCTCTTGAATCGATCTCTTGCAAGCGTGCAACATGCCTTTCAAGATAAAAAGAGGATGAGACTTCAGTTTTTTTAGCTAAGCTACCAAGAAAATTAACAACAGTTGGTTTCAGGGAAGCAAAAGTAATACCTTGAGCTTACGAAGTGAACCAGTGATCTCTTCTGTTAAGAGAACTTGAACAGGAGGAGCCTCAAATCTGAAACAAAACATTATTCAAATATTCTAAATCCAATTCCTCAGAACTATAAACATAATTGAGCATTAAGTAAGCTAGAGATTTTTCATTTCATACTTGTGCTTTCCCAAACGAGGAGGACGTATCTTCAACACATCCTGCTTAGCGATGGCTCTTCTTACAAGTTTGTTCTGCTTTTCCTCATCTTCTCTGGATATTTCTTCCAAGATATTGGGCAAGCTATCAAACAATGGAAACAAAGAAAGATTAGTCAAAGAATAAGATTTTGTGTAGATGGTGTGGTTTTATAACATTAAAAACCAGAACACACCTGTCAATTTCGTTTGATATCTTCTCTTTAAGCTTCTCCTTGGTCAACTTCTTCAAAAGTGCCTTTTGTCTGGTTCGCTTGTTGAACACCACACGGGTTACCCTCTTGGGCAGCTTCTTCGGTTCGCTTGCGGATCTGCAGAACCAACATTTCAAACACATGAAAATCCAACACTTCACCAATGGAGTATGTAAAACGAAAAAAGTGATATTTCTTTGAAGAGAGCATACGTGTCCCCTGCCTCTGACACTTCCTTCCCAGCTTCAGCATCATCTTCACCTTCACTACCATCGTCCACTCCAAGAAAATACCTCTGAGATAGCAATTACAACAGCCAAATGGATTAATCTATCAAATTTCCATTGATTATTATACTACACACAAGCAAAAAAGACTCACCTCGTCTTCATCGACTGCGTCTCCATCAATAGTCAAAGGAACAGGCTCAGGACCTAACTCAGTTTTGTAAACTTTCTGCATTTCTTGAGCAACGGCTGCAGCCAACATATCCTGCAATACATAAAGGTAGTCAATTCACAAATATCCGCATCATAAGATGATAACACTAGCTCAAATCTATGAAACCAAATTCATTTACCTCGTGGCTCTCAGCTGCAGGGTTGTATGAGCATCCTGCAGGATCAACTTCTACTGCTGGAATAATCGAAGTCATTTTTGACATCTGCACACCAAAAAACAACTTAGTCCAGGTCAAGAATCACATAACTTCTCTCAATACAAGAACAAACGAGTATACAGAGGACACATTACCTTTCTAGGGTTGCTCTCACGTTCTGCTGCAAGTTTTTGACAAAGAAAACAATGAATTTTAACATCACTGAGAATAAAGGAAACAGAAAGTAGATTTTTTTTTCACTAAACTAACCTTTACTATCATCACCCCACAAGTCCACCATTTCAGAATCGTCAGCATCAATCTGCAAATAAGGAACAAGCATATGAAATTTAGCTCCATGAGGAAATTTTAGAGAGAAAAAAGCAGCTTAACATCTATAAGATTATATATGATTTGATCAAATTACTCACCTTTTGAGCTTGTTTAGGTGTTTTGCTCTCTGTGACGGTTGTCTTCTTGCTTGTCTTTGACTTCGGCTTTGAAGATGAAATAGGCTGGACAAATGGGTTTTTCTTTAAAATACTGTCGACTCGAAGCACTCTCTCTCTACGTTTCTCGATCTTTCGTCTCACCGGAAGATCTGAATATGAAAATTTAAATCAATTTCAAATCTCACTAGCAGCTCAATTGGTAATCAAACACCAATACAAAAACTTTTTTTATTTCAATTCATTCGGAAAAGTGTCAAACTGGGAATCCAAATCCAAATTTAATGACTCTGCTGATTCTAGTGAATCGGAAAGTGGAATAATTTGCAGCTGATAAACCTCAAGTGACCAATTATACTAGCTGAGATACGAGACCCAAACTAAACCCTAACAATTAGGGTAAAATGAGAGAGGTAAGAGGAAAAACCATGGGATTTATCAACGTGGAACAGGTCCTCGCTGGGAGCGGCGGAGAGATTGCCGCCGGAGAGAGCGTCTTTGGTGGTTTTCTCGAAGAAGTCTTCAATGTCTTCGGTGCTTATGTTAGCTCTCCATGCTTTTTTGTTTTTCCTTGATGTCTTCGTCTTTGCCTGCTTCCCCATCTCTGTCTCTCTCTCTCTCTTTCCCGGCGGCGCGAAGGTTGTTTCAGTATCGAATGAATGAGAGAAGAAAGGAGATGTTTTGGAGAAGAGGACACTAGGGGTAGGGCTTAGATAGAAACATAATGGGCCTTTACGTATCTCAAATCGCTCTAATGGGCCCATAATCATCAGATTTTTTTTTCTATCTTAATTCTTGTTTGGATTTTTGATTCATATTTTGTTTGTTGTCAATAATTAACCAAAAAATGAATGTTATGATTGTTTAGTGGTAAAAGAAAGAAAAGTTCCACTAGGCAAGGGAAATCGGACATCTGATTCCAATTTACCCAAAAGAAAAAATTTACGTGTGTTCTCTCTACCATTTATATGGAATTCGAACAAATAAGTTTTCTTTAAGCTTAAATAAGATTTGTTTATAACTAGACATGCACACGTCACGCATATATATGTAAGCATATATGCGTAGTGATAAATGCCAAATGTGTTTTTATTTCTAGAGTATTCTGATATCTATGAGGAGGTAAAATGATTGAGCAAAGTCTATTATTTGATCAAATACTATGCAGAAATCGAAAATAAAAGATTTCTAAAAAACAAACGAGTGATGTTTGATAGCATAAAGCCGCCCCCGTGACCTAATTTCTCATTTGATTCTTTTGTCACATTCAAGAGGATAGTGGGGTAGATATCAAATTGCTAAACCCTGACTACAACATATTATTGTAAATTCTTCTTAAGATGTGTTCAATATTATTTTGTCCTTTTGGTCTCTTCTAAATCCCACGTATGGTCCATCCAATATGTTGTATCTTGGAGTTTAATTAATGAGTCGTCCTTAACCGTGATGTGCCACCATGGAGAAGAAACAACGAGATATACATATTTGTATTGTAATATCATGCATGATGATCGATAGACACTTTGATGTAACGTAGAATTAGGATAAATATCCATTATTTCTATTTTGTAACACTTTTTCTACCCTAACTCAGATTAACTAGGTTTGATAGTTTTTAGGATTTATTATAAGAATGAGATTGTTTAACACTACAAAAAGGAATGAAAATGTTTTGGGCTGTAATAAACCAGATTCAAAAGGTTTTGGAACGAAAAAACCAAGTGGATTTTTATTTTTTTGAACAGGTAGTACAAAATAACTAATAGTATAATAAATGTCTAAGAAAAGGATGTTAAAAATATGATTTAATCAAATATTTTTAACACTTTTCTCATTACTTTTCTTTTAGTAGTATCAATTGCTTTAAAATTAGTAAATTTATATCACTGAAATTTATTTTTAGTTATTGTGTCTATGGTAAAAAACTAAAAAAATAGTATAAGAAAGTAGTATTTTAAAAACTGAGGTAAAAACATGTGACTACATCAAATCTTCTAATTCTAAAATGATGCGAAAACATGTGACTGGATCAAATTAGCACGATTTCGAAACACGTGATTCGATCAAATCTCTTAACATCATTTCTCATGATTTATAGTAAGTACTACCGTTTGCTTGAGCTGATAATAACTAATGTGTCACTCATAAGGGTGGTTCATATATAAGCGACGTATAAATTTACAAGTACAATCAAAATTCTTTTCCACATACGTAGGAAACAAGACAATGATCGTTTTCCAAGTGGAACTCTATGAATATTGGTTTTAATTATTTTGTGCTTATAAGGTGATTTTATGTGCATATTGTAAAAACAAAATAACACTAAGATCAATTGTTTCTGTAATATAATTCATATCGAGGAGAAGACAAAAGAGATATAGCTGTCACAAACACGAGACTCTTTTACAAAATTTAATGTATTTTTACACAAATAAATAGATAATATGGAATACGGAAAAATAGTTTACTTGGCTTGCTAAATGATCATTTCTTGGCCGAAAACTTTTAGAAGTGAACGATGACAAGGTAACTCTTTGTAGCCATTAGAATTCAGATGTAGATAGTGACCCTTTAAACATATATATAGTCTCATTTATAATGCAACTCATAATATGATCCCACATAATGTTAACTTCCGATCGATATTTAGCATCACGGTCGTCGAAAACGCATATTATCTACGGTGTATATAATGCAATCTTTGTTGTACGTATTGCCTAATTGTCCCTGAAATATATTCCGCTTGTTTGTAGATATTTTTATATAATGACATTTGTAGTAACCCTTGTACTAATAATATTTTTAAAAACAAATATTATATTCAAAACAGTTTCTCAATATCATAATTTCTCTCTAATGATTTCACAAATAATATATAGGGGATACTATAATCTAAACATGCGGAGGAATCTTGGTCCTCACGTGCATTTGAGAACTAAACTCCTATCATTCTATTTTAATTCATAAGTATATATCTCATACAATATATATCGAGCCAAACTTATATGGATCCTGGGGTAGACGAGAAATGCAGAAACAGAGTCTAGAGGAGGACGAAGTATAGAGAAAATAGTAGAATGTCTAAATGAACTAAGCTATGGAGAAAAAGGGTTCGATGGAGCAACGGGACTTGTGTGTAGTGTTGTTTTGTTGTGATGATTAATTGGCACACATGTGAATTGGTGGGTACGTTTGTTTGTCCGTCTCCAATATAGACAATCTTCTATATCCTATACCATCGCTAATCTATCCAAACTTCTATACGTACACATGTCTATACGCTTACATATACGCTAATACGCACAACTTCTTATATATACATTAGTACTGTGTGGAGCAAATTGATGTAACGTAAATAGATGCGTTTCTTTAACTTGAGATTGATCCATCAAATCATTCTATATGTAATGGGAAGCAAATTGTTAGGCATCAAACTATATATGATATGTGCTTTGAAAGACGTGACTTTACATTGGTGTTTGTTCAAAAATGGGATCTCTAATTCTCTATTTGCATACATGCACATTAAAAAAAAAATCACCAAAAAAAAGATGCACATATACGTGGTGTATACGGCATGCACATACATATATACGTAGAGAGAGAGAGTCAGAGAGAGAGAGAGGACAAGCAGAGATGAGGAATAGGTGAAGAGAGAGGAGGAAATACGTGTGGGTGTGTGTTCATAAAGATCCCCGTGAGGAGTGTTTGGAGGCATTCCAAAATCACAACTAACATTCTTTTGTTTGCTTTTATCCTCTCCTTCACTTCTTTCGATGCTCCCAAATTTTTATTTTTATTATTTTAAATTTTGATTCACTATATTAATTCCTCCCCCCATATATCACGAGCTCATCATTCCCTTTCTCGTCCCATTTTTTTTATCTTTTACTTTCACTCTCTTTCAAATATCTTATTAACATTATTCAAGTATTGCATAGAAATATATGACCTAGTCAACCCAAGTTCAAATGATTTTTTTCCTCTTGTTGCAATGAATCAATGATCATAACGAATTGGAACTAAATGGTACTTGCATCTCTATATTGGATAGAAATTTCATCAGAAAGATATGGTGATATCTTTTTGCTAGTTATAATTCATTTTAGATATATTTAGTAAAGGAGCTAATCTATATTTTTAAAAATATTTTAGGTGTACATAGATACCAAATAAAGTCAATTTTTTCTATCATTACTTATGCACGGATTTGAAGAGTATCTGTTTATCATGTCGATAAGTATAGAAGTGGAGTTTTGTAATTACATATCTCTTTTCCAAAAAATTCAAAGCTGGCTATAGTTGTTATCAATTATCGTGATTTTGCTTGGAGGCGTTAGAATAGTGTGGAGACAAAGAGGAAGATAAACCACATTAATAAGTTAAAGAATAAAATATGGTAGAAAGGTAACGTATTTTTGAAGTTGTTCAAAAAAAAAAAAAGGTAACGTATTTTCGTTTTGTTTTCGGTATAATAAGGTAACGTATTTTCATCACAGCGAGAGTTTACCGTCAACACAATATAACATAGGGCTTAATTTACAATATTCAAGTTGGTAGATAAGTGTATAGACGCGTACATATTTATATGAATATATATTGTTATTCAAATTAGGTCCCCGCGTATACGCGGGTTTATTATAATTTTTTTGAAATAAATCCTGGAAAATTATTAAACATAATATAATCATTTTTAAAAGTAAGTAGAATAATAATAAAAACCCGATAACAAATCACTAAATAAAATAAGATTAGTAATCTTTTTACATTTTTATTATAATTGACATTTGTTTTGTTTACAATATTCAAGTTGGTAGATAAGTGTATAGACGCGTACATATTTATATGAATATATATTGCAAATTATTCAAATTAGGTCCTGCGTATACGTGGATTTATTATAAATTTTTTGAAATAAATCCTGGAAAATTATTAAACATAATATAATCATTTTTAAAAGTAAATAGAATAATAATAAAAACCCGATAACAAATCACTAAATAAAATAAGATTAGTAATCTTTTTATATTTTTATTATAATTGACATTTGTTTTGAATTCATGATACGAAAAATGAATTAATTTGTGTTATCTTATTTTTATCAATATAGAAATACTTACATGTGTTTAAATCTGATGGACTAATTAATACGTGAAACTTTGATTATTCCATCGAAGAGATTTCAGTTGATGAAATCAATTTTTTAATATTTTTTGACCTAACAAAAGTTTGAAAATAAACTATTTAAAATTAGAATATCGGACCAAAATAAAATTTCTTTTTAATATTAGTTAGCTGTTGATAATTATTTTGTTAGCTTTCTATTTATATTCTTTCTTTTATAATATTTATTTTGCCTCGGACCATTATAAATTTTTCTTTTCATTATTAGTTAGTTGTTTTACAATTTTTCGTTTTGTTATTAATTTTTTCTAATTTTCTTGTATTAACACATGTTATAATCTGATCAAATATTATACATGGTGCGGCAGTAGTTTTGATTTTGATCCAACTGATCTAAAATTAAATATTCTTCATTGATATCTAGAACTTTTAAAGACATGATTTTTCATTTCTTAATAAGAAAGAAAATTTAAACAACACAATTAAATCATGAAGGGTGTAACTTATTATATATTGTTTTTTTTCCTTCTTGTATTGGGAATATGTTTTTTCCGTTTCTTAATGGATGTAACAATTTATTGTAAATTATATATTTTCTTACTAACTTTTTCATCAAGTAGTAGAAGCTCAACTCCCATAAGAATATTATTTTCTTTTGGATTTCTAACTTTCCACTTTCGAATAACACGTACTATATTACGGCGATAATTTCGATTTCGATCCAATTGAGCTAGAGTCAAATAATCTTCACTATTTTCTTGAACATTCAAAGACATGATTTTTAAATTAGAGAAAGAGAATCAGAGAAATTTGATGAATTTGCTTTAATGAGTTTGTAAATGAGAAAAAAGAGACTACTGTAACTTTGTATTTATAGGTGTTCATATAACATATTCCTTGCAGATATAGGAATTTTAGTTTACGTACCTATTCCATGTAGTAATAGGATTTGATTTATTACATTATTTTCAATCTTATTTTATAATAAGATATGTGTTTGGATAATATTAATTTGATGAATGGAAAACCTTTTTCTGTTAGGATATGACAAATATTAATTTTTCTTAAAAAAATAAAATAAAATAGATTAAATTTCGTTTTTTTTTAATTAAATTTTGTTTTTTAATTATCCTTATTTCTAGTATTTTTTTTTAAAACAAATTCTTTTTTCCCCTAAAACACGTGTCACGATCTTAACGGACATAATCTTTAAAAGTGACACATGTCGCGATCCTATATTTTATAAAAATCCTACGTGTCGCAACCACGTCGCGCGCATCCAGCTTTATTATATAAGATACGATATGTATTTATATAAGAAAACAAAATAAAAATTGGGTCGAATATTTAATAGAATATCGTATATTGAGACATAGAGGCAAGCAAGTAATTCACGAGATACAAATCGGAGTTGTCCGTATATTATATTTTGTAGCGATCAAGAGAGACTAAGGCAGACATGTGAGAGAGGAGAGGATCCTATACACAATTTAATCTAAGATCTCTGCTTCCTCCTTCTCATATATATATTTCATATGTACACATAGTTCCTCCATATAGATGAGAGTAGAAATCGATAGAGAATACGGAGGAAGGGGTTAATAAAAAGCCAAGAAGAAGAATGGTTTCGAGGGAACAGAAGAGAGGTTCTTTGAAAGAAAAGTTTCAATTGCTTCGTTCAATCACCAATTCTCATGCTGTAACTATTGCATCTCCCTCTCTTAGTTTCTTCTTTTATTGTGTCTGATGAAGATAAAACGCAATCATATTCAATATGCATACGTATATAAATCCCGTTATGAACACGTACATGCACACACACGCACTCAATCTTAGTCGATCTATATATTAGCTTGTTCTTTTTTGTTCCTTCATTCACTTCAATCACAATTTGTTTCCGTTTGGATCATCATTTTGCATCACTTGGGTATTTGAATCCATTTTCTATATATGTTCGTTTTGCTCATCTTTTTTTTTTTGGCAAATCACTTGATTCTCTTTAAAGCAGAGAAGAACAGATTATTGAAAACAAAATATATGAGCTAATTAATCATGATCGCTAAATATATTTGGATGATGTATATATATACTAATATGTGTCCGTGGTACACGTGTTTTTTATGACAGGAAAACGAAACATCGATCATCATGGATGCATCGAAATATATCCAAAAGCTTAAGCAGAAAGTCGAAAGATTCAATGAAGACACTACCGCAGAGCAATCTTCAAGCGAGCCCACCGATCCCACCACACCAATGGTATAAACAATTAATTAAAAACAAAAAGTTAAAAACTTATACAATTGGATCCATTGTAAATATAAATACGTATTTTAATGTGAGAGATTCACTAAGAGGTTATATGATTGGGAAATTTATTTATAGGTAACAGTGGAAACCCTAGAAAAGGGTTTTATGATAAACGTATTCTCTGGGAAAAATCAGCCAGGCATGCTTGTTTCGGTGTTAGAAGCCTTTGAGGATATTGGGCTTAACGTTCTTGAAGCTAGGGTTTCATGTACCGACTCATTTAGCTTGCATGCCACGGGAGTCGAGGTATCTGTTTATATTGAACATATCGTACTTAAAATTATTATAGTTCATACATATGTGTGTGTTTTGGACTGTCTATATATGAAGTTCTTGATACATCAGAGCTAAATTGGCGATGCTGTCATCATATGTTTTTACGAAATCTTTTGTGGTTTTTCACTACTTACTTTATCATAAATATTGAAATTATCCATGTGCTTTTGCTGGTGAAAATAAGAAAATCATAGTTGATTATAAAACAAAGAGCCGCGATCTCAACAAACAGGCACACGGATACAAAATACAAATCTATGACTATATGTGTGTGTTGGCATTGGCATATATAAAGTTATAATGATTACGTCACTTTTATTAACAATAATAAGAAAATGCAGAATGAAGATGGAGAAAGTATGGATGCTGAAGCAGTGAAACAGGCAGTGACAGATGCAATCAGGAGCTGGGGTGAAAGCAATGATCCACAGAGCTAGATTGACCCTTTATATTTCTTTCATTTTCTTTATTTATTTCTTATTATACAGAAATATAATAACAAAAAGTTCTATAGTAATTCTGCTTTCGTCTTTTCTTTTCTTTTCTCTGTCCATCTTTGTAGCCCAGAATTTACCCTAAAAGGGATAATGAAGAAAATCAATTGTATTTTACTACATATTTTCACATAAGCAAGTAAAAACACTTATCCAAAGTAACACCTAATTGAGATACATATCCACGCAGACATTTCAAATTAGAAGATCAGAAGAAAATAACCACTCAGCATTGTTTCTAATAGTACGAAAACTTACTATTATTCCAAGATTCAGATATGATGAGCTTAATTTCTACCAGAGAAGAAGACAAACATTTTTTTGTTCACGTGAGCAAAATAACTCCAGAAAACCTGGAAAGTAAAACGTACAAATACATCCATCCTACACGTTTCCTCACACGATTACATTAGCATAAAATAATTAACATGACACAACACTTTTTTCAGGGGAGCTTTTAGTCACCAAAAAAAAAACACATTTGTTAAGGGAAAAAATTAGGGTTTAGCGCTGCTCAATCTAGATAACCGAACCAAACTACGAAACTGGTTCGAAGTGGTTAAAGGATTCATCCGGTTAGTTGATAGATAAATGTTCAAAGTTTCTGGCTACAATTTCTTTCAATCATAGTGGATCACACAGATCACTATTAACACAGTAAATGACAAAAAAAAGTTCAATTTTTTCACAAGTACCCGGGATTAATTTAGATCCAGTCTATGATTTCTGGTTAACAAGAAATAACTGATTTGAAACCAAATTAATTGCAATATTTTTTAAATATAATATGAACAGCTGATAATAGTTGATCAAGCATAATGATTAGTTCAGTAATCGTTGAAGCTGATCGAGGTTGTCTAAGTGGATAATGATCAACCGAACGAAGCAACTAATGTTTTACGTTAGATTTCTAACGCCATGGACCGTAGTATTATCAAATAATAAACAGGCATAAAAATGAATATTTTAATGTGAGATTTTTAAGGTTTTGGAAACACGATGGAAGTCCAATCCCATAGAAATGATCAAACGGATTTGTGGTTAAACAATGTGAAACATCATAAGCTACAGTTGTTCTTTTAGTCACAGTAATCACAACAGAGACTATTCCGACAACATCTATTACAGTATCTTTAATTTGACCCATCTGAGTATATAGAAGCCTTCATGATCTCCACGGCAAGATATGGGTTATTAACGACGAATAGCTTGAACTTCTCAGAGCTAGCAATCGTACTTATATTCGTTATGATAAAACTGAAGGCTACATCGTTGATGACTGTGTCAAAAGGGATTTGGGCGAGCTCAAGGAAATCAAGAGCATTTTCTGAATTTAGAGAAGATATAAGCTCGGTTCTGCATAGATCCCGTAGATGCAGAATCACGTATTTGTCAGCTGCAAGATACAGAACGTGCTGCTTCATTTTCGCACAAAGCACAGAGCCATCACTGTATATAAACTCAACCAAAGCTTCTAACTCTTCTTTTTTCATCTCTCGGAGAGTGACTGTCTCCACCTTCTCAGACGAAATCTTTACCTCATCTGATTCCAGCATCTTCTTAAAAACCTCTGATCTTGATGCCTAAACACAATTCCAAACTCATAACTAAACACTATAATTTATAGAGAGTTGTTTCCTAAATCAGATGATGACAGAAAAGAGAGAAGAAATAAGAAGAAAGAGACCAGGATAACTTTGTGGGCAGATATAGCTGAGCCCTCATCACTGTCCCCTGCCTTGAGCCGTACGTCAACTTGCCATTGTTCTTCCAAGACCTTTGCCAAGTCCACCCGAGAAATTCTCCTTGTTGGATTGAGTTGTCATAGTTATAACCAATTAACCGTACATGAATTTGTTCCAGTAAACCATCGTGGGTTATATAGATAGCCACAAGGCAACGGTCCAAATGACTTTCCTTTTCTTATAACTTTTTCTCTTACTTCCATTTTCCAAGATTTTGGAAATGGTGGAGATCAATTAATACACTGAAAATTCCGGACTCTAAAAATGTATTCAATGCATTCCTCTCTTGGGACATTTATAGAAACCAAACCATGTTATATAGTATTAACCAGTTAGCGTGTCGTTTTGGAGATAAACCGACCCGAACTAAGAAACTGATTCGAAGTGGTTAAAGGATTCATCCTATTAGTTGATAGAAAAATGTTCAAAGTTTTTGGCTCCTATAAACACAGTAAATGACCAAAAATTTCCATTTTTCACAAGTACCAGGGATTAATCTAGATCAAAGGATTCATCCTATTAGTTGATAGAAAAATGTTCAAAGTTTTTGGCTCCTATAAACCAGTAAATGACCAAAAATTTCCATTTTTCACAAGTACCAGGGATTAATCTAGATCATATCCAGTCTGTGATATCTAGGTTAACAAAACTAATTTATTTGAAACCATGCAAATTGATAGCAACTCGTTTGCTTCTCTCTCTCTCTCAAAAAAAAAAAAAAAAAGCTGATAATAGCCGAGCAAGCATAATGATTAGTCCACAAATCGATTGAACATGATTGTGATTGAAGTTGATAATGATCAACGGAACTAAGCAACTAAGAGCATAGGCATTGCACAGTTTTACATGGGTTCTTCTCAAAAAGAAAAAGAAAAAGAAAATAATTAATGATGTGGCTCGCTGACGTGTACAGCTCTAGGGAAGAAGGTCTCTGCGGGAGCAGCTTGTGAAATCGGTTCTCTGACACAAGCTCTACACGTGTCGCGACGCGATTGGATAGCTTTTGTTTTTTTTTTTGTTTTTTAAAAATCGTGATTATTTTTCCATTTTTTTCTTTTATTTTTAAAGAACATCAGTGAAGTTGTGCGATGCCTATACTCTAATAGCCTAATATTTTACTATAGAAAAAATATAACTTTGAAAGAGTTTCTAGCCGGAACAGTATGCATTAATCATTTGGAATCATAGAAGCCTTGATAAATCACAAAAGAAAAAAAAAAAAAAAAAAAAATTTGAACCCATTAGACTAAGAAATATCATTCTTAAAAGAAGAACTAAGGATGTCAAGAGAACATTCGACATGTTAAGAATTAGTCTATAAATTCGTTTTTGCATTCGTCCCACAGTATTCACTCGGTTTTGAGTTGGAAGCCTATATAACTTAACAGGTACACTCAAGTCAAAAGAGTGAACTCATACCACTCCGCTAAACGCTTTCTACTTCACAAGAACCGGAAAGATGGGCAACATACTCGTTTCATAATTTGCTTGACAAAAATCTATTTTCTAAATATATCTCTTTTTGATTTTTTTTTTCGTAAATAGGAAAGAGATATTATCAAATAATAAGCCGACATAAAAAATATATATTTAGTGTGGGAATTTTAAGGTTTTGGAAACACGATGGAAGTCAAACATAAAAAAAATGATAAATCGATTTGTGGTTAAATAAAATGAACATCATAAGCGATCGCCACAGTAAAAACAACTGAGACTAGTCGTACGACATCTCTTACAGTATCTTTGATCCATCGGAGGACTCGCCAGAGAAGCCTTCATAATCTCCACGGCAAGATCTGGGTTACCTTTTACGAACACCTTGAACTTCTCAGAGCTAGCAATCGTACTTATATTCGTTTTGATTACACCGAAGGCAGCATCGTTGAGGATTTTGTCATCAGGGATTTGGGCGAGCTCAAGGAAATCAAGAGCATTCTCTGGACTCAGAGTGGATAGAAGCTCGCTTCTGCATAGGTCTAGTAGATGCAGAATCACGTATTTGTCAGCTGCAAGATAAAGTGACCCAACGTGTTGCTTCATTTTCGCAGAAAGCAAAGAGCCATCACTGTATATAAACTCAACAAAAGCCTCTAACTCTCCTTGTTTCATCTCCGAGAGAGTGACTGTCTCCACCTTCTCAGCCGAGATCTTTACCTCGTCTGATTCCAGTATCTTCTTAAAAACCTCAGATCTTGATGCCTAAATCACAATCCCAAACAAATAACTAAACATTATAATTTATATAGGAGACTCCTATATAATATGATGATGAATAAGAGAGAAGAGATAAGTAAGAAAGAAGAGACCAATATAACTTTGTGGACAGAGATAGCTGAGCCCTCGTCACTGTCCCCTCCTGCCTTGAGCCGTACGTCAACTTGCCATTGTTCTTCCAAGATCTTTGCAAGTCCACCCGAGAATTGCTCCTTGTTGGGTTGAGCGGCCATAGCTTTTTTTAGGAAAAACCCTGCCATAGCTATAAGGACTAACGATGCACGAAATTTGATCCAGTAGTAAACCATCGTGGGTGATATAGAGAAGGATCTGGAAAGATTTCGAAGATCCACATTTATATTTTATAGAAATATTTACATATATTTGTATCTATCTACTTAACGGTATTTTGGTGGTTTTGATTTCTAGCTGTAGTTAATGTGCCTATGAAAAGATGGGCCATCTAGGCAGAAGGTTCGCTGAGTAACAAGCCCAGACGTTGGGCTTTATGGGCTTCAGAACTCTTCGTCAACTCGGTTAGGCTTTTTTGTCATCAGCATAATATGCATAGTCGGCTTTCCTTGCTGTTTCGCTTTACTGATTTACAGTGTTCTCCCATCATTTCTCCTGGTTGGAAATGAGAATGCCTAGCTTTTTCATATCATATATTTTTCTTTAGTGTTGGACTTATAACATTTCGTAATGTTAACCTAAAAAAATTTCTCGAAAGAAATTATAGTGTTGCTAATGCTATGTGATGAGATAACCAATTTGCATCTACCATCATTGCCCTGACTGAAATCACTCTATACTCTAATAATGTATGATTTTGTATTTTCCCATAGACCACCCTAAAATGGGTTCAAATTGTTTAACTAGTGGGGTATATGAAGAAACATATTATCGAGAAGCAAAGAGTTTTACTCCAAAGAGATTGATAGATTTAAGCTGCAAGAAAATGAGGTAACATCTAGTAGCAACCTAGAATAAGTAAAATTACTATTTCTCACCTTTAAAAAGACAGAGTGGTCCACAAGCAAAGTTTCGTTAAATGCTCTGTTTCGTTGGCCCATTAGTACACACACAAACACATATCCACCTTTGTGTATATGGTTGTAGATGGACATGAAATAACAAAAGCAGAGCCATAATAATACAAAGGTTAGGTAACATTTGAATGGTGGAACCAGCAAGGTATTGTCGAGTCGATTAATCTGTAGGAAACATTATCTTTAACAGTCAATAGTATGTACCACTTCAGCACTGACTGTGTTGTAGTCAATTGAAGTAAAAAAGAGTACATATTATCAAGTGAGAAAGAATATTTTCCTATTAGTGGCTATATTTTTGACCCTTAATTTCTCTCAATGTCCTTCTCATAGATATATCCAATAGCTTTAAAGCTACGTTACCTCAGTCTCATGTTTCAACTCTCATGCAAGTTGCAATGTGAAGCCAATAAGCCTGTCAATTTAACATTTAATCTTATCTTTAATCGATCGTACACTTCGTTTCTCATCATTTACTCGCTGTTGTACTGTTAATTTGCTCTATTATCATAACTCTCAATACTTGTTTCTTGGCGTCGCATAAGATTTGCGGAATACGTCATTAAAAGATTTAGTATTGCTTGATTATGAAGTTCTTACGAACTTTAACTACGTATATCTCACACTTTTTTGCTAAGTATGGATTGAATTAAATCAATGTCCATTTCAACATATAGCTAGTTCGTGATTCACAAGTTTGAAAACCTAAATAAATACAACGATACCACATGAGGAAAAGAAAGAAAAGTAAAGTTACCGCATCGAAGAAAAACGTGGTTTCATGATTTGGATTTGGGACCAAATTATGTCATTGTATAGAGGCAGTCTTTTACGGGAAAGTCAAATTTCAAAAATGGCTGGATCAATATTTGTTTGCATTCCTTCTTTGGCTATGTTTGTTACGTGTTGTTCTCAGCATCTCACGCTCTTGTATTATTCGAGCTCATCAAATATCCACTCCATATTATCTGAGTTCATCAAATACCTAAATTGTTTTTGTCATTTTGCAAACAAATTTTGGGACTTTTCGTTTTTGTTTTTGCGATGGATCCAATGCAAAGATATTTATCCCGTTTCATGAAAATTGTCATTTTAATATTTCTACCGACTATAGCATTATTTGAATATATTGATATACCCATCTTGAATAACATACTAATTTAACCATCAAATTTTAAGCTCAGTTTTTATTAGATTTAAGTCAATCAACTATATCACAATATAATTATTTGTGTTTAATGAAGTCAATATGATTATGAAGTTCTTATCGGCGATAAGTGACGATAAACCTCTGGTTTATCTTATATCGGGAGGGAACCGTAGCAATACGGTAAAATCAGTGTAAAAAATCGGTCAACCGTGGTTGACCGGTTTAACCGCAAAATTCCGATAAACGTCCGATAAATTGTAAAATCATTTTGGGCCAGATTTTTTGAATTTGATATTGAGGCCCATATATTTAAAAATTGAACCCACATTATCTATTACCATATTTTATATATTTTTATATGTTTTAATATGATCAAGATAATATTTTTTTGTAATATTTGTGGGTGAAACTATTATTTTTTTTGTATTAGAAATGTTTGTAAATTGAGAAAAATCAAAAAATTTAAGAATTTTATATTATCTTTTGTATTATTAATGTTTTATATAATTATAATATTTAAAATATATTAAAATAAACCTAAAATTTCACCCGATTAATCCCCGAATTATTAGCGGTTTTTTTAAAAACCTCTTATCGCTACTTGACCGAACGGTAAGCGAGAAGCGAAGATTTTGAACATAGAGTAAATGTAAACAATATCAAGGTGTTATGCATTAATTGAGAATGCCTCATCAAGTTACATGCATGTTGTAAAGACAAAAGGCCATCAAGGCTTAAATCTTAAGGTGGGGGCAAGGATATCAAAAGAGTTTTGGACCACCGTTTTTCATCTCTACCGCTCCACTGGATGCATCAAACGCCTCTTTGGACCACAATCGCTTTTGATTTTCACTGCAAGTTCTGTTGTTAATCTTACAAACAGAATGGAATGTCTCATAAATTTTACTTCCGATCCAAGATATTTGATTTCTCATGAACTGAAAGTCGGCAAGTAAAAAAGGTCATACGTAGTCGTCTTGTAATGCGACTATATCCCTTTTTATCTGTAATTCGAACAAATCCAACCCAACTGTGCATATATCCTTAATTTCCATGTGCGTCTTAGATAGTGCACGTGCAGTATTTCTGATGAGGCTGAAGAGAACTTAAGAACCTCGGAACATGTAGATTCTAAAATGTGGAATCTTGCTGTATTCCACCAATTTAGCCTATCTAATTTAGTGAGGAAAAACAATCCCTCCTAGTCGTCCTACCTTTTCCATTCAGTTAAATCCTAATAAATTATACGTTAATTTTTTTTTTTCCAAAAATAGTAATTTGCTAAAGAGCTAGTATGAAAAAAATAAACAAATTGAAGAGGATGAAACGATGATAAACTAAACGAATAGGAATGAGAAATAGGAGTGAGATTTAACTCTCAGATAAATATTTTTTTTTTAGAAAACGTGGAAAACTAAATTTCTATATATATACATTTTCTTCGGTGGAAATGTTTATGATATATTTTCTACAACTTCTTATAAGTCTCTTCCATTGTGTATTTTTAGCAGTGTCGGTCAAAACATACTTAATCAATATGCTAAATACTGAATACACTAAGCACCGAAAGAACATACAGCAAATAGGTAGTGCCGTAGTGAATTCTTCTGTGCCAGGATGGCATAGGTTTATTGAGTGATCTTTATCAATGGAAGTATGCAACAAAAAATGTCATCATCTCGCTACCTGTTGCTGACCAGAAATTTTCGGCTCAATATATATACGACTTTTTCTGTATTTTCTTCCATATTTAAGTTATAACAAAATGGACCAATTAAAAATTGTGTATACAATCCAAAGGGTTTATAATGATGATGGTGATGGTGGTGGTTACATGACCAAGATGAATGGTGATGATGATGACGACATTAATGAAAAGGAAACAAAAAATCTAGCGGTGGCATTATATAAGTCACATACTTGATCTTGTGGAGAGTAAGACAAAGCTTAGAGCTAAGCTAATCTTAACTTAAGACCTCCCATAAGAAAAGAGAAACCATGCAACCTTAAACTATTTCCCTTTAGTCTCTCTTAACAGACCTGACCTCTCATAACTTTGTCAGTTCTCACAACATTACCACACACACACACAAACATCAAATAGTTTTAAGTATTTAATATTAAAAAAAAAAAGATAATGGAGGCTGCAAATGTTTACACACAAGATGGCACCGTCGACCTCCAAGGCCGCCCTGTCCTCGCGTCCAGGACCGGCCGTTGGAAAGCTTGCTCTTTCCTTCTCGGTAATTTGTAATATTAAATCACTATTTGCATCTAATTTATATCAATGGAAAAACCAGTTCACGGATTTAAAAACATATATTGCTTTAAATACCCCATACATATTTCACAATCCCTATATGTTGTATTGTGTGTGTGTGTGTGTGTGTGTGAGAAGGGTATGAAGCGTTTGAGAGGATGGCGTTTTATGGAATAGCGTCGAACTTAGTGAATTATTTGACCACAAGACTTCACGAAGACACGATCTCTTCCGTTAGAAATGTGAATAATTGGTCCGGTGCCGTTTGGATCACTCCGATCGCCGGAGCTTACATCGCCGACTCATATATGGGCCGCTTCTGGACTTTTACTGCCTCCTCTCTCATCTACGTCCTGGTATTTCTACAATCTTTTCATATGTTTTTTTTTAATTACTTGAGGGATAAAATGCGAATTAAATTAACTAAACTAAATGACAACGATTTTACAACCTGAAAAAAGAAAATCGCATTCACAAAACCAACAAAACCAAAAATCTACAGTTTCAAAATTGAAAAAAAACTACAGTTTATATCCCTTTGTTTGGCCTATCGTAAATTGGTAATATTAGAATTTTAATTCTCCATACGACCATAGTGGTAGTGGTGACTGGAGTGTTCTTGAATTTTTTTTTTATATACTTACCAATTTTGTAGGTTTATTTTCTCTATATAAGGCCATAAGGGGGGATGTTTCTGATTTTCCTACCAGTTTTATTTTCGTAATTTTTTTATATTTTTTTTGGCTTGTCATGAACTCATGATATAGGAATAGAGATGTGTGTTTTTGTCGCGTTTTGGACGTACGATCAGATATGGTCCGTGAACATTTATCCAAGAAGATACTACCACAAAAATTATTATTCGAATTTTTTGTTCGAGTGGTTATATAATAATTGAGGGGTGTGTGTGGTTTCTGTTAAAGTGGACATATATAATATATTATATATATAGAGAAGTATCAGAATTTTCCATGTATACAAGAAAAACATACTTTAAAGAAAGGACTATATGTAAATCTATTAGACTTTTTGCATGCATATTTTTTTTAATATACATCTTAAAAATGCATAATACTGTATGTATTATCATAAAATTTTGTATATATACGTTTCTCTGATCTAAATGCTAGAAGACGTGTCGGTATTTAAGCCGCCAGTTAACGAAAGCTAACTCCATTTGATTTTATTTTTGAGATTTGGTATGTTGATCGTCGAGAGGTTGTTACGTGTCATACATTGTTTGCCACACATATTCATGAGGACCCACGATTTCCACTTTCCTTCAATTTTAGTGGTTTAGCATTAAACAAAAGTACAAAACATATCTTATCAATATCTATAGAAAATAAAAATAAAACTTATCAAATCCAATCAAGAAATGACTTTTGTTAGATCGCATTTCCTTATGACACAAAATGAAAACTCAATAAACTAGTCAAAAGTTTATCCAAATGATGAACGTTTGATTCTTTTTCACTGAGAGTCTGAGAAAATGACTCATGAAATGCCTTATAACTTGAACTGCACGTACGTACTTGCTTATATAATATATTTTATACAATTAAACACAAAACTAATTCTTATATATACATATACAGTTCACAAGGAAACTTATAAATTTATAACACGTAAAAAGTAATAGCCGAATTCTGTAGTTTTTATTGGTATCGACCAAGATCTATATTTCTTGAAAACAAAATGATGTTTTTGTTTGCAGGGGATGATTCTCTTAACAATGGCGGTAACGGTAAAATCTCTGAGACCGACATGCGTAAAAGGGGTATGCAACAAGGCATCCTCCTTACAAATAACGTTTTTCTACATAGCCCTCTATACCATAGCCATTGGAGCCGGAGGAACCAAACCTAACATTTCCACATTTGGAGCGGACCAATTCGACAACTATGACCTTAGAGAGAAAAAACAAAAGGTTTCATTCTTCAATTGGTGGATGTTCAGCTCCTTCTTGGGCGCGTTATTCGCAACATTAGGACTCGTTTACATCCAAGAGAATCTTGGGTGGGGTTTAGGTTATGGCATTCCTACCGTAGGGCTTTTGGTTTCTCTCATTGTGTTCTATATCGGGACACCATTCTACAGGCATAGAGCCGTAAAACCAGATAATTTGGCGAAAGATTTGGTTCAAGTTCCTATCACGGCATTCAAAAACCGAAAGCTTCACTGTCCTGATGACCTTTTGGAGCTCCATGAGCTTGACTCCCATTACTATAAAAGCACTGGTAAACATCAAGTTCATCACACTCCTACCTTCAGGTCAGTTTTGTATATACCATTTCATCAATAAAAAAATATAATTTATTACATATAACAAAAAACAAAACTACCAAAATTATGCATTTGTCTCTGGTGGGTTATAACGTGGAATATAAACAATGTTGATATTCGTTTTCTAATATACAAAATTATCTAATGTAGTGTACTTGTTCTATATGATATTTTAATTATTGGATGGTCCCTAATTCCCACTTTCTCCACTTTAATGTGTCCTCCAATATCGTCCCACTACAGTTTCATGCCAGAATCAGTCACCTTGAAAAAATAAAACTTAAGATATCCAAAAACTATTGATACATTATATGTCCATAGCCTTTCTTGAGGCATATATCTTTTTATATAAAAACTTATATTGATACGATTTTTCTTTTCTTTTCTTGTTCGCATATATCTATATATGTAGTATTAAACATATTCCTTCATGGAGGCACTATTTTATTACTAAACCAAGTCTATTACATGTCTTCCACATCTAAAATGTGCACCTTTTGGACCAACGCTAATTTATTAGCATCTCCTGATTAGAAAAACATTTGACAAGACAAGACAAGACACAAAGTCATTTTGAATGAAAGAAATGGATAATATTTTTTATGGGTATTGCTTTTACAGGTTCTTGGATAAAGCGGCCATTAAGACATATACAAGAGATTTACCTTGTACGGTGACGAAAGTGGAAGTAGCAAAGCGTGTGCTAGGGCTTACATTAATATGGCTTGTCACTTTAATTCCAAGCACCTTATGGGCACAAGTCAATACTCTCTTCGTCAAACAAGGGACCACGTTGGACCGAAAACTCGGATCCAGCTTCCAAATCCCTGCGGCTTCACTGGGAACCTTTGTTACGCTCTCGATGCTTCTCTCTGTGCCAATTTATGACCAATACTTTGTTCCCTTCATGCGCAAGAAAACCGGAAACCCTAGAGGGATCACTATACTCCAAAGGCTTGGGATAGGGTTTGTGATCCAAATTGTTGCAATCGCGGTTGCTTCGGCTGTGGAGGTCAAGAGGATGCGCGTAATAAGGGAATTTCACATAACTAGCCCGAAACAAGTTGTGCCTATGAGCATTTTCTGGCTGCTCCCTCAGTACTCTCTTCTAGGAATTGGGGATGTGTTCAATGCGATTGGTTTGCTTGAGTTTTTCTATGATCAGGCACCTGAGGAGATGCAGAGCCTTGGAACGACGTTTTTCACTAGTGGGATTGGTCTTGGGAACTTCTTGAACAGCTTCTTGGTGACAATGATTGATAAGATCACGAGTCAGGGTGGACGGAAGAGTTGGATCGGGAATAATCTGAATGATTCTAGGCTTGATTACTATTATGGGTTCCTAGTGGTGCTTTCTATCATGAACATGGGATTGTTCTTGTGGGCAGCGAGCAAGTATGTTTACAAGAGTGATGATACCAAAGAGTTTAGTGGAGGCTGTGTTCAAATGGAGGCCAAAGCCTTAGACACATCTCCTCTTAATATCTAACTGTAACATTGAGAGATGTGTATATATATAAGATTTTCTAGAACATGTTTAAGTTGTGATAATCTAATTAACATGATGAATAAACCTTTAGTGTTCAATTTAATCAAACATTTAAAACTTGTTGCTCAAGTTTAATGGTTTTGTTCTAATTGTTGTAACACAGAAATCGACTCTCATTGATCGCATACAGGCACTTGAACATTGAAGAATTCATATGTTCCTGGTTTTAAAAAGCTGGTTGCATAATTACCTAAAAACGGGTTAATTTGGAAACTAACGATTCCCTGCCTTTAAATTCGACCAACGATATAATAATAAAACTATCTACCAAGTTAATCTTACTTGAATTGTACCAAGTGGAATAGTAGGGATAATAAGTGTCGTCGTATGAAGCAATCGTGACATTGTACCAAACCCAAAACATCACATCCTATAAGGGATTCTCTTTGAAAGCCAGATAAGCCTTGTTAGTCAATTGACAAAAAAAAAAAAAAAAAAAAAAAAAAAAAAAAAAAATCCAAAAAATGGTGGCAGCTTAATTATCTGGCATCATAAGAGTGTGATGCTTTTTAAGCCAAGCAAATTCCCACGGAACATTGTTTGCATGAATCTGGTCAGCCATAAACTGGATTGGATAATTCGGCACGCTATAGTAAACCCATGAATTAATGTGCCGATATACAGCTGACACTTACACCCAACCAATAAACACTATACGTATCCAAAGCCAGCTATCACACAAAATTTTGGCTCAAGTAGTTTTTCTATAGAGTTAAGTAACATTATACAGTATATGTTGCGTGGATTCTAGACTAACGGAAAGAAAAAAAAGGTTTTGGTTAAGTATGCATGACTCATCGACTGAATTAAGGCTCCTGAAATGCAAGTGCATCATAGTTCATCAAGATTTAATATTTTAATCAATGCATTATCGATTATATATACGAGAAAAAATAAGTAATTAAGTCAATCACTTCTAATTTTCTTTGTTTACTGAAACTGGACTTATATTTTGTCTTTATATCTATCTAAGACAATATTTCAACCTAATCAAACTATCGGCTATCAAAAATCTAAATAGCACCTTTTAAAAATAAAGTAAAAAATATATATAAATAGTACTTACCAACTAGACAATATTAATATACATTTGATCGATCAATGACAGGATTGTTAACATCAACCTTCCTTCTTCTTTTTTATTTAGTTTAGTTAATGACCGGATCACAAATTAACGAAATAAATTATATGTATTTGTGTGTGTTTGTGAATGATTCAAATAAATTTTAACCGAAGTAGGAGTTGTTCTCACTTTCAATGTCGCCATATTCTAAGGTTCTTGTGGTTGGTTGAGAGAAAACACAAGAAGATGGAGCAGGAGGAGGGTGAACCGCCGTAGGTTGTGGTGGAGTTGACGGTGTTTGTGGTGGTGGTGGTGCAATCACGGAGACGCCGCCAGAGTTTCGGAATCCGGCAACTTGGGAGTTGGAAGGTACGATCAAAGTGGCGACAGCTTCTCGTTGCTTGTACTTGAGAATCTCAGATCGTACCGCCGTGAGCTCGGCTTGTAAAGCTTGGACTTGTTGTTGTAGAGCTGAGATTGCTCCCATGCATCCGTAAACCGGATCTCTTAGCCTCACGTTTGCTTCATACACAAGGCTATTCGCTGCGTCTGCTCTCTGACTTTCTGGTACTTCCTGGTTAGTTTAAAGGCTTCATCACATTATGTTATAAAATATTTTCTTGAGGCTAGATTGTTGTAAAATATTTTCTTGTTTTGCATGCTAAAATCAAGATAATATTTGTGTAATTTGAAATGATTATTACCATTAGCATCTTGGAGACGTTACTAGCTCCAAAGACTTTGTGGACTGATGCGAACTTATGAGGCTCGTGTGGAGAGAAATAAGGCGAAAAGGGACATTCTTGAGCGCATCTACGGCGCAAAAGCTTGCAAGCCGCACAAGGAGTAATAGTATTGAGTGTTCCGGGAGGACCCAACATTGGTCTTCTAATTCCTGCCATCTGATAAGGCCAAGCATCTGCTTCTCTTTTGATCTTCTTCCCTATCTCTTGAAATGGGTCCCTAAACACAAGAAATCGAGTAAGAGCTTTACTTTTTATTAATAGCATGAATATAGGACTAAAAGGTAGAAATCAACCATATCCACCAATTTGAAGGAATAAAAACTAAATCATTGTAAAGAGGTTCACTATGAGATGTTCACTTTTTACCTTTCTATTGACATTCAGGCATGCTCTCAGGGGATCGAAAGAAAATAGAGAAAAGTAGAAAGAAACAAAAAGAGAAATAGTAAAGTCAAGTTACTCTTAAAGAGGGTGTAAAGGAAGATAACCGAGGAAGGCTTTAAAGGCAAGTATAAGATTTGTGATAACGATGTATAATGTGTATGACTAATTGACTATATTAGTGTCAATATAATATAGATAGATATATAAGCAAATTCTGAGCTGGCTTGTAATAGAAACTTTTTCTTATGGAGATGAAAAGGGATTTGGTAGCTCGAGAAGTATCAACAGTGTCTGTGTCTCTTTTTTAACATGAAAACAACTGAAGATATCTAGTTAATTAGTGAAGACTGAAGAGCTGTATTACTGCTTAAGCACGTGACCCGTGAGGATTTTTTATTTTTATTGTTGACTTTAATTACGAATCTGATCACACATAAATATATTTGAATTCATCGGCCAGGCAACAACAGATGGATTTCGTGCTTAATGCCTACTTTTAATGTTTTTGTTTTCCCATAGCCGCATGTGGGGCTTTTGCTTCACATTTATAGCACACATCTGCTTTATTTTCTTTAGGAATCAAGTTTATGTTTATGTGATTCCAATTTACTGTTAATTATTTGTATAAATCATATACTCCCTCCGTTCCATATTATTTGATGTTATATGGTTTTCATATAGATTAAAAAACAATTAATGCTTAATTATTAGTGTATTACTTTTTAATTTTAAATAACTACTAGCCAATAAAAATCATAGAATTATCTTGAAGTTTGTATTTTTGTTGCATTAATTAACCAAAAGTACATTTAATACTCTAAAACATCAAATAATAAAGAACAAATGAAAAAAGCTAAAACATCAAATAATATAGAATGGAGGGAGTACTATGTATCTATACATTGAAAGCTAACTAGTCTCGAGATTATAATAGTAAAAAGTTGGTGAAGGATTTAGAAAGTATATTGTTAGATGTACTTCTCCAAAATTTGAGTGAACAAGAATGATAAGTTGATGATATTGGCATGTTAGATCCTTGTCAAAATCAAGAAACATCATCCTCTATATATGTATATGGGTTCTTATCATTATTGAATATGGGTACGAATCAACTAATTGTACGTATGCATGTATAACTAAGGTATGCATTGATAATTAATAAGTAGGAGATGGGAGATGCAAAGAATCTTGGTCAAAGAACAAACAAAAACTCAACAAATGCCATTTATAGTTATTAGTAGTAGTATTATTTTATAACACGGAACAGTAATATTTTATTATTATCCAGCTATCAACTTTACACCCCATACACTCTCTCTAGGCCACTGTTAGAAAAATAAGATGGTAAACAAAAAAATTAAAAGCATACCGAATTTCGTCCTTGTTGAGGTTAGAGCCTACTCAAACCTTGAGCCAAGAACAAATAAATGAAATGAATTTCGGATGTGAGCTTGATGCAGAGCGGTGTAACATCAAAATGGGTGGTATCTTCGTAATTATATTATACATTAGAAGAATTAGTATTTAGACTCCAATTTCAATTCAAAATCGAGTAGAAAGAAGAAGATTGCTTATACTCTAAGAAAACTTTGCACTTATAGTATACATTCTTGTTTGACCCGTATTTGTAGCCTAAATCGTCGCCCCGTTGTTCTCTCTTCTTCTTTGTATTTGATATAAAAATCTTATGGTGTTAAAATTATTGGCATTCAGTATTTCGATAGAATTTAAAGGAATTGACGATTCCATTCAATTCATGTGTTATTCGAGTATATGTTTTTTCGATTCTTTTAAATTTCGGTGTTATTCGGTGAAGGATTTGTAGTCATTCTATTCAATTCCTTTAAATTCCGGTGTTATTCAACGTATCAGTTTTTCAATTCCATTAAATTCCGGTGTTATTCGATATCAAGATAAATTTGGTGGTATTGTCATTTGGAAGGAATTTAATAGAATTTGAAGAAAATTATGTAAAGTCTCAATTCTTCCAATTTTTGCAGTCATTTCAATAGAATTGATTGAATTCCCAATAAATACTTTAAAATAAGTCAAAATTCATTACTTTTTAATTCTTTTCAATTCCTTGTAAATCTACGCACCAATACCCCCTAAGAGTTGGCAGGGAATAGTATTATTTAATGACAACTACAAATATTAAAAAATATCTAGAAGTTAAAACTTAAAACTTTCAAAATTCATAATCCGAAAATAAAAAGATAGTTTGGGTTTAAAGAAGTATTTTGGAAATACAACTTTCATTCACAAATCTTATCGAAGCTTCCTCCTCCCAACTTAGAAGTTGACATGGGCTCTACCGCTCTAGCCTTTGGAAGTTCAAACTCTTGTCTTGGGCCGTTATTTAGGAGGAGGTTTAGGTGTATTAAAACATATACTCCTTCTGCGGATTTTAATGGATAGTCCGTCTGAGATCACATTTTTCAAAATCTTAATCATGATGGCATATTTCTTCTTATAACCGTGATAGAATTTTACATGTTCTTCTAAAACATAAACTCTTGTAAGAAATCTTTGCGGTTATAATCGATAAATGATAGTATACGAAAAATATTGTAGTATGGTGAGAAATAACAACAACTCAACTGGCAACCCTACTTCTGCCACCAAATTTGTTTCTTACTAATTTCTCTGCCACGTTTCTGTGCCCCTACAATGAATGATGACATTTAAGACCTCACCAATTAGATCCATCAAAATGTTTACCACGTGTGCACGAGTGGGCAAGGACTTTGACAGCCTTTAAGTCAAGAATTAAATCCTAACTTGATTATTCTTCTCGTCAAAAATTACATCATCACTGTTTTGAAACAGTAAATTCGTTATTTCACAGCCTAACAGTTTTCGTACATTCGAACCTTCTTTACCTTTTTATGGTCAAAGGACAAGTTCTGCCTTAGTGAGCTCGGGAACCTCATCTATTTCTTTAATTACAATACTGCAAGAGGATTTTAAAATTTTTGACACCCAAAAAGGTTGCATATTATAAGGAAAATCTTATTTTTATAAAATGTACTTCGCAGTTACTATCTGCACAAATTTATCGAACATCCATAACCACCACCTGTCTGTTGATGTATATTACCCTGAAAACCTTTCTGGTAATTAACACTCTTTTTCTACTTTTTTTTGTTAAGACTTTTTTCTCCTTTTTCTGTCGAATGACTTTGATTTATAGGGGATGGAATTAAATTAAATTTTTATTTAGCTTCAACGATAGGTTCAATAGAGTCATAGAGATACACGTTGGGTTGTCGTGGTATAGACTGGTTCAGCCATTTGGTTTATTATCATCTGTTTTTCCTGGTTCAGTGGTAAACATTATGGTTTTTACTTTGGTTACCTTTTGGCTTTTTCTTGATTTTTTTCCTCAAATTAAAATTACACGAACAAACGAGACAGATTTAAACAAAAACGAATAAAAAATTGATTAGACTCGTCCATAAATGCTGGCACATGGTCAGTTAATCGCCCACATATTTCGTGTCGTTAAAATGAAGTTGTCCTCGTTGACTAATGAAAATCTAATGTACTAGTATTATTCAGACAAAGGAGAAATTAATGTCTAGTTCATTAATTCAAAAATAAGTTCACAATTGATCAATCGCATTTTAAGCGTACCAAAAAGATTCATTCATTCACGCATAAACCAGAAACAACAAAATTAACAAAATCACAACAACAAACAACCGGAAATATGATCAAAACATGGTTTTTGAGCATTCAACACAATCAAACACTAATATGTGTGTTCAAAGAGGCAAAAACCAAAACATAGAAAAGAAAAAAAGGGATCTTAAAATCAAAGATCCTATGTTTATAACAACATCCAATTAAATGAATCTAAGATCTTTACGACTAGATCCATGGCTAAGAACAGAACACAAAGCTCTCTTCATACTCCCCATTGACGAACTAAACCGTCTTTTATAATTATAACACAACGTCGACGTCGGCGATGACGACCTTCCAATCTCTTCCTCCTCGTCGTCCTTAACGTACGATCTCGAGCAAGAAAGGTAACATTTTCTCGGACGATGCTCTGATTTAGACGGAGGAGATGAGGAAGAGAACGAAGAGGAAGAAGATGATGAAGACGACCAAGAGAACGAAGGACGCGACACGTGATGCTTCCCGTTGAACAGTGACTTCACGAAACGACACTGTTTTGTTCTAGATTTGCTCAGTTGTTTCCCGGAGGAGGAGGAGTAATACGACGGAGGCGGTGTTAACGGCGGAAGACGAATAGATTCGCAGTGTTTTGGTGTGCCTGGCCGTGTCTCCCACAAAAACGGCACAGAAGCTCCGCCGTAGTAATAGATTCTCGACGATGCATTGACCTGAGAACTCTCCTTCACGATTATCTTTGAAGATCTGACTTTCGTGACGTCTTCTGATGATCTCTCTGACATGTTCATTAAATTCTTGCAAGATGTTGTTGAACGTTATCCTCCAGTGAGTTTTTGGTTAGCAGCAAAACTTCTTCTCTGAATATGCGTCGATCGAGTCAGGTTTTATCAGAAGTAAACTAATTAAACTGAAAAAATATTGAAAGAGAAAAGCGAGATCCGAAGACAACGAAGCTTCTGCAGATATGAAGGAGAGACAAAAGCGCATCTATTTTTGGAATAATGATGCTGTGTTAGTGTAGGAGAAGTTTGCGGAAGAATTAAAGGATCTCTATTTGCATGGAGTGTGTAAGCAAGCACATGTCATGTGCTTATTATTTAGACAAATTTTTTTTTTTTTTTTTTGTATTTTCTTTATGATATTTTGGATTCTTGTAGTTGGTAAATTTCACATGGATGAGCAAATGGCAATATATACAAGCTACTCGAAAATAATTGCAGTGGGCAAGATGTGGTTAGATAATAAATGAGTGGGGGCGATTTACTGTTCAATATGTATGCAACTTAAATGTCATTATCATTTTTAATTTATTTTCTCTGTTCAATGTATATCAGTATATGTAAGTAAAAGAACTTCATGATTATTAATAAACCATTTCAGAATATTATAATTTACTAAAACTACATGGCCGCAAATATCACTATTCTCATTCATTATGGTTTCAAAAATATTAGAATTAGCAAGATTTTGGGAAGAAGTATAATAACAGAGGAGTTAGGACATTAATATATTTCTACTATTGATTGAACCTATAATCAAGTGAGCTCCAGCGGTAGCTACATTATCATGCAAGTGTTATTTTACTGAATACAAATTGAAAAACCGTTGTCGCAATTAATTTCGATGAAGATGATATACAAACGTGTAGGATACAAAAGGGGTGGCAAGGTGGATGAGTGTGGACCGTTGGATAAACAGTTGAGCCGTATTAATGAATAGAAGATGCGTTCGTGGTCCATAGTTCTGTACTGAGATTTTGCTTCATTTCGTTAGAGAAAGGAAATGAAGACAAAATTAGTTAGAAAAAAATATACAAGGCGAATCCGGAATCCCCTCTTATTTATTTCATAGATCCACCTATATACGTGCCATGTAATGTATGTATGTACACATTGATTTATCCTAAATTGTTTAGGCCATTAAAGAATAAGAAGAGACAAATGTTTAGGTAGGTATGCATTGTTTATTCGGTTTTCAGATCTTTATAGACGGCTAGGTTATGGAGAACAGTCACTTAGAATGTGTAGGCTATAGGTTATAGAGTATAGACAGTCCAAACGGCTGATCATGTATCTTTAGATGGCCAACACCAAAAATGTTTTAAACCGCTGATTACTTTTGCTGTTTTCGTGCTTGTTGTTTATGTTTAAAACATAGTTTACAGGTCTAAATTCTTATAGTGATGATATAATATGTGCAAAATATCATTTACTTCAAAACTCAATGCATTCAAACTTGAACAAATCATATATTTATACTATATGTAACTCGTTATTCTATAACTTATCGTTGAGTTGGTTTTATTTTTGTTCGGTCCGGATTTGATTTCTCTTGCGACCAATGAGAGTTCGTACGTTGTAAACTAATAAGTAATGAGATCGTTCCGACTAGACTTCAACCATCAATCGTGGTTGTAAACTTTCATAATTATATCGATATTATATATGGACCAGACCAAATTTGATAATGGAAGCAATGCCTATTTACGGAAGTGCATGACTACAGCGACTGAAAAAATAAATCATGACATATAAAAAGATATGGTGGTTCTGATAATCATCAATCATGCGTACCAAAAATCACTATAACAATTATTCTGCTCATTTGCCAGAAGATGTCCCATTTTCTATATTTATATGTGTAATGTCATTCTTCCAACATTATTCACAAATGATAATTACACTAATAAACGAAGAAATACAGGCACTGACATTTAATTTATTTGTTTTCGTTTTACTCAAAATATTAAGACAGGGAAGATATGTTTATTAATTACACACTAGGAGAGTACCCGCGCAATGTGCGGGTTTAATTTTACAAAAATTTGATTCCTAAATTCATATCAAATTTAAATTTAGTAACCATTTGTTTAAATGTTATATTATGATGATTTAAGTGGTAAACAAAGCAAATTTAAAATGGTAACAAATTTATGAACCGCTTATATAAATAATCTTACAAAAAAAATGTTTGAACTACAACGACAACAAAATACAACATCTTTTGTAAATCTACAACTAAGAAAATTTTTAATTTCATCATTTCTGTCACAATTCTCAAGTTGTTTATAAATACTCTTCAAAGTGTTTTCCATAATGTGCCCCTTCATCAACCCCTAAATGTTGTACTCAAAGATTTATTATACCACTAATATCATTTTAGTTCATTACTTTTCTGTAAATGTGAGTATAAAGTTCAATTCTTCCACCAAGTTTTATGGACAAATCAATACGTGTCCACTACTACGAGCTGTTTATTAACTTTTTGTATCATGAAGCTAACGTGGATTTATGCTGCGCCTCTTTCAGATCTTTTCTCCACTAAAGCTGCTAGTTTTTATAGAATTAGCCAGTTCAAACGAAGTGATCATTATGTCCATTTGATCCTTTGTATTTCAGAGACAAAGAAGCATAACATTCAGATCATATCACACATATAGATTGTTCGAGTAAATGTTTGCTTACTCTGAAGTTCGAGTAAATGTTTGCTTACTCTGAAGTTCTGAACTATAGGAGAACCATGGCATAATTAGTAAAAACGAAACTATAACAACAACGTTTCAGGCAGATCAGACGCAGGCAAAACATTTGTAAGTTTATTAAGTGTGATGTGCTTTTAAAATTCATGATCTGAAATGAATAAGAGTATAAAGACCAAGTAAAGACGCCTCTAAAACACCAAAACCAAGGCACGAAAGCAAAAGACTTCTCATGTCTATGAGGGAAACAAAATAACACAGAACTGTCGTTAGAGATGGACGCGGGTGTCGTCCGTGACGTCTTTTTAGTGGCTGGAATTTTTGGGCGACAGTTATCGTGTCTTGAGATTGCAACAATGGCGTGTTGTACCTGTAAAGAGTTTCCAACAAAGAATGAGTCTATAAAAAGGCATAAAAATGTTTAGATATATTGCATTGCGGCTGGCACTCCTGACATGTCTCATCCAAGTCTGGAGCGATTGTCCCTGGAAGGACCGCTTTTATGATGGAGTCTATGATGGAGTCCTGAAAGACAACATGTCGGAGGGACGTAAATCTACAGATTCAAGCAGAGAATGAACATTGATCAAGACTTACGGGTTCTTACCTTCTGATCTAGCAGAAGCATGACAATTCCGTTTTTTTCCAGTGAATCGCGGTGACCCCATAGGTGGAGGAGGCGAGCCGTGATAGTATCCGCAGTGGGACCTAATAGTAAGTCGTCAATTTGACGGAGGGTGGTGGAGCAAGTGGGTAACCGTGAATCATGGCGACGGCTGGCGAGGAGAGGGTGAGGGTTTGAAACTTCGGAGGGAGGAAATGTTTCTCGACGAAGAAGCGGATGTGAGATGAGAGAAAGGAGGGTGAAGGAAGGAGATGTGGGTGGAGTTTTTATATTGGAATCAGATAATTGAAGGCGAGGAGACCTCTTATCCTCTGTAACGGCGGCCGAAAGGAGGGTGAAGGAAGGTGGAGAGTCTCGGCGGCAGGGTAAAGATTTGGCGGAGTTAATTTGACGGAGAAAACGATGTCGCGGAGTATATTTCACAATTAGTTGAAGACGACAGCGTTTTGTTTTAGTCGGGGTGAAAAAAAAAAAGCAAAACGACGTCGTTTTGGTGTTAGGCATAAAATTAAAAAAAAGTGAAAACGCAAAACGATGTCGTTTTGGTGTTAGGCGAAAAATTGAAAAAAAAAACGAAAACGCAAAACGACGTCGTTTTGGCGTTTGGAAGGAAAAAAAAAAAGAATGTGCCACGTGTCCCGAACAGGAGAGTGTCCTATGTAGGGATTTACACTGAAGGTACTGTTAAAAGACAGGGAAAATATGGGCTTATGGCCCATAAGGAAACGACCGTCGGCGGCATAAACGTCGTCGTTTGATTGATTGGTCCCTGCCGGCCCAAAGTCTGCCTTTTCGAAAAGCTAAACAGTGAGTGAAACCTGCAATTCCCAATATCTTTCCGTTATCTCCGCAATCAACGGCCCAAATTGAGCAATCAGTCAACCATCCTCTACAACCGATCTCACGTGAACCTTGTCTCAAAACCGGTCAATCTAAACCGCTAACCAATAACACTTCGCCACGTAATCATCCTCTTAAGTTCTTCTCCATCACTCTCACTCTCACCGAGTGGTGTTGTTGGTGTGACTCGCTAACGAGAAAGCAGCAAAATCATAGCGATTCGTTTCTGTCAAAAAGCTCTTTTGCTTTACCTCTTCCCTTTTTTTCCCCTTTCTCTTTCTTTTTTCCCTATTGTATTTGCTTTGTACATTGTACAATAACTATGATTACTGTAAAGTGCTTCTCTTTAAATCCCACAATAATCAATCAATCGTCTCTCGGTTCTTTGTGGTGGTGGCGATGGCAGATGAACATCAGAGTCCTGTACCAGAGTCGATTCCGGGGATCCATGATGTGAGGATCCAAACCGGGTCGGAGAATTTCGGATTCTCCGTCGACCTACCCGGGATAAGAAGAGTGGGTCTGAGAGCTGAAATCGACACTTCTCCGCCATTCGGATCGGTTCAGGAGGCGGTGACCCGATTCGGTGGTCGTGGGTCTTGGGTTCCTTTCAAGCTCGAGGACAATTTCGTAAGTTTTCTTCTTATAGCTCATCTCCAATCATCGGATCAGTTCAATACAAACCACAGTGATCTGCATTGTTCATGATTGCTGTGAAAGTATGTGAATTTGAGTAGAATTTGCATGACTTCTTTGCAATTGCGTAGCTTTTTTCATCTGAAATTGAATAGAATTTCATAATTGGAGCTGAAATTGTGTAGAATTTCATAATTGAGGTTCTTGAGCTTTATATCTGTTGTGAGAACTTACCATTTGATATGAGAGAAGTAACCATTTTATATATTTGATGGTTTTTGTGAATGATTCAGAATGGTGAATTTGACATAAAGAGAATGGAAGAGCATGCAGCGGAGCTAGAGAAGGATCTGATAGTGAAAGAGCTGGAGACTCTGGATGTTCTCGAAGCGCTTGGATCGACGAAAAGGATCGTTGAAGATTTGAAGCGGCAGCTTCATCAAGAGTCATTGAGATCAGCTGAACATTTAAGCTCGGACATCAAAGAGATGAACAATGAGCATTGCCGTCACAATCCCATGTCATCATCATCTCCTGATCTGATCTTGATGGAACTGAAGCAGGCCAAGATGAATCTTGGTAAAACCATGGACGATCTCGTGATGATCCAGTCCTCTGTTGAAACTCTGAACAAGAAAATGAAGGAAGAGAAAGACTTTCTTGACAAGACGCGAGCGAAGCTCTCGTATGGGTTTGGTGGAGCTGTGACTCTAGCTGAGGAGCTGAGCCATGTAAAGATGGTTGCTGAAAAGGGTTTGAATCAGCAGAACAAGAACAGTTTGAGAACTGCGGAGATGAGACTGGTTGCTGCTAGGAAAATGGAAGAAGCTGCGAGAGCAGCGGAAGCGCTTGCGATAGCTGAGATAGCAATGTTGTCATCATCCAACGGTGAAAGCGAGGATGATGGTGATTCGGAGTTTTGCTTCCCAGAGCCACCGAGATCACCGTTAACACCGAGAGGACTAAGGAACGTTAATGACGACTTCTCAAGAAGAGGGGTTTTGAAGAAGCTTGAGGAAGCTAGTGAAGGAGTGAAACAGAGCAAACAAGCTTTGGAAGCTGCGTTAACCCGAGTAGAGATCGCGAACGTGAAGCAGCTCGAAGCTGAGAACGCTTTCCGAGGTTGGACAAAAGGCGATAACTTTCCGCCGTTGAATCATCATAATACACGTCGGTCCTTTTTCAGCCACCTGAACAAGCAGCACGAGCGACTCGACAATCTGCCAAAGCCGGTGTTGAAGTCTAATGTCTCAATGCGTGATGTTCTGAGGCGTAAGCAAGTTCCAAAGGAAGATGTTGCTGTTGTTGTCCCCGAGAGGAGGCAGAGCCTTGAAGGGGAGATCCCGAGGCGGAATGCGAATTTGAGCCAAATGTTGAAGGAGCTGAAGCATGATATTAAGTTTTCGGCGAGGGCAGAGAAAGAGGAGGTGCATGAGGAGAAACAGTTTGTCACGCAGAGGAGGAAGTTTGGGTTTATACACATTACGCTTCCAATGCAGAAACAGAGCAAGAAAAAATCCAACCTTTGATAAAAACAACAGCTTTTCACTATATGTGTTGGGACGAGTCCTTATTGTTTGTTTGTAGTAGTTTTCTTTTTTATTGGTTTTCATTTGGTTTGATGTGGTGTGATTGCTATGTTCCTGTCTTTGTATTTGTTTTCAAGAAAATAAAGTATACAATTAATCTTTAGGTAAAACAATGCTTTGAATCTAACGTGAGCATCCTTTTATCTCATAAAAGACAACTCGCTGTTCCGAATTCTGACCATAAGACGACAAAATGAAAGTTGGCCGGAAGATTCCAAGACTTCCAGTTCCAGGTTCCATCAGGTGATATCAATCTACGGTGGAGAAGTATCAAACTTTTAGTGTGGTTACAGCTAGCCTTGTACATTTCGGGTGAACTATCAATCTTTAGTATGGTTACAACTAGTGTTGTACATTTCCGGTTTTGTCACTGGAATTGGAGATGGAAATGGGATATTTGGGAAACTAGATATGTCACCCAAAACATTCTCTTATTACAACTGGATCGAGGGAACAACGAGAAATTTGGGACTAAAAAGTTAATTCTCAAAAGGTCTTAATAAATATAGAGAAATGAAAATATTTTTGGAAACTACGAGAAAATACGGGAAGTACGAAGAATTTCGGAAAAATATGAGAAAAATCAAGATATTTAAAAAAATATATTTTATTTCAAACTTTAGTTTTTGAAACAGGTATTTTGGGAAATTTTGTACCCTTCTTGAACCCTTTCCGTCCTTTTTTTTACCCGTTTGAAAAAAATAAATGCTCACAAAAGAAAAATTGCAACTTCCCGTTTTCGAGAATATTGGAAAATTTTAAACGAGTAAAGAGGAAACGGAATTCCCATCTCGAAATACATAGGGTTAATTATTTCCTATTTAAATAAACCGGTTGGAATTGTTTCTTTTCTTGCGAAACAAGAAAGAGTGACAGTAGCAGTGTGCATGGTACGCCGACTAAATTTAATTTAAAACAATAAAACTGTTTACATAAAGTTTATCCGGATCATTTTTTAATTGTAAAATACAAAAACTTGTAACGAATTTTACCTGAAAAAGGTAAGAAATTTGTTGAGTCAGTGCCCTAATCACAAAAGGAAGAGGAGTGTGGCACCGATATAAATAGAGAGCTCACAACGTAACTCATCTGGAAAGTAGAAAGCAAAGAACCAAGAACCCTAAAGAGAGAAGCAGAGCTTGTTAAGAGAGAGGGAGAGAGACAGAGAACCTTTGTCTATGGCCGAAAACTCAAAGAAGGCTCCGATTTTTCCAGTTGTTTTAGGTTTGATCCAAACGATTTGGGGTTGGTGAGGCGTTATCTTCGCAACAAGGTCGATCATAAGGTGGACGCGTTCTTAACAATGTTGGATGTGTACGCCGACGTGCCGTGGCGTCTTGAGCCCGTAGACAACCCTCTATTCAAGAAAAAGGAATGGTAATACTTTGTTGAGAGGGTCAAAAGAGGTGGCAAGACACCGAAGCAGACCGTACCGGCAAGAGGAGACAGCGAAGGCGGCACGTGGAAAAGCACAGGTGCCAAAACGGCTATCATGGACGGGAACAAGAAGGTGTGGGGTTACAAGCAGAGTCTCGTGCTCAACAAGAAAGTCAAGGGAAAGCCAGTCAAGACTGATTGGCTCATGACCGAATATTCCCTTAACAAGGACGTTCACGACGATACGGTCTTGTGTTGGATCCGAGACAAGACCGAGAAGAAAGGCAAACCAGGGTTCGTTGACCAGGTGCCTCAGGTGGCAAACAACATCTTACCGAACCAAGTGGAAGAACATGAAGTTGCTTTAACCGTTTCTGCTAGTGAGCCTGAGATGATGTATGAGGGAGAACATGCTGAGGTCACTCAACAGCAACACCAGCAATATACACCGATTGTTCCTCATCAACTTCCAACCCAAGTTTCGGATTTTGCGACGATGATCGTGAATAGCAACAACAACTACAACGACAACGTCACGATGATGGGTGAGGGACAACAAATTCAACAACAACAACAACAACCTCATGATGACGATTTAGGTTCCCATGGCTTGGACATGGCTGGTGAAGACCGTTTCGTTACCTACGACGAACTTTTCAATACGGAAGGTGGCACCACTCAAGAACAATAAAAGTAGAAGAAGCTGCAGCAACTGATTCCTAACCTTAAGATCCACGATGATTTGGGGACTTCTCATGTTTTTGCTTCCAAGTCTTAGGTTATCGATTGATCAGTTTGTATTCTTTACTTGCTGTGCAATAAAGTGATTTTTTCTAGCTCTTGATCTCATTAAAAAATCATACATGTCGATTATATTACTCCCTTCATTTACCCTGTGAGATCAATGATGAAGATAAACCGGAAAATTAAAATAAAAAGATCTTCCGTATTTGCGTCTAGCATTGTGGAACAAGCTAAGTTAGGGTTTGGCTGGATGATAGACTCTACATATCCAATTGGAGTGTATGTGAGAAGATTTTGTTGGGTTTGAAGATGATGGTGAACCACTTGAAAACTGGACATATCTCTGAGATAATGTATGAGGGACAACATGCTGACGCCACTCAACAGCAACACCAGCAATATACACCGAATGTTCCTCATCATGTTCCAACCCAAGTTTCAGATTTTGAGTCGTTGATGCAGGACAACAACAACAACAGCAACAACATCATGATGGCTTTAAACTTTTAAATTATAAGTCTTTGTTTAGGGTTTGATGGCTTTATGTATATGTTTTGCTAGATCTTTACAATGACTGTTTTATTAACCAAAAGCATTCTCTTTTGCTAGATCTTTACAAAGACTGTTTTATTATAAGTTTTGTTGGAGTTGCGAGATTCCATATCTGCTTTTGAATGTGCCAAGTTTGCACAATTGGGTTGAAGTATTAGATATTACATTCAACTTTTAGTATATAAAATTCATCTCAGTTATTCGATCGCTAATTGACTAATTCTAGTTATTGGTCATGATATTTATTCGGTATTCCACTGAGAAGTTGATTTCAATAGCAAGAAGAAGAATTAAAAAAAAAAAAACAAAGCAAGACTGCTCTCACACACTTTTTGGGTAAAATGTTATTTATTTTTGAAAGTTTGGCTTTTTAAAATCTCATTTTTGATGAGGTTTTGGACACTTTGGACGATCTCAATCCACGCCTCTAGTCGCCTTTTACAAAGCATTTGTGTTGCTCAAGGTTGAAGAGCTGTCCCTAGCCCAGCTTGAATAATGAATCTATTAACTATGAAGAAAGAGTTTGTTTGCAGTTTTGGTCTAATAATGTGAAAGACCTTGAAAGTTTACAACACAACACGAGGTAGCAAAAGAAATAATTTCATATTCTCTTTGGAACAGTTTGCAACCTGACTTAAAGTTCACATCTTTCCCTTGTTTGTTACTCTATTTAAAAACCTTCTTGATGAAATATCATAAGCCCCTTTAGATCCTTTGAACACATAATATCGGATCCAACACCACCATTGACCTGATTGTTGGCTTTACAAGATTTTCCTTGTCAATGTACTTGAACACGACATAAGAGGCTTCTGAAGCTGTGTGTAGCCTTCCTTTTGTCTTCCTTAACTGATGCAAACATGAGAGTCCTGAGGATGGTATTTCATGTCTTTTAGAGTTACTCGTTTTTGCTTTAGATCTACAGAAGAAATCAGAAACTAATGTTTATGGTATCGTCGTTGATGTGTTGCAGACTTTCAAGCGAAGGAACGGTGGGAGGAACAAGCACAACCGAGGCCACGTGAACCCAATCAGATGCTCCAACTGCGGCAAATGTTACCCCAAGGTACTTACCTACCTCCTTCGAATTCGATTCTCAATCTGATTTCTTTTTCCCCAATAAATCTCAACATTTCGATTTGAGATTGATTTTTTGATTTTGTGGGAATCGTTTGGATATAGGACAAGGCGATAAAGAGGTTCATCGTGAGGAACATAGTGGAGCAGGCTGCCATCAGAGATGTTCAGGAAGCCAGCGTCTACGAAAGTAATCTCCCATTCTTCTCTCTGTTGCTTCCATTTGTTATTGTTAGACTTATATCATCGTTAAAGGTTCTGGATTTTTGGAATATTGAGGTTGAAATTTCGTTAGAATAAGCAATTGAATTTGAATTCTTCATTGTTTGGGTTCTCCTCTCGTAGGGCACACACTAAATTGTTACATTTTTCTTAGAAAGATCTGATTTTGGTCAATTTTTCGTTCTAGATATGTAGAGAGTATTGGGATTGAAATTTCGTTTAGGATATGAAATTGATGCAATTGTTTTGGATTATCGTAGGTTACACACTACCGAAGCTGTATGCGAAGATGCAATACTGTGTCTCATGTGCGATCCACGCTCACGTCGTCAGAGTCCGATCCCGCGTCAAGCGTAGGGTCCGTACTCATCCGCCACGTTTCGCCAGACGCAAGGTAATAATAATCATCTCTCGCTCAATTTCAGTGACCCTGTAACGTAACTGTAGGATACAAGTTTGTCCATCTGAAATTCTGAATAGTCTGTTGTATTCGATATTAAGCATGCCAGTGTACCTTCACTTGATATTTTCTACTTTTTGTTGTTTTTTTTAGTGATTGTTGTAAGAATTTTGTGCTGACTGGTTTTCGTCATGATTAATGATCAGGAGGATGCTCCCAAGCCTGGACAACCTGGACAGGGTCCTCGTCCTGCTGGACCAGCTGGAGCTGGAGCTGCACCGCGTGTCTGAAGCCTGCAAGTATCATCCTCTCTCGGCTTTCTTAGGATCTAGTTTCGTTTTTTGAGGATGTTCAATTTCTTTTCCTTCTTCTTAAAGATTGTTATGCCGTGTGGATCTTTAAATGCTGTCCAACTATTTCAATGACTGATTCAACTTTGTTTTTTGCACCTTTTATCTAAGTCTTGCAATCTCGGCTCAAATTACAACATTACATTGCAATTCAGCTCTATTTCATTCTCTTTATTTAAAGGGTTTTTCTTATTTATTAATAGAACCCTTCAATTAAAAATGAATCGGACTAAAAAAACGTTAATTACACACTATGGACCAACTAACACGCTGTGTATTTAAAAATTAAGAAAAACGACACAATTACATTTAACAACACGAATTTTAAGCAAAAGCAACAAGTCTGTCTAATTTAAACAACACCTTTCACTGTTTCTATTGGGACGAGTCCTTGTTCTTTGTTTGTAATAGTTCTTTTGTCTATTTTGGTTTTCATTTGGTTTGATGTTGTGTGATTGCTTTCCCTGTCTTTGTATTTGTTTTGGAGAGAATAAATATACAATTAACCTTCAGATACAAGTACAACAATGCTTTGAGTCTAACGTGAGCAGCCTTTTATCTCACAGAATTCCGACCATAAGACGACAAACAAAAAATTGCCCGAATATTCCAAGACTTCCAGTTCCTGGTTCCAGCAGGTGATATCAATCTACGGTGGAGAAGTATTAAGCTTTAGTGTGTGTTGTTAGTACAGCGACTTTGCTATTTCAGTGTCATCATCCTTAAGTAATTCGGTTGGGTTTATTTCTTTTCTTGCGAGGCAAGAAAGAGTAAAGTGGCAGTGTGCATGGTATGCGGACTATATTTAATTTAAAATAATAAAACTATATACGTAAAAGTTTATCCGGAACATTTTTTAATTGTAAAATACAAAAACATACAACGAATCTTACCTGAAAAGGTAAGGAATTTGTTGAGTCAGTGTGCCCTAATCACAAAAGGAAGAGGAGTGTGGCACCGACCAACGTAGATATAAATAGAGAGCTCACAACGTAACTCATCTGCAAACTAGAAAACAAAGAGAGAGGCAGAGCTTATTGAGAGAGAGAGAGAGAGAGAGATCAACCTTTGTGATGACTTTGTCTATGGCCGAAAGCTCAAAGAAGGCTTCGATTTTTCCAGTTGGTTTTAGGTTTGATCCAAACGATTTGGGGTTGGTGAGGCGTTATCTTCGCAACAAGGTCGATCATAAGGTGGACGCGTTCTTAACAACGTTGGATGTGTACGCCGACGTGCCGTGGCGTCTTGAACCCGTAGACAACCCTCTGTTCAAGAAAAAGGAATGGTACTACTTTGTTGAGAGGATCAGAAGAGGTGGCAAGACACCGAAGCGGACCGTACCGGCAAGAGGAGACGGCGAAGGCGGCACTTGGAAAAGCACAGGTGCCAAAACGGCTATCATGGACGGGAACAAGAAGGTGTGGGGTTACAAGCAGAGTCTCGTGTTCAACAAGAAAGTCAATGGAAAGCCAGTCAAAACTGATTGGCTCATGACCGAATATTCCCTTAACAAGGACGTTCACGACCATACGGTCTTGTGTTGGATCCGAGACAAGACCGAGAAGAAAAGCAAACCAGGGTTCGTTGACCAGGTGCCTCAGGTGGAGAACAACATCTTACCGAACCAAGTGGAAGAGCATGAAGTTGGTTTAGCCGTTTCTGCTAGTGGGCCTGAGATGATGTATGAGGGAGAACATGCTGAGGTCACTCAACAGCAACACCAACAATATACACCGATTGTTCCTCATCAACTTCCAACCCAAGTTTCGGATTTTGCGACGATGATCGTGAATAGCAACAACAACTACAACGACAACGTCACGATGATGGGTGAAGGACAACAAATTCAACAACAACAACAACAACCTCATGATGACGATTTAGGTTCCCATGGCTTGGACATGGCTGGTGAAGACCGTTTCTTTACCTACGACGAACTTTTCAATACGGAAGGTGGCACCACTCAAGAACAATAAAAGTAGAAGAAGCTGCAGCAACTGATTCCTAACCTTAAGATCCACGATGATTTGGGGACTTCTCATGTTTTTGCTTCCAAGTCTTAGGTTATCGATTGATCAGTTTGTATTCTTTACTTGCTGTGCAATAAATTGATTTTTCTAGCTCTTGATCTCATTAAAAAATCATACATGTCGATTATATTACTCCCTTCATTTACCCTGTGAGATCAATGATGAAGATAAACCGGAAAATTAAAATAAAAAGATCTTCCGTATTTGCGTCTAGCATTGTGGAACAAGAGACTTAACAAAATAAGTAAAAAATCCGGATTTGACCACGTAACCATTAGAATTTAATTTATAATTCTCGGAATTATTTATTTTAATTGCAATCAAGAAAAGAAAAAAACGACAGAATCGGCTACATATATAAGTTTAATAGTCAAATAAAAGAACCCCGACTTAACTTGTTCATTTATAGCTTTCTCGATGTGATTTGAATGAATTCTTTATTCTGTAGAGTACAATATAGCTGAACCAGCAAGCAGTGGATTTTCTTACTAGAAGCCAATAACGGAATAACTTCATTATCATAAGGCAATGAATCATCAAGAAAAGAAAAGTTAAAGGAGAAATAGTGAAATATATATAGAGTTGGGAGAAGAAGCCTTTAAAGCTGAGAAAGCAATTATCTTCAGTCCAGTTTGAATCTTTGATGTTCACGGGTTTAAACGAATTCTTGAAAGAAAAACGAAACGAATTCAATACCATGGTTGGTATATTTTCCAGATTTTCTGTTGGTAGAAGTGGCCATAGACGAACACAGAGTGCTGTCGTAAGCTCTCTTTTCTATTTTACTTGTCTGATTTTAGTAGAGGTTTCATGGGCTCTTGGGTTCAAAGAAAATTTAAATCTTTTTTTACATCTATGGTCTTAAACAATTTACTCTTGAAGTTCACGTTATATTAAAGAAGAGGTTTTTTTTTTTTTTTAGATTTGTGCTTGAGCTTTATCTACATAGTGATTCCTTCTAAGTATGATGCTCTTCAAGTAGTTTGTTTTTTTCTTTTGCCATTCTCTGCTCTTATCATCTTGAGATGATGCTAACAATTTAGGCTCGAAATCGATAAAAAAAAAAGATTAAGGATTAAAGATTACATGCTTAAAGTTGCTTGTTTTCAATATTTCCAGTAAAATCTTTTGAACATATTTTCAGTGGTTCAAGCCAAAACATTCTCTCTGTTCATAATATGATTCCCTTTAATATATTTCAAGCTATAGTTGAATCTGAGATAATTAATTTCTCTGGAAAAATGTTTTGCTTTAAAATTAATAAACTGGTTTACTTGACATGATGATGAGTCTAGTCTTATGATCAGGATGAGAGGGGAGCATTGCCTCCAACTTCTTCGGATCTTGTAGCTTCAACTAAAACCCCAACCGGTTCAACACATGGGATCGAAGAAGAAACAGAGTTTAAACCGGTGGAACACCCGATGGAGCCCTTGGAAAACGATCAACCGATCCAGTGTCCACTCCCGGAGCCGTCCATTCTCAACGTACGATCTTTTTACATCCCTCTATTTCTTGAAGATCCAAGAATATAGGAAGAATGGTTACTTTCATGTGAAACACAAAAGATGGGAGTCATGTTTATTTATTAGAAAGCGCGTAACTCTCGTTTTTGAGCACAGGAAGGGAAAATCTGGAAAGAGAGAGTCTCGTCTTCCATAAGGAGACGAGGAGGCGATTTGGCGATTGTTCAAGATGGAATGAGTGAAGAATCTGATGGCTCTGTTAAGAAACCCTCGGCGACTAGCCAATGCAATCCCAAACGTCTGTTCTTGCCTTCTCTTAGCGCGCCTGAACACCACTTGCTTAATATACTTGAAGAATGCAAACCGTCCGGTAGTATCTAGCTAAGAGTCGGAGCTGGTCTACATGCTCTTTTAAAAAACTTTTCTGTATACGTATTTCTGTTTACGTAGTAACAAAACCAATTATCATAGTGGATGTAATAATACTTTATAGTTAAACTAAAATAATCAAGATCTTGTCCTGTAAATCTACGTTGTTTCATTTCAACAATAAGCTAATGACGCAGTTTCCACAGTACCTTGCATCACACGCCACACAAGTTTCCTTCACTTCTCAATTTCCTTACCTGAATCGATTACATATTCTGATCTCCCATTTGGTTTGGGAAGAAGATTACGATCAGGGCATTGGTTGAATACTTGAGGGTTTGGCAACAAAGCCCATCACAGATTCAGAGGTATCTGCTGAAACCCTAAGGCTCGTCTGATCAATCGCATGATATTTTTCGAAAGCAATGGTTTTTGTTTCCTTATGGTAGCAAAGATAATGACAAGGTTATCAAGAAATAGCAAATGCTTTATTTGTGTAGCGATATAGATATTAGTTGAGGCGTATATAGCATGCAGATGAAAAATCTTAAGCATTTTTAGCACCTCCTTTGCTTTGTTTATCCAAACGCCATATATATCATCCGAGAACAAAACAAAATGCACCTTCACAAGAATAAAATGATCATAAAAAGTGTCAATGAAGTATAACAACTTGAACAAGAGAAGCTATCATTTACCTCTTTAAAATCATTGGCGAACTCTTTGATCGTTGATATACCGATATCAGCAGCTACATCAAAAGGATATCTAACAGCAAAACCAATATATCATTGAGAAACATAAGGTTTTACGACCGACATTGATGAATCTTCCTTTTCACTCTTCTCACTTGGCACATAAGTCAACGTATCGACCATTTGCATCCCCAACTCTAAAGTTTCATCTAACTTTTAGAATCTATCCATTATGGAAAAACAAGCTCTAGAGTTGGAACTGATCGAGGAAGAGAGGCTTACTATAGCATCGGAGGAGGTATCAACGGACCATTCAGTGTTATTGCCTTTAAGGATCTTAAGAAGACTAAAATCAGACAGTTTGAAAACAGCTTCTTCGTCTCCAGGATCCATGGATGAAAAAACAGTTGACCACTCGGGATTGGAGAAGTCAATATGTCTTGCCCTGGAAGATCTGAAAATTTAAGCACTGTCTATCTATTTTTGGTCAATAAGACAATAATTGATTTTATTTTGTTACAATACCCAAAAGTTTTCGTGTTTTTTTTTTAACACTGGATTAACTAATCTAATACACAAATATGAGAATTGTTACAAGACAATTCTACAACGGACGATTCTACCGTCTTCAAAGCTCCCCGGCCGACGGCTCCATGTGCACCATTCTGTAGACCTCCTGTAAGCTTGTCTCCAATAATCTGCATAAATTATTAGCAAATCGCATCCGCCGGGATTCGAAACCCAGACCTCTTGTTAAATCCCTTCAACCACTAGGCTGAGGGGCTTCCACAGTTTTCGTGTTTTCAAAAAATGAATATTTGAGAATTAATACAGTTTATATAATTTAATACTTGAAAGAGGAAGAAAAAAAAACATTAAGGACACAGTTGCACGAAATTAAGTTACAAAACTGACTCGAAATTGTTCTCTTGCAGAACAAGTAAGAAAAACAAACTCAACAGATAATAAACCTAAATAGGACAGCTGTTGTCACCGGAAGATCTTTCTTCGTCGTGAATCTATATCACCAGATCGAACCTGGAAGTCTTGGAATCATTGGTCAATCTTCTTTTTGTTGTCTTTCAATTGGCAATGATACTGTTGGTACAGAGAGTTTTTGTGTAATGAAAGGATGATTCAAGAGCTCAACCGCAGTGGCTCTGTGTAACGGATGCAATGCATGACACCGCCTCAAAAAGTCTTTAGCCACCGTAGAGACACCTTGATCAGACAGCTTCCACATGAAAGAATCTCCCATCTCCTCCGGTTCACCTCCAAACATCTCACTCACTACACACCCTAGAGACCATATATCAAGAACCGGTTCGACTACCCCGTTCAGTCCAAGAGACTCCGGTGGCATGTAAAGAGGCGTACCGGGGAACATGGAGCCACGTGGAGGGGAATAACCGGAGTTAGGTACTTTGGATAAACCGAAATCCGAAAGCTTGACGTCGAACGGCTCTTCATGAGTGGTGGAGTGGAAGAGAAGTATATTACCTGGTGTTAGGTCACAGTGAACGTATCCTTTTGCGTGAAGTGCCTCTAGTCCTTGTAGGATCATAAGAGCAACTCGTTGGATCATGTATCCAGGTAGTGATCTTCCACCAAACTTGGTGATCATCTTCTCCAGAGTTTGTTTGTTGGCGTATTCCATATAGATGTAACAAACTCTCTCGCTTGGTCTTGTTTTGCTGTTCTCGAAGTGAACAACAGGGCTTTTAGCTTGCACGATGCAAGGATGGTTGCGGAAGCGAAGGATGATGTCTAGTTCCTTTTGAAGAGTCGTCAAATCATCCATCGAAGATGTCTTCTTCGCGTAGGCTCGTGATTGAGAATCCCCCACGAGAGTTACAAAGCCGTAGCTTCCTCGGCCAAGACCACAGGCTTCCTTCAGTGAAGAGTCATCCACAATCCAAGGATCTCCGCAGCTGCAAATTATCTTCATCGTAGTGAAACTAGCTTCTCTTAATGATGGCTTACGCTTAATCTGTCAATATAGTTCTAACACAAGTCTGTTGTGATTGCACTTCACAATCCAGTTGGAAATTGGAAATATGATATTACCACGTTAATCAAATTTTGTTAATATATAATATATGAAAACAAAAATTCCACATCTCAAAAAGGAAAAGGATTAAAGCCGAAGTGAAGAACAGAGCATAATCTTCTCTCTGTTTCTGTTTTCAATATCTAATTCCTTGAGCAACTTCAAAGAAGTGAGCAACGTTCTCTTCAGGGGTACCAACTTTAATACCATGGCCTAGATTCAGAATGTGTTTATCTCTCCCAGCTTTCTTCACAGTGTCATGAATCCGGCTAGTGATAAACTCTTTGGATCCGAACAGAACTCCAGGGTCAACGTTGCCTTGAACGGCTATGTTTCTTCCAAGCCGGTCCCTTCCTTCAGCCATGTCCACAGTCCAGTCCAAGCTCACAACATCCACACCGGTGCGAGCCAGTCTCTCTAGCAGACCTCCTGATCCACTAGCGTACAGTATCAGTGGTAGGTTTGGGTGAGTTTGTTTCACAGCTTCCACAATCTGTTTAAGATAAGGTAAGCTAAACTCTTCAAAATCCACAGGGCTAAGCTCTGTAGCCCAAGAGTCAAAGATTTGCACAGCTTGAGCTCCGCTATCCGCTTGATACCGTATGTATGTGATCATTGAGGTTGTGAACTTCTCGAGTAAAGCGTGTAAAACCTGGAGAGAAGAAAGAAAGATCAAAACTTTCAATTTAAGAGATTATAACAAAAGAGTAAGTGTTTTAAAGGTTTCACCTTTGGTTGAGAAAAGGCTAATTTTTTAATCTGTGTGAAGTTCTTAGATGAGCCACCTTCGATGACATATGAAGAAAGAGTAAACGGAGCTCCAACGAAACCAAGAACAGCTGCTTCGTTGCCCACCTGAAACAAAAAATATTCTTCTTTAGATTTAAGAGCTTTTAAGAGCATTTTGTTGCTTTAGCTAATGATCAATATTAGTGTTACCTCGTTTCTTAGTCTTTTGAGTGCTTCTCCAACGTATGGAACAGATTCCTCTGGAACGAATTCTCTAACTTGAGCCACATCAGCAGCTGATTGCGGCGGGTTGAAGATGATTGGACCTTTTCCTTTAACAATGTCGAAAGGTATGTTCATTCCAGTCAATGGAGTGAGAATGTCTGAGAACAATATCACCTTTTCCATACGTTTTCAATAACAGACATGTCAACAGTTATTGAGATGATAAAGAAAAACTTGAAAGTAAATAAATGGATAAAAAGAAGAAGAAGAAACTCACTCCATCTGGCTTAAACACCTTCCATGGCTGCAGAGAAATTTCAAACACAAGATCCGCATTCTCTGATCTGTCTCGGAAAGAAGGGTACTTCTCACAGAGAGTTTGATAACTCTGTTCATTATACAAGTATCAACACTTAGGTCACTCAAATTTGAATAGAAAAATCAAGAAAGACATCACATTGTGAGTTTGTAAACAAATTAAAAAATGGAAGCTTGCTTACCTTCATGTACCTCCCAGCTTGCCTCATAAGCCAAACCGGAGGTCTGTCAACAACTTCACCCTTAACAGCTCTCAGAAGAAGAGGCTCGGTTGTTGCAGAGACTTTTCGCTCGGTTACAGTGGTTCCTACACAAAGAATTTGAATCCAAAGTAAGCCTAAGATTCAGGCGCTACTAACAACAACACGGTCCATAAGCTTTTGCACATCCATGATCAGACTCAATGTAGGGAAGAGTAACCAATGACAATCTCACTGAATCAAGCAATATAATTTACTTGGAAGAACCAAGAGAAGATCATATAGTTGTAACAAGGATTACTGTATCATCTTCTACAGAACAAACTCGCAAATCCTAAATTCTACCACAGAGATTACCACTACCAGTGAAACCATCTGTTAAAGTCTGAATTAAGTAACCAAAACAATCAATGACAAGAAACACCCAATTCGCATCCCGTTTCCCGGAAATGAGAGAACTTTTGTGGAAATTTCGTAATTTTACCAAAACCCAGATTGAAAATTACCAGATTTTCATAAAAAAATGAAGTAAAAACGACGAAATTGAGGGTAGAAGCAAGTACCCTCGACGGAACAACGAACTATCCGGGAAGACTTGGGAGACGAAATTGAATTTCTCGGAGAGATGGAGAGAATAGTAGAGGAAGAAAGAGATGAGCTACAGAGTTGAAGGATTGACATTTTTCCGATCGCCGAGAAGATCACAGAGGGGGTTGTTTCAGCGAGGTGTTGTTGTTATACTCTGCTTTGGGATCTTAGCATCTTCTTCTCTGCTTCAACGCATACGAAGAAGATGGGGTTAACGTCTTCGGGCCAAGATAGATGATAAGAGATCTGCTTACGTGGTTTCAACGTTGCCTCGTCAGCTAATCTGTCTGCCACGTCATATAAGAGAGAGTGTATTATTTTGTTTGTTATCTTCAAAATCCGGTTTAGGGATTCGGTTTGTTCATCTTTTGTCTTTTTAATTTGTCGGTTTTATAGAAAATCGATTCAAAAGAATGAAAAACGAATTCGTTTTATAATCCTTTTTGGGTTGATTCTTCTAAAACATCTTGGTTAATCTTCGTTTTATAATCCTTTTGTTTTTTTTTTCCCTGGTTTATCTTTCATCATTGATCTCAGAAGGTAAAAAATGAAGGGAGTAATATAATCAAAAGATATGAATTTGAATAAATAAAGATTCTCAACAATCGTTTTATTGCATAGCAAGTATAAAGAATACAAACTCAATCGATAACCTAAGTGACTACTAAGTCTTACGATTTACGACAAACTTTTTTTTTGATCTTTAGACACAAACTGAATTTGAAGTAAACATGAGACGACCCGCAAATCCTCGTGGATCTTAAGGTAGAGGAGTCAGTTGCTGCGGTTGTTCTTGCGCTTCTTCTTCTTGTCCGTGTTCTTGAGTGGTGCCACCTTCCGTATTCAAGACTCCATCGATGTTAAAGTAATCGTCTACATTCATGTCTAACATTAACCAATTTTCCAAGCCCTGGAAACCTAAATCGACACCATGATGTTGAGTGACCTGACTATGCTCTCCCTCTAACGTCATCATCTCAGGCCCACTAGCAGAAACGGTTAAAGCAACTTCATGTTCTTGCACTTGGTACGGTACGATGTTGTTTGCCACCTGAGGCACCTGGTCAACGTACCCTGGTTTGCCTTTCTTCTCGGTCTTGTCTCGGATCCAACACAAGACCGTATTGTCGTGAACGTCCTTGTTTAGGGAATATTCGGTCATGAGCCAATCAGTTTTGACTGGCTTTCCCTTGACTTTCTTGTTGAACACGAGACTCTGCTTGTAACCCCACACCTTCTTGTTCCCGTCCACGATAGCCGTTTTGGCACCTGTGCTTTTCCAAGTGCCGCCTTCGCTGTCTCCTCTTGCCGGTACGGTCCGCTTCGGTGTCTTGCCACCTCTTCTGATCCTCTCAACAAAGTAGTACCATTCCTTTTTCTTGAACAGAGGGTTGTCTACGGGCTCAAGACGCCACGGCACGTCGGCGTACACATCCAACGTTGTTAAGAACCCGTCCACCTTATGATCGACCTTGTTGCGAAGATAACGCCTCACCAACCCCAAATCGTTTGGATCAAACCTAAAACCAACTGGAAAAATCGAAGCCTTCTTTGAGATTCCGGCCATAGACAAAGTCACAAAGGTTGATCTCTCTCTCTCTCTCAATAAGCTCTGCCTCTCTCTTTCTGTCTTTAGGGTTCTTTGTTTTCTAGTTTGCAGATGAGTTACGTTGTGAGCTCTCTATTTATATCTACGTTGGTCGGTGCCACACTCCTCTTCCTTATGTGATTAGGGATTTAGGGCACACTGACTCAACAAATTCCTTACCTTTTCAGGTAAGATTCGTTGTATGTTTTTTGTATTTTACAATTAAAAAATGATCCGGATAAACTTTTACGTATATAGTTTTATTATTTTAAATTAAATATAGTCCGCATACCATGCACTGCTACTGTCACTCTTTCTTGCCTCGCAAGAAAATAAACAAACCCAACCGGTTTACTTAAATAGGAAAGAATTAGCCCTATGCATTTCGAGATGGGGATTCCATTTCCTCCTTCACTTTCGTTTAAAATTTTCCAACATTTTCGAGAATGAGAAGTTGCAATATCTCGTTTGGGAACATTTATTTTATTTAAATGGGTAAAAAAAAAGGATGGAGCGGTTCAGGAAGGGTACGAGATTTCCCGAAATACCCGTTTCAAAAATTTAAATTTGAAATTAGATATATTTTCTTAAATATCCCGATTTTTCTAAAAAATTTCCAAAATTCTTCGTACTTTCCCAAATTATAAAGGAGAATTCACATTAAAGTCTATTTAATTCCTTATAACTAATATTGTAGTTATACAAATGTTTTTTATATAATTTTTAAAATCTAGTAAATTATATTTTTAACAAAAAGAAAAAATATTAATTTAATTACTTTGGACTTGGGGAGTTTCTAGTTTAAACCGATTATATTAATTGATTTTGTTGAAACATAAAAGAAATTAACATATTAAAAAATATAGCTAATTTTAGATGATGATATTGATTAATACTGTTAGTTGTTTAAAATTTGAAAAAAATAATAATTCTAGATGATGATATAGATTAATACTATTAGTTGTTTAAAATTAGAAAACATTACTAATTATATAAATGGTTGTATGGACCAAGATGCTGTTTTATAATTTTATGTGGACATCCTTAGAGGCATTTAGACAACTTGTATATTAAACAAATATTAATTTAATTACTTTGGACTTGTGGATTTTCTAATTTAAATGGGTTATATTAGTTAAGTTTCTTGAAACATAAAAGAAATTAACTAATTAAAAATATAACTAATTTTAGATGATGGAATAGATTAATACTATTGGTTGTTTAAAATTTGGATTTTTTTTTAATTTTCCATGATGATGTGGATTGATACAATTGGTTGTTTAAAATTTGGAAGCTTTTTTAATCTTAGAGAAGCTTACGTGGACCAGTAAGATCGCGTGGACGCTCTCAGAGGCTTATAGCCTCAACTTTATATAGTATAAATTTCTTGCCTCTTGGATGACTCTAGCAAGTAATTCCTTTTTAGTAAATATATTAGTGAGTTCATCGACAGCAAAAAGATGCAAGAAGACATAGTTATTTTAACAAACTTTCTCTCTCTCTTAAAGAATATGATTGACTTTAGAAATCGTATATGTTATTCTAAATTTAGATGACTATTTATAGCCAATGTCAAACCTCGAAATAGCTAAATTGTTAATTTCTTTTTTTTTATTTTAATTAGCTAGTTTAGCTTTTCCAATATTGAGGTTTCCGTTTAATCATAATTTCTTTCTGTCGTTTTTGTTCTTTTTTGTTAGTTTAACTCTTTTTATGTTGAATTTTCATTAATCTATAAAAAAACAATTGGTTTAGGTAATTAGTGCCATAATGTTAGTATGAAAATTAACAATAGTACAATTTCCATTATTTAATACAATAATGTTAATATTCACAAAACTCATTTAATTTTCGTTTTTATATTTAAAAATGATGATTTGGTGAAATTTAATTGGTTCGTAAAAATCCTATGTGGACGTTCTTAGAAGCTTATAGCCTCAACTTTTATATAATATAGATTATTTTTTGTGGTTTTTTGGAAATATTATTTCTTGTAGCATTTTAGGAAATATTAGTTTTTGTGGCATTTTTGGATATATTAGTTTTTGTGGCATTTTTGGAAATATTAGTTTTTGTAGTATTTTTGGAATGTTATTTTGTGATTTTTTGGAAATATTATTTTTGTGGTATTTTTGGAAATAATAGTTTTCGTGGTATATTTGGAGATATTAGTTTTTGTTGTATTTTTTGAAATATTAGGTTTTGTGGTATCTTTGGAAATATTATTCGACATAGCTACCCAGAGAACTTTCTTCGTGTACAAAAGGTAACAAATACAGATTACAATTTTAGTATTTTACATAGACAATGACAAAATTATCAAGAAATAGCAAATGCTTGTTTGTGTGGCGTTTAAGATATTCATTAGTTGAGGGGGGTTGAATCTTGAGCATTTTGTAGCACGGTCACCCACACACTATAAATATCATCTGCAACAACACAAAATGCATCTTCACAATGAAAATAAGAGATCATGCGAAAAGTGTCTTTTACTTTCTACATTGAATGAATGAAATTAATAACAATCTGGACAAGAGAAGCTATCATTTACCTCTTTAAAATCATTGCCGAATTCTTTGATGGTTGATATACCATTACCAACAGCTTCATCAAAAGGATATCTAACAGCAAAATCAATACAATGAGCAACATAACGTTTTAATCGAATCTTCCTTTTTCTGTTTTCACTTGGCACATTTTCTAAGTCTCTAATTGTGACAACTTTACCCGTAACTACCACAACAAATGGCAGGAAAATCAAGGTACTAAACACTTGATGTTGTTTTCCTTTGCCACTCAAAATATTTTTGTAGCAAACAGAAATAAATTATTAAATTAAATAATAAACGTTTGTGGATACTTTCATCTTGCTTTGTTGTTTTAATTCTTAATCTTGCTGTCGAAGTCAACTTCTTAGTGTAATATACATGACGAATTACTAAAATTTGAAAACAGTCTCCGGTAAAAGATGAAAATATTACAATATCTTCAACACAATGTGCATGAAACTTGCACATTCAAAAGGCAAATATGAAGCCTCGCAACAAGAATTATAATACATATTTACTTGCGTAAGAAGCCAATACACAAACTCAACTGAAACATATACATAAAACTTGATGGCTTTTAACGACCAAACCCTAAACAAAGACTTGTATTGGCTTGATGGCTTTATGTATTGGCTTGATGGTATATATGTATTATATACAAAGATCTAGCATTCTAGCATTCTCTTTTGATGGCGTATGCGGGAGGACAATATCAACAGCCAGAGCAGTATGCACCGATTGTTCCTCTTGGTCTTCAAAGCCAAATTTCAGGTTTTGAGACGATGATGCATGGCAACAAGAACGACAACAACGTCATGATGATGACGTATGAGAGAGAACAGTATCAATATCAACAGCCACAGGAATATGCACCGATTGTTCCTACTCCTCTTCAAAGCCAAGATTTAGGATATGAGAACAACAACAACGTCATGACGATGACGAATGGGGGAGAACAATATCAATATCAACAGCCACAGGCCCACAGCAATATGCACCGATTGTTCCTACTCCTCTTCAAAGCCAAGATTATGGATTTGAGGCGATGATGCATAGCAACAACAACAGCAACGTCATGATGATGTATGGGGGAGAGCAAGATCAACCGCTACATCAGTATACACCGATTGTTCCTTTTGTTCTTCAAGGCCAAGATGTAGGATTTGAGGCGACGATGCATAGCAACCACAACAACAACAACAACTTCATGATGGTGTTTGAGGGAGAACAAAATCAACAACAACAACATCATGGTGTCCATTTAGGTTTCCAGGGCTTGGAAAATTGGTTAATGTTAGACATGAATGTAGACGATTACTTTAACATCGATGGAGTCTTGAATACGGAAGGTGGCACCACTCAAGAACACGGACAAGAAGAAGAAGCGCAAGAACAACCGCAGCAACTGACTCCTCTACCTTAAGATCCACGAGGATTTGCGGGTCGTCTCCTGTTTACTTTAACTTTAGTTTGTCGTAACTCATAACACTTGTAGTCACTGAGGTAATCTAATATACTGTACGCTAGTGGATCAGGAGGTTTGCTAGAGAGACTGGCTCCGACCGGTGTGGATGTTGACATGTTGTGTGCTTGGACTGGACTGTGGACATGGATGAAGGAAGGGACCGGCTTGGAAGAAACATAGCCGTTCAAGGAAACGTTGACCCGGGAGTTCTATTCGGATCCAAAGAGTTTATCACTAGCCGGATTCAGGACACTGTGAAGAAAGCTGGGAGAGATAAACACATTCTGAATCTAGGCCATGGTATTAAAGTTGGTACCCCTGAAGAGAACGTTGCTCACTTCTTTGAAGTTGCTCAAGGAATTAGATATTAAAACAAGAAACAGAGGTTATGCTCTGTTCTTCACTTCGGCTTTAATCCTTTTCCTATTTGAGATATGTAATTTTTGTTTTTAAATATATATATTTTAAATTTGATTAACGTGGAAATATCATATTTCCAATTTCCAACTTCCAACTGGATTGTGAAGTGAAATCACAAGAGACTTGTTATTTTCTTAGAACTATAAAGATAGATTAAGCTTAAGCCATCATTAAGAGAAGCGACTACGATGAAGATAATTTGCAGCTGTGGAGATCCTTGGATTGTGGATGACTCTTCATTGAAGGAAGTATGTGTTCTTGGCCGAGGAAGCTACGGCTCTGTAACTCTCGTGGGGGATTCTCAATCACGAGCCTACGCGAAGAAGACATCTTCGATGGATGATTTGACGACTCTTCAAAAGGAACTAGACATCATCCTTCGCTTCCGCAACCATCCTTGCATCGTGCAAGCTAAAAGCCCTGTTGTTCACTTCGAGAACAGCAAAACAAGACCAAGCGAGAGAGTTTGTTACATCTATATGGAATACGCCAACAAACAAACTCTCGAGAAGATGATCTACAAGTTTAGTAGAAGATCACTACCTGGATACATGATCCAACGAGTTGCTCTTATGATCCTAAAAGGACTCGAGGCACTTCACGCAAAAGGATACGTTCACTGTGACCTAAAACCAGGTAATATACTTCTCTTCCACTCCACCACTCATGGAGAGCCGTTCGATGTCAAGCTTTCGGATTTCGGTTTATCAAAAGTACCTAACTCCGGTTATTCCCCTCCACGTGGCTCCATGTTTCCCGGTACGCCTCTTTACATGCCACCGGAGTCTCTTGGACTGAACGGAGTAGTCGACCCGGTTCTTGATATATGGTCTCTAGGGTGTGTAGTGAGTGAGATGTTTGGAGGTGAACCGGAGGAGATGGGAGATTCTTTCATGTGGAAGCTGTCTGGTCAAGGTGTCTCTACGGTGGCTAAAGACTTTTTGAGGCGGTGTCATGCATTGCATCCGTTACATAGAGCCACTGCGGTTGAGCTCTTGAAACATCCTTTCATTACACAAAAACTCTCTGTACCAACAGTACCATTGCCAATTGAAAGACAACAAAAAGAAGATTGGCCAATGATTCCAAGACTTCCAGGTTCGATCTGGTGATATCGATTCACGGCGGAGAAGAAAGATCTTCCGGTGACAACAGCTGTCCTATTTAGGTTTATTATCTGTTGATGAGTTTGTTTTGCTTACTTGCTCTGCAAGAGAACAATCTTGAGTCAGTTTTGTAACTTTAATTTCGTGCAAGTGTGTCCTTATTGTTATTTTTTTTTCTTCCTCTTTCAAGTTTCAAGTATTATTAAATTATATAAACTGTATTAAGCTAAACACTCTAAACACTCTAATTTCTCAAATATTCTTTTTTTGAAGTGACACGTCACACGAGAACTTTTGGGTAGTATAACAAAATAAAAGTCTTATTGACCAAAAAATGATAGACATGGCTTAAATTTTCAAATCTTCCAGAGCAAGACACATTGAGGCATGATCAATAAGTTTTCTCTTAGTGATCATGCCTCAATGCTACATATATTGAAGGAAACTTGTGTGGTGTGTGACGCAAGGTACTGTGGAAACTGCGTCATCAGCCTATTGGTGAAACGAAACAACGTATATTTTTATGATTAACTATAAAGTATTATAACATCCACTATGATAATTGGTTTTGTTATTACGTAAACAGAAAAGTTTTTAAAAAGAGCATGTAGGGCCAGCTCCGATTCTTAGCTAGATACTACCGGATGGTTTGCATTCTTCAAGTATATTAAGCAAGTGGTGTTCTGGCGCGCTGAGAGAAGGTAAGAAGAGACGTTTGGGATTGCATTGGCTAGTCGCTGATGGTTTTGTAACTGAGCCATCAGATTCTTCACTCATTCCATCTTGTACAATCGCCAAATCGCCCCGTCTCTTCATCGAAGACGAGACTCTCTCTTTCCAGATTTTCCCTTCCTGTGCTCAAACACGATACCAAAACACAGTGAGAGAGAGAGAGAGAGAGAGAGAGAGAGAGAGAGAGAGAGAGAGAGAGAGAGAGAGAGAGAGAAGCTTTCTAATAAATATACAAGACTCCCATCTTCTGTGTTTCACATGAAAGAAACCATTCTTCCTATATTCTTGGAACTTCAAGAAACAGAGGGATGTAAAAAGATCGTACATTGAGAATGGATGGCTCCGGGAGTGGACACTGGATGGGTTGATCGTTTTCCAAGGGCTCCATCGGGTGTTCCACCGGTTTAAACTCTGTTGCTTCTTCGATCCCATGAGCAGAACCGGTTGGGGTTTTAGTTGAAGCAACAAGATCAGAAGAACTTGGAGGCAATGCTCCCCTCTCATCCTGATCATAAGACTTGACTCATCATCATGTCAAGTAACCAATTTATTAATTTGAAAAGCAAAACATTTTTTTCCAGAGAAATCAATGATCTCAGATTCAACTATAGCTTGAAAGGGAATCATATTATATGAACAGAGAGAATGTTTTGGCTTGAACCACTGAAAATATGTTCAAAAGATTCAACTGGAAATATTGAAAACAAGCAACTTTAAGCATGTAATCTTTAATCTTTCCATCGATTTCGAGCCTAAACTGTTAGCATCATCTCAAGATGATAAGAGCAGAGAATGGCAAAAGAAAAAAACAAACTACTTGAAGAGCATCATACTTAGAAGGAATCACTATGTAGATAAAGCTCAAGCACAAATCTAAAAAAAAAAAAAAACCTCTTCTTTAATATAACGTTAACTTCAAGAGTAAATTATTTAAGCGATATAGATGTAGAAAAACAAATTAAATTTTCTTTGAACCCAATAGCCCATGAAACCTCTACTAAAATCAAACAAGCAAATAGAAAAGAGAACTCACGACAGCACTCTGTGTTCGTCTATGGCCACTTCTGCCAACATAAAATCTGGAGAATATACCAACCATGATATTGAATCTGTTTTTTTCGTTTTTCTTTCAAGAATTCGTTTAAACCTCCAAAACATCAAAGTGGACTGAAGATAAATTGTTTTCTCAGCTTTAAAGGCTTCTTTCTCCCAACTCTATATATATTTCATTATTTCTCCTTTAACTTTTCTTTTCTTGGCTTTGAAAACTAATATTACTGATGATTCATTGCCTTATGATAATGAAGTTATTCCGTTATTGGCTTCTAGTAAGAAAATGCACTGCTTGCTGGTTCAGCTATATTGTACTCTACAGAATAAAGAATTCATTCAAAACACATCGAGAAAGCTACAAACGAACAAGTTAAGCTACAAACGAACAAGTTAAAGTTTTATTTAACTATTAAACTTTATATATGTAACCGATTTTATCATTTTCTTTTCTTTCTTGATTCCAATTAAAATAAACAATTCCGGAATTTATAAATTATAAATAATATTTACGTGTTCAAATCCGGATTTTTTACTTATTTTATTACATAGGGATAAGTCTCTTATTTTGTTATTAAAAAGTTATCTATTTTTTTTTTTAATTAAAAAAGTTATCTAATTTTTTGCAAATTTCTTTCTTTAACAGTTAGGATTTTATGATTAGTTTTAGGATTAAAATTAAACTACTCTAGATTCACTTAAAATTGTGTATTTCTTATGATTTTCTAATCCAGATTTATCTTAATTGATAAGTTTTTAAAAATTAGTATAGATAGACAAATACTTCACCTAGCTTCTAGGCTTTTGTAATCTTCTGACCGTAAAAGATGGACGTGCAAGAATCAGTGCGGAAGCAAAACGAGATCGTTCTGAGGTTGGCTAAGCACGTGATCGCCACCACCGCCGGAAAAACCTCTAACCTCGTCTTCTCGCCAGCGTTAATCAATGTCATCCTCAGCTTCATCGCCGCCAGATCTCCCGGAGCAACCCAAGACCAGATTCTCTCTTTACTACAGGCTTCTTCGACCGATGAGCTCAACGCCGTCTCCTCCAAAATCGTAACCACCGTCCTCGCCGACAGCACCCCAAGTGGTGGTCCAACGATCAACGCAGCCAATGGCGTCTGGATCGACAAGTCTCTCTGTATCGAACAATCTTTCAAAGATCTCTTGGAGACTTCCTACAAAGCTGCTTTCAATCAAGTCGATTTTCGAACTAAGGTATTATTTAATCCACATAAACCCTAATTTTTTTTTTGTGCCAAATCAGACCACAAATGTTGATAGCTTTTATGTTCTGTTTTTTTTTTTTTTTTTTTTTAAAAGGCTGATGAAGTGACTGAAGAAGTCAATGCATGGGTTGAAAAACAGACAAACGGACTCATCACTGATCTTCTTCCACCTAAAACTGTTTCTCCTTGGACTGATCTCATATTTGCTAATACACTCTTCTTTAACGGAAGATGGGAGAAAGAATTCGATCCATCGCTAACAGTAGATTCCGATTTTTACCTTCTTGATGGAACCAAAGAACGTGTGCCCTTCATGGTCGGTAACTTTGGAACACGTCTCGTTGCTTACGAAGGTTTCAAAGTCCTTGATCTACCGTACAGATTAGGACGTGATTACATGGAAGACCATCGTCGTTTCTCAATGGAAATCTTTCTCCCTGATGACAAAGATGGGTTGCCTTCAATGCTGGAGACGTTAGCTTCTACTCGTGGAATCTTGAATGGTGAGGAGGATATTCCTAAACACTATGCAGATGTCGGAGAGCTCAAGATTCCAAGGTTTTAATTTGGTTTTGATTTCGAAGCCTCGGAAGCTCTCAAGGGTTTGGGTTTGACAGTGGAGACGATCTTCCACAAGTCTTGCATCGAGGTGGATGAAGTGGGATCTAAAGCTGCAGCAGCTGCTGTAACCTTGGAAACCTCTTGTGGTCCTGGAGAGAAGAAGTATGACTTCGTGGCTGATCATCCTTTTCTCTTCCTTGTCAAAGAATACAGAAGCGGACTGGTTTTGTTCCTAGGTCAAGTCATTGATCCTTCTATGCATTGATTTGTTACGTTATCTGTTTAGTTTTTTTTTGTTTTAACTTGCTCTGCAAGAAAGCAGTTTCGGGCAAGTGTAATTCAGCAATCAGCACTCCTTATTTTTCTTTTCAAGTATTAATTTATATAGAACTACATTAACTGAATTAAGTTAAAACACTGTGATAACAATACGAAAACTTTTGGTTGATAAAACAAAGTCTTTTTAAAGATCTAGCATTCTCTTTTGCTGTATAGTGTACGTATTTGGTATACCAAATGCGTCCTATAAATCAAGCAACTAGTGAAGAACTAGATTTTAAATTTATGAGATGGGGAAATAAAAATCAAAAATAAGATATAAGATCTAAAATATAAATTAGAAAGATTGTGAAAACGAAAATCTATGTGATGATGATAGAAGAAAAAAAAAAGGAAAAAGAGTGAGCAACACTCCTAACACACGTCGAAATAGAAGCGCCCAACTCAATATGTAATATAAATAGAGAGTACGAACCATTAACTGATTCAATTTCTTATCTCTTCTCAACCAAAAAAAAGAAAAAAATAGAGTTGCAGTGCTTGGCGTTGCATCCATCACGTAGGGCCACAACAACGCTGTTGAACCGTCCATTTGTTTCAAGACAAGTAAGACCAACCACGGCGGTTGTTTAGGGTTTGGTTGTTAAAAGCCATCAAGTTTTATGTTCATGTTTCAGTTGAGTTTGTGTATTGGCTTCTTACACAAGTAAATATTTGTTATAAGTCTTGTTGCGAGGTTACATGCCTTTTGAATGTGCAAGTTTCATGCACATTGGGTTGAAGATCTTGTAATATTTTCATCTTTTACCGGAGACAGTAATTCGTCATGTATATTCCACTAAGAAGTTGACTTCGATAGCAAGATTAAGAATTAAAACAACAAAGCAAGATGAAAGTATCCGCAGACGTTTATTATTTAATTTAATAATTTCTTTCTGTTTGCTACAAAAATATTCTGAGAGTGGCAAAGTAAAACAACATCAAGTACCTTGTGTTTAGTACCTTGCTTTTCCTGCCATTTGTTGTGGTAGTTACGGGTAAAGTTGTCACAATTAGAGACTTAGAAAATGTGCCAAGTGAAAACAGAAAAAGGAAGATTCGATTAAAATGTTATGCTGCTCATTGTATTGATTTTGCTGTTAGATATCCTTTTGATGAAGCTGCTCGGTATATCAACGATCAAAGAATTCGACAATAATTTTAAAGAGGTAAATGATAGCTTCTCTTGTCCAGATTGTTATTACTAACATTGATTCAATGTAGAAAGTAAAAGACACTTTTTGCATGATCTCTTATTTTCATTCTTGTGAAGATGAATTTTGTGTTGTTGCGGATGATATTTATAGTGTGTGGGTGACCGTGCTACAAAATGCTGAAGATTCAATCCCTCCTCAACTAATGAATATCTAAAACGCCACACAAACAAGCATTTGCTATTTCTTGCTAACTTTGTCATTGTCTATGTAAAATATTAAAATTGTAATCTGTATTGGTTACCTTTTGTACACGAAGAAAGTTCTCTGGGTAGCTATGTCGTTTGTACTTTGTAGTCATGAATAATATTTCCAAAGATGCCACAAAACCTAATATTTCCAAAAATACCACAAATTTTTTATAATTCCAACACAGAAACTAATATTTCCGAAAATACCACAAAACATAACATTTCGAAAAATACAACAAAAACTAATATTTCCGAATATACCAAGAAAACTATTATTTCCAAAAATACCACAAAAATAACATTTCAAAAATACACTACAAAAATTAATATTTCCAAAAATGCCAGAAAAGCTAATATTTCCTAAAATGCTACAAAAAATAAATTTTCCAAAAAATCACAAAAATAATATTTCCAAAGATACCACCAAAACTGATATTTCCAAAAACCGATGGAGTTGCCTTAGGGTTTGAGTGATAAGAAAAAAGCCCAAACCCACTATATTTTAAAGCCCAATAAGTAACAATAAAACCTCAGCTCCATTCTGAAATCAGTCGATGAAATCGACGAGAAGAGAGTAAACCCTAGCAGTCAGAGAGACTCGTTGTGTCTTCGTTTCACCAGAAGAAAGGAAAAGCAAGATGGTATTTCATCTGATCATTTCTATCTTCGTTTCCTTATATTTATTTACAGAAGAAATCAGAAATTAATCTTATATTGATATCGTCGTCGATGTGTATTGCAGACTTTCAAGCGAAGGAACGGCGGGAGGAACAAGCACAACAGAGGCCACGTCAACCCAATCAGATGCTCCAACTGCGGCAAATGCTGCCCCAAGGTACTTCCCTACCTCTTCGATTCTCAATTGGATGATAAATCTCAACATTTCGATTAGAGATTCATTTTGATTTTGTGGGAATCGTTTGGATACAGGACAAGGCGATTAAGAGGTTCATCGTGAGGAACATAGTGGAGCAGGCTGCCATTAGAGATGTTCAGGAAGCCAGCGTCTACGAAAGTAATCTCCCCTTCCTCTCTTTGTTGCTTACATTTGTTATTGTTAGACTATTCAGATTGAAATTTCGTTAGAATATGCAATTGAATTGATTTTTGTGATTGTTTGGGATTCTCGTAGGTTACACATTACCGAAGCTATATGCAAAGATGCAATATTGCGTCTCTTGTGCGATCCACTCTCACGTCGTCAGAGTCCGATCTCGCACTAACCGCAGAGTCCGTACTCCACCGCCACGTTTCGCCAGACGCAAGGTAATAATCCCTCGCTTCGATTCAATGATCTTGGAGATACAAGTTTCCTTGTTGAAGTTCCGTTTTTGTTTAAATTCGTGTTTGCTTCTTGAAAGATGTTTTTAAGTAAAAACTTGTTACTTTTGCTTGTAGTTGAATGATGCAAGAACCAATTGTTTTACATGTGGATTGAATTTTGATTACTATGATAATTGTTTCAAATGGTTTAAAAAAGTAGACTTTTTAGGTTGATGATTACGCATATCTGACTAGTACCTTTGTTATTTTGAGTGAATTTCTCTTAAGATTTTGTATTGACTGGTTTTCGACGTTGTGAATGATCAGGAGGATGCTCCCAAGCCAGGGCAACCAGGACAAGCGCCTCGTCCTGCTGGACCAGGAGCTGGAGCTGCACCACGTCCCTAAAGCCTGCAAGCATTTTCCTCTCTGGGTATTCTTATGCACTTGTTTCGTTTTTGAGGATGTTTTATCTTTTTTTTTTGTTCTCCTTAAGGATTGTTATGCCATGTGGATCTTGAATGCTGTCGAACTATTTCAATAGTTGATTCAGCTTTGTTTTTTTGCACCTCGAATCAACTTTTGCAATCTCTGTTCAATTGACATTTATGATATAAGAAATATCTTACTTGTCATAAAATGGAGTTTTAAATTGTGAATATGATACAATCAAATTACTCTTGCATCACATAATCAAAATTCTATTCCAGAAATTCGCCTGCTAAGGTAACACCTTAGAGAAATGGCACCGTCGTGGCTCTAGCTCGCAGAAATTCAGCATACGTAATTTTTTTCCTTCAGGAGAAAGTAGGTCAAACACTAGAATTAAACGAAAACTTCTCTTACAAGTAAATCAAAGCCTTGCAAAATCTCAATAAAGAAATAAAAAGAGCTATTAATCGTAAAATCCAAGGAAATTCTAGGATAAAAACCTGATAAACTAATCACTGAAACTTTAGAATTCATGTTTAACCATATGATCTTTAAGGTATGACTCACACCTGTCCAAGTAAGACCAGTCTTGGTCTTGGTCTGACTCAAACTGGTCTGATTGGTCTGACTCAGACTTGTCTGACTGATCTGAGTCAGACCCGAGGACCTGGATGACGAGAGCTGCAATGTTTTCTCCGCGTGACCCACGCAAGGTATCAAGAAGAGGCTCCAACTTGTCGACAATATCATCTACCAAATCATACAAATGATGATAATCTGCCACATGTAGAGTCTTTTCCAAAACCCGATTCCCGTATTCATCCTTGGCCAATCTCACCAACGTATCTTCGTCACAGTTGACAATCTCCATCACCATAAAAATCAAAGGCAGCATGAAATCTTGGTCAACTTCACCGAGGAGCTTCTCCACAATGTTGCTTCCATTATTCAGAAAAGAAAGCTCAATGTAGTGGCATTGAAGCCCACAAGCGATGAATTCCGTACAGTTCGGGTTGTGTATATTAATGGCGTGCAGTACGGCGGCGTTTCCCATAATAGGTTGCTTGGATAGGTAGAAAGCGTTGTATCCAACTAGGCGTAGGATTTGCGCGTACACATTCTTGTTTCCTCTTTTCTCGAAAACGTTTATGGTTCGTAACATGATGCGATGACCGTGATGAGTGATTGCAAGATCGGTGTAGCCTCGCCTGATGGCCTCCCAAAACACTCTGTCGACTTCTTCTGATCTTCCAAGGATGATCTGAACCATGAGCAAGCCTCTTATTGTTTTGACAAACTCCAAAAAGAGACGAGAATCTGACGTCAGCTTCGAGGCAAGGTTAAGAAGCTCCACCGTGTCACATGTCGGGAGAATCTCATCAAACTCCGCGAATAGCTCGTGCAAGAGCGTGTCGTCTTCTGTGGCTTTCCGTGTATAGTCGAGGTTAAGCACATGTTGGATTAAGGAGATTCCTAAATCGTCCTCGCTTAGGAAGTGAGCCTTGAGAGAGATCAGCTCGAGGAAATCAGATTTTAAGATATCATCAGCTATTGTTATGGCTTTCTTGAGTGTGCTGCAACCGTTTTCGTCACGCGCCAAGAGAAGGGCGTGACGGTACGTGGTCTGGCAAAACGTGTTCTTTTGGTCAATGTTGCAAACGTCTAGGAGTCGTGACGCCAAAGCTTTGCCGCTCTTAAGAGTCATAGTCGCGGGGAATCTGGCCATGATTGTTTGGAAAAGTATCGTGTTGATATCGTCTGATATTCCTAAGATCCTCATGACGCGGTCCAAGCCTGCTTCGTCGCTGATGATTTCGACCAAGTTATCTGAATCTGACGTTAGCGTATTCGCAAACTTCTTGAGGTCATAGGAGGCTGAGAGGATCCTAAGAAACTCGTCCTCGTAAAATTTTTCGCTACTAGTCATTACTCTGTGGCACCACCTGGTTTGTGCCTCAGAGTTGTCGTCGTAGATGCTCTCCATAGTTCGAGGGAATTAGTCCAAAGAGGTTTCTGTGTGTATGTGTTGTTTGATGTTTGAACGATGAATGTTGGATCAGTAATGATTTGTATATTTTTATAGCCTTTTCTTTCTCCTTTTTAAGGTGGGTTTTGTATTCCTAAGTAGAATCCAAGTGAGATAGATTCGTTCGAGTTTCCATATTCCTTTTCAGTCGTCAGGCTAAAACTGTGAATTTACTCATTAATTAATTCATATATTATTCTATAATGTAGTGTGTTTTGTTCAGAATTTCCTTTCTTTTTTCCATGAGAATTTTGATTTTCAGCGTTAAAAAAAAAACTCTAGATTTTATTAAAAATCTATCTATTTTATATATAACTAAATTAGGTCCTGCATACACGTGGGTTTATTAAACAAAATTTGATTATCTTTTAAATTCATGATATGAAATAGAAAAACTTACATGTGTCTAAATCTAATCGACTCATTAATTTATGAAACTTTGATTATTCAATTGATGAAATCTTTATTTTTAATATTGTTTTACCTAAGAAAAAAATGGAAAGTAAACTATTTAATATTAGAAGATTGGTCCATTATAAAATTTTCTTTTTAATATTTTAGTTCCTTGATAATTATTTTGTTGGTTCTCTATTTATATTGTTTCTTTTTCAATTTTGTTTTTGCTCTAACCATTATAAATTTTCATTTTCATTATTAGTTAAGTTGTTTTACAATTATTTTATTAGTATTTATTTATGTTACTCCATTTTTCAATTTTCTTTTGTTGACACATGTCATCACCTGATCAAATATTAAACATGATTTTTGATTTCTTAATGAGAAAGAAACTATTTTAAATATAGCTTGTTATACTTATTTTTTTTTTCCTTTTCTTCATGGGAATAAATTTTTTTATTCCTTTTCTTACTCGATGTAATATTTTTTAATTATTTCATAATGTTTTTCTGATTTTTTTGTTTTTTTTTTCTTTTTCGTAATAGAATTATATTTTTTCTTTACTTTTCCTAATGGATGTAATTTTTTTTTTTAAATTGATTCTTTCCTTTTTCTGATTTTTTCAAGTGTACTAATGATTTTATTTATTATATCATTTTGAATTTAATATGTATTTAGATAATATAAATTTGATATCTTTTTTCTATAAGGATGTGATAAATATGATTTTATCTTTTTATTCTAATAGATAAATTTCTTTTTTTAATTTTCTTTTTCTAACATTTTTTTTAATTATTATTTTCTCTTTTTTCCAAGACATGTGTTACAATCTTAACAGATTTAATATTAAAAGTGATACATGTCGCAATCCTAAATTTTATAAAAATCCTATGTATCGCAACCACGTTGCACGCATCCAGCTTTATATAATAAGAAGATAAGAAACCATCCTCTCCCGCTGCTTGACACGTCAGCATGGGAGAGATGGCCACGTGGCTGCTTCACATATTTTTTCCTTTTTTTTTTTACGAAATCGCTTTCACCTTCTCCCTTTTCTTCTTCTTTCTATTCTTCGCAGCCAAACAGTTCCTTCTTTGCGAATCGCCGCTCCTTCTCCGATGTCGGAATTGTGAGACACAAATCCCACAATCAAGTATTTAGAGTGAATAAAGAGATGGGAAAGAAGTAGGTAGAAATCTCACAATGAACCAAACAAGAACAAAACTTAGATTAACCAAATGGATTTATGTTGATAAGAGAAGTGTTACAGAAAGAGTTCGAAATGCGATAGCTCCTTGAGCATACAAGAGAACGAATTCAAAGAGTAAAAGGTAAATGCCAGATCAGATCATCCTCTGCCTGCTTCATGCTTCCTTTATATATCTTGCTCGACTTCTAACTGTTGCACGAATATCGGGAGCACGTGTTCCAGATTTTACGGGATTTCGATCGAACAGCTTTGACTCGATCTTCTCTTTCGACTCCATGTGCAGCGGTCTATCATTTTACCAGATGACGGAATTGGACCTTTAGACGAACGGGTTTTCAGCAGACAAACTTTGAAATGGACCCTTGTTAGTTTTTAATATGGGCCAGATTTAAGTGCTAAATCTGGCTCCAACAATAGCCCCCCAGCCTATTGAGCAAAGTGATGAGCTCGATAGGCGGAAAATAAAGAAGAAGTTAACATTGAGTTTTGGCCTTTTGGGTTTTAGACTAAGTCTTTTTGACCCCGAGCATATATTTGCGTATGCGGTAGTTCGGTTTTAAGACGAATAAAGGTTGAGGATTAGGTTTTTAGACTAAGTCCTTTTGTCCGCGAGCAGATGTCTGCATATGCGGTAGTTCGGTTTTGGGACGAACTAAGGTTGCGCGAACTGACGAACTCACTTAGGTTAGTCTGGCCAGATGTTTTGGAGGATCATTTGATGATCCGAGTTGGATATAAAGGATCGTTTTAAGAGATATTTATGTAGTGTTTGTTCGTTCACGATTGTTCGACTACTTGGTGATGAACTTTGGTTTGTCGAGCTTTTGTTGGCATAGCTCGTTAGATATAACTTGTTATGCGAACTGTCGGAAAACAAGATACAAGTCATATAAATGAAATTGTTTGAAAAAATGTGGTGGCTGAACTCGACGGTGAGCTGCCTACATACCCGTCAGGGGATCAAGTCTTGACGTAGTTCGATTGTTTTACTACTTAGTAGATGTGTAGTATGTATTTTTTTGTCCATGGTGTTCCATAAACGTGGGATCGAGCTGTAGGGATCCAAGCTGTTGGGATCCGAGCTGATGTTCGTGCATCTATTACGACGGTTATGTCTATACAGACTTTTGTAATAATGCATTTGGAGATGAATCTCTATTAAAGTTTGCTCTTTTTGGAGTTTCTCGAGTTTCAGTAAAATTCCGAGTCTCATGTTATAAAGTTTATTTTTTTGGTAGCGGATGCTCCTATACCCCCCCCTACAAAGGCTAAGTTCACTTAGTTGTTGACATATAGTATTTTTTGGAGCAGGAGGTGGTATTGTTATTGATTTCGTCGAACCGCCGCAAGGTGCGAGGTCTTTGAATATCATGTCTATTCGCTGTTTAAAAGCGGGAGGAGGAGAATCGTTTTCTTCTTCTGCTCGTCTCCTCTTTTGGGGAGCTTTATTTTGAGTTCCCTTTTTGATTTGAGAGTGGTTGGCAGTGTTCCGTCACTTCCTTCTTCCGATTCAGAGGATTCTGGTTCGTCATCATCGTTTTTTTGGCTTTTTGCAAAATATGTTTTTATTGTACGATGAGCGTTTTTGATTTTGCGAGCTACCGTTTGCGATAGCGTGTACATTTTTACCTGCAGCTAGTAAACTAGCATTGTATTTTTCGAGATCGCTTGAGTAGTCTCTTCTGCGCGAGCAAAAAATGTTGCTTTGTGCAGCGCATCATCGAGTGAGCTAGTGGGTCTGACTGTCAGGTCGTGTTTGAATTGTGATGTGAACCATAACCCGTTCTGGAGGGCGTCAATGGCTACAACATCATTGAGGTTTGTGATTTTGACTTTTACTTCTTTGAAGCGAGCTATGAAGTGGCGAAGTGGTTCATCGGGATCTGGGCGTGTCTTTAAAAAAGAAGACGCTGCCATATGTCCTTTTAATATAAAATGGGAAAAAGCTGAGGTGACAGAAATCTGGAGAGAATTATCTTCTTATTATATATAAGATTTATGGGTCAACGAGCTAGATCCCCCTCAAAACTATTAGAGCCTGATTGGTTCTCCCGCTACCACCCGCAAACGCAGCGTTTGCGGTTCGTAGCGGTTTTCGGCGGTTTATAACAATCACGACAACCGCTTTGAATCGCTCTATACCACTCTGTACCGCTCTATATCGCTGAAAATCAAAAGCTCCTTTCCGCAAGCGTTTGCGGTTGCGGGTGGATAAAAAAAAAAAAAAAACACAAACTTATATAAAATCCGAAAATAAATAATAATATTTATTAAAAAATAAGATTTGGATAATAAAATCACAATATAAATAAAAAATTAGTACTTTTAGTCAATATTCATTAAAATCATATAATACTTATATATTTATAAGTTCTACAAATCAAAATTCTCTTCATAAATATTCTTTTCATACTAATACATATATATCTAATAAATAAAATTGTAAAATAAATTTAATTTTCACATTAAATATATATTTTGAAAATAAAATCACATTTTTATTTAAATTATAGAAATTAAAAGATAGACGTAAGTATTATACACATATTATTCTTTATAAAAAAATTATTTTTAATTATGTTGAACCATAAATTTAAAATTTTCATTATAATATAGTTTTGATATTTTTATAATTATATAATGTGTTTATATTATTAATTTATTGTTTAACCGCTATTGCATCCGCAAGTGAACCAGTCATAAGTAACCCGCAAACGCATCCATTTTCAATTGTTATGCCAGTCGTACAAACCGCTTAATAACGCTACTAATCACAACCGCCCGCTTCCGCAAACTCCCGCACCCGCAACCGCAACCGCAGCGGTTAAACCAGTCAGACCCTTACTCTACACAAAGTTTGGACCTCTATCCATTTCCACATCATTATAAAGTTTCAGAGCTAATTCCACATAAAAATAAAGTTTAAAACCCAAAAACACACCAATCGTGAAATTCGCGTTTAGACTGCAACTGCGATTATAATTTTTAAAACAGTACTGTATACCAAATCCGACCCGACCCTACCCTACCCTACCCAACTGGAAAAGAGGAAAAATTATTTATACCGGGAGTCGAACCCGGGTTCTTTGGGACAAACATAAGTTCACAACAACTGATCTACGAGTCAATTATTGAAATATGTAACAACTTATTTTGATTTAGTTGCTAATAACAATTAAAAAATGACGAAGAGGATGAATATATTTAAATAAAATGGGATTCTAAGCCAGATTCGCTGGATCGAATCACTGTCGCTACCACTGGACTACATCTGAATTTAACGTACAGAATTATAACTTATATGTATTTATTTGTTTCGAATAATTAAAAACGAGTCTCAAGTCTCCGACATGATTTCAGCACAGCACCTCCGGTGGTCCCGTCGGTAGCCGTCGTGTTGGCCGTCGCCCGTCGAAATACGTGGCTTCGTCAATGGGCCAGAGAACTTCAAAGGTACAACCTTCTCATCCATGAAGAGCTTGTCGACGGAGAACATTGATATCGGGTCTTTGAGTCGAAATGAAAAAATCAACCACTGAATCTTGGTTATCCATTTGCGTATCAGATTCAGATTTGCAGGAGACTGTTCCTTCTGAAGGAGGATCAGCGTTTGTCTTCTCGATGATTGAAAATAAATATAATTACGTTGTAAGCTATGACAAGAAAACACCGTAGTTCAGTGGTTGTTGACCTACTAGTAACAGTTTTCCTGTATTCCTTGTTGGGTCGGTTTTGTTTGTTTCGACTTGGGTTTGGTTTAGTAGTCGGTTTAAGATTTCCTTGCAATTTTGCAGTCTAAACGCGAATTTCACGATTGGTGTACACTAATGCAATTTTTCAAAATGTGGTTTTACATTTAAAACTTTATTTTTTTATGTGGAATTAGCTCTGAAACTTTAAAATGATGTGGAACTGTCTAAACTTTGTGTGGATCTAGCTCGTTTTGAGGGGGATCTATTACAAGATTAAAATTCTCTTTTTTTTCACTGATGTGTTAGAAAAAAATGATTTTCTGGCTATGAATGGAGGATGAATCTAAAAGTTTGTTTTGTTAATTTCCCTTATGAAATTTTGGTGCATGTCACAGTTTTCACTATATTCTCATCACTTTGGTCTTCGTAACAAAAGCCTACTGTTGTACATAAAATATTAAAAATCACTGCCAAATTTTGAACTCTTGATTTCCCATAAAGACACATGTATGCGGTAACTTCAAGCATTATGACATTTATAACCATTGTGATTTTTTTTTTCTTACGAGGAATTTGGGACCAAAAAAGAAATTCAACATTCTTTAGGTAATGTCATACTATTACCTTACCACTCATAATTTACTTTAATTATTTGAAGTGACTAACTTTCTAGGTGAATACAAACAATGAAGAAGAATTAGTTAATGACTTAATGAACAAACTCATAAGAAACTACGACATGTACTCGCTGCCTGAGTATCTTCTGTATATAGCTAGACAAGTCAAGAGAGGTTTATATAGAGTTTATAAAGTTTATAGAATTATATCAACAAAATTCCTAGAAACATATGGGTGTCGAGGAAAGAGATCCTAGAACTTGTCAGGTTGATAATCACAAACAACTTAATTAACACTCCTCTTGACCAACTGGGGCATAGTTTCAAACTGTAAGTTGTTGCTAAAGTTGTCACTGATGCTAAAGCGTCTCAAAGAAACTGCATGAATCACAAACCTTTGAGCACCTTTAGGCCAAATCTTTTATTTTTTGAACTATCGATCTCAACATAGGCAAATACTATGTTATGAATTATGCTACAGTAATCTTTTTTTGAAGATTACTGAATCTTTCTTGATGAATATTAGATATACAAATGAAATTATGTTATCTTGACTTAAAAAATGATTTGTTTAGTAAGATGGTAAAAATTTCAAACAAGATAGTATATTGGTGTTTTAGCATTTTGAATCGCGTGGAAAGTTTTAGATTATTTCTAAACAATTTTATAAACTTTCATAAGAACGCAAGTTTTGGTGTAGTTGCTAAATTATTGTATAGTGTTATTTGGGTTGGAGGAAGAAGAACGCAAGTTTTGGTGTAGTTCAAAGCATAGACATTAAAGAAACGTAGTTGTATCCATGATTTTATATTAGAGATTGTTTTCATAACGTCGATCTCTACTTTGATCATAACAGCAAAATCTATTTGCTGCAACGAATTTCTGTTGCAACGACACACCGTTAATACCATCAACCAACGCTCACGCCGTTATCCTTTCCGTTAAAGGTATATATACTATTTTTTCCCTCTTCTCTCTCTGGCAGTTGATATTTTCTCTCGGAGTTGCACGGAGTTGCAGAGAAGCTTCAGTAGCAACTCGATTACTAGGCAAGTGAATTTAGCTCTTCTTCTTACGATCTTCTTCTTCAATCTTGCTATGATCCATTTCTATCTTTTCTTCAATCCTGTCATGATCGATTTGCCTTTATGTTGCTGAATCTTCATCATCACAGAATCTACGCTGTTCATTCTCTTGGAGTTGCAGAGAAGATTCAATAGCAGCTCGATTTAGCAGGTCAGTGGATGTTCTCTTCTTCTTAAGATCGATCTTCTTCTTCTCAACGTCGTTTCTTCTTCTCAACGTCGTTTGTTGATCCGACTCGTCATCGTCTCTTATCAGCTTCGTTGTCCACTGTCTCTCTCGTCGGCGATTTCTGGAGCGAATCTCAGGTATGTGATTTGAGCGTCGGATTTGCTCTGTTATTAGGCTCTGTGCTTGGGTTGAATCGAAAATTAGGTGAATCTTTGTTTCCGATTTTGCTAGAAAGTTAATCCCAGATTTCGGATTTCGGATTTGCATCTTCTTCTTCTCAATGTGGTTTATTGATTTGCGTTAATGTTGGATTATATGACTCGTCATCCTCATCGTTCGCAGAAGCTTGTTGTCACTTTCTCTCTCGGAGTCGTTTCGTCTTGTCTATTTTCTCGGAAAGTGTGATTGAGTTGAATCGAAAACTAGCGGAATCTGATTTTGCTCCCATAATCGGATTTTGCTCTTTGATGCAGGAATGGAAAACATAAAGCACGCAGCATGGCCTATGCCTCAAGGACCCAGTGTCTCTCCAATTTCAGATGAAGCTTTCCCTGCAAATGCTCTGATCAACGACAGGTCCAAAAGAGAAGAAAAGATGCGGTACATGGAGGAAGGAGTTACTTGGGCAAGGATCCTAGCATCTCCCACCACCACCACCACCACCACCACCGCCGCCGCCGCCACCACCGCCGCCTCCGCCACCACCGCCGCCGCCTCCACCACCAACACACACTCCTACTTCAGCACCACCAGTTACAGGATGAGACCTAGGAAGAACCTTAGAAGAAGTTTGGCTTAGTGATGGAGGAGACTGCAATGATGGCTACTTTTGGAGATGTGTAACTTTGTGCTACTTTTGGAGACGTGTTACTTTGTGGTTTCTCGTTGTATATAAATTCCTCTTTGAGTGTATTGGATCAACATAAAAAATGATTTTCTGGCTATTAATGGAGGATGAATCTAAGAGTTGGAACTTGAAAGGGTTTGTTTTGTTAATTTCCCTTGTGAAATTTTGGTTCATGTACTCTATAACAAATAACACAATTTTTACTATATTCTCATCACTTTGGTCTTCGTAACAGAAGCCTACGGTTGAACATAAAATATTAAAAATCACTGTCAAATTTTCAACTCTTGATTTCCCATAAGACACATGTATGCGGTAACTTCAAGCATTATGACATTTATCACTACAAAATACTAGGAGTAATTTTTAATGTCATTTATTTAGCATAATTAAGAAAAATGATGTTAACTTAAACTGATGCTAAGTTTCCTGATTTGTATCACTTATTTATAGCATCACTTGTTCAAAATGATAGTAGAACATAAAAATTTGTATCACTTATTTATAAATGATGTTAAACACAACATTTTAGTATCAGTTATCTGTAAATGATATTAAAAGCGATGTTTTATCTCCTTTTCTCAAACTATAGAAATTTATTTACTATAGCAGAATAAAAGAAAAGAGAAATTTTTTTATGTTGATCTCATCTCTCATCCTCTCACCTCGCAGCCTCATCCACAGACGCCGGAGCTGCCGTAACCGTTTCATTTGTTTTTTCCCTCGGTATGACGAGACCCAATCTTCATAGACTCGAACGTCGAAACCTCTTTGTGATTTCCTCATCCGATCCATTAAATCAGGGACCATTAGCCTCACCGTGCGCTCGATCTGATCGATTCTCGTCAATAACTCATCCAACGGATCTTCAACGGTTGATTCACCTGATCCAGATTCAGGTGGAATGTTCGTCATCGGAATCCTGGTTCTCTCGATCGATTAAAGACCGGAGGAGATTGGTCAGCTATTTTCTGATCGATTTCGGTCATCAGTAGTCCGGTATTATGAGCTATTATCCTGCTAAGGTGTTTCTGATCGATTTAGGGTATAAAAAACGAAGAAATGGGTAATCGTTCTCAGTCTAATTGCTTATTCTCTTTGCTTCTGATGGATTAGATGCTTATGTAGATACATTAGATTTGGATCAGTGCTTGATTGCTTTGGATTGATAGATTGACGATGTATATCAGTATTTTTCTGCCTTATCGATCCTCATTTCATGGTTGCATCTGGCAGTTTTGTTCTGTATATATTGTGTGCTACTTGCAATGATTTTGCGTTCGCTTAGAGGAACATCACATTTTTTTAACTTCAGCTTAACAAAGACTCACTGCATCTATCAGTGGAGAGCTTCATTTGCTGTTTGTTATATGTGACACAGTGATTAAAGTGTGACATTATTCAACAAAACATTGTTAATGAGAACAAAGCTAGTTTCAGTTTCTAGGTTAGTTTGATTTTCCTGATACTAATAATCTGTAGTGGTACAGAATCTGCTAGACGAGATGATGAATCTGATGGATGTGAGTTCTGTTTGATTTTCAAGAAACCCTTGGTAGGAGCTACATTGTTCCGTATGACCTTGACAAAGATGACCTCATGGGAGGTAAAGTTATTGTTGCGTTATTGGATATGTTCTTTAATCTGTAAGTTCTTTAGTAGGTAAAGTTCCTTTTCTCTTACGCAGTTTAACTGGATAGGAACTAATTGGATAGGTTACAGAATCAACCAAGTGTCTAGTTCCTTCTTCAGCTGTAAGTCTGTCGTATGTGTTGCATAGACATAAGAAAGGATTATAAGTTTTTGGTTTTAATAAGACTCAAAGTGCCATCACAATTCTTTTAATTTAGCTTAACTCACGGTTAATCAGGTACGGGCAGCCATCAAGGTTAAGCGATCCGTAATCATATGCTTTACCTCTTCTGGAAGAGCAGCTAGGTCCATACTCCATAGCACTCCTTTTGGCTTAAACTGTTGTGTTTAGCTTTGACTATACATTATTGTCCAATAATTTGTTATTCCTTTGATCTCCGTGCAGGTAAATTTGCAAATACAGGCAAAAAATTCTGGTTATTTATGTCGTCATTCCACGGGTTAAGACAAATATGCTGAAATGGAACTTTGGTGGAGCATTTGAGGTATGTTTGCACTCTGGTTCTCTCAAGTTTAGAACTCACAGACATCTCATTCTCTCAAGTTCAAAAATCATAGCTATGGCTTGCTGACTCCTTAACAGTGTTGTTTTAACAATGGTTAGATTGTGATTGTTTGCTTTGCAATATCCGAATCTTAGGAGATTAAAGTTGTTTAGTTTGTGCGTAATGTTTCTCCACAGGAGACTCTGCAAAAGAAGACAGGCTTCCTATCATTTGGACTGGGCTGGCGAGAGGGGAACAAGGTGAAGTACTTAAACCACTCGAGCTGATATTATATTCAGCCTTTTTGTTTTTTCAGGACTATTTAGAGTAAGATATTATATTCAGCCTATTTAGAGTGTAATGTTTTTACTAACAGGCAAAACAATCCGAAGAATCAAGTGGTGATCGTACTAGCGATGCTACATCTGAAGTCAAATCTCCATAAAAAGAAAGCAAATCCGGAGATCTTTTAAATCCTGAGACAAGACGCTAACTCATTACAGCAAAACATTTAGGTAATTTTTATGTGCTGAGATTGGGGTTAACTTTCCCTGTATGAGCTTTGCTATTTTTATCTTTATGTGTTGAAATTGGGGTTAACTTAGAGCTGAGCTTATGATGCAATTTGATGCTTATGATGAAATCTGATTTGTTCTTGGTTTGATCCTTTATTCTCGGATTGCAAATGTAGGCAAATAGTCTTATTCTAGGTTGCAAATAGCCTTAGCTCTTGTTCTGTTTTTGTTTTTTCAGGGCATAGTAAACATGAAGAAGAATACAAAGGAGAATAGATGAGACATACAACACATTGTTTTATTTTGTATTGTCAAATATGTAATTAAAGATATTTTGGTTAATATGACGATATTTTACATTGACAATTTGTTGATATTTTTTGTTGATATTTTATACAGCTAGACAAGCCAAGAATGACCATATTGTTGTTTTAAGTTCCCCTACAAATTTGATCTAATGAATATGAAAAGGTAAATTATAATTTTTAAAAATATTTGAAGTATATCTATATCAAAAGTATTTTTAACCTTTTATTATTTATTTCTAGGCACATCCAAACAGAAAAAAAATATGTGTGATGAAACATTCGAAGATTATCAGGATTTGTAGTTGCAGTTGATATTTGACGTTGGGCTAGCTACGGGGAAAAATGCTGTTGGCTTAGGGGATGATTCTCATGCTCAAACTTTTGGAGGCGCCGAAGATAATTCCCCCAGCGAGTTATATCATCGGCTTTTTGGAAATGTTGGAGGTGTTGATGGATCTCAAACATCGGGATCTGTGGATTCGACTATGCCACAAAGCAAAGAAGGACGTCGATTAGAAAAGAGTTAAAGCTGGAGAGTGTGGAGACTCTAGTATGGATGGCCTACGTATAGAGAAGACTTTCAGTGAAATGATTGGGAATTCGGGATGAGCAATCAAGTTGTTAGCTTGATACAATAAAGAGAAGAAAGACAACAAAGAGAAGCAAACTTGAGGGAAGCTGAGAAAAGTAAGAATAATATATTGGAAGCGATCAACACAAATTTCGATTCTGAGGAAAATGTTCGTTATGCTACACTGAATGAAATTCTTAGGTTAGGGATGAAAGATGTATTCATCAGCATGTCTGTCGAAGAACGCATGGGTTGGATATGGCGTAAGGTGAAGTGATGTTTTATTTTTTCTACTCTTGTTTTTCAGATGCTTTTTGCTTTACATACATACAATCTATGTTCTTTTTTGTCAATTATTATTATTAGTAACTAGATCTTGAACCCGCGCGAAATCGCGCAGTAACTCATTCTATGATAAATAATTTTCTAAAATTTGTTTGCAATCATTCTTACAATATTGTCTGCAATATATAAATGCATTTTATTGCCAATTTGTTTGCTAATATAAACAAAATTAGTAATACAATAAATAGTAGTTGTACAAAGTCATATTCCCTCTATCCCAAAATGTATGCAGTTTTGAAAAAAAAAATTAAAATATAAGCAGTTTTATCTTATTAGTACAATTTTTACTTTATCGAATATTGCGTTGTCAATTATATTATATAGTTTTTTTTCAAGATTGATGAAATTAAGTTTAATTTATACAGTATATTAAATAATACTTTATTAATTCTTTTTGATATTTTGTATGTTCGAAGGAAAAAAACGCACACACAATTTTAATTTATAAAGAATTTTAAAAAATGTCATGACTACTAAATATTATTTAAAAGTGAACAAATTTGACAAAAAAAAACTCAAGGAGTCCCGTAATTAACCAAATGTTTATATATTAAATTTGGAATTTGATTTATATATAATTGGTCTCGTGATTAACCAAATGTTTATATAATTTGAAGGTCTCTCTACTAACTGGGCATGATTCCCCGTTCATCTTCTTTTTTCCCAAATCAATTACATGATAGATATAAGTTATAACCATATTGATTGTGTTTGCTTCTCTCAAAACTATAAACCATTCCACAGTTTACAAAAATAAATTAACTATAAAAATGAAATGTAATACATGTGATATCTGTTAGTGTAAAGAAATATATTTATATGCAATTAGAAAAACATTCAAACCTTCCAAACATTTATTAGCAACCAAGAGAAATTATTTTAAAATTAAGAAGCTAAAAGAAACCATTATAAACTTCCAAACTTCGTCTAAAAAAATACAATAATTAGTTACATATTTGTATGAACAAACAAAATCCAATTGGAAAAATTTGAGTAAATTTAACATATAAGTACATATTTATATTTTATTGTATAGAAATAAGCTCATATGAAATTAATATAACCGAAGAAGATAAAAAACAAAACTAAAATTACACTTAATACCGCATATCATTTTTAAATCTAAAAAATTGCAATGTATACTCTTAGTTACGTTCGTCGGTCTCTATCTCAAAGAACGCTTGTCACTCTTGACTCCGATCTAGGGTTCACCCCTTGTGGGTTAGAACAGTTGGTAGAATCCTTGTTACTCTAATGTTAATAGCAGAAAACATTAACATGATGATCAATGATGATTAAATTACTCATAGAAATTTGTAAGAATAATTAACATTGATACAACCCCAAGAACAAAATTCTTGTGATTTTTTTTTAATTTATTTTGTTGATTTGAATTTTTTTAATTCAACATAACCAAACAACAAAGCATTTCGATTTGATTGCATTTTTATTTTAAAATAAATAGTTATGAATAAATGTACAAAGAAAATAAATATAGTAGAACAGTCACAATTCTATAATTAGATAATCTTTCTCTCTTGCAAACTCTCTTTATCTCTAACATATTCTCAAGTTTTGTTTTGTTAAAGCCACCAAGTCTTTATGTCGAAAACCAAAAGTTGTAATAGTTCCAAAGGTTTCTAATGGTCTCAAAAGTTGCAATGGTTACAAGTGTTGCAATAATTCACTTAAATCTCAAATATTGTTTTTTTTTCTTTTCGAAAACCTGCTCGTGATTGGTCCATGCATGGATCGGTAATTATGGTTAGTGCTTCTTTTTGACCAGTTTGTGCATTTGCTTCTTTACAACATTCCATGAAAAATTCTGCCTTTTAATCACATGCTCTATTGGATCCGCAGCTTGCTCCTTCTCCTCCTACAGTACAATGAAATACGTACCATATAATACTGCATGTGTAAGGCTAACATGTGCTACTGTTACGACCGCATTAGTCTACGTACGTTGTAAGGAAACAAATGTATGTTTATATTCCTTCTCAGGACAATTAGTTTACGTACGTTAAGTTTTATTATTCTATGATAAAATCTAAATAGAATACCTCTTCTTTTTCTTTATTTTCTTGTTCATGTTGCTTTGTAAACCAATTTAAAAGAAGAATATTGTATACACCATCTTCGATATGGAAGCAACCATTGTCACCATTGACCTAAACATCAATGAAAAAAATGTTTTGAAAAAGGTGGGAAAGAGGCCATAAAACCTAGGAACCTACCTCTATAGCAATTCATTGATAGTCATAGTATCGATCACTGAATACTAGTTCGTCAAATCTATAATCTCTCATTGCATCACATGCTGTATCCTCTTGCGTAATTCCAGCTTCATGCACACAAAAATAAGAATAGTGAAATTCTTTTGTAGATAATCTTACAAGAATTCATCAGATTTGTTTTTGGGTTTTTCCAACAATTAGAAGAAACAAAACCTAATAATTTTTTTTGTAATTTAATTTATACTTCCCGTAATCCTAAACAAGTATAAGAAACTCATACATGATAATGCTATCGAATCATGTTTATGTTTTGATGTTTATAAGTTACATGAATAAAAATTGGATGGACAAAATAGCTTCTGATTTGTACAGTTGTTGTTGTAATGTTTACATCTACCTCAAATAGTAAAAAACATATTTTATAAAAAAAACAACTTTAAGTCTGAAACCTATGCGAGATCGTGCATAAATTCTTTTTGAATAATGATTTATTTCTAAAATTTATTTGCAATGTATACAAATAAATATTTTATCATAATTAAAATAATTAGCAGTATAATAAAAATCGTGAATGCCTTTAAGTATTCACATATATATTTTTTTTTGAGAAATAACAACATATCTGTTTTATTTGATGTTGAATGAAAAAAACTAAGATTTTCAAAAGAAGAAGAAGCTCGTCTTAGAAAACTATCAATGATCAAGGAACATATTAAAAAAAATTGAAGTCTGTTTACAAGTAAAGTAATAACAAAATAAGAATTATCTTGGTAATTTATTTTTCAAATTTCTGTTTCATAAACAAATGGTAAATGATAATTCAAAATAAAAATTATATAATTGGAAGTACTTGAGATAATTCCTATATTGTATATATACCAAGCAGTTCAACTATCTTACCAAAATAAACTCTCTCGCTTTTTAGAGAATTCATACACGTTGTTCAGAACATCTATCTTAAATAGAACTTAGATTACAACATATCCACCAATTAAATTATTTTTTTTCAGTTACAAAGGCTAGGAAATAGATCCCGGGAAATTAAATGTATAGCTAACGAACCTGAGGAAAATAAATGGACTGTTGTAGAAATATTGGATTTGGGTTTGGTGCACTCTGTTTCTTCCTGCGTGGTAGATAACGTAATGTATAGTCCCGGAACGTCCAAAATGCTGTAAGGATTCTGAGGGAAAATTATGGACAGATATAAAAGATTTAGAAGAACTTCCTATGTCACTAAAACGTAGTCGTAGTCGTGTTAGGCTGATGATTATGGTGGAAATTTTGCTTTTTGTGGGAAAAGAAAGTGCCTGCTATGGGGCTTTGAAGAGAATTTTGTTTGGTGTGTTGTGATTGCGTTGAAAAGCGTAACGGACAAGACATCTACGGGAAGATTGGGAAGATTGAGTGATGTAATATTGTGTTTACAGTCTCTAAATTTTGTCGTTTATTGGAATTTATTGCTGTTACTGTTTGATGAATGAACACATTACGCCACTAATGTCGTTTCTATTTTCATTTGACGTTTTTCTATTATGTGTTGACATGTTATCTCCCTCTCTTTGTTGCTTCACTCTGTATTCTCTCCCAAACTCAGTCGTGTAACATAAAACCGTTTTGCTTTTTGTTTTCAGAAAAGCTTATTGTTTCACATGACATTACATTTGGTTACTTGAGAGGATGTAAATGTACAAACTTTGAAATCATATATTTTCCAAACTGGAATCTAATAAGGGCATGTTTCAATCACAACTGACCGAAAAACTTTGTTTTCTTTTTCTCTTGGTGTAAATTCAAAATGCAAACGTAAGAACTATCTATCTTTAGATCGATCCCACTTGCTTGGACATGCATAGTAATATTATTTTTTCTTTCTATCAATATGATGAAGTAATTTTCCAATTCTTTAAGTAGAATACATATGAAGTTTCACTGTTTAGACATGTTCTTAGTTTCAATCTGTTTCGATCCTGATGCTAAAGCAGAAATAGAGTTGAACCAGAGTAATTAATTACCATAGATGAAAAAAGATGATCACCTTTGGATGTCTAAGATCAACCGGAATAAATGTATGATCAAGATCTCCAGCCATACTTCCAAGATCTTCCTTATCTTATTAATATTGCATAACACAAATTACCCATTTCCTAAAAGCACAACAAAAACAATTACCAACAGCTTATCCCCAGTTCATGCCATTCTCAAACAACATCGTTTCGGTTACGAATCTACTAAACAATATATAATTATAATAACTTTTAATTATTATTTTCTCTTTAGTTACCGAATTTATAATCGTCACCATAATACTTCCAGAATATGTTAGAGAAAAGCACTCGTTAACGCATGCATGCTTAATCAACAGCAGTTCCAGAAGAAAAAAAAATAAAAAAATAAGCATTCGTTGCAACAACTAATTAATGTGATACCGTAAACATTGAAAACTGTAACTTACCTGATGTTTTTTCTACTAATTTACCTTTTTCTGAACAACTTGATGTATTTTTTTTTAAGGGTTACTATAATCTTTTTCTTTTGTAGTGAAAGGCTAACCGTCATGCTGCAACACCACACATATATATATATATATATATACATGCACATATTATCAAAGAGTTGTTAATTGTGATGGTTTATTATTACATAGTAACCAAAGGTTGTGATGGTTCATCACACCGATTCATTATACATATGAACTTTTTTTTTTTTGTTAAATAAACCCAACTATGTCTGGACTGGAAAACAAAAAGGATGCGATGTGGCTGCATTTCGGAAGAATTTCCTCAGGGATCATTAATATACATTTAAATTAGTTTGTTTTGATTAAGTATTGCAAGGGTTTGGATGAAGGAATAAACGTCATGGCAAAGTCGTTCTGGGTTTAGGTTTAGAGCGTCCGTGATATTTTTCCGTGAACTTGTGGGTTTGCAGTTTGCACTTTTGATCTCAAACCATGGTTCTATTATCTCAACCACTTAATCATGTACTCTTATTCTATCAAACCCAACTTTACTCTCATAAAAAATAACAAAATATTCCTTTTCAATGATTGATATTTATCAATTCTTTGTCTAGTGCTAATATCTAAGAATATCTAACATACTCAGAATGGATCTCTTATATTCTACAACATAGTGAATTTATCAATGCGTTTCAGAAAAATCACAACAATATATATAAAACTAAATCAACTAATGAAAACCATCACAAATTTCTTCTCTAAAATCAATTGGTCATGTTGAGGTAACATATTTAAAACATGTCTAAATGAACAAAGCCAGAAAAGAAACCAACAATCCAAATTCACTAAAATCAAATAACGTACCAGAGAAGTTACCCCATTAGTGAAGAATGGAGGCTAGGTGTTCTTTCTCTAACCAATGAAGTAAACAGGTGAATGTGGCAACAAACTACGATGTGAGTAAGAGATTATTAAAAACTACAAAATAGCGATGATAAGAAAAAAGGGATCAACAAAATCAGAATAATTTTTTTCAGAAGATTCTAAAATCAAAAACTGAAGGAGAAAAAGAGGTACTCTCTCCGTTTCAAATTAGTTGTCATTTTGGCAAAATGTATCTGCAATTATTTGGATGTATCTGCAATGCAAAACATGTCCAGATACATCCAAATATTTGCAGATACATTTTGCCAAAATGACAACTAATTTGAAACGGAGGGAGTATTAAACAGTATATATAGAAATGAAAATGTATCACTAAAATGTGCAACTTTTCAACAATTTAGCAGTTATAAGTTAAAAGATGCCATTGAAAAGACACAACTCTTTATATGAGCGGTTATAGATAAAACAGTTAAAAACGAAAAGGCCCGACAACAAAAGGCATTTGTTCAGTTTGCTATTATATTTAGATAAACTTTAATTTTTTCGAAAAAAAAACTGTTATTTATTTTAGTACTGATCTTTTCTTTGTTAGTTTAATAAATATTATTAATAAAATCAATATGTTCTTTTTCGTCTTAGTAGATAACTAGTAGAGTACCCGCACGTTTGTGCGGTGTGACGTTGTTGTTTTGTGTAGAAAATTTAAACCCTAAATCCGAACCCGACAAAAAACCCTAATCAAAAAATTTAAAAACCCAAACTTTTTTAATAGGTCTAAACATGAAAATCCGAAATCAAAAAAATCCCGAAAACCCTGACTGAACAAAAAAAATCTGGAAACTTTTTCACCCGGAACCCGACCCCAATACCTAATCAAAATTTTAAAATACTCAATTTTTTTAATATATCTAAACCCGAAAACCAGAAATCTAAAAAATCCGGAAAACCCTAAACTGAAAAAAAAAATTGAACCTAACCCGAACAGAAATTTTCAAAGAAACCCGAACAATTTCTATATCTCTATATATATCTCTATAAAATTATGTCTCAGATTTTCACCCAAACCCGAACTTGTCTATAAAAACCCGAAAATCCAAAAAGCATATTCTATTGATTTGGAATTATCGTTAGATTATGTTAAGTTTTTTTTTTGCAGATTTTTAAGAGATGGAAAACGGAAGTTTTCTAAACCATCGGTTTATTTTAAGTTATTATTCTTGTATCCAAACAATTTTTTCCATTTATTCTTCTATCCAAATAGATTTTTCTCTTATTCTTATATCCAAACAACTTTTGTTTCCATTTATTCTTCTATCCAAATAGATGTTTCTCTAATTCTTGTATCCAAACATTAGAATGTACTTCTCAATTAATAATATAAAGAAGTTACACTTATTCATTATTTATCATTGGTTTCTTTTTTTGTTTTTTTTTGTTTATTATGCGAGGTTGCTGGACGAAGAAGAAATCCAAATTGCAAGAGAACATCGAGGACGAAGATTCAGATACAACAATGTTGCATTTGTTGGTGACCATGATCGGATTGGCACAACTACTGATTGCACATCAATACTTTAAATTTAAAGGTTATATCGAGTATCCAATCCGACGATCCATCACAGGAGCTGGTTATGACTATATACACAATGTGTTACAAGAAGATCCTCAGACAATTGTATCGTATGTATCCAGATGTGTTTCTCAAATTGTGTGTGCTTATTCGAGATGCGACACATCTGAATATACGAGATTCATCTGTGTTGAAGAAATGGTTATTTTGGCTTTGTGCACAGTATAGTTGAATCTTGTAAGAACCAAATTTTTGGACATTCGAATTTTGATCATCTTAAACTCGTGTTACTATGATAATTGTTTCAAAAAGTAGTCTTTCTAGGTAGACTTTCAAAAAGTAACCTTTACTAAATTGTTAACAAAACTGCTTTGAAATCTTATATCTTTTGTTATTTTGAGCGAATTTTCTCTTAAGATCTTGTGTTGACTGGTTTCGACGTTGTGAATGATCAGGAGGATGCTTCCAATCCAGGGCAACCAGGACAAGCCCCTCGTCCTGCTGGAGCTGGAGCTGGAGCTGCACCACATGCCTAAAGCCTACAATCATTTTCCTCTCTGGGTTTTCTTATGATCTAGTTTCGTTTTTGAGGATGTTTATCTTTTTTTTTCTCCTTGAGATTGTTATGCCATGTGGATCTTAAATGCTGTCGAACTATTTCAATAGTTGATTCAACTTTGTTTTTTGCGCATAATATATATAGTCCTAACCTAATCTCAAGTTAAAAAACATGTGTTACGAAAGCAAAGGTCAAACACTAGAATTAGACGAAAACTTCTCTTACAAATAAATGAAAGTCTTGCAAAATCTCAATAAAGAAAAAACAATTATTAATAGTAAAATCTAAGGAACTCAGGATAAAAACCTAATAAACTAATCATCCAAACTTTATAATCCATACTAAAAAATTGGATCCTTGAGGTCTGTCTCAGACCGGTCAGACTGGTCTTGGTCTTGGTCTTGGTCTTGGTCTGATTGATCTGACTCAGACTTGTCTGACTGATCTGAGTCAGACTGGATGGCCTGGAGGATCATAGCTGCAATGTTATCTCCGCGAGACCCACGCAAGGTATCAAGAAGAGGCTCCAACTTGTCGACAAGATCATCTAAGTAGAGTCTTTTTCAAAACCCGATTCCCGTATTCATCCTTGGCCAATCTCACCAACGTATCTTCATCACAGTTGACAATCTCCATCACCATAAAAATCAAAGGCAGCATGAAATCTTGGTCAACTTCACCGAGGAGCTTCTCCACAATGTTGCTCCCATTATTCAGAAAGGAAAGCTCAATGTAGTGGCATTGAAGCCCACAAGCGATGAATTCCGTACAGCTCGAGTTGTGGATATTAATGGCGTGTAGTACGGCTGCGTTTCCCATAATAGGTTGTTTGGATAGGTAGAAAGCGTTGTATCCAACTAGGCGTAGGATTTGCTTATACACATTCTTGTTTCCTCTTTTCTCGAAAACGTTTATGATCCGTAACATGATGCGATGACCGTGATAAGTGATTGCAAGATCGGTGTAGCCTCGCCTGATGGCCTCCCAAAAAACTGTGTCGACTTCTTCTGATCTTCCAAGGATGATCTGAACCATGAGCAAGCCTCGTTTTGTTTTGACAAACTCCAAAAAGAGACGAGAATCTGACGTCAGCTTCGAGGCAAGGTTAAGAAGCTCCACCGTGTCACATGTCGGGAGTATCTCATCAAACTCCGCGAATAGCTCGTGCAAGCGCGTGTCGTCTTCTGTGGCTTTCCGTGTATAGTCGAGGTTAAGCACATGTTCGATTAAGGAGATTCCTAAAGCGTCCTCGCTTAGGAAGTGAGCGTGCAACGCCATTAGCTCGAGGAAATCAGATTTTAAGATGTCATCAGCTATTGTTATGGCTTTCTTGAGTGTGCTGCAACCGTTTTCGTCACGCGCCAAGAGAAGGGCGTGACGGTACGTGGTTTGGCAAAACGTGTTCTTTTGGTCAATGTTGCAAACGTCTAGGAGTCGTGACGCCAAAGCTTTGCCGCTCTTATGAGTCATAGTTGTCAAGAAACCTAGAAGGTATTAAGGGTTTTCTTGTTATTGATCACGATGCCCGGAGGCTACATATTTATACAAGATATTAGACCTAATGTATGTACTGAGTAAAGGACTAAAGTACCCTATACATCATCGTAACACCCCCCCTCAAGATGGAGCATGGAGGTCACAAATGCCCATCTTGAACTTGAAGTTTTCAAATTCTGCTGCACCGAGAGCCTTGGTCAAGATGTCTGCAAGTTGCTTATCAGTAGAAACGTGTTTCATAGTGATTATTCCATCTTTCCAAGCGTCACGTACAAAGTGACAATCATTTTCGATATGCTTTGTACGCTCATGAAACACCGGGTTCGCTGCTATGTGAATCGCAGCTTTGTTATCACAGAACAGAGCAATCGGAGCTGAGTGATCAATGCCCAGACTGAGAAGAAAAGCTTTCATCCACTTGATTTCCTTGACAGCGTATTGCATCGCTCTGTATTCCGCCTCCGCAGACGATAAGGAAACTGTGTCTTGTAGTTTTGCTTTCCACGAAACAGGGGAGTTGCCGAGTTGTATAAAATATCCTGTGAGAGAACGACGTGTGAGAGGACAGCCATTCCAATCAGAATCACACCAACCCGTTACTGTTAAAGGACAATCTGCACGAAGTAGAATCCCTTGGCCCGGATTATTTTTAAGAAACCGAACAACCCGAAGAGCTGCTTCCCAATGTGGAGCTTTGGGATGTTGCATAAAACGAGTCAAAATATGAATAGCGTATGATATATCAGGCCGAGTGGCTGCAAGATAGATGAGACGCCCAACCAAGCGACGATACCGTTTTGGATCAGGGATATCGTCACCTGTAGCAAAAGACAACCTGTGATTCTGTTCAAGAGGAAATTTGACAGGCCGAGCTCCTAATAATCCCGTCTCTGAGATTATATCAAGCGCATACTTGCGTTGACATAAGTAAATGCCCTTAGGGCTCCGAGCTACCTCAATCCCCAAGAAGTATTTAAGTACACCCAAGTCTTTCATCCGAAATTGTGAGCTAAGATAGTCTTTAAAAGCAGTCATCAACTCAATGGAGTTCCCTGAAATCACTAAATCGTCAACATAGACCAACACGTACATCTGTTTACCGTCACGATTGTAGAGAAACAACGAGTAATCTGAGAGACATTGAGTGAAGCCATATTCAAGCAGAGCCGTGGAGAGCTTAGCAAACCAGCATCTCGGAGCTTGACACAACCCATAGAGTGATTTATGAAGACGACAGACCTGAGAAGAGTCTTTAGTACGGAAGCCGGGAGGAAGTTTCATGAAAACCTCTTCTTCCAAATCCCCATGGAGAAAGGCATTATGAACATCCATCTGATGTATCTCCCAATTCTTAGCAGCACTAACCTCAAGACAAATGCGGATTGTATTCATCTTTACAACTGGAGCAAAGGTTTCTCCAAAATCTTCACCTTCAATTTGATTATTGCCTAGAACAACCAAGCGAGCCTTATACCGTTCGACAGAACCATCAGATTTGTATTTGATGGTAAAAACCCATTGACAACCAAGTGCGGTCTTACCCGGAGGGAGAGTTTCAATGGTCCAAGTTTGACTTTCATCCAAAGCTTCAATCTCGTTTTTCATAGCATCACGGAAACGTTTATCAAGTACGGCTTGAGAGTAGTGTTTAGGCAGCTGCGTACTTGATATAGCTTTAAAAATGCACAATGAGAAGATGAAAAACGAGAGCTGGAGAGATACTGATCGAGAGGATAGAGAGAAGTATCCTCCATAGGTTCAAACGAAAGATCTACTTCAGCCGATGTAGTCTTGAGGACGTAGTCATTAAGTTTGCTGGGAAGTTTACGATCCCGTTTTCCTCTGCCTAGTTCTTCGGTAACAGAGACAAGAGGTAACACAGCTGCAACTGGGGATGTCGGATTCGGTGGCTCAGATGGAGAGATAATAGTCTCCTCCGATGGACTCGAGGGCTCCGGTGGTGCAGGAATCAATGGTGTAGGTACCACTAAAGTTGGAGTTGGGTCCAAATCAGGAGGAACGATCTCAACAGCGGGGAGAATATCATCAAAGTCATCAATATCAAACACCAATGGTCGAACAAGAATACTAGGACCAGACGTGATAGGTGAACGATCAATGGTGGAGGGAGTAGAAAATGGAAATTTATCTTCACAAAATATCACATTACGGGAAATTAACATTTTGCGAGTTTCCAAGTCATATACCCTCCATCCCTTTTTGCCAAACGGATAGCCAAGAAAAACTGACTTCTTGCTACGAGGTGCAAATTTATCTCCACCGTGATGTAGATTGTGCACGTAACACAAACATCCAAACACACGAAGATGGTTGATAGGAGGAGGTCGATTATACAGCAGCTCAAACGGTGTTTTTCCACGAAGTATGGTTGTTGGAGTGCGATTGATAATGTATCCAGCAGCTAACACGCATTGTCCCCAAAACTCAAGAGGAAGTGAAGCTTGGAATCGAAGAGCTCGAGCAACATTCAGTATATGGCGATGTTTTCTTTCAACTCTGCCATTTTGCTGTGGCGTTGCGACACACGATGTCTCATGCAGGATGCCGTGTTCGCGAAAGAAACCATTCAGGCAGATAAACTCGGACCCGTTATCGCTACGTATCGTTTTCACTCGTTTCCCAAACTGTCGTTCGACCATAGCGATGAAATCTTTCAAGCTTTTGGGAGCTTGTTGTTTATCGGGTAGCAAGTAGATCCAAAGGGCTCGAGAAAAATCATCGAGGATAATTAAGAAGTATCGAGAACCACACATCGCAGGGGTGCGATAAGGGCCCCAAAGATCACAATGCACAACTTCAAAAACCTCTTTTGTTTTATTTAAACTCAACGGAAAAGAATCACGAGACTGTTTTGCGCGGATACAAACTTCACACGCCTTTGAATCAAAACTACTACAACCATTTAAATCTGAAATAGATAAAAAATCCATGGCTTTAGACGCAGGATGTCCTAAGCGACAATGTCAAATATCCGCCGATGCCTTGGTAGAGATATGCATTGCAGCAGCAACATCCATGGCTCTAAAGAAATACAATCCACTTCGTTCCTCACCCGCTCCAATCAGCGTCTTCATAATGCGGTCCTGAATAATGCACAATTTGTCAGTGATCTGAAAAACGCAAGTCTGATCGCGTGTCAACTGAGACACCGAGATTAAATGACATTTCAACCCTTCAACAAAGTAGACATTCTGAAGACTGAGCTCAGACCCTAACTGAACTGTTCCCTTTTTCGTAGAGATCGTGAAACGACCATCAGGCAATTTTATCGGAACAGGAGACATGTCACAGACCGTATCAAGTGCATGAACAGAGCCAGTCATGTGATTAGAAGCACCTGTGTCAATAATCCAAGAGGAAACAGAGATCTTACCAGTGAGTGTTGGTCCTGCAGACTGCTCACGTTCGTTCAAAATGTTCACCAAAGTTTGCCACTGCGTATCCGTCAGTCCACTAATCCCGATCCGATCTGCACCTGTAATAGCTGCGTGAGCTGCTGCTGGTGGAGTAGAAACAATCACATTAGCCGCAGCTGGTCGTACAGCAGGTGGTATACTACGACCTCGCCCGACAGCCGGTGGTGCAGACTTGCCTCGACCACGGTCACCATACCATTCCGGATATCCCATCTTGCGGAAGCACACGTCAGCCGAGTGACCTGTTTTTCCACAATAGGTGCAAACAAGACATGTTGTACCTCCTCTATTTGAGTTAGAGAAAGTTTGTTTTGCATTTGAAGTTTGAATTGCAAAACTCATCTCCTCGGTGCGAGTAGTAAGAAGACGACTCGTGACTTTAGCTTCTTCATCTTGTGCCAAAACTTGGTACGCTTCATCCAAAGAGGGTAAAGGATCACGTGACAGTAATGAAGACTTGACAGCACCATACACAGTCTCATCGAGACCCATAAGAAACTGGTGTAGCTTGTCTTCTTCACGCTCCTTAGCTAATTCCTCCATGGTTTTAGCTTGTTGATAGTCAGCTAGGCTCCTCCATAGCTGAGTTAATTTTCCGTAATACTCTTGCATTGCAAGACCCTTTTGATGGCAATTCGCAAGTTCTGTCTTGAGACGTTGAACGCGTTGCCCGTTTCTGACAGCAAAACGACACTTGATGTGGTTCCACAAGTCATGTGCCTTCTCATACGTAGTGAGAGAAGACCGCAAGTTTTCATCAATGGTAAGCTTTATCCACGAGATCACCATGGCGTTATTTGCCCACCAATCTTCATTGTCTTCGTTATCCGCCGCTGGTTCAGGAATAGTACCATCGACGAAACCGAATTTCTTCCTTGCTTTTAGGGCAAGTCGGAGACTTGTAGCCCAATCATCATAATTAGGGCCACGGAGAAGAGGTTGGGAAATCACACTCTCGGGATTGTCACCAGATGATAAATCGTACGGATCTATGGTTCTCCTTGTTCTTGTGCGTGCAACAACGACAGCCGCAGGATCCGCCATGTTTTAAGAAGCTCTAAGCGATAGAAGAATCAAACTTAGAGTAGGGCAAAGTAAAGGAGAGAAAATAAATCAGAAGGGCAATGAAGGTCGCTACCAAGGATCGACAATAACCGAGAATTTATATGACTCGATTATTGCTCTGATACCATGTCAAGAAACCTAGAAGGTATTAAGGGTTTTCTTGTTATTGATCACGATGCCCGGAGGCTACATATTTATACAAGATATTAGACCTAATGTATGTACTGAGTAAAGGACTAAAGTACCCTATACATCATCGTAACAATAGTCGCGGGGAATTTGTCTTGGTTGGAAAAGTATTGTGTTGATATCGTCTGATATTCCTAAGATCCTCATGACGCGGTCCAAGCCTGCTTCGTCGCTGATGATTTCGACCAAGTTATCTGACTCTGACGTTAGGGTATTCGCAAATTTCTTGAGGTCATCGGAGGCCGAGAGGATCCTAAGAAACTCGTCCTCGTAAAATTTTTCGCTACTAGTCATTACTCTGTGGCACCACCTGGTTTGTGCCTCAGAGTTGTCGTCGTGGATGCTCTCCATAGTTCGAGGGAATTAGTCCAAAGAGGTTCCTGTGTGGCGTTTGAACGATGTGAATGTTGGATCAGTAATGATTAGTATATTTTTATACTTTTCTTTTCTCCTTTTTAAGGTGGGTTTTGTATTCCTAACTAGAATCCAAGTGAGATTCGTTCGAGTTTCCATATTCCTTTTAAGTCGTCCTAAAACTGTGAATTTACTCAGTAATTATTAATTCATATTTTTCTATAATCATCTTTGCACGGTTCAAAATTTCCAAGTGTGGAGTGTGGACGACTTGCTCTGGTCCTTCGACTTGGCATTTCTTCGCTACGACTAGCTCTGGTCCATCTCGTCCATTAAAAAAAAATCTAATAGCTGCAAGAATTGTAGTTCATGCTTTCCGTCAAGAAGAAGAATCAGATCGTATCCACTCGCTGAGAAATATAAGAAGAGAGTTTCTTCCTTTTGATCTGCAGCAAAAGAGAACTTTCTGTATTCCAATTTCCAAACATGACTTTAAATCGTAAGACTAGTAGTAGAGGCATACAGTTTCCTTTCTCCATCGGAGATCGAATGATCATGGAGGTTTTAGTCTGAGATCTTACTCCATTATCCATACCGCCGGGATTGGAATTAACACTTTCATGTTTTAACAAACAAATTTTTCTTAACGCTTAGGGAAACAAAATGACTCCTCCACGGTTTGTGGGACGCAAGGCCGTTACAATGACACAATGCTTAAATGGATGGTTAAGTCATTTGGCTCTTGCTAAATCTTTGCACTCACTACATATGGAAATAAAGCTCTTTTAACAAAATGGATTTATCTTACGTTGAGAAGACAATGGACAATGTTGGGTCCAATGACTATATCATTTCGGTTAAATAATTTTTTTGTTTATTTAGTCCGTTAGCAGTATATATATACATAGACGTTAAACACATCCGTCCGTGAGAGTTTTTTCCCTCTTCGCTCTCGGAGTCCGAGATTTCTAGAGCCAAGATCTCAGGTATGTGAACTTCGAACTTCGGATTTAGCTCTGTTCCCGATTGATTTTCGAATCTTCAATATATGGACGACACTGTTCTACTCCCTCAGGACGCCGATTGGTGAGTTTCTTGCTGAAGAAGACATATATAACCCATTCATTTGAGGATTTGGGAATAGTTTGTAATAACTTTTGATTTCATAATTGGATTATGATTTTGGTGTTTTTGGTGAATATTTTTTTTTAATTGAATGTAAAATTAATTACAACCCAAAAGAATAATTTCTTACATCATGTGCACTATTGGTGAAATTTTATTTTGGTTGACTAGATCTTACTCCACCACCACCACCACCATCTTCTTACACGTATAGCCGGCTGAGGTCCCACAAAGCAGGAGAAGGAGATTATGAGATCTATTAATGTTTTCACTTAGAAATTGTCTCTTGACCTGCATGCAATCTAAGTTTACGTGACACTTTAGTTCCTCTTAAAGCTCTTTTTAAAATCTTTGTTTCATTTTGAAGTGGGGTGATATATATAGGTGTGTGTATGTAAAAAGACAATGCCTTGAACGAGTGTTGCTCTGAAGAATCTTACAACATCTTCTACCTAATGTCTTAGCAGCTCATTCACCTGATTGTGAAAATTTTGCTTACCGAATCTATGGCAAATTGGCAATAGAGAAACGTGTTCTCCCGTCTCCAACCATTCCAGTAGCAAAGTAATCTCCTTTAATCTCATATAATCTTTCATATAAAGATTCACTTGAAAAAAGGATGCAATGTAAAAAACAAAACAACTTCCTGCTATAATGATTGACGAAAAGAGCATTTTCAAGTCACTCACACACTTGTGTAATTTTAATTAAGACTTGAGCTTCAGTAAAACCATTTTGAAGGTTGATTAATCCAGCGTAGTGGATCAGTGTAACAATCCAAAATAGGAATCCTTCAAATCAAAAACCATTTCCATATCTGATCAGTGATCTAGATCAAAGTCTGGATAATTGAACCTAAGAACAGAAAATATGCATCCGAATGAAAAGCTAAGAACTTTTATTAAGAAGAAACCATTATCTTGCAATGACATAGAGAACAAAAAAAGTGAATGATCATACTTGCCTGCAGGACCAGATAGTTTTATGCAAACTTGAGAGTTCTGGTCGAATTGAACAGGGAAAAATCTCTGTTTGCGACCCAAAAAGAGGTCCTTTTGTGGCAGTCTCATGTTAACATATCACCAGGTACGAGCGATTCTCCAGAGTGAAGAACCAAAGCTCAAACTGTTTTGGACACAATCGTCCGGTTACTTGAAATAGTGAGAGACACTGCTCTCGTCACCGTGCAGTGAAGAGGGAAAAGAAATGGAGTTGGAGTGAAGATATAAATAGAGTTTTAGTGAGAGAAAGAAACGGTGGAGAAGGAGAAGAAGAAAAGATTAGTGGGTTACTTAGTGGTTGCGAAGAAAAATCATAAAAGCAAGACTAAAAAATAATAAAGCTTTTGATGATTATACTGTCGGAAGTACTAACCAGAAGTGGAATGAATCATTTACAAACGCAACTCCGATGATGGACACAGAAATGGACTAGTGGGTCTTTGTACTTGGTCAGCAGACAACTTTAAACTTAATTTTTCTGCAACAAGACAAATTTATCCGGTACTAATATTTTTTTTAGCCTCTTGTTTTTATAAGAAAAATTGTATAAGTCATTTGGAAGTTAATCATTTTTTCAAAACTTAATCTAGAAAAACTAACCAATTTTTTCCAAACTCAACCAACTAACAGCTATATTGGTATGTGTCCACTAAGGCTATTTTTATCGGTTTTATCAACAAATGTTAAGACAAACTGCTATGTAAACACAGATAAATTGCTAAATTTTGTTAACTAAAATTTATATTTGTTACTGCTTGCAAAAAAAGAAAAATTGAATACAAAAGATAGTTAAAAAGTGTTCTTAGTTCATTCGTTAGAGGAACAGGATCTAAAAAATGGACACTTGGATTAAAAACTCATGGTCTAATTCACGAGCAAAAGAAATGGTTTAAGTGGAGTAATGGGTAGATTGATCAGATTGACTAGGAGTCTAGGATGAAACTGGTTTGATAAGTTGAAATAGTTATTCTTTTTTTCTGGTAAGATAATTATAACTGAAATAGTTATTCATTTGACCCATCAATACCATCCATCATCATCATAACATTACCTGATTACCATACTATCATATTCATCACAACATATTCATCATTAATACATTATCATCATCAAGTGATTCCATAATTTTATTACCAAACTATAATTCCATAGCCGTCACGATTTTTTAACTAATATTTTGTCCCATTTTTGTTAAAAATTAATTAAAAAGACATATATAAAACAATTTTTTTATCAGTATCACTTGATTACAGAGTTTTCCGCCAAAAATATTATTTTTTACCATACATGGGTTTTATTAAATACTGGTAAATATTATGTAAAAAATACAAGAATTTTTGTTTCTATACAAATGAAAAAAATATTATTTTTTACATGCAAGTTATATATAATAAGATTTATCATCATCATGTGATTACACAAATCTTCCCGCAAAAAGAAAGAAAAAAAATTCTGTGACAGACAGATTTCTTAAAAATACTATTTTATCATATTTTGGTAAATATTAGGGAAAAGACATATGAAAATTTATTTCTATATAACTGAGAATAAATATTATTCTTACATACAAACTACAGAGTTTTTTCAAATAAAAACTAATTCCATGACAGACACGATTCCTTAAAATTATTATTTTTGTCACATTTTGGTAAATATTAGGTAAAAAATGAAAATTTGTTTATAAACATAAATATTACTTTTAGATACAAATTATATATCATAAGATTTATCATTGTCATGTGATTGCCTAATTATCCCACGAAAATATAATTCCGTAAGAGACACACGTTCTAAAAATTATTAATTTGTCATATTTCGTTAAATATTAGGTTAAAAACGTATGGAAAAAAAATGTTGTGACTTGTTCCTATACGAAAAATAAAATTATATTTAGACACAAGTTATAATCATATGCTTTAATAAAATTTATCATAGGAAAACAAGATAAATCTTATACCATTATTCAATTAAAGCTAGTAAAATATTCCGGCTGGAAAACGTATCCAAACACTAGATTTCATTACCAATTTTTTCTGTAAAATTATCCGTACACCGTAGATATCTATTTGTCGTTTCCTCTCTAATAGATTTGTATTCTTCGCTTTTTGTGCGTTTTACTCTCTTGTTTTTTCTCGCTTTTTTGCGTTTACTTTCGTTACAAATGTGTCTTTCATTCTTTTCTTTTGGAACTCCGGAGACCGGAGCAAGACGAAGACGAAAACAATGAACCAAAGTCAGATAAGAACAATTTAATAACAGCTCTTTTCTGGCTGTAATTTTGTGAGGACAGTGTAAATCGATTTTATTTGCAAAAAAAAAAAGTCAGATTTATCAGTTTACCCTTTTATTAACTTTGTTACCAAAAAAGATTTATTAGTTTTGTGGTCATAATTATTTTATATCTCTGACTCACAGTCCACGAAACTACCATAAATTTGACTTTATTTTTCCGCTGGGGATCGTTTCATTTTTCATTTACCCTTCATTTCATTTCATCTTATCTTCGTTAAGCACTAAGCAGCCCCCTTTTTTCCGCCGGAATTTCAGTATGTTTTTTCTTTCCTCCTGTAGCTTAGCTCTTTCACTGTTTATCTGATCTTTAAACTAATCACCATTTGTGCCGATTAATTGCACCACTAAACATTTTGGTGAAAACGATGTGCGTCAGCTCCTTTTTCACTTTTTTCTCTGTCGATTCGGCCTTAAATTCTAAATCTTTTGAGTTTTGCTGCGTTTCCTTTTCATTGTTAAAGACAAAGCTCTTTCTCTGCTCGTGAAATTTCACTTTTTTCTCGCTATTTTGTTTTCATTTTGCTCTCTCTCCCTCTCTCTCTCGTGAGGTGAAACATGAATGCCTTATGCCTATCAGTTACAGTCTTAAAAACCCTAAATTTGTTCACAAGTTTTGGCCTTTGTCAAGTTTTCTTCGTCTGAGGTTTGAAACTTTTTGATTTCAACGTCGCAGGATGAGGCAAAGCCACTTGGGTTCTCTCGGATTTGTTTAAAGGAACCTTCTTGACACCTGGACTAAAAGCAAAGGTACCTTTTTTTCTTCCGATACTTGCAACTCTTCAATATTTTCTGCAATTACGAGGTTGCAAAGGTCACATTTTTATTAGTTTGAATTTATGAAATTGAGATTTGGGGTGAGAGTTTAAGCTGTTGCAATCATTGACATTGAAGCTGGGCAAAATGTGAGAGGATCAGAATCTTTTAGTAGATTCTCTTTGGGTATTTATAAAGACTTGATTTTTAGTTTTTTTGGGGGGGGAGTTTGGTTTTGAAGAAAGCTATGAAAGTAGGGATACCTAACACTGCATTTACTATTCCATTTAATCATTCTCATGCTCTGTTTTGGTTTTCTTGTCTTGTTTAGAATGTAATTTACTCTCTGGTGTGGCTTGAATTGCTTTGAAGCATTTATTGGTGGAATTTGAGAATATCCAATCCATGATTTTGTTCTTTCTTTGTACTAAGCACTAAATAGATCTTTCCTGTCTTTTTTCTTCTTCTTTCTCTGATCTGTGGGGCTTCAAAGTTTCTACCTTGTCTTCATTCCCTTGGTTGGACCATAACTTTTTCTTGTTTGTTTAATGGTTTGTAGATGTCTTGATATGTCACTCTCATACAAGTAAGCTCGTTGGGGGTGAGGATTTCTTGGTTATCAATCTGAAGTTAGTTTGAAGTGTGTCTTCAAGAGACAATGTCACTCTCTCCGTCTCCGTCACTACCAGCAAGAAAACCAATAGAAGAAGAAGTGTGGATGTTTGCCGAGGAAAGAGCTCAGGAGATTCTCAGCACAATCCAACCTGTTTTTGTTGCAGACCGAAGTAGGAAAGAGATCATCGATCACGTAAAGACCCTCTTAAAGGATCATTTCGGAGTTGAGGTTAGAACTTTGGTGCTCATCTCACATGTGAGGGTCTTATTTGAAATCTTGTTTGGTGAACTTTCCTTCGGTCTCCACTTCTTAGGAATGCTTGTATCATATGATGTCTGGTTAAGTTTTCTTGCTGTGTGATTAGATTTGGAGTCAAGATGTTTATGTGTCTCTTCTGATTTGAAAATGCAATTCTAATACACTGTTGTATCCAGCAGGTCTATTTCTTTGGTTCAGTGCCATTAAAAACCTATCTCCCAGATGGAGATATCGATCTGACAGTCCTGACTCCTCATAATAAGGAGACAGAGATCGCTTCAGCATTGTGCATTATGCTTGAAGCTAAAAAGAAAGATCCTAATTTCCCTGTAACTGATGTTCTCTATGTCCCTGCACAGGTTTGCTTAGTTTCCTTCATGTGTTTCCCTTCAAGAAAAACTCATCTCATCATATGCTTAAATAGTTAGGTTGCTTACTGATTTCCTCTCATTGGCGTTTTTGAATGGTAGGTCAAGGTCATAAAATGCAGGATCAGGAACATCTCTGTAGATATCTCCTTCAATCAAACGGCAGGACTCTGTGCTTTATGTTTTCTGGAGCAGGTAAAACACTTAAACACCTTCCGCTTATAAACAGTTTTTTTTTTGTTTTCATCATCTATCCTCAGCTGATTTGGTAATTCTTTGATTGTGTTGCTTTGTTTAGGTTGACCAAAATTTTGGGAAGGATCATCTGTTCAAACGTAGCATCATTTTAATTAAGGCCTGGTGCTATTATGAGAGCCGTATCCTCGGTGCCAACACTGGACTGATCTCAACATATGCATTGGCCATACTTGTCTTGAACATCATCAACATCTCTTATTCATCACTATCTGGCCCTTTATCAGTGAGCATTTTCTTCATAAACCTGAGCTTATTTTGGGCATTGCTTGCAAGATTAACAGATGAATCTCTAATCTCTGTAATCAACAGGTGCTGCTTAAGTTCTTGGAGTACTATGGATCATTTGACTGGGACAAACACTGTGTCACTGCCAATGGTCCTGTCCTGATATCTTCTCTTCCAAATATTACTGGTAAGGATGCTGAAATCACAAGACACTCCTCTTCTGTTTCCTTCCCTAAAATTTGATACTTGAACATTTTTTGTTACCTCCAGAAACTGAGAATCATCAAGTTTACTTAAGCGAGGCGTTTTTCAAAGAATGCATGGAGTTGTATACTGTTTCAATTAAAGCTACCGATCCCAGCAGGCTTTTTTTCCCTGTAAAGTATTTGAACATATTGGATCCTCTGAAACACAGTAACAACCTTGGACGCAGTGTGACAAAAGGTACTCTCATTGATCAAAGATTTCTATGCTGGTGATTTGGTCTCTTTAGGTACAAAATGTGTGATGTTTTGTGTAATCTTGTCTAGGGAATATGCAACGTATAAGGCATGCTTTTGCATTAGGAGCTAGAAAGCTCAGAGATGCTCTAACTGTGCCGCCTGTGGAAACAATGGGTTGGAAAGTGGAGAAGTTCTTTAGTAATTCACTGAACAGGAACGGTAAAGGGCAAAGACAAGACGTTGAAGAACCTGTCTTCGCGTTTGGCACTGGAAGGGCAAACTTGTCTGAGCTCAGAGGTGATTTTGAAGCATACTTCAAGAGCCTTGTCTCCGGGAAGCTGTTTCACGGAGAGATTCAGCATAAGTGGTATGTGACCGGAGAAAAGCATGGTTTCTTTTGGAAGGATCTGAATTTATCAACTATGATGCCGAACATACAGAGATCAAGAGGCACTGGGACTTACATTCCTGAAATGGTATATTCACTCTTTCACTCTCTTTGGTTGTTTTTTTTAAAACGTAATTTGTTTCTGAATTGTATGATTTATCAGTTTTTGTTTTGTTTGCAGAGTCAAGAATCTTACGCTGAGAGGTTCAGTAGGAAACCAAGCACAGTGTGCGCATCATTACCTTCAACATCAACATCTCAGACTCAGACTCAGACTCAGCCGCTCAAGCAGAATCCTTGAATTGGCTTCAGCTTTTGCATAAAATAACTTATCTTAGACTTGTCTACCAACATTAAACTGTGGCAAGAGTTTCTTTTTCTTTTTCTTTAATGGTGCTGAAATTGGAAGCTCCAAAGGTTGGATTTTTTTAGGATTTTATTTTGGTCAACTAGGATTTTCTATTAGAATTCTCATTTGACTTATCTGTTGACCCATAATTCTTTCAAGAGATTTCTTGGACAAAAGAAAGATTTATATGATTTGTTGGAAATCTTATTAAACCTTTATATAGATATGCTTGATTATCGTAGTACTTTGGTCATTTAGAGTAAACAAAAAAATCACAAAACACATGAGACGACAATATCCAAATTGTAAGATTGTTATTACAGTGCAATGACGCTGTCTTACAAGTACACTTTGAGTTTGATCTGTTTGAGAGGTTGTTGTCACTGATCAGTGGAATTAAGGACCCACCAGAGATCTTTTAGTACCACTCTTATCCATTTTTTCCGTTGATATCCTACGTGTGATGACGATATAGTTCCAAAGCATTACGTCATCTCTCACCATCAATATCTATTCATCTCCATGTGATATCCTGTATTGGAGAGCGATTCTCTAGCACGATGTGTCGATTAGTTTGGTTGATTAGTGTTTGATTCTCAAAGAGATCTGAGCAATATCAGATCTAAATTTGGAAAGTTGTCACGAGTCACGATTATTGGCTCACTTCCTTTTTATTGAAGCTAATTGAGACATCATTAAACATATTTTTCAAATTAATGAAGTTGATAGTGTATTAGGATCGGATCCCAGTGTTACATACGTGTCTGTTTGGAAAATCAGTAACATTTTTTAATAACTTGTAATGCATTTCTAACAGACATGATTATTCAAAAGTATATAAGTTAACCGGCAAATTGTGGTCCGGTGGTAAAAGACCCTCAGTTGAGATATCCGCTACCTAGGTTCGAGTTCTGACCACAACGAATTTAACATCTCTTCCATTTGGACGATGGATCTCATTTGTGGGGATAGTTGAGAATGTGGATGTCCGGATACTAGAGTTATAAAAAAGAAAAAAGTATATAAGTTAAAGACAAGCGCAATTACTTACTTCTTCTGTGCTGGAATTTTATGTCGTTAGATATTGTTATAAATATACTTATATACTTGTATTAATTATATACACTTTAGAGGGTCGAGCCTCAATGCTTTTATGATTTCAAAAGCAACTACTTGTCTACTTTATAACGAGTCTGTCTGCATTTGACTAATGACGGCACGTGTCTCCGATGATTACGTTGCTGGATTCTTAAACAAAACTATTTGTGCAATTCAAAGTCTCCAAACTTTCTCCTAAATATTTTTTGTTGGTAATGAATTTTCCCCTAAGTATTACTTTGTGACATATCACATATGCATCTTTTTAAAAAATTATTAATTAGTTTCTTTGATTTAAATCACCAAATTATTAGATAAAATCTCACTAATTATATTGTCTTCTCAAATTTTTCAATTTGCAACAAATATATGAGTTACGGCTTGTCACAGAACAAAGCATGCAGTGATTCATCATTACGATAAAATAAAGATAACATAAACAAGAAAATAAGAAAGTAAGATATGGCCAAGTTATGAATTTCATCATGACCATTGTTCGCCAATTTCAACAAAGTTGGCCCTCCAGATTTAATAATGCAATGCTTCTTTTCTTATATATGTGTATGATACTGTAAACAACAACAACACAATCTCCCCCCCACAATCTCTTGTGATACCTTAAAAGAACATGTAGAAAAGAAAAAATCTCTCATTTTCACCATTTAAATTGATTGTCTTTTGAAGAAGATAGTAAAATGGCTGCAAGGAAGATCAATTTTCACGTCTTACTACTCTCGTTCTTACTCATCTTCAAAGTCCCTTCGATTCTTGGGTTGAGTATTAGAGGCACTACTATATCGGATCCGAAAGCAATTCACGGGCACGGCGGAGACTTCCCGGTGATAAAGAGCAGAAAATTGTTGGTTACAAACTTGGAAGTTGATTATTCAGGTGATTATACTGATGGAGAATCATCGTCGTCATCATCAACACCAGCATCACCAGTACCTGATTATGATGATATATATAGAAGACAAGGTGATGTTCCAAGCCCCGGTATTGGTCATTGATCATATATGCATCATGCATGTATTTTTCTGTTCACACACATACTGACATACATATACACATTCTCCGTCATATATTTATACATACGTGTTGTTTATAGTATATGTTTTTGTCCTAAGAGGTTGTCTCCATAAAATCATACGTCATATATTTATACATACGTGTCTGATTTTTTCATGAATTTTCTTTTACAAATTTGAATTATCTCATTTCCGCGTGTTGATGGGAGCGCCAATGCTTTATGTATGTAATCTTAAATTGCCAATGTAATAACACTCGTTCGATAACACTGAACTTGTCTCTTGTAAATCTGTTATAATTTTTTTTTTTTTTTTTTTTTTGTGTTAAAAACGCTTAAAGTATTTTTAAAAGCATTACCGTTTACAACCTTCGAATAAATCCAATTTTACGGAAAAACATTGAACCAAATGGGTTTTTGTCAAACCGTAAACTTAACCGGAATCACCCTGAATCAGTAACATATTATATAGTTTCATGATCCCAAAAACATCTGAAATAAAAAAGTGGAAAAACACGAAAACATTCCGTTAGTTGGTAACAAAAGGAACATTCTGTCGTGATCAGTTATACAGTACTCTTTGGCTCTTCAGGTTTTGTAATTACAAATTATAAATTTATAATAGCTATCACAATTATTCAGATTTTGGCGTAAACAAAGCCGGAAAATAAAAAACACTTTCACATGTGCAGTGTTCCATTAAAATAAGAAAATTACAGCCAAATACAAAATCTGCAACTGAATGAAATTTATTTCCGATTATTTTTTGATAAATTGATTGCCAAGAAAGATATTACAAATACATTTTGTATTATGCTTTGAAATAACAAAGCTAGTCTGATTTGTTGTGATGCATCGCACCGCATGCATATATAATATTAAGGCGTTACATATACTATATGATTTGGTAGAATGTCCCTTTATACATGCATTGAATCCATCGACCAACTAGAAGTTTTGAGTTATATAATTATAGAAAGAAGATTGTGGAGAGCAAGCTGAATCAAATAGGAATCGGATTCCGATCCATTTATATAATTGTTCCACTACAAAAATGTCAAAATGAGAAAGTGGGTGGAGAAAGATTATAATTTCACTTTTCATCTTTAAGTAGCAAGAACATATAAAGGTTGAATTTCCTCAACACCTAACAAAAAGGAGATAAAGAAACATAAAAGAAGAAGCATAAAAAGAAGGGAATAGAAAAGAAGCACCAATCAATGACTTTAAATTCGATTTTTTCAAACACAGATGTTTATATTTGAGTGGTTGCTCAAGGATTGTGGACTCCTGCATGTGAGTCGACCGTACCCTACAACAGTATCAAAGGCAAAAAATAATGTTTTTGCGAAAAGGATGATCGTTAAAGAATATAACTTGAAGATGTGAAGATGTGTACAACAAAACAATACGTAATCGTGGAAATTTGCGATATATATAGTATTTCAAAAATGCAATCTTGACTAAAAAAATTAAACAAAATAGATGCAATCTACTTTTTTCTTCTTGGTCAAATAAAAAGGATATAATACCACAATTAAACCGTATTTAGGCATACAAGTTACAACTGTATATATATTTATTTCATTTAATGATTTTATATCCTGCTATTTTTTATTAATTATTTATCACAACAATAGGAAAAAAATCTTATATACATGGCCTACCGGATTGATTACCATTCATACATTTTTCTTACAATCTACCATAATTCAAATTAGTCGGTAACTTTTTTTTGAAAAGAAAAGATAATAATAAGATAATTTAAAATTTATTAGTGACTATAATAACAGTATTGTTTTTGACTAGGTACGCGTTAATAACACGTTTAACAAAAACATACCGCCTTTCCTTTATTTTAAAAAGCCGTTTTCGTTCAGCAAACAAACAGTTTTGTTGCAACAAAACAATTCATAAAATAGAAGAAGAGAGGGAGAGAGAGAGAGTGAGGTTGACAAAGACCAAATTCTGAGGCTGATCAATGGTACAATTAGCTTCATCAATGGCGGAAATCCAGTGGCAGTTGGTAAGTAGAGAAATAAAAAAAAACTCAAAAATCTTTTTCGTAAATGTAACTGTCGGAGGCACTCACGTGTTTCTGTCTCTTCACCTGTAAATTATTCTCGCCACGTTTTCACGCCCTTTCGTTTTCCCCGAGAAAACGCGAGAAAAATAAGATTAAAATTTTAAAGTTGTTTTTCTTCGTAGCATGTGGAGGCTATGGGTTCGTCCTCTTATCTTCTCCCCTCTCTTTGTCCTCAAATATCTTTATTTTGAATGATAAGCTTTAAATCTCTTTTTTTCTTATTCATCCAGCAAAAATTTAATTTAATTTTTTTCTGCTAGTGGAAACAAATATGGGCAAAAAAGCCAATAATTAATTTTAGCTCCATTTATGGCTAAAAAAGCTTTACACTAGGCACACTTTCTCAAGTCAATTGATTTTCTGGGCTTTTCTTACCTTTACAAATGGTGCGTTGCTCCTTAATCAAGTTTTAGGGATTTAAACGGTTTTATTAGAAAGATCATTTCTTTTCTGGGTTTTATTCAGATTCGGGTAAGGATTGACGAAAGAGAATCAATCAGATTGTGAAGAATTAGCATGTGCGTGAATGTGACCTACTCTGTTTTCATTATCTCTAATTTGGGAACAAAGTTGGGTTGTCGTATTTATTGTTACTTTGTAGGTTTCACTGTATTTTGACAAGACTTTTCATTTTCCCTTTGCCAAAATTACCAAACTTTTGAGACGAGATTCACAAATCTTCTTCCTTTTTCTGATTCCCAGGTTCTTCTTATAGCGTGTTAGGCTGAAAGAAATTCAGAGTTAAACCAAACCATGGATCTCAATTTCGGCAAATGCTGTGGCTCTAAAAAGGTTTGTTTTCTCTTTGAGATTTGTTCAAATTTAGGAGCTTTTTGGAGATTGAATTGAAAAAAAATTGATACTTTATGCAGAAGGAATCATGGAGGTCGGTGTTGCTCCTTGCTTATCAGAGTCTTGGTGTTGTCTATGGAGACTTGAGCATCTCTCCGCTTTACGTGTTCAAGAGCACTTTCGCTGAAGACATTCGTCACTCAGAGACCAACGAAGAGATCTACGGTGTCCTCTCTTTCGTTTTCTGGACTCTTACTTTGGTTCCTTTGCTTAAGTATGTCTTCATTGTCCTCCGAGCTGATGATAACGGAGAAGGTGAGAGAGAGAGAGACTTCTCTTAGACCAGAAAAGTCACCGACTTTGCTGTTTGCTTATGTGGTTATGTTGAAATTGTTTGTCTCAGGTGGGACTTTTGCTCTGTATTCACTGATATGCCGTCATGTGAAAGTAAGCCTTCTTCCGAACCGGCAAGTCTCCGACGAGGCGCTGTCTACTTATAAACTGGAGCATCCACCGGAGCTGAACCATGACTCGTGTGTGAAGAGATATCTGGAGAAGCACAAGTGGTTACACACTGCTCTGCTGCTTCTTGTTCTTCTTGGGACTTGTATGGTTATTGGAGATGGACTTCTCACTCCAGCTATCTCCGGTATGTTTGTTTTACATAGCTTAATGTCTAATTTACTGGCTATATAAAACTTCTAATCTTTCTTCTTTGTTGTATGTTAGTTTTCTCTGCTGTGTCAGGTCTTGAGCTGAATATGTCTAAAGAACATCACCAATGTAAGTATACAATCTCTAGCAAATGTTAGTTTTTGTCCTACTTGAGTTTCTGATGAATTGATGGGACTTCTTTTGCAGATGCTGTGATTCCTATAACCTGCTTCATACTAGTCTGCCTTTTCGCGCTTCAGCATTTTGGTACGCATCGCGTTGGGTTTGTTTTCGCGCCTATTGTCCTCGCTTGGCTGCTCTGTATAAGCGGTATAGGCTTGTACAATATAATACAGTGGAACCCTCATGTGTACAAAGCTCTCTCTCCTCAGTACATGTTCATGTTCTTGAGAAAGACTAGAGTTAGTGGATGGATGTCTCTTGGCGGGATCTTGCTGTGTATAACTGGTGAGTCATTTATTTAAAATCTCTTGTCTCTCCTCATGTTGTTAACTCGTTGAGGGTCTCTGGTTTTAGGTGCTGAGGCTATGTTTGCTGATCTTGGTCACTTCAATTATGCGGCAATTCAGGCAAGTTTCTTCCTACTTTAGTTTGTAGGCTTTACTTGTTGATGTATCTTAATTCTGTGTGTTTGTTTGTTGTAGATTGCGTTTACATTCCTGGTTTATCCAGCTCTGATATTAGCATACATGGGACAAGCTGCTTACTTGTCTCGGCATCACAACTCCGAACACGCGATAGGGTTTTACGTCTCTGTGCCAAGTCAGTTTTTACTTTGCACTTTATGCAAGAACTTGAATTGACCATTGTTGAGAACAAAATCTGAACTTTTTCTTTGGTATTGACGTTTGATCAGAATGTCTGCACTGGCCTGTGCTTATGATAGCGATTCTTGCGTCTGTTGTGGGAAGCCAAGCGATCATAAGTGGGACTTTCTCAATCATAAACCAAAGCCAGTCTCTTGGCTGCTTCCCTCGAGTCAAAGTCATTCACACCTCAGACAAAATGCACGGCCAGATTTACATCCCTGAGATCAACTGGATGCTCATGATCCTCTGCATCGCCGTCACAATCGGCTTCAGAGATGTCAAACACTTGGGAAACGCATCAGGTCTGGCTGTAATGGCGGTGATGCTAGTGACGACGTGTCTCATGTCGTTAGTCATCGTTCTCTGCTGGCACAAGCCACCGATCCTAGCCCTAGCCTTCCTTCTCTTCTTCGGCTCCATAGAGCTTCTCTACTTCTCAGCCTCGCTTACCAAATTCCGTGAAGGCGCTTGGCTTCCGATCCTCTTGTCCCTCTTCTTCATGAGCATCATGTTCGTTTGGCACTACACAACAATCAAGAAGTACGAGTTTGATCTCCAGAACAAAGTCTCTCTCGAGTGGCTTCTTGCGTTAGGTCCAAGCTTAGGTATCTCTAGAGTCCCCGGTATCGGTTTAGTCTTCACCGATTTAACTTCCGGTATACCGGCTAATTTCTCCCGGTTCGTCACCAACCTCCCTGCTTTCCACCGCGTCCTCGTCTTCGTCTGCGTGAAATCAGTCCCGGTCCCGTTTGTTCCTCCTGCCGAGAGATACCTCGTGGGACGAGTCGGTCCAGTGGACCACCGGTCGTACCGGTGTATTGTCCGGTACGGTTACCGTGACGTCCATCAAGACGTGGACTCGTTCGAAACAGAGCTCGTGAGCAAGCTTGCGGATTTCATACGTTACGACTGGCACAAGAGAACGCAAGAGGACGACAATGGGAGATCGGTAAGGTCTAACGAGTCATCGAGCGAGTCGAGGCTGGCCGTGATCGGAACCGTGGCTTACGAGATCGAGGAGAATCTACAGCCGGAGAGCGTCTCGATCGGATTCACCACGGTGGAGAGCATGGAAGACGTCATAGAAATGGCTGAGGTGGCGCCGCCGGCGGCGACGATAAGGCGGGTGAGGTTTGCGGTTGAGGAAGACGGTTACGGGGACGGAGGCTCGTCGTCGTCGACGGCTGAGGCGGAGGCGGAGCTGACGAGTGAGCTGAGGGATTTAATGGCGGCGCAAGAGGCGGGGACGGCGTTTATATTGGGGCATTCACATGTGAAGGCGAAACAAGGATCGTCGGTGATGAAGAGGATTGCGGTTAATTTCGGTTATAATTTCTTGAGGAGGAACTGTAGAGGACCTGACGTGGCGCTTAAGGTTCCACCGGTTTCTCTTTTAGAAGTCGGCATGGTTTATGTTGTCTAAATAATAAAATAAAAACATATATATAAAAGACCTAGTTTTCACTTTGTAAATTCGTGATGTACAATCTTCTTCTCTTTTTTTTGGGTTCATAGAATCATCTGTGTTTGACTTTTGAAAAATCAAGATGGTCAAAGTGTTTAGACTTTAGACTATAGTAGTTTTTAAGTTTCATAATCACATAACTCACAATTAAGATCACAATAGCACAGAAAACGACCTATTATGCAATTGGGCATGGATCTTGGCGAGAAAAACCTAAGCAGATATGGCAGGAAAGGCCCAACTATACACACTTGACAAATTGTTCTTTTTGGTTTTCCTGTGTTTTAAGGTTAACCTAACTTACATGGGATTGGGTTTTTCTTGTGTCGAAAGTAAAAAACTTTTTTCTACTGTCTTCAATCTTTGTTCTATATATGCGTCTTTTATTTTGTTTTGAAGGTTAACCTAAGAAGAAGAAAACTAACAAAGTTTGCACTAAATCGATCCTCTCGTAAGATAAGATGATGATGAAGAAGAAGACGATGTCGAATCTTCCAAGGGATTTGTGGGAGGAGGTGCTGTCTAGAGTTCCTTTGACAAGTCTGAGAAAAGTCCGATCGACTTGCAAAAAGTGGAACACTTTATCCAAAGACAGCTTCTTCGCAAAGAAGCATCTAGGTCAAGTAGCAGAAGAAGCCAATGAGTTAATGGTGGTGATGATGGATTATAGCGTTTATCTCATGGGATTCAATCTTAACCCTGACGCTGAATCATGTATAAAGCGGCAAGGCAAACTTATTTTCCCCGGTTCGGATCAAATCGAGGTAGGCCAAGTGTCTCATTGCGACGGTTTATTGTTATGCGTGTCGAGAGACCGCAATACGCTGGTGGTTTGGAACCCGTATTGCGGGAAACCCCTGTGGATCGAGTCCGAAAGATCTGTAGGTTATTTGTATACCCTCGGATACGACAAGAGCAAAAATTCCCACAAAATCCTAAGATTTAGGGGATCCGTTGATTTCACAATCTACGACTTAAACTCTGATTCTGTTTCTGAGAGGGTTCTTGATATCGCTCCAGACCGGATGGAATATAACGACAATTCTAGCGTGACTCTCAATGGAAATGCCTACTGGCATGCGACAAAGGTGGAGGATTCAGACAACCTTGACCAAAATTTCTTAGTCTGTTTTGATTTCACAAGAGAGACATTTGGGCCAAGGTTGCCTCTACCGTTTGAGCATGTGTTTGTAGACGTAGATACTGTGAGTCTATCTGTTGTCAGAGGACGAGAGAAGCTTGCGGTTTTGTTTCAGCCATGCGATACTTACAAGGTGGAGATATGGGTTACGAGCAAGATTGAGCCCGACGCCTTGACGTGGGAAAGCAAGGTGTTCTTGGAAGTGAGTTTGAAACAAACCATTCACCCTCAGTTTCAGTTTTTCATTGGAGGTGCTAGTTTCTTCATTGACGAGGAGAAGAAAGTCGCCATGGTTATTGATAAAGAGTTCGATCGCGCTGTACAGCCTACTCGCCACCAAGCTTACATCATTGGAGTGGATGGGTCCTTGAAGAGAGTTGATCTTGGAGAATCTGCTGACAAACATAATATACCACTTGCGTGCTCTTATCTTCCAAGTTTTATCCAACCTAGCTAGAGTTCACTTGCCTGTTTTCTCTTTTTTCTTCTTTGAACAAGGTTGTTAGTCATTATGTAACCAAGTTGCTGTTGCATGACTATCAACGAGACATGATTGTGAGAGACGGCATGGTTTATGTAGAGGACCTGACGTGCCGCTTAAGGTTACACCGGTTTCTCTTTTAAAAGTCGGCATGGTTTATGTTGTCTGAATTATATTAAAAAAAACATTTATATGAAAAGACCTTATTTTTCACTTTGTACATTCATAGAATCATCTGTGTGTTTATGAGTCTGGGTTTCGACTTTTGAAAAATCAAGATGGTACTTACAAGTGTTTTAGACAACAATTTGGGAAAGGCCCAACTATACACACTTGACAAATTGTTCTTTTTGGTTTTCCTGTTTTTAAGGTTAACCTAACTTATATGCGATTGGGTTTTTTCTTGTGTCGAAAGTAAAACCTTTTTCTGCGTCTTCAATCTGTGTTCTATATAAATGTGTCTTTATTTTGTTTTGAAAGGCTAACCTAAGAACAAGAAAAACAAACAAAGTTTGCACTAAATCGATCCTGGTAAGATAAGATGAAGAAGACGATGATGTCGAATCTTCCAAGGGATTTATCGGAGGAGGTGCTGTCTAGAATTCCTTTGACAAGTCTGAGAAAAGTCCGATCCACTTGCAAAAAGTGGAACACTTTATCCAAAAGCAGCTTCTATATCCAGAAGCAGCATCTTGGTCAAGAAGCGAAGGAGTTAATGGTGGTGGTGATGGATTATAGTGTTTATTTGATGGGAGTCAATCTTTGGGACAAGGAATCATGTATAAAGCGCCAAGGCAAACTTATTTTCCCCGGTTCAGATCAAATCGAGGTAGGCCAAGTTTTTAATTGCGACGGTTTATTGTTATGCGTGTTGAGAGACCACACTAGGCTGGTGGTTTGGAACCCGTATTGCGGGAAGCCCCTGTGGATCGAGCTCACAAATAAACTCAATATATGGCCCCATTCTTCGTATGCCCTCGGATACGACAAGAGCAGCAACTCCTACAAAGTCTTAAGATTTAGGGATTATTCTATGACCGGGGTTTCCATTGATTTCACAATCCACGACCTAAACTCTGATTCATGGAGGGTTCTTGATATCACTCCAGACTGGAAGGTGACTTTCTTTCATGCTGGCGTGTCTCTCAATGGAAATACCTACTGGCTTGCTACGAAGGCGGGGGAGTCAGACGAGTATGAAGATGGTTGCTTGGTCTGTTTTGATTTCACAAGGGAGACATTTGGGCCACGGTTGCCTCTGCCTTTCGAGCATGTGCTTGAAGATACTGTGAGTCTATCTGTTGTCAGAGGAGGAGAGAAGCTTGCGGTTTTGTTTCAGCCATGGGATACTTTAAAGGTGGAGATATGGGTTACGAGCAAGATTGAGCCCGACGCGGTGACGTGGGAAAGCAAGGTGTTCTTGGAAGCGAGTTTGAAAAAATTCATTCACCCTATGTTTCAGTTTCGCATTAGAGGTGCTAGTTTCTTCATTGACGAGGAGAAGAAAGTCGCCATGGTTATGGATAAAGAGTTCGTTCTTCGCGCTGTACAGCCTACTCGCCACCAAGCTTACATCATTGGAGTGGATGGGTCCTTGAAGAAAGTTGATCTTGGAGAAGCTGCTGACAAACGGAATTTACCACTTGCGTGCTCTTATCTTCCAAGTTTGATCCAACCTTATTAGAGTTCACTTCACTTGTTTGGCTTGTTTGTTTTCTCTTTTTCTTCTTTGAACAAGATTGCTAGTCAATAAATATTTGTTTCTTTTTGTTTGCCATATATTGCCACTTGGTTTGTTTCACTGCTTGTGGTTGCTTAATATCCGAATTCAGAAGGCGAAGGCGATACTATTATTCTGTATGTACGCAGCAGCAAGAAAATGGGAGGAAGGTCGGATGGAGTTTGATAGAGCCGCGTAAAGGTGTGATTCACAGAATGTAATGCTAAAGGAGATGAGAGAAAAGCTGAAAAGCAGCTAGACACTAGACAAGTTCTGTTGCGGATTGAACAAGAGAATTAGATAAAGAAGCTGAATTAGAGTTACGGTCTAATGAACCACAACAACCAGAAGAAAGAGTCCAAAAATCTAACGAACCAATTGCCATTCTGTAACCAAGTTGCTGTTGCACATCTATCAACGAGACATCATTGTGAGAGACAATCACTGAGAGACGACGGCATGGTTTATGTAGAGGACCTGACGTGGCGCTTAAGGTTACACCGGTTTCTCTTTTAGAAGTCGGTATGGTTTATGCTATTGTCTGATTTTTTTTTTTTTTTTAAACATCTATAAGAAAAGACGTTATTTTTCACTTTTGTAAAATCAAGATGGTTAAAAGTGTTTTAGCTAGACAGCAATTTGAAGTTTTATATTAACAGAATCAAAATGTATCATGTATGATTTCAAGTGGGTTTCATATAGGAGTACTAATCATCAAATGCATAATACGCGGTCGTTTATATGCATCACTAAAGACAATAGCACACAAAACGACAGCGTATTATGCATTTGTCGTTCAAAAACGGTGCGTTGGGAGTTGGAGGATTGGGCATGGATCATGGCGGGAAAAACCTAAAGAGATATGGCGGGAAAGGCCCAACTATACACACTTCCGACTTCACAATTCCCCTTTGAGAGAGCAGACTCGATTTTCATCTCTATCCTTTACTGACTCGCTGCTCATAGAAGAACTTCGTGAGAAAAAAAAGAACAGTGAGAATCAAAGGTTGGTTGAGATATGGGAGGACCAGCGTACGATTGCTTGACTAACCCTTTGGGAGCCGTCCGATTCTCCTTCGGAAATGCTCTTTCTTCGGGCTACGATCCGGCGTCGTCTGTCGGAAAAGACTGGGGCGTCGTCGATTTGTTCCGTCACTACTTCTCCGACGAATCTGCTATCTCCCAGGTTTTTCCTTCTACTCTGCTTACAAAGTCGTTTCCTTTTTCTTATTTCATAATTGGGTTTAGGGCAATTGATTACCGATTTGATGGGAAGTTTTGATTTTTATCTAATTTTCAGCATGAAAAGGTAGAATATTAATTGTGATTTGGTTGTGTTATAACTAATTTAGCTTATTTGAGCCACAGATTGGTTAATATGTTTCAAAAGGATTCATTTTTCTCTTATATTAACTATTAAGCAATGTCTACTGTAGGTTCCGATTCTTGATTCGTCAAGTATCAAGTGGGTGCAGCCCAAGACTCTGGTTCGGTTCCGTGGAATGATACAGGACATGCTTGGAAATGAATTCTACGCTGGTGCTTACAAGGTATACATACACTTGGCTTTTCATGTTTTGTACCAGAGTTAGGAGTAACAGGAGTTGAATCTTTATCTGCCAATAACTGTTTTTTTTTTCTTCTTTTTGTGAAGGATGATTCAACATGGAGAACCAATAAGTTCAGTGATATCTCACACTTTCCTGAGGGTGCTTCCTCTGAAATGCAAGTTTGGGAGCGTCGCTTGCTATACTGTGTTCCTGTATGTTTTTCTCTTAATTCTCATCTTTGTTTTGTTCTTGTGGTTGTTTGGTTCTAATGGATGTTAACACCTTTTTGGTTGATTCGTAGGTACCAGGACAAAACCAATGGACTGAATCTTCTTCTAACGAGCTTAAGAACCGGTTTTTGGATCTAAATGGCCAAAACCGGGAAAAGCGTCCGAGGGTTGATGAAGAAATGACTGATTCCATGGAGTCCAACGTAAGTAACTAAGCCTCTCATGTTTGCTTCGTTAAATGATATATGTTGGAATCTAGTGTCAATAACTTAAGTAAGCCACCATTGCAGACTTTAGAAGCTGGGATTGACGGTTCTCCTTTCAAGAAAATGGTAAGGATTTAGTCTCTTAGTCTTTGTTTAATGGTGCAAGAATTAGAGAACATTTTCTTACTTTTGTCACTAAGATTTAGGCTGATGAAACATTTCTGATTTGTTTCGGCATCAATATGATAACAGAAAGCAGGAGAAGCAACCTCATCAGCTTCGGAATCTCTAGTTCCTCGGACTGATGTTGCTTCACAATGTTCTGCTTTCCCACCTGCTACAAGTACAGATTCTCTACCTTGTCTTGTGAAGGTAACTATTTGGTCCCTTTTTTCATTATATTATGAATATGCATAAGCTGTTAATAATAGTTTGTTGACAAATCTTTATGTGTTCACGCAGGTTTATGATTCTCCAGAGTCAGAACTGAAGCTAAATGATGTGGTTGAGTTCCTTGGAGTGTTGACTTTCGATCAAAACGCTATGATGGATGTGGATTCACTTGATGAGTTTTCTGAAGCAGAATCTGTTCAGATGCCCTCTGGGAAAGTTCCACGCCTCCATTGTCTTATCCACAGGAAGCTCGAAACACAACATTTCCTCCATGGCTCTTCCTTATTAACAGAGGCAAGTTGTACCATCAGTCAAAACAAATTATAGACATATTCTCATTCTTGCATTGTTTTACTAATCTCTCATAACCTTTTCATCTGGCAGTTCAAATCTCCCCAAATATTCAAAGAGATAAGAGAGAGTTTGATGAAGTACCTTACTGGCATACTTGGGAATGATCACATTGCAGCACAGTTCGTATTATTGCATCTCCTGTCAAAGGTAATTTAGTTAACCAATGGATCACTTTTTCAGCTTTTTCTTGTCAGGTATTTCTGCTAATTCCTTGCCAGTTCGCATGTTTTCTACTTTTAAAGGTGCATGGAAGAGTAGATAATGTTGCTGTTGGGAAGCTTTCACTTAACCTCACACACCTTAACAGAGAAAGCATGTCTATCTTCGGTACTCAGCTCAGAGATGCCCTCAAAAGCCTCCTACCATTCACACAATCTATACCACTTACTGTTGAGTATCTGAACACTGCCTCCCTCGGTCCCAAAAAGGACTACAAAATCAACAGGTAAGAAAGATATCCATCTCTATGATCTTAACTTAACAAAGTGTTTTGAATCATTCTTCTCTTGAGAGACCTTCAAGTATTTGTTCTTTATGACTCAGATTGGTGCCTGGAGCTCTACAAATTGCAGACGGTACACACTTGATATTGGACGAAACAGAGTTGCAACCAGGAACCTTGAACTCTGTTGGAGTTGAGAATGCAAAGCTGCTTAAAAACCTCTTGGAATGCCAGAAGGTAAAAAGAAATGTCAATTCATCATTCATCACTTTTTAAACAGATTCAGATATGAAGTATTGGAATGTTGCTTTTGCTATTTCAGGTGGAGTATGATTTCCATTATTACAAAATGGAAATGACCACTGATGTTCAGATGCTCATCTTCTCTGAGGGGAAATCAAACATTATGCCTGCTGATCTTGTTCTGCCTTTTCAACCTTCCCAAGTGAATTCATCAGAAGTCATCACACCAGAAACAGCAGAAGCTTGGAGGTGTTACTTAGCTACGTGCAAATCTTTATCTCACTCCATTGGGCAAGAGTTGCAACAGGTATGACAATAACGTTAGAATCTGGAACCATTGTTGTCAGAATTTTGGAGTCTAAAATTCAATTTCTTCTCTTGCAAAATTTTGTTGCAGGTGGTGGAGAATGATTTGGTTGCAGTAAGGCAAACCGATCGTAGTTTAGGGAGCCAAGACTTGAGCAGGTACTAAAGCGTTTCTTAGGGTTTATTCTCACATCAAATATGGGAAAATTTACAATTTTCTTGTTGTTGGTTCTGTAGATTATTGACATTGGCTCGCATGATGTCTGTGAGTTATGGTGAGACTACGCTTACACTAGAGCACTGGCAAATGGTGTTGGAACTAGAACGACTTAGAAAAGAGAGGCTCAAGTGAAATCCATTCTTCTTGGTTTAAGAAAGGAGCAAGATAGATTATGGTATTTGTAATCTCAATTTGAGTTATGATTAAGAAGAACAGTCGTTTCCTATCTAAACCCCGAATTTAATAATGTTCGAAGTTCATTGCAACTCAATTTCCTTCTCGATATATACTAAATTTTGAATAAAAATAACAGATTTGAAAATAAATAAATCAAGAGACTCACAATCCTTTCTTGCACACAAACTCAACCGATGACCGAATAAAAAATGACTCTTGACTACGACCGGACCCTGCTCTAGGGGTAGATATGATAGATATGCATCAATCTTAATCATCTTGAACAATATCATTCATCATGCATTGCAAAACAGTTACCATAATCCAAAAATTAAACCGACTTTTTCTTTCCATCTAATTTCAACCCAAATAGAAAACCAGAATATTTATTGTTTGGTTTGATTTGGTTAACCTGTCACCCTATTTCTCCATCTCCTCTGTTTCATCAAATCGCTGCGCCGCTTTTCCTCTGCCTTTTTTTTTTTGTCTTTTTCTTTTTCCTTTTCCAGAATTTTGTGATCTTATTTCTCATAAAACCGAAATTACAAAAATATTCCCCGCGGTGAGTTAGAATCTATTGAGATTGGTTTCTGGTGTCAGAGGTGAGTTATGTTTCCCTACTCTTTTCGGACATCCTTGATAAGATTCTGCTGTATGATTGTATATAATTATTCTTGAAACAGAAATTATAGAAGCATTTTGTGTTCTTGGTGAAAAAAAAGCAATGGCGGAGAACGATCAAGAACCGAGGACGACAAGAGACAGTATCTACAGAGCTGCTAGGAGCATAAAACGAAGAGACAACAGCCTCTACAACGCTCTTCGATCAATCTACCAAGACTCCATCTTCGTCAACGAGATCTCTCAGCTTTGGCCTAAACTTCCTCTCCTCGCTAACCTTCGCTGTGGTCTCTGGTACTCTCCAAGATTCGACGCCACTTGCTACTTCAAATCCACCGACGGTCACACCAACAACTTGTCCTTCAACACTTCTCGTCTCAATCTCCATCTCCCTCTTCTCGCTGGTAACAAATTCACTCTTTCGAGAGTTTTCAAACTTTATCTTATATGATGTGGTTGAAGCTTAGTGAGATCATAACATGTAAAAACATATCTCTTTGATGATTGGATATATAGGAGAAAAAGGAGGTTGTATCATTATTGATTCTACTCGGAAAGGAAAGCGGTTTCCTGATAGCATGTCCAAAACCATACCAATATGGTCTTGTGTATTAAACCGCTCAATTTTTAATTTCTTGAAGACACAATCTAATGATGTAGTGAGTCACAAATGTAGATTATTCAAATTTTTAATACTTGGTTAAAGAACTGTTTTACAATATTTGTCTTCTTTGTTTTTTGAATTAGGGTTTGACTAGTGATGATGATCATGATGATGGTGATAGGATAAGGAAACTGTTAGAGAAGTGGGATTGTAGTTTACATCTTCCACTATGGGTTTCAAAGACAGAGAGGGCTTCCATTGAAGCTAGGTTGGAGGAATGGACAAGAGAGTTAGAAGAGAGTGGAGCTGATATAGCTTCTCTAGCTTCATGCTTGAAGAAACCCTTACGTCCTCTTTGGGTTTCGCAGAAGACAGTTATATGGTTGAATGAAGTACCTGATCATGACTCATGGGACTTCACACCTCTCATCCTTGTCTCAGCTTCTGCTACTTGTGGGGAGTATCAGCAAAACAACAGAAGTAATTCGGAGTTTAGTTGGAACTATATCCCAGGAGCTGGTGATGATGAAGAGAGCTGGTCCAGAGGTTTATCTCCGAATATGTTTTGGAAACATGTTTACGATATTATTGACTCCAGACCTGACTTGTGTAACCAGAAAGTCGCTGAGATTGTTGAGAGTGATAGAGTGTATCGAGCGCAAAGGGGTATGGAAGCTCCTCAGGTTGTTGTAAAGTCCTCAAAATCTTGTAATGATGGAGTCAATCACGCTAAGAGTGATGAAATAGTATGTCTTAGTGCACACATAACTAATCTTGATGAAGAAGAGAGCTTAGTTTCTTGGTTGGCATCAACTAATCTTGCTGTTGGGACATCACAAGTAGGTACAAATACAAATTATTGTCTCTTTGTTTTGCATTAACTAAGCTTAATGGCTTAAGCCTCTCATGGAATCTTGTTATCTTTGTTGTGGTGTAGCTGGTAAGGAGACATCTGTTGATTGCATATTAAATTGCGATCAAAATCCAATCTCAGTCCCTCTATCATCTCATGAAGAGTATTTGCATCTACCTTTGAAGGTATGTCTTTAAGAAAAAAAAATCAAACTCTTGTATGGTAATTGGTTTACAGTTTTTTTTTTTTTTTCCTTCGTCAGAACAAATAATTATTTTTTAAAAATGCATGTGTTCCAGGGTTCAAAGTATGATAGATTTTCGATATTCAAGAATCTTGCTTCCGCGGTTAATTTTGCAAAGATGAAGCTGAGTTTGAGGAAGAAGCTCTTAGTTTGTTGTCAAGACGGTAAGTTTGTATTTGTGTTGTAAGTTCAAAACATGATTGTAGATTGTAGCTATTTATGTCGGTCTAATCAGATATTAATTGTGATGATGATAGGGGAAGATATTAGCGTATGTGTATGTTTGGCCATCTTGATAGCCTTATTCAATGAAGAAGGTAACGATATTTTGTACTTTTTTGGTTCCACAATAATGGTAAATCTATTGGTTTATAATTTTATTATGATGCTGAGAAATTTTGAATCATTTTCAGGGCACTTTGATGGTGGAAAGTGTTTTGAAGAAAAGAGTATAACAAAGTTGGAAATGCGACGGATGCTAATTTTTATGTGCAAATATGCTGTGAATGCTCGACCATCTAGAGGGAATCTTAAGCAAGTTTTTGGTTTTCTCTCGTCTCGCCAAGAAATTTCAGACTAGTGAAATTTGAAAGCCTTCATGTCTTCCTCAGGGTCCACGGGATTCATCGTTCAATAAGAATAGAAACCGAAAATTTAGCAATCTATTCGTCTTTCATATTAAGATGGATTTTGTTCTTGTCGGAGACTGAGAGATTTGTAATGTTCCCACAATCTTGATATGTTTGTATTGAAGAAGCCCTTTTGGGTGTTTATAATGTCCTTTGCTCTATAGATGTATACTCTTATCATTATTATCTTGAGTTTACAACTTTAAAAGATCATCATAATGTCTTCACTCTTCACACTTGAAGCTTCATGGGGTATAATACATTGGATTTACAACATAATTAACAATGAATATAACTTAATGTAAGGAAGAAAAGCAAACACTCTGTTCTCTGAAGAAGCTCTCGCCAAAATGCTCAAACAAATATATCAGCTACATATAGTTCCTTTCATAGAAACCGTTTCATGAATTGACTCTATTGGTTGTGGTTAGATATTTTTTGGATGAGTATGTGTGCGTGTGTGTCAACCTTAATTCATTTCACTTGTAAACCTTTGATGGTTTGGTGTATCTTGTGCTACTAAAACCCCTAAGAAACTCTGTTTTGGTTATGATTGAAGAGTGTACAAAGAAGTTTCTTTTTATTCCATAGGTTGTAGATGATATGTGATGCATCGTTCCTAAAGCTTCACAGATTTTAGTTAAGTTTCCTCTTCTCTTATTGTTTCCTTTTCTTAGATAAGTGTGGCTTCTTTAGCACTTTTCCAAATCCCATTAGCATAGTTTTCCATAAAGGTTTTAAGACCAGTTCTATAAATAGAGATCGATCTCTTCCATTGTAAAACACCTTTGATTGAGTTAATATACAGAGCTAAGATCTTGCGTTCTCAACTGAATAAGAAGGCTTTGATCTTCAGACATTCGCAGACTAGATGAAGATCTTGTCATTATCGTAGCGAGAGCTACACCAATATGGGTCTTGCTTCTTCTTACCATCGTATTACACAATGCGAATGGAACTTGCTCAAAGTCCTTACTGATGAATAGGAACAGAGAGGTTTCAAAGTGTTCAAAGCTTAAGCAGTCCAAGCACCAGAGAGATATGTCCAGTTTTCAAGTGGTTCACCATCATCGTCAAACCCAACAAAATCTTCTCCGCACAAACACTCCAATTGGATATGTAGAGACAATCATCCAGCCAAACCCTAACTTAGCTTGTTCCACAATGCTATAAAAATCGCTTTATTGCACAACAAGTAAAGAATACAAACTGATCAATCGATAACCTAAGACTTTAAAGCAAAAACAAGAGAAGTCCCCAAATCATCGTGGATATTAAGGTTTAGGAATCAGTTGCTGCAGTTATTCTTGCGCTTCTTCTACTTTTACGTGTTCTTCAGTGGTGCCACCTTCCGTGTTGAAGAGTTCGTCGTAAGTAAAGTAACGGTCTTCACCAGCCATGTCCAAGCCATGGGAACCTAAATCGTCATCATGAGGTTGTTGTTGTTGTTGATTTTGTTCTCCCTCATCCATCATCATGTCGTTTTTGTTGTAGTTGTTGTTGCTATTCACGATCATCGTCGCAAATCCTGGATCTTGGCTTTGAGGAGGAGGAGGAACAATCGGTGCATATTGCTGCTGCTGTTGTTGATGTAGTTCTTCTTCATACATCGTCCTCATGAGGATGTTGTTGCTATGCATCATCGACTCCAATTCTAAATCTTGGCTTTGAAGAAGAGGATCACTCGGTGTATATTGCTGTGGATGTTGATATCGATATTGTTCTCCCCCATCCGTCATCATCATGGCGTTGTTGTTGTTGTCGTTGTTGTTGTTGTCGTTGTTGCCATGCATCACCATCTCATATCCTAAATCTTGGCCTTGAAGACAAGGAGTAACAATCGGTGTATATTGCTGGTGCGGTTGGTATTGATATTGTTCTCCCCCATTCGTCATCGTCATGACGTTGTTGTGGTTGTTGTTGTTGCCATGCATCATCGTCTCAAAATCTGAAATTTGGCTTTGAAGAACACGAGGAACAATCGGTGCACACTGCTGTGGCTGTTGATATTGCTCTACCACATACGTCATCATGACGTTGTTGTTGTTGTTGTTGCCATGCATAAACGTCTCAAAATCTGAAACTTGGGTTGGAAGATGATGAGGAACATTCGGTGTATCTTGCTGGTGTTGCTGTTGAGTGACCTGACTATGCTCTCCCTCTAACGTCATCATCTCAGGCCCACTAGCAGAAACGGTTAAAGCAACTTCATGTTCTTGCACTTGGTACGGTACGATGTTGTTTGCCACCTGAGGCACCTGGTCAACGTACCCTGGTTTGCCTTTCTTCTCGGTCTTGTCTCGGATCCAACACAAGACCGTATTGTCGTGAACGTCCTTGTTTAGGGAATATTCGGTCATGAGCCAATCAGTTTTGACTGGCTTTCCCTTGACTTTCTTGTTGAACACGAGACTCTGCTTGTAACCCCACACCTTCTTGTTCCCGTCCACGATAGCCGTTTTGGCACCTGTGCTTTTCCAAGTGCCGCCTTCGCTGTCTCCTCTTGCCGGTACGGTCCGCTTCGGTGTCTTGCCACCTCTTCTGATCCTCTCAACAAAGTAGTACCATTCCTTTTTCTTGAACAGAGGGTTGTCTACGGGCTCAAGACGCCACGGCACGTCGGCGTACACATCCAACGTTGTTAAGAACCCGTCCACCTTATGATCGACCTTGTTGCGAAGATAACGCCTCACCAACCCCAAATCGTTTGGATCAAACCTAAAACCAACTGGAAAAATCGAAGCCTTCTTTGAGATTCCGGCCATAGACAAAGTCACAAAGGTTGATCTCTCTCTCTCTCTCAATAAGCTCTGCCTCTCTCTTTCTGTCTTTAGGGTTCTTTGTTTTCTAGTTTGCAGATGAGTTACGTTGTGAGCTCTCTATTTATATCTACGTTGGTCGGTGCCACACTCCTCTTCCTTATGTGATTAGGGATTTAGGGCACACTGACTCAACAAATTCCTTACCTTTTCAGGTAAGATTCGTTGTATGTTTTTTGTATTTTACAATTAAAAAATGATCCGGATAAACTTTTACGTATATAGTTTTATTATTTTAAATTAAATATAGTCCGCATAACACACTGCCACTTCACTCTTTCTTGCCTCGCAAGAAAATAAACAAACCCAACCGAATTACTTAAGGATGATGACACTGAAATAGTCGCTGTACTAACAACACACACTAAAGCTTAATAGTTCTTCACCGTATATTGATATCACCTGCTGGAACCTGGAACTGGAAGTCTTGGAATATTCGGCCAAATTTTTGTTGTCGTCTTATGGTCGGAATTCGGGACAGCGAGTGGTTTTTGTGAGATAAAAGGCTGCTCACGTTAGACTCGATGCATTGTTGTACTTGTATCTGAAGGTTAATTGTATATTTATTCTCTCCAAAACAAATACAAAGACAGGGAAAGCAATCACACAACATCAAACCAAATGAAAACCAAAATAGACAAAAGAACTATTACAAACAAAGAACAAGGACTCGTCCCAATAGAAACAGTGAAAGGTGTGTTTAAATTAGACAGACTTGTTGCTTTTGCTTAAAATTCGTGTTGTTAAATGTAATTGTGTCGTTTTTCTTAATTTTTAAATACACAGCGTGTTAGTTGGTCCATAGTGTGTAATTAACGTTTTTTTAGTCCGATTCATTTTTAATTGAAGGGTTCTATTAATAAAAAACAAAAAAACCTTTAAATAAAGAGAAAATGAAATAGAGCTGAATTGCAATGTAATGGTGTCATTTGAGCCGAGATTGCAAGACTTAGATAAAAGGTGCAAAAACAAAGTTGAATCAGTCATTAAAATAGTTGGACAGCATTTAAGATCCACACGGCATAACAATCTTAAGAAGAAGAAAAGAAAATGAAAATCCTCAAAAAAACGAAACGAGATCATAAGAAAACCCAGAGAGGATGATGCTTGCAGGCTTCAGGTACGCGGTGCAGCTCCAGCTCCAGCTGGTCCAGCAGGACGAGGAGCCTGTCCAGGTTGTCCAGGCTTGGGAGCATCCTCCTGATCATTCATCATGTCAAAAACCAGTCAACACAAATTCTTATAACAATCACTCAAAAACAACAACAAAAGGTAGAAAAGATCAAATACAACAGACTATTCAGAATTTCAGATCGACAAACCGGAGTAGCAACTTGTATCTCACAAATTACGTTACGGAATCACTGAAATTGAGCGAGAGATGATCATTACCTTGCGTCTAGCGAAACGTGGCGGAGGAGTACGGACCCTACGCTTGACGCGGGATCGGACTCTGACGACGTGAGCGTGGATCGCACATGAGACACAGTATTGCATCTTTGCATACAGCTTCGGGAGTGTGTAACCTACGATAATCCAAACAATTGCACCAATTTCATATCCCAATACTCTACATATCTAGAACGAAAAATTGACCAAAAATCCGATCTTTATAAGAGACATATAACAATTCAATGTGTACCCTACGAGAATCCAAACAATGGCGAATTCAAATTCAAATTCAAGATATTTCAATCTCAATATTCCAAAAATCCAGAACCTTATTACGATGATATAAGTCTAACAATAACAAATGGAAACAACAAAGAGACATACTTTCGTAGACGCTGGCTTCCTGAACATCTCTAATGGCAGCCTGCTCCACTATGTTCCTCACGATGAACCTCTTAATCGCCTTGTCCTATATCCAATTCATTCCCACAAAATCAAAAATCAATCTCTAATCGAAATGTTGAGATTTATTGGGGAAAAAAATTCAGATTGAGAATCGAATTCGAAGGTGGTGGGTACGTACCTTGGGGCAACATTTGCCGCAGTTGGAGCATCTGATTGGGTTGACGTGGCCTCTGTTGTGCTTGTTCCTCCCACCGTTCCTTCGCTTGAAAGTCTGCAACACACATCAACGACGATTACATAAACATTAATTTCTGATTTCTTCTGTAGATCTAAGCAAAAACGAGCAAATCTAAAAGACATGAAAATACCATCTTCGATGCGTCTTCTCCTCTCGATGGGACTGCTCAGGACTCACTACTGTGTTTGTTTGCTAGGTTACTCTCTTCTCGTTGATTTCGTATCTGTGCAGATAAAATGGGCTTGGGCTTTGTTTTGTTGCTTCTTGGGCTTTGAGATCAAGTGGGCTCTCACAGCACAAGCTCAGTCAGATAAACTGCTTGAAATCTTCGAGGTCTATAAAGTATATAAACCACGCATACACAACAGTGCAATATTTACATCAGTTAAGGAAGACAAAAGGAAGGCTACACACAGCTTCAGAAGCCTCTTATGTCGTGTTCAAGTACATTGACAAGGAAAATCTTGTAAAGCCAACAATCAGGTCAATAGTGGTGTTGGATCCGATATTATGTGTTCAAAGGATCTAAAGATGTGAACTTTAAGTCAGGTTGCAAATTGACTTAAAGTTCATATCTTTCCCTTGTTTGAAAGAGAATAGTAATAAATAAGGGAAAGATGTGAACTTTAAGTCAGGTTGCAAATTGTTCCAAAGAGAATATGAAATTATTTCTTTTGCTACCTCGTTTAGTGTTGTAAACTTTCAAGGTCTTTCACATTATTAAAGCAAAATTGCAAACAAACTCTTGCTTTTTAATAATTAGATTCATGACTAACAACATATTCAAGAAGATAGCTATAAAATGAAGACGATTGTGGACTGAAATTACCAAATTTGAACTCAAGCAAATAAGACTCACCAAGACATCAACGCACGTTCTCCAAGGTGTTCATCACTCTAGCGTTGAAAGTTAGGCTAGGGACAGACCTTCAGCAACACCAAGTCCCTGTAGAAGGCGACGAGAGGCACGGCGTTGGGATCGTCAAGGTGTCCAAAACTAAGAATTTAAAAGCCAAACTTTCAAAAATAAATAACATTTTAACCAAAATGTGTGTGAGAACAGTTTGCTTTGTTTTTTAATAACTGAGATGAATTTTATATACTAAAAGTGGAATGTAATATCTAATACTTCAACCCAATTGTGCAAACTTAGCACATTCAAAAGCAGATATGAAATCTCGCAACTCCAACAAGACTTAAAATAATACTTGACTTGCATAACAAATCAATACACAAACTCAACTAAAACATAAACACGATGGCTTTTAACTACCAAATAGCTGGAAACTTCTTAGGTCTTGGAATCTTCATCAGATAGATTTTCCTTTTTATCTTTTATCATCAGATAGCTTTTCGTTTCACAATCATTAAAATGTTTAATTTCCTTTTTACTTCTTAACTACTCAGGTCAAAGCTGTAGAAAACAAAAATACTTCTATCTTATATCTCAAGTCTTACTTTTAATTTTTTATTTCCTCTTCTTTATTATTTAAATCACTCCCTGTTGCTTGATTTGTATGACGTGCTTAAAAGGTATACCAAATATGTATACAGAAAAAGAAAATGCTGGGTACCTAAAAAAGAATTTCTTTAATCTTCATTACCAATACCAACCATTACGGACAATCGGCTATCAAGTAATCATCACATACATAACACAAATATCAAATGCTGGGTTTTGTGATTTGCTTGAGAGCCTATTTTTGGCTGCAGAGGGAAGCTTAAGCTGTTGATAGCACCTTCTTTGCTTGGTTTACCCACACGCTATAAATATCGTCCGCGAACATAACAAAATGCACCTTCATAAGAAGGACAAAATCAGAGATTGTTAAAAACAAAAGTGTCAGCTACTGCATTGCATTCATGGAAGTGTAACAATATGGAGGACGAGAGAGCAAACATTACCTCTTTAAAGTCATTGGCGAACTCTTTGATCGTTGATATACTGATCACAGCAGCTTCATCAAAAGGATATCTAACAACAACAAAAAAACAATACATTGTACACACATAAGGTATCCAAGATAAACCATGATTTAAACAATATGAAACGACTATAAGTGTCTGGTTGTGGCAAATTTACCCGTAAATCCCACAAGAAATGGCAGGAAAAGCAATGTACTTGATATCGTTTTCCTTTGCCACTCTCAGGCTATTTCTGTACGAAACACAAAGAACTTCAGTTTTTTTTTCAAAGGAAACATGTCTATTAGAATGAATAGTAAACAAGAGAAGCTGCGTTTACGCTTTTTACCTGTAAGAATTTGCGAGGGACTTTTCAGGGTTGTCATCTGTGTCATATATCGGTCCAACAGCGTGAATCACTCGAGATGCAGGCAAGTTAAAACCTCTGTTCCATTTTTATCAATCCAAATGGTTCAGTAATCAACAATCTTAGTTTCAAAAGACCTCAATTTTACATATTTATAGATGAGATAAGAAGAAAAAGGGTAATAACCGACGGAGTAATTCTTGCTTCTCCGGTAGGACAACGGACTCCAGGACGAACTTCAGGGGCCTCATAGCATGCTGCTCTCAGCTGTGGCCCAGCTGCTCTATGTATCGCTGTCACACAAACATAATTGAGATTTGCTTTCAGATTTCAGATTGGTCACATTCTAAAGCAACACAATGGCAATTGAATTTGAAGAGAATTGAAAAGGACAAGAATCGTAAAATCTACCTCCATCGGCACCACCACCACCTAACATTCGCTCATTTGCTGGAGTGACCTGAAGACACAGGTCCAAGTAACGATGAAGCAATAGCATAGAGCCAATTGAAACACAAATTCTCAAGCTTTTATCTAATCTAAGAGAAATCTAACCAGCCCTAGAATCTGAATTGATTGAGAAAGAGAGAGAGATTTACAATAGCATCGGAAGATGAATCGACGGACCATTTGGTGATGTCGCCTTTGAGTATCTTAAGGAAGCTAGAGACGGACAAATTGAAAACAGCTCCTTCGTCACTAGAAGCCATGGATGATGAGAGTGAGACAGTGGAAGTCCTCTTAGGAGAAGAGAGAAAAGACGAAGGAGCGGTGATCAACCGTAACGCGACCGTGTGGAAAGTGCTGACGGGGAAAATGGCGGAGATCAGAGAAGCTCTCGATGAAGATGAAGTTGATCGAAGGATCGAGCTCGAGTGACGACGGCTCGAGCTTCCCACTGCAGTGGTTAACCAGAGTCGTCTCATTTGAGTCGTCGCCAAATTCTCTCTCAGTCGGAGGATTTGGCCCATAATAGCGATAAATGTGGGCCTAATCATGGGCCTGATTAGATGAGAAAGTAAAGATTAAAGATTAATTTTCTCAATTTGTCGTTGGTGGTGTGATGAGACGAATACAAAAGCTACTAGTACATGAGAGAGACAATGGTCTATTTTTGGCGGGTGAATAACTAACTAGCTAAACCGTTTTAAAACAACAGTTGAGGTTACTGAAGAAGCCTGCTTTGTTTGTTCTGTGCAATGGTGCCAAATCATTTGCCTTATTCACCCACATAGTGTATGTGTCGTCGCTAAACATAACAAAATGCACCTGAAAATCATTCAATATACTTGTCAAAACATAATTTCTTGGATTTAGCATTTCCCAAGTCAAGGCAATTAGTTTACCTCTTTAAAATTTTTGCCGAACTCCTTAACCGTGAAGATAGCTATAGACGCAGCTTCATCCAAAGGATACCTAAGAACACAAAAAGAAGAATAAAAGGGTTCTTATCATGGGAGAGAAATCTTGGAAAACGTCTACCAAGTAGCAACAATATGATTCTTGCTAACTTTACCTGAAAATACCACAAGATATCGCAATAAATGCAATGTACTGAATGTTTTTCTCCTTAGCCACTATCATACTGTTCCTGTTACCAAAACCACATTATACATATGAATCCACTGAGAAACTATAAGTGAAGTAAAAAAAGATAAATGTTTTACTATACACAAAACTGCCTTTTTTCTTGCACACCTGTAGGCGTTTTCTAGGAGTTTCTTAGAATTCTTGTCGGCATTGTAAACGGGTCCAACAGTGTGAATCACATGAGATGCAGGCAAGTTAAAACCCCTAACTCCATTTCCAAATAGGCAGAAAACAACCAACAAACTCAAAACTTGGAAAAAACCTCAAGAACATTTACACATGCATAAAAAAAAGAGGAGAGAGTGACACCCACGGCGTAATTCTTGCTTCTCCGGTGGGACAACGGACTCCGGGAAGAACTTCTGGGACTTGATAACACGCTGCTCTCAGCTGTGCCCCAGCAGCATCATGAATGGCTTTCCAAATGAATACTTATTATATATCCCATCCTTTATAAACGAGAGTTTTCTTTTGTTTTTCTTCAGAAAAATTTACAAAATTGAAAGAAAGGTACCTCCATCTGCACCATTACCACCTAGCATACGCCCATTTGCTGGGTTCACCTGAACCAATCTACTTTCCTCTATCTTAAAAAGCGTCCAAAGGAATCAGCCTTTCCAAATTCTGATTACGCTAATGACAGTCGAACTTATGTTTCTATTATGAAACTGAAGAGACTATACAGAACTTCAAGACGCAAGAAATAGTTCGAGGATGAAAGAAAGAGATGGAGAAGATCAGAAGACTGACAATAGCATCGGAGGAGCCATCGACGGACCAACTAGTGATGTCGCCTTTAACGATCTTAAGAACACAACAATCGGACAACTTGAAAGCAACTTCCTCGCTGTTAGACATCATCACTAGAGCTAGCCTCAGCTTTACTTTACGTCTCCGGAGAGATTTTTCCGTTTGTGAGAAAACAGAGAAGAAAATACGATCCTTCTTCACGCGGTTATCGACGAGTTGTCACAGCCGTTGACTCGAAAGTCAATATATACTCTTGGTAATATAAATTCCATTTATAATTCTTTATATGCCAAAAGGCTAACCGATTTTGGATTACATAAAAAAGGAATGCCAAAAGGCTAATTCTCAATAACATGTAAAAGCAAAAAAAAAAAAAAAAAACTTGCACTTTCTATGCAATCATTGAAGCAACAATTCGTAAATAAGAGAAAAAAAATGGAAGAAGGCTAAAGTCTAGCGGGTGCTTACGAGCCACCTCAGCAATACGCAGCCACGTCAGCACCCAAAACAGAGTGTATGGACTCAGAATTGACCGCCTTGGAAGGTTTGACCGAACTGCCAATTAGAAGGAGCCACGTCATTGCTAACGACGGTGCGACCATCGCTGGTAGTGACCTGGAACGAGAGGCTCTGGTCGTTCATGTAAGAATTGCTCTGCCAGTTCTGCCCCCAGTTCCTAGACATTGCTTGCCACGACTGTGTCTTTGAGCCTTTGATCGAGACAGAGTGAACGTCTCCTGCTCCTCCTACGTTAGAGATCAGGACAAGGTTGAAGTACGAATGTCCGTTGATCGTAAATCTTATCCCTCCTTTCTTCAAACAAGGCACTCTGCAAATAACACACAACATAACTCATTAGTTTAAAACCATGGAGTAACGTTATTACTTGTGTCAAAAGTATTAAAATTAAAAAAATGTAAACGGACCTTCGAAAAGAGACAGGGACAATGCCGGCACGATACTGAGCGATCTGGAGAAAAGCTGGCTCGGCGAGGTCGAAATGCTGGAGAGGAGGGTTGCACCAACCACCATTGTCGTTGGAGAGGCCAGGGTTTGGTGGGCAAAAGTTAGTGGCCGTGACGGTGATAGTGGACCCGACACACCATCTCGGGTCGTCGTTACATTTCATCTCGTAGCACGCGCCGCACGTGAGTCCGTTGTTGAATAGAGCCGTGCTTAGAGCCGCCGTGTTCGTCCCGTAGCCTTGGCTGTACAAATTTCCGTAGCCACAAGCTCCGCCTGAATATTTTAGGTAAGCCACGTGTTAGCTAACATACGCATGTAAATAAGCATTTATTGTTATTTGTCATACCCATGGTGCCGGAAGCGTCGCCGCCACCGTAGAACGTGGCGTGACCACCTTGCCAACCTTCGTCGTATCCATGAGCTCCTTGGAGGAAGAATGACAAGCTGAATATGGATACTATTGAGAATATTGAATATTTGGAGTTTGGTGTGATGTACATTTTTTTTTGTTTTTTTTGTTTTGGAGGGGTTGGTTATTTCGGTTATTGAGTATCGGATTTGATTTGGTAAGGATCGTGAGACTGATATGGAATCAAATGTGGAGGGAGTGAGAGTTTATATAGGGAGTTTTGGACTTTATAATAGAGGTGAGAGATAATGCTATTTAAATGTTTTTGGTTATTAAGTGCATTAGTGTCTTTCTTCTTACATCTTATTGGGTATTCATATATTTTTGTTCAATTGTCTCTGTCCAATTTGCGAGAGAATTTCGCATTTTCTTGCTCGGCAATTCCCAATACAAGTCCTTATTAATTAATCTTTGATATTCATATATTCCCAGTTCAGTATACATCTACTTTCTATTTCTCCTAAGAAACTGAGGATCGAACTCAAAATGGCCAAATGGGTGACTTGTGTAGTTGGGTGTAGTATAATAATTACTGGAAGTCTGGAAGTAAAGTCAACAATGTATGCCACCGTTAATCTTGAGTAGAGTCAAGTTTGTTTTTATTTTATATTTGTTGCGGCCAGATTTATATATGTATATTATATTTGGTTTGTGGACAACAAAATTAAACAGTTAGGGAAATAAAAGAAAATGTATGTATTTATGATATTATAAGATCAGGGACTTTGAAGGTTGTGGCCACATGCAAATGTTGCGGTTAGACCAACTCCGAATCCTAATCAAGTGGCCCCTTCTTGCACATGCTTATATACACAAGTCTTCAATAATTTGTCTCTTCCTTCATTTTACGTTGGTCATATGATCATATCTCTTATTCAGTTATTTGTGTTCAACTTTATATTTCCTTCTTTCTTATGTGTTGAAACTTGAAGTTATATAAATCGACAAAACATTCGTTAGTTAATAACTTCAGTATGTGCAAACATTGCTACTACAAATTTTTGAAAACTTTATGAAATGTTTATAGAATCTTATCGCGGTTAATTACTTCCAGATGATTTCATTTTTTATTTAGTTTGCTTTAGTTTTTTTATATAATTTGATAAGTTCCGCGGATCATTTTTTTTCGGATAGTTTCAAGCGACTCTTCCATAGAAGGTTCGAATTTATTTATTTTAAAAATATCTGATCGTGTACTCAAATGTCATTTATTTACATTGAAAGTTAGGATTGAAATCTCTTAGATATAGGGAGATATCCAACTCTAGGAGTACGCGCAGACCTTTACGACATATGATGGTGTAAATGTAAGACGAACTAGCACTACAAGAAAACAGGCGTTTTGCAACGGCCGAAAACATTGTTAAATCGTTGCTAATCGACCTTGGCATCGGATTTGCGTCGAATTCGAAATCGTCGTTAAGCTATCGACGCTAATGACCTATCGTCGTTAATTCCTTGCTAATTAGCAACGAAAAAAAAATCGTCGTTAATTCGTCGCAACCTAAACATCGTAAAATCGTCGTAACCTTTATGACGGATTTACAAGGAGGCTTCAATTCGACGCCAAATTTACATCAAAAAAACGTCGGAAATTTTAAGTCGGTAATATTTTGTTGTTAAATCGTCGCAAATTTCCAACGATTTAACAACGACAGCTGTAATAAGTTTGCTTCGATTTAACGACGAAAGTCGTTATTTTACTATTTTATTTGCGTCGTATTTGCGACGATTATATTTTCTTTAAAAAAAAATAAAAAATAATAATAATATAATAACTAATAATCCGAGAGAGTATCGATGGAGGGAGGGCCGGCGGAGAGAAGGAGGTCCGGCGGAAGAGAGAGGGTTGGCGGAGAGAAGGAGGTCCGGCGGGAGAGAGAGGGGCGGCGAAGAGAGGGAGGTCCGGCGGGAGAGAGAGGCTTGGCGGAGAGAGAGAGAGGGTCGGCGGGAGAGAGAGGATCCGGCGGGTGAGAGAGGATCGGTGAGAAGAGAGAGTTGCAAATGAGAATCAAAGGGAGATGGAAGTGTGAAAGAAGTGAGGATCCCTTATATAGAATTTTGTTTCCTCGCAACAGCGTCGCTATTTAGCGACGAATTTCCGATGATATGTATGCATCGTCGTAAATTCGTCCCTAATTTTTTTCGTAAAATTTCGTTTTCCCGCACGCGGGAATTAAAATTTTCATTTTTTGATGTCCCTTGGTAATTCGTCGTTAATTACCAACGAATTAACAACGATTTATTGGTAATTGTTGTTGATTCGTCGCTAATTTTTTTTGCAAAATTTCATTTTCCCGCACGCGGGAATTAAATTTTTCCATTAATTGATGTCCCTTGGTAATTCGTTGTTAATTACCAACGAATTAACAACGATTTCTTGGTAATCGTCGTAAATTCGCCGTTAAATTTTTTCGCAAAATTTCGTTTTCCCGCACGCGGGAATTATTTTTTCCATTTTTTGATGTCCTTGTTAATTCGTCGTTAATTACCAACGAATTAACAACGATTACTAAGAAATCGTTGTTAATTCGTCGCTAAAAATTTTCATACTTATTACCTACAAATTTACAATGACGTGTCCCAAATCGTCGTTAATTCGTTGCTAAACAGGGACCACATAATATTATAATTCAATTTCATCCGAGAAAACATTTTAAGAATTGACACGATTTTGCTTCATTTTTACGACGACTCGTCAGAAATTCGTTGTTAATATGAACCCTAAACCCTAAATTTGCCCTAAACTGTTAGACGTTCCTTTACTCGTATGAGAAATGTAAGTAGGAGCTATAAAAGAAGTTGTATTGACAAAATACAACAACATATTTGGAAAAGATCATAAATTATAAGAAATCCTCTAAGATGACATATAGTAAACCTTATACTATAAGAAACACTTGTTCATTTTCTTTGTAATGTTCGAAACTTACGTTTACTTGGATTAAACATGAAAAAGTTATCATTTGTTATTGGTTAGGTTGGTAATTGAAAAATTGAGTGTAACAAGTTGTTTTTAGGGTTTAGGGTTTAGGTTTACAACGAATTAACAATGTTAGAGCGACTATAGAACCTTATGCCGCTAACACGTCGCTATTTACATCGGCATTTAGCAACAGATTAACTACGAAAATCTTTACGTCTTTATCTTGTTGGTAATTCGACGGTATTTACCTATGAAATACGGTAGTTGTCAATTTGTCGTAAATTTACAACGATTTACCAACGAAACATATAAACGTTGTTAATTCGTCGCAACAACGTCGCTATTTAACTACGAATTTACTTCGACTGCTGATCGTCCCGATTTACGACGAATTTACAACGATGTTGTGTTTCGTCGTAATATCGACGCTAAATTGATGTTATTTTGCGACGAAATAAATTCGTTGCAAAATTTCGTTGCAAAATGACTGTTTTCTTGTAGTGTAGCCATTCAATACCACACTCGCGTTAGGATGGACTTTGTCCTATTTGCTCTACTATTTTGCTCAAATTCATTTCATAGCTAGATGCCATGGTTTTGTACTTATGCCGTGCATAATCAAATAACATATTTTTCTATTAAGCAGGAGAAATAACATATTTTGTTGTAGTAATACGAGACATTGTTATGTTTCTATAAGTTGTTTTCCTTCTACAATAGATGAGGGTTCATGTTTTAATAAATATAAACTATCCATCATATAATTTATACGTAAGACAACTTTTTGGTTTTATAATTGAAGATCCTATCCAAACCCAAACTCCCACTAAGCTTGATAATATGCAGTCGCCATATAAACTGTGTGTGTGTGTGTGTGTGTGTGTGTAACTGAAACAAAAAAAAGCTCCCAACTAACAAAAACGATAACCACCATAACAATAATTTCCATGTATTTTGTGTTCAGAAATATTCCAAATATTGTTATGATTGGGAGTTATGATTTGGAGTTTAATTTGCTTAGCTATTAAAATGATCTGGATTGGCCAAAGAGGCCACTAATGATGTTTTTTAAATAATAAGAAGTGGGTTAGTCGATGGTCCTACCATGTTACAAGCACATGCAAGAGACCCTCGACGTGTGAGGCTCCTCTCATGCATGTTTATGATACGTCTTTTTCGTGGCCCCTTGATGCATTTGATTAGCTACTTCTCAGTCTAAATCGTAATCAACTTAACACAGCCATAAATGGTACGTTTTTAACCAGGTTATTTTATGATTCCCTAAAAATGTATTTTCATATTTGACAGAAAAAATTTAAGGGTTTCTTTCTTTTTCTTTTTCTTTTTGTAATTGAATTTGTCGCAAATATAGGACTAGTCAACTCGAGCTGGTACATGTATGATATGTATACTATTTTAGATAGATAATGGGATTAGCTTTACTTTTGAGAACAGCTCCTTTCTTTTGGGTAATATGTTCTTGACATAGAATCTTTAAGTGGTTGTAACTTGAGTTCGTTTGTTTAGTAGCAAAAGTTTGGGAGCCACTCTCAGTGTACAAACACATTTACGTAGCTACTATGAATTTAATTGAACGAATGTAAACTTAGTTTTTTTTCTTTGGTTACAAAAAGAAACTTAAAACTTACGTTAATGATTAAATGATACTACAAACTACAAGAAATTGCGACTAAATTCATTGGCAATTAATTATACACTCGTCTATATGACTCTATTGAAGGTGGATAAGAGCAAGAATTCGAGTAAAGCGCAAAAAAAAAAACAGTTGAATTGTATCCACAAAAAGTCACGTGAGCTCTATCCAAGAAAATGTACCAAAAGAGAACTGAAGGGACCACACTTTAAGTAACCATCACAAGGCGTTTGTCTCTTTGTTGCCCCAAAACTGTTGGGACTGATAATAACTTCGTCCCTGAAGAATGGTCACTGTTTAAAGAGAGAACGTCATTTCAATGACCCAACTTTCTGAGCCGACACAAGATAAACTTAAGTGTTCAGCTTTTCTCAAGATATAGTTAAGAGATTCTCATTCTCATGTGAGAATTTAATTTTGTTGTTTGGCAGTTAGGGTACCGTCTAAGTGGCCTCAACATGACTAGTTCAGTTCTTGTTATTTGTGATTTGACCTGGTTTAACTTGTAACCCTGTTTTAGTTAAAATCTCTCTGCATGTTCTGATGAAACTATGTTGCTTTGTACACTTAAAGGAATTAAATCATAGTGCGGTTTAAAAACAGCAAAAACGAAAGTAGTGATTTCAGACGCTAGGGCTCTTATGAACCTTGTGCTTGAAGCAAAAGTAACAGGAACTTCCTATTAAAGAAATTTACTGAAATAACAAAACAGCAAAAACTCAGAAAGTGATGATGTAAGAGACCTGGATAATAAAATCAAATTCTTTGTCTGATTCAAGGCAAAGCCAAATCCAAATCCAACCGCCATTTACAGGGATGATTGAAGAAGCACCTATGGAAGCAAGAGTACATGAAACAACAGAAAAAATATCTGGTTCGACTTTGGTAGCTCTCCAAGGGAAGAACAAGATGAATCAGGAAACAGAGAAATCGTACAAGTTAAAACATATGTGGTCTCTAAATTGAAACCGCAAAACCCCCCCTCAAAAGAAACCAGTTTTACACAATGAAAAAATGAATCAGACGGTCACAAACATGTTAGCTAAAGATTTCAAAGGAGAGAGCAAAAGAATAGGTTTATCGACAAAGCGGAATCTTGAAAAAAGGCAGCCTCACATTGTGCTGCTACTCTCACTGACGGTTTCAGACCTACCAAAGTTGGAGCCTCTGCCACAGCTGCTAATGTCAAGCCCCTGTAACCGGCCAAGAGGGTCTTCACGCATTGCCTCTGAATTAGCGTGATGCACAAGCTGAGGGTTTTGGTGACGAGAGGCTGATGAGTTAATGTTAGGGTTTTGGTGGTTGTTGTTGGGCTGGAAGAGATGGAACTGGTGAGTCATTTGTTGAAGGTTTTGAGCATCGGTTTGTTGCTGATGATGATGATGTTGAAAGAAGGATTGTTGTGTTGGTTGCTGCTGTTGAGAGTACTGCATGTGTGCCATCCCGAGGTTGTATGCATCAGCGGCAGAGACTTCTCCCGTTGCGAATCTCAGCCTCTCAACTTCCTTTTTCAGCTGGTCGTTGAGTGCTGCGTAGAGAAAGAAACATCGGCAAAAGTCCCTTAAAACCGAAACAAATTGTAATAAGAATCATCAATAAAGATTAACATACCATCTCGCAACTTAGCTTGTTGTTCCATGACCTGTAAACGAAGCTTGAGCTCTGTATTCTCAGATGACAAACCAGTTGTGTCTCTCTGAAAGAAGCAAACCTATTAGATGAGAAACTGAGAGTGGTAAAATGCAAAATGTTGCAAAGAAGATAATGTAAGAAACCTGAAACAAAGAGAGTTGTGCTGAGAGTGTAGTAGCTTCGGTTTGCAAAGTCTGGACTTTTCTCTCAAGCTCTATAATATACCGAGCCTTCCTCTCTTTCGAACGAGCAGCAGACTGTCGATTAGCGATTATCCTGCAGAGAGTGCACGAGACAGAATTAGAGACAATTGGAGCATCAAATTAATCGAGAATGCTGAATGTTTTTACTGTACGTTGAAAGAGTTTAGAACAACATAGAGAAAGTTTGCTCATTGTGGACATTTTTGTTACAATATAAGAGTCACAAGAACAATCATGCAATTAATAGTGACCATTACTAGAGGTTACATGGACAGTTTGAGATAGATCAGATCCCAAACAAAGCTAATTCCCAAACTTTTCAGAACCAAAGCCACTTGAAAACTCTTTAAACTTTCAATTTCAAACAGTTGACTAATGTAAAAAAGGTGGATCTCTGAGCCAATCAAATTATGGAACATACTCAAACAGTACGTACCACACCAAAAATAAGATTGAACAATAAGCTCGAACCGACAAATCAAAGAAAAGCTAGTCCTAAAAAAAAGTTGAGGGCCATCAAATCATCATGAAAGAGACGCATTGCCATTTGCCACAGAATTCGACTTGGGACTTGAATCAAATAAAAGCATACTTTATGGGTCCCTCATAGTCTCTCTCAGGCAAAAAGACCTAAGAAAAGCAGCATAGTAGAAGCTAACTAAATTTCAGTTAAAAATCAGTTATCGTTGAGTTTGAGATCAGAGTCAAAGAAAAGGTGATGTAACACGCAAACCAAGAAAAAAAAAACAAAGACCTCAGTTATGCATCACATCAACATCAAAAAGTTATATAATCATCAAAAAGAAATGTCGTAAAGAAACCGCCTTTTTCCCGCGAATTGTAATACCATGAATAAACTTTTCTTTATAACGATCTAACAGGAATTCGATTACATCAGATCATGTCGATAAGTCAAAATCAAGCAAAATGAAGATAAAAGTCTCGAATTTTGGGGGTGAAAGATGAAACCTTTTAGCTCTCTTGGGGTCGACGACCCAAAGCTCGGCGAGTTTATCAGGAGCCATTGCTTTCTTGGCCTCGATTGATTCCAAAGTCGACGACCCATCGACGGAGAGGCTGTGCCTGTGTCTAGGTCTCGAATTCCCAGCCGCTACGCCTCCGTTTTCAGCGGAGAACGGGTTATCGGACCTAGGTGCGGATGGTCCAGCCGAATCTGAAGCGGATCCGGATGCGGATCCAAGTTTCTCAATGTCCATGTATGAGCAGAAGAGGTCATCTTCGGATCCAAGCTCGTCGAATCCGCCGAAGGGTTCAGAGAGATCCAGATCTTCAGGGAGACGGAACTGGACCTCCGAATGCGCTCGCCGGTGGAACGGACCACGAAATGGCGCCGGCGTCGGACTCGGGTTGGCTGAAGGCGGGCATTGGCTTGATTTCGCCTTAGAAGGATCCTCCATTTCTTGTGGATCGTCCTTCTCTCTCTCTCTCTCTGTTTCGCGCCCTCTCCCTCTGTCTATCTGTCGGAATCGGACAGCGAAAGAGAGATTCAGATTTCACGTTTTTTTGTCCAAATTGATGATGTGCCAAAAAACAACAAAAGAAACCCGAAAATTTCTTCGAAACGGCGTCGTTTGCAAGTCAAATGTCTTTTTATCCATTAAAGTAATGTAATACTGTAAGAGTTTCGTTTAAAGCAAATCAATCATGTTGTAGAACTTGATAACAAATGCAATAAACCGGATTTTCTTAACAACTAACTTCAAAAATCAACCAAGTTTCTTCCCACAAGTTGACAATAATGTTTGTACATTGTTTTAAACTGTTAATGCACAATTTATATGACATAAAATATAATTTATATGGTATTTGCGTTTGGTCTTATTAAATTGTATAATTGCAATCTATTGTCGATATTTTTTATGATGTCTATTGTCGATATGTTTCTACATCATGGCTAGATAGGCTATTTATGTCTAGTTTAACCTATTTCAAAACCGATTGATTGCATTTATACTATTCCGACTAATTTACTATTTTCATTGGATAAAATGAAAAAAAATTACTTTTTAAACTAGATTTTATTTTTCATAATACACTCAGTCTCCACGTGATGACAACCGTAGATGAGGCAAAAAAGAATGGTCTTTACAATTGGTGTCCTAGAAAACCAAGCTATATCCTAAACAACTTTTTTTCCTTAGATGTAGATGTTCGTTCAAAACTGTCTATCATCGATGTGGAGAAAATTAGAGTTAAAAACTCAAAGTATATTGTAAAGTCCAATCTCTAGTTTCCGTCTCCAGTATATCAATCTCCAGGTCGCTATGTATCTTAAGAATTCAAATGTTTTTATTACGGAATATTATCTTGTACGGTATTTGCGTTTGGTCAAATTAAATTGTATAATCGCATTCTACTGTTAATATGTTCTTCCACCATCGGTACTTAGCCTATCTTTGTCTATTTTAACCTATTTCAAAACCAATTCAATCAATCTATTTACATTCATACAGTTTAAACTTATAACTTACTATTTTCACGGATAAAATGCTAAAACAATTATTTTTATAGATGTATAATATAATCTCTTTTACTTAGTTTAAGATATGTGTTAGGAAAAACAAAACTTAGTTTCAAACAGTTTTTTCATATGTAATAGTGAATTAAATTATATTAGATCATGAATTATATTAAATAATTAAATTATATAACAAAAAATGAATTCATTGTATTCTGAATGAATAACAAAACTTTCTAGTAATGATATGATTAAATCAAATTTGTAATCTTTCTATCCTTTACATCTTTGCCTGGTATTAAAATGTTATACAGAACTTTATATAAACTTTGATGAAAATAGAACTTTATATGAAAGGTTTATTCTTTATCTCTTCTAAACAGCGATGAACTCTGATTCAAAAGAAAATAAACCATAAAATTGGGAGAAAATGTAAGCTAATATGATATTTGAAGAATTAATTGAAGTGAATATATTGAAAGAAAATTAGCAATTGAGTTGGTGGAGACACACTTAACTAATTAGACAATTAAGCTAAATTCGCATTTTTTGCTAATGATAATACGGTTTTAGACAACAGAGCCCTACTTGATGGTTACAAAGAATATAAAAGGCTCGAAGGTTGAGCGGCGGAAAACGCGAGGATGCCCTCCTTTATAACAAAAACCTTTCACTTCCAATTTGAATTCAAAATCCTTTCTTCTTTCTCTTCGATTTATCTCTAAAACTTTCTGCATCTCACTCCACTCGACACCACGATTCCCAATCCTCAATCATTTCTTCAAATCTCACTCTCTCTAGCTTCATTTTCTCTTCCCCCAATCCCTATCTGTATCATTTCCGGACGCGAAGAAATCCTTCGTCTTCGTCTGTGTGTGGACTCTTCCCGTCTAATTCGACATCTGGGTTTTCGGAAGGAGAGATCTTTTCTGGTGTGGAAATGGAGGAACAGAGAGGAGCTTCCTCTGTGGAGCCGCCATCGAATTCTGGGGTGCCTCTTTACCTTTTCCTCCGATGACTTTTTTGTGTGTTCTTCGTCAGATTTCGCCGTTTATTGTTGCAATTCGTTTATGGGTTTTGTTGTATATCTTCCAATTTGTCAGCTTTTGGGTCAAAAGCGTAACGGAAATGGATTAGCAGAGAAGGATGAATTAGGGTCTAAACGTGTGAAACTGCGAGATCTGGATTCTGGTAATTTCTTCGGATTTGGTTTAGCTTTTAACAGCGAATATGCTCGATTTCGATTACTAGAAATGATCTTATCACTGAATTTTCGGACGATCTGTTGAAATTTTTCAGATGCTAAAACCAGTGATTTGCAATCTGATAAAGGCACTGGGATTGTTCAGCAACCAAATCTTAGCAGCAAAACACCTTCTGGGTTATATGAAATGGTTGTGGCTCATGCTAAAGGTTTAGCAACTAGTGTAGTGAGAGAAAAGGAAGCTTTGGCTAAAGATACAAGCTTGCCTAAGGCCAACAAAGATGATAACTTAAGCGTTGCTAAATCTGGCAAAGAAGCTGTGCTTGTGAATCATCCTGTAAAAGATGGCAATAACTGTGATGAGGAGTCACTAAGAGGAAGACAAGTTGATGCCGTGTTAAAGAACAGTAGCGTCTTGAAACCAAAGGAGACTTCTGAAACTGTTAGTCCAGTTGGAGCAGTAGAGTCAGATTCGATGTGTAGTGCACCACCGGGTTCATTGGAGAAGTCAGATTCGATGCGGCGATGGATGGAAATGAAGAAGAACGGGTTTCTCTCAGGACCTTTAGGAGGAGTACCAGCACCGAGCTCTGCAGTAGCGAGCACTACTACTCCTGTGGAAACACAAGTGCAAAAGCAACAGAAGAATAAGCGGAGAAGCGACTCTTTCAAGAAGAGGAACGAGGTGGCTCCTCCTAGGAAGGAACAGCAGCTTATAGATAGGTTTTCGAATGTTACAGCGCCAAGTGGATTGCTGACTGAACTGAACCCGGGGATCATTAACCATGTGAGGAGTAAGAAGCAGGTCTGCTCGATTATCGAAGCTTTGATTCGGAATGCTACTGATGATGGGGAGAGAAATGCCAATTTGAATGTAAGAGGTATCTATCTATATCTATCTATCATTTCCGTTTTTCTACATTAAGATGTCATGTTAGTAAATTCACAATCAATGTTTTGATCACTCTGTTTGTTCTGGATGTTCAGATTCAGTCAGAGAAGATAGAGCATTAGCCTTTAAGTTACCATCTACAGGAGTACCTGATAACGTCAATTCCATTGCAAACCAGGAACAAGCCACGTCTCTTGCTGTTGAAGGTCAGTGCCTTTTTTTAATCATGTGTCAGATTACACTTTATCTTTAATGGTATCTGAAGTAATAATTGGATAAGTTCTATTGTGAATGAAGACTTTTGTGGATAAAGGGTTTAGATTTACTGATAAGAGTAAGTCTAGAACTGGTAGAAGGATAAAATGTTAGGTATTTTCGTTTGTTTTTCTTCTTTCTTGTTTGTGCATGATGATTAATTCATATGCAGAAGTGGAAACGGAAAGAAATGCTTAAAAGGAAAATGTTTGTTTGCTTTTTAGCTGCTACAGTAGCTTCTCAATGGTTGGAGTTTCTTCACCAAGACCTCAGCGGACGGCTTTCAGGTTTGCATTTTCACTTGTTTGATTAAATACCGCAATGATGCTTCTTCTCCGGTTAACTGAGTTTTTACTTATCCGAGTGAGATCTCTTATGATGTTGCTGCAGCTGTGCAGGATAGTAGGAACAGAGTTAAAAGCGTTTTGACGACAGAGATACCGCATCTCGTCTCATCAACAGAATCTTCCTCTAACCAAGAAAGTAAGATAAACACCTCTGGTGTTGCCTCTTCGGATAAGACAGTAACAGAGACGCATCAGATAAGGTGGTCTGCAAAATTTGATCAGATTAACAAAGCTCTTTATGATGAAGAGAGAGATTTGGTGCGTACTGTCTTTTAAGTCAGAATGATTATAGACGTTGCTTCTTAAGGCTTGAAGCGGTGTTTGATGTGATGATACTTACTATGGATTTGCAATTTGCAGGAACATTCGTTAAACCAAGTGAAGGAAATGCAATCACGATGCAACGAAGGTCTACGACAAATGGACGAGTACTCGCCTTTCAGTTCTCAATCATCAGATTCAAGGTGAGGAAATTTAGACCAAGAAGTCTCCGTTGGAAGCATAGAAAAAAAGACAGGTTTTAACCAATTTTACGTTTGCAGTTTTGGGAATCAGGAGACTAGTATGGCGGTTCAGGCGGCTGCAGCTTCCATTTTTTCCACATGCAGTTTTCTTCTGTCAATGATGAAGCCGCCGAGTGCTACAGGCTCTTAAAATCCTTTTTGTGTGTGTGTTTTGTTCAACCGGTTCTCCACTAATCATCACACCGCCTATTGTCTTTTGTATTAGCACTTTTCTTTTATGGTTACTATTTATAGACTAGTGTAAATAACAGGTGATTTATGTTTTGTCATTCGTGTGTATCATTAGAAGTGAGTTTTCTCATCTACAAAGTTTGATCAGATTAGAAGTGAAAACAAACCTGATCCGGCTTATCTTTCCTTCTCTTCAGCGATTGGATATGATCTGATTCTTCTTCTTGACGGAAAGCATGAACCACAATTCTGAGAGCTGAACAAACCACATAAACTTATTCAGGAAACGAAGTTACTACTCTACTATTGAAGAGAGTCTTTCGTTGACACTTCAACTCACACAGATTTGGCTTTTCTGATCCTTCTACAGTAGGCTGAGAACATGTCAAACATGCTTTCTGACAACAATTTCAACAGAAAATCGAATTATTATTTGAAAAAGAAAAGAAGATCTTGATCGGATTGGTTCAGAAATTAGTTACCATTCTTTTAACTTCTTTTAGACCACCGATCCAAAAGAATGTCTTTCGATAAGCAGAGGATTACCATAGTAAATGAAGTTAATGATTATGGAACACCTTTTGTGGGTCCCACAGAATTACATTTGCACTAGGACTCATCATGAGTATGTTGCCACGTAAGTATGCAGACTTTTTGTTTTGCTCACAAGGTACTACAATCAAGATCCGGTTTACCAAATCTATCGGAAAAAACATCCGGTTTAGCATATACATAGTTCTTAGTAGAAAATTTTATCCGGTTTAGAACATACAGCCATTTAGTTCACCAGCAAAGATTCTCCAATTGTACAGCAGCGGTGGTGGTGGTGGCTGTGGTAGCAGCAGCGGCAACATAAGACCAGAATCGTATGTTGTTCATATATTGTAGTCTCGCATGTTTCTTGAATACCAAAAGATTGTTAGCATTAGTAAGCGTGGGGAAAGCATTGCCATTCATCTCCATTTTATGCAAGTGGAGACCGAAATATCATCAACACAAAAAAATTACAGTGCTAGGGTTAAGCAGTGTAAATAGCAAGTGTACACAATTCGAAACTTATTCTAAACCTATAGCTTTTCTCAAAGATTTCAATCTAGGAACCTTCTAACTGCTGATGGCTTGTGATGCCACAAAGAACTACAAATATTCAAAGATTGAATACTAAGCTAGACTGGACAGCTTCCACAATCATAAGCAAGCAAAAGAACTCACAAGCATCTCTAGAGATATACTGAAGTTTCATCTATTTCTTTGAGACCAATGCAGCGTTAGCAGCTGCTAGAAAGGGAAATGAATCAGCATTGTTGAGCTCCATCCTGGAGACAGAGTAATATTGTTAAGCAGTGTTAATCAGAAATATTTTAAACCTATAGCAGTGTTAAGCAGTGTTAAGTAGCAAGTGTACACTATTCTAAACCTATTCTAAACCTATAGCAGTGTTAATCAGTGTTAGAAACTATTTTAAACCTATAACAATGTTAATGAGTATTAAATAGTGTTAATGAGTGTTAAATAGCAGTGTTAGCAGCTTAAAGGGTGGGGAATGAATCAGCATCATTTAGCTCATCAGAAAGTAGGAGATGAACATATCAGGGCTTCTTTTACCTAAGTAGGTGGTAAAATTTTTGATAGAATTATTGTTTTATATAATTTTGGAAAGTGTGACGGATAATTAAGATTTAAGTTCAAATTATGTGCATTTCAATTTTCTTCTTCTCATAATTCTAGTCTTTTAAATATCATTGTGAACATTAAATCAAGATACCCAAAACTACCTCCTGGTTTTGGCTAAGTGCAAATATCTTTAGCTTTGACCAAAGAAGGAAAGAAAAAACACCCAACATAGATATTTTTCAATCCATTTGAAGTTCCAAATCAATTTAAACGGATGTGAAAGCATGACAACATAAAAGGTGGAGTGAGACTCTCCAAGTTCAAGTTGATGCCCAAATTAAAAGTTAGAATTAGCTTCAATACACATGTCTATTCTAAGAACTTAACTATTTAGTTGTACATTGAAAGAGCTAATAGATCAAATATCAAAACACAAAGGAGTTTGATGTGAAAACTCTTGAGACGATCACATGTTTGCGTCAGGCTACATCAATTTATACCGATGATGGACAACAGGCTTTGCTTGAGAATCAAACTTTTAAGGGTTGGTTATTAACTTCTTATTTGTAGCGTAAATAACAAGGCGATTGTTGGTTTTGTCATTCGTGTATGTAACATTAGAAGCTACCTTTTCCAATGTAATATAAAAGCAAAGATTACATGCATACGAATATAAAATCACTTACAGTTCTCGTTACTATATATCACATAATGAAAATATTGTATCTAATTTCTCCTGAAGGTACAAATTACATAAGCTGATTTAGTGATTTCTACGAGCTAGAGCCACGACGGCGCCATTTCAGCTATTGTTACCTTGGCAGGCGAATTGTCGGAAATCTTGGCAAGTGAGCAATGTTGCAACTTAATAGACTCTGCGTTGTCCACTGTCTTCACAACGTACCTGAAAAATACAAATCCGTTTTGTTTAAAAAACGCTTTAAATGAGTGCAAAGATTAAGCAAGAGCGAAAGGACTTAACCATCCGTTTAAGCATTGGGTCATTATAACAGCCTTGCGTCCAACAAACCGTGGAGGCGTCCTTTTGTTTCCCTACAGGACAAGATTTTGTTAAAAGTGGTGAAAGTAGTATTTTCTTGACAGTGCTAAAGTTGGAAGAAGATCTCAAACCTCTATGATAATTCGATCACCAATGGAGAAAGGAAATTGTATGCCTCTACTACTACTCTTGGGAGTTTCCGTCATGTTTGGAACACAGAAAGTTCTCTTTTGCTGCAGCTCAAAAAGGAAGAAACTCTGCTTTTATATGGTTTCATCATTGTAAATGAGGTTACATGGTTAGAAAACAAACCTGATCCGACTTATCTTTCCTTCGCTTGAGCGGGTGGATATGATCTGATTCTTCTTCTTGACGGAAAGCATGAACCACAATTCTGAGAGCTGAAACAAACCACATAAACTTGTTTAGGAAACGAATTTACTACTGTACTATTGAAGATGTTTGAGTCTTTCGTTGAATGTCGTTTAACTCACATAGATTTGGCTTTTCTGATCCTTCTACAGTAGGCTGGGAACATGTGAAACATGCTTTCTGACAATAGTCCGACCAAAACTCGGATTATTAAGAGAAAACGAAAGAGATCTTCAGCGGATTGGTTAAGAAATGATTTACCATTCTTTTAACTTCTTTGAGTCCCTCGGCTCCAAAAGAATGTCCACAAGGTAGTATCGTAGCATCATTCATCAAGGCTCCTCTATCCAAAGCAAAGTAACACATATATAAAATCATCTCTGTGAATGTAAAAACAAGAACTAATATGTGCATTCCATCACACGACAATAATCATCAAAGTACATTGACATGGACTCATAATTTCAAAACATAATTTGATCCTAAGTTCAATAACTAACACTTACGTGACAGGATCAGAGAGGGTGGACTTGAGAGTTTCCCAAGAGCTGATACTAGTGACTCTATCTTTCTCCACAGAAGCAGAATCTCTCTTTGCCTGCTTGTTATGGTGGGAATTAGATACTTTACCATCTGGATTAGTGATCCTCACTTTCAAATCCATTTCATGGGGATCAGTCGGTGACTTATCCTCCTCGTCGTCTCTCACAACCAGTTCCCAACCAACTGAACCTGAGGAAAACCATAATTAGCAGAGGATTCGATTAGCTACTGAGAGCTCAGAGCTTCAACAATCTTTGGTTTGCGATAGTCGTAAGTGAACATCGAAAGACAAGAAATTTTTGAACTAATATACAGAGTGTGTGTGTATACCTGGAACTTTGCTCTCTCTGTTGGTTTCTGCAGCTACAGAGCTGCGATTATTACCGGAATCAATACTACGTGTTCGGACACAAATGTCATCCTCGTCGTCATCTCCATCGGAATATCTCTTCTCAGTTCTATTTCCACCGAAATTTTGCTGGGTTCCGGAAATTACGAAACGGTGGCGATCGCCGACGGTCTCGAGCTCGCTGCTCTTGTGAGCGGACTCTCCGACACGGAACTGCTGCAAAGATTCATCTTCCACATGGTAAAGGAATCGAGGATCTATACTGTCGTTAACGGACATTGCTCTTTCGCCGGTAAATTCGGAACCGCGATCGCTCACCGGAAATGAAGCTAAAGAGCACAGAGTCAGTTGATTAAAACGACGTCGTGACTGGTTCATTTGATTTATTACAAGCACGCGCGCCATGATGATGGTTAATGATTATGGAAAACCTTTGTGTGGGTCCCATAGAATTACATTTGCACTTGGACTAATGAGTTATATTGCCACGTAAGTATGCATACTTTCTTGTTTGTTTTTTACCAAAATTATTGGAAAAAGCGTCCGGTTCAATATCAGAATTTTGGTCCGGTTTTAGAACATACAATTCTCTAATTGTACAAAACACTTGCAAAACATCAAAGATACACAAATTAGCAACCGTAAGTTCCAGCGAGTCTTCTCCTTCTGCTGCTGCTTGCTTATTTCAAAGGTTTCAATCCCAGAGATAGTCTCAGTTTATTAGCTTCTGCAATTTCAGGATCTGGATGATTCGTTCCATCTTCCCTTATCTTCTCCTTCTTCTCCTTCTTTCTCTTCGGTTCCTCCCGATCCCTGACATCATCACTCTCGTGTCTCTTACGATCCCTACTTCTGCTTCTGCTTCTACTTCTACGCCTTGCCCTGTCTCGTCTGTCTCGCTCTCTATCTCTCCCTCGTTCCCTCTCCCTATCCCTGTCTCTGTAGTCTCTCTCCCTATCCCGGTCTCGACCACCACGCCCACGTTCTCTATCGTAGTCTCTCTCATAGTCTCGATCCATATCGTAATCACGATCCCTGCCAGTCACAAACCAATGGTCAAATTACAATTCATGAACATACAAACAAAGATCTCAATATAAACCATAATGACACAGATTCATAGATTGTTTTTTCGGTTACTTGAGCATTGCCATTAATAACGCAATGACTAAATAGCAGGCTTAAGCTATAGTAAGAATGTTTGATCCGTCATACTTCTCACTGTACACTGTCAGTACAGTGAAACCTGGCGGGATCTCAGAGATTTCAATTTAGGAAGCTTTTTCAAACTACTGATGGCTTGAGATGCCACAGAGAAAATAGCGATATTCACAAAGATTGAACATGGTGCGTGAGCATCAGCTAGACCGGAAAGCATCCAGAATCATAAGCAACCAATACTCATAAGCTTTTCTAGAAATACACAAGAGAGCAACGAAATGTATTAGATACCTGTGCCTATGACTGTCGCGTCTTCTATCCCTATCTCTGTCTCTTTCTCTTTCAGGGCTCTTGCGGCTATAGTCCTGTAAAAAAAGGAAGAAGCTGGTATGTATCAGCACAATGCTGCCAAAGAGATACAGAAAACAGGAGAAATAAATGATTACAGAAGGAAAGTAATGACCTTCTCATCTTCGGATCCATCAGCAGCAACCCCCTCAATCTCCTCCTTTTCTTCCTCTTCTTCAAAGTCGTCTTCCAAAACGCTCTTCCTTGCCTCTAACAGCCCATTCTGCTCAAGCGTCCACCTATCATCACAGTGAAAGATTAACAATCTTACAAATACTGCAGTAACCAAAAGCCAAGATTCAGCTATACACAAACGAAAAAGAAACAAACCTTTTCTTCAAGCGAGGCATTGCAATATCACAAGAATAATCCTTGGTTAAAAGCTCCTCAATGACTTCGTCCACATGCGTCAACGAAAACTCTGTTCCAAACCCAAAGAAGATATAAAACTGGAACAAATCAAAATCAAAAGTATGACATAAATGGATCCAGTGAAAGAAACTGAAACTTACTCCCATCAGATAGCTTTTGCCTCACTTTTCTGTAGTCATTGTAAAGAGGTTCAAGGTAGCGATACACATCAGCATCAGTCCCAGTGAGTCGGAGATAGAAAGCTCCAAGAATACGAACATATCTGCACAAACCAAGAGAGTAATTCTTCTCAATAATCAACCTTTATAAACATCCGAAAACCTATAACTGCAATTAAACCTAATTATGATTCAGAAACAGCTAAGCTCAGGCCAATTGCATCATCCAATCTAGGTTAAAACGAAATGAATTACAGAAAGCTTTGGTTTAGAGATCATACTTGTAATCGTCGTTTTTGATGAACTCGACGACAATGTCTTTCTCAGGCTGGATTTGGAGCATCTTCAATATAAGGCAAAGGAACGGAGTGGGCTTGCGGTTACCACCAAAGGTTCCGCCGACGTGGTCGAGCTCCATAGCCTTGTCGACGAGCGTCTCCGCCGTGAGGCCAAAGCACTGCTCTTTCCAGAATGTATGCTGGTAGATTTTCGTCCGCACAATCTTCTCCACCAGATTCTGAGGGTTCGTCCCTCTAATGTTCTTCGCCAACGGATCTGTCCTGTTCGCCATTCTCGCCGCGAGAAATCAGGAATCGCCTCGACGGCTGATTTGGAACTCGACGCGAGCTAGTCGCCGGGTTAACTCGGATCAGAGGACGGCGTTTCAGTTAAACCACACCGTGCTTCCACGAATCCTCCGTCGTAGAAGACGAAGACACTAGGGCTTAGGAGGAGAATGAAAATCTGAGAAAATTGATTTTCTGAGATTGTAGACTGTAGATTTTGGATAGGATGGGCCTTAAATCACGTATTAAGCCGTCATACGAAAGTGGAGCGGTTTATTTCTCAGGCCCATAAGAAACGGAGATAAACGCCGTTAGTTGGAAGTCCGTTAAGACCGTTATTTCAAGTAAAAAACCCTATCGAATGTTTTTCTTCCTGCGAAGAGCCCCAACAAAAAAGTGAAGAAGAAGGAAACACAAAATCAAATAAGAGAAAGATGGATCCAAAAACGAAACCGATGATAGTATCAGCTCTCTGCAAACACTTTTCCTTGGATCCTGTAAGTGAAGAAGATGTCACTTCTCCTTTAGGATCTTGCTTAGTAGCTGAGTGTGTGTTTAGTCCTTTTTCGATTTGTTTAGTCGGGAAAAATCGATCCTTTTGCTTGTTTCTCTTCTAATTGGATAATGAATTCAATAATGAAGATTGTCTTCCATATCAGTGTACACTTGTATTGTTACATGCATCCAAGGTCGTTATGAAAAAAAAGGAAGAAACTTTAGAATTTTGGGCTTTATGGTTTCCTTGATTTGTGTTTTCCATGGAATTAGATGGTACAATAGTGTTGATCATCTCTATCTTTCATTCAGAATTTACACCAATCCCTCATTGTGGTTCTGTTTCTGACATTAAATTTGAATTGATTTGCTTAGGCACCTTTTCTTGGCGGGGCTGGTGAGAATGATGTCCAGACGCTGTATTCTAATGTTTTGAAAGCATCTGGACAGGAAGTCTCTGCACAAAACAACGAGGAGGTAAATTTGCTTCTTCCGTAATTTGTCTCCTAAAGACGTAACTGGAAATAGATTGATTTGCCTTCTCTTTACTTCAACATTTTGAGAAGGCTGGATTAGTTTTTTTTTCAGTTTCAGACTTTCAGTGCAATGTCTTCTCTGTGGTTCTAAATGATGTGTATTATTTGGCTTTGGTTTAGCACAATGTAACATCGTTTCACATTATTTGCTTACTCCAGGTTTTGAAGTGGCTGCAATTTTCGGAAGGTGTCCCAGCGAATTCAAAGGATTGCTTTGCAGCTCTGGACAAGTTGAATGCAGAGTTAGCCACCAAGTCGGTGCTCTTGGGGAATGGATTGACTCCATCGGCAGCTGATGTTGCTGTGTTTTCAGCTTTGCATTCTTCAGTGGTAATGACTCTTTCAAAGAAGAATTTCACTTTCATAAACTATTGACTAGAATCGGACTCTGAAGACTTAACTGTTTTCTTCTGACTTGCTCTTTCCCAGCTTGACCTCTCAGATTCTGACAAGGAGAAATTGCCACATGTCGTAAGATGGATGGACTACATCCAGGTATGATCAACATACAAAGGCTTAAAGACTATCACAGTTCCTTTCACATTATCTCTACTTGTGATTATCTGCTGTATTTGTAATTGCTCCTCGTTGTTACTTTTACAGAATAAAGAAGACTTGTCAACATTGTTTGGACCAATTCCTGTGAAGTTACCACAGTTTGACTTCGAGGTGAATTATCTTTTCATACTCAACTTTCGTTTCAGATTTTACAGTAGCATGTCACATTTTTCATTATGCGATGAGAAATTTGTTTTCTGATGTTCTTCCCTTATTCTTAGGTACCAAAAAGTGTCACCAAGGTGGATGCGAATCCTAATACTAAAAAAGCTGCAGAAGCTGTAAAGCCTCCTGTTGACAAGCCAGAAGCTCAGGCAAGCACAAAGAAATCTGAGCCTGAGGTACTGATTTTATCTTTGAAGTTGGATTTTAATGATTGGGAGTCTTATTTATAGTGTGAAAAAAAATTCTGATGGTTCCACATTTTTATAATGTCAAGGAACCAAAGAAGAAGGCTACAAAAGAGAAGGATGCAAAGAAAGAAAAGAAGAAAGCTGCAGAACCAGAACCAGCTAACAAAGAGGCTGAGCTTAGTGTCAGTTTGCTAAATATTCAAGTCGGTCTAATTCGCAAAGCATGGAAACACCCATCGGCAGATAGGTATGTGGTCAATAACACACTTGTTATCTTATGGCTTTGTTAAAGGTATCATTAGGCATCTGCTAATATGTTACAACCTTGTTTTATGCATCCACAATGCAGTTTGCTGGTGGAAGAGATCGATGTTGGCGAAGGTAAAGTGAGGCAAGTGGTTAGTGGTTTAGCAAAGTTCTGCAGTCCAGATGATCTAACGGTATAGTGATATCTCTGAATCTACAAATAATGAAAATAATATTTTTTGATGCCTAGAATTGTTGGATTCTTGAAAATTTAAAAGTTCACGTATCTATGGTTTCTTGTTTGCTGCATTGTGTTGATGAAGAACCGACTTGTTGCACTCATCACAAATGTCAAACCTGGAAAGCTACGAGATGTGATGTCAGAAGGATTGGTAATACTTTTTTTCTATCTGCATCAATGCATTCCATTCATGATCAGAATATTGCAAAACTCTCACATTTTGTTCGTCTTCGTTGTTATTGATTTCTTTGCTTACAGGTTCTTTGTGCTTCAAATGAAGATCACTCGGTGGTAGAACCATTGCTACCACCTGTTGGGGCTCCGCCAGGAGAGCGTGTCTCATTTTCAGGGTATAATACTGCTAAACGACTTAACATATTAAAATCATAAGATCTTTTGCTTTACTGTAAGTTTTATCTCTGTTCATTGCAAACTCAAGAACCATCTTTTTGTCACTTTGATCTAGGATCGAAGGAAAGCCAGAAGATGTACTGAACCCAAAAAAGAAGCAACTAGAGAAGATAACACCGGTATGTGCTTTCAGGCCCTTTTTGTAGTTTCCGAACATGTTGCATTATGCATTATACACCTAAATAATCAATCTCACTGTCACTTTGGTTAATGGCACGCATTTGCAGCATCTCTGCACTGATGAAAATGGCGTAGCCACATACAAAGGCATTCCATTTATGACCTCCGCTGGACCTTGCACCTCAAAAATCCCCAAGGCTACTGTCAAGTAGTAAACTTTAGTTTTGTCTTCTCTTTCATTTTTCTTTGATATACTCACAAACTCAGTTGGAAAAGAAAAGATGTTTATTTTGTTTATCACAATTCGAATTATATGACTATAACTTTGTTCTTATTAAACCGTTTTGACAAACAACAATGTTGCCATCTTCGTTGCAAGTCCACCTAACCTCCTCCTTCTTGTAAGTGGTTCAATCATATAAACCAAACCGATCCAAACCGATAAAAATTTAGAAAACTAATTGAAATTGAATCCAGAATGAATTTGAAATTGACTAAAATCCGAATTCGACCAGATTTAAACCGTATCAAACCGACAAAACACCGATTTGAGTTTGGTATCTTATTCATCAAACCTAGCCGCCGCCGATTGTCCTACGAATTCGCCGCGGTTCACCGTCGCCTAAGCCGATATTTTAGAACACTCACCACCACCGACACCAATCTGCTCAAAGAGCTACCGCTAGGGTCAATCTCACGATGGCGAGCAGAGCCTACGCTCACTACCACCACGCCGATGCCTGCAGCAAAGCTCGCTGGAACGCCAGGTTTGATCCTTGGAGATTGATATTGATCACAAAAACTGACTCTTTGTCGACCAGTAATAACTCATTGAATTGGCAACACATTACACCAAATTCTCACCTTTTTGTGTTCATGTGGTCTTTGAGCAGAGAGACCTACCGGTTTATGTACGATAGGCCTTGGCAACATGTCCTTGACTTGTACTCAAATGCAGTGCAAGGGAAATTTTCAGTCTTGCAATTGTTTGAGCCCAAAGTTAGTATCTTTATAGCATCACTTGTGTCAAGATGGCTTTGTATTGCATCATCCTCAAATTAAGTTTCTTTTTTTTTTGTTCCTTCAGAGAACTTTGGTCCATGATGATGGGAAAACCGAAGAGAAGCCTCTTGAAGCTGAAATGGAGACTTCTACTAGAAAAGATGGGAGGACAGGGAGATGGGAAAGAGTGAATTTTAAGATAGTGCTTTCGTACAATGGAGCTTCTTTTGATGGATGGCAGAAACAGCCTGACCTTCACACTGTTCAAAGGTAAAGGTCTCTCATTTTTCAGCTTCGTGTATTAGTTACTTTGAGGAGAATGATTTATTAAATTTTAGAAGCATAAGCACTAAATATTCCTCTGTTTTGAAGACTATTAGTCCCCACTTGTACTTGCTTATTTGTTTCCTGAAAATGAATGTCCTAGCGTTTTGTGGTTTTTAAAGTGTAGTAGAGAAGTCTCTCGGGGGATTTGTTGATGAAAGGAAAGCTCAACTGCTCAAGAAGAAATGTAAACCATTAGAAGGCCGTGTACTTGTTGCTGGAAGAACCGACAAAGGAGTGTCTGCGCTTAATCAAGTTTGTTCTTTCTGTACGTCAAAAGTCATATTCCTAACAATGTAGTATCATCATGGCTTTTCTTTGTTCTGCATGACTGCTCATATTGTTTACTCGTGAGAGATGGTTCTTACTCCAATTATAGCAATACATCATTAGGAGATGATATGTTTTGTGTTTAAACATAAGACAGGCTTGTCCCAGCTAGTCAGCTTGATTGATGTTAAGATTGTCTGTTTTCTCTTAGATACCTGGAGAAAAGACATTGAAACCATTGAAATTGAAGATGCTATCAATAAAGATGCTTCTGGGAAACTTAGGGTTGTGTCAATCTCTAAGGTATGATGGATTTTTTTTTTTCCCTTTTAGTTTTTCTGGCAAAACTTGATAAAAGTATGTGTAAGGATAGAAGACTGTTTTACTTAATCTTGAGACCTATGAACTAAAACTGCAGGTTTCCCGAGCATTTCACCCAAATTTCTCTGCAAAATGGAGGCGTTACTTGTATATCTTTCCCTTGGATAATGCTGAGCCATTGTGCGAGAGTGGCAAGAATAGTGATAATTTGATCTTTGATGAGAGCCACGGAAAGAAAACAAATGGGCTCTTAAGTGAAGAGAAAACAGAAGTAGGAATTTTGAGCGAGGAGGATGAGCTTGAAACTGAGGAGATCACAAAGGTGAATGGGCTTGAAGAAGTCGAAAAGCCGAGCGACTTCAGTGTAAGCAAGGTTGATCAACTTTTACAGCAGCTTCAAGGAAAAGTATTATCCTACAAGATGTTTGCGCGTGATACAAAAGCTGCAAGAAACGAGTAGGGAAAAGATACTCTTAAGCTAGTTATTTGAAAAAGTTTGCATTGGCAGAAATTTGTAGTTTATGGTTTCTTACTTGGGTTATCTTGACGTTGCAGAGGTCCACCTACAGAATGTCTCATGTACCATGCACGGGCAGCCGAAATTAGATTGGCCTCTTCTGTAAGTCTTCGATTCTATTCTCTCTTTAGATGTCATTTACTTGAACTTCACGCCATAGTTTCTATATAAGCATTCAAGACTTAGCAAGAAGCTCTTATTCCTCACTGTTTAGATATGATACTAGTTGTTCAACATTTTTGCGGAATGAGTAAGATTTTGGTCCATCAATAGTACTTGTAATCCTGACAACTTAAGGATACTAGTATAGACATAATGGTTTTCGATTAAACCTTCTCGCAAGTTCTGGTTCATTGCAAGGTGAAATTAGGGCAGCACATTGTGCTCTTCCCATGTGAAACTAAGAGTGACGTCTTTATGATGAATTGTACCAGGAGCATGTGGAAGGAAGAAGAGTGATGTGCGTTGAGCTTGTTGCTAACAGATTTCTCCGCAAGGTGTTTTCTCTTAAGCCTAACATTAGCTTACGTTTCAGAAGCTTGGCTTTGATGTAAAAAAGTCAAGAGTCACACTGTATACATTGTTTTGGATTGCCTAAAAGTAATTACTACAATGTCTTTGTAACTTCTTCTATCAGATGGTTCGAGTTCTTGTGGCAACAACAATCCGAGAAGCTGCAGCTGGTGCAGAAAACGATGCATTGTTAAAGCTGATGGAAGCTTCATGCAGACGAGCCACAGCTCCTCCAGCTCCATCAGAAGGTCTCTGTCTGTTCGACGTTGGTTATTCTGACTTTGACCCTCAAACTTCTCTCATTTCTTGAGAACGGCCATGTAACAATAGTACTACATTTTATTAAGAGATTAGTGACCCATTTGCTACAAGAAAATATATTATTATTCGTTTCGTATTTAAGATTTTATCTCATCAGCTTGATAAGATCCTCAGCAGATCCGTACTACTGTCACTGACCCACGTAAGTTTCTTTATTCAGTTTCTCAAAGAATCAGTCCTCTATACCAAAACACAACTTCTTTCTTAAAACTAAACACGCACAAGATCATATACGATTCCAAAATCATATCAAATCGGTTCTTGATATTATAAGAAGCATTGTTACCGGAAGATAAAATCTGTTTTCTCATATCGTATTTTTAGTATCTCCAATTTGCATTTATAAAAGTGGTCCAAAAGGAAGATCCCAACACGATTCCATGAATATGTCCTAACTCCTAACAAGTAAGTAACTCCATACGAAAAGACAAATGGAACTTTATAATGTTATAATTGACTGATACTGAAAACTAAAAAAGCCCCTAAAATAAGATATCAGTGTATATCACGAGATATCCGTGATATTCTTTGATGCAATCTCTTCCTCTCCATGCTCTCTGTTTTTTCTTTTCTTTCTTTCTTTTTAATTATGAGGAATTAAATTAGTTGGTAATAATAATGGAAAATTCTTCACCCACCAAGATCATAAATACCATCACCAGATTCACATGATTCAGACTTTCTGAATCTGTCACTTTCTTCTTCATCTATGTATGTTTTGTCTTTTATTTTATTTTTTTGAAAATTTATGGGATTATAGGTGGTGGAGAAATTAAAAGCAATGTCTGCAAGGGTGTTGTATTTATGCTAACTTGCTAAGAGCCAGTCTTTTGCTTCTTTTGCTTATTGTCAAGTTGTTTTCTTCCTCAGTTACTTTGACATTCTAAGGATATGAACGGTGGTTCTTGTTCGTCTTTAATGGATGATGATCATCATCATCATGGTCATGAAGAGCTTCATGTTCTAGCTGTAGATGATAATCTCATTGACCGTAAACTCGTTGAGAGGTTGCTCAAGGTCTCTTCTTGCAAAGGTTCCATCTTCTTACGCCTTTATTTTTCTCATTTACTTTTTGTATTCTTCGTCTATAAAATGTGATTTTTTTGGCAGTAACAACAGCAGAGAATGCGATTAGAGCATTAGAGTATTTGGGATTGGGAGATCAAAATCAGCATATCGATGCACTGTCCAACGTAAGCAATTATAATAAACCTTCAAGATCTATGAATATTTTCCTCAGGACACATTTTATATTAGGTCTATAAAAAAAGAACTAATGAAAATGTACAATTTTTCTAGGGTTTAAAGGTGAATCTAATCATCACAGATTACTGTATGCCGGGAATGACAGGTTTCGAGCTGCTCAAGAAAATTAAGGTAAAAACTAAAAACAATATAACGATTTCTCAGAATCAAAATCTCTGTGAGATTTTATCTGTTTAGTTCAGTTTGGCAATCCTCTATGTGTTAATGTAGCAGGAATCATCGTATCTGAAAGAGGTTCCTGTTGTGATAATGTCTTCAGAGAACATTCCTACACGCATCAACAAGTAAGCACATCTAAGATCTGATTTAAGAACTTAGTCTTTGTTTTCTTCTTGTGGAAGTAATAAACTAAGATATCATTCTTTTGCTCTGCTTTGGTCTTTTAAACGCAGATGTTTAGCGAGTGGAGCTCAAATGTTCATGCAGAAACCTCTCAAACTATCCGATGTTGAGAAACTCAAGTGTCATCTCATGAACTGCAGAAGCTGACCATGAGAGATTAATTAAAATGTAGCCCTAATACATTTCATTGTTTTGATTCCTTATTTTTGTTTTACATGTTAAATTGAAAACCAAGAAATGATTTTAAATCCCTATATTCAAATTACACACTCACAAAAAAAAAGGTGTAAGGAATCATAGAAAATGGTTGAAGTTTTGTAGATGGTGACGATGTCTTCTCTCTTCAAACCCTAAACAGCGGATAAATGGATAACATGAGAGGAATAAACATCTTTTGATTCCTCTGACCATTGAAAACGTAGGCCACACGCAACAACAACAACATTGATGATGATTCTCTGCTTTCGTTATCTCTTTCTCTTTCTCTTTTCTTCTTCTTCTGTCTCTTTTACGGCCACTATTGCATAGGATTGTCATCGTTTCTAGGTTTCAGATCAAATCTGCGTCAAGAGAAAGAATAAAAATCTCGCGGAATCTTGTGCAGCAAGAAAGGTCTAGATCTTAGACAGAAACAGAACAATCGAAACTCCGAATACGGGAAACAAAGAATTTATAGGTTTCTGTTTGTTTTACTAACCTCAAAAACGGGAAGATTCACCGGAATCTGGCATGGAAAATATTGCCAGAAGGAGAAATGAAGATTGACCGGGTGAGAGAGAAGATGATCAATCTCTTTCTTCTCCAAGAGAAGAGAGAGAGACAGAGAGAGATGGAGAAGTCGAAAGTCTCTATACAGAGGAGAAATTGTCCTCACGAATATCCTTGGGAGACTTGTACGTCTCCATGGGAGCTTTCAACATCATGCTTCATGCCACGTGTCCTTCCTTTTTTATGTCTCATTTCTTTAGAGTCTTAACGGACCTCAAAGCTCTGACCTACCAATATATTTTGTTTGTTTATGTTTCATTTTGGTTTCCCCTGTTTTCTGGTTTGTGCATGTATCGCACGATTTCATATGACTTTATTAGAGTATATAAAAAAGCTATATTATTGTTAAACTACGTATCGTATATACTCCCTCCATTTCCATATGGTACAAGCTATCTAATTTTAATTTTCAAATCAAATTTCAATAATTATGTCCGAAAAAGATGGGGAACTAAGTGGAGCTAATTGAGCTGATCACGTATCGAAAGATTTGGATAATGAATCGCGAGAATTCAGTGTCCATTTCCAAATCTGACCTAACCTTTGTTTGATAATAACTAACCAAAATCTCACCTAACTTCTCTTGATGAATTTTGAGTAGTAGCTTTCAAAATGAACCGAAACATCTGCTCTAAAAACCAAAACCGAAGTGAAACGGTCAAAACTATATACGGCCCAAGTAAGATAAGGGCCCAAATTAATTATTTTGACATGCTGATATTGTTACAGGCCCATAATAACTGCCAAGGACGAACGAATTTCTGTTCACTCTCTCTCTCTCGCTCGCTCTCAATCTCTCCGATTGGTTGGGTTTTCTCTTGGGTTCGTCTTCTCAAGTCTCTCTGCGAAAATGGCGGCTTCGGTACAACCTGCATGCTTAGACCTTCACTTCTCCGGGAAGCTTTCACCGCCACCGCTGCTTAAGCAGAACGCTATCTTCGTCCGCTGCGTTTCTTCTCCGAATTTCCCCGAACCCGACTCGCTCACTGACCCGCCTGATATCGTCAATACTAACCGGGACCAGCGTAAAGTTGTTCGTATCGCGTGGGAGAAGCTGGTTCGATGGTCTCGTTCCTTGCGCGCCAAAGCCAATACCGATGTTCTCGAGCGCACTCGCAAGGTAAATTTATCTTCTTCATTCTCCTTTCTCGATTTCGTTTGCATTTCGAAGTGTTTTTGAAAGAATCTGGGGTCTTTATAGGTTGTTGTTCTTGGTGGAGGTTCGTTTGGTACGGCAATGGCTGCGCATGTAGCTAGACGGAAAGAAGGATTGGAGGTTCACATGCTTGTGCGCGACTCTTTCGTTTGCCAATCTATCAACGAGAACCATCATAATTGGTAATTTATATCTCTATTATCCAACAAATTGCTTGAGGAATTCACTTCACAGAGATGATTTCGAATTGTGTTTTTTTGTTATCAGTAAGTACTTTCCTGAGCACAAGTTGCCTGAGAATGTGATTGCCACAACTGATGCGAAATCTGCGTTGCTTAATGCTGATTACTGCCTCCATGCCGTGCCTGTGCAGGTTTAAGCCAATCAAGTTTTTTTTTGTTTTCTTGATTTGGCTTCTATGTTCTGCTGATTAATGCGGCTTCTTGTTGCAGTTTAGCTCATCGTTTCTAGAGGGAATTTCGGGTTATGTGGATCCAGGATTGCCTTTTATATCTCTTAGCAAAGGTCTCGAGCTTAATACTCTTAGGATGATGTCTCAGATCATTCCCGCTGCGCTTAAGAATCCCAGGCAACCTTTTGTTGCACTTTCTGGTCCATCATTTGCTCTGGAGTTGATGAACAATTTGCCCACTGGTTCGTGTTCTATTGGCGTTTTCTTTTGGTCTATGTCAATTCTTCTGATGCTGAAAGTTTTGAAATGTTTGCTTGCAGCAATGGTGGTTGCCTCGAAAGATAAGAAATTGGCCAATGCTGTTCAGCAGCTTCTTGCTTCTAGTTACTTGAGGATAAGTACTTCCAGGTACAACACTTTGAAACCAGACTCCATTGATGCATTTCTCTACTTGGCTGCTTGATAGTTATTCATGTCTTGTGTATGTGTGGTGTTAGTGACTGAGCTCTAATGGTTGATTTCTTTTATATCTTCGAGGGAGTTTTGTGCACTCAGCTTGTAACCTCTGATCATTCCAGTGATGTTACAGGCGTGGAAATTGCGGGTGCCCTGAAGAATGTTCTCGCAATAGCTGCAGGAATTGTTGATGGAATGAATCTCGGTAACAACTCTATGGCTGCTCTTGTGTCACAAGGTTGTTCAGAGATAAGATGGTTAGCCACAAAGGTAGTAAATTCAATGGCCTCATAGAAACTCACCACAACGGTTACTTAAGGCTTTGTTTAACGCATATTCTTGGTATTGCTGTCTTGTTTGTGTGTAGATGGGTGCAAAGCCAACAACCATAACCGGTTTATCAGGAACTGGGGATATAATGCTCACGTGTTTCGTGAATCTTTCAAGAAACCGGACAGTTGGAGTCAGATTAGGGTCAGGGGAGACGCTAGAGGACATACTAGGCTCCATGAATCAGGTGTGTTTCTCATTGGTGTCGGTTGCCTTAATTTGGTTGAATCTGACAGTCATGGGTCAATAACCACCGTTGCACAGGTTGCAGAAGGTGTAGCAACCGCTGGGGCAGTAATAGCATTAGCACAGAAATACAATGTGAAGCTTCCGGTTTTGACAGCGGTAGCTAAGATCATAGATAACGAGCTGACCCCGACGAAAGCTGTTCTTGAGCTCATGAACCTTCCACAGGTTTGATTCCAAACTTCCTAGATTCCATTTCAACTCGGCTACTTTATGGTTTGGATTTGATTCATTTTCTGTATGTTCCTGGTTTTGCAGGTTGAGGAAGTATAAGATGGAACAACTTTTAGGCGGCGAGATCTTTGCATTTGTTTAGAGATATAAGTGAGTTTTGTAATCAATTTTTAGGCCTGAATCTCATAAATGTGAATTGTTCATAAACATTTTACAAAATCTGTGTAAAGTTTTCTCATACCTATAAAAATGTTGTTCCCAGTCTCTTTGTCTACTAGAACAGAGAACTTGACTCATGTGTGATCTTTGAATTTGAATGTTAAGTGTATGGAACCAGTACACCAAACCGGTCTTTTACAAAAGTAACCGTAAAAGCCGATAAAAAAATTGATTGAATTTGTCTTTAGTTTAATTCGGTTTGCTTTTGGGTTAAAATCTACGGAACAGATTATAAAGTGCTTTGAAAACTGATAGGCCCATAATTTAAGGCCCAAACATGAACCGACGTCGTGTAAAGTGGCAAAACCCTTGCAGTTGCAGTGTCCTTCGTTGAGTTCTCTCGAAGACGAAAAAGCAACGAACTGGTTTTGCCAAAGAAGAAGATGTCGAAGAGAACCCAACAATCGGCTAAGGAGAGAAAGCAGCAAGAAGTGATAGATGGAAACAAAGCAAAGAACGCTTTGTTCGCTTCGTGTTCCTTCTCTTCGCTTGGCCTTGACCCCAAGCTGTCTGACCAGCTCAAAGGTTCGCTCTACTTGTCTCTGCAGATACCTTTGCGCATATATGTTTAATGAGCTTAATCATGTTCATGAATAAGCTTTAATGGTTATATTCCGTTGCAATTTTGCAGAAAGGATGGGTTTTGAAGCTCCTACGCATGTGCAAGCTCAATCTATTCCTGTGATTCTCTCTGGTCGCGATGTGTATCCTTTTTCTATTATGTTATATTTTTGCGTGAATTGTGATTACACTTGTAGTCCAGGTTTGTTTCCCTTAACCTGGAATATGTATAAATGTATAGACTGGTGAATGCTGCAACCGGAACTGGCAAAACTATAGCGTATTTGGCACCAATCATCCATCACTTGCAGGGTTATTCTCCCAAGGTTGATCGTACTCATGGAACTTTTGGTATGTGCATATCTAATATCTAGCATGTAGTGTGTGATTTTGATTGTGTGTGTGATTTTGATTGCTTGTTGGACTTGTATGTGGCAGCTTTGGTGATTGTGCCTACTCGGGAGCTGTGCCTTCAGGTTTACGAAACCTTGGAGAAGCTGCTGCATCGGTTCCATTGGATTGTCCCTGGTTATGTCATGGGAGGAGAGAAAAAGGCTAAAGAAAAGGCTAGGCTAAGGAAAGGTACAATCTTGCATTATTGTCTGCTTTAATGTGAGAAGCAAGATGATCGCTTTTGAATCCAAGATGATTGTTTTTGTTTCAGGGATATCGATTCTCATTGCAACCCCGGGACGCCTTCTTGACCATTTGAAGAACACTGCTTCATTTGTGCACAAGCATCTGCGTTGGGTCATCTTTGATGAAGCTGATTGGTATAAACTGACTTACCTTGATAGTATTAGCTCTCTTTCTTGGTGTTGTGCTTCGTTTGTTAAGCTTTTTCCTTTGAAATATGGCAGCATTCTCGAGTTAGGCTATGGGAAGGAGATTGAACAGATAATTAAGCTTCTAGGTTCTGGACGAAACGATGAAGAGGAAACGGATGATGTTGGTCCAAAGGGTATTCAGAAGCAGAACCTGTTACTGTCAGCGACACTGAATGAAAAAGTTAACCACCTTGCACAACTTAGTTTGGATGATCCAGTAATGATTGGTCTTGACAGTAGCAAATATCAACAAAATCTACCAGTGGAGGCTCCTCCTGGCTCTCCTGATTCCGATGCTGATTCTGATGCGGAGGATTTGGTGATTCATGTAAACAAATCCGCAAACCCTTCTTCTGAGGACTATGGAATACCATCGCAGCTAGTGCAGAAATATGTTAAAGGTACATTTTATCTTCGCTTTAACCTTTTTGATTGCTCGATGTTCCTTCTTTCGTGTAATAGTATATCTGTTGTATGCAGTGCCATGTGGTGCACGGCTTGTGGCTCTTCTTTCTGTTCTCAAGAACCTTTTTGAGAGAGAAGCTTCTCAGAAGGTAAATCTCAAGCTAAACATTTCCGAAGTTCTTGTCAAATAACAGTCTGGTTGTTTTTGATCAAAGTTTTGTGTGGCTCTTGTTCTTATAGGTGGTGGTATTCTTTTCGACACGTGCTGCTGTAGATTTCCATTACTCGCTTCTGAGTGAATTCCAGTGGCCACCAAATTCTGAGACACAAGAAGAAGAGGAGACGAAACAGTTGTTTCTCAAGTGCAAAACGTTTCGGTTACATGGAAGTATGGAGCAGGAGGATAGAAGATCTGCGTTTGGGACCTTTAAAGCAGAGAAACAGGCTATTCTCTTGAGTACAGATGTTGCTGCTAGAGGCCTTGATTTCCCTAAAGTAAGATGTATTATACAATACGACTGTCCCGGGGAAGCAACCGAGTATGTGCATAGGTAAGTTTCATAAACCTCTTTGACGTTTCTACCTTGAAAATACATAGTGCCTTAAGTTTTACTGAGCTCATGTGTTTGGGATTTTATGGTTGCAGAGTTGGTAGAACAGCTCGTATAGGTGAAAAAGGAGAAGCCTTGTTGTTTCTACAGCCGGTTGAAATAGACTATCTTAAGGACCTGAAGAAACATGGTGCAACACTTGCAGAGTACCCTCTCCTAAAAGTACTTGATAAGTTTCCGTTACCTGGCAATATGCCTCGCATCAAGAAGGTCATTTCACTAGAGTCACATCCATGGGTCATATCTCTGCAGAGAGCTCTTGAATACGTTAATTACTCCCAGGTATAATTCTCTCTCCTCTCTTGTCTTATCCAAGCTTGGTGCTTTGATGGAAATAAGTAAAAAACTCTCCCTGTTTGTGGCGGTTGTTTGCAGCCGAAGATGAAGGAGCTGGCGAAGAATGCGTTTGTCTCTTGGGTTAGGGGATATGCAGCTCACAAGGGAGAGCTCAAGAGCATTTTTGTGGTGAAGAAGCTTCATTTGGGTCATGTCGCCAAGAGCTTTGCGCTTAAAGAGCAACCTTCCTTGGTTGGGAAGTCGCACCATAAGGAAACAATGAAGAGGAAGAGAGACGAACGCCAAAGAGGGCAACAACCAAAGAAGAGAAACAAGATGAATGGCAGCAATAGAAGTACACAAAGGACTTGAAATCAAAATTAGTGTCTCCACCATAAACCATGGCATACGTTTTGTAATGTATGCAACAGTTTTGTTCATCGAAAATTTTGAAATTTATCTATAAAGTTCCGAACTTTGTCATATGATCTCTTGAGAATTTGACCTGTATTAACCAGAAAAGCTCAAAACTTTATTGTGTATTTGAGGTTAAGATTCACAAATAAATGCTTACCAGCAAAATCCAAAATTGACTTTGTTACTCTAGCAAAGCGTTTGATAACGCCGACGATGCTGATATGCGTTTCAAGCTTCACGACGTTCACATGCGTCGGGGACTTTCTTGTTTAGCTGACTCTTACATTTCTCCGGCTTCAGTTAGTTCTAGAATCAGAGCTTTAATTCAGAAAGGAGAGTGTCTACAAGCTCTGCAACTATACACTACGCATGATGCTTCTTCTCCCTTGTGGACTTCCGTTTTCACATTCCCTTCTCTGCTCAAAGCTTGCTCTGCTCTTACAAACCTCGCTAATGGCAAAACGATTCACGCTTCGGTCGTCGTGTTGGGTTGGCGTCACGATCCTTTCATTGCAACCTCGCTTGTCAACATGTACGTGAAATGTGGATCTTTAGATTACGCCGTCAAAGTGTTCGACGGTTGGTCTCAGAGTGGAGTTTCTGCTCGGGATGTCACAGTTTGGAACTCTTTGATTGATGGGTACTTCAAATTTCGAAACTTTAAAGAAGGGATCGATCGTTTTCGCCGAATGCTGGTGTTGGGCGTAAGACCTGACGCTTTCTCGTTATCCATAGTTGTGAGTGTTTTGTGTAAAGAAGGAAAATTTTGGCGGGAAGAGGGGAAACAGATTCACGGGTATATGTTGAGGAACTCGTTAGCTGGTGATTCTTTCTTGGAAACTGCTTTGATTGATATGTATTTCAAGTTTGGTTTATCGACAGATGCGTGGCGTGTGTTTTTGGAGATTGAGGATAAATCGAATGTGGTGCTATGGAATGTGATGATTGTTGGGTTTGTTGATAGTGGTCACTTTGAAACTAGTTTGGAGTTGTATATGCAAGCAAAGAGCAACAGTGTCAAGCTTGTTTCCACTTCATTTACTGGAGCTCTTGGTGCGTGTAGTCGAAGTGAGAATTCTTGTTTCGGGAGACGAATCCATTGCGACGTGGTGAAGATAGGGCTTGACAATGACCCTTATGTTTCTACTTCTCTACTGTCAATGTATTCAAAATGTGGTATGGTTGGTGAGGCAGAAACTGTCTTCAGTTTCGTTGTGGATAAAAGACTTGAGATATGGAACGCGATGGTTGCAGCTTATGCAGATAGTGATTGCGGGTACTATGCTTTGGAGCTGTTCGGTTTCATGAGGCAGAAGAAAAGTATCTTGCCTGATTCTTTTACCTTGTCGAATGTTATCTCCTGTTGCAGCATGTTGGGATTGTATGACTATGGCAAATCAGTCCACGCGGAGCTGTTTAAGAGACCGATACAAAGCACGCCTGCGATAGAGAGTGCTTTACTCACTCTGTACTCTAAATGTGGATGTGAGACTGATGCTTACTTAATCTTCTGTTCAATGAAAGAGAAAGATATGATCGCTTGGGGCTCTCTGATCTCAGGACTTTGCAAGAATGGAAAATTCGAAGAGGCTTTGAAACTTTGCGGGTCCATGAAAGACGATGATGATAGCTTGAAACCTGATTCTGATATCATGACTTGTGTTATAAACGCTTGTGCTGGATTGGAGACTTTGAAGTTTGGCCTTCAGGTTCATGGGAGCATGATTAAAACTGGACAGGTGATGGATGTTTTCGTCGGCAGCTCGCTTATTGATCTGTATTCTAAATGTGGCTTACCAGAAATGGCTCTAGAAGTTTTCTCTAACATGAGACCGGACAACATTGTTGCCTGGAATTCAATGATCTCTTGCTACAGCCGAAACAACCTTCCAGAGCTATCTTTAGAACTTTTCAGTCAGATGCTTAATCACGACGGTGTCTCTCCAGATTCAGTATCCACCACAAGTGTTCTTGTGGCAATCTCATCAACTGCAAGCTTGCTTAAAGGGAAAAGTGTCCATGGTTATACAATAAGACTCGACATTCCTTCGGATACACACCTGAAAAATGCTTTGATTGACATGTATGTTAAGTGCGGGCTTTCGAAGTATGCGGAGAATATCTTCAGGAGAATGCAGCACAAAAGCTTGATCACTTGGAACCTAATGATACACGGGTATGGATCTCATGGTGATTGTCTAAGAGCATTGACTCTGTTCGAGGAGATGAAGAATGAAGGAGAATCGCCAGATGATGTGACATTCCTGTCTCTGATTTCGGCCTGTAATCATTCCGGTTTTGTGCAGGAAGGCAAAGACATTTTTGAGATCATGAAACGAGACTATGGTATCGAACCAAAGATGGAACATTATGCAAATATGGTGGATCTTCTAGGACGTGCCGGTCACCTAGAAGAAGCTTACAGTTTCATAAAGGCAATGCCTGTTGAAGCAGACAGCAGTGTATGGCTCTGTCTCTTATCTGCTTCAAGAACCCATCATAATGTGGAGTTTGGGATATTGTCTGCTGAGAAGTTGTTGAGAATGGAACCGGAAAGAGGCGGTTACTATGTTCAGCTGATAAATCTTTACATGGAAGCTGGATTGAAGAAAGAAGCAGCAAAGCTGTTGAGTGAGATGAAGGAGAGAGGCTTGCAGAAGAAACCTGGTTGCAGTTGGATTGAAGTCAACAATAGTACTCATGTTTTCTTTTCAGGAGGTACGTCTTCTCTAATGGCGACAGAGATATTCAACCTATTGAAAATCTTGAAGAGTAACATGACTGATGAAGATAACATTCCGAATTGATGGTGTTTTCACATCATTTTTACTTCTCAGAAACAGATAAGAAACACTCTCGTTCTGTCATTGTAGAGTAAAAATAGAGACACTCTTGGGGTTTAAAATGAATGATATTACAAATCAAATAAGTCGTTGTGTTGCTTGGTTCCAACTCTTAAGTCACCTGGAGATGCTTTCAAAAAAATGTACATTGTATGCTGTTTATCTTCTTCTTCCTCTAGTGTTTCATCACATTCCAGATGATGTTCGGTTAATGCGTTGGGCACCAAGTTTAAGAGCTGCAGGTTTGGTTCCTCGGCCACGACCAGAGAGCGGTTTCGCTCTGGTTGTTGGTGGTGGAGCAGCAATGGCAGCCCAAGGGTCTTCATCATCAGATTGTACAGTCTTTTTCGAGCTCAACGGTCTTGAAGAAGTTGCAGGTAGAGGAGCAGCTATAGATCCCCACAAATCATCGTCTTCGGTTTTTGCGGCTGCTTTTACCGCGCTAATCTTTGGTCTTGCGCTTGTAGCTATAAAGAGCGAGGAAATTTACAAATAACGATAAGAATTTTAGGAAGTTTTGACAGAATGTGTTGATGCGAACTGATTCAGGTAACGACTGGTACCTGCGGGTTTAGAAGGCTGAGACACAGGTCGTTTTTGAGCAGCTTGAATGTTTGAAAGAGCTGGAGAAGGTTTTGGTTCATCGAGAGGTTCGAGATCCCAACCGTCTTTGTCGCTTTCGTTACCTTCGCTAATGCCATTCTCAACATCTCCCCAACCATCAGTGGATGTGGGGGATGGTGGTGCGGGTGGATCAGTGAAGTCCGAGTTGGAACGTGTATGATGACTGGCTTTGACACTCGGCGCCTCCGTTACTGAGGAAAATTTCCAACAAATACGCAAATTAGGATATGAAACAGTCTGACTAGCCAAACACACAGTGATATCAGATAAATCAAACGTATAACAAAAGGCAAGTGATCTCAAAGTGTACCTATGTTTGCAGCATTTGAGGCTGCAGAAGCTAGGGATGGTGCTGAAGAAGAAGAAGCAAGAGGCGCTTGTTCTAATGGCTTACCCTTGAGAGTCAAAGAACTCATAGCCCATCTATAAGAGTAAACAAATTAGACCAGTTAGTATGCGTAGCAACCTGACCAATGTTCATATATAGTTCATCTAATAGATCTGATTTGACTATACTCACCCAATCAGACCAGCAGAGTCCGGTATAGCTGAGGCTCCTCCGGTGACTCCCATCTCTCCAGCGTTCGTCTATTCACAACCCAAAAAATTCAGTTAAGTTTCAATAAGACTTTGAATATTGAAACAGCTCAAGGAAAGAGTCATATTATTCCTACCTTCTCATAGTTCTGCTTCAGTATCTGAAGAAACTGTTCTACAGCCTGAAATGCCTTCGATCGAACATCACTATCAAGGGAAATGAGAGAAAATGTTTACATTTTGTCGAAGCAAAATTTACTAAACAAAAAAAAGGTTCAACATGCACTTAAATAAGGAACCTGTCTTGATCAATGGTTAGCACAACAATATTTGGAAGAATCCTAGTTGCTATTTCAGTGTCGTCATAAGTAGAACTGGTAGCGCATAATGCAACAATACCTGCGTTTAAGTTAACTCTAGTGAGATATCTCAGACCGAATGAAATGGAAATGATTGTCAAAGAACCACAACATCCGACAAAGTTACGTAATCATTAGGATCCAGTATTAATACCTGCACCTCGAGCAGGTGGAAATGTATCACGAAGTGCACGCACTGTAAAAGCATTAATCAAAACTCTTTTCCTTGTCTGCATTATTGTTTCATGATCAGGACACAAACAATATATCCAAAAAGGTAACAATAGAAGGAACGCTAGTGGAGACTAACCCCTTCATTTAGGTAGGTGGCAATATTTCCGAGTAATATAGTGGTATTGGTTCTGATTGCAGGCTCTTCATCCACCTAAGGATAATGTAAAATTAAACCACAAATACTGTGAAACTACATCAACAGCATACACGACTTTAGCTAGAAACAGAAGCAAAAGATTGCCATGAATAAAGGTATGGAAATATGGTAGTATTTTAATGGAACACTCAAAATGGTAAGCAAATCGGTCAAAACTCAAAACCTATGAAGTGATGGATGCAAACCTGTAATTTTGAAAGGTACTTCAAGAGGGATCCGGAAAGTGTACGTTGAGAAAGCTGCAGCCACAATAAAAGAATAGAATTTAATCCCAAAAAAAAGAACAGAAAGGAAAATGTTTAATGGTAATAAAGACAGGCTAAATGTCTTAGACGAGATGAATCGGCTTAAAATGGGTTAGGAGCAGATACCTTTGGAGCTAAAACAAGCATTGATTTAAGAGTCAGCTCTCGGAGAAAAGCAGATGTGTCCGCAAATCCAGTAGCAACATGAGGGTATACCTAGTAGAAACACAGCCCATTGTTAATGTTTGCAACTAGACAGCACTGGTGCCAAACACTTTTTAGGCCGCAAAAGAGATAATGATCATACTTGTTCATCGACAATTTGCCCTGACATTGATTCTCCAAACTGATCAACATGTTGCAAAAGCGAAACTCTAATAGCTCGATCATTGGAAGCAAAGAGCTTGACTATTGTTGGCAGCACCTAAAGTCAAAGAAGGGAGTAGTTGAGGAAAATAAATCATAGGCACGAGCATATACACCAATTGAGTAGTTAAAAGCGTTTTAACAGAGAGATAGCATCACTGAACTACCTTGACACTGAAATCTTCAGTTGACAACCATGAACCCATCTTAAGTAAGGCTGTTAATGCAGGGGCAACAGCTGAACCAAACTCAAGGGAAGACGCTAATAAAGGAAGAAGCTGCAATCAACCAGAAGGTCAAGCCAAATAACAAAACGTGAAGCCTTCAACTCAAAAGGCAAACTGTTGTCCTAGTAACCCAATAAGATTCAGGTTCATACCTTCTTAATCACAATCTCCCGAGGAAGCTGTTCAGCAATATTTGGAAGTTTGCGGAAGAAAGTATCTTTTTCAACACTGTCTTTCAGGTTAAGAATATCCATAAAATGTATGGTGTCCACCAGCTTATTTTGGAAATACTCTGCCAATTCAAGTATGTCAAAAATATGAATCAAGAGATGAGGGATGGTCAAAGATAACTATGAGAGATAGTACAACACAAAAAGCAAAACTTAAAAAATAAGCCACGAAGCGAGGCAACAAATTATTTAAGATAAAATTTGTAACCAAGACAGTAAGATTACCGCCATTTTCTAGAAGTTTTGAGGTGTTCAATCTGCGAGAAGGCATAGAACTGAGAAGTCGCTGATAATCTGGAAGCAGAGACTGTGAGAAAAGAAACATTCAACCGAAATGAAAGCCAGCTCTTAGAAATTATAGTCTTACAAACTGGTAAACAGGGAGACAAATCAAAATTTTGGGAAAAACAGGAAGCGTTTTGATAAAAAAAAACATCGCCCATATTTTAAGTTCAAAAACTACTGGAGTTAAATCCATAGACTGTGAAGAAGCAAAGAAGAAGCTGAATGCATAGGTAACCTGATATACAGGAAAAAAATAGTCCTTGAAAGGGATGAGAACCAAACCTTAGGAATGCCGACAGTGTTACGCAGCTCCTCTGTTTTTCCCAGCTTAGAGCCCGAGAAGAGTTCATAAATAAGACAACCTTCAAAAAAGAAAGTACAAGGCTTCAATGAAAGAATTGCGCTCAAGCTAACCAGCAATATTGAAAATTAGCAAGCCATGGAAACTACAGCAGGATCTTACCTAATCCCCATGAATCAATGGCCCATGGTGGAGATTTTCTAATAGCAACCCAATCAGACTTCACCATTTCCATTGGCTTGTACTGTGTTCCCACTAACCATTCAAATGGCTGGACAAGAAAATTAGTTTAGAAAGGATGAAAAGAAACCAACAGAGGATTCCTACCCTGGGCACAAACAAGGACTAAAACCAGAGCCTTGCTACTGCAAGGTACGTTTTACCAAGGATATCATAAATATGAAGTTCTAGAACAGGTATGTACAAATCAGAGCCTTTTATCATAAAGATTTATAGAACACATAAATACAAATCAGAGCACGTTCAAACGTTTCAAGGCAGGGAAAACAAAAATGAAAGAAATGGCTTTAAACTGACAAGATTAAAAAAAGTGAAACAACCCCAATAAATAAGATAGTGTATGAGGAGTACCAGCATAGGTCCACTTGCAGATTCATTGGTCCCATCAAACTCTGATAGAACATCAAGAGCATGGAGTTTCCAGTCCAAAGTGGGTGTAACAACAACACTCGCCAGACAGACATTTCCATGCACCTTTTGAGACGGTAAAACACAAATGGGGTGAGATTATATTCACAATACCCGACAAGCAAATCTAGTAGCCGTCGGATATATAATCTAATATATGAAATATAATCTTATAAGGAAATACTCACAAGTTTGCAGTCATTGTTCAGAAAGCTCACAGCTTTAGTTATCTGGTGTAGCCCCAGCGCAAAATATTCATCCCTAGAGGAAAATATAACATAGTCACAACAAGATTCAACAGGTGATCATACTTTACAAAGTTAAGCATGATAAGGTCAAGTGACAAAGCCAATGTTAGCAAAAAGACATAAGTCGTTGCAACACACAATATCATTCGCCTATTTTCTGCCTAGATGCTCGCAAGAAGAGTTCATACCTCTGGGTGGCTTTCAAGCCTAGCTCCTTTATCTTATCTGACAGCGGCATAACAGGCTCAGTGACTATATAGATCGTAACCTTGGTAGTAGCACCATCATTAGTTTCAACCTCTGTGCTGTGAAGAAACGAAAGTATATTCGGATGCCTCACCTGCAAAATCAAATAGTTACTTAATGCTCGAGAGAAGTTTCCGTCAGTATTCAGAGAGAAACAATCTAGTTTGTAAGTATTGAGCCTAAACCATGTTATAAATCAACGAGAAACTTACTGTACGAAGACGCTTGACACCATTCCTTCCAGCAGCCAAATGCCCATCTTGAGCATTGTTCCCAGAAAGAGTAAATATTGAAACTGGAGATCCATCATCCTGAAAATATAAAAAATAACAACCGTTTGACACTAAAGTAACACTTAACAAATTCAAATTCGATTATACAGCTACTCTGCAGAATCTGAAATCATAATTCTGCTGAGATCAAAGCAAGGAAAGAGGAAAAATTAAAGCATCTGCGCAGAAATACAAACAAGAGAGAAAAGGAGATTGGAGAATGACCTTGGAGGTGCCACGAAAATGATTCCACGAACCCCAAGCAGAAGGATAAGGATCACCGATGTTGTAAGGCAGATCCTTGAGCCCCGTACCAGATCCAGCCACTACTCCCTTCAGGAACTTAAACATCTTTCCACCTCTCTACACGTCTCAATCCAACAATTGAAGAACGTTGTTTGCTTTCGAGCGGATCTATAAGGAATCAGAAGAACGACGGTGGAGCAAAACGGAAAATAATTGAAAGCTCTGTTCTTATGGATTCTTCTTCGTCCTCTTCAATCTGTATCTCCCAGAAGAGGAGAATTTCGTAGATTTGTTTATTCGCTTTTTGATTCGTCGGAATTATGATCAACCTGAACGGAGTTACTCCATCGCCGTTTTCGTATTTCGATTTCACAATTCGTGCTGTTTTATTAGTTCACGAGACGCCGTGGAGTTACATCTGTAGAAATTTTCTTATGGGCCGAAATATTTCCCAAATTGGGCCGTACAATATTTTCGCTTCTTTTGTTGTTCTCAAATTTATTATTGCTTCGGTTTTATGTTTTGGACTCCGACAGAAACTTCTATCGAAAATTTGTCACGAAATTTACCAAAAGTTGCATCAGCACCTTTGAAATTTCTTAACTTTATGTGTCTCCACTTTAAGAAGAAAAAAAAGGTTCAACAGTCTCGGCATTGAAACCATAAGTCTTCGTCTAGACTTCTCAGAAAATCTAGTAAGTTGAAATTTGAATAGGAAAAAAAACTAAGAATTATTAATGTGTCTAAATTCATAGAAGACCATGACCTGGTCAATCGTATTACCAGTTCGTATTCGTATGCCGTGTTTTAACAAAACACGAACCAGTTCGTATGCCGTATATCGAATATCTCCGACCGGGTCAATGTGTTACAAGCTAGTTAGATCTTCGGTCGGGATTTTACCAAACAAATAGTTCCTAGCTAGTTTTATTGAAATAGCCTAAAAGCTTGTTCTTGATTCTTGGACATATATTACATGTCAGGTTAAGAAAATTCCATTTTAGCTAACCCAACCAAAAAAGGACTATAAGAAATGTTATTATGTCGCTTTAAGGAAATAATATCACAATCTTTGAATAATCTTGCATATTTTCAGAATTTCAGTAGAAAATGGAACCAACATAGAAGCTAACTGTTGGCACTCATTTACGTATCTCTTCCTCTATATATATGTAATGTGTGCAAATGAATTTCAAAATATATACACTCTTCCAAAAAGGAAAGTTACAAATGCTTAACATTTAGACCCAAAAAGAAAATTTCCAAATGGAAGAAACAATGTCAATGGTCTTCCACGGATTGATACTGGTTAAGGAGCTTGAGTCAAGCTTACCGGAAAAGTCACCGGAATCTCTATCGGCCTCTCTCGATGAGATCGCAAAAACATTCGGTGATGCAAACGAGAGGCTGAAGATATTACTAGCGATCAAGAACTCCGAGACCGCTTTAAACCAATCTAAACCGGTGATGATTGCGCATGCGTCCGGTTCAGACCAGATGTTAATGCAGATTGAACCGAGTCTGATGCAGGAGTACTGGTTAAGGTGCGGCGGGTCCACGTCTTATCAGACGCAGCTCATGACCGTTGATGGTGGTGGAGGAAGGAATTTGACGGCTGGGGAAGAATCCCGGGCCGGTGGTGGTTCTTCCACGCCAAGGCAGCGGAGACGGTAAACAAGTTTAGTATTGTATAAGTTTTTTAAGCTTTAGTAAAAGTTCTTAAAAGTTAATAAATTCTTTATATAAAAAAAGTTTAGAATATATCCTTGTTCATATAGTATTTCTGAGAAGTGTCTTAAGTACAAATTGTGATATTGGGTAATATGCATACAACAATTTTGGCAACGTAAACAAAATTTATCAGAAGAGTAAAAGCATGCACATCAAAAAACTTTCAAAAAAAAAAAAAAAAAAAAAAAAATGCATGTGGTGAGGTTTTTTTGTTGGCAAAGATGCATGTGGTGATTGATTAGTCCACCTCATGCATGTGTTATTATATGATATTTCTTTTTTCCGGTGAAGTATAAAATGTTATCAAATTATTACATTAGGAAGGATGAAGGAGAAGAACAAACGGTGTTGGTGGCGGCGTTAAGGACGGGAAACACAGATCTACCACCTGACGATAACCATACTTGGCGTAAATATGGCCAAAAGGAAATTCTTGGTTCTAGGTATCCTAGGTAATTAACTCTATTAATTATTAATATTAATGTGATTAATAACCCGGCCAGGTTTAGTTGGAGCCCCGAAACGATGGATTAATTATGCTTTTCGTCCATTACAGTCAAAGATTCTAGAAAAAAGATCCATATTTATATGGTGAAGTGAATATCTTTTTCTTGAAAAGTTGAGATGGATGAAACTAATTAACGTCACAAGGGTCAGGTTCCTTTAGTTAGTTAGCTAACCAAGAATTTCACATGTACATCACATCACATGCATGTTGTAATCAGTCTCTTTTGATTCTTAATCACCAAGATTATTAGAATGACCAAATAACCATATTATTAAACTTGGGTTTGAAAGTTGAAACTTCATTGTTACAAGTACATCTTTCTCACCTTTCCTTATCAATCAAATTAATTATAACAATGAAGTTTCAACTTTGCCCTGGTCCATGTTAATTAATTAATAACTTCTTTGCTTATATGGATGGAAAACTTTAAATGCCCTAATTACTAAAGATTAATAAATATGTATATACTATTTAAATAATTTTGCAGAGCGTACTATAGATGCACCCACCAAAAGTTATACAATTGCCCGGCCAAGAAACAAGTCCAACGCCTCAACGATGATCCTTACACCTTCCGAGTCACTTACCGTGGCTCACACACTTGCCACATCTACTCAACCGCTCCCACAGCTTCCGCTGCCGCCCCCACCGCTCCAGTTTCATCGACAACCGTGACCACCAGCCATTCCGTTGACAACGGTCTTGCCGTCCTCGACATGGACGACGCTATGTTTGGTAGCGGAGGGATCGGAACCAACATGGATTTTATATTTCCTTTGAACGATCCACATGAGCATCATCATCACCGTTTCCGGCTGGATGACGACGATGGAGACAAATAGGACACATCTACAGAGAAAGAACGTAACATAAAGAACATGTTTTAATTTCATTTATTATTTTCATATTACACGTGATTCTAGTTTGGGATCTAATGGGAACCAATTCTTTTGGGTAGTTCGCTTTTTCTTTTTGACAAAGGGGTGTTGTTTCAAACTTTCAACTATGTATTTTAACTATTTTCATACTTTTCTTCTCTTTCTCTATTTAAATATTCAGGTGAAATAAATAAAAAGGCACGTTTAAGTTAAAAAAAAATATATATATATATATATATATATATATATATATATATATATTACATAATCACTTCTAAGTTCTAAGAGCAACTACAATGGTTTAAAGGGCAATAGAGCATTCGGTAATCAGGATTTCCTGCTGTGTACACTGTATTTTCAGTACAAGGTAGTAACATTGGGCCATGTGGATAATAAACATCTAAAAATAAAACAATATTAGTGGGAAGATTGTAAGTTTCTCGATATCTAAAAATCGTCATGAATTTGGTACTTGGTAGTGTTTTTTTGATTTTTTTGTTGTTGTCGTTTTCCAATTTAAAGAATCCAAATAATTAGAAAAGGAGTTTTCAGTGTCTCAATAAGCTTTTCAAGTGGGAGTGGCGGTCCTTTCACCGTTCTATTCGCTTGAATTGGCCTTTGTTTTGCCCTTTTGTTCATCATGTGTGTTTGTTGTGTCGCGAAGAAGACAATTTATACTCAATTATTTTTGTAACTCAGTAAATTGTGGCATATGTACAAGATGTTGAATGAATTTAAATCTTAATATAGTTTTCGGTTTCTAAACTAAAGAAAAGATGTTCATCTCGCAGTCAAGTTTTTTAAAAAGATTTTGGTTTCCATCTGAACTGAAAACTAAATTGCATGGGAATGAAACCAACGTCTCGTATGTTTCTTATATAATTAGAAACAAGAAAAATAATCTAAAATGTAAGTATATGAGTCGTTGCTTAAAAATTGTACTTCATTTATTTTTTATGATTAGAGTGATGATTATTCTAATATTTTTTTATGAAATGTTTAAATTTTTATTTTTAAACAAAAAAATATCATAGCTACTCGGTGAATAAAGAAAATATTAATTATATATAAATAACTGAATAACTTTAACCTATTAAAACAAGACAAATTCTAAAATGTCTAACAATTCGAAACAAAAGAAATATATGAAATGTGATTGTGAAATTAATAGGGATTTGGAAATATAATAAGAAAGAATTTGCATACAAAAATATCATACAATGGTATTTTACTTACCTTGCAAAAAGATGTTTATAAAAACTTGCCGAGGATATTACAGCTTAAATTTTGTTTTGTTTTTTCATGTAACAAAACATTAATAATGCCCTAGTGTACACGGCGGCTTATGTAAAGGCAACAACAAAAAGACAAGATGCATTTGTCCCAACTCCTTCCTTTTTAGCACCAAACATTCATAGCCGCAATTTGAATAGATAAGTCTCTTTACACTCTTTAGGGTAATCATTTATCACATATAAATATGGCTTTAAAATGATCGAATCCAACATTAAATGCACTAAGAATCAAATAGACAAAAACAACAATCTTAGAGGAATTGTCCAGACTCGCAGCTGCTGGAGCTTAGCTTATTCTAATGTAGTTTAAACGGTAATCCAATATTAAAGTTATTCATTCTTTAATTAGTGTGAACCTATATGATTTATCCAAAATAAACTTGTGAAACAAAAAATTAGTGAAGAATACCACAAACAGACATCTAGTCAGTGAAACAAAACATATGAAACAAGAGAAACGTAGAAAGACATATAAGAATTTATGTCATATGGTGTTTCTATCAAACATACAACAAAAGTATTACATTCCACTAGAAATACTCAAAGAGAGAAGGAGAAAGTATTACAAGCCTGATCAATCCGGATTCGGATGTTCATATAGCACTTGTTCCTTCATATGCGCAATATGAATCAAATAAGGAGGAGAAATGATCGTTGTCGAAAGCCAAATGATGAGAAGTAGTACTAGTATCACCACGATAATAGTGGTTTTGGTGATGTTGATGATGATCATCAAACATCATTAGGTCTTGGCAGTCTTGCCAAACCAATGACAAGTCTTCACCTGTCGAAGAAGCCTCACAATACTCCTTATTCTCACCATTGTTATTCTCTTCCTCCTTCACATTGCCTGCACCTACCACCGTCACACCACTAATGTTGTTCTCCTGTTCTTGCACTTTATCATTGGCATGAGCCATGGTTGCAGCCATTGTGCTGTCCGAATCCATGATGATTTCGTCATCAAAAGGCTCGGTCTTCGTGTGTGCTTGGTCCGTGGCAGTACATGTGTGGTATCCAATGTATGTGATTTGGAACATCTCAGGGTCTTGCTCCTGTTTCTGAACTTGCTTCGTTGCTTTGCATCCTTGCGTTGGCTTGTGTGTGCATCTAAAGTAACTTCTGAAAACATTAAAATGCATAATGATTTAGACCAGTACTGCATAATTCACATAATAGTTGTAGATTCTAGATTAGATCGATATGTTTCGGATTTGTGATCTTTGTTACAAAACATCTGGCCATGTATATATGCATTATATATATAGACATATATGTGGACTATACCTTGGGAATGTAGTATTAAGAATCTCTTTTTGTCCATATTTCCTCCAAGCATATCTGTCTTCAATTCTTCTAGCTTTTACTGTCCAAGTATGCGATCTCTTCCTGCAAAATCAAATAATGAGAGATTTATTAATTAATGGCTGAATCATTTTGGCTAATTATTTTCTTGTAATACAAATCCACGGTAAATAGTACATGTCTTGTTCGTATAATGGAATCACAACACTAATTAATTGAAGCCAAATCAAATTCGGTTGCGCTTTAATTTGTCCAATCCAATCAATCATATTCACACAACTCTCTATCACGATTCAGTACCATATATGAACAAACCACAGTGATTGTATTATTTTCTTAAAGAAATCCAAATTCATATTCTTTTAACCTTTACGATAAGTCATTTCAATATGGGGCACTAAAACATTTAAATGATGGAAAGCAAGGACAAAAATAGCAAACATAAATGAAAAAAAGTTTCAAAAAAGGAAATCCACATAAAAAGGAGATTAAATCATTAAACACGAATATAAAAGTATATAAAACAACAAATTGATATTTGAATTCAACTTTTTTTTCACTTACTTTCTAGTGTAGCATCCTCTTTTACCCTTACCAACTCCTAGTCTTTTTTTACTATCGCCGGAATCTCCACCGTTGCAACTCGCCGGAGCTGTCGAATCATCGCCGCATGAAGCATTCCGTGAGCCCTCGACGGCGATAGGGACTGAGACGTCGGCGACGGGGTCAAAAGTATCAAGAACCGATATGGTTTTGTGAAAAGATCCCAAGATCTTAGCGATGAGCTCATCAGCGGGATCCGGACCGCCGGAAACTGAACCCGACCGGGTCTGATCGATGTTGTTGTTAGAGTGGTGATGAGAGAGGAGAAGCTGAAGCTGAGTAGCGAACTCGTAGCCTTCGACGAGTTGGTCGACAACTTTTTTCTTTATGGATTTGGTACTCTTGTTACTATTTGAATCCATTTTTTTTGGTTACAACAATCTAAAGATTTGAGGATGAGAAAATGGTGTAATATAGTGGAGAGAAGAGAATAGATTTTTTTGTTTTCTGAGCGTTTCTTTCTGATCAAAGAGAGAGAGAAAAATCAGAGGAAGATGCTTAGGAAAAAGAGACGAGAGATGGAGTATGAATTATAATGGGATTAGAGGGTATAATGGGAAAGGGATAAGATTTACTTATGAAATGTAAATGGATTCAAGGGTAAAACGGGAAAAATGATAGCTTCTTTACGCAGCCATCGGCTTACCAAAGCTTCGGTGATGTCACGGGTATGAGGTGGGATGACGTCACCCATCTCCGTAACACGTTTGAGGACTTGGTGGCTGTTATTTATTCTCCTTTCTTCGAGGATTTATTTACATCAACATGAAAACGATCACAGACAACTTGGTTAGGTTTTAAAATGTTTTGTTTTTGTTTTTGTTTAAGTTATAAAGCTAATATTTATAACTTGAGTCATTTGACAATCAATTTGTTTTCATTGGCATGAAATCACATTCAATAAGAGGAGACATGTTGACAAGATATAACGGACCACCAACCAATATCTTTATTTTAGAGTTATCGATTTCTAAACCAAAATAACTTTTTGATGTTAAGCATTTACATAAGACCAATTATTGATGTGTCATGTGTGTAGTGTCGTCGTACATTTGCAAAAGGATTCATTAGGAAACTAACGAATATTCTCATTATTGAACCTTTGAATATTGTAATCGATAGATTAGCTACTTAAAAACTAAAAACTAAATAAATCAATTGTGGTGAGAACGCTTTGTTCGGATCTAAATGTAGTAATCAAGATTAATCTCAATATAATAAAGCATCCTTGTTTTTGTAGAACTACCATTAAAAAATGTTTTGGATCATTTTGTTAAAAAGAGAGCTTTAAAGGCATTACAATCACAAGTCACTCTTTAGCCATGTCAGCAGCCTACTGCTTGCTTGGCCCCGATAATTTTGGCAGTATACTTGGGAATTTATTAAAATATACATCTATGAATTTTAGACTGAACAAAAATGTCGACTTGGTTAGTTTGATGAAGCGGTCACTACTTCCACACAGATTTTCTAAATTACAACTATTGAAATATTCGTATAAGTCATCCCTATTACCAAAAACTAACATTCTACTATAGAAATATAAACATATCATATGATTATTATCATGCACGGGCTTTGATCCGTTATATGGAAGCATGTTTTTCGTAATTTTAAAACTGTATTTAAAAAAAAGTTATGTTAATAGTTGAGTTTATTTTCTTTACGTAGTATATATATTTTTAACAAATAATTATAACGTAAAACGTTTAGCAGAAAAATGATTTGGGATTTGGATATTGTGGGGGCATTACAACTATTAACGTAAAACATATTCATGAATCACTCAGTAGTCCACGGAGTCGCAATAAATTAAATCAACATTCGTGCATCCACTCGCAAATCAAACCCCATCAGTCAAATCCTGCTAGCATAACTGAACAACTTCGAGTATGTTTTCCAAATCTAAGAGTTACTTCTCTGCTTACGCCAGTAAATATGCTCTATATATGACTATATCCCAACAGCTTTGTTTTACCAGCTACATCGTTTTAGCTCAGCCAAATCCAACATTTCTTTTATAAATGCATCTGGTTAATCATGCAGAGCTTGTCATTCACAGACACTAGTTATATTCAAATGGTTATAAAGATCAATATAAAACAGTTAAAAATATTGTTTTCTTTCGGGGATGATGTGAGAAAGGTCAACGGTGATTAGGGGAGTGACATTGACAAATGACAAATGACAAATGACAAATGGTTAGAAGAATAATAATTTAATTTATTAAAATTAAAATATACTATCATTTTGTGCTTAATCTAATCTTTGGCTGAGTTGTATCAGAAATAATTTATTAACAAGCCTCGATTAAAGGACTGCTACTTTATTGTTAAAGACTACTCTGGAATAGAATAATGATCTGTCACGAAAAATGTCTTAATGTAATTATTACGCAAAATATAGCTTTTAAATGTTTAAGTTGAATCTTATTTCGTGCATATACCCTAATAGGGGAATTTTCCTAAGAATAATTTATTAATCATAAGTCAAAAGGAAAAAAAAAAAGATTGTAAATTCTGGCTTTGGACAAAATAGTTTTATATTTTTTCGATACTACTAAATTTCAAGAGCAATAAAGGTTAAAATTCAATAACTCAACTAGATCCAACTCATATCTTTATTTAGTGTCTGAATTAGTCCCACTAATCTTACGGCAGCCTCTAGTCTGTATATTTAATACTATAATGTAGGAGTATATTGTTTTGAACTAAATCCCATTTAGGGATCACTACTCAAATCTGAAAACTATAATTTCTGCATTAAGCATATTGTTGTAATCTAGCGATTTTTGTCTTATTTCTTGTGGTGCATTTTGATTTCAACTAGGTATATAATTTTAATTATGTATATCTTTTGACTGGCTACCGGTTCTATTATTGCTTGAGTTTTGTCAGTACGTACTAAATCTGGATGTGATTTTAATACACACACACACACACCCATATATACTCGAGTTGTTTATGTTCAACTGTTGTGTCTGCATATGGATTCAAAAGGTCGTTCAATGGAAGTAAGGACTCCTAAATTGGACGACATGACTCCCAAAACATAGAAAATGTGCTCGTTTATCCATATTCTAAAGGAAATTTAAAAATCCAAAAAAAGGCCGACTTTTGGAAATATAAAAATTTATAACTATAGTTTTGTGATATTTAAGTTTACCCATACACTTAGGCACTTAGCCAAGTATCAAATATTATAGCATAAGTTTTAGATACACTTGACCAATTTGTAGTTTCTTTTAATTACTTAAAGAAATCATATACTCCAATTTGGAGTATGCAGTACGTTGTTAACTGTTGATACCATTTCAACCAAAAAAACTGTTGACACCATATTACTTTTTCAAAATTTTAGCGTGCCCTGTGTTTATTGGTTCCAGTTGACAACGTTACAAAATGAGGTAACCGTAAAAGAAAAAAAATGAAAAAGAACATAGGGAGTGGAATAGTCGAATCATTAAACGTAAAAAAATAATTGAAATAAACTTTTACTTTCACGTAGTGACCGAACACGAATCATGATTTTTCACAAAATTGCATTCTTACTAAAAACGATTTGGAGTTGGAGTCATATCTTCGTGTCGCCATTCTGCATATTATCACTTACATTTCAATTATTCATATGACATATCACTTGTGAGTTGTGATTATGATCTTGTATATAAAAGATAACCATTTCTTTTCTTATTTCCGCAAATTTGAAGCCCTTTTTGAGTTTCTCTGTTTATGATTTTAATATTTTGTAGTTTTCAATACATATAAAAATTAGTTTTTTCTTGGACAAAATCATTTACTGGAATCACTAGTGGAACCTACGGAGCCTTGGAAAAAAGGAGAACTTCCGGCCAAGCATATCGTCAAATTGTCAAAACTGTCTGCTCATCGAAACTAGCATATGACTAACATAAGTCATTAAACTCATTATCATTTTTTTTTTGACAAAGGATGTTCTCGTTTTAACCATTATCTATCTTATTCTTACCTTTCACTAAGCATTATAATCACTCTTTTTTTTTTTTGAACATTCGTCTATTTTGCCACTTAACGGATATCCATAAAACTTGCAACTATATATGTCTTTGGGCTTTGTCACCATACGTTTTCTTAGAAAAATCAACCGATTATTGTGAAAATACTTTTGTAAAACTTATAAGCTTAATGTCAATATTGTCATGAAGCTATATTACAGAATAGTACACTAAATGAGGTAGAAAATAGAAAGAGGAAGCTTCGTATAGCTGATAAGTAAGGACAGTTATTTGGGAATTTATAAAATAAGGTCAGAGATTGAGGCATGACATAGGAAGCTTCTTTTCCCTCACGCCTAGACAAAGACTTTCATAGAGTCTCCTTAACTAGATGCAGATCCAAAATTCCATATTCTGATCAAATATTTCGATCCTAGAAGCAAGACCAATCAAATTTGGATTTTTTTTGTTTTGTTTATAAATTATTAACATCTCATTTATGAATGTTTTCCAGGTGCGTTTTGTCCATAGGAATATAGAAACAAATCATTGAAAGAGGTTAAAAAAAAACAATAGATATTTCCTTAGATTGAATATAGAAAAGGAACTTGTTTGAAAAAAACAACAACAAATTTTATAGGGAACTAATGATGTCCAAGATGGATATGCTGGACTGGGAGATCCAAGGGCTACGGGGTTGATGACTATTAAATTCAGAGATGGTGAGATATCACATATGTTTACTACATAGCCAAGTATGGTCATATACTTTGTTTTTAGTTTTGTAAATGAAAAACCAAGATCACCTCAAATTCGTGAACAATCTAGGTAGTACACTGCTTGTACAAATTTCATCTACATGTCTTGTCTTGTTAACTAATAACTTTTGTTCGATCATACGGATAATAAACCATTGTTCTTTTCACTTGAATGAGATGATAATCAACTTAAGATTAATCTACAAAGATACCAGACAAAATGATAAAATTACTACGCTTCAAACAGGGTTCTTTGCTGTTTATTGTTTATTGTTTGAGAGGAACCTACTTTCGTTTGTTCTGGAGTGTTGCTGCCTCTGTCTTGTGTTGCACTGCCTGCTGTTGTTTATTGTTTGAAAGGTACCTACCTAGTTTCGTTTTCATTCCTCCTAGTTGCACATTAGCACCTCAATGGTACAAGCTGAAAACCAGGTTTGGTCAATTTGTGGAGGCAGAGCTTCTAATGTCAGTTTACTCAGGTTATCAGAGAAATCCACAGCGGAAGTGTGGAACAGACGTGCTGCAGAAATGGGAGGAACTTCTGCCCTCACTGACATAAGGTGAGAGGTTTATTTCACTCCAAAACGCTGGTACGTCAGGGTTAATGTAATTGATGCTCGTGATCTGATAATACCCTTCAACAGAAAGCACGCTTGGGAAGACAACAATTGGTTAGTCTACCATCTCAAAGCAGGAATCCAGTTTGGAACCAGAATATGGTGTTTGTAATAGCTGAGCCGTTTGAGGAACCTTTGATCCTCACTGTGATAATAGCTGAGCCGTTTTCACGGATCCTTACAACAACTGATGCTTTCCGCCGAGGATAATTACAAATCTAATTAGGTGTATTGAGTAATTAACAAAATGTAATATTATCATTTAGCTAACAGTTTGATTTAGTTTAGATATTGAGAGATTTGTTTTTTCCCTTCACAATTACTAGCAAAACGTAAACGTCACTAAATCACAAGATCCCATTCCACAAAGTTATGGTCAAGTAAGAAAGAAGAAAGAGATGACCTCGTCAAAATCAAGAGAAGAGAAGTAGATATATAAGCAAGAGCGTAGTGTCTAGAGCAAAAAGTCTTCAACAAACATAAGCCACATGAGACTGATACTGTCAAATATCTCCAAATGGATACCATCATGCGATCACCGTTACTGTCAAAATTCACACACACACACACACGCAATCAGTCCATATATAACCATATAATCCAAAAACACAAAAATGCCCAATTACATTCAAGACTTCTCTCGTTGGAAGGCCAAAGGAAACCAAACATCAACAACATCATTCCCAAGAAGCAGCAGCCAAGTAATTAAAGCCATAGTCACTAGTAATCTGGTTACGTACAACACACGTAGCTGTCACAAGAAAATTTGATCTCGTGAAGAAGGATAGGAAACAAAGCATTTTATGTTTAACAACAAAACAACGGTTGAGCACAAACCATATCAAGTGGAAGAAACTGTAAATCTGGAAGCACAATAAGAGACAAAGAACAAATCGTATCAAGTAAAAGAAAATGAAATTGTACTCTAGTAGTTGTAGACAAGTGTGTAAATATCAGAGAATGAAATTTTATTAGCAACCTTGAGCGCAAGATTGTTTATCCCATCATATATGATAAAACTTTGAACTCTGCAAAAAATAATTCGATTCGCAAATATTAAAAAATCCTCCACGTGAACGTAAAGACATTTGGGTTTACTCCGGTTTGGTTTAAGCCCACGGACTCACTTTGCTCTGATTGAAAAGGTAACCAAATGCTACGGTGTTGCCACTGGAGATTTCGGCCGTCGCTCGCCGCCGCCAGGATGCTCTCATCACCACCACCTCATTCTCAGTCTCCCTTCTCCGGTGGCAGCGCGAATTCGAGCTCAGTCGGTGTAAACGCCAAACCCGAGTTACTACTGTTCCCTCAATCCCAACCTCAGAAGTCCACGGTGGCTTGTTCGAGCGCAGGAGCTATTGCTACGATTTCGCAGTGCTTTTCGAGCATACCAGAATCTACCGAGTCGGATTTAGGCTCGCTCGTTGTTGTTTCGTTCTACAAATTCGCTGATTTTCCCGACCATGCTGATCTCAGAAAGCCCCTGAAGGATCTGTGCGAAGAATTGGTATGCCGTTTCTTCTTCTATCTCAATTCAAAATTGTACATGTTTAGCCTCTTTCTGAATACGAAAGGTTAAGCCTTTTTCTCAATCTTATTGACTTAAGAGTGCTGTATTGAGCAACAGAGAATCTGGTTTTACATTTCAAGCAATAAGCAATCAAATTTTAGATACATAGCGTCTTTCTGAACACGAAAGGTTAAGTCTTTTTCTCAATCATTATGACTTAAGATTGCTGTATTGAGCTAGAGAGAATTTGGTTTTACATTTCAAGCAACTGTAGATATTTAGCGTCTTTCTGAACACGAAAGGTTGAGCCTTTTTTCTCAATCTTGTTGACTTAAGAGTGCTGTGTTGAGCAATAGAAGATTTGGTTTTACACATTTCAAGCAGTAATCAATCGTTTGGCCTGTCGTTGTTGTTGCTGTATCACCAGCGTGTTTCAGGTGGAATCATTCTTGCACCAGAAGGGATCAATGGAAGTATCTGTGGGAGTCGTGAAACAGTGGAGAGAGTGTTGGCGTTTATACAGAGTGATGCTCGATTGAATGGTTTGAGGCAAGTGGAAACGCCTGTGAGTCCTGAACAAGAAGCAATCCACCATGGACATAGCAGTAGCTCTCCTCTTGCAGCTGGTGATGACGCTCCGTTTAGATGGGACCATGTTAGGGTCAAACTCAAGACAGAGGTACACTCTCCTCTTTCAAGTTGAGGCTTGAGACTGGAGGTTTTGTAGATTCTCAAGAGTTTTTTGTTTTTGCTTTAACTCTGCAGATTGTTACACTTGGAATGCCTAGTGTTTCGCCGATTGAAAGGGTCGGAACATATGTGAGCCCTGTGGAATGGAACGAATTGATCAGTGATCCTGAAACTGTGAGACCTCTTTCTTTTAGCAAAGTAGTCAAGAACAAAGTGATATTTCAATGAAGATTTGATGACTGCTTTTACACTTTGCACGCAATTCACTTTCCTGTTTTTGTATTTCTATGATATCAGATATCTGAAATTGTGAAAGTGCTTTGTGTTTCTAGGTAGTGATTGATGTGCGAAATGACTACGAGACTAGGATTGGGAAGTTTAAAGGAGCTGTAGATCCATGTACCACAGCTTTCAGAAACTTCCCATCTTGGGTGGAGGAACAGTTTGCATTGAAGGAAGATGGCAATGAAACACAACCAAAGGTGGAGAAAGATGAGGAAGACAAAGCTGAAAAACCGAAGACGCTGCCACGGGTTGCTATGTACTGCACCGGAGGAATCAGATGTGAGAAAGCTTCAAGCTTTCTTCTAAGCCAAGGTTTCGAAGAGGTAAAAACCTAATACAAACATCAACCATTGAGCTGTGAGCTTTTAGAGGAACTACTTAAAAAAGATGAAATATTTTCTTGCTCAGGTGTATCATCTGAAAGGTGGGATATTAAAGTATCTTGAGGAAGTCCCTAAGACAGAGAGTTTATGGGAAGGAGAATGCTTTGTGTTCGACAAGCGTGTATCTGTTGAACATGGTTTAGCTCAAGGAACACATAAACTCTGCCACGGATGCAAGCAGCCGATTAGTGATGAAGACATGAAAGCTCCAGAGTATGAGATTGGAGTTTCTTGTCCTTACTGTTACTCCAAGAAGTCCGAAGCTGAGAAAGAAAGGGCTAGAGCGAGGCAGACACAGGTTGAGAAATGGGGCGTCATCGGTGGTCCGGACAAAGGTCGTCGACCGGCCACTAAACCGGATAAGGCTAGGAAGAGGAATGCGAAGCTTAGTTCCTCAACATAGAAATGATGTTTTGATTGTTGAAATTTTGGTTATAGAGCTCCATGATTTCTAAAAGCATTGTAACAATGTAAGGAAGAGATTTTTACTTAATTACATTGGAGAGCTTAATCATCTAAGTAAGTGGAATTGTGTTTTCTTAAGTTCTCTGATCTTGATTTCTTTTGTGGTTATGACTTGCGATGAAAATTGACAATGTAGCGGTAAAAAAACGGCACGATGTTCAAGTGTTTGACACGTAGGACGGCATGAAGTGTGAAAATGACGTGTGACTAGGTCTTTTTAATAATGTCGAAGAATGGGATGACAAAAATTCGTCTAATTGATTATCGTCATTTCGTTAACGATTTTGGTGGGGTTCGATCGATTTGATAGCGAACGAGAGAGAGAGAGAGAGAGATCGAAGAAGCAGTAATGGCAGGAGAAGGTATGCTCAAGCTCGTGAAGCCAAGGATCCAAGCGATTGATCTTCAGGCAGCCGTTGGATGGGGTTTCGTCGCCGCCTCCGGTGCCCTCTGGGTCGTCCAAGTAAGCCATCTTTCTCTGTATCTCTTGTTTTGCGACCGTAGAATTTAGCTATCTCTGCCTTCAAATTGGGTTTCACGGATCCTGTTCCTGATCTGGGATCTATCATTTTACTATTTTAGATTATGTTTGCGTCTCCGGTGAAATTGGTGGCTTGATTTGGACGAAAGTTGAAAATTTTATAAATCAGCGATTCATGAACACTTTGAAAATTTGGACTTGCAATCTATCTCGTTAGATGTTATCCCTTAGAGGCTGTAATTTTCTGGGCACCAATATAAAAAGTGCATCGTTGCATTTCATGAAAGGCTTGATTCGATTTTGTGATAGTCCCTTTTGTCGTAGATAGTTATATCTGTAATCGAATTGGTGATCAAACTTCTTTATCTTTTCCCATGTCCAATTGAATTGTCGTTTCGATTTTCCTGTAAAAGTTTGGATTATGTTAAGCATTACACTCTTTCATTGTTGACAGTGACAATGTGCTCAATCTCTGATTTGGTGTTATGAAGATACTAGTCCCTTAAGCTTGTGACCCTTTTCTCTAGTTTTCCTTTCATAACTCATTTTGTTTTGTATCTGACATGATCTTTATTATCATCACAGCCATTCGGTTGGATACAGAGGACATTCATTGACAAACCCGTCCCTGAAGAGAAGTGAGCAATCACCAAGATTCAAGGCAGAGTGAGAGTTTTCCAGTTTCTAAGTTTGTTATTGCATCTATGCGATGGAGCTGAATAAGTTTTGGTTATTTTCTGGAGATTTGCTGTTTCATGTCTTCAATGTAAAGACATTTTGTCTTCTCAAAATGTTATAACACAAAAAAAATGAAGCACACATTCCAAATTATCAGAAAAGAGAGCTCGTTTTGCATTTTTATCATATGTTGTTGTGTCCTTATGAAAGTATATACGGTTAGGGATCATAAGAAGGAGAGTTAAGAATAAATATGATCATGATTGAGAGCTCCAAGAACTCTATAACTCTTGTCGAGGAATTTGGCTGTTCTGTAATAACCAGTGGGATCTTTTGCCTTCATTTTTAACCAATTATTGTTTCTCACTGCAAAAGCTTCCCAGCAAAAAGTTTACTAGAAAAAGAGAAGTTCAACAGTTTAGAAATTCTTGATGATCCTTTGAAAATTGAACCTTATGTTACTATAGTTCCTAAAAGCACTATAAACTCTATTAATCAAATATCAATCACATTCGAGGCCATTGATCCCTTTGCAATAATAATAAATTAAATAAAAAATGTTACTCTTATTCCTTGCCTATGCCTATCTAAAAGCTGAGAGGTTACGTATCCAAAATGAATGTAAACAACAGAAAAGAAAAGAGAAGCAGTGTATTTTTGGACTACTCTTTTCACTATCTTATGTACAGACAACAAGATGCTCCAACAACTAATTTGTCTGGAACCAAATCTCTCTGCAGCCTTTTCTCCCACAATCATGATGTGTTTGTAACCGATGAGGATGCATTACTTTCTCTCATTCTCCTCTCGGCTGCTATAGCTGCAGCGACTGAGGGCGGTAGATCTCTCAGATCCTCCTGTCTATCTCCCATGTTTTCTTCGTTCTCTTCTGCTTCTGCTGCTGGTGAAGCAAACAGAGATTCAAGATCTCTTAGTGTCAAAAACTGTTGATCTTGATTCTTTGTATTCCTGCTGCTGAATGAGCTTAAACTTGTGCTCTTACTCCTGTTCAGCTTGTAGATGCTCTCTTCCACCGTGCCTGTTACCTAATTTACCCAAAAAATAGAAGCTCAAGATCAAAGTGAATCACCTAAGGCAAGTTAATGAAGCTGTACAAGATAAATGTGACATGTAAAGAAGATGCACGAACCAAAAAACGATGAACTAAAGTAGGCTTCTCTTGTCCAATCCGGTGAACACGCCCCACAGCTTGCGCTTCTGCAGCCGGATTTAAAAGCGGCTCCACCAGAATAACATGCTGTGCTTCTAGAAGATTAAGGCCATTGGCACCATGCTGCACCAAAAGCAATAGCACTTGGATCGATTTTGCCTCTTCTTTCTCGGTCCCCTTGAATTTGCTAATGGCCTCCTGTGATTTCCTGCATTTCCATGGAATCAACCTTGAGTATCTATGCAACAATTTTAATGAGTTTCTCCATTGGAATTGTCGCTACATTACCTGCCTCCTTTCATCCGGATGAAGGTGATACCGTTGGCAGCTAAGGAATGTTCCAACACATCAAGAACATCTTTCCAGCTGGAGAAAACAAGAACCTTCGCTTGTTGGTCACTTGACTTGATCCATAAGATCCTTCTAGTTATAGCTTCAATCTACTACCAAAACAATAGATGAGTAAAAGAAGTACTTCTTGTGCATGAATCTTAAAAGCACGAAAAGCTAACCTTTGTTCCATAAGAGCCTTGAACAGTCAATGATGCTTCGTTTTCTTTGTGGTCTTGATCCGACGAAGAACCGTTTTGTCTGTCATCAGCATATGCAACATTTCTAACATCTGTAGGCTGCCTGCATATTGGACACATCACCCACTTTTGCAGATTTTCATGGATTAATCCCCGCTCGGTCATGGCAAAGAAACCTACGTGGAAGAAACACAAAGAAGAAGATACTGTTAACATTCTGAAGTGTGGTTCATGAGATCAACGAGACAGAGAAAAAATCTAATGATCAAGCAAACAAAAGATGTCAAGTATTTACATCTACAGCAAGTGTTGTGACCGCACTGGAAAACCATCTTCTGACTTCGTAGAATTTCATGGCAAATCGGGCATGCTTCCTCTCGCTTTATAAGGTTTTCGCCTTCCTGTTCATCAGGAACTAAAGCAGTAACTGTTTCCTGTATTGGTGAGGAATGATCTGGACTCTCAGATTCTTGGTTCTGTTTGGATTTTATCAAACCCTGAAAAGGAAAAGAAAATATTTGTTTAGAGTTGTATAGAAAAGTCAGATAAAGAAAGGAGAAGCAAGCAAGAAAGATTTTTTAAGCGATCACTAAAAGTTAGCAACACAGACATTAAAGATTTATGTTCATGATATAGGAACACTAAAGTTACAGATTTACCTTCAAATAACGAAGTTTTCCTTTGATAGTAAGCAACGAGGATTGAGCCAAGAATTTATCACTTGTGTTCTGCACGCTAGCAGCGTCTAACTCATCCATGCCCAAAGCATAAATCGACGTGTCATCTTCAGATTCTCTAAGCTGTAGCCTCATTGTAGCCATATTAATCTCGTCATAGGCACGTAGGAGTTGAGCTTGAGCCTTAGCCAAGGATCTTGCATGTGCATATTCCTTCCTCATCACCTTTATCAGATAAGCAAAATTTGGAAACGTCAAATCCAGTTGAAACTTTCCCCTGAGAAAGATCTCTGGTGCAATAATACCTCGAGGGTTTGTAAATGTTTTGTGGCTGCCAATTTGCTTTCCCTGTCCATATAAACTTTGTAATGGTTTCTTATTACTCCAAGAACTGTTTCCATCTCAGATGGTGCTTTTGAAAACTATATAACCAGATAACAACAAATCAGTAAAGTTAAACATAATGTGGTTATGCTTTCTTCTCAGGAATAAAGACCAAATTGAGACTAGATCAAGTAACTTACAAACACAGCGTCACCAGCATTTCTTTTTTTGGTGGGTTCCTTATTACCACCATGTGATGGATTAGGATCCTTGTTGCTCGATGACAAGCCAGAAAAGAAAAGATTACGCGCAGATTTCTTCTTCTGCAGATCTACCAACTCTTCAGCAGATGCAACTTCCATTTCTCCCTTACGAGATTTCTTAAGGCGGAAAAGCCTAGCCTCATATTCCTGTGAAGATTTTTCAATACATGACTGATGTTAGCGACAGCCTATATTAGAAATAGCGTGCACAAGCAAAAGAAAGCAAACCTGGAACAGTTTATCTAGCTCACAATGAGTGCACGTGGGGCCATCATCCTTCAACTGGCAAATCTTGCAGTTACCAATACACTCAATATCCTCCAGTTTTGGTTTCTCCATAGTCTGGTCAATCTGTAGAAGCTTATCGAACACTTTCTTTCTAGAGCTTTCCAGCGCATCCATACAAGTCTGTAGATGAAGTTTCATCCCATGTACGGTTCTAAATCTGTAATAAGGGACCTTAGCAAGTTAGTTTTTCATGTACCCTCGCAACAACGAAAGTCATATGAGACTTCAATTTTTTAATACACTAACCGAGAAGCTGCTCTGGAGGAGCTTGTATTGTTTAAGTTTCCATTGATGGCCTCTTCATTCTTCCTGGTCAGCTCGCTGGAGAAGTCTTTATTCTCTTCAGCAAGTTGCAGAGCATCCAACCACCAAATCGAACGCTGATTCCCCATACTGCTCAGTGACTCGGAAACCTAACAAAAAAATTGATTATTAGCGTGATGTAATCTAGTGTGAGCTCCAGGAAAATAAGTGATGGTTCAATATTTAAAATGGATTACAGTGACTCTTTTACCTGATTGTATGATTTTGTGAATTCCTGCTGTGCTGCAGAAAGCTTTGAGTTGAATGTGGATAAATACTTAACTTTCAATGTGTCACAAACTATATTCAGAGTTCTGCGTTCTTCATGAAACTCTCCTTCCTTCTTTAAACCACTGTCTGGAGAAGTTTCTGAAGGAACATGAGTTAAACTGTCAAGCTCATTGATCTTTCGCCTTTTCGCTGCACGATGATGATCATCATCTTTTTCATCTGTTTTACTGTCAAGGCTTCCTGACGCACCACTGTGGCTTTCGACCAATGGTAATATCTCAGCTAGATTGTGAAGAAGGTGAATATTCAGCAATGGATCAAGACGAAAATCTTCGGCGTGCTCTTCAGTTATACTTAATGCTTCCTTGTATAACGATACAGCTTCAAAAAATTCTTGCTTAAGCATGGCAATAGCAGCAATCCCATTTAAAGCAACAATTAACACTCTAAGAGCTTCCTCTCCCTCGCTCTGTGTCTTTTTCACAAGGACCTAAAGAAAATGTCAATTAGTACAAACAGCTAATGAAGATCGAAAAGTTTAAATCATGCAAGCTCACCATTAGAATTTCTTCCATGGTCATTGGAGTTTGTTGCAATGAACGTAAACCAGATCCCCCTACTTGAGGGTGGCAGCAAGCTTGGCGCAGTTTTAAGAGCGAGTTCAACAGCTTTGCAGCTTCGGCATGAGTGATTAAAGGATTATCAGAAGAACTGTGACCTGTAAATGAACATAAGTGGGACACAAACTTTAGCAACCAACACATAAAGTAGCGTCAAACTTCTGAGAGAGAAGTCTAAGAGGCAAATAAAGACAAAGGTGGAAAGTGCAGAAGACACACTATTCGCACCCTCATGGTACCTCTTTTGAGAATATCACGTTTCAAAGTTTCTATAACTTCGCGAGCATAACTCACACAAGTTTCATGCTGCCTGCTATAGAAGTGTTCTTCAATTGCAGAAAACTTGAGCCACGAGACGCAATCCTCTTGAGGTGGGATTTGCAACTCATCCGCGACATGGACTTTTGAAGAACGCCACATCACTTGTTTGAAGAATTTATGCGTAAACTCCATAGCCTTTGCATCTCGCCTCTAAACCAAGCAAGAAGGGATGTTAGACAAGAAAAATTATAAAATTGTAAGAAAATGAACTATTTCTTCTATTCAGACCTCATATGGCTCTTTTATAACTTCAGTCCACCATCTTGAAACATCGAAAGGATTTGCTTTGAGGAACCTCAATAGTCCAAATAAGTCATCAAGTTTGCGTTGTATAGGAGTTCCAGTGATACACCAACGATGTTTGGTATATAATCTCAATGCCATCTCTGTTGCAGCAGCTGCATTGCTCTCCACCATCTGGGCCTCATCCAAGCAAATCCTCCACCAGAATATTCTGGTGAGTGGTGTAGGAATAACAGGGTACCTATCACATCACAAAATCTTTACCAATCTTTCCGAAAGCTTTTCAATTGCATGAAACCAGAAGATGAAACAACAAGCCTATCAAACTATGAAACTAAGCATCTATATTGGCCAGTCTAAGAAATGTTTTAATACTACAGTTTGTTCAATATAGCAGGAATGACAAAAGTTGATCATGTAACGAAACATGCGAGAGATAAAAGAATCCAAAATATCACCAAACGCACCTTTTCTGGAATCTAAGACAGTGTCGATCACCATCATGCCTGTCGTGGTCATGTGTCAAGTCCTCTTTGAGGACATCATATGTAGTTAAAACAATGTCAGCGTTGAGGAGTTCAGTGATGTCGATCATAGGTTCTTCAGAGAGTGAGGCGCTCCTCGCACCTTCATAGATACGTGTTACGAGAGAACCGGAGCGCGTATGGCTACAACAGGACAGACGAAAGAAGGAAAAGAGGACTAACATTACATTATGCGGAGATAAACACAAACTTTCATCTTGTGAAAGTCTTCCTCTAATAGAAACATAACAGAGGAAAGAAACAGGTAGAAAAGAATATGATACCGTGTAATCTCGGAATGCCATTGATGTAATATAGGAGCTGGACAGACAATAAGAGTGGCACCCGTAGAGATGGGAGAGGCAGTGACTTGTACAAGTTCAGAGCACATTTGGCACATGAATTCACCTTCTCTGTCAACAAATTTCGTTGCATCCTTTTTGCTCTTCTTTTGAGATACTTTGTTATCAACGTCTTGACCAGGCTTCTTAGCTTTCCCTTTAGGTGTATAACCTACACAATCAGCATGCTGCCAAGCATCACACATGTCACACTGTACCCAAACTCCTTTATATTTGCGACTTTCAGTGACAGCTCCACATATGCACTCAACACGTTCCCATTTCAATCTTTTCAGCCCAGTTTTACAATCATCAGTAGCTGGTGACCCATCAAACGCAGATATTTCATCTCCGGCTGGTTTACGATGAGAAAAGATGCAAGCAAGTAGTTCAACCGTTTTTCCTAATCCCATTTCATCTGCAGCATTCATATAATACCACATTTAAGAATAAAATACCACAGAAGCCAATAATATGAGAAGTAGATACACCTCTCATATACAGCAAGTCCAGACAAAGTGAAACTTATAAAAGTAAGTTTGTGGTTATTAGTACATGAAGGTCAAACAAAGCTGCAAAACTAATCTTACCAGCAAGGATACCACCCGGAATTCGAGGTGCAAAACACTCTGGAGCCAATGAAATATTCCCACTAAAACAAAAAGCATGAAAATGGACGAGATCAAATAGTGGAACTTTACTGAGATACTACTTGTTGTACACTGAGAGGAGCTTATAGTTCAAAACAAAATAAAAAAGGACTAGTTAGATTCTTTGCTACCAACCTGAATGGGTTAAAGAACATTTTGGAAGCAGAGTCAAGGAATCCAACGGAGATAGACATAGGTGAAATGAAATGGCTGTCTTCATTGTCTCCCAACGTTATTGGATCTCCTCTCTCTCGCTGCACCATCCAATAAGCTGCACGTCGTTGGTACGGCCTAAGTTCTGGGAGCAAATCAGTTATGTCATCTTCAAGCATCGCTTCCATCCTGAATCCATAAAACGCTTCTAAGTTGGACAGATGTTTTCAGACATTTAACACAGAAAACAAAGAAAGAAACAGACTTTGATTACTCACTTTGATGGTTTTATGGCTTCATAAAAAGCAGCAGCATCAAACCTAGACTGTTTATTAGAGTCCGAAGTTTCATCTCCCATCACCATCGAACCCTCAGTCTCCTTCAGCTTTGATTCTGCCTCATACTTAGCCTCTGATGTCATCACCTCTGGCCTCAACCAAGACATGACATGAATCATACTCTTCTTCCATATCTGCCTTGTATTCTCAAGAAGCGAATCACACGCATCAAAAGCCTGCTGAAGCATCTCAACTCTAACTCTAGGAGACAACAAGCCATTATCACCCGGCACAAGCCTCAAAGTCAGAAACTTTACACTCGCTAAACGAGCAAGACCCGAAACACCTTCACCTGGACCGTCAAAACTCGCAGACCAAATCACTAACCTACCCTCATCATCATCATCAGTCACCTTTCTATCAACCAATTCCAAAGTTATATCACTTGAAGACAACACAGGCCAGTGACCAAGCTTAATCCTATCAACGAAATTAGTCACATTGCATAACCGAAACCGTAACGAGCAATCCAAACCATGATCAACATCAATTGGTGTGAGTGTTCCACTACTAGTGCATACACCTTCTCTCAAACTCAAATTCGTTAGAACAACTTCAGCTACATCAAACCGCTGCTGCTGCTGCTGCTGCTGCTGTTGCTCAGAAACTAGACTGCTTGAACATACGTTCACATAATACGGCTTATCGATATTCTCAACATTCTTTTCCCGAGAACCCTCCGCGTCGTCGCCGGATAACTGCTTACCATCGGAATCTGGACCAGTTTCGGTGATCAAACCAACAGAACGGTGCGGCTTGGATTGCTTTCTCCTACCCATCACTAGAAAGCTAAAACAGAAACAGCATTAATCCGGGAATCAATTGTATAAACAAGATCAAACACCCAAAAAATAGAAACAGCACACAAAAAGCTACGAGCTTTTATGCAATTCCGAAACAGTTCTCAACTTGTCAATTATATGATTCATACGAAGAAACTAGTTCAAGGTTAAAAGAGAGAGCATAATTACGAACCTGTGAAGTGAAAGACGATTCGAACAGAATAGACACTCCCCGAATCGACGGAGACGGTGGAGGAGTGGAATTCAGGCGCCGGAGAAGAGTAACAGACTCGCCTGCTCGGCTCGGTGTGCAAGGTAAATAACGAATTCCGGTTTATCTGCAAATACGAGCGCTTCGGTTGAACCGACGTAACTTGGTCAACGTAATGACAGTTATACCCTTATAATGAAAATGACAATATTACTCCAATTGAAAAAGGAATCGAAAAAGTATTTGCTTCTCTTTGAAGAACTTGATGCGATTTCAGTTAAACGGCACAGCTGCAAAACCCTAATCTCGATCTCTGATTTTCGGTTGTTAAATTTTGGAACTCATTAGAATTTGAGCTAAAGGGTTAGAAGAGATGAACAGAGGAAGAAGGAATCTGAAACAAGCGGCGTCAGAGCAGGAATTCACGCTTGAGGAATGTCAGAGCATTGCTCAGGTCGTCTCTCTCAGAGGCTCCAATCAAATTGAGGTAATAAATTCGCCTCCTTTATATCATTTGATGTTTCACACTTTTATGCAATCTCGTCTCGCCTATTCATAGCGTTTCCTTCGGATTTTTCCTCAATTAAGTTAGCTTAGTTTACTTAAAGGTGTAATGATTAAAGGTATGTATGTGTAATGATTAAAGGTTGAATTTTTACTTCCCTTTCATGTTATAGTTTAGGGCAAGCAAGAGTTTCCAATCATTTGTTCTTAATTGTTGTTTTTGGTCACTTTGAAGATAATGGATGCAAAAGGAGAGAACTCATTAGCGTTGTTTCCAGCCAAATTTCGTGAGAGCATGTGGATCAGACGAGGTACATTTCTTCTTTTTATAAACAAAGTTGCTTGATTCAAACTGAAACAAAGAACATCAAATTGCGCTTAGTATGCCCTGTGCCTTGTTCTTTTACATCTTTTGATATGATCCTGGCTTTGTCTATTTTGTCAACGAGCTTTAGATTCTTGAATGGCTAGATTAATTGGTGCTGATAGAGGAGATTGAGATGGTGATTAATGTTGTTGTTGATGCACTGATTTGCAGGAAGCTTTGTAGTGATTGACCATACAGGAAAAGTAAAGGCCCAAGAGTCTGGTAGCAAAGTTACATCTATTGTCTGTAAAGTTCTATTCTTTGAGCAAGTCCGTCTTCTCCAAAAGTCTCCGGAATGGTAAAAAGCTTTTTCCTTTTCTTTTTGTATGGATGATGACATCTAAAGTTTATTCAGCATAGCTCATGTTAGTTTGGACATGGTGAATGCAGGCCGGAAATCTTCAAAGATACTAGGCTAATTCCGGAAAGTTCTCAAATACCAAGCCCACAGAAAGAAGATGATGGGGAACTTGATTCGAGTGATGATGATGGCATGGCCCCATTGGAAGCAAACACAAACAGATTGAGACCGTTTGGCGTGCAGTGTGATGCAGAGTCAGATTCAGACTCTGATTCTGATTCATAGAAACCTTTCCGGTACATTCTTTTTGTAAGCCTATAGTTGCGAGATATGTCTTATTAAACAGTATGTAACCAACACAGCTGCTTTAAAAGCAGAGTTTTACTTTGAAATAAATTGATTTTTGATCTATGGGCTCAGTTAAGTGGTTCAGATAGTAGCCCTTGCTTCTCATTCTCTTATTGCACTTCTTGATAAGTTTTCATTAGATAAACGAGAATATGTGAAAAATTAAAATCTAAATCTGTACAAGATATATCTAAATATTATGTAATCCATGTCTAAGATTGTTTGAGATAACACTACATGTCAAGAATGCGTCAAAGTTAACTTGATCTGCAACAACTCCTGGAAACGTTTCTTCTGAATAGATTCAGACGTGGAGAGAGTTAAGGTTGTCTGAGAAGAAGCTCTGCAGCAGCAGCTGTTTTCTTCTGAAGCTCTTCAGCGTCTCCACCCACGAGTTTATCCATTTGTCTCCCATCCTTGAGGAACACTACTGTTGGAGTTGCTTCCACGTTCCATTCATTACTAAACTCCTGTGTTTTAACAAACATCTCAACATTCAAGTCACTCGAAATCACTCTATAAAGAACATGAGTTTCTAAATTCCTTACGGCAAGCTCTTCGACGTCTATAGTTACAAATATCATTGAGGTGTACGTAGACGCAAGCTCCTGGTATATTGGTGCTAGTTTTCTACAAGGTAAACACCATGACGCCTTGAAATTTACTACCAGCTGTTCCATGTTACAAAAAAAAAAATTCAAGCTATTTTGCAGAGGAAGAATGCAGAAAAGAGAAGCAAAATGATAGGAAGAAGAGCTTACAATATTGCCGTTACTTTTAGCTGCAATCTTCTCCTCCCACTTCTCGATTCTTGTTATCGCATGAACCCTCCCTTTAAGAAGATGGGCCCTGGTTTGGCTCCGAGCTTGAGACTTGTTGCTGTTGCTGCAGCAGCAGCAGCATAAATATGACCACATCTGTTTATTAACAACATGAGAGTTTTTGTCACCATTGTTCATCATCCAAGGCTAACGAAGATTGAACGGTTTAAGAACATTATCTCCATGAAAATTTTCGATTCTGAGGACAAAGGTCTTTACCTTTCTACAACAAGGAGTTCTTGTACAATGATTCCCCATTAACCCCTAGCTTGATCATTAGCTCTCTGAATCAAAAGCACAAACCAAAACCCTTTTCTTTAAAAACGTAAATTAAAAAACAGATGAATTGCAAGGAAATCAAATGACCTAGCCAATGCTCGTATTTAGGGTTCAGAAAGGATTACCTCTAGATCACGCTACGTGTGCTTGCATCATAATTAGTTTCAGCCTCCATGCAATGGAAGAAGAGATAATTCCAAGATCAAAGAACAAAAAACTTTCTGTGAAAAGATTCAGAACACAAACAAGACGATTCCAAAGAACATTGAACATTGGCTATAAACAACGAATTCGTCTTGTACTTTACATTTTCCTCGATGGTAAATTGGTTTGATTTAATCATAACAATTAACAACTAATGGCTAATTTTGTAGAAAAGAAACTGGTCAAAGACAACATAGGAGGAATAAGACATAGCTTTGAATGTTTTGGATATGCTTTTATTATACTTAAACCGGAAAACATAAGTTTTAAACCAAACGGTTTCCAACCACCACACATACTGTACATAACAACTTAATTAAAATGATGTTTTGTTTCGGTGTAAAGTTTGATTATTCTGTTCTAAAACATTATTGCCCCATATGTAGTTTATTGTAGTTTTTTAATTCTACTTTCTTTTTGTTGGAGGTATTAAATGACAGGGATTCACGATAAACTATTTTGCTCGAGTAAAATCTTGAAGACTTGAACTAGATTAAGATTGTTTGTAGGACATTTTTATTAAAACAGTAAATAGATTAAATATGTTACGTTGGTAATGAGTCTATTGACCAACCAAACTAAAGATTGTAGACATCGATCCAGTGAGAGGTTCAAGTATTGTCACAAATCGGCGTCCTCAATCTTCTAACGATACATGATAGAAATTGGTCTCCCGTGTGTTACTGTCAAGGCCGAACTAGTGAGCCTTTGGACGACAGATACTCACATAAATCACTAGACTAAAGACAACTTTTGGAAAATCAGGGCCGAAATATAACTACATTAAAACAGGGCCGCAAGCTTCTGCTTGTTTTGCTTGCCCTAAGGGCTGGCTCTAGTTACTGTACGTTGTTGGCCAAAATCCGAGCTAAAGACGCCGGTAGGGCCTCGACATGCGTGGAAAAAAAGAGTTTAGAGCTTGGTTTAGCTCAAAGATACTTAGGCTCTTGTTGAACCTTAGTGTATTAGACTTCACTAAGGTGATGATTGGTTCTCCCGCTACCACCCGCAAACGCAGCGTTTGCGGTTCGTAGCGGTTCTTAGCGTTTTATAACAATCACGACAACCGCTTTCAACCGCTCTATACCACTCTGTACCGCTCTATATCGCTGAAAATCAAAAGCTCCTTTCCGCAAGCGTTTGCGGTTGCGGGCGGTTGCGGTTTGAAAAAAAAAAAAAAAAAACATAATATCTCCAAATTTGGAATAAGGGTATATTTTTTTGAAAAATACCATAATTATGTTTAAAAATTTCGAAAATACCCTAAATTTTTTCTGTTTTGAAAAATACACTTTTAAAATGTAAAAAGTATGTTTTGACGTGATTTAAACAAAAAAATAATAAATAATTACAAATTATAAACGAAAATTTAAAAAAATAATAAACTAATAAGTTTTTTTTCAAATAAATATAGTATATGTTAAACTGAAACAAATTTTAATATTTTGGATCTTTATATAAACAACTTAACCTCATACACATTCAAACCAAATGAAACTTTAAATAAATTAAAACTTTACATATATTTAAAGTTTATAAATTATTAAAAATTTAAAAGTGGAGAAATATATCTTTCATTTTTAATGTTTATCTTTTGAAAAATTTAAATATTTTTGAAACTTTGCATAAACAACTTTAATCTCACCCCATTTAAACTTTATATAAACAATCTTATATTTTTATTAAATTGTTTAAAAAAAACTAAACAGGTAATTAGGATGTTAAAATGATACAAAATTATTATCAAATATTAATATTTTATATTTCTTATTTGAATTTCGTTTTTATTAAATTAGGAATAATCATTTTACATATAAAAAGTGTATTTTTCAAAACCAAAAAAAAAGGGTAGTTTTCAAATTAAAAATTCATCAAAAAATATATTTCAAAAAAAAAATTATTAATATGGTTATAAATGTTTTGAATAATTATATATTATTTTTATTTTAGTAACTTTTGGTTAAACCGCTCTTGCACCCGCTGGCTAACCAGTCAAAAATATCCCGCAAACGCAACCGCTATGAATTGCTATACCAGTCGTACAAACAGCTTTTAATCGCAAACTCCCGCTTCCGCAAACTCCCGCAGCCGCAAACTCCCGCAACCGCAACCGCAGCGGTTAAACCAGTCAGACCCTAAGATTTTAGAGAGAGAGAGCATGCATGTGTATATTTGTATACCATTTGCAAACTACTAATGTATATTGTGGGATATAGAAACATAAGCATCAATAATATTGTCTAGAAATAAAAACATCATCGTTGCACAACCAAAAAAAGGAAAAAAAAAAAAAAACAGAAACAAACTTGTTTTCTAATGCAAAATATCCAAAAACCTATTGTTATAATTCCAAAACCAAAACTAAAGCACATTTGATACTTATGTATAACCGGACAAAAAAAAAAAAAAAGAGAGTTTAATCTCTCACACTTATGTATCTAAGTCAACAAAAGGCTGACCAGAAATTCTGCAAAGCTTGAACTTAAAGAGAACATTACCTTGAGGTCCTTTTTCTTGCCAATAATCTTGAACTAAATATAACCCAACATACACGTAATGTTTTCCTCTCTGGTCCAATCTCTTTTTTCCACGTATCACTCTCACCGGAGTCTTTGCCTTCATGCTATTAGCTAGAGCCAAATTGCCCATAACAAGCTTCTGGTCTTTGCTTGTCATGGTGCCTCCTTTGCTTGTCATGGTACCTCCTTGACCAGAGTATATCATCAAATCATGGTGGAAAATATCGACGTAACCGTTACCTTCCGAGGAAACAATGCTCGTAGCTAGTTTGGTGTCACCTCTGTCCACGTAATCAATCCCACTCATGATGTTGAAATGGAGACCGATCAAGCTGAGTTCTGCTTTGTACTGAAACTCATCTCCAACTTCGATTCCTGGGACAGCTCCAATCATTTTCTTAGCATTCACTTGCATCCCCTTGCTCTTGAGAATAGTCCATGTCTTGCAATCTATTGCAGTTTTTGATTCTCCACTCCGAACTTCTTGATCTCGATCGAGCTTGTTATACAAAATGTTGAAACTACGCAACACCTTGAGAACTCTACCACGTGGGCTAAGAACTTTTGTAATCTGGTTTTGTCTGATAACCGGGATGCGTCCAGCTGGATTTGACCGTCTTTCATCTCTGTTCTGATTTGGTTGATGAGTCTTCTTTGATCTTAGTGCAGCATTGTTAAACGTCTTCATCTTCTTCTTTTCCGGTGAGTTTGCCTGATTTTGCACAACAAACTTCCTCTGAATGTGAGTAGATGAGGCTTGGAGTTGTCTTCTTTGCCTTTGGGAAGCAATTAGTTTGACAGTTTTCTCATAGCTTAGAGGTTTGACTTTACTTCCACATGATGTAGGAAACTTAATCTTGGTTGAAACAAATCTTCTCCTGCCAGCATTACTAGCTGCTACACCGAAGCCAGCTTTCTTCATAATCACATCAAGTGATTCAGGCATGTCATTCTCAGATCTCTGATTCTTAATAGTCTGAGTACCACGTCCATATAGAAGATCTCTTACAAGAGACATGTTTTTATGCCTATTGGAAGGGAATGTCTTTTGGATCACCTTCCTACAAACATACAAAATCAACTTCTTAGTTACAACTATGCACTAGACCTTTAGTAAGCATCATGCAATACCAAACTACAAGAACATCTTAGAGCTAAGAAACCATCAAACCCGTAAAAAACCCCGAAACCCCGGAAAAAACCCGAACCGAACTTGAACCGAAGATAAAAAAAACTAACGGTTTTTATATCTCCAAAATCCAAAACCCGAAAAAAAAAAACCCGGAAAACTACAAACATACAAAATCAACATCTTAGTTACAACTATGCACTAGACCTTTAGCATCATGCAATTCCAAACTACAAGAACATAGAGCTAAGAAACCATCAAATTTAACTATTTACTATCCGAAAAATTAATGGTAGAAAATGATATGAATCTATATAGCCAAAGCTAGGCAGATAGATAGACTCTTGTTGTCTTCACTAATAACTATGCTCAGCTTTGGCTCTAGGGGGCGGCGGAAGGTGCGGAGGCCATGGCCCACCCTAATTTGTCGATATATAGTTAAGAAAAAAGGAAATATATTTATTTTAGGAAAAAATCTTATGTTGGAAGGCCCAAAAGATTTGTTGCCTTGGTCCAGCAAAACATTAAGCTTGGCCTGCCTATGCTACGATCTGATCACATGATACAAGAGAATCCACAAACAAATATAAAATTTTATTTGTCTATCCTAACCTGGTATAGAAAACGAGGAGCAAGAGGGTTGAGTAATCTATATTACCCAGTGAATATGAGTCATAGAAACCCCATAAATTCATCATCACGCAATGATACTAAAATCCAAATCTAAAATAAGCATCAAACTAGAGGAGCACAAACTAGGCTTAGGCTTGGGACTTTCACCCAAACCCGACACGAAAATCAGAATCAAACCCAAATCAAAAGTTTTAAAAAACTTAAAAAAAAAACAAACCAAAGTTGATTCGAAAACCCAAAACCCGAAAAAACTTTAAAAATCCCTGAAAACCCCAACCCTTATCAAACCGAAATTATATAAGATTTACAGTTTCTATATTTGTAAACCCGGAAAACCCAAAGCTAACCTGACTCAACAGCCGAAGTCCAAGGCCTAGCACAAACAATTACACAAGAGAACCCTAATTGTTTGGTCCCTTGCGTTTTACCCATTGACATGTTTGATCCACCAATTTGGGTGGTCCATCTACCTTCCTAGAGTACAATGTTATGTTACGTCCCTATTCTTTAATACATGTAAACAAGGTTCTTTTATATATAGTATAGTCAATCAAATAATAAATTATTCATATAGGTCCCTGTCCATTCTTTGGATTAAACTTTTACTAGACAAAAGAAGGAATAACGAAAACATAATGGAGAATGAGAATACAAGTACTCACGTTGGCCTAAGATTAGATGAGAACGAGGACGACATGTAAGTTATGGGCAATGGTCTGACTGATCACCTCCTTAGGATCACTAGACTTCGCGAAAGCTGCTCCAGCAAAGGAGAAGTGATGACGATACTCAGTGGGTGGTTAGGGTTAAGGACTTTTCGACCTGAACCCTCACGGCGACAGTGGGGAGAGAGAGAAAGACTTTATGCCTAGGGTTTTCTCTAGAGATTTTAGAATGAAGAATTATGAGTTGTGGTCTCATATTTATACACCAAAGAAATTGGAGGAAAAGGAAGAGATAAGATTGAAAAGATATTCTTGTTTCCTAAAGGAAAATATATATTTTTGAAAAAAGAAAAGAGAATCGAAAGTAAATAATTCCTAAAAGGAAAAGTAAATTAATCTTTTTTTTTGTGTCACGGAAAAAGTGAATTAATCTGAAGTTTCTTAAATGAGAAAAGGAAATAAAAATTAAAGAGCTAAATTGACTCGAGTAATGAAAATGATGAAACCGAATCGGTACAAAAGTGTGCACTTAATTAGGGCTAAAGAGTGGAGAATCACAATAACACTAAGCGAAGTGATTTTAAACGCCGAATTGAAATTCAAACTATTTTAGTGTGTGAAATACGAACATGGATAAGTGCAAAAGTCAAATTCACACTTGATTCAACCCAAAGTTTTAGAGATTTTGATGAACTTTCACATTCTAAACAAAACCCTAGGAAAGGCAGAACACTAAACCGTGAGTCTAAGAAAATCAAAAACAGAATTTCAGAACATATCCAAAATTAATTAAAATCACGCAAATAAGAATTGTAATGGCTAAATGTGTGAATAACAACAAGTGAGGGAATATAGAGCGTTGTACTACAAAGTAAAAATGGTGATATATAGCAACAACGACAACAACAAAAATCACTAAACCAGAGAAAACATCATGAGTAAGTAGTACTTACCGGTACGGTGATCGTCGTCTTCTTATTCCACGACTAGACAACCTTACGAGTTACAGCTTACGAGGATGATTATTCTTGTAATCTCTCAAAGGCTTTAACCAAAATAAAAAGGGTCACTGAAGAGACCACTATGTACAGACATACAGTATGTGTTTAATTGTGAGATTGATTTTTAAATCTGCTTTTCCATGAAACCCTCTAACTACGATAATGGTTTTCAGTTATAATATTGGAAAATTAAGCGAATTATCAGCAATTATGAGTACGTAATTACAGTTGATAATTATGTAAAGTGTAATACAATTGCGTAGTTGTGTGATGTAAATGTTCCACAGCATTAAATTGTTTATTCCGTTATGAGTCCCAATACTTTATTACGACGATATACATTTCTTGATATTGAGAAGTCTACGAATATTCGAATTTCTTTAGCTCTAAATCTATTACTAATAAAAGTTGACCCTATATGCATTAGAGGTGTCCACATAGGATTCTAAAATTGAATTTGATTGGTCCATGTCATTATCTTTAATTTTGAATTTGATTGGTCCATATCATTATCTTTATTATTATTTTTTCATTAAATAATGAATTTTTGTAAATTTCCTATTTTACATATAATTTATTAATTAGTTTTTTATAATGATAATTTTCCTCAATTAAAAATTTTATCATAATAATTCAATTCATTAATCATCGTATACTTACATATATTATCTAAATTTACATAAATTATTAGTAATAGTTATTTTTTTTTAACACCGAGTAATAGTTATTTTTTAGTGGAAAATTTACACATAGTTTAAGTAATTATAAATATAAATTTCCTTTTCAGCCAAAAAGCTGCTATGGTGTAGTGGTTATCACATTTGTCTTAAACGCAACAGATATTGAATTCGATCCTTTGCAGCACTAGGTTTTAAAATTTTTAAAACCGTTACAAAAATAATTATATCCACATTGCCATTAAGTCAATTCACGAAAATATCTCACAACAAACAAAAAAAATTAAAGAAAAAAACATCATCATCGATAGGGATGTCAAAATGGATCAAAATTAATAGATCCATCCAATCCACCCAATCCATTAGACTAAATGGATTCAAAATTTGGATACAAATGGATTCATAGGCCAATTGGGTTAATGGTTAAAATTATATTGGTTTGATGGAATGAGATGGTTAACCAATTTTAACTTTTCGGTTTACCAAAATCAGAAACCAATTGATTGAGAAAACGTGATTTTGAGGTTTTGATGGAAAAACGTGGTTTTGAGATATTGACCAAAAACGTGATTTTGAGATTTTGACGGGAAACATGATTTCACGGTTGTTGCTAGAAAACATATTTTTGATTTCGACGGAAAAACGTGATTTCATGGTTTTGGCGAGAAAACGTGATTATTAAGGTTTTGGCAAAAAACGTGATTATGTGGTTTTGAGATTTTGGCGGAAAACGTGATTTTAAGATTATGACGGAAAAACGTGATTTCGAGATTTTGATGGAAAACATGATTTTGAGATTTTGACGGAAAACATGAGTTCACAGTTTTTTGCGAGAAAACATGTTTTTGAGATTTTGACGGAAAAAGTGATTTCACGGTTTTGTAGGAAAACGTGATTTTTAAGGTTTTTGCGAAAAACATGATTATGCGGTTTTGAGATTTTGGCGGGAAAACATGATTTTAAGATTTTGACGGAAAACGTGATTTTGAGATTTTGATGTAAAAACGTGATTATGAGAATTTGACGGGAAAACATGTTTCAAGGTTTTAGCGAGAAAACATGATTTTGAGATTTTGGCGAAAAACGTGATTATGCGGTTTTGACGAAAAACGTTATTTTTAAAGTCTTATTAGCTTCCAACGTATCATCAATGCTAAACACATCGATTATGAATTGCAAGTACACATCACCGTCTTTTATATATTTTGTAGATTACATTGCCTCGGTGAGGGATTAAGGCAGAAACTATTCCCTCAATCAAATAATCAAATTAGTTTTTACAAGTTTCAATCGCTAAGAAGGATTAAGGCAAATAACGAAGATGAGAAATATAGAAGAGGAATTTCGCTGAGAGTAACAATGTTCCTATGGGAATAAGGTACAAACATTGGTCGATCATGTTGTCGCAAATGAAGAAAAACAACGAACCATTTATAATAGATGAGACTAATTTCAATGTTTGCATTTCTAATTTCAATGTGATAGCAAAACTGAACCGTAACAAACCAAAACAATGGAACCGGGAATTGGAAATGTGGTTATTAATCAAACAGGATACGAAAAAAAAAGTTTGGAATATATAAGTCAAAACAATGATTTAAAAATAAAGAGATGAAATTTATTAAATGGAATTGAATGCATAACAATTAAACTAAAAAAAAAAAAACAAGTTAAGTATAAATCGTAGACACTGAGCTGAAAAAGCTAAACTAATAAATTAAATTAAAAAGGAAATTAACAACTAAAATATGTATTAGACTAATATTGGATTGTACAAAATCTTGCCGGATGATCTTTAATGGATATAAATTTTTTAAAAAATATCTAATTAATAGTAAAATCAAGGGATTAATTTAAGAAATGTGAGGATAGGAATGTTTTCTACAGAAAGTATGTTTTTAAAAAGTACATTACTTATTATGACTAATTATAAAATAATTAAATTGGTTAACTAAAAAAAAAGTATATTACAAAGAAAATTTTATTTAAAAGAATAACAAAAAGCAAAAAAATAATAATTTAGAAGCGTTGGTAACAAAAAAATAAAAATAAATATAACAGTATAAAAATTCATTAAAACAAAACCCGCGCGTGCGCGGGTAAAATACCTAGTACTATGGAAAAATTGAAACTAATGTATTTGCATATATCTGAATCTCTGGAAAGTCAGAAATAAAGATATTTTGAATTTAGAATCTGAATTTAGAAGTTTGGTAAGTTAAAACCTCTTACTAATGTAAATCCTATTGTACATTAAAATATTTTGAAATTAAAAAAAAAAAAAAAAAAAAAACCAAAGCCTTGAGGACTTTCTCGCGTGTGGTAAGAACTTTGGTACGTAACGTAACGTAATCTTATTTTGCTGCATAACCTGGACGATTGCAAGTTACTGGACCTTATGGTCCTTATCTGTCTTTCATCTCTGTCCTGATTTGGTTTGTTTTCTGATAACTCTTTGTTCTTATTGCACTTGCATTACTCAACTTCTTCTTCGAGCTGGAGCCTTGTTGCTGCAGCATATAAAATGACCATATCTGCTTAAAGATACGAGACATTTTTCATCATAAAAGACTGATGAACATTGAACGGTTTAATAACCTTATCTCCATGTGTATATGACTCTTCATTAAAACCATAACATAGGAGGAATATGGCATAGCTTTGTATGTTTTGGCTATGTTGTGAATTTATTATTATACTCAAACCGGTGAAAACCGGAAAACAAAAGTTTTAAACCAAATGGTTTCCATAGCACAAGCTACTATAGCTGAATTCTGACACAGCTTTGCATGAAAAATTACTAATCATAATTCATAGATCGGTAACAGTGACATAATCTGATACAAGACATGAGAGAAAATCTTTGGCAATGATCCACAATCAAAGATGAGATGCAATAGCCGGGAAATTTATTTGTTGAAAGTTAGCAAAAAAAAACTGGGTTTTGAAAAGATTCAGGGTGTTGTTTTTTTATATCCACTGATGAGAGAGATTGACGATGTGAAGATTAAGAAAAAACGAATTAAGAGCTGTCTTTCTCGAGCTTCTCGATCTCTTCACGGTGCTTTCTTTCAGCTTCTTCTTCCTCTTCGATTTCGTCAAGATTATCAAACTCCTTAGTTGCTGCCATGGCTTTCACAACAGGGTCTCTCAACTCAGAGATCAAACCACCACCGACTCTGTACTCTTCTTCATCGCCAACCAGAAATAACCGTTGATCAGGACCAGACGCCATTGGAATGTCCACCGCCAAAAGCTTCATGTCATACTGAAGAAACAAAGACATCAAAATGAGAAATAGGCTAAAGACTCAAACCAGAGAGGCATAATTGGTGATAGCGATTCTTTTGTGATGTGACAAAATGAAAGCAACCTAAGAAACTAGACAGACAAACGCAATGCTGTGTAATGTCAGTATCCACTTTCTTGACAATCTGATAAGTACAAAGTTATGAGACTGCAATTTCTTCTTTCCATTCAACAAAGCAGAGAGATCGACTGATTAGATACACTTCACTTTCAACCAAATGACCAACCAAATGTCTTAAGTAACTACTCTCCAACCAACTCACAACATCTCTAGTTTGCTACTACATTCAGTCCTAGGCTGCTAGATACAGTTCAAAGCGTATCACAGTCCTAAAGATCACAACGTGAACAAAAACAGAAGAAGGGGAAGTGTGGAGTTGAGAAAGTGAGACCTGGCCTTTCTTCTTCTTAACTTCGACGCTAACAAGTCCCTTTCTCTCAGAACCTTGAACAGGGAACAAAAGAAAGCATCGCTTGCTCCTGATTGCTGGCTTGAAACTTTTGAACGTTATCCCACCACCTGACATCACATAAGCTCGTAAATCTGATCCTGCCAGAGGAGCACCCATGACTTCCAAAATCTCAGCTGCTGTGTTGATCTTCCTCATTGTCATCCTGTAAACTTTGTCCGGGTTTATGGTGTACCTTGACCGGAGGTATAATCCCTATCACAAGAAAAAAAAATGCAGAGAGCTGTGAAGGGACTGATCTCATTGTGATATAAGCCAAGAAGAATGTAACAGCAACAACAATCAGATCTTACGGCAGTTTTAAAGTATCAACATGCAAGATCGGATAAGTTAACAAGCAGAATGTGAACCAATATCATTGCAACATCACAAAAGTTCCACAACCTTTCACTATCAACCAATAACCATAATCTAAAAGCAACAGAGAAATTCATCAAATAAGGCAAACATTTTGAGTCCATCACTGAAACAGTTCAAAGAAATCAACTTTAAAGCACAAAATATCAACATTACACAGAGGAACTTACACCAAATGCTACGATAGCGGAGGAGAGTGCTAAAAACCCATACTTGGCCATACCCTCTGAGAGCCCAACAAAAGTGCTCGCAATTCCAAACATAATCCTCCAAAGGAAAATGCATACAAAAACTCCTCCAGCTCCAACCAAAATCAGACTATTCTTCTTCCAAAACGCATCAACGTGCAACCCTATAGCCCCACGGTATCTACCAAACGTAGAGCTAAGGGCTTTCACAGGCTTGTCAACAACATTTCTCGCGAAATTGCCATCGACTTTTCGAAATCTGGAGCTTTTAGTGGAGACCAATCTAAACGCCGACGAGAAGCTCAAATTCACGCGAGGCAAACCCAAAGCTTGCAGCTTTGGATTGAGCTTAGGAGAGGAGGACAGAATCTGTGATAAGCCCACGTTTGTGGGAGCTGGTTTCGACGGTAAGCTGTGGAAGCTGGACCTAGGCTGAAGCTGGGAGATTCGATTCGAGTGAATCGCCGGAGAAGACAGAGCCGATGGGTTTGAGCGAGGGATGGTAACCGGGTTGACCCGACTGTAATGCAATCGGAAAAAGCCTTGAACTGCTTTGAAATCCGATGGTTTCACCATCTTTGTTGCCTTCTGGATCGATCGCAGAAACTCGAACAAAGATCCAGGAAGAAGTATGAGAGGATTAACTGATCAACGCGAATCAATGGAAATGCGACAGAAAAAGAGCTCAAAATTGGGATTGATGAGTCAGAGATTCGCAACTAGTCCCGTTTAGAAAGCCATCGTCTTCCCATTTCCGGAGCTACCTGAGTTCGTAGCAGCGATTGTGGATATTTTACTATTCTGGCGTCAATGGTGATCGAATCGTTGAAAGGTCGGGTCGGGTCGGATCAAGTCGGGTATATTGATTCGGGTCGGGTGGAGGCCATTTTAATTATCGGGTCTTCTTGAACGAAGAAACACAATGGAGGACCCACAAGTGTCAAAGTTCAAAACTCAATCCATGCCCACTACTATTCTGGTCTGGTTTTGGCATTTTGCAGATGACAGGTTGGCAGGGGTAAATTTGTCATTTTCAAATGTCTTGTTGTGATTGTTTTCTGTTTTTTTTTTTTTTTTTCACACAAGGAGAGTAAATGCTACTATTCTGGTCTGGTTACTGCTACGTAATAATTTTATCTCGGTTTGGATAATCTTTTGTTGTATAGTTAATTTGGATACTCTTGTAGTAGAATGGCACACCCGCTTATTTCTTTGGTTGAATCATGTGCTATGGAACTTGTATGATAGTTTCATTTATTTACCTATATCATGCGTAGATTATGTTTGTGTGTGTATCAAGAATTCAAGATGTATATGCAATTTTCTCATAAATATTAATAAGTGAATCGATTAAGACATTTTAAAAAAATAAGCATGTTACTGATATGCACGTTATGAAAATGAAAGGTATATAGACCAAATTTTACATACTTTTGTTTTGGCATAACTATTTCTGATAATATGTAGCTTAATAAAATTCAGTATACTAATACAGGAAATATGTGTATTCGACCATTATAGAAGTAAACAACATGATTTTTTAGTGTATATATATATATATATACATACAAGTATATAAGGTGTTAAAAATGAAATAAAATAGCAACTATTGATAATACGTCTTGTGATTTCTTGGTTTGGAGTCAGATAATGCGAGAAGTAAATTACTCCATCACGAAGGTCTAAAATTTTTAAAATCTCTTTTAAACAAAAATTGATACTTGGGATAGTTCTCACTCTTTCATCACTTAAGAGGAATTTTTGTTTACAAGCTTGTGAGATTCTTGAAAGCAAAAAGACAACGATAATGTTTATTGTTCGGGACCAATTATAGTATACACTAACGACTAATCATCCTCAATGTACAATAATATGACTTGTAGCTACCACTCTTTCATATCTGGTCCACTTAATCTATAGATAAAATAGATAATACATCAAATAAATAGAGCAAAGACTTAATTATCTAAAAACATTATCTAAATTCTCAAGCTCTTCCACCGCTCACTAAATGTGAACCTTCAAAGAAAACTAAAGAACCTTAAAAATCTGGCTGATGAACCTCTTAATAGCTCTGTCCCGTCAAAAATCAATTCACATCTGCGGGAAACACAACACAAAATTACTCAAGTCACCATCTCTCTCTCTCTCTCTCTCTTGTATGAAAGATATGGTGAGATATGAAAACAGTTAGCTTTCCCTGACTCCCATGAGGACAGTGACACAACATCATCCCCCATCATCATCATCACCATCTCTTTTTTGTTTGTCCCTTCTTTGAACCACCACTTGCTAATACCTAGGTGCTAGTGGCTACATCCACCTACTTCTCCTTTTTCTATAAGTTACTGTTCTTCACTTATAGTTTCAGCACTAGTAGGTTGAGAAGCTTCAAAACGAGAGCTAGCTAGGGTTTTCAAGCAGCTCCCAAAAACTAGAGTTGGTGAAACGCATCAAGATTCATGTAAGGTTTTCTTATATTATCATCACATCTACCATTACTTTTTTTACTTGCTGGAGATCTAGTCTCTTAAATTTTCAATTTTCCGGTTTTAGGGTTTATTACCTTGTCTTATGATCTTCTCTATATTACTGTACGACTTGCTTCAGATCTAATCGCTCTTTCTCCTGCCCACAAAAAAATAAAATATATTAGGCTTTTCATTTCCTGTTTTAGGGTTTTCCCTTGTCTAAATCATGATTTACGAATGATATGTTTTTTTGAAGTCATGTGATATGCAATTATGCATGACTGATGAAGAATTTTTTTCTGAATTCTGTAGAGTTTTTCTTCTTTACCCTTAATTTAAAAAAAACATTATCTTCTCCCTGATTTTGGAATCCAGCCTCTAGCACAAACCCTCCAGAAACTGAGGATCTCATAAGAAAATTGAAAATCTCTTGGTCCAAAGCTTGTATTTACCAAGTGGTCAAACCAAATTATGTTTTTTTAAGTAGTCTTTATATATCTTCTCTTATTTTATTTTCTCATGATCTGCAATGACTATGGTGGAATCTTTTCACCATGTTTAAACCTGTCTGCTTATGTGTATATTTTACTCAACTAGTTATTATTAATGTTGTAATTAATTTTGGAACTGTTCATATGCACAGGGCTTACATCACTCACAACCAATTTCAGTTTTTTAAAAGAGAAAAAAATATTTTTAATATGTTTTTATGATTTCAATGTTTGATGAACAGTCCGTTCTTTGTCTCTCTCTTGGTTAACCTCTTCTTGACAAGACCCATCAGTGGTCTTACTTCTACAGTAAAGCTTGCTTCTTCCTGTGAAGTTTTAACCATAACATTCAGCATCCATCCAAACCTTTTAAGTAAATACACACACACACACACACACATATCTTTATATACTTACATTAGTTCACATTGAATTTAATTCACTGCTGATGCATTTATCAGTACATGCAAAAACCATTTCAAACTCAATGTAGAAATATAAGTACATAGTTAGGAAGCTGTCTTGGTCACATTTGTGGTCACATTTGTCTTGTTATCGATGGCCCATTATAAGCAATAAGTGCATGTGTTTGACTCAGTATCTTATGCCTGTATATTCTTCGGTAGAATCAACTAAACCAAAACTTGCTTTTCAATTTCTGGCCCTTAGTGCTTCATCAAAAGTATATAGATATAAATGTATGAACCGAGTTTAAAACAGTTAGATATAGAAGGAGATTCTTTCAGTCCAGCCATGGATAGAAAAAGAAGAGGGTAGAAATATCTGCCGACTCATCCATCCAAACACTCGTGGTAGGAAAAATATAGATTTTTAACCGCAGTGACTGTGTGAATGATGCGGGAGATATTTTTCATCTCTCTTTATCTGTGTTTGGACTGAAGGGAGCTCCTTCTTTTTCTACATTTTTTTGCATTTTTGTCATGATGAACGTAAGGAACATAACCATATGTAGTTTAGGATTTAATACCGTCCAAGTGCCGAGTAATCTAGCCACTAGTCAATAGGGAGGTGTATTCAAAATCATATTTCCAAGTAAGCTTTTTTGAAGAATATATACGCTCTAAGGTACGTCTTGTTATGAGTCTTGTTACTATGGATACAATTACGGTGGCCTTTTTTCTTTTCCTTTTTTTGATAAAGGGTTTTCAATCAAAAGCAAGAAACAAATACAATGATATGAGTATATGACTTTCTGTTCATACAGTTTTGGGAGAAAAAAACGGAGAAGAGAGATGTTTTTTTTTCTTTCTTGATGGTTTTTCACTTTTTCTTAAACACGTGTACTCTTGTTTTTGAGAACTGAAATGAGATATGGTGAGGTCGATCGTGTTCTCTTGCCTTGTTCGTACTTTGTAAAATAAGTTACTTTTGTACTTGTAATTTGTGTGTTCCCGATGATTGGAAAATGAGCCACTACTTCAGATCGTCTTTTTGGTTAAACAACCGATATATTTATATTTAGACTAGCGGATATTATTAGTTTTATACTTTAACTGGTTATTTTCTTGTTGTAAGAGTTAAATTTCATCTTTTTTATACTTGTTTCGTAAATCTGAGCAGAAAGTTGGATGTTTGATACTCCTTGGTTCGTCAATATCTTTAGACTGAGTGTAACGCATGTCCAAGCTAAACTCAACCAAGACTAACAGCATTTTTTTTTAATTGGTTGAATTAGCAACACTATGAAAAATTAGAGTACCTTTCATTTTAGATGATGTCGTATGAACAAAAAGCTAGGCATTCCAGCCAGTCCTATCAAAATCTGAACGTACATGTGACATGTCAATTAGAAAGTCTCGCTTGTTATGTATTTGGTAGGCAGATCTGCTGGTAGGTAGTTGTTAATTGGTTCACAACTTTATTTTCTTAGGTTAACGTCTGACTCACTACTTATTTTTTTGGGTTAATAATTGGCTCACAACAGTTAGTAAGATTGAAACCTGAATCCTGAAATATGGCATATTCTTAACCATTTTTCATAAACCAATTATGCCAACAAAAAGGAAAAGTAATTAGAAACCGAGTCGCAACATCATGATATCTAGTCGACAATAGAATATAAAACTTGATACCATTTGGCTCGACAGTAGAATATAAAACTTGATACCATTTGGATTTATATAGTTATAAGCAGCATATAAAATATAGACCTCGTGCACGATCTCGAGTTGTTGTTTAATAGTATTGTCTTCAAAGGTATTGTGTGGTTCATGCATTGTCTGCAATAATACAGATATGGAAAGGAGCAAGTGGATATATATAGATAATCCAACCTCATGTGACTTTCCAACTAATCAAAATATCTTTAAAACAAAAAGCATCACAGCATCATTGTTCGAATGAATGACATCTTCAAGTAATATATAAATTAGGGTTTAGAAATTATATTAGTTGAGGCCGGTGGTTGTGGACAAAATGTTTTATCTTTTTACGTGTAGCCAAGAAAATGGTTTCAATTTCCCGATACCCACATATCATGTTTTAAGTTTAAAGTACATCGAGAGTTTTTGTGCATGTAATAATATTCCTTGATTTTTGGTTTTATTTTCAATAATCCCAAATTCTTTTTCTTTTCACGTCTCATTTATTACCTTCAGTGAGAACTAGAGAAGTGTAGTAGTGTTTTTTAGTACTGCAAAATTTGAAAGTTCTTACAAAATCGAATATAAAATTCCGTTTTTTTTTTGTTTTCTTTCCTGATATGTAGAATATGATGTTCCTCATACAGTGGCGGCCGAAAGTCTCCACCATGAAAGAAAAGGTACTCTAATTAAAAATGAAATAAATTGTAAGAAAAACTAGACCATGAATACAAGAAGAATAAAAAAATCGACGTTTCTAGCTATTTTCATAATTACTAAATTTGCTAGTGATAAAACAACTTATGGAGATTCAAAAGAAACATTATCATGAGATTAGTTTAAACTTAAAACTCAAACAGAATCAAGTGATAATTGGTCCATGTCTCCCTCTCTCGGAAACCGGGGTTTGTATCTTTCTTTTATTATTGATGCGCATTGAACAAAGTGAGTGTATTTGGGTTCTCACTCTCCAGAGCCAAATCACTTTTTTCCAAATGTGGATTGGTCTGTCTCCAAAGTGATTTTCCATTTTTGGTAAAAAGAGCCAATTTCTCACAAAAATGGAACTCGAACTAATCACTTCGACTGGTCAAAAGTAGTGTAGTGATTATATAATGCAACTATGTACCAAATGTTTTTTTTCTTTTAGAATACAAGATTATGTTATATTTTAACACCCAACAAAAAAACATAATCGAAGTATTCTTTCTTTTGTAACAACTTCATTGATGATTTTATATCATTCAGTGATTTAGATTGTGCATTTTAAAGTTTTATCGTATAGAATATGTTATCACGACACATAAAACATATTTGAATCTTAGAAACTTCATTTTACAGCCAACTTTTTTCTTTCAAATTTTGTTTTTGGCAGTCAACTAATTCCAACTTTAGGATTATTCAATTACGGAGCAGGAAATGGGGATGAAATGAATATTCTAGTTTCAGTAAAGATAAGTCAAATGTATTATGATTCTTCATGTGAAACGGCACGACAGTTCCTTCCACTAAGTATAAACGACACGCGGTGTTTTCTCAGATTAAAGAAACGGCACAATAACTTGAATTTTAGCTGATGGTGGTTAAAGAGCCAATAGCCAGCGGCCCAATTAGGCATAAAATTAGCCCATTTTAGTTTTTTTTAACCGACTAAAATCGAAAAACAAATTGAAAGAAAAAAAAAACCAAAGAATTTGGACGAAGATGATAAACGTATACAGGAAGGAGCCGGTAGAGAAAAGTCATTCACGAAAAAATCAGCAGCTCTTGAGCGTGTTCGTCATTGAAGCTTGAAGATTCAATATTTCCATCGTAGATAACTCTTCGCGTCGTTTCGTTTCTAATTGGTGAGGATCCGTTTCTCTCCTTGATAACGTTTGAATCAACGATCGTTTACGATTTTTTCAATTCCAAATTTACGATTTTTCTGTTTATTGTTTGATCTGAATGTTCACTAGTATGTGAGAGTGTTTGTGAATTTCAGTTTGTATTGGATGCATTGCGAATGAATTTAAATTCTCTTATTTAGGAGTTATGCACTACAAATAGAATTTCGAGGTAAAGGAGCTGCTTTTGTAACTTTGCAGCAATTTCTGGTGTATGAAGTATTGATCACACTCAAAAGTCCAAAATTTGTGAAAGGTTGTATCGTTGTGGCTATGTGCGTATGATGATTCCATTAACTATGTTCTACAAGCATCCCTGAAGCTTTCATTGCTGCATTGTATTGTTATGGTTTTGGTTTAGAGCTATGTATTAGCGCCATTGTGAGGTATGATGATGTTTTGGCATGACTTAAAGTTTGAAAATTTACTATCTTTCAGGTCCAAGGTTTCGTTTCTGCTTGGTGGCGTCAGTTCTGGTTATTTTTTTCATGGTTAACTGATTTTAAAAGATGAGCTCAACTGTTTCAAATCCTCAAGGCATCATGCAACCAAGTGGTTACGGTGGCTATGACTCCCGAAGTAGCAGCACTACTAGCTCCTTTGTGCGTCCAGAATCAGAGTCTAACGAAAACGACGAAGCAGAGTTGGTTTCCGTGTCCTGGAATCAAGATTCCTGTTGTTTCGCTGCTGGAACGAGTCATGGATTTCGTATATATAACTGTGAGCCTTTCAAGGAAACTTTCAGACGTGAGCTGAAGAACGGAGGGTTCAAAATTGTGGAGATGCTTTTCCGAAGCAATATCTTGGCGCTTGTTGGTGGTGGACCGAACTCTCAGTACCCTTCAAGCAAAGTACTCATTTGGGATGATCATCAGAGCCGTTGCATCAGTGAGTTTGCGTTCAGGTCTGAAATCCGTGCAGTGAAACTGAGGAGGGACCGGATTGTTGTTGTGCTTGAACATAAGATATACGTTTACAATTTTATGGACCTGAGACTTCTTCATCAGATTGAAACACAAGCAAATCCGAGAGGATTGTGTTGCCTTTCTCATCATACAAATACGTCTGTTCTGGCTTGCCCTGGTCTTCATCGAGGAGAGATTCGAGTTGAACATTTTGGACTTAACATGGTGCAAACCATAAACGCTCATGATTCTAGTATTGCGTGCATGACCTTGACATTGGATGGTTTGTTGCTCGCAACTGCCAGTACTAAGGGCACTCTGATTAGAATCTTCAACACAATGGACGGAACTCGTTTGCAAGAGGTAAATATAAAACACAGCTTTCACCTTCCTGAATGCTCTGATCACATCATTGAACAAATGTATCTGGTTTTGAATTATGAGTTGTTGTTACTGACAAACCTGCTTTATGACTTCCTTCTTAGTAAGAGTTTGCAAAAGTGAGGTTCCATTTCCTCTGTTAAAAAGCCTTATGAAAATTGGTTGATAGAATCTGATTGTGAAGAAGATGCCACTTTGATGCTCACTTCTTATGCGATACAATGCTGTTTCTTTACAGGTACGAAGAGGAGTGGACAGAGCAGATATATATAGCATTGCACTTTCACCAAATGTGCAGTGGCTGGCAGTATCAAGCGACAAGGGCACTGTTCACCTTTTCTCTCTTAGAGTTAGGGTGGTTGGGGAGGATGCTCACTCCACTGAAACTGCAGCGCTCCTGTCACAACAAACTTATTCTAATTCTCTGCAGGGCCTTGTTTCTCCAACCACTGGTACCAATCCCGGTTCATCTTTGTCGTTTATGAGAGGTAAGCACAAAATTAATGTCCCATGAAATCTGATGCGTTGCTTCTTGTTAGGTTGCTTAGGGAACAAAAAAGGGCCTAGACTATGTATAGCTCTAAGTCCAAAAGATCCATGGCCTTCATAGTAACGTATTGCTCAGATTATGCATTATCGTTAGCGTTATTCTTTCATCTGTTTATAATCTCTCCACTAAATGTAGAAATGTGTAGAATGGATGTTGGAATGCTACTGTGAAACCTTGACAATTCGCCGGCTCTTTCTTGTACTCTTGTTGCAGGTGTTCTACCAAAGTATTTCAGCTCGGAATGGTCATTTGCACAGTTCCATGTATCAGAAGTCACACAATTCTTTGCAGCATTTGGCAGTAACAACACGGTTGCGATTATCGGCATGGATGGAAGGTAATAATAAACCCATTTTGATTATTTCTTTGAATATTCACTTTTCTGTCCCATCACACTACCAAGAATCATAATACAGAGCAATTTCACTAGCTGCTCATATATAATAATCACCCTCATCTCTCTGCACAGTGCTCACTCGTGTGTTTTTTGGACTCGCAGTTTCTACAGATGCAACTTTGATCCTGTTAACGGTGGAGAGATGGGGCAGCTAGAATATATTCGTTTTCTGAAGACAGAAACCCGCCCGAGTTAAGTCAGATTCCTGCTCCGACCACTCCTCTAAGCCTCTGTACATAACCATGGCTATCTAAATAGATTTGATTCATTGCATATTGCTACTTCGAGTGAAGGACCTGCATTATTACTTGGAACCATGTACATATAACTACATATCTAGATTCATCCCCAACAGTATGCTTCTAAACACTTTGTTATGTAAATTCTCTAATACACCACAGAAAAAGTAATAACAATTGGAAAAAAAACGGTTTTGAGCAATTCCTCAGAAACAAAAGGCCTTCCTTTTACATATGCTTATTGGATCTGAGACCTATTATCATACTATCAAATAGGCAAATGTACCAATAATGTTTCAGCCACAAAGGATCAAGCTGTTACAGCATTAAAGTATTAGACAAGACTCAGTAGTGTGATCAGAATGGAGGATCAATGGAAATGGAGACATTTGGAATGGAGACATTTGGAAGAGGTAAGCTCGAAGGTAAGTCGAATCCTCCTGACAAAAACTCGCCGCCATAATAAGCTGCAGCAGCTCCAACTACTGCACCAGCTCCCATTGCACCAAACCCTGGTCCAGGCCTTGCATATCCTCCTCCCGCTGCTCCTCCAGATGATGTTGATGCAATGTTCACAGCGTTCTCTGATCTCGGGATGTATGTAGGCATGTAGCCTGCGTTCGAAGGTGGTGGTGGCGGCTGCATTGGTGGAGGATAGTAAGGTTGTTGCATTTGTGGGTTGGTGTTGTTAGAGTAAGGTTGTTGCATTTGAGGGTTGGTGTTGTTCACTGGAGGTTTAGGCATTGCAGAGTGGTGGTTATACGGCGGAACCGAGAATGGGTTTGAATTGTTCGACTGGTTCATTGGAGCAAATGGATGCTGCGACGAACCAGCCATGTAATTTAGTCCTGAAGTGTCATAATCTGAGTTGTTCGAGAGCATGACTCCTCCAATATCTCCTGCGCAAAATAAACAGAAGAAGAATACTGAGTCCTCTCTTTCACACAAACCGTCAAGACTCAAGTTTCAGGTTCAAGAATTGAGTTACAGGAAACTAAAGCAGCACAAAGGTTTAAACTTTAATCTAGGATTTAAGGTCTGTTTACCAGTGAAACTCCCAAGATCCTCTCTTTCTGCAGATATACGGATCGAGACATCGACAAAACCTTGAGGCTTGCTTGAGTTCGACTTCCTAAGCTGATAGCTTCCGGTTTCTTCAATTGCAGACTTCGAAGAGCTCTGTTTCTTATACTTAGCCAGAAACTCTTTCAAGGAGACAGTAGCAGAGCCATGAAGCTTCTTCCTTAAGAAGATGGCTTCTCTGCTGTAAACCTCGACGTGCAATGCCGATTTGGAATCCTGAGTCCCCGAATCATCATCGTCGAGTAAAGTGGCAAACTTTGTTCTCCAGAGAGGATTGTCTGATCTTGAAGCATCGATTGTGGTGCAGTACTTGTCTTCTGGATCAATCCACCCAACGGCGTACCATTGGTGTTTTAACAGAGAGGATCCGATTCCGTTTCCGGCTCGGAGTCCTCGAGCTGATATCAAACAGATTTCAATCAGGATCTTCCCCATTGAGTTTGGATTTGAGCTCACGAGAAGAGAAAAGACTGGACCTTTTTTGAAATCTTTGGTCGGAATCTTGTTTCGACGATGGACTCAAAGTGAAAGAGAGAACGAATAACAGGAGAGAGAGATTAACAACGATGATAAAAAATGGTCTAAAATGTTCTTGTTCACTTTATTTTTCTGTGGCTTTCCTTAAAGAATTTATGATTTAAGTCCAAAATCAGACAAGTTTCTTTTGTCATTTGGATAAGATGATGCAAAGTGGAATACATAAGAGACCATTTTATGATTCTTTTCTTTAAAGAGTTTTCATTTTAATTACATTAACAATCGAATGAAGAACCCATGTTCTGTTATTACATACAATGATACAAACAAATCTTGAATACACTCTCACACTGAAAAAATCTAACTAGCAATGGTGGACCAAACAAGAATACTAACCACTCACACAAACAAACAAACAAACCAACCAATAAAATCAAGAATCAGAAAACACCAACCACCTTAAACTAGTGATCATGCCAAAAATACATAATGTGTGCTTCTGCCTAAAAATATGCAGCAACACTGTATTAGTAGAGAATCCGAAACTAAACTTGCCACCTTCTTCTTCTTCCTTAGCTCAATCGTCTGGTCCAACCAGAGTGACCTACATGATTTAAACAACAATATTACGGTGTCAACTGATTTAAAACGCAGTTGTAACTTTTCAATGGTATTTTAAAAAGGCAAGGCTAAACAAGAAGAAAGATAGATTTCTATTTTCCGGTGTGGTTTACTCACATTGCAATCATAGGCGTATTTCCGGGAGAGAACTATGGCTGCATTACGTTCTTGCTCTGACTCGAAAGTTAGTAAGAAAGTTAAACCTTTTCTTGGTTGCCAAAACAACGCCTTTGCAGGAACATTAGCATTGCCTCTCACTCCACAAAGCTGAAATGTTACCAAAACAACTTAAAAACTTGTAAGAAAGAAACTTCAATAAAGCCAAAGAAAGAGCCAAGAGAGTAAATAGAGCGACAATCACAGGCTATCTAGATTTACCTGCATGGAGGTTGAATATATATCTCTGGCTTTTGTGATCCATCCTCTGGACAGCTTAATCCTCGTCTTTCCAACACTAAATATGTGGGATCTTGATGAATGATCTTGCCCATTCATCTGTGATATAACCACCTGAGAAAGAATTGCAATATGTCTTGTCAAGAATATTTAAATACAAATATTTCTTCCATGGAGGTGAAAGAAAAATTGAAAAACATACTGTGAATTCACTGTTAGATTTTCGCAGGAGTGATTCAACGCGTGACTGCAAACCAGCCGCTGTAGAAATTGAGATTCAGTTAGCCATTTTGATTTTCCATTAGAAACACTATGAGGATATCAAACTAGTTCTTGTAACACCAACCGGTATTAATTGGACCGTCCGTTGTAACAGTGAATTTCTGGCTGTTAGATAGTATATCTGCTTGTATAACTCGCCCAACATCAAACGGTTCTGGAGCATATACAGACAGGTTTGCACCTGAGATGGGAAATATGAAATCTATAAGTTGATAACTTGGGACAGCATAATATAATTTGTGAGATATGTGAGTGAATTCTTTGATATGATGCTAATTACCAGATATAGCTTCTCTTCGACTAGACTCAGACGCTGCACGGTACCACTGGATTGAACATTTTGAAATATCTAAGGCACTATCTGGTGAGGCACGTATTCTTAGGCAAGAGCCAAGGCTTTGTGCACCATCAAGAACATATGGACATGACTTGGACCCCTCTGCTCTCTTGATTATTGCTATCTATGGATATATGAGTTTTAGAGAAAAGAGTGTTTGTTGATGAAATGAATAACAAGAAGTGACCAAGACACAAGTTATATACCTCTCTTTGAAGCTTAATAGAATATGCAGACTTCTCTTGGATTTGACTCTTTAAATCATGAAGCTCATGTTGCATACCCATCACCTATATTATCATACGTTTTGATTCTAGTGTCAGAAAAATAATAGAATATTCATAGACATTTTTTTAGAGCAGAGAAATGGAATTGGACCTTGGTAGGTTGATGCATTCGTCTGATTCGTCTAGCATCCTGAATCTCCTCAACCAACTTCTCCACATTCTGTTGAAATGGAACATAAGGTTTGATTCAGAATACTAACTCTTTCCATGTCAGAACAAAGCATATGAAAAGGAAGATTGCACTCAGATTGTTACATCATACCGGTCCCTGAGCTCGAGAAGCTTTAGAAGAAAGCTCCTGTTCTTCAAATGCACCTCCAAGTCTCATCACAAGACCCCTTGCACTCTCTATTTCAGCACAAGCAAACGACCTTTCCTGGTTCACTAACTTCTTCGCATCTTCTGAAGCCTAAGGAACACAATGAACCAGCCTTAAGTTTGACTCTTTAAAGAAGTAACCAAATTAGTTGTATAAATAAGTCAAAGTGGACACACCTGCTTGAGGAAGCTTGCCAGTTTCTTTATTTCAAACTTTTCTTGAATTAGTTCACCTTCATTTTGAGTCAACTTCACAGCTAGAGCCTCAACCATGGAGATAGCTTTTTCCACTTCTTCCTTGTTACGCCCATCCATACGACCTCTCATAAACTCTAAAGCATCTCTAAGTTTCTTTAGCATTACATGTCCTTCTAAAGAAGTCACTTCATTTAACTTTGCCTAAACATTCCAGTAGACAATGATAAATCATCTAAAAACCATAAAGAACACAAAAAATAGAGAATTGTGTTTTATGGTGGAACCTCGTCTACTAATTTAGCAGCTGCAGATAAATTCTTGTCGAATTTGCAAGCGAGGTCACGAACTGAGAGCCGTTTGTTCTGATCTGACAAATCTTCTGTCTCTTTATCGATAATATCTTTCACAGATGGACATTTTCCATCTTCCTCAGGTTCATCAATTATCTGATCATCAGGTCCTAACTTGTATGATGGAAAATGATTAGAAGCAAAGCTCACATCTGCTGATATTGGTTCAACCTCTGCTTCACACACTCTCTTCTCTTCCGGTTTAGGACATACTTTTGTCATTGTCTGGATCTTATCTGCTAAACAAAAAGAACAAAGAACAATTCAACTGACATGTTTTCATGATAATGTTCAATCTGAAACAGAGCATCCTTGTCACTGCATTTACTCTCATCATTGAAGAAACAATTCAAGAATTTACTGTATAAATCCAACAAATGCAGTGAAGAAAATCCCATAAATGGAAATTGCACTAATCTTAAATAATATAATAACTTAAATTAATTGGTCAAATGATCAACGGATTTCAAGAGATGCATGAACCCTGAAATGAAATAAAAAATGTTTTGATAATAAAACTTGAAATTCATATATCTAAATCTTTTTTGTAGAACATAGTACAATTACAGATGCAAGAATTTCTAATTCATGCAATCAGAGATCATCAATGAAACATAGTAAAACAAAATTTGTGAGAATGCAAGATGAATCGATCCTTCAACATTGATATAAACCAACAACTTCTTACAGTTCTTTTTAGCCAACCCAGAAACAGAGAGAGATGTTCCAAGAACAAAAAAATAAAGACAGAGAAAAGTCTCTAGTCTTCTGCAAAAGCGTGAGGATAGAAGAAATGCAAGAAAATGCAAAGAGAAGAGAGAAAAGGAGACACCTTTGGTCTTGTGATTCCTCTGTCTCTCTTCCCAAAAACAGCTCGCTTGACTGATCATCATTTCTTTTCTTTTCTTTTTTCTCTCTCTCTCTCTCTCTCTCTCTCTCTCTCTCTCTCTCTCTCTCTTTCACGCCATCATCGTTAAAGAGTGCAAAAAGAAAAAAACGTTTATAATTCGACACTCTCTCTGGTCCGCCTTTCGTTTGTTGGAAAGCGACGACGCGCTCTCGCTTCTCGTTTGAATACCACGCGCCGTCGGGTCTTTGTGTGTGCATCGCTGTTGTGGGTCCTACTTTCATCCACCTGGGCTAAATGGACCTCTTTTGTTTTGATGGCTCTAATTATGATTCTTTAATGACCGTTTAGGCTCTCTTTTGTTTATTTTATTTAAAAGCAAAGAATATTTTTTTTTTTCTGTTTATCTTAAGTTCTTAACTATCTCAATCTTGCATAAGACATGACATGTTATTCAATTGAATTTTCTCTTGTGGGGGATCATGTCCTTTTCTCTTGTTGATGACAGTAAATCTTTAATCCCATCAATTTTGTGTCTTAAAATAATAGGTATTGTTTAATAGCCACCAATTTAGATAGCCGTTACAGCAAAAGCCACCAATTTTTTTTTGTTTGTTAAGTATACTACATGTAGTGAATATGCATGAATATGCATATGAAATGTATTTGTAGATAACAAATTCGAGGATAAATGTTTACTCTCTCTTTAAAAAATATTGACTCGTGTAAGAAATGATTTAGCGTGTAATAAACAATAGATCTAAGTATGGTTGGTAAACATAGACAAAAATGCTATGCTAGATACTTGTTGCATAGTAAAGATGATATTATTTTTTGGATTGAAAGAACTATAAGAGGCACAATTATTGGTAAAGGAATTGGATTTTTATAGAACATGCATGTCTTGATTCTATTATCAGTCCTACATTTCTTATCCATGGAATCTAAACTTGGTAGGTTCGGAAAAAGAGACTTTAAATAATACAGTACTACTTTGTTTTATTAAAATGGAGCCTTTATATTGATTAAATGGATAGTTGCAACTTACCAAACTTTCTTTTTAATCTTTAAAATCAACATCAATGTATTGTCCATGCATGTGATAAAGATGAGGGGTCGAATAGTTGGACTTGAACGGTTATATATTTTGAACATTTCAAAATTACCTATAAAGAAAAGTTGTTAACTTGTTTTTGACACCCTAATTCAAATCACATGACAAGAAGTTGAACAAAGCCACGAAAATGTACAACTTTGAATATATAATCAAACTTAAAATGGTTTTGAGATCGAGCCGAGTCATAATAAATTGATAGTACAATTAGGTGGAAATCTTTGTCTTGAAAAGCCAACGGTTTCGTTGAAAGGTCAAAGACACAATCACACAACTATCTGATAGTTTCACCAAAAGGAGATATTATCAATATCAAGTGAGGTGAACGTGAAGAGGACTTCTACTTCTACATCTAAAGTCGTTGTCCGATACAGTTTTACATTAACCGTTCTCATTACCTGTTTCTGTTATAATATTTATAGCTCAATATAAATGTAATATGTGTCATATATAACTGAAACTAAAATGACATTTACGAATCAGTCCAATCCCAGAAACAAACGGAACAACATGAGCTGTGTTGAAAAACACATGTCGTTTTCTTTAAGGATGGACAAAACATTTGGGATCTGAAATCTGAGACGAATTGTCTTTATACACTAGGGTATCCAGGTAGAGAAATCACGGATTTCGTTAGTTCATAATATCTGACATTTGTGCAATTTTGTAGTAATCACATATATTCAACTAAGACCATTTATAGATATTATTTGTTGGTCCAGTAGTGATCATGTGTAGTCTAGGACTTACGAGTTACGACCATATCCCAATATATTAATCTTTGAAAGACACATTCAATTTAAAAAAAAATATATATATCTTTGAAAGACACAAGCAAAAGAATATGATCTAATGTAAATAATAATGATTGTTGGGATAATGTGTACTGGTATTAAGCAACAAACCTCAATTATGTCTTTGTTTGGTTTCACATATTTAAAGTAATCTCGGTCCATCTACACAAGCCCAATTGACAAACCTCCATTATTCTCTAGGAAACTTTTTGGGATAAAGCACATTTTACGGTAAGAATACACTACTCAAGGTGGCCGACTTCAATATACTTTCTCCAACTTTCTTTTCAAAACTGTATGACCAAAATGTCATAGCTGTTAGTTTACAAACAGTTTTAATGAAGAATTTACAAACTGTGAAACTGTTTTATGCAGTTAACCACTTGGACATCTATCTTAATTATGTACTGTAATGAAGAAGTCGAAGACGACAAATAATTTTGTTTTGTAATAAGAAAAGACTCAGAAAGACTGTTACTCTTAATAGTAACTGTGAGGGATGGGAAGAAAAAACTCCAATACATTAGTGGATAAGTAAACACACGTGGCATACAACGAGGTCGCAGAGAGTAAATGAAGACTGTGACGAAGAGATTCTTCTAGAGTCCGTTCCTCTACGTCTTCTTCTTCCCCAAATCCTGTCTCTAGGGTTCGTTTCTCCTCTCTTTCCAGATTCTCCTCCTCCACCTTCCGATCCATAATTCTTCATGACGAGGTATTCTTCCTGATTGACCTTTGGGTTTAACCAAGTATCTGTGCCTCTCTCTAATCTTTGTTTCATGTTTTCCTGATATTATTTTATTCTTGTCTTTGGATCACTAGATTGAAACTTTCCTCTTGATTTGCAGTTAGGCTTCATGCGCCTTTGATTTACTTTCGGATAAATTTTGCCTTTTTATGATTTTTTATTTTATTTTGGAAATTGTGGAGTGGCCTCTCCTTCTTCTGATCCGTTTTGTGCTTCTGAAATTCTTTTGATTATCTCTTCTTCTAACATCTGAGTTACTTGTCGCATTGCCTTTACATCCATTGTCTCACTCGATTACACGGCTTCATTTAGGAATTGGTAACTGACTCATTAGCTTCCGAGTTCATATTCATCGTCCATACTCATTATTTGGCCGTCATTGGTTTTGGTTTGTCTAACTAGTCTATAAGCAAACTCTGACAAAGACTCAAACTTTTTGTTCTAACGTTGTGTTAAATTTCAGCTAGATTCTATGGTAGTATGAAAGATTCAAACTTGGTTGATATGTGTGTAAAAGTTTAGTTTTTTTAAAGCTGGAGTATAATGTGGAAAGGTATAAACTTTGGGTTGCCTTACTTGGCAGAATGCAGATAAGTGATCATTAAACCAACTTATACCCGTTTTTTGCAGGTTTATAACTGACAACTCTCAGATAAGCTAAAGCTTCTTCAAAGGGATTCAAACAGAGCATTTCATTGTTGTTTGAGTCCACAAAAAGGAAAGAACAGTGAGGATGTCAACTAGTCGAAATACCCATTGGTGTCACAGATGCCAGCGTGCTGTCCGGCTTCATGGCCAAGACCCTGTATGTTCTTATTGTGGAGGAGGCTTCGTTGAAGAGCTTGATATCTCTCAAGCCACCCCATTTGATATGTTCAGAGCTCACAGGGATGTTGTAGACCGTGATCCGACTTTAGACCTCATGGGTGCTTTCTCTGCCTTGATGAGGAACCGTTTAGCCGAAAGGAGCCAAGACCGAGATATCATCAGAGGAAGAACCATCAGCAGCTCTGGTCCTGAAAACTTCCCCAGCTTAGCTCCTTTGTTGATCTTTGGTGGTCAAGTCCCATACAGACTCTCTGGAGACAATGCAGTCGAAGCTCTCTTCAGTGGCGGCTCACCTGGTATCGGCATTACACGTGGTAACACTGGCGATTACTTCTTCGGCCCTGGTCTTGAAGAGTTGTTCGAGCAGCTTTCAGCTGGCACTAGTCGCAGAGGGCCACCACCTGCACCGAGGTCATCTATAGATGCATTGCCAACGATCAAGATTGCACAGAGGCATCTTGGTTCGTCTGACTCCAACTGTCCTGTGTGCAAAGACGAGTTCGAGTTAGGAGCAGAAGCGAAACAGATGCCTTGCAACCATATCTATCATTCTGACTGCATTGTTCCATGGCTTGTTCAGCACAACTCATGCCCTGTCTGTCGCCAAGAGCTACCGTCAGGTAGAGGATCTTCGAGCAGTCAAAACAGAACCACCACCACCAGAAACTACAGAAGTAGTAGTAGTGGTAATAGTACCAGTCGTGAGAGCAGCAACAGTGAAAGAAGGAATCCTTTCTCTTCCTTGTGGCCGTTCCGTTCGTCTTCAAGCTCAAGCTCCACACAAAACCGTGGAGGAGGCTCAAGAAACTCGGACTCAGCCGATGAGAACCACAACTACCATCACCAGCAACAGCAGCAACAGTCGCATATGGGTTACAGTGGCTGGCCTTTTGATTACTAAAGGTGAGCTAAATGGTCTCACCTGTGTTCTATGCTTTGTTATTTTGTGTATGTTGTTGCTTCCCACTCTCTCTATCTCTCTCTCTCCCTTTCACTCTCTTATCAAAACATAAATAATGGAGAAGTGTAACTATTACTGTAGATTTTCTGCGTCTATGTATAAACCGTTCATCATTTTCTATATGCTTTTTCTTTTCTTCAACTTGAAAATTGAAAATTGACATAGATATTTGAGTTGATCAATAATAGTAAATGAAATGAAAATGGCTGGACAGGAATGCGGCTCTCGTGACCTTCTTGACTCTTCTTCTTCGTTACACATTAAAAAGAAAAGAAAGGAGAAAAAGAAGAGACTCGTGTTGAAAATTAATTAACGGCGCAGAGCGATTTGAAAGAAAAGAACAGAGAAAAATATCTTTCAGAAAAAGCCATTTTTGATTGCGTATGCCAAAGTGATGAATGAATATACGACGTTGAGAAATGAGAATCATTAGTTGACATTATATACTAGTAAACTATTCTCTCTCGGCTTCACTCTCCAAGACGGCACTGACCACTGCACTCGCCTCTAGATTTACGCCTGGAACAAGCAAAGGTGATCATCGATTTCCGGTTTCTTACTTCACTACTCTCTCTCTCTCTTCCGTGATTTTCGATTCACTCCAATGGCTTGCGTGTTGGCGATTTGTTGATTTTCACTTTTGATTATGTGGTTGTTGGGTTGTGATTTTCACATGTGATTGTGATCTGGGTTTTGCCAAAGTTTTGATTTTTATTCGTGTTTCTTTGGTTAGGGAATGATGAATCTAGGATCGCTATCTCTGAGCACCACCAAGTCGAGTAAGCCAATGGTCAACCTTAGCTTCTGGATTCCGTACTTCACTCATTGGGGACAGAGCTTGTTGGTCTGTGGCTCGGCTCCTGGACTTGGTTCCGGGACTGTGAAAAAAGGTTTGCTGCTGAAGCCGTCTCAGCAAGAGGATCAGCTTGTCTGGAGTGGCTCTGTTTCTGTGCCACCTGGGTTTAGCTGTGACTACTGTTACTATGTGGTGGATGACTCGAAGAATGTGCTAAGGTCCGAGTTTGGGATGAAGCGGAATCTCGTGGTGCCTGAGACTTTGACTGGTGGAGAGTCTGTACAGCTTCGTGATCTCTGGCAGGTTTGTTATTGTGATTGCCGTAGCAATGAGTCGTGATTGTCTCTCGTTCCTTATAATTTGCCATTGAGAAAGTCTGTTCCTTTTCTAATTTCAGAGTGGGGACCAAGCTCTCCCATTTAGAAGCGCCTTTAAAGATGTCATCTTTCGCAACACTTCTGATGTGAAAGTAGAAAAACCTCTAGGGGTCTTTGAGAATAAGTCTGAGCAAGATGGTAATCGTATTTGAACCTCATTGTCTCTGAGATTCTCTACTTTGTGACTGATCTCTTGGCTAACTTTTGTGGCATCATGTAAACAGATTCAGTTGTCGTCCAATTTAAAATCTGTTGTCCAGACGTTGGAGAGGGAACATCGGTAAGCCTTTCTCTATGATCATTAAGCTTCTTTATTCTCATGTCTGAGTCTGGTGTTATGTGATGGCTAACAATTTTTATCCTTGATCATGACATGTACAGGTGTATGTTCTAGGCACCTCAGGAAAGTTGGGGAAATGGAAAATTGAAAATGGACTTAGACTCAACTATGTTGGTGATTCCATGTGGGAAGCAGATTGCTTGATCCCTAAAGCAGATTTTCCTATCAAATATCCTTCCTTTACTTCCAGACTAATTTGTTGCAACTATTTCATACTTAGCTTCTCATATAATTTCTGCATGCTGGGGTTCTTAACTGTTATTTCACATATAGATATTGTAAAGTTCAGAAGGAAGGTAACATAGGTTTTGAATCTGGTGGAAATCGGGAGCTTTCTCTTCACTCCACCAGTAGCAAACAGGAATTCATAGTCATGTCAGATGGTTTGTTTCGAGTAAGTAAAAGAGACAAGCTGTGAACTAGCTCCTGGTGTGACAGGATCAGTGTTGTCTTAAAATTTTAATGAATTTTACTTGTAGGAAATTCCATGGAGGGGTGCTGGTGTTGCAGTCCCCATGTTCTCTGTTAGGTCAGAAGATGATGTTGGTGTGGGAGAGTTTCTCGATCTGAAGTTGCTTGTTGACTGGTCTGTAGACTCGGGGTTGCATCTAGTACAACTTTTACCAGTAAATGACACATCCGTGCATAAGATGTGGTGGGACTCGTATCCATATAGGTATGGAGACTAAATAATTCCTTTGGTTGAGTTCAATAGTGGGTTGCTGTCACTCACTTGGAGGAGGGAAAAAAAATATTGGACTAGTTTTATCTAGGCTAGTGAATTCATGAATAGTTCATATTTTGGCTTCCGGGACCTTGCATTCAATTTACTTGGTTGATGAGAAGTAACTGAGCCTGAGGCTCTGGGGAATATCAATTCTCTACTTCGTAATATGTCTATTAACTCATTGAACTTTCTGACTCTTCCTAATTGTTCTTTTCCTCTTTTTGGATTTTGCTTCTCTCTTGCAGCTCGTTATCTGTTTTTGCACTGCATCCATTATATCTTAGAGTACAGGCTCTCTCTGAACGTTTGCCAGAAGGTATAAAGGTAATTTTTGTACACTTGTTGTGTCCTTGGAAGAACCAGTCTCCTAAGAAATCAATTAGTTGACCTATTTTGTTTTCTTTCAGGAAGACATTGAGGTGGCAAAGAAGCAACTGGACCAAAAGGTAATCTTCTGATGGTTCTTGTCTGTGTCAGCATAATGTGTTTGAAAGCCTTTGAGTAAATGGTGCATACACTAGTAATTGTAGTCAGAGTTTGAGTGTAATCTAATCTCTTAAAGATCATTATGCGTAGGATGTTGATTATGAGGCTACCATGGAAACTAAGCTTTCAGTCGCTAAGAAGATCTTTGACCTAGAGAAAGACCAGACGCTGGAGTCAAGCTCTTTCCAGAAATTCTTCTCTGAGAACGAGGTATATGGTTCAACATCTGATATTGTTTCCTTCATAAAGCTCTAAACATATGCCTGCATAGAAGTTCAGTCTCCAATGTCTCACTTCAGCTTTCCATTTTTCTTACTGAGTTCTCCTTTTTTCCTGGAAAGGCCTGGTTGAAACCATATGCTGCTTTCTGCTTTCTCCGTGACTTTTTTGAGACTTCAGATCATAGTCAGTGGGGAACCTTTTCTGACTACACAAAAGACAAGGTATTATATGCTTTCATCTTTTTGCAGTTTAGCGACCAAAATTTTCAAGCTTTCAAGATGTAATTCGTCTGGATAGTTTCAGTAACTTCTCACATCTCCAAATAACAAATGCCGCAGCTTGAAAAATTGACATCCAAGGACAGCTTGCACTATGACACTATATGCTTCCACTATTACATCCAGTACCATTTACATGTACAAGTGAGTATGCTCTGGTTCCTATTTCATCTAATTATGTGCAAGCTGTTGTGAGTGAACTCTGTTGTTGGTTGTTTGTTTCATCTAAAAGTGTGTGATGGTTCCGTTTTCAAAAGTTGTCAGAAGCATCAGAATATGCAAGGAAGAAAGGAGTCGTACTGAAAGGAGATTTACCTATTGGCGTTGACAAAAACAGTGTCGATACGTGGGTTAACAGGAATCTGTTTCGCATGAATACGTCAACTGGTGCACCTCCAGACTATTTTGACAAAAATGGTCAGAACTGGGGATTTCCTACTTATAACTGGGAGGAAATGTCAAAAGACAATTATGGTTGGTGGCGTGCTCGCTTAAGCCAGGTTAGCATTACTGTCCTTACTCCTTACCAATGATGTCCCTTGCAAGATCTGAGGGCTGACCACATTGGGTTTGCATACTTGCTTTGCAGATGGGAAAATATTTCACAGCGTATAGGATAGATCATATATTAGGATTCTTTCGAATCTGGGAGCTTCCAGCTCATGCCATGACCGGTTTAGTGGGAAAGTTCCGTCCATCTATTCCGTTAAGTCAGGTATACAAGCTACTTGCTTACAGATAAAAAAATTGGCGTTAAGAGTTACTTTTTAGAAGCTTAAGGCTGCAGAGATTTAAAGCTAAGGAGAAATGACCAAACTGCTTCTGATGCAGGAAGAGTTGGAAAAGGAGGGAATATGGGATTTTGACCGACTAACCAAGCCCTATGTCCAGAGGAAGTTTCTTGAGGTTAGTTTTTAATCACACATTTGCTATGTTCTGCTTTCATCAAAGCTTAGTAAGTTTAAATTTATGAGTTTTCAAGGCACAACCATTGCCTCATCGATATATCATTTGATATATGTCTTTCATTGTTCTGTTCCTTCAGGAGAAATTTGGAGATTTTTGGCCTTTTATTGCGTCAAATTTTTTTATTGAAACTCAGAAGGACTTGTATGAGGTCAGTGAAATTCCCCATCTGGATACTGGATCAATTCTTGCCTTTTTCTTTGTTCTGTCAACGATTTTATGGCATTCGTTTCTCAGTGGATATGCTAACCTTGCTTAATTTATTTCCTTTCCTTTAAATATACTTTAGTTCAAGGAGGACTGCAACACAGAGAAAAAGATTGCAGCGAAGCTGAAGTCACTAGCTGAGAAGTCTTTGTTGCTAGAAAACGAGGACAAAGTTCGTCGTGATGTCATTGACATAATACGGGTAAAGTGTAATCTGTAATGCATCACAAGTGCTTCTAGATTTTTTCTCCATCTTAACCACAAAAGATGACTCTGTTCTTAGTTGCTTATTTCTGATGAACTTGTGCCCTCAGAATGTTGTTCTGATCAAAGATCCAGAGGAAGCAAGAAAATTTTATCCTCGCTTTAACCTTGAGGATACTTCAAGTTTCCAGGATTTGGATGATCACAGGTACTTACATCAAGAAGTCTGTTCTCGTTCTTTGACTATATTATATCACTTGTGAAAATATATAGAACAGATCCTTGTTTGCTCTTATATATTGCTGTATTTTCCTTACTTTTCATCAATATGGGAAACTCTGATAAAGGTTTTCTGATACAGCAAAAATGTTCTGAAGAGACTATACTATGACTACTATTTCCAACGCCAAGAGGACCTGTGGAGGAAAAATGCTTTGAAAACCTTACCTGCTCTGTTAAATTCGTCTAACATGCTGGCGTGTGGGGAGGATCTCGGTCTCATTCCATCTTGTGTACATCCTGTATGTTACTCTGTTGTCCTCACTTCCAGCTTCTCTTTACAACTTGTGTAGAAGCCATACCTATTATGTGTTGGGGATACTAAAATATATAGTTACACAGGTTATGCAAGAACTGGCTTTGGTTGGCCTTCGCATCCAGCGCATGCCCAGTGATTCTGATGTAGAGTTTGGGATTCCTTCTAACTATGACTATATGACGGTTAGAATTTTCTTCTCAAAAATGCCGTCTCTCTCTTATAGCTTCCTTCCATTCATTTCCTGAGGAGCTTGCAATGGGTGGTTGATTTGACGCATTGTTCAAACCACCATCTTCTTATATCAGGTGTGTGCTCCTTCATGCCACGACTGCTCTACACTGCGAGCCTGGTGGGAAGAGGATGAAGAGAGAAGACAACGGTACTTCAAGGAAGTGATTGGTGCAGATGAAATCCCTCCAAGTCAGTGTGTTCCAGAGATTACCCATTTCATTCTGAGGCAACATGTTGAAGCTCCATCAATGTGGGCTATTTTCCCTCTTCAGGTACTTTCCATCACCACATGACATAAAACTTCTCAGTTTTTTACAACTTTTTATCAGGCTCAAGTACAATATGTGGTGTTTTCTTTTTGTACTTTGGAATAATGTAGGATATGTTGGCTCTGAAAGATGAGTACACTACTCGTCCTGCAACAGAGGAGACGATCAATGACCCAACAAACCCTAAACATTACTGGAGATACCGTAAGTACTATCACACAAATGCTCGGAACGTTTACAGTTTTAACTTTAGTTGTGATGTGAATTGTTTTTGGCGCACACAGGTGTACACGTGACACTGGACTCGCTTATGAAAGACACAGACCTGAAATCAACCATCAAGAACCTTGTCTCGAGCAGTGGAAGATCTGTTCCTGCTGGTGAAGACAATAACAACAAGAAACAAGAGTCATAGCCAATGGTTCAACACAGATAAACTGATGAACCACATAAATCCTCTGTTTTCTCATATCTGGTTACCAAGTCTCTCTTCAACAAATGTTGTTCATTTGTTATATTATCCAATAAGGACCATAACCATAAAACCCTGTATTTGTTGTTAACTGTCCAAGAATAAAATCTTTAAGACAATGTATTTCTTCATTGCCTTGTTAATGTCTAAAATAAAATCCTTAGTTCTCGGTGATAAACGCTACGTATCAAGAAGATAAAGAGCGTCCTAGTTTTTTAGCAACTTCTTGAAGTTTTTTTTTTTCTGTTTGGTTTATTTTTAGCAATACTTCTTGTTTTCTTTTTCCTCCTCCGCAAAACGTGGGAAATCATGCAACGTAAAAGAAAGAAGAGACATTTATAGCATAAATATAAATTTAGAGGAAATAGGGTGGAAGAAAGAGAAGAAAAGCAAAAAAAACACAAAAAAAGGAGAAAGAAGTATCGTTCGAAAGAGGGGAGTCCCAGGAAAAAAAAGAAAGATTTTTTTTTTCCGGTGACAGTGTCGGTTTCTCTGACGCTCCCCCCTGTTTTTCAATCTTTCTCCGTCTCTCCCTGAATGCCTTCATCCGTATTCAGGGTTCGTTCTCTTCCAATCTTGATTGATTCTTCTCCAAGCAACCTTGTTCTTGTTTCCATGTGATGATTGATTATCTTTTTGTTTTCTTGCAGAAAATTGCGGCGATTCATGGTTGGAGGAGCGAATACTTAAAGGGCACAATGGATTCAAGCGAAGCAAAGGACACACCATCTTGTGACTGTATATAAAGATCCGACATTTGTAGGTTTACAAAAAAAATCAAAATTTTCTTTAGTTTGTGTAAATATATAAATAGGGAGTGCCAAAAGTCTTGGCATGAATTGCTTGGCTACGACCATAATCATCACCTGCAAGCCCACATTGATCTCGGATATGGCCGTGGCTATTGATCCATTCAGTGACCAGTTCCCTTACTTTAACCGATCCTCACAAAGATGCAGACTCCAATCTCTCACCAACCTTGACTTCAACTTCCTTGAATCTAACCTCAAACAATCCTTTAACCCAACTTCTCAAGATGACAACTTCCATCGAAGCTTCTCCTCTCCTTGCTTCTCCATAGCTTCCTCTGCTAACATGGACGAAGACTCGAAAGCAACCGCTGCTCCACGGATTGAGATTCTTGGTGGACAGAGAGTCCCCACCGTTCGTGCCCTTGTGGCTGAGGTGACCATGGCTATGGTCTCTGGAGCTCAGCCTCTGCTTTTACCTAGTGGCTTAGGAGGTGCTTATCTCTTGCAAACCGGAAATGGACATAACATTGCTGTGGCTAAACCGGTTGATGAAGAGCCTTTAGCCTTAAACAATCCTAAAAAATCTGGAAGTCTGATGCTTGGGCAACCGGGAATGAAACATTCTATACCTGTTGGTGAAACCGGTATACGAGAGTTAGCTGCTTACCTTCTTGATTACAATGGCTTCTCTGGTGTTCCACCAACAGCTTTGGTTAGTATCTCGCATGTCCAGTTTCATGTCAGTGATGCCTTCTCCTTCTCCTCTGTGCCCTATAAGGTTGCTTCCTTGCAACGTTTTGTGGGTCATGATTTTGATGCGGGAGAGCTAGGTCCAGGGAGCTTCACAGTTACCTCTGTTCATAGGATTGGGATACTCGATGTGAGAGTCATGAACCTTGACAGACACGCCGGGAATATGCTAGTGAAGAAGAGATGTGACCAAGACAAGAAGGGTTATAATCGACTTGGGACAGCTGAGCTTGTGCCTATAGATCATGGTCTCTGCCTCCCTGAGTGCCTAGACGATCCTTACTTTGAATGGCTAAACTGGCCTCAAGCTTTGGTTCCATTCTCAGACACTGAGCTGCAGTATATTTCCAATCTGGACCCTTTCAAAGACGCAGAGCTTCTGAGGAATGAGCTACACTCTTTGCCGGAATCTGCCATACGAGTCCTCATCGTATGTACGGTTTTCTTGAAACAAGCAGCAGCTGCACGGCTCTGTCTCGCAGAGATTGGCGAGAAGATGACTCGGGATTTCTCTAGAGGTGAAGATAGTTTCAGTATGTTGGAGACCCTCTGCACCAAAGCCAAGCTAAGTGTAGTTGGCAAAACTGGAGAAGGCGGTGACTATAGCTACGAAGGAAATGAAGTGAACGCGGAGCCAGTGTATGGAATGTTGAAGTTTGATGGTGGAGATACCCCATCTGAAGTGGAGATTTCCGAGGTCTTTCATGTATCTAAACCACCTTTGGCTCCAAAAGGGCCACGTGCAAACTCCATTCCTGCCAATGTATCTGCTTCGATGTTGTCCTCTGTGAATGCAAAAGAAAAGAAGAGAGGAAGCACCATGAGGAGCAGGAGCCCGCCGATGTGTGTGAACCATGCTGAATCAGAAGGTGTTTCTTTCGGGGACATGACAACAGTTGAATGGGATATGTTCCTGCAGAGCTTCCAGACACTTTTGCAAGATGCACTGAGCAAAGGTTCAACGCTAAGATCAGGAAAACAGTAAAAAAAAAAAAAACAAGACAGGAAAGACGACAACCAAAAGAGATGAAATGTCAGAAGGTTAAACTTTCAGGTGTTCATATATAGGTACAATTGTGCATTACTGCTAAGATGACCATAGTGCAGGCTGTAGGCTATAACTATTAATACCTTAGAAAGCATATGGATTCTGAGACGAGCCAGTCTACGCCGTCCACTCCAATACTTCTTATTTTTCTTCTTTCTCATCCCCCCCCCCTATTGTATCAAGTTATTCTGAAACATTAAGTACCATAGATTTCTGTAAGAACATAAGCAAATTCAATTGTAATGTAACTGATGTAATAAGGAATATGCACTCATGTTAAGGTGCCTGTTCTTATTCCTCTCAATAAAGAATTACAATTTGTACTGGTTGTTGTTCCTCAAGTGCCAGACTCACCTGTTCACAAGATACCAACAGCTCTCCCTTTCTAATATCCCTCTATCTCTACTTGCATTCTTATCGTATTATGTGTATTACCACATCTAACGAATTGGCTACTAGTAGATCCTTTCAGCTGTAGACACTGGCCGCAGGAAGACTACAATGACTGTGATGTTATCGCCACTACCACGTGCTGCAGCCTCGGTTGCTAATCTCTTGGAACACATCCAAGGTTCTTTTACAGTATCCCTGATTATACCAATAACGTCCTCATCGTTCACAACATCCCAGAGCCCGTCACTCGCCATTACCTAACCAACCAAGTCGACCTATTATTTCTCTCAACTGGCGACATAAACAACCAAAATTTTAATAAATTAAAATTTACCAGGAACTCATCGTCAGCTGATAGAATGGTCTCACTAATCTCTGGCTCTGCGGTTACAGCTGGCTTCAGGTCATCATCTCCTATCGACCGGGTCACCTGTTACAAGAAAAGGATAAACTGAATTGCCAACGATGGACCAACTTCATGTTCCTTCAATATACATAACGGGCGAACCTGAAGTCCAGCAGGAGCAACTCTCCATGTGTCTACCAGCCATTCAATACGCCCACCTTCTTTAATCACACGATTTCTTTCCTCAATACAGGTTGCAAGATGTGCCTGATTTCAAATGCCAGAGTCGAGTCACAGGGTAAAAATGGCGAGCAGGGCATCAATATAATGATACATTAGCATAAGTCAGTTATTGGAGCCCCATCTCACCTTACTCAAAGCAAGAGAATGGCCGGCACGGCATAAAATTGCCCTGGAGTCACCAACATTCGCAACGAAAAGCTTATTGTCCACTAAGAGAGAGGCTATAGCAGTACAACCAGGATGCCAGTCTTTCTGACTCACCCTTTTTGATTGACGATGGGAATCAAGTTCATGTCTGAAAGCTAAATCCGTACTAACAAATGCTTGTGACAGTGCCTCGCCAGCGCTGAAATGAGACAGAGGAATGAGTTTTAAAAAAAAAAAACATGCTGAAGAGTAGGAAACGCTTGAGCTGAACAGTAACCTTGTGGAGGATAAGCTTTGAATTAATCCTGGCAAAACTTGAGCAGAAAAGTCAGCAGCTTCAGCACCTGCAAGACATGTACGGTGCTATCATATACCTATTTTGATGAATAACAAATGGATTTTGAGTAAAAAGAGAGGCCGCGTGTAAGATTTGGATTTTGGTATATACCTCTATGGCCATCGAAGATTCCAAATAAGTGGATGTTCTCCTCATTACACATGTGGGGCATGAGGAAGTGTGTATCTTCCATGGATTCTCTTCTTCCACATGTTGCAAAAGACCCATAAGAAATCACAGGGGCATATCTTGAAGACTCATCTGTTGAACTAGACCACAGTTTCAGATCAGGGGCAGTGGAAAGAGACCATTTCTTGGACATACACTCCCCTTGACTGGACCAATTAATGGTGTCCTTGTAATCTCCTTTACTTTTAATGGCATCCCCATCTTTATCACTCCTGGAAACAGAAGTTGTCTCAGGGAAATGACCTTGCTGTCTTTCTCTCTCTTGTTCCCAAAGTGATTCTAGTTCCAAAACCAAATCGTCCAAAGAAGGTCGCTTAGAAGGATCATCTTCCCAGCAATTTTGAATCAGAGACAGCAAACTCTTCGGAACGTGCAATCCAGTTTCAGCAAGAGCAGGTCGCAAACCAGAAGACACAATGGCAGCTGTAAGTTGCTGCTCTGTGTAATTCATCTCTAAAACAGTGTGAGCCTGCCATCCAGATATGTACAACATGTGTCACGATCACTAGTGAAAAGAACAGGAATGTGCAGCCCCAAACTAGAATGCGAAATGAGGAAAGATAAATTAACCTGAGCTTCTGCACGAAGATCAGTATACGGAACAACTCCAGTTAAAAGCTCACTGCAATGTAAAACAAGAAACAAATACTTCATAAGAAAAGATCTTTTCGGAAGAAAGTTTTTCAGTTTCTAGTCAAGATAATTCTCACTTGATCAAAATCCCAAAGCTATAGATATCTGATTTCTCAGTGTACATCTCTTTCCTCAGTATTTCAGGGGCCATGTAAATAAGCGTCCCGACCATATTCTTCTTGTGGAATCCACCAGTTGGCTTTCCAGACGATCTCCAGTTGTGCAGATTGACTTCTCGCAAATCCTTCTTGTACTCTGCTAAACCAAAGTCAGCCAGGTATGGGGAAAGCTCCTCGTCAAGCTGCATCAATACAACCTCACTTAACCTTCACATAAAGATTTCATATAAGAAGATAGAGAATCTAGATGACTGAAGAAGAGCATTTACAAGAACATTTGCTGGTTTCACATCCCTATGAACAATTCCGTTGTTGTGAAGATATTGCAATGCCTTTGCTGAGAATATGAAACAGGCAGATTTAGATGTGAATACATCACAGTGGCGAAAAAAAAAGAACGATCCTTTAGTCATACCCAATTGAAGCGTGATGATGAGCACTTGATCAATACTCGGAGACCATTCCTCGACGTGTAGCTTCTCAGCCAAGGTCCCTGACTCGCAGAACTCAAAGAAAAACATGTAATTGGGAGGCTTCGCATGCGCTGCCAGTAGCTTAGACACACCTGGATGATCGAGATTGCTTTCAGCAATACAAAAACACAAAGTAAGAAAATCACCATCGTGAAAATTTGTTAAAGTAAGAATTTTTTCAAAATGGAACAAGAGATAGAGACCACAAGAGCTGCAAATGCCTATGGAACTTGTCGAGGTCATCGGAAGTAGACAAGATAGGCTTCTTCGCTGCTACTCTTCGGCCGTCGAGAATCGCTTCGTATACCACACTCTCCGATCCTGAAAAGAAAATGTCCAGAAAAGTCGAATTCAAAAACGAACGAAGACGGGGAGAGAGAGAAGAGAGAGAGTGAGAGAGGAGAGAAGAAACAGTACCTCTAGCGATTGGGGAGAGAAGAGTGAATGAAGAAGAAGAGAGATGAAGAGGAATCGATTCACTGGTGCAACATCCTCTAATGCAGGTGTTTGGCTCCATTATTTCCATCACCATTTTTCCCAGCCGGAAGGACGAAGCAAGGAGAGCGATCGAGTGATGACGACGAGAAATCAATTTCGCAGTCGAAGAATGCATACCGTTTCCATGTGTTTGGAACGTTCTAAAATGAATGTAAAACAACACACATCGTGCCGTTTTTGGCTTTCTTATCTCTTTCACTTTTCTGTTTTTTCATAAAAAAGCAGAACCCCTCAGCCGCTCGTGTGAAGACAGGTGTCATTCGTTCCTTCACTTGTCACTTTCATTCCTTAATCGACACGCAACGTAAAGATACCGACAAGACAAGGCCACACAACTTGTGAATCCTGAAATTGTAATAAGCATAAGTCTAAGATGGCATCAAAAGCCTTTGGTTCTGTTATACTCTTGATCGTTACCATTCTTCTCTGTGGAACAATTCAATTAGGGATCTGTAGATCAGAAGAGAAAAGCACGGAGAAGACGACGATGCTAGGAGGCGTTCATGATCTCCGAGGAAATCAGAACAGTGGAGAGATCGAAAATCTCGCTCGATTTGCCATTCAAGAGCATAACATAAAAGAGGTTCTTGATTCCTCTGTTTTTTCTTGTTATGGATCCTATCAATAAATGATAACAATCTTTGTCTGATTAGTTTTCTTTATTCTTTTTCCGGTTAAGTACAGAACAAGGTTCTTGAGTTCAAGAAGATTGTAAAAGCAAGAGAGCAGGTAGTTGCAGGAACCATGTACCACTTAACTCTAGAAGCAAACGAAGGCGCTCAGACGAAGAACTTCGAAGCCAAAGTTTGGGTGAAGCCATGGATGAATTTCAAGCAGTTACAAGAGTTTAAGGAATCCTCCACTTGAAAGGCACAATCCAAATGCTCCTCTTAAAGTCTCTCAGAATAATAAGCCTGATAACTTGGTTTCGGACCAGTGTGTGTTGTATTGTATTGTTATAGACGAAACCTGAAGTTAAATATAATCAAGAACCTTGTTCTGTTTTCTTGCCATTTGCTTATGTGTATATTAACTATTGCTCTGTTTCCAACAACGTGTATTCAAAATTCAAAAGCTGGCTTCTTTGCTTGTCCTTGAGAAATTTGACACAAGTAATCTCATCAAAAGTTTTCGATGATAAACCACAAAGAAACATGTATACAAACAACAGTAAGAGCATCAGCAGAAGCAGAAGCGGAAGCTAAACCAGAGAGACATTTACATTTCAAAAGGCACTCGTTTATACAGATCAGAAGGCAACCGAGGCGTAGCAACAGCTTGAACAGGGGTTCTCATGTAAGTAACAAGTCCAGGGTTTTCAGACATATCAATATCCTCTGGTTTCGTCCCTTCAGGTGGTGTCCAAACGAAATGGTGAAGCAAATGACTCATCATCGAAGTCACCAGATTGATACCAAGCTGTGCACCGGGACAAACCCGTCTTCCAGCTCCAAACGGAAGCAGCCTAAAATCATGACCTTTCATGTCAACATCTTCTTCCAAGAACCTCTCTGGTCTAAACTCTAATGGATTTTTCCACACGGCAGGGTCTCTAGCCACCGCCCAAACGTTTACATGAACGTTTGATCCTTTGGGAATGTCGTAGCCTCCGATCTTGACGTCTGCGTTGGATCTGTGAGGGAGCATTAGAGGGGTTGGAGGGTGTAGCCTGAATGACTCTTTCACCACGCATTGGAGATAAGGTAAACGTGAGAAATCTTGCTCGGTTAAGACCCGGTCAAGTCCAACGACTCTGTCGAACTCTTCGTGCACCTTTTGTTGCACTCTTGGATTCTTGATCATCTCTGCCATCCCCCATTCCGCTGTTATCGCTGTCGTGTCCATCCCCGCCGTGATCATATCCTGCAAACATACATCATTTTACCAAACGTGAGCAACAAGAAACCTACACAAGCCCTAAAGATTCAAAAGTATTGTTAACCACTAAAACGCACCCAAAGAAGACCAATGATAGTATCTTCGCTAAGATCATACTGATCCTTCAACGTAAGCAACGCATCAACGAAATGTTGTTTCGCTCCGCTAGACTTTTGACGTGCCAAAGTGTGCTCCTCCATGATAGCTCGTGTGAGCTTGTCGCGGCGAGCACCGTGACTTGCAAACGACTTCTCATCAGCGGGAAACATCCACCGGAGCCAAGGGATGTGTTCAGCTATCGAGAGTGAAGCACCGAGCTTTAGACCGTTGGATACTATGGCTTTGAACTCAAGCCCTTGCTCGTCCATCACACCTTCCGCGTTCACAAAACGCTTCCCAAACGCTAGCCGCGTTATGTTGTTGAACGCAACCGCTCCTAAGTACTTCTTCACTTGTAAACCTTTTGTTCTGTTTTCTGCGAGTATTAAGACCAAAATAATCATGAACTTCTATCAAACTAGTAAACACTAAACAATCATGACCATATTTTATTTGCGAAAAAACACGAAATTAGATGTATTTTTTATATAACATGTTTTTCTCTAAATAACAAGCTAGTTTACCAACCAATTACATGTTTTTTTCATATAAAAAAATTCAAAATCATATAACTGATTAAATATCATAATATGATCCAAAACATTATTGATCATATTATGAAAATAATACCATAAAATCGAGTATAAATTTCATTTGACAGTGACAAGACCAAAGCGAACATAAACATTTTATTATTTCCGAAGCTAAAGAGTAAAGGCAACGCGTGGCTTACGTTATTTTGTAGAGAGAAAAAAAAAAGACAAATCTGGCATAAATCTCCTTCTTTCCAAATATCAAGAAATACGATTTTGAGTAAAAAATAATCTTACCGCTTTTGTATTAATCGAACTTTCCTTAGTCAACATAAATCGTATCCAAAATTCTCTTTTGTTCTTACCATTTTTGAAGGATCTTTTTCACAGATTAGTTTAAACTCCTTTAATGGCTTTTTAAAAAAGACTTGATATATAGAACGACAACGTACCAGGAAGATTACAGTCTCTGAAGACGGATTCGACCATGGCAGTAACCTCATCCTCACGGATAGGTCTGAGAGACTCGAGTCGTTTAGGTGTGAAGAGCTCAAGCGTGCAGACTTTTCTCACCTTCACGTAGTGAGGCCCATAATCGGCCCATATCAGATCCTGACCGTTGCGGCTAAATGCTTCCGTCGATCTGTTCCGGTGCCGGTCAGCGAGTTTCTGGTCGTGTTCTTTCAGAACTTCTTTAGCTAGCTCAGCGCTAGACACGACTACGTTTAAAATCGAACCGATCCAAACCGATATGATTGGTCCGTATGATTGAGCCCACTCGTAGTAGCATCTGAACCGGACCGGTTTTATGTCGTAGAGGTTGCCGACGATAGGCTTGGGACGTGGGCCTGGTGGGAGCTTGAATCTCAGCCGTTGGATCAGATTGTAAGAGACGACGGCGGCGATTAACGCCGCCGCTATTAGAAACCACGACATGTGATTTTATAATTGTTTTTGAAATGAAGCTATTATTATTAGGTTGGTGTGTACGTCGAATTCACTTCTAGAATTCTAGATAGGTGTGGTCGAGACTTTGATTTATATTAGGAACGGGGTTGGTGAACCGATTTATATTTTGTTTTGTTAAAATAATTAATTTTGTAATATCTTCTTTTGTTTTAAGGCCTTCATATTTTATTTTGTTTTTAGTAAAGAATTATCTTTTTGTACAGGAAAATATGGAAAACGAAATTCAAAGGTCACGACATAATAAAAGTGTCCATACCGTCGATTCTTGATGATGTGGGAAGTTTGTAAGAGAAAAATGAAAACAGAGATGGACAAAATCTAAATACAAATCTTAACTTACTTATTCAAATGGATGGTTTACTTAATTATCAATATTTAGATATGAAGTTTTGACTGGTTATATTAAGAAGAAAACTTTAGAGAAAATTTTAATTACTCTAGATTTCAATGGTTATTTATGAGTTGAGGTGAAACGCATGTATTTGGGCCGGATTTATTTTATAGAGTATATTCTTTAAGCGTTACTGCATTAGTGTGAAAACAATGTTAGCTAGGTGTTAATCAGGAATCGTACGTTAACAACGAAATTAGGGAGGGAACTTCCTCTCTCCGTAAAACGGACAGAAAAAAAAAACAAAAGTAGACGACTATCTATCTTCTTCGAAAATAGAAACGTCTATTAATCTACAAGACTACAAATAAACTACTGTAGTAATGTTTCGTCTGCTGGCATCACTAAAAATTCAATAAACCCCAAATCATATTTTCTATTACAAAATCTCAACATTCGATTGATCAGTGGTCCAAGTGTAATAGTTAAAAAATGTTTATTCATTTCCCCATAAGACCGTGTGAACAAGCGTTTTGAGAGCGAGTGGGGAAGTGTAGAAAGGTTTAGCTTGGGGTTGGTGTGAGGGACACGTCAGCTTTATTAGCAATCACATGAAGTAGAGAGGGTTTGGGGTTGGTCAGTTGGTGCGACCCGACCAGAACATAGCAGTGCGTGGTAGATTGATTTTAAGTCGCTCAATACAAAAGAGATTTTTTTTTTCAGAAAAATGATAAAGTGTAGTAGACTTTTCACGTCAGTTTTACAAACAATATTCAGTAATCAGTTTTCACGTTAAAAAAATTAGGTCAATATCTCATAGTCGAATGTCTGTGAGATAAATGGTCTACTCCAGAATCAATCAGTTGTTAAGAAAATATTAGATAGTTTTTTTCCTTTTCAAAACCAAAAAAAAAAAAAGGTGTGGGAGAGTCGGTGGTGTATGTTGGGCGTAGTGGGACCAGAAGAGTAGGTGAGTGTGTTTGGTGAGACGTAAAAGATTTCTCACATTTGTGGATTTTTTCTTTACGAGTCTTGAGACTATTTGTTTGTTACTATATTCATTATTATCGCCTTATCGGTGAGGTCAATGATTCATATTTGGTTCGGTAAGAGTTAAGACGTAGGTGTTATCTAACATATATTCGAGGCTATATATTGTCTTAGACCCTATTTTAAATGCCTAGCCAAACTTCTCCCAATTTAATCATTTTTCAGCAAATACATTTACATTCTTGGACATGTTACATGCAGCTTTTTTTTCTCTCTCTTTGGTCAAACAAAACACACTATACGGATATGGATTCTAGTTGTGACACAAAACATCTATGTGAGAGTAATCTGATTAACTGAAATGTTTGTTTAGTGTGGTTGGATTCGATTTTGAAAAAATATTTACAAATTCGGAATAATATTTACAAATTCGGAATCACCAAATCCATAATCTAAAGTTGGTACCAGATCGAAAGAGATCATGGATTGAAATTCCATATCTTCTTAGTTAGTTAATGGGCTCTGGGGTGTGAAGATATCTAAGCAGAAATGTCTGACTTCGTTGTGGACATCAATAGCAAATGGTATTTGTTAATTCCAATTTTGTTGTTAAGAGCTAAGTTTATCTTCTCATAAATATATTTTTTTTAAAAAAATCTCATACAAATAATAAAAACTTCTCTATCTGTTTTTAGAGGCAATCAAGATTAAATATAATATTACAAGGTAATTCGTTTTCGCTGCAATGATTTACACGATGGGTCTCTTGATTTATTTTCTTTTCGTCCCAATGGTATTGTTGTGGTGGTTGAGGTTGAAGACTACACTACAACCACTTCTCCGCTTTGACCATCCACCGGAGAAAGGCTGTCCATCTTCAAGTGCTTTTATGGACTGTTGAGAAATATGCTTCTACTTATGATGGCTTTGATTGAAGAACGGATACATTTGGGTTTCGATCATCTTGATCAAGCTTATATCATTACATGGTACGAACTATGGATGATTAAGATAATGAAAAATGATTATTGAAATATAGTCTTGACTAGAAAATACTCTTGCACACTAATTAAAGAGACAAGAATTTTTTATATATATAAATAATACATTTATTAGTCTATATGTGAAAGCTTGTAATCGGACACTTATTTTAAAACAAAGGAATTACAATTTGTGTTATCGTGTATACTTTCACTAATTCCACAATATAATTGTATGTAGCAGTTGCGTATTAATACAAAATGTGGTGATTTACACAGGTTTATAGCTAGCTAAAGATCAAAATCGATGGCACATCGAATCCTTAGTTACACTATCAAAACTATAATATAAAACTTTTGATGGCAAGGGAAGGAATTCAAACTTACAAGTATCAAAAATAAGTTACTCTTCTCCCCAATTTTGCCTCAAAAAAAGAAAGAAAAAAAGACCATCTAATTAGCATCGTGAAACGTTATCCACATTCTCACTACAAAAAACAACAACCACCACCGATGATTCCTTCTCCGCCGCCGTAACTTTCCCGGTTTCAACATCCTCACCAGCTTCATCGATCGTTGGCATTATCGAGAGACCATTATTGCCACTACAACACTTAATGGCTTCTAAAACGTTATCTTCCCGGCGTATTTCTTCGCATTCATCATCCACGTGCTTGCCCCATAAGACGGCGTAGACTCCCACCGTTAAAACTACCACTCCAATAACCCTGAAAATTTTCAAATACAAATTCCGGTTTTAATTAAATTACAAGACAGAGCCAAGACTAAACCAGGTATATATATTTATAAATCGGTCATTGTTAACGTACCCTCCAAGGTAGATTCCTTGGCCAAGAACGAAGAAGCTCATGATTGATACTATGACGACGATAAGAGGGTTAAATGCTGTGACAAAGACAGGACCCTTTCGCTGCATCATAAGTCCTTGAACGTAGTAAGCTATGCTCGATGACATTATTCCCTGTAATCGAACCAATCACAATACACAAGTATCAATCGACCATCCATATTTTGCAAACCGATTTTTGTGCTAGAAACTTAAAAGATAAAGAACGGACCGCGTAAGCAGAGGCGAGAAGGTTCATGTCGAAGCCGATGTTCAAAGCAGAAGGATTATGTTCCATTACAAAGGCCAGGGCTAGGGATTGTAACGTTCCCATGAAACACACCATGGTTGATAACGATAGATGGGCTGAGTATTTCTTCAAAGTTGATGCCTAACAAAAATGATATAAATACATGTAACGCCCTAATTAGTTTGATGATTTTGATCCATATATCTTTCAATATTATAGAAGAATGTTACAAACGAAAATGTCTTTAAAAAATAATACTAATCATGTTTTCTTCAATAATCTTTTTGTTTTTGTTTTTTTTTACTTAAATATTTTTAATTAATTAATAAAAAAGATTGAAAATAATTTATGTAACATATGGATTGCCCATACAGTTTTCTTTTTGGTAAACGATTTAATTCTTCTTTAGTATTTAACTATTTATAATGGGAAAAGAGTTTATTGATCTGTTCACACAATATATGAGATTAACCAAAAATCCCACGAAACTACTATTTAGATTGGATGAAATGATTCATACCTGAAGTACAAAGTACGAAGCCCATGAGAGGGAGGCGACGAGGAGGAAGCCGGTGGCTTTTAAATAATCACCGGCCAGAGGCGAAGTGGAGGTGGTGGTGAGGTTAGATTTGAAGGAATTGATGAAAGGACCTTTGTAGAATATCATCAATATGGAACCAACCACTGTCACTAAAGTCCCCACCACTTTTACTTGGCATCTTACTTTTCTCATCTCCACTTTCTCCATCCTTTTATTTACACAAAACCCATTCAATATTCATACGAAATTGGTGCATATCCACGTACGAAAATATAATAAAACGTTTCTTTTATATATGTACCTGAAAAGAGTGGCGAGGATAAAGGTCACTGCCGGCACGATATTGCTGACGGCGGTGGAAAACGTCGGAGATGTGAGTTTCAGACCGATGTAATATAAGTTCTGATCAATCACAGGCCTGTTTGAATAAAAACCATGCTTGTTAGCCTATAGTTGTAAGTGTAACAAATTTTCATAAGTTCATTAAGACAAAAAAAGAAAGTAATTAGAAAACTAACCCGAGAAGAGCAAGAACAAATATATGCATGAATATTGGAAACGTCATCTTTGTCCTCACTTTCCTACAAAATCCCCCAACACATAAATATTACAAAACGTTCAAAAGAAAAAGTATATGTTGCCTCTGATGATCTCTCTCAAACGAGGTATGTTTTTGCGTACCTTTCGGAGAGAATTGCAAAAGGTGCGATAGCAGCTGTGGCAAAAGCGTTGCGGTATGCAACAAGAACGTAATGGCTCATACCGTGGTCAAGGACGGTTTTAGTAACAAGATTCATGCCGGCGTAGCCGAACTGAAGACAGATCATTGCAAAGTAAGGTTTAGCTGATTCTGACATCCTGATTCCCATCTCAGTTTGCTTTTTCTTTTTTTTCGGTTTTAAGACAAGAAAACTAAACAAAATTTTGGGTTATATATTATGATCCTTGAGGATATACAAAGAATGTCAAATTAGTGTTTGTATATAAGAGAAATGAGCTATGTTTAGAGAGGAGAGAAACACTTGGGGAATGTGCTTTTTCCTAAGAACCAAGTGGTGAGAGGTTCTTTGTATTTATAGCATAAAATGTTCGGATTTGTTCAGTGTTCTCTGCTTTCTTCCTTCGTTTTACTTTTTCTATATTAGTTATTAAATTTCATTTTCTTAGTGACGTTAGCGTTAATTATTCCGGTTCGATACGGCAAAACAATTGGATGTCATGAATTCATTATCTCTAAAGTAAGTGGATAAAACATTCTACATATAAATATTCGGTTTATATGACTACATGAAACCAATCATATTAGGTAAATATATAACTTGTGGCTACTAAAACTCGAGATTAATAGTGTGATCAGTAAAGTGGAAGAATTGAGTTGTTTAGTTGAATACAGTATAGATACAATTAACTTCAACTCTTTTCCCAGTGTTAGAATATAAGAATATATTAATTGTTTCTAGAGATACTTTTTCGTGCTATGTTTAAATTGAGGTTAGCGCGGCATAAACAAATATGATCTTATTGCTAGTAAGCACACGCAAATACAATTAATAACATTTATGCAACATTCGAAACATGTTATTTTCAAATATTTAACCAATTTTTGTTGCGAGGTGGACATAAAATGTAACTCTACCAAGAAAACATAGCTTTGTTGATGAAAATTGTGGTGGATCATAGAACAAGTTTACTGCGTGCCAGGGTTTTAAATTAAAGTAATTTGTTTTTTGGGTTTAACATTTGACAATTCGACCAACCAAAACCACTACCAAAAAACCAAACGTATACATGGTTAATATACGTATATGGAGCGTAATGTATGGGGACACCTCCTGCATCTTAATTCCTTAGACTCATGGTCACAAATCATCGACCTTTAAGAGATTAAACAATCAACGAAGAAACACAAGTGGACAAAGTGAATTCCACGTGGCAGCAACATTCAATTGGGTTCAATCCTACGTATGTTTGGGACCCATATCTCAAAACTACCACTGTTTTTATCTGAAAAATGCTTTACTCTGTTGAAAATATTAAGGTGGACAAAATTTTGTTAGATGTCTTGTCTGTTATCGATTTCGATACTCCAAAACCAAAAGGAAAAAACAAAAAAAAGAAGATATTTTAACGTCTACGTAACCAAATCATTACTACAAATTTATACATTGTTAGAGTAAACTAAAGCATGTATGATGGATACCCTTATGCTTGTTCTGCTTAGAAAATTTTGCATACTTGTTCTGCTTCGGACGATCGATACCCTTAATCCCTTATGCTTGTTCTATCTACGAATCCTACTATTTTTGTTTCTATATAAATGTGTATACTTTCTTAAACAAAAAAGAGTTTGTATATAAAAGCCTTTTTCATATACATCATATCAAAACTTTTTTTGTATGAATGTTAAGAAGAATATCAAAACTTCCAAATCATATACAAATATTTTGTTAGTACAAAACTATCCTTCATTCCAAAACCTAAACCCTACCAGTCTACCACCTCGAGTGGTTGTCACGATTCAGTATCCTCCTTTTGAAGTCGGCTAGCTCTTTTACACATACAACTCGGTATAATCGGAAAAGACGTGTACGATACAAAATGTGTGTATAATGTAGTTCTAGCAATTATTACAACGACAATGTGAAAATAATAATATCAATCCAATCACATAGTTACGTGGTTTGTCTCATCTTGAGACCAGTATTTTGTTTGTTAAAGGGTTTGATCTTGAGACCAGTATTACTGAATTATATTATACATGAATGTTTGGAAATTTAAGTGCCGCCGGGAAAAAAACATACACATAATCAATCTGGACTATGCTTTGAAATAATCAATTAAAAACCGAGTTTTGTGAGTTCCTTTTCTTAAGACAGAAGATTGTTTGTGTGTATATATGTGAATGTGATTGCATATATGTAATGTGTCTCCATCTGCACATACATATATGCACCTATAGATATTAATCTGCATAGAATTGCTTATCCGCACCGAAATGTAAACCACATAATATTAATTTAATCCGTAAAGAATGCTAACCACATCTCAATAAACTCATTGGACTCATTTTAAATTATTTTATCCTTAGATATTGCCTCCTTTTATCAATTTATGTCTCAAACGCTTCACTTATGTTTTAATAACATAGTTGGGCATCCATTATCTTTTTTATAGAATATGCATTAATGTAACTTTAAGGGACAATAGTGGCTACTTTACTTAGTTGGGGAAGGTTTGTGTGGAATTTGTATCATAAATTTAATTTGATGAATTAGATATATTCATTTTTATTATATTAGCTCCCACAAATTTATAGATCTATATGGTGAAAACATATGATGGATATTTTTATTGCGAGATTATTCATTTTCAACTAATCAGAATTAGTTTAATGATTCGATCGCTAAGACATCTAGACTTCTCGATATACATTCATTGCTTTTATTGGAGGTTGATCTTCCCATTATTATAGTCATTAAGAATTCAATACACAACGTGTCTCATGCTTACTCGACTAGTGTTAACTTTAAACCAAGTGACTAGTGTTACTCCTATGGTGGACGAAAAAAATTTATACGTATACTTATCAACTTTATAACAGCTAATTAAGAGCCCATGTGTATAATGAACCATCATACTAGATTAGTAGGATCTGCATTTGTATATTATCTCATATAGCGAACTCCATATCTTTGGTTTTATCATTTATGTTGATTAAATAAACAATGAAAAGATAAAACTGTAATTTAATGTATCGTCGTAATATGAAAAACGGAAGATATTTAAAAAGCACTTATCATAATTATCCGCCAGTCTCATATTTTCATCATTTCTAGCCACATTTTATGTTCTTAAACATTATACAGTTATGTGGCTACAAAGATTAGCATCCAGGCGTGTAAGACTTTTAGGTTATAAGAAAAGATATAAAAATGTAAATAGATAAAAAAGGTGCACTTTGTGTCATGAGAATGTGGATGTGTGGATTCCACGTAAATCGAGCCTGGTGTCAGAGACACGTGTCGCTTGGTTACGATATAGTTACCGAATCGAATATTTTACGTCTCTGCGATTGGGGAATTGTATGCTTACACAAAATCCTTCTGACAAAGTCTGGCATATGTTTCAGACTTTTATCTTGTTCACTTACGTAAAAAAAATCATTCGTAATTCTAATAAAACAACTCTCAGCTTTCAGTATGATTCACATATTTCTACCAAATTCAAGCTGAACCATACGTCTCTCCACATCAGTTTTTTTTTTTTTCTTTTTTTTTTTTAAGTTTGGTTGAACTTTTAACAGTTTTCTATCTCAATTCTTGTATAATCCCGATTGCGCATTTAAACGCTATTAAATTCATATCAAAATTATACTAGTACTTATTAGTCTGATCAAGCATGCATTAGTACAAAAAGATGGAATCAGAGTTAATTATCCAGACAAATATGTTTGGCAGTCAAATTAATTTGTAACAATTGTAATTACATGTTATATATACACATAGCTCGAACTTGAAAATGTTAGGATTGATTACACTGGATTAAGAGATCTGGTTAATTATCCAAAAATCAAAAAGTTCGGACTATATTATGTGCGCAGAAACTTGTGTGTCTATATATGTATAGACATAAATATTAAAATCAAGATTACAAATGTCTTAGGGGTTGTCTTTTAAAAAAAACGAATGATTTGATTAGAAATTTGAGAAAGAAAAATAGAGAAAGTTGGCGTGGGTCAAAAGTGTGGGTGCGTTTTTGGGTAGTAAAGAGAAATGGGGAAAAAGAGGGCAACAAATCCAAATGGTCATCTAATCAGCCTCCAGCAATTTAATTTCCACACACTCAAAACTTTTGGGGCCACACCGAGTTCTTGTCTTCTTTTATTTTTGTTGCTCTCGTTTCATTTCTTATTTTTCTCTTTTGATGAAAATGGCGTTTGGGCAATTTGGTGGTCTCATTGGATTTGGAGTCTCTCATAACTATAGTGACGTGTTATAATACATGTATCAAATCAGAGATTTAGACTAATGATCATGACTCGTGACTCGTGAGTCGTACTCCCAAGTCTTGTTTTTTTCTTACTTCTTAGGGTAACATTCTTTGGTCATGCAACTCCGAAGTGTTTTATGGATAGATAAACATATAATCATTATGGGATCAATAGGTCCATGTGACCTTACTCGTTCCAACATATGGCATGGACCATCTGAGACTTAGATCGGCCAATCGGTTTTTTGCATGTATAATCGTTCCATTTTGTTACATTATTTACTTTTTTTTTTTTTTTTTTTGGTCACAAACATTATTTACTTACAATTCGTTATTCTTTGTATACCAAGAAAATTAGATGACATTCCAAAAAAATGGACAGAGAAACTAAAAAACTTAAGTATATTACGTGATAACCAAGAGACCTCCTGATTATGGAAAAATATCATATTATTATTAGTTAAAAAAAGATGTAGACATTACTTGACTTTGGATGTCTATTATTGATTAATATTATTGGATGCCAATCAACACAGATGGAATGTAGCAGAAAGGTCTAGTGGTTCGTTTTTTTCGGTAGAGTCAAAAATCTTGCAAATTTGATATGATAAAGACTTAGACTATGTGCAATGAGGGTGTTGATAATAGTTTTCAACAGTTGAATTAGCTTTAATGAGTCTGTTGAAACTACCTGTTGAATGACTTGGCAAAATTGGTGTTGAAAATTTACAACATGTTGATAAGAAAAAATTGGGCCCACTAAAGACATGTGTCACAATATAATTGGTTACTGAGATTTCTGATTTTTTTAACTTCCCTCAATTATTTGAGGTTAATTATTTCAATCAAAATTAACTTTTTAAACTATAAATTTTATACCAAAATTCATCACTTTTTATACTCTATAAATAGAGACTTATTTCATTTCATTCGGACACAAAAAAAAACACATTTTCTTTATTTTTTCATAATGAATCACAAAAATAATCATTTTAACACTCAAAATTCTTTTAATAACCTTTTTAACTACCCAAATTCCAACAATTATCAATTTCAAAATCATTCTTCCAATCATCATAGATGTATGGTAATGATTTTAATCATTTTAATGTCCATGGTATGGTAATGATTTTAATTTTTATAAATTTGTTGTTTTTATAAAAATTGTTATTTATTTTTTTAATTATTATGTAAGTTTAAAAAAATTCAAGTTTCATATAACCTTAAATTTTTTTTTAGTTTATTTAATTATTTTAGTTTAGTTATTTATTTATTAATATAAAATAAAAAAACATAAGCATAAAAAAGAAATAAAAATGTGGGGTAAGGTGTTGTATATTATTAAACACCCACATTGTAGATAGTAAAAGTTGAAATGGAGTGTTGAATAATGAGGTGGAAGAGAAGATGATGATGTGGAGTATAAGTAGGGTGTTGAAGTAAAAAATCATTGTACATAGTCTTATAAATTGCAAACTGGAAAGAAGAAGAAAAACATATAAAAAAGTACCTAAAGGGAAATAGATACTAGAGAGGATGGAGGGAAATGCCAGATTCCATTTGCAATTAGTTGGGGGCTGGCTCGATTTATACATAGCGTTATTTCAGGAAAAATACAAAGAACTTAAAAAAGAAGTTATATGATGGGTCTCGTTGCGTATGCAGTGTTTTTTTTTTATTGTAAAAAACCTTCTACTGTTTTTTTCTTGGTTTGCTTGGTAAACATTACCCTAAATCCCTAATCACGGGTTTTTAGTGGTTTTTGTAAAAAAATGTTCCTACGGTTTGCTCGTGTTGTATTGAGCTGAAGCCACAATTTAACGTAAATGTAGTTAACTGCTCTTTGTTTGTTTTGTGTGTGCTCTTGGACTAGCTTTCTTTCCTTTTCTCTTCCATATAAGAGCTATGTTCCTCTCCTTGATCTCCCCTGGCTTTACTGGCTTCCTGAAAAAAGTAAAAACACAACAACACAATACACAATTGCGAAGGAAAAGAACCCTTTAAGCAATGATCTCTTAACTGCAACTGTAACATATACATGTACTAATACCACATACATACCTAGCACGTTTGTTCTCAACTTTAAAACTTACAGGACAAATCCTGAGTAGAAGCAATCTAAAGCAAATATCAGTCTCAATAGAACTGAACTACAGATTGAGCACATTGTGACTATTAAATGATTCTTTGATTCCGAACTTTTACAAATTTAAAAAAAAAAAAAATCTAGTTATCCTTAAGATGTGCCTGCCTGAGGCAAAGCATTAGATAGGAAACCAGTCTGAAGGAAATCAAAATCAAGACCCATAAATCGGCAAGACAAAAGAAACAAGTGAAAAAAGTATTGTGACTATTAAATGATTCTTTGATTCCAAACTTTTACAAAACTTAATAAAAAAACAAGATGGCTGCCTGAAGCAAAGCATTTAAATAGGAAACAAGTATGAAAGGAAATCAAAATCAAGAACCCATAAATTAACCCCAACTGTTTTACAAATCGGCAAGACAAAGACAAACAAAGTGAAAAAGTATTATTGGTCAAGTTTCCAAGTAGACGACGTTCTCACTCTCATCCATCAACCTCAAGTCAAAATAGCAGCACTTTTTGTCATACCAAAACTGTGGTATTCCTTGGATTTCAACCTTCCTCAAGTCATTGCTTTGCAAATCGTAACACAGAATGTAGAATCCAGAAGGCAGCATCTCCAACAGCGGTACCAAGATAACTTTGCCGTCTTGAGTTGTGCCTTTTACAAGCAGTTCAACGTCATTCACTAAATGCATTTGACAAGGCTGCAAAACCAGACTCTTCTTCTTGGACCATTCTTGTTTCTCAACGTCTTCCCATACCCATAACTCTGACGCACCCGTGTCTCTAAGTTTGCTATGTTCGAAAATAGCTGTTTTCCCACCATACTCTATAAGATCGGCCTTCATCTCTAATGCGAGAATATGCACGTGATAACCGACCTCCTCAGGTACTAAGATGGTAGTAATCTCTTCAGACCTAACGTCGAAACTCACAATTAAGCAAGTGTACATATTCTGCCACGCCATGTAACGTACTATTGATCCACCGCTGCTGATAGACCGTCCTAGTGCGAAAGGGGCATGAGGAATATAATTCTCATGATGCAGGACAGACTTTTTCCACGAACCTCCAGCTTCTAGCACGAACACCCAATGCTCTGACTTGAGCTTTTTCAACCCTTCCGAGGATATAAAATTTGTGCACAAGAGTTTGTGTTGATCACTAACAGGGTCGTATCCCATGTAGTACCGGGTACAATGCTTCCGCTCACCTTGTTCAGCTCTGATGTCCGGTTTTACCTTAGGTAAGGTCAAGAGTTGTTTGGTGCTGGGGTTATAGATACACGCCTTCTTTCTACGAGAGAAACACATCAAGCCACGAGCACCGCCGTTCAAGAATAAGCCTCCCATCCCTGGGATGCTCAAATCTTGGTCGACCACGAAACAGGTCTTCTCTGGAGACGTTGATGATATTGCTAGGAGTTCACGTTGTCCTCCTTCATCCACTAAAGACATGTATAAACGTGGCTGTTGTTGTTTTTGTCGTGTGAGGGTGAACACACTGTTGCAGAAATATCGACAAGAGATGAGAGATGACCACTGCTTTGAGACGCACTTGAACCTCATCAATGACTTTTCTGGCAATCTGATTAGAACCTCGGTCACCAGATCCACAGGAAACTCCCACGTATCTCTTCCTCTTCTTCTTCTTTTTCTTCTTCGCTCTTGTTGGGTGAGAGCTAGACTCCAAATAGAGCCCATTATCAGCATATTAAAAGAGCGTTTTGATCTTCTTTTCTTCAGTTTAAACAACGCTGTTGAGTTGTCTCTTTTTGCATCCATTGTCTTCAAAGACACAAAAAAAAGCAGCAAGTTAAGAACAATCAGTTTGAAACTCTATGAATTCGCCTAAACTTTAATATGAGAGGGATTTAAAAAAAAGTTAATCTTTGATCAGTACGTTCAAAGAGAGAAAAGTCCATTATCTTCAAAGACACACAAAAAATAACAGCAAGTTAACAACAATCAATTAGAAACTCTACGAATTGTCCTAATTCCTAAAACTATAACATGAAAGGGATGTAAAAAATTCAGAATTTTAATCAGTACATACAAACTAAGCCAGCACAGTGAGAGAAGAATCCCACGGAACCACTAGGAATTGGCGAGATTGCATAAAGAGGTGAAAAAAGCGTTTATCTTTACCTCAGTTTGATTGGAGCTTCCAAGAGAGACGACCTGGGCAATGCTCTGACATTCCTTAAGCGAGAAATCCTTCTCTGACGCTGCTCGTTTCAGAATCTTCATTCCTCCCTCTGTTTATCTCTTTCAACTCTCAAATTTTCAAAATTTTCAAACTTTCACAGCCAATTCACTCCCAAATCGAGATTGGGGTTCCGCACCAGTTGTCCGGTCGAAAGAGAGACTTTAGTTTTGTATATTCCGACAAAAAGAGGTACAAAAAAATAAAAATAAATATAATAAAGCACATAATAGTTGAATTTACGGTACATAACCAAAAATCGAAAAAGTTATATGCTGAATGTCCGTTTAATGACTTAACTTATAATTCGAGGGGTACTATTGTCAAATACTTAGAAAAGGGAGAAAAAAATGAAATAAATATTATTTACAAGGTAACCTTCGGTTTATGACTTTATGGCTAATTGATTCTAAACCACTATTATTTGTTTGGTTTGGTTCGTTGTCCACATGTTTTGATGTTTCCACACTTCTTTTCCAAAACCAAAACAAAGGCACATATTTAATGGGCTCTCTCTAGGCCGTGAAAATATTTTAGCAGAAGGTCACCTCATTGTGGACATCAATTGGTATTACAGTTTGATTCCCAATTTTGTTGCTAAGAGTGCCATGTTAATCTTTTGTAGCCGAATAAAATACAAATGGCAGTTAATTTAATCCACAATTATATAAAGATAAAAAATTCTCACGTTTGATAAAATATTCTCTAATTGTTTTCAGAGGCAATCAAGATTAAATATTACAAAGTGAATTCGTTTTCACTGCAATGTTTTACATAATGGGTCTCTTATCTATTTTTTCTTTTCGTCCCTTGTGACTGAGGTTGAAGACTATACTACAACCACTTCTCCGATTGACCATTTTCCTGATTCTAGGCTACGTTTAATTTGATCCATCTTAAAATTGGTTTTTATGGCTTTCTGATTGAGAAATAGATACATTCGGGTTATGATGTGTATGTGGTACGAGCTATGGATGGGTAAGAAAATGAAAACCGATCATTGAACAAGAGCAATAGCCTGTTCATTTAACTATTACCAATTCATGATCATCTCAAATATAGTCTTGACTATAAAATAATAATAAATTAATTATCAATAATACATTTATTTATATAAGTGAAAGCTTCTAAACGGACACATAGTTTGAAACAGAGGAAATACAAATTTGGTTATGCGTACTTTTACTAAATCCAATATAGTGCAGTTGCGTATGAGTACCAAATGCATGTGGTGATTTACACGGGTTTATAGCTAGCTAAGAGATCAAAATAGATGGCACATTGAATCCTTAGTTCCACGTCTAAGATAACAAAAACTGTAAAAGTAAAACTTTTGAAGCGAGGGAAGGAATTCAAACTTAAAAGTATAAAAGAAAAAGTTACTCTTCTCCTCAATTTTGCCTTAAAACAAAATACACTATGGCTTCAAATTGTAACAGTGGATTTGAGTGGTACGGAACTAAAAGTTAAGACGGAACAATACGGTTTATATGAGAAACGCATTATGCAAAATAAATGCGGTTTTTATAAAACAAGCGGTACGGGATAATGTTTGAATGGTAACAATTATTAATGTAATAGTGATTAAATATTTTTAAATACTTTTAATTTCCAAAATCTTGCTTTTTTAATTAAAGGGAGAGAAAAGATAAAATTGTAGTTGTATCAAAATTTTCATTTTTTTAAAAAATTAAAAATAATAATAAATAAAAAGTAATGCACTTAAACAACATCAAAAATGAGATATTTGGAACCGCATGGAGTGGATTCTAAAAAGCATAGAAAACTGAAACGCAGTTGCTTTATTTAACCAATTAATTTATTTGTTTTTATTAAATAGGTAAAGAGTATAATATGTTGAATGGTAACCAATTTTTGTCCCACACCTTGAATCATTCGCAGTATACATTCATCGTGGAACGTTATTCACGTTTTTAACTACAAAAAAAAAAAAAACAATCACCGATAATTTCTTCTCCATCGTGGCAGCAATTGTCTCTCGATAATGCCAAAGATCGACGAAGCTGATGAGAAAGTTGAAAACTAAATAACGGCTTCTAAAACGTTATCTTCATCGTCATCATCTACGTGCTTGCCCCATAATCGTAGACTCCCACCGTAAAAAACGTGCCTCTCGCTGATTCGACTATTCTTGTTTTAAAATATTGGGTTTTAACCAAGGGACTAGTGTTACTTAAATACTAAGCTGGATTCAAATTCTACTACATACATATTAACTTTATAACAACTAATTAAGATCCCAACGCTCCCTGGAGAAATTCGTAATAAGTCCTACTCGGAACGGATTTTTCTTGGACTTGTGGAAATACATTAGTTAAGCGCATAAAGTATTTAAATCAATTTTTTTTTTTTGGTTTTAATGTTAAGTATTTAAATCAATTTATAAGCAAAGACGAATAAAACAACAGCAACTAATTAACACAGTCGTCGAAATCATGTTTTTACCTTCATTAAAGGCTGCGTAAGAGTGACACGCTTACTGGAAACGATGAAGAGAATTTTTCGTGATTCTCGTTTACCAAAAAAAAAACAAAGAAACAAAATGTAAAACCTGCGTGTCGAACTTGGGGTCCCTAGGAAAGGGAGGTACTGGGAAAACCGATTAAGCTAGATTGTATCTTCTGTTGTGTGAGGTAAGTAAATGATCTATAAAAACCGTGTCCTATCTATAAATTTGGTTTCTACGCTTCTTCGTCAGTTTCACTTTTTCCCCCCAAAAAAAAAACGAAACACTGAAATTTGAAATTTGAATTTTGCTGCGAGAGAGATGACGAAGCGTGGGGCAAGAAGCCGTGAGAAGAAGGAGAAGCAACCGAGATTTCTAGGAGGCATCATCCTTCCAACAGGTTAGGAACCCTAGATCTATGAAATTTGCTTGTGGAATAGTAGAATTTCGATTGATTTTGCGGAGATGGAGTTTTTCTCAGAGAAACAAAGGAAGGCGATGGAGAAAGACGCAGCGGATAAGGAAAGGAGAATTTCGAAATCCAAGTTCAAATTATCAAGTAAGATTGTAGAAATGTGATTTGTTTGTGAGAAGTGAGAACCAAATCGATAATAGCCTGATGCGAGTAATTCATAGTTTCTGCGAATGTAATTCGAATCCCTAGTTTTTGAATCTCATCGGAAAATCCTGAAACAACGATATCGATGTCCTATTTGGTTAAATCTCAGTCTGCGTAGTTGAATTGTTGCTAATGAATGCTTACGGATTCCAGCTTTAGGATGTTGATTGCTTTGAATTCATTGCTTTGGGATGTTGATTTTGATCTTAAGAGATTTGTGTTTCCACTGTTACGAGACGATTTCATTGCTATAGGATCGATGTTGATTTGTGTTTCCACTGTTACGCTAAATTTCATGGACGTTTTCATTGCTTTAGGATCGATGTTGATTTTGCTCTTAAGAGATCTGTGTTTCCTCTTCAATGGATGTTTTGGAGTGTTAATGCTTGAATTCATTGCTTTAGTATGTTGATGTTGATTTTGCTCTTAAGAGATTTGTGTTTCCTCTTCCATGGATGTTTTGGAGTGCTAATGCTTGAATTCATTACTTTAGGATGTTGATGTTGATTTGATCTTAAGAGAGTTGTGTTTTCACTCTTGCGCCTAATTTCATTGTTGTGGGAAATACTTAAGGATTCCAGATTCGAAATTCTCTGAATGATTTGGAGTGTTGTGGCTTTGAATTCATTGCTTTAGGATGTTGATGTTGATTCTGATCTTAAGAGATTTGTGTTTTCACTATGCTAACAATTGATTGCATATTGACTGTCTTTCTATGAGAAGCTGCTGATAAGACTGTGGCTGGAAAAGGAAAAGCTCCTTTGATTCAATCTGATGACTCTGATAGTGATTCGGCACCTGAAGAGCTTCCTTGTCTGAGCCACTGCTCCAAAAAGGACGGACCCGATTTTGATAAGCTCCATCTCCTCAAGAGGCCTGATCTGGGGAAGATGTCCGTTTGGTCTTCAGAAGAGTATGAGCAGTATGATGCTTACCTTATCATGACGTGGAAGATTGGTGGCTGGAATAAGAAGGACCGTGTGTATGCGGTAAGAAAACAAACTGAAAACCTATTCGATATCGTTCTCTCTCTTTGTTATCTTCAGTCCATCAGGGATTACAACTCCAAAGTGGCTTGGACAGCTCGGAGAGATTTTAAGCAAACTCTGCTGGTGCTTGGGAGAGAGCTGCCGCCTTTCACTGAGAAACCAGATCTCTCAAAGATGGCATATTGGACTCCAAATGACTATGGAAACTATGATCAATTTCTGATCAGGAAGTGGCAGCGATCTGGTTGGGATGAAAGAGACTATGTCTATGTGGTAAGCAAACACCAATTTATCCTTTTGCTCTTATAGTCTTATGATCTTTATCTTCTCAAATTTGATATCTGTTCTTTGTTTTTGTTTTTCTTGTTCAGAGCATGAGAGACCGCAGTTCTTTGGTGTCGAAGACCGCTCTTTCTCTCCGCTGATTGGGTCAGGGTAACAAAAAAAAAAGGTAATAGTGATCAATCTCGATCACCGTATCATAAGACTTTTTACACGTGGTTGTAAAAACGTATGATAAGACTTTTACTGCTGTGGTTGTAAAAACCCATGTGATTAGACTTGTACTGGGTTTTTTGTAAAGACAATTGCTTTATTGGTTTGGTTGATTTTGCGACTCATTTTACATCATTATCTACGTTTGATTGTGTCTATGAATGTATACTGAAACTCCTATTTTGGATTATTAGGGTTCGTTAGTAAGTGCTTATTTGGACGCGTGACTTAGTTGTAGGAGACATCCGTGTGAATGTCAGATAGGTTACATGGCTGATGAGTTGCAACTTTACAATCATAGAAATTCTCAAACATGATAATATAGTAATCTCACTAGGTTGCCTCTCAATGTTACAGAAACTGTCAAACGTGACATAAAACAACAACATCAACAATAATCCATTTTTTCCCAAAAGTTTCCTCACATTTCAGTAAATGTAGTTAAGTTTTTCAACTTCTACTCTGCTTTCCCTGTCTCTTCCATTTCTTATTCTGAACTCTGAAGAGCTCTGTTCTTCTCCTCAGCCTTAGCCTTCCCTAGCTTTACGCTTCCTGTAAAAAGTAAAAAACACTAATAAGCAATGATCGTGAAGATGATGAGAGAAGAGGTGTTCCATAGGGTTTTAATAGTGTGATGTAATTTCACGTTCCCTAGCTTTTCTGAAACATGGTACTCCTGTTAATAACTGTTCAATGTAGTAACAATGTCCAGCCACATTGAGATGATGACAAAGAAGATCGCATATAGATGATAAAAACATACTCATTGCTCAGATTGTAATTCCTCGAGGGTTTCAACAACACAAAAATGCCAGAGATCAAAGACTGAAGAAATGTAACTTACTGATCTCTGCGGCGGAGTACTAATTTAAGCAAAACCGTATTCTCTGAAGACTCTGAAAGTTTGTATGCAGCAAGGTGATCGTCGTCTTTGATAGTGGACAATGGAGTTAAAGGGTCTGCAAACAGTCAATGGATCATACTATTTCGAATCTGCAACAAATATAAAGAGTAGTTTTAGGCTTTTAAAACACCAAAAGACTGACAACCTTACTTCAAAGAGCACTTGAAGCCACAAACCTCTGCAAGCTTAGCTTCAGACGTAACCTCCACAGCTAACTCTGTCTGAGAGAGGCCTGAGCTAATGACTCTCCGCGCCAGAGTTGGACCACCTCCGTACCTTATAGAACATGTATGCAAGATTATGCCTGTCACGAGTTCTTAGTCCTTCTATAAGAATAAAGGATATATAACCCGAAGCATGCAGAACTGCGAAAGCGTATGCACATGCAACAGGGAGCCATAAACGATTGATAACTATTGAGTAACAAGAACTTCAAGAGGAACTTACAACCATGCCAAGAGGGTTTTGCCAATTTATCTCGTGATGATAATCTTCTTGGAAGTAACTAGCAAACTCAGGTGTATGAACCAGACACTGTATTGCACTATTCATGAAACAGGTATTCCCGAGATTCAACAGCCCAGTCAAGCCAGCAGGAGATCCTCTTGTGGTGACACCAGTGCTACTGTATGTGCTATCAAAAGATTGGGAAACTTCTACACTACCACTTCTGAATGCATTCCTGTTTGAAGAGAAACCTCCTGCAACTGACAAGCTCGACTTAGATGGCTCAATGAGAATAGAAGTAGAGTCTTCATCCACTAATCCATTCTCTTGAAACATTTCATCTGAATCATATCATCACGTAAATCTCTATGATAGAAAGCGGAAAGAGGAAAACACATGAATACAAACTAAGCCTTATATATACAAACTAAGCCAACGCACTGAGAAAAAGACCAATTATCTTCAAAGGCACCAAAAAGCAGCAAGTTCAGAACAATCAATTGGAAACTCTATGGAATTGGCCTATAACCATATCATGAAAGGGATGTAAAAAAATCAGTACTTGTAATTGGGAGGCTTTGCATGTGCTGCCAGAAGCTTAGACACACCTGGATGATCCAGAATGCTCCACCAATCCAGAAACAAAAGAGGAAAATCAACACTCTGCAAACGGGTTCCAAGTAAGAAAATTTCTCAAAATGGAACAAAAGATAGAGACCATAAGAGCTGCAAATGCCTGTGGAACTTGCCCAGGCCATCGGAAGTAGACAAGATAGGCTTCTTCGCTGCTACTCTTCGGCCGTCGAGAATTGCTTCGTATACCACACTCTCCGATCCTGAAGAAAGAAAAAAAAAAAATGAAAATGTCCGGATAAATCGATTTCAACTTAACGCAGACAGCGAGAGTGAAAGAGGGAAAGAAGAAACAGTGCCTCTAGCGATTGGGGAGAGAAGAGTGAAGGAAGGAGGATCGATTCACTGGTGCAACATCCTCTAACGCAGGTGTTTGGCTCCAAAATTTCCATCACCATTTTCGACGAACAGAGAACCAACCAACGGTTAGCGACGGAGCAAGAGGAGGAGAGGACGGTACAGAATTGGGATTACAAGGCAGCCCATAACATGGACTTATGAACGGCCCATAAAAGAATGGACTGGCCCTTGAGGAGGAGCCGAGACGGAGAATGCTTATCGTTTTCGTGGGCTACGAACGCTCTCCAACGAATGTAAACGACACACACCCTGCCGTTTTTTTGTTTTTCTGATCTCTTTTGACCGCTTAGGTGAGAACACGTGACTTGTCACTTTCCTTCCAAAAGCCTTCTTCGGTTTTAATACATTCTGGATCATTACCGAGGAACAACAATTCAATTATGAATTTGCATATCTTAAGAGAAAAAGCATGGAGAAGACGATGATGATAGCCTAGGAGTAGGAGGCGTTCATGATCTCCGAGGAAATCAGAACGTAAAGTGACCGTAAACACAAATAAATTTGATCATTTCCCACGTTAAGCCAACTCCTCGCTAACGTTATTTTGTATTAAAAAAAGGACAAGTATGGCATAAACCTCCTTGTTTACATATAGCAAAAATTACGATTTCGAGAAAAGAAACACTCTTACCATTTTTTTTTTGTATAAATCGAACTTTCCTTAGTCACTATAGTTAGAGCATTTTCACACAAATCGTATTCAAATTTCTCTCTTTGTTTTTTTTTTAAACTCCTTTGATGGCATTTTTTCAGAGATTTTGACCATGGCAGTGCCAGTATCTTCACGGATAGGTCAGAGATTCAGATACTCCAGTCGTTTGGGTGGGTGTGAGGATACTCCAGTTTCCGATGATACTTAATCGGTTGCAGGAAAGTGATCGAGTCCTAATTTGACTTCACTTGGGATTCAAGTTTCAAATTAAGAAATCATGCTTTGTCCCAACATGTAACTACGTGGATGCAAAGAAACATTTCCAATCGGGACAAAGCATGATTTCTTGATTTTAATCTTGAATCTAAGATGTAACCTTTGACTTCACTAGATGTATCCTTGTCGAGAAAGTGGGCGTGGGTCAAAAGTGTGGATTCCACGTAAATCGAGTCTGGTGTCAGAGACACGTGTCACTTGGTTACTGAATCCAATATTTTACGTCTCTGCGATTGGGGACACAAAATCCTTTTGACACTCTGGCATATGTTTCAGACTTTTATTTTGTTCATTTACGTAAAAAAAGCCATTCGTAAATCTAATTAAATAACTCTCAGCTTTAATTTCAACATAGTTCACATATTTCTACCAAATTCAAGCTGAACCATGCATAATGTCGGACGTACGTCTATACCCCACATCAGTTTTTGGGTAGTAAAGAGAAATGGGGAGAAAAAAAAAAAGAGGGCAAGAAATCGAAATGGTCATCTAATCAGCCTCCAAGCGATTTCATTTCCACACGCTCAAAACTTCTTACAAATTTGATATGATAAAAGACTTCTAAACTGAAAATAGGGAAGAAAACAAAAAGTAAAAGGAAATAGAGAATCGATCTCCATTTGCAAATATTTGGGGTTGGCTAACTTATTAAATAGCGTTATTTAAGGAAAAACATAAGGAAGTTCAAAAAAAAAAATGGCTCTCGTTGCGTATGCACTCTTAGATGACGTTTCCAAGTAGATGACACTGATGACAAAGACAAACAAAGTGAGAGAGTATTATTTTGGTCAAGTTTCCAAGTAGATGACGTTCTCACTCTGGTCAATATAACTCAAGTCGAAATAGCTCTTTTTGTCATCCTCTTTGTCATACCAAAACTGTGGTATTCCTTGGATTTCAACCTTCCTCAGGTCATTGCTTTGCAAATCGTAACACAACATGTAGAACCCATGACTCATCTCCAATGGCGGTACCAAGATTACCTTGCCGTCTTGAGTTATACCTTTTACAATCAATTCAACGTCATGGACTAAATGCCTTTGACAAGGCTGCAAAACCAGACTCTTCTTCCTCGTCCATTCCGTTTCGAATACCCATAACTCTGACGCACCCCCTTCTTGAAGGTAGCTGTGTTCGAAAATTGCTATGTCCCCACCATACTCTATAAGATCCGCCTTCAGATTAAATACACGCATAGGCACATATAAACCAACGGTCCGAGGTACTAGGATGGTAGTTAACTCTTCAGACCTAACGTCGAAACACACAACTTCGCAGTTGTAGTTATCACGCCACGCCATATAACGTATTACTGATCCGCTGCTGATAGACCGTCCTAGTGTGAAAGGGGCATGAGGATGATAATTCTCATGAGTAACAACCTTTTTCCACGAACCTCTAGCTTCTAGTACGAACACCCAATGCTCTGAATTCAGATAACGAAAATACTGTGAGGATGTCATAATTGTGCACAAGATTTTGTATTGATCAGTAACAGGGTCGTGTCCGATGTAGTACCGGTTAGGGTGCTTCCGTTGACCTTGTTCAGCTCTGATGTCGGGATTTACCCTGGGTAAGGTCAAGATTTGTTTGGTGCTGGGGTTATAGATACACGCTTTCTTTCTACGAGAGAAACACATCAAGCCACGAGCACCGTTCAAGAATAAGCCTCCCATCCCTGGGATGCTCAAATCTTGGTCGACCACGAAACATGTGTTGTCTGGAGACGTTGATGACATTGGTAGCAGTTCACGTTGTCCGTCGTCATCCACTAAAGACATGTATAAACGTGGCTGTTGTTGTTTTTGTCGTGTGAGTGTGAACACACGGTCGCAGAAATATCGACAAGAGATGAGGGATGACCACTGCTTTGAGACGCACTTGAACCTCATCAAAGACTTTTCTGGCAATCTGATTAGAATCTCGGTTACCAGATCCACAGGAAACTCCCACATATCTCTTCTTTCAACTCTTCTTCTTCTTCTTCTTCTTTTTCTTCTTCTCTCTTGTTGGGTGAGAGCTAGACCCCAAAAAGAGCCCATCATCAGCATATTACAAGAGCGATGCTTTGATATTCTTTTCTTCAGTTTCAGTTTAGAAGATGCTAATGAGTACGCTCCTTTTGCATCCATTATCTTCGTCAAAGACACAAAAACACAAATAAGTTAAAGAACAAACTTGGAAACTCTGATGAATTGGACTAAGACTATAACATGAAAGGGATGTTAATTGTTAAATTTAAATTTCTTATCAGTACATACAAACTAAACCAACACACAGAGAGAAAAATCCCAAGGAAACACTAGCTATTGGCGAGATTGCTTAAAGAGGTGAAACACACACACACACACACACAATAAAAGCGTTTGTCTTTACCTCACTTTGATTGGAGCTTCCAAGAGAGACGACCTGGGCAATGCTATGACATTCCTTTAGCGTCAAATCCTTCTCTGACGCTGCTCGTTTCCGCAGCAGTTGTCCGGTCGAAAGAGAAAACCTAGTTTTGCATATTCCGACAAAAGCGGTACTAAATAAATCTATGCATGGAGAAAAGGAATAAAATAAAATACATAATAATATCATCTTATATACGACAGCGAGTTATCTTAATTCAGTTACACATTTTTTTATATCCTTTAAAATATGACAAAACTATATCATACTATTATTTGCAAAGTCAGAATTTCGAATGGAGGCACCACGTTAACTCTCAGCCGCGGAATTACAGAACTACCCTTAATGAAAATCTTGATTAAATCTTCAAAATTTCCTTTTTTTGTTATTCACGAATTTGATGAAAATCTTACTAATATCTTTATTTTTAAAAATTTATCAATTGTAAATTACGATATTATTTTTCTAAAACACAGAAAAACCTAATAATTTAAATTCTCTATATATACATGTCAAACCCTATGTGATATACAAAATCGGCCACTTTATTTCTTCTTTGCCAACACGTTTCATGAGAATCATAACAAGCATAATAAAATTTTCTCTCTTCGATTATACAGTTTTGTTCTTCTCGACTACGCTAACCGAAACTTCTTGAGTTATCAATAGAGAAGTCTCTACCTAATAGTGACAATCTAGGCTCTGCTAGCCAGTTTAGTCCAATTGAGCGGACAAAACTTTCGGTGCCTGTTTTCAATATATTGTTAAGATCATCCCAACGAGCTTTATTTCGTAGGGTAATCATCCCGACGAGCTTTTTTTCTTTCTTTCTTTCCTTTTGTTTCTTATTATTTTATATTATTAAATATATTTTATTCATGTTGGTTATGAGAAGATTTGATAGCTCTGTTTTATTATTTTTTGTATTATGGTTTTGTTTTCGTAATAGCATTGATTTTGTCGCGAATATGAAGAGAGCTTGAACCAGTTTCCAAACTAAAACAGAAGAAGGTAATTCTCGTGTGATATAAATGTTTGATCTTTACTTATTTTCTATTTCTTTTTGTGTTTTTAAATTACGTAGCTATGTCTTAGTTGTATGAATGCTATTACGTAATATACAACATATGTTACACTTGCTGCAGCCTTTTGTTGTTCTTCTCTGTAGCGGTAAGCTTTGTTGCATATATTAAGGGTAAGGCTTTAATTTGGTTCTAACTCTAGAATTACCAATAATTTACAGTTTCCGTCGTGATTTTTCGTTTAGTACTCATCTTACGGCTTAAATGTCACAAGCCACCAAACCAGATTAAATGAGTAAGACCTTCTGCACGAGCCATACTAGGAAGAAGCTTAGACCTACAGACACAACCTCTACTTGGTTTAAGCTTTCTGTTTTAAAGGCCATGTTCTTAAGATAGCCTTTACGTTCAGGATCGTCATCCAGTGCGAGCAAGACTATCAGCTTGGGCTGTTTGCACAAGTACACTGTCGTACTTGCAACACCCATTCTGAAATAAGAGATCACCTTTTTCCTCATTGTGAGCAAGTGTGGAACGTGGTGATACGTCGTCTTGGACAACCCTCCTATATGTTCCACAATTGCTGAGCTCTTAACAGCTTCAGTCAATGTTTTTTTAACGCTCAAAAGGGTAGCTTGCATGCTGTCTATATGTTTAGGAAGGAGCGCAATCGGAGATTACACAACAACATGTCCTTTCCGCCGGTTGTAATCTCTTCACTCTTCTCTCATATTGAGAGGTGCACTGACATGCTGTCTACCTTACTTCTCTCTTCAGCAGAGTGGTTCTCTCACGAGTAACGTAATCAGCAAATTCGTCTTTAGCAATTGCTTCATCTAGCTTTTTTTTTCTAAATCTTTTTTTTTGTGTCTTATGAAACTTTGATTTACGCCAATCACGAGTAAAGTATCACGTTCCTTTTGATAATTAAATTCACATTTGCATGCATCCCAAAATGTATGTACGAAAACTAAATTCGTAGATTAAGATTTATAAGCAAAAATAATTGTGGGTCTCCAAACATTCTGAAACATTCATATTTGAGAGACTGGTATGATCCAAACTAACTTATATTCCAACAGTTGCATTCAAGGTCAATGAATTCTTCTTTTTATTCACTTGAAAACCCTAATAACAAGAAGGACGTAATACACTAACATTGCCGATTAGAAACATACCAAAAAACAAGATCTTTTAAAAAAAGATTATTTTTTTCTTTACCGATCTAACACTAACGTTGCCAATTTAAGATAAAAAGAACAACAACTTTCTTAAAAAAGAAAAAATATAAACAAATTTAGAACAAGTGTGTAATGTGGGGCTATGGTGTACTGTTGAGGGGGGTTTATAATGTAGGCTTATGGTTTAGGATATAGAGTTTATATTGAAGGGTGTAGGGTTCAATTTTTGGTGTATTTAAAAAAAACGTGATTACAATAACATTGACGATTAAAAAAATATATTAAAAATTTCTTTAAAAAAAATCATTTTACCTTATCGATGTAACACTAGCATTGCCGATTTAAAATAAAAAGAACAACAACTTAAAAAAAAACAATATAAGCAAATCGAGAGCAAGTGTGTAATGTGGGGTTATGGTGTACTGTTTAGGAGGGTTTATAATGTAGGGTTAATGTTTAGGGGGGAGGACGGGAGGGAGGGGAGGGGGTTATAATGTGGGGTTTGGGTTTGGGGTGTAGGGTTTATATTAGTGTGTAGGGTTTAGTTTTTGGTGCGTTTTAAAAATTTTGAATTATTATTGAAGTATATCAAAACTAAAAATCATTGATTATAAATTTGTATCTACCATTTTAGAATACAATCACAAATAACTAAAAAATTATAACAAATCCAAAATCAAAAGAAAACGACACCAATAGATTTTTAAAAGACCACAGTTATATAAAGATAAAAACTGTTTAGTGAATCCTTAAAAATCTAAACTATCAACTGAATTGAAAAGTAAAATAAAAGACATAAGAACAAATAAAAACTGGAGTAAGAAAAAGAATATGATGATAAAGAAGAAGAAAACTCGAAGAGTATGAAAAAGAATTAAAAGAAGAAGAAAATGGAAGCTGAATACATTCAACATATTAATACATTCTTTCACGAATAATAAATTTGAAGTAGTGTACACTGTTTTGTGCACTAAACTAAGTGGACAAAGATAAAATATTTAAAATAAAAATAAATGATGAGAATGACTAATGTACTATATAAATAACTCTTCTTACATATTTAGTTTGGTAAAAAATAAAAATACTCAAGTTTTTAACATAATAATTTAGATATTTTTTTAATTCATTTTTTTCTCAGATCTCAATGTAATGTTTTGAATTATGTATGATTTTCTTTTAAATAAAAAAATAGCTTTTAAAATAGCTCTATTTTACTGATTTGTATCTCTGAGCCAATCTAGCAATATTTGTTGTTGACAGAAAAAAAAATGAAAATCATTATATTTTATGTTTATATATATACCACAATAATGAAACAAATTCTTATTTTTAAGTAAAATTGTATAAATTTGGTAAAAAATAATATTATATATATATATATTAATTTCATACACGCAAATAAGTTTAAAAGTCAACAATCCAAAATTTTATTATTTGTATTATCAAAATCTTTAGTTAATTAATTAATTTAAAAATAATGTACCCGCACAAGGTGCGGGACAGCCACCTTGTACTTGAGGAAAAGTTTTTTTTTTTTTTCCAAACCAATATATAACAAAGAAAATTGTATTTCAGTTTATTTCCTTTTCGAAAGACGCACGTGGCTTCTTAATTTCGTGTGTTTATACTTTATAATCTGTCTGTCTCATCAATTAATTTATACGTTATGGTGTGAACTGTGTATCTTGACTCTTGACTTGTGAATTTGTGTCCATGGGCCATGGCTGTCTTTGCGCGTTAAGATTTAGTGTTGAATATTCAACTACAAATTGGAACCACAAATCAATTGTATCCATTTCTTTTTCTACTCATGAGTGTGTGAGATCTGTGAATCTCTTGATCATTTGATTTCAAAGTAGTGTATATTGCTTGATCAAGTAGGTTTTAAGATGGAGTGGTGGAAGAAGAAGAAGGCCCGAGCCTATGAGAAAAAAGTGAGATTGATAGGGGCGAAGTTGTTAGAAGAAGTCATCGAATGTTGCGATGGCAAATCGAATCCCATCAAATTCTTCTCTCCAGACCAGATCCTCGAAGCCACCGACTATTTCAGCAACTCTTTGCCTGAATTAGATTACTACGAATGGTATTCTGGTAAAAACGAGAAGCATCCCATGCTACTCATCAAGAGATGTAGCAGAGAATATACCTATCGAGAAGAGGAACTCTTGTGCCGCGACATAGCAATATCATCAATGGTGAGTGGTCAAAAAAACTTCTTGAAATTGGTGGGATGTTGTCTTGATTCTCAAGATCCAGTCATGGTTTATCATGGTGTAAAGAAACATTATAAACTAGATCTAAGGGGACAGCCATGGATTAGGAGGATAAAGATAGCAGAGGATATCGCCACTGCGTTAGCTTACCTTCACACTGCCTTCCCAAGGCCCTTTGTATATAGGACTCTCGATCTTCAAGATTTCTTATTGGATGAAGATGGTGTCGCCAAGCTGTGGGATTTCTCGTGCTGTGTATCAATTCCAGAAGGAGAAACATTTGTCGAGGTTGATGATTTAGCCGGAACATGTGATTACCTCGACCATAATTATATCCTGGATGGCATAGTCTCGGAGAAAACAGATGTCTTCGCCTTTGGAATTGTCATGCTAAAGTTTATAATCGGAGACCGACGATTTCATAAGCTTTTAAAAGAAGAAGAAGAAGAAGAAGAAGACCTTCTAACTTGGGTGTCCAAATTAGTTGACGAGCCAAGAATGGATGTGATCGCAGATTCAATGATGCTACAAGAGATGGGTGGGATTCCAAAACAAGAGATTTGTCGAATGGAAGCTTTCTTAATGCTCTCTAAGAGATGCATCGGTCTTCGCGGAGAAGTTCCAACGATGACGGAGGTAGCCAAAGAACTAAGGATGATCCAAAGATCGATTGCATCTTCTTCTTCTCCTTCAGGTGAAACTCAACTCGACTCTGCTCAGGACATTTCTTTCTCCAGTTGCTAAATCTGTTGTTCATGAATTGTTTCAATGGGTTGTTTACTTTTTAAAGTTTGCTTCGGCAACGTTTGTAAAAGTGTTTTAGATGTGGAGATTGATAATTTCCTCACCTCTTGTATCTGAGAACTTTGAATGATGTTTTGTTCCGAAAGCTTAAGCAGTGCCCAGTGCCTTAGCAATACAATACCACTGAAGCTAGAAAGTTCTTCATATGCCCCCATGTTATTAAGTAAAACTTTGTGTGTGTGGGCTAGTAATAATTTAATGATTCGCTAAATTGACTCTAAACAAGGATATATATGCTTCAATGTTAAACAAGGATATATTGTTAAGAACAACATATTTATAGAAAAAACATGTTCTTTTGTTACCAAGATTTGCCTCAAACTATTTAAACACTAGACTACAATGCTCTCTTACATGGGATTATTTCATTTTTTCGGCTGCATCATCAGACTTCCTCCTGTAGAAGAGCACATAAGCAGCACCTGATTTCACATCGTCCTCGTTTATATGTGATATATGACTGTCATCGAAGCTATACCACTTGTTCTCGTCCAGAAGCTGCATATAACATTGGATTTTTGAGAAAATATATTCACAAGTAGAAACATAATCAAACAAACAACAAATAGAGCACTAAAAAGCTGGCTGCGTTGAACTGACCTTGATATGTGCTGTGTAGTGTCCGCTGCCCATACCACCGTAATGATTGGTCAAGGCATAGAGCTCATAGAGTTGTGGCCGAGAGAGGTTTTTGTTGGCTACATACTTTGTCAAATCCAAGTCATGAATAGGAAAGTTGACAAATGTTTCCAGCTTATGCTTCATGGATCTGCTGTACGAGAATCTCTTTAGATGTATCACTAACACTTCAGGAAGCCTCCACAAATCAAGCTTTTTGCTTGCCTGCCTTCTTTCGTTGCACTGTGGACAGAACCTTCACACACACAACAAAACAACATAGATTGATTAAACAGGTAGGTAGATAATAGTGGCTAAGATCTGCTGCAAGCATAAAATGTGTTCAAATTTGATCCGTAGCATTTCCTGATCATCACGCAACTTCTTTCAATAAAGGCTGCTTAATTGAACTTAAACCACAAAACCAGCAAGAATGAATCTGCCAAAGGAGAGTTAAGGAGAACATACCACATTTCGTCAGGCACCAAAGGCTCTTCACGTAGAAACGCTTCCAGGCATGAATATAAAGAAAGAGGTTCCGAACGAGCCTTCTTGGTAGCAGGTCCGTATTTGAGTACTTCAGGCAGACTCTCCAGGCAAGTTATATCATAAATACCAGAAAGTTCTGGTGTCCAATCCAAATATACAGTTACAGATGCAGATAACGGTAATTTAATAGCTTCCGCTTCATCTTCTGGTAGATTCACTGTTTTATTATTTTCATCAATGAGCTGCAGGGATAATTTTGATGCAGCCACTTCGGAGGAACTGCTTTTCTTGGCTTTTCTCAATCCACCATTTTTATCATCTTCCTCAGAGTTGTTAAACCGGGCTGACCTTCGCTCAGGGATGTGAGGTTCAGGATTTGCTTTCTTGCCCATTGATTCTTCCTTTCGAAAAGGTGAAAGCATATTTTGGACAATACAGAGGATTTTTCCTTTGGTGAGCGCATTTCCCCGTGAAGCTGATGAGAGAAGAGGTGTTCCGTAGGGTTTCAATTGTACTGTACTCTCACGATCCCCAGCTTTCCTGAAACATGTTACTCCTGTTAATAACTGTTCAATGTAGTAACTTTGTTCAGCCACAACGAGATGACAAGAGACGAACGCATATAGATGATAAAAACACAATCACGGTTTCAACAACACAAAAAAGCCAGAGATCAAAGACTGAAGAAGTAAGACTGGGATATAACTTACTGATCTCTGCGGCGGAGTACTAGTTTAAGCAAAACCGCATTCTCTGAAGTCTCTGAAAGTTTGTATGCAGCAAGGTGATCGTCGTCTTTGATAGTGGACAATGGAGTTAAAGGGTCTTCAAACAGTCTATGGATTAAATTATTTCGAATCTGCAACAAACATATTAATTAGTTTTAGGAAAAGCCAAAAGAGTGACAGCCTTACTTAAGAGAGCACTTGAAGTCACAAACCTCTGCAAGCTTCAGATCTTCACCTGGCTTCAGGGAACAAGCACTTTCTAATGCATAAATCAAGTCTCTGTAACGTCCTTGTTTCAGAACGTTGACGGTGATTGTGGAAGGTAAGGCAGTTTTATCACAAGAAAAAACCGTGAGTGTTATCGCTCGTGTTGTGTTGAACTGAAGGGGCAAAGATAGGTACATGAAGGGATCAAATGTTACAGAAACCTTCTTGCACTGCGGACATACTAGTGTTGACTTATATTGCCCCTGAGAGATTAGACACAGAATAAGAGAATGAGATTCCCACATTACCATAACAATGAAACCAAAGAAAAAAACTAACAATATACACTGCCTCTGAATCACAAGTTGAGTAGTGAATACAATTTAAAAAGGACAGAGTGAATGCGTAATAGAAAAGCTGATATATGATGCGTGATATTAGCTTTCATGCAACTGAGAATAGCATAAAGTCTCAAGACTAAATTCAATAAGCACAAGTGATGTACCCATTTCAAATACCACATATCTTTGTATATGCTACGTCCTACTGAGCCAAAGAAGTGTTGGGATTTCTAAAGGATGTACATCTTACCTGACAAACATCAACGATTATCGAGTCATTACGAGCAATATGATTAGCCCAAAACTCATCAGCAACTTCTTCATCAGGGCGACCATCTGCGTCTCGAGAATTTATATACGGTTTGTGTTTAACACGATTTAGGTCTTCATGAAGACCATCCAACAAAAACGCTAAAAGCTCCTGCAATGTAATAAACCCCCAATTCCTTGAGTTACCATACCAATACAGCGTAAAGAAAATTTCTGGCTAGTCTGTCAAACCTGTGAATCATGTTGATTGTATCCACCGAACTGAGGAGCAAAGCGAGCAAGTTTTGCCTTGAACGGACGGGGTGCAATTGGGGTCCGCCCAGGAGCCCATAACTTCCTAAGCAAGTCACCAAATGCAAGAGCTAATTCTCCCTGTGCATAATGATTTTTTAAACAGTCAAGTAATGAGCAATTTCACGGAAAAACAATGCTGGTAATCTACACAAGAAAATGTCACTGATTAGCTTGCCAACAAAAGAGGAACTTACAACCATCCCGAGAGGGTTTTGCCAATTTATCTCTTGATGATAATCTTCTTGGAAGTAACTAGCAAACTCAGGCGTATGAACTAGACACTGTATTGCACTATTCATGAAACAGGTATTCCCGAGATTCAACAGCCCAGTCAAGCCAGCAGGAGATCCTCTTGTGGTGACACCAGTGCTACTGTATGTGCTATCAAAAGATTGGGAAACTTCTACACTACCACTTCTGAATGCATTCCTGTTTGAAGAGAAACCTCCTGCAACTGACAAGCTCGACTTAGATGGCTCAATGAGAATAGAAGTAGAGTCTTCATCCACTAATCCGTTCTCTTGAACAGATTGAATGTGAGAACTCGATGTTGTACCATTGATGTCAAGCATCTCCACCAAAATCTGTTTTTAAAAGACAGATAAACAATCAGTGGGAAAACAAACACATCTGTATACAAAAAGTAATATAGAAAAAGAGAAAATCAGAGAGCAATGGAGCACATATAAAACCATACACCTAGACACAACTAAAAAATGGGATCGAACCATAACGTTTTACTTTTATTTGTTTCCCTCACTGTCAAAATTTGAAAAAGCCAAACGCTAATAGAAATTTAAGAGCTCCAGATAACTAAGTATAGGAGAAAGGGAACTCTAATGCCTTCTCTGTTCTCTCCTCACAGCACTTGGCCAAAAGATATACAACAAACTTGACATACCCAGGAACAATGTCAGGAAAACTATGACAGAAGTTCAGGTAGCATATTACTTAAGCGCAGAGAATACATTTAAAGCAAAAGAACAACTGAACTCACATCCTGATCCATTTGTAGGTTAGCATCGTCCAGTGTCTTATCTAAGTCATTCATCAAAGAATATTTTTGGTGGCCGTAGTAATCCCAAATGCGTACCTACATGTTGGAAAATGCTCATGTAAGAAAAATAAAAGAATATAAATAGTAGCACTGAAATAAGATGTTTGATAATATAGGCTATCAGATCTTTACGTGCTCTGAGTTGAGTTCAAAAATTTCACAGGCCCTTCGATGGAGCTCTCTGATAGTTTCCTGCACAACAAAGTGTAATAGTACAATGAGGTAGCAGAATAAAATGAGTTCGGATTTTAAAGTAACTAAAAAAAAGGATTACCTTTTTGCTTATTCTTATGGCACTGTGGTCGCTTTTGGGCATCAAGAGTAGCTGAAGACGTAAAGGGTAGACCTCCACAGCCAACTCTGTCTGAGAGAGGCCTGAGCTAATGACTCTCCGCGCCAGAGTCGGACCACCTCCGTACCTTATAAGACATAAGCAACATTCCATCTGAATCATATCATCACGTAAATCACTATGATAGAAAGCGGATTTTAACACATAATATAGCAATCTAGTAGATAAGAAAGACGAGGGACAGTATTATCGGTTTTCATATTAATCAGCACAAACTCAACATGAGAAAAAGTAAGCAACTCAATAACATCAGATGCATATAAAGTGTGCTTGAATGGACATGGGAATAAGTGTAGCCCACACAAAATGAAAAGATAAACAGTTTTATATCTGTTCTATTCTTTTACCCTTGAACTCACCATGAACTCAATTGGTTCCATACTTCCTGAGGGAGCAAAACATAGTCGCGGCCTTCCTGAAGCGTTTCGACAATCTCACTTGCATTGCTCGGGTCCTCCAGTGAAGAATCATAGATCAAATCAGAGTTATCAATCCTAGAAGGCTTCTTTAGATTGCTTGAGCCACCAGAATCGCAATGCTCTGACAGTGAAGACCCATCATTTGTGTTGCATGGTTGGTCTTGATTCACATATTCAATCCATTCTTGCCACCACCTGGAAAGAAAGAGTAACAACACAGAAAATGTTCTCAGAGATGGCAGTCACCAGAAGTTCGAGAAGTTTCATACCCTTAAACATGAGTCAGCTTTATCTAATCAAAAATGACAGTTCTATAAAAATACCCAATTCATAAGCCTAGCCACACTTCGTAACGAAGGCAAAAAACCAAAAATTGATGAAGAAAGCAGATATAACTCTCCGGAATTTGATTGACTCGTAGAAAACGAAGTTGCAAATGGCAAATAGAGAGCGAAATGAAGCCTTATAGATACCTCTGAGTGATGAGATAAAACGTATCGCCTTCTTTGCTGTTAGCCTCAGCAGCAATAGCAATGTCTCTAATGAAAACTCGCTCCTCCTCGGGAGACAGATCCGTGCTGCTACCGCTGCTTCCCATCGACACCTCCGCCATGTCTAGACCCTCGCAAAAATTTGGATGATATTTCTATTCAGCTAAGTAACTTTCACGAATCCTGGGTTTGCGGGCACGAATTGAGCTGAGATAACGCCGGGGAATGGGGATGGTCGGCCAATTTTAACCGTGCTCCGCCGTACGTCTCCGGTGAGAGCTAGGCGGTTGCTATGATATAAACCCTAACGGCTTTTTTGGGAGGAGAAAGTAGAGTGAGCCGCGTCGAACCTAGATTGTATTTCGAAAGTTCCACCAAATGCAAAAAAAAAAAGTCTACTTTAGATCCAGTAAAGTGTAAACCTAAAGCCTAAAGGTATTAGTAATGGCAGGGACTCGAACCTGAAATTTCAAGTACTGGCGATGATGTTAGCACCAGTTTAGCTAAATCATATTTTCTGTTAGTCAAGTATATTATAAAGTATATCTCTTTTAAAACTTCCCCCTAAATTTTTGACCAAAAAAGTTATTTTTTTTCAACAATATAATTCAGATGTAAATGAGTTTGATTTGGACTATATGACTTTAAAATTTTGATCTCAAAATTATATAAAGTCTACTTAACATATCGTAAGTTATTCTGTATTTAAATTTGTATTACAACTTACAATACAATTTGTGAAAATAATATGGTTGATTTTAGAAATAATAAAAAGAATTTTGGGCAAAAAAGAAAGAAATGAGTGAAGAAAATTTTTTTTGGCTTTTCTCCTTCTCCGAATCTCCTCGAGCAAGCGATCACATAGTGGAACCCATCTTCGATTCTCGTTCCCTGCGTCTGCCTCTTAATCCGTAGACCATCGATTCGCTTACCGCCGGTCAGTATAGCTCTTTTCTTCCTTCTTCTTCTTTTTCGCCGATTGACTAAAACCCCATTTCCATTCACCACCCAATGGGTTTGATGATTCTCACAGTCGTCCTAATTTCGTTTTCCGTATCATTTGTTGAAAAATTGTGAATGTTGATTTCTCATTAATGCGCCTTCGAATGCATCAACATTGTCCTTGTGGATTTGGTTAGCTAGTGGATCCTATTTCTTTCTCCTCGTGTGACTTTGAGTTACCAATTTTAGACATTTGTTTGCATTCTTTCCCTATTTTGCATTCTACGTTCTCATTCTCTGTGTTATTCTGCCAAAGTTTCTGTTTTTACATACCTGTTATGGGCTCTGAGAGTCTTTAAACAAACAAAGTATATACTTTTGGTTCTCTATTCTGCAAATCATTATGTTCAGATTTGATGAATCTCACTGAAATTTGGTTCTTAGATATGAATTGGTGTTTTGTTGTGTAGCTGTTACATGAACAAGATTTGGGTATATTGTAATGTTATTTTTTTTCCAGAGTGATGGAGGCCAAGCCAAAAAGGAGGACTGTTACAGAAAATGGAGATACAGGAGAAGATTTAGTTCTTGCAACATTGATTGGGAACGGAGACGACGTTGGTCCTCTTGTCAGGCATGCTTTTGAGATGGGACGCCCTGAGCCACTCGTTCACCAGCTCAAGAACGTTGTCAAGAAGAAAGAAGCTGAGATTGAGGACTTGTGCAAGACACACTACGAAGAGTTCATCGTCGCGGTTGACGAGCTCCGTGGTGTGCTGGTAGACGCCGAGGAGCTTAAAAGCGACCTCGCGAGTGACAATTTCAGGTTGCAAGAGGTTGGTACTGCCTTGTTGGTGAAGCTGGAAGATCTTCTTGAATCTTATGCGATCAAGAAGAACGTGACTGAAGCTATTAAAATGTCGAAGATCTGCGTTCAAGCGCTGGATCTCTGCCTGAAATGTAATAACTACGTATCTGAAGGCCAGTTTTACCCGGCCTTGAAGACCATGGATCTGATTGAGAAGAACTACTTGCAGATCATCCCTGTTAAGGTTCTGAAGCTGATTATAGAGAGGAGGATCCCTGTGATCAAGTCGCATGTGGAGAAGAAGGTGTGCAGCCAGTTTAATGAGTGGCTAGTTCACATTAGGAGCTCTGCTAAAGCTATTGGACAGACTGCTATTGGCTTCACTGCTTCAGTTCGCCAGAAGGAAGAGGAAACGGTGGAGCGTCAGAGGAAAGCAGAGGAACAGAACGTTGGTGGGTTGGGAGAATCTGAGTATACCTTAGATGTTGAAGATCTTGAGCAAGACTCTGTTCTGAAGATTGATCTGACACCTTTGTACCGAGCATCTCACATCCACACTATCCTTGGAGTCCCAGAGAGATTCCGTGAATATTACTATAAGAACCGGGAGCTGCAGCTCAAGTCAGACCTGCAAATCTCTTCTGTCCAGCCATTCGTTGAATCATACCAAACGTTTCTTGCTCAGATTGCAGGCTACTTCATCGTTGAGGATCGTGTGGTTAGAACTGCTGGAGGGTTCTTGTCAGCTGATCAAGTTGACACAATGTGGGAAACAGCCGTTGCCAAGATTGTATCCGTGTTGGACAATCAGTTCTCCACCATGGACTCTCCTACTCATCTGCTTTTGGTTAAAGACTATGTGACTCTCCTTGGTACAACTCTTAGACAGTACGGCTATGAGGTGGCTCCAGTCATTGACGCACTTGACAAAAGCCGAGACAGATACCACGAGCTTCTTCTTGAAGAGTGTCGCCAGCAGATTGTTGCCGCTATCTCGAACGACAGCTATCAGCAGATGGTGATCAAGAAAGAATCAGACTACGAAAGCAACGTCTTGTCGTTTAACCTCCAGACGTCAGACATCATGCCGGCTTTCACATACATCGCACCGTTCTCCTCCATGGTACCAGATGTTTGCCGGATCATCAGATCGTACATAAAAGGCTCTGTTGATTACTTGACGTATGGGGTGAACACAAGCTTCTTCAACGTTGTGAAGAAGTACCTGGACAAGATCTTGATCGATGTGTTGAACGAAGTTATCCTCAACACGATTAGCAGCAACGGGATCGGAGTATCTCAAGCTATGCAGATCGCAGCAAACATATCTTTCCTTGAAAAGGCGTGCGATTATTTTCTCCGGCATGCAGCTCAGCTCTGCGGTATCCCAAGCCGATCAGTCGAAAGGCCTCAGGCAGGTTTATCAGCCAAGGTTGTTCTCAAAACATCGAGAGACGAAGCTTATCTCGCTTTGTTGAATGTTGTGAACACGAAGCTCGACGAGTTCATGAACCTCACGGAAAACGTAAACTGGACTACAGAAGAGACGCCACAAGGCGTCCATGAGTTCATAAACGAGGTTGTTATATACCTCGAGACTGTTATGTCAACTGCTCAGCAGATCCTCCCGACGGATGCTTTGTACAAAGTTGGTGTTGGAGCGTTAGAGCACATCGCAAACTCAATCGTCTCTGCGTTCCTCAATGAGAGTATTAAGAGGTTCAATGCGAACGCAGTCTCGGCTATCAACAATGACCTGAGAGTTATAGAGACCTTTGCTGATGAGAGGTATCAGTTAACGGGGTTGAGTGAGATCTACAAGGAAGGAAGCTTCAGGAGCTATTTGGTGGAAGCGAGGCAGCTGATAAATCTGTTGTCGAGTAGCCAACCGGAGAATTTTATGAATCCGGTGATCAGGGAGAGGAACTACAACACGTTGGATTATAAGAAAGTGGCGACGATTTGTGAGAAGTTTAAGGACTCTGCAGATGGGATATTTGGAAGCCTTGCAAGCAGGAACACGAAGCAGACTGCTAAGAAGAAATCAATGGATATGCTTAAGAAGAGACTCAAGGATTTCAACTGATTCTGTTCTGGAATAACACAATAGTAGTGTAGGTCTGACTCTGACCCATTACTTCATCATCATCATCATCAGATAGCTTCGTTTTTTCTCTTGATTTGCTTCTTTTTTCCTTCTTTTCAGTTTTTTCTGTTTTATGAAGTTTTGTCCTAAATTGACGGATTTCTTTAGGTAGAGAGATGTCTTTGTAGATTGTTTCCTTATGCCTTTCATTATCTTCCGAGTGTTTCATGTAGAATCTGATTTGATCCTTGAAACAAATAATGTCTTTAGAATCTCAAATATTGTCTTCAGAATCAATGTTCTTAGTCCAATACATATTTTCGTATCCCAAAACCAAACGAAACAAATTAAACAAGTATTAAGAATTTTTTTTTTTTTGGTAAAAAAGTATTAAGAGTTTACGTTGGACTTGTTTTTATTTTGAAAAATACTGTCGCTGTAGAATTTCAAAGTAACATTTTATGTTGGAATACATAATTTAACGTTCAGTCATAAGAAAAAGGTTCTCTTTTTTAAGCATCTAGATAATGAAACAGTGATCTTTTAAGTTATGTTTTTTGCTAGTTTGAATTGATTAAAAACTTTTAGAACGAAGAAACAAACATTTACATTTTACATAATAAAATTTGTTTGGTTCTGAAAAATATATTAATGTGAATTTTAAATGATAAAATATTTTCAGATTAATAATTAATATTCCGAATACTGGCCTGGTCAATTTACTTTTCTTTTTTAGTTTTTATCTAAAATCTAAAATCAACGAGGAAACTCAGCTCTCAATAAAAGTGAGCTCTGGACCTCGAATCTGAGTTGATGCTAATCCAATCTCTCCGTCGAGCTCAGGTAAGACTTCACCTGTATTCTCATTTCTCTCTAGAATTATTTAGCATCTAAACTCCGTTTTCGCTGATTCATCTTGCTCGCCATTTGTTCTCTCCGATTGTCTCTGCTTCTTGCTGTAATCGTCGTTCTTATGTTCTCGATGCTCATTTTAGTGCAATTCAACGTACTAATCTGTTCTTCGTGTATAATTTTAGGCTCTGAGGTAGTAAAGTCAAGTCCTTTTTTTGAAATCGTTGGGACTGAAGAGAGTAAGTTTCAGCATTAGGATGAAAGAAGAGGGACATTACGTGCCGCCGACTTACATTCCAATAAGACAGTCAGATGCTGATACAGAAGAAGTAACCACCACTCCAAATCAAGAAGCTGCTGATTCTGGAGACACAGGAGATGTTCCGAAACAGTGGTCGTCTGGTATATGCGCTTGCTTCGACGATATGCAGAGCTGTATGCTACTCTCTGTCCTCCATACCTTGATTTTACTTCAGGACCCAATTTTTTATAAGGTGCCTTATTGAATTGACCTGTGAAATCTATGTGTTGAGAGTTTAATTACAATTCATGTTAGAGGCTTTTTGGTATAGAAGCATAACTAAGTCGCATTTCTTCAGTAGTTTGGGGAAGAAACTTTAATTTAGGTGTTGTCACAATTTATTTGCTTGTTATGCTACTTCTCTTGGAGATAAATGGTTTGAGAAGTAGCATGGGAACTTACTATGGTTTGTTTGGGATATGCCACAGGTTGTATAGGTTTGTTCTGTCCATGTTACATCTTTGGCAAGAACGCAGAGTTGTTGGGGTCTGGAACATTTGCAGGACCTTGCGTTACCCATTGCATTTCATGGGCGTTAGTCAACACCATTTGCTGCTTTGCTACTAATGGTGTCTTGCTCGGTCTTCCGGGGTGCTTTGTGTCATGTTACGCTTGTGGATACCGCAGATCATTGAGAGCCAAGTACAATTTACAGGTAGAGAGAAAGTGGCTCAAAATTGCAACATGACTGTGGATATCAATTTAGTTGTTGTTTCTAACCGGCAAGTTTATGTAACATTGTTTGATGCAGGAGGCTCCATGTGGGGATTTTGTAACACACTTCTTCTGTCACTTGTGTGCCGTTTGCCAAGAATACAGAGAGATCCGAGAACGAAGCAGTGGCTCAAATACTACCGACGTGAAGATGGCTATTACCAACGCCCCCTTAGCTCAAACCATGGAATCAGCAAATTGATCACTTTTGTCTTGTTCAATTTTCAGTGACTTTTGCAATGTATTTGAGAAGTTTGATTAAGTAAAGTATAACTTTCTAAGGTTTATAAGTATAACAAAGATATAAAAAGAAAAGTTACAGTATTTGGATTCTACTACATCTGGAAACAAAAACCGAAAAAACGGTGATAGTATAGCTAAGGATATTACTTGATACCATAGAGGTAGCTGTTTATTCTTTTACATACAGAGCTGAAGGAGAGAAGACTTGCTGAGACATGTTTCTTTTTAAGTAGTCACAAGATGAGGAGCTCCTGAACGAGGAAGGACACAAGAGTATGTTACATACTTTGCACTGTCCAGAAGCACGACGACAAAAACTCGGGACAGTGATTTCGGTCCACCGATCATCCCATCAATGTCTCCGTCCCCACCTTCTCTGGGATCAACAAGCACAGAGACAACCATTGATGAAGCGGGCTTGATTTCTTTGCTAGAGCTGTTTCTTTGCTGCTCTTTGGTGTAGTTGAAATCTTTTCCTGGGAGTGGAATGGGAAGACCACGAAGGGTTCTTCTGTTCTTTCGCCTGTGTGTGTCCGTGGCATTCTTACTCTGCTCAGCAGAGACGTTGGTTGCTGTAGATGCAGGAATGATGGCTCCGGAGGTTGAGGAGACATCGAACTGGAACACTTCAGTGCACATCCCGGAGCTAAACATTGGCCCTGCAATAGAGTCATATAGCGGAAACAGGTTACTTAATACTCATCACAAGAATCCAAAAGACAATCCCAAAAGAAAGCATGGGAAGGATTTTAACGATCACTTGATCTACTTTTTTTCAATCTCTATGAGTCACTCTTTCACATGTTACTTATGCATCTACTCTTAACCTACAGTGTCTTCCTACATGATCAAGTCAATGGAACAGAAAGTAGTATAAGAAACCAAATATTACCTGCAACACCTTCACGAAACCATTGCTGCATTTCACCATTGGCTGCTTTTGTTTTGATTTGGTCTTTCAGAGTATCAGCAGAGCCAGAGGATAAGGCTTTCTGTTTTTCAGTCTTAGATCTATAGAGATGCTTAGCAATATCCTCCATCTTTCCGGCGTCAGGTATAGGCAGTGCCGGGGAATAATCTTTAGGAACCACCAAGTCAGCTTTCCTCTCATTCGATTCAGAAGCCTTTCGAGAAGCCACAACAGCTTTCTCACTCGCCAATATAGAATTAATAATCAGATTCCCATCAATCTTCACAAGCTTGTCATTCCTCGGAACAAAGAGTGATGCAACTAGAGGCTCACTACCATTTCCAGGAGGAACAGAGCTCTCTGCTGTAGTTATATTCTTCCCACAATGCATACCATTACTATTAGAACCAGCACTACCACTACGAGATGTTTCCAAAACTCTGTCCCTATGCTGGTTATAGATATGGTCAGTAACATAATTAGACCTATAGTTCCCATAAAAGGCACCACTAATTCCTCCGTAACTAACGTTCACAATTGGAGCCAATGCACCAAACAAAAATAAACAAAAAAGAAGACCCAGGAAGCTAATACTGGCGACCTTCTTGGTTCTAGTTTCACTCTTCTTACTCTCCGACTTCTTTGCCTTGGATGATCCAAGGGGATTATGTGGTTTCAACCTGGGAATGGGAATCAAAGGCACTTGAGAGCCTTGCTGCTTCACCATATAAGGTGGACAAGGCATCCATGGATAAGCCATTGGTGCCATCGGCGGATACATTCCCATCGGAGGTGGTTGATGATGCGGCGGGCACATCCCATTGCCGCCTAATTGCTGCCGTAAAGTGGCGTTCTCAGCCATGAAATATGATATCTTCCCGTTCAAATCCGTTATGGTCGAATGCATATTCCTGACCTTCTCCTCCAGCTCCTCGACGTAATGTTTCTTCCTCTGCCTTGAAAGCTGCGCGCTTTCTCGGTTTCTCATCAGTCTCGCTTTCTTCTTCTCATCTTCTTCGCCGGTGACCGCACTTGCGTCTGCGTCCTCTCCCGATCTCCTGTACTTACTGCTCCTCGATTCGTCACTCAAATCTTCTTCGATCTCTTTCTTCCTCTTGGTAATTGATGTCGCAGCAGCAGCTGCAGCTTCTTCCACCTTAACCTTCTGATCGACCACGACGTTTCCTGATTTCGGCGACGATTCGTTTGTAGCTTCCGAGACATCGGAAGCGCAATTACCCGACCCCTGGGACGATAACGGAGTCGGTAGATCCGAGCTACGCTCAGCACCGGAGCATCGATCGTCGGAGTCTTTGGAAGATTCCCGGTTGCAGCAGCCAGAAGTGGACGGCAATCGGTTAATACTGGTGTTATCGGCATCTTTGAGAACACAATCGCCGGAAATTCCAGAACCTTCAGACTCCGGAGTGAAATCCCCAAACTGCTCTTGGCTCGAGGCATTGACAGGGATGAGGAACGTCTCGTTCTCGCCGGGGAAGTAGAGGTCGTCGAAAGTGAGCTCGATTTCACCGTCGCCATCAACAGGAAACCCCAGATCGGACATGAGTTCACTAATCGGAACCTGATCGGAACCGGAATGGTAAAATTGGTCGAACGGAGGGATCGAGATGGAATCGAAGTCGGAAGGAGGGAGGGTGGAATTAGGATCGGGAGCAGGTGGAGGTGGAGGCTCCTCCGTGATTGGTTCAGCCATTGGCTTAGGGTTAGGGTTCCGAAATGGGAACGATGAGGAAGGAGAAGGAAAAGGGGTTATGGATTTATGCGGTGAAAAGCACGGGAAGAGGACGGGGGTTTAAAGACAAAGGAGGAAGCTGCCTTCTTCTCTCCCGACCTCGGCGCGTGGCTTACGCTCCCGGAATCGCACTCGCTTAGCTTACTAGTGATGGGACCAAAATCCAAATTACATTTGTTTCCAAACATAAATACTAAAAGATAAATCTAGGAAAAAATAATTTAAATAATATTTTTACTATTACTAGCTGATAACTTTTTGTGATGTGTAGTAGGTTTCCTAATTTTGTACTGTTTTTGGTAAGCATTATTAATGTTTAATCAATAAAATAGTAGCAAGTCTCATCTAAAAATGTTAAGCTATACATTTTCAAAGTTATTGACTTCTGTGATTTATGTGACTTATTTAGCAGATTTCATTTATTGAATTATATAGAAGGATTCAATGCAGATACGTAATATATGGAAACAAATTTATGCGATTACTACATGTCAATTTTTTTCGTTCTTCTTTTTTATGTTTTTGATATTTCTCAATTTTCTAATTTGGTTTCTCATTATTTGTTTCTGTAATCATTTTCGCTTTACTTCAACAACATTAGAAGGATACGTATCCAAATCGAATGGAGTGGTTTTGACTTTTGAGCCGATAGAGATTGTCTAATTTCATCACCATACATTACCTATACAAAAATGACATTGTAGTATTGTACCATACTATGTGTTTTGTCTTTTGTGCGTACGTGAAGGAGATAGTAGAGTATAGGAGAGAGCATATGCATTTGGTTTGACGTTCTCCTTATATTAGTTCATCAGTTTGGTAGTGAACTCTTGTGGTGGTGACTTTTCGTGTTTCAAGCTTTGAAACCGATCGAGCCCATTGGAGTGGCCAGATTTATGTATCCAATTATGTTTTTGTTTTTTTTTAAAACACCAGTTATGTTGTTTTATGTGTCACTAATAGTAGTGGGTCCTTTGCATCATCACAAAACAAGAAAACAAGAATAATATTGTGTCAAAAACAAAAGTTACTTTATATTGTGTCAAAAACAAAAATTAAAAACAAGAATAAAAGATTTATACCGTGCCAAAAAAACAAAAACGGGAAACAAGTGTAACAGAAAACCAGCGAGTGTAAAGCAAACGCTAGAGGAAGAGAGTTTCGGAGCAGGTGACTGTCCACGTTAAGCACGTTGACTGACGGCATTTTGTTGGAGTGAAGGAAGGGTTTTTGTTTTGGCCTCTCTCGAAACTTTTCTCTATCTTATCACCTCACTTTCCAACTGTATGTAGTTTTTGAGTCTCTTTTACGCCACGCATGTCTAATCTCCAATGTTATCAAATACATCCAAATACATCGAGAACTTTTGAACAACACTTGTTTCTGGAATGGAGTGGAGAGAATAACAATTAAAGTTTTTCCAGGCTACAAAAAATCATGGAAATTAAACACAATTGATATGTATATAAAAAAATCTGGGGGTGTGGGATCAACTGATCAAGTCAAGATTGAAAATGACAGATAACATTAGACGTAATTATATATAACCAGTCTACAATATTTAAGGTAATTATGTAAGAAAATTATTCTATATGTGTGTATGTTACTTTTTTGTCAAGATATATATTGTTTGATTTTGACTAGAAATCTATAAGGAAATGAATTGAAAATTATTACTTTACAACTTCTTTTTGCTAAGTTGTTTATTAAATTTGACCATGAAAATTACCTTTTACGTACGTTTGTGTTACTATATATAACCAATCTAAATAAAGAAAACTTATCAAGAAAGTTAAAAAAGAAAATATCATAAAATGGTTTTTAGCATGAATATTTTAATTAAATTTGTTTTCATGATCCATTTCATCATAACGTTTGCTCATTGTCATCCAACAACCGTTAGTACTCCAGGTATTGGTTTCTTCTTATACCACTATTTAAAAAGTATACACATGAGTTTGTCTTTTCAATTAATATACATATTGGTTTAATAATTTTTCTATTAATAAATAGGATATGGAATCAAAATGACTATACAATGTTTCCCTTCCGAAGAACCATGTGAAGATAAAAAGTGCGAGAAAATTTGTCAACCAGATTATGTTCAACATTGGTGTGAAACTAAATTACCTCATAATGCATGCTGTTGTCGTGATCCAGAGACGAAATCATATAATCAAATAAATGTATAAGTATATGCTTCAAAATAATATTAATCTTATGTATTGATATTGTTTTGAATAATATCAAAACATAAGCAAAATTAATAAACTTTACTTTAAAAAGATAAATTTGATTAAATTCAACCAATAATTTATTTATTTTGCAATCAGAACGTAACGTAGTAAATATAAAGTGATGAAAGTGATGAATTATTCAAAAAGTTTTCTATAATATAAAAAACAATTAAGAAAAAAATGAAATTAAATATGTAGAGTTTCACTTCCCTAACAAAAGAAAAAGAAAGATCAAAGTGATTTTGCTATATCAAACAAATATCGCAACAATAAAATGTAATTTTCTTTTGTATGTAATCATTCAGGTGTTAAGTTTTATATTAATATTGATTTAAAATGAATGTTTTTTTTTTTATTCTTGTTATCGTTGAGTAAATGATAAACTAAATTTGAATTAAAAAAATCACATCAAAAATTATAGTATCATTTTTTTCTGAAACCAAATACATAACTCTTGAAATATATTATTTGAATATATTTATATTAAGTTTATTACTCATATCGTTGTATAGAACCATCTTTTGTTCCATGTTTGTTAAATGAATTATTTGCAAGTCATTCACAAGTTTAACATTCTAATAAGTAATAACTTCTTTTGTTTTATAGCGAACAAATGTACTGTATTAGACCATTTAGAGCATCTCCAACCCAGCTCCCATATTTCTTTATTGCATTTTGGAGTCAATTTTGCTCCAACCCAACCTCATTTTCAATCTCAAAATGGCAAAATGCCATATTTTTCCCAAATTGAGGTTGATCCCATTTTCATTTCCATTTTGGAGTTGAAGTTTTTAAATTATATATCATTGAAGTTTTAAATTATTTCAGTTTATATATAATTAATTATTTTGATGTTTATTTTTACCCTAAAATAAAAATAACACATATTCAATAGAAAATTTAATTATTTAAGCTACTAATAAATTTAAAAAGAAAGGAAAATATTTTTATTAGAAATAACATCAAAAAAAATTTATTAAAACAACTATTCAAATGGTTCTAATTAAAAATAAAATTCAGTTTGTGTTGTTATTTTTAGTCTTGTAATAATGTATTATTAATATTTTCATAATTAATTTAAATAACTATAATAAATTGTGAAAGTTTTGAAGAAAAAAAATTATGGGGCAATTTGTAATATATATAAATATTCAATGTAAATTTAGTAATTAATAAAAAGTTTTGAAGTAAAAAATGAGGCAATACATTGGAGCAAAACTCAACTCCATTTTGAGATTTCTTCATTTTGGAGTCAAATATGGAGCAATACATTGGAGATGCCCTTAAAGATATGAAATTTGTGTTTAGCAATCATGAATAACATGTGATTCTAGAACTGATCTTCATAAACAATGAATGAAAAACAAATACAATGTCTAAAGATTTGGTCCAAAAAAAAAATATATATATATATATATATATATATAAAAGGTCTAAACTCTAAAGTGAGTTAAGCACGGGAGGAGCTGAAGAATTTGGTTTCTTTTTATTGGTCTCTTTCTCTTGTTTCTTTCTTTTTATAAGGCTTTCAAGTAAGTGAAGTGGCAAAGGTCGCGAAAGAATCATCAACGTCCTCGGTGGAAAAAAAGTTGGGAGCAAAAGTTACAACTAATCTTCTTTCTTGACACTTTGGCAAAACCAAATTGAGATGGGAGATTATGCTTTTTCTTACCTAATCAATCGAATTGTATATACACTCATCAAGGCAGATAATGATTAAGGGGGCTTACTTTAAACATCCAGATAAATACATCACGCTTAGGTTATAGTGAAAGCAGATTGTTGTTGACTAATGACTAGTGAGCTTCTATTTGCATCAAGTAAAAAAATAAAAATAAACAGAGGTAAATACAGTAATTAAGTTGAAAACATAGTCTGTCTTCTCCTACGTAATCATCTTCTTTACCCTAAAAGAAACCAATGTATTTAATTTGAAGGTGGTCTCTGGTACTGGATAACAGTAACAGTCTCTGTATTCCAAAAGTACTTACACCCAGTGCTACTATTCACAAGACCTTTCCACGGCTTAGGGAGATTTGGATCCTCAGGAGCTCTAGCAGCCATTACCGAAGCCCAGGGAGAAGAACATGCAAAACGAGAGTTACCGAACAAGTTGCAGTAGCTCGATCCTTCTCTTTCTGGAGGAGCAATCCTAGACAGTTTAATGTTCTCTCATCCTTCCCCATCACTTCCACAAAGTTGCAGAAAACTCTCTATTGTGTCTATTCCCGCAAGTTTAACCCAAGCGTGACTATAAAAAGCAGCAAACAAAAACAAATATCTGGTTAGCATTTGATAACATGAGAGCAAACTGAGAGGAAAAAGCCACAAACCTGAAAAGAACACCTGGGTGACTTTCATGAAGAGCTATAGACAAGACACGTCTTCATTGAGAGAGTTGCTCTGCTCAAACAGCATGCTCTTGACATACTCTCAAACAGCATGTTACGTGTGTGTGTGTGTGTGTTACTTTTTCTTGTCAAGATAATAATTATTTTGACTATATATCCATAAGTAAATAAATTGAAAATTATGTTACTTGTCAACCTTTTAGTTTTGCTAAGCTATTAAATTCGACCATGAAAATTATATATATATATATAACCAATATAAATAGAGAAAGTCATCAAGAAAGTTAAAAGAAAATATCATAAAAAATGATTTCTAGCATGAATTTTTTCATTAAATTTGTTTTCATGATTCTTTTCATCATACCTTTTGCTCATTGTCGTTCAACAACCGTTAATACCCCAGGTATTGGTTTATTCTTATACTACTATTTGAAAATTATACACATGAATTTGTCTTTTCAATTAATATACATATTGGTTTAATAATTTTTTATTAATAAATAGTATATGAAATAAAGCAATGGGATCTCGAATGTTACACTTCCAAAGGACCATGTGAAGATAAAAGTTGCGAGAAATTTTGTACAAAGCAAGGTTATGTTCAAAGCTGGTGCCAGATTCGTCCTAATGATTGTTGTTGTCGTAATCCATTATAATAATATCAAATAAATGTATTAAAAATAATATTTATCTTTTCATATGTTTTGAATAATATCAAGACGTACGCAAAATTCATTAACTTTACTTTAAAATATAATTTTGATTAAATTCAAGCAATTTTTTGTTTTTTTTGCAAATAAAACGTTATGTAGATCTAAACCGAAATATAAAGTAACGAATATTGGTCAATAAAATTCCACAACATAAATAAAAAAGTTAAGAGAAAAATGAAACAAAACATGTGAGCTTCACTTCCCTAACAAAAAAAGTAAAGATGAAAGTGATTTTGCTATGTAAAATGAAAACAAATTGTTAAAGTTTAATTGGTAACATTATTCGCAACAATACAATGTATTATTTTATATCTACGATTTTTTTTTTTTTTTTTTTGCTTCTTCATCATTATTTGTGTTTAATATTTGAATCAATCTGTTTTTTGTTTTGGTTATCATATAGCATTTGAAGGTTGTGTTGTGATCGGATGTTTGGTTTGGTAGAACTCCGTAGTTTGTTTCCAAACCCTGATAACTTCAATGGAGCAGCCAACCCGATAACTTCATGAATCCCATTATCAATGAGAAGAAGTACCTATAACACGTCGGATTATAAGAAAACTGGCAATGATTTGTGAAACACTCATGATTGTTTGTTCTGCTCCAAGATAGATCTTAATAATGGTTAGTCTCAACGTTCAACGTGTTTTCTTCTTTCTGTTGATATTGTCTTTGAATAATTTTAAGAAACGTAGACTTTGTAAATGAATTCTTTGTACGTCATCACAAATTTTAGTATTCTAATATTCTTTTTGTTTTACAGCAAACGAATCTCATTAACTTAGACATACTAGAGATATGAAATTCGAGTTTAATATTAACCATGTATAATTCTAGAAGAAGTCATCCTCATGATTAATGCATTAATGAAAAACAATTTTATATATTGTCTAAGTGGGTAGTTCTTTTTGTTAGTGGTAAAACAATGTCCTCAAGAAATAAATCCATAAAGAGAGATAAAAAGTGTTCTTACACGTTTAAGAAAAAATTGAATGAACAGAAAAACAAAGTACACACCATGACCAAAAGAGGAAATTTAGAGCTTGGGAAAAACCATGGAAGAAGGAAAACACAATTCGCCATTACTTGTAAGTTTTGGACTTTTGGGAAAAGGAACCGGATTTTAAGTGGTAGTTACAGAAAATAAAACATTTCTTCAATCAAGAAAATCTTAACTAGAAAAACAAAACAATGGGATCAAATGTAAATAGAAACAGAGTGGAGATTCTTACTTAGAAAGCACGGCAAGAGAAACAGAAACTCAGCACAAAATCTCTGCCTTTCAGCTACAGTGTTCCTTCCCCTCCAAGAAAAGTCACCATTTCATCTGCAAGCTGGAAATATGGTCTGTATTTACACAAACCCACCACGAAAAGTGGCTATGACTTTTTCGAATCTTTATCTTGGATTGGGTCCAACTTAGCAGCTAATAAACTATGGATTCGAATAACACGTCTTGTCGTCTTCGCCAAGACTGATTTCAACAGAACTAAAAACACACAAAGATAAAGGTGTCTACATAACATTTAAGTAACAAACAGATCACTCGTTAACTTATTACATAAAAGAGTCTCATGAAACATTCTTAACTTAGAACAAGAAACAAAAGAAACTCTTCCAAGCAGCATATTGTTCTCTAGATAGTTATTCAAGATAACCCCTCTCTAGCTCTCTTGCTTAATCGATGGATAGGCGTGGGATACAAAAGTCAACAAGCAGACCTGCTGGCCCAATGCCCAGATGGGAGAAGTAAAGCATCCTGCTCACAGCCACCTTGACAACCACAAACTTCTTCTTGTACCACACCTTCACTGTTGCAATCGACTTTCCATAGATCTTCTCCACTTTCAACACGATCACATCTCTAAGTCCAACAAACTTGGCTGCCTCACCTGACGGCCCACAGTAAATCCCCTACAAATGAACAAAAATCCTCTCCAAGTCAAAAACCATTCTCATTTTGAATCTAACTAAACAGAGCAACCAAACCAACACTTACGTCTTGTTGAAGATCAATGTGTGGAGTGTACACATGCATTCTTGCTCCAACCGGTTGATCCTTCAACACCTCACGTACTTGCTCAAAGTTATCAGCCTCATCCACTTTTCCTCTCATGGAAACCAGAGCAGGTTTGTGAGATGGCGAGGGTTTGACACCAGATCCCAAGAGTGGCCAATCTTCTGCTTTCGGTATCCCATTCTTGAAGGCAAACTCGAGGCACTCTTTGACAGTGAGGCTTTGACCAGCGACAGCGACTTTGTCCAGGAAATACTGAGCAGAGTACTCAGTGTGCACACTGTCAAGCTTGAGTGCAAGGCGTGTAGAGCTGATCAGATCAGCTGCAACGACTGCAGCAGAAACAGACTCATCTGCAAAGAGACAAACACACACAAATGGAAGAATGATCAATCAAATGTGAAACAAGAAGTAATCTCAAGAAAAGTATATTCTAGAGTGATGATTAAGTTACCGTGCTCATGGTCATGCTCATACTTAACCACCTGACCCCGTCCCAATGCCAAGCTGAAAGCGAAATTGGGATCATAGGGAGGGAGTGCCATCTGGAACTGCTTAGACCCTGAAAGATTTGAACTTTATGAATGTCAACGGCAACAACATGTAAGAACCGAATCTAAGTGAACACAAAGTTTTATGTTTGTTCATTAGACAGTAACGAAAAGAAAGGAAATTGGAGACCTTTGCTTCCATTTTAGGTCAGACAAATAAGCAAAATCAAACAGAGAGAGTATATGTAGCACAAATCATAGTATTATGACAAGGCCGAAACATGAATCCATGAGTATTTGGCTAAACCGAAGCAATGTGATAGCTTTTTTTTACCAAATGATGACCAAACTAAAGGAAAAGTTAAACCCTAATTAATACGTAATCAAAAGTTCCAAGCAAAATTGTTCACTAATCCACACTGAAAAAAGGAAAGCAAACTCGGTAACAGAACCATAGCAAGCTAAACAGATCCCAGCTTAGAAACAACTAAAAATGTAACATCTAATCGCATTTTACAAGGGAAACTCACAAGCAGAGAATCAGTTACAAAACCTAAGCAAAGCTAAAGAAAAATCGAAGCTAAGAGAACATAATGAGAGTGTGGGGAAACTTACCGGAGACAGGAAGAGGAAACAGCTGCAGTGAGAAGGAAACTACTTTGAAAGTTAAGAGCTTTATTTAAGCTTTGTGTTGCAAACGCTCAAGGAAAGGTTTTGGGATTACAGAGAGTGAGAGAGGGTATTTATACAGAGACAATGTTCTAGGCTCTTCTGTAAACCCTAATGCCAGATGGCAAAATCCGCTTCACTCTTCAGAAAGGTTTCGAATCTTGACTGCATTGTTCGTACGACCATTTTTGAGCTGTTCCACTTCCACACTCTTTCCTCTGCTTTTGACTTGTCGTTTTGCAGAGTAAATGCGAAGTGACCGTTTGTTGGTGACTTGGTGTTGTTGTTCTTTATTGGGCTTGGGTATTATAACTCTATTGGGCTTACATTACTTCAGGCCCATTCGAGCTTTTGTTTCTGATCCAAACGATGATTTAGCACGCCGTTTTGCTTCCATGAAATTCGAGTTTCATAACCATGTGTAATCCTAGAACTCATCTTCATGATTAATGCAAGAATGAAAAACAATAGTATGGTTATCTTTTTCAACATCTTAAAGTCGTCTCATTGATCTATAGAAAGCCAATTGATCGATATATTTCACTCACATTACTTTATGACTCTGTAAGAAACTTTTAATCCCATTTTACGTGAAAAGATTCATTAAGTAATGCTTTGATGTATACTCATTTTTATGGGCACTTCAGAAATACTCCTTCATGTACAGATGTTTTTTTTTGCCTTAGTGATTAAATAATTGCGTAAATGTTGTTCACCTTCCTAGAATATGTCCAAAAGTGTATTTTTTTCTAGTAAAAGCTTGTCACAATAAAACACTTGAGACTGATCTGAATCTTTACTAATTTAAAACACCTATTTGGGGCCTCTCAAGGCATCTCACAGATTCACCCATAGAATGCCACGTGGCATTTTACAAAAAAAAGTTAAAAAAAAAAAAAAATCATCTTCGATTCGCCTCCAACGATATGCCTTAAATTGAGTAAAATCCCTTCTTCTACCTTCCTCCTTGGATTGATTCTTCCCGTCTTCTCCTCTCCCACACAGTTCTCGCCTACAATTAGATCGAGACCTATATCCGCTGCTACACGATGACAGCCACCGTCTGCGACTTGCCTTCACACATCGTCGTCTTCACTCCTGTTGGATGTTCAGGTAAATAGAACAACCATTTTACAATTGTATCACTCCATGTGCCCGTTTTTGTAGTTCTCTTTGTTTATCCTGTGCCATGGCCACAGTTCATTCTCCAGAAAACAGAGAGTTTGGTAATAGCCAATAAATCTTACAATATCAAAATTCTGATCCTTTAATCTTTTGTCTGTCAATAGCTTTTAGATCATTCTTCTTCTGTTTATATATGATTCCAACGCAATTGTCATTTGGAATGATGCAAGGAAGGTGGCGATCTAACAAGTTTGTCCCAGTTAGTTTATATGTTTCTCATTTTGTGAGTTATAACACTATTTTTTCTGTTACATAAAGAACAAACACTACTTTTTGTGGGTGTTCAGATTCTGATTTTGGATTTCAATTGGCTTCCATGTCGTGGGTTTATTTGATGACAATTCTCTGATTTCAACTGGGTTTTCAGTTCATTTCTGATTCTATGTATTTCGATGTGGTTATAGTGGGAGGAGCTAAATCGATTTGGGATTTGGAGAGCAAGATCATTTGTTGAGGTCTCCTGGGAAAGACAACATCGAGGACTTCTCTCCTGCAAATTCATCCAGATCTCCAAGACTCCATCTCTATCAACTCTCAACATCAGTAAAATACTTTTCCTCTGTTTTCATGGCAGTTTAACTACAGTGACAAAATCATGGCCACCTGAAGAGCGATGCTTACAAAAGTATGCTTTTCAAGGCTTTTACAGATTTTTGTTTCAAGAGTCAACACGAGAGGTTTTAGAGTTTTTCTGGCAGTAGATAATGTTTCGTGATAGTTTTCCATTTGCCCAAGCGATGGGTTGCTTTGGGTGCTTTGGTTGCTATGAGAGGTCCAGACAATGATATTACGTATCCCGATCATGGTGACGCAAACAGCAATGCGGGAGATGGAGAAGAAGAGGAAGTAGAGGAGCAGTCTGGTGGATGAGGTTGCCAACTTCCCCCTGTTGGTAGTTGAAAAGCTTCGAAGAATAAGTGAGGAGATACTGAGAAAATGTATCTTTTTGTATGGGAGCATGGTGTGGATGGCTGTACGAAAAAAAAGGAAAAAACAACTCTTCTTCGAGTTGAAAACAGAGTCAACAATCATTGTTTTTTTTTAAATAACATCAAACTATAAGTGTTAGCCGGATCAAATCTTACTTTTCATCTTGACGACTCGGTCGAAGGAGAAGAGGAATTTCTTGTGACGTCCACTATCAGGAGGTAATCGAAATGCATCTCCGACGTTGGTTAAATGGAATGACAAAGAAATACGAGTATAAAAATTAGGAGAAGCGGTGTATGTAGCTTTAGTAGAGATTGAAATTGAAATGTCCTCAATTCTATTCTCCTTATTTGTATTTTAAACTGCGTTTATGGGTGACGTTGATTCTTAAGTCCTTCAATTCTAATATTTATATTTAATTTGTTTTACCGTTCGACATTTCTTTTTTCTGAATATTGCAGAATATCTAAATCTTTAACGAAACTCTTCGTTTCCTTAAAATTGCTCATGTAAGTTAATATAGAAAGTTAAGAACTTCAAAGCTCAAAATGGTAATATCTAATGTGTTACTGTAACACATTAGATATTACCATTTTGAGCTTTGAAGTTCTTAACTTTCTATATTAACACTGTTAACACTGTTACTTACATTTCTTTAAATAAATAGTAATATCTAATGTGTTATAAGTAATGTTACTTACATTTCTTTAACAAATTAAAACAAAAGAGAAAGTTGGAGTATTCGTTAAAGTAACAAAGTAATATTGTCCAATTATTTTACCTGGAAACTAAAGTTAAATAGTTTAGTTTCATTGTATATTTGACCTTTTCTCAAAGTTACAATATTATTAATACCTACACTATTTATATGCTTTCACAATAACATTAAATTTCCAAATATGCCAAAGTAAAATCATTAGACTCCATTAAGTTTTTATTGGAATAACAGTAAACATTTTACCTATACTATAGATTTCTTTTATGGTCACTTTTTTTCATATAAGTATCTTCTTCTTTTGACTGATAAATAAACTATGTATAATCGTCAAAAAAAAAACTATATATATATAAAAGAAACCGCGCGTAGCGCGGTCCAATCCTCTAGTTGCTACTTATAGTGATTAATAAGTGTTTTAAAAGTGGGTTCTGTCCCCAACCCTTGAGCTTCGAGTCTATGCAGAACCGGTAATTGCTTTAAGGATTTGTGTAATCCAAATTTTGAGACAGTTTTGATGTCGGAAAACAGAACCAAAAAAGACAACTTTATGTTATCTCTTTTTGATTAGTGTCACTGCCTTATCCTTTTTGCTTCTGCATTTGGAATGTGACGTAACTTTTCACGTTATCGCAAATTGGACAAGAAATGAAGATTTATTTAATTTTCATGAGCTGAACCAAAGGTACTAAAAATGATAACATCATCATACAAAATGAGAGTCAAATCGTTTGCGTAAATAAAAAAAACAATACACCAACAACCATAACCCTAACAATACATAATTAAACCTGACGTAAATTGCAAATTACACAATAGTAGATTATTATAGTTCCATAGAAAGTAAGTTTATAATTCAAATCTCATTAAAAGAGCTTAAGAATCTTCCTGCCACCATCTCCATTGCCATGTTCAGAATCTTCATACCTCAGATTACGAACCACTTGGTGTTGCTGCTGAGTAATCGCATGCTTCCCCAAATACGAATGCTCCAACGACGGCATCAAGTACTCAGAACTCACCCGAACCGGGCTCAAGAAATGCGCCGGAACCGGAGAGCTGGCGAAGAGCCGATCGGTGGCCGAGTCGGAGACGATGACGTGTCCTCCTCCGGAGATTCCGTGACCGTTCCCTCCTCCGCCTTGCATTCTCCTGAGGTAGAGACGGTATTTCTGGAGATGACTCGCTACGTTCTCTCTCGTCAACCCTTCCACGCTCATCAGCTGCATTATCGTCTTCGGGACTGCGTTTTTGATCCCTAAATGTCCAACCGCGTCCACGAAACGCTTGTGCAGCTGTGGCGTCCACACTAAACGCGGTCGTTTCAGCGTCCTCGCTGGCTCCTCCCCTCCACCTCCTGATCCTGAGCCGAGGTCCGTCGAATCTCCCCCGCCGAAATCAGAACTCATCATCATTTGCGGAGGAGTTGTTGTCGTCGGAGTTGGAGCGGCGACGGGTTGAAGCTTCTGGTGATAAAACGCGGTTTTCTTGGATCCGAGATTGTTGGGGCTTCCGATTTGGAAAGCGAGAGCTAGATGAGGAGTGATTAAGGTTTGAGAGATAGGGATGAGCTCTTCCGGCGATGGAAGCTCCTCCTCCCATCTGACGAACCAATTCGGATTATCCTCTCTCATCGTGCGGCGGCGGGAGAAGAAAGACGGAGGAGGAGAGAGGTTCGAGGTGGATCTTTGAGGAAGAAGAAACAAAGTAGTTATTGTGAATTTTTTTCTAGATAATATATAGAGGAAAGAGAGTGTGATTGGCTGATTCCTTTTCTCTCGAATAATGTGTTAATGGAGTTATGGAACGGAATAAATTGATTATTCTTTTCATAAAAAAGAAATCAGATGAAAACAAAAACAGAAAAAAAATCGAGAAAATCAAAAGTAGTAAAAAAATTGGTGTGAGCATATCTGTCATTGTCATATATGGTTCGGTTCATGGCGTCCAGATTGCCAGTTTTATGTTCCGTGCGAAATGTTTGCCTCAAGTTCTTTGTGATACAGTATACATATTTTTATTCTTGACCAAGTTGTGATTATGTATGTATATTATTCTTATTTAAAAGAAATACTAGTAGACAATAGATAAGGTGTGGCGTATTAAATTTCAGTAAATTAAGTAGCATCTCTTCATTGTTAATTTCTTTTAAGAATAGATGGCATCATATTTTATAGGGCATAGAAGCTCACGATAGAAAGAAGAACTCTCAGTAATTTTTATTCAAATAATAATGTGTCGATGATAGCCATAGCTCCGAATCTTTTCGCTAAATTTTTATGTTATGGTAAAATAAGGAAAGGAAAACGACAAAAACAGTTAAAGTTGATAATTGAAGGGATTGGATTTACTTTTTGTTTGTTCGGATCTGTCACTGTCTTATGTGTTTCGGAGTTATGGTCCAAAGACTCAGAAAGATTCGTGGCTTTCCACGTGACGCGTGTTTTCTCACGCTCCCTTGTTGCGCGTGGTGTTTATGAGAAACAGCACCCTGTCGTACGATTGGTCTGTTGTACTACGCATGAGATTCCACGCGCAGACATGGATTAGGTTAGGCAACTTTTTATATGATTATTAAATTTAGCTTCATTTAGTGGGTTAAATGTCTGTGAAACATGCGTGTAGTATACTTTTTCAATTTAACTACAAATTTGTATACAAAATTTAATATCAAATTTTTTTTAATCTCTATTTGAGGTCTTTGTAAGTCTAAGAATCACAACTTAAACAAACATATATATGTTGAGAGATACATGAAAAAGATTAGTGTATACAAGCTGTAATTCTATAATACAAAGGTATGGGTTGAGACTTGGGAATGGGGACTTGCGCTGCATTAGCTAATAAATCAGAGAATTGTTTTTAGGTATTAGTTAACTATGTAGTGGAGTAGTGTGAATGATTAATATTCCAATTATAGGTTCGGCGTGTGATTTGCAATATTAAGGAAGCTAAATCTGATAGGTCTAATTTATAAGATCTAAGCGAAATGAGAAAGTCGAGTTGTTTTGATTTTGTTGAAATGGTTTATTGTACTGTACAAATTTCGAAATTGAGTATACACCGAATCGTAAATAAAAAGCTCAATCGGGTTTTTTTTTGTAGTGAATTGATAGATATTATTAAAAACTGAATTCAAATCAAAACTAACAACTATATCAAGCCGTTTCGTAGTAGCTTTGATTCACTTTAGCTATTTTGTTTTGTCCCCGAAACCCCAAAGAACAAAAAATAAATAACCAAAACCTATGATTAATTATGATAATGAGTATATGAATTGAGCACCGATATGATTTGGACTAATACAGTATCAACTGTTTTTTTCTGCGGAAAACACTATTTTCCGCTTTAATATTTGTGGGCGTTCGTACCTAAATATCACGGGTTCTCTAAATTTTGTCCCAAATCATTTGAAAACAACTAAAATGAAAAATTCATACGTCTTGACAAAAAGAATTTATCTTTTGAATTTTGATAAATAGTTTCCCTTTTTAATCATATTGAAAATTTAGAAAGAAGGCCAAAATTAAATGGATTAAAGTGGCAGTGGCCAACCCCTCAGCACCATCTTACATACTTTAGAAAATGAGATAAGGAATCTTCTCCCAAAGTCGCCAAGACAATAACTAAGTGAAACGAGACAAGAACTGTCCCCTTGATCTTTGCATCAATTTATTTTGGATTATTAAAAGCGAACCTTGCTTAAGAGGCCAGAGAAGCACAGAAGAAGGTTTCAGTTTTATGTCCAATCTATTTTTCTTGAAAAAGAAACAACTTAAAACTTTCTTTGAATACCTTGCGAAAAGCTGAATGATTTAAAGCGCGGAATCTTCTTTTAAAAAATTATCATCGTGGGAAGAAGAATAACTTAATTCATGAACCATGTGATGCCCATGTTTTATTACAAATCCCCCCGGCCTCATCTATACATATACAGATATACTATGGGATAAATTAATTCTAAAAAGTTACATCTATAACTTTTGCAGCAAAAGTTAATACTACATTTTTGTTAAGCAAAAAAGAAGTTAATAACTCATCAATTTACTCAACTGTTTCAAAGGTGTGTGTTATTTCATTTACCAGCTGAAGTCCATTAGAGAAGCAACACCTAGAAAAGGTTCGGCTATGTTATTTGATTGTGTATGCTTATAATTATGTTAATTGGTGAGTTGACTTTAGTATGATATAAACTAATAAACGAATTGTGTGGAGAAATAGAGGCGTATGTACAACAAGTCAACAACTATCACCAAAACCAATTATTAACTCAACTGAACTTCTTTAAAGATGTAACTGCATTTGTTTATGCAAACGATTTGTTTTGTATAAATTTTAGTTTATCCAAACGATTTTATTCGGACGACCAGTTTTGAGATTAGTTTATTCGAGGATGAGCTTGCAGAAAAGACTTGCTTCTGCTTGTTCGTAGAATCAGACACTTTGCCGACCAAACACCTAATATTATCTGTAATATAAAAAGTTAGTCCTAAATAGTCGTCGTGTTACACTGGAGTAGCAGCATTCTACGCAAAACATAACACATTCAAAAATTCCAATCAAATTCATTATCCATGTACTCTTTAAACCATGTGTGAGAGCAGTATGTTTTCGTGGGCTCGGGCTTTCATTTTAAAAACAAATATTAGGGCCCAACCGTACGAAAGTAAGACATCATGAGCTAGCATTTGTCAAAAAGAATTAGGAAATTTGTTCTCGATCACACATAATTTTGTTGTTCCATTGACTTATAAGTGTACTTAGAGAAATCATTTTTTTCGCTTAGGAGAGTAGTGTTTGTTCTCCTTTTCAAATAAGGGATAGTATAGTGGACCCAGTGGTTGACAAAATATAATTAGATTGTTTTTTAATCATCTCTATTTCCCCCAGTTTGTGACTACTAATCTGGGATCTTAAATCACCCATGTCTGAAATATGAATCCAGATGTGACAACCGTAAGGAGAGGCTGTACAATTGTTTCAACAAATTTGGCGCAAAGTGAGATAACTATGTAAGAGGCTCATATATAGTCTAACAAACAATGTCCAAAACTTTAAACTACCTCTCAAATAATTTGATTCTCATTTTAAGGTTTGGCAGTTAGTATTTGGCATTTATTTTAATTTAATATGATTTATTCTGTTCGTACGTTTTATAACACTGTTTATATTTTGGCATTAACACTGGAAATATAGAACTAGGCTTATGTAGAGTATTGAGAAAAAATATGGTTGGGGATTTGGGAGGAGACTTTGTCGTGTGGCTCCATTTCTTCAATAAATCGCCGTCGTTACATAGTCTACTTGTAGCTGAAAACGATTCATTTGGATTATTAATGCTAAGTAATTTTCTTACAATAAAGTTGGAGAATATATTTTGAATAGTATACAGTAAGACCGCAGTCTTTCTCTAATTTAATTGGTTAATAAATTGATAGTGTTTCGTACTTTTGACCTGTCTTGTAATTAAGAATAAATGTATATACAGTATACCAAACCACCACAAAGAATTTTTAGAAATTAAAAAATAATAAAAATAGAAAAAAAAGGTAAGAAGAAGAACACAGGTCAGCGACTTGGACTCACGCTTAGAGAGGAGATTCCTAATAGAAAAACGCGGAAGACGGAGAATCTGGCAGCTGCTACAGAGAGCTCAGAGCAGAGCCGATTCATAAGAAGAAGAAGCTGAAGACTGGGATTGCTATTTCTCTCCAATGGAAGGTTCGTGCTTTCTTCATAACTCCTTTCAGATTTCATTTCTCACCCCCCCGTCTGATAAAACCCTAGATTTTCGCGACTCTTCCGTCGCTTTGACTTGAATTTGCTTATCGAGAAATGGATTTCACACTAATTTTGCTTCTCGAGAGCTGTTTCGTTCACGAATCAGCATTATCGTCTCGAGATTGTCCCTGCCCTAAATCTGATTTCGATTGCGTTATTAGCTTAGTGACAGACTTCAAGAGAGACCTGAAATTAGGGGGAAACTTATTGACTGATATGAATACTACTTTGCGAAACTGCCATTAACGTCAATTTGAAAGCTTGATTGTTCATTCTCATTGTTCTGCTTTAGAAACAATTCTGCAAAAAACAATGGCAGATTCTTAAGTGATTGATTGTTCCAAGTTTCTGAGACTTTTTTTGGTTTCTCACAGGTAAATCTCCAGACCTTGAATCAATCGGGTCTGGTACTACGACAAAGCGATCAAGCGTTTCATCAGGAAGCCGATCTCGTATCCGCCGAGATTTCTTAAGTAGATTCACCGATAGTGAGCATTTCACAGTAAAGCTCGAAGATTGGTTCGCTTTAGTATTGGAAACCTCAGGAACCAGCAATGGACCGGTCTTTGAGGTTCCTTTCGAGTTAGTCGAGCTTCAAAAATTCGACTACGCATTAGAAGGCATCTCTTTCCAGCAGCTAACTCGAATGCCAAACGCTGTTTACGCCTCCACATCCACCGCTGTAGAGGCAAAGGCGTATCTAGCGATAGAGGATTTCTTACACGCGACGGTGAAGAGCTTATGGGAAGCGTTTTGGAGTCCGGACGAGCCAGTTCCATTCTCTGTTGGTTGCTTATACAATCAGAACATGAAGTTTTATCAGGCTGAGAAGGCTTTAGCTCTAGGGAAGCTCGAAGGTCTTTCAGCGACTGGCGTTCTGCTGAAGAACTCTCGTCATCCGCATGGGAAATGGGATCACATTCTCGAGCTTGCTCTTCTAAGGTCTGACATTGGAAGCTTTGCGGTGGATAGTGACCATCCTCCTTCTTTGCCTGTCTTAGGGGAGGCGTTATTCTATGCTCTCCGTATACTTATCTCAAGAAGTGTGAGCCGTTTGGATTTCTCTCAGAGCTCGAACTGTGTCTTCGTTCTCCTCGTTGATTCTCAGTATGGAGGTGTTGTGAAAGTCGAAGGGGATGTGAATAAGTTGGATTTCGACGTGAACAATGTTTATGAATGCGCTGCGGATTGGATTATGAAGCATTCGAAGATCGCTGTGTCGCCGGTTGATAGGGTATGGAACAAGCTTGGGAATGCTAACTGGGGAGACATTGGCGCTTTGCAGGTGGTGTTTGCTACTTACCATAGTATAATGCAGTATTTTGGACCGCCTAGGCACTCCATTGAAGACTTAGCTGCTGACCATAGCTCTCGCCTTCACTCGAGACGGCAAGAGAGGCAGTTAGGGGATGCTAGTCTCAACGAAAACGGTATGTTTAGGTTCGAGCAGAGAACCATGTCTCCTGAGATTGTTGAAGTTCAAGAAGAAGAATCAACAAAGATTGAGCCTGAACCGTCGATGAAGCTTGAAGTTGGATCGGTTCTGTGGTTGGAGGATTCAAACTATGAAAAAGGCTATGAGATTAAAGAAATATTGAGCAACGGTACACTTCCTTATCATATTGCGTCTCCGGTGGATGATGCAGGGAAGTCTGTGTTTCTCTACGTTGGCTCTCCTCCTTCGCAGCTTGAGCCAGCTTGGGAAGACATGAACTTGTGGTATCAGGTACAGAGACAAACGAAGATATTGAGTATTATGAAACAGAGAGGGCTCTCTAGCAAATACTTGCCACAGCTCCATGGCTCTGGACGGATCATTCACCCGGGACAGTGTCAGAAGCCAAGCTCAGGTGGACGGTGTGATCACCCTTGGTGTGGAACTCCGATTCTCGTGACCACTCCGGTTGGTGAGACAGTAGCTGATTTGGTAAACGAAGGCCGGTTTGGTCCGGAAGAAGCTATTCGGTGTTGCCATGATTGCTTATCTGCACTTTCTTCCTCCTCTTCAGCTGGGATACGCCACGGTGATATCCGTCCGGAGAATGTGGTTTATGTCACTTCTGGTGGAAGACATCCTTACTTTGTGCTTATCGGTTGGGGTCACGCGGTGCTTGAGGACAGAGATCGACCAGCGATGAATCTTCACTTCTCATCGACTTACGCGCTCCAGGAAGGGAAGCTTTGTGCTGCCTCGGATGCAGAGAGCTTGATTTACATGCTTTATTTCTGTTCTGGAGACTTGCCTGATTTGGATTCAGTTGAAGGAGCTCTTCAATGGAGAGAAACGTCTTGGTCAAAGAGATTGATTCAGCAGAAGCTCGGTGATGTCTCGACCGTTTTGAAAGCGTTTTCTGATTACGTTGACAGTCTTTGTGGGACGCCGTATCCGTTAGATTACGAGATTTGGTTGAGAAGATTGAAGAGGAATCTTTCAGAAGATCACGGGAAAGAAATTGAAACTTCAGGCTAATAAGCAGCTCTCTTCACAAAAATGGGAGATTTTGTTCAACAACCTAGCTACAAGATTATGAAGGTCCTTATATATATGAAACATTCGATTCCCTTTCCAACATTCTTTTAGGTGCTCTCTGCTTAACCTGTTCCGAGACTGGAAAGCTTTTCAAGATGAGACGTATCCTTGGGTTTTGTCAGTACCTTGTTCTGTTCTTGTACAGGATCTTTGGAATGGATTAGATTCTGTGGCTTAATTTCGCTGTTAATGTTCTGTTGCTTTTCTTCATTATTGTTATTACCTTTGAGAGTGATTCTCTATTATTTTATTGTAATGAGTATTGTAAAGGTGAGAGCTTTTTGTTCCCATTTTGACTTGTGTTATAAGTTTACGGATTTTTTCATTTTCTAAACTTACTCCAACATTGAATTTGTTTCTGCTCCGTTGAAGACAAAAGTGTATGGCTTTAGAAAGAAGAGAGTAGTTTACACAAAGTAATCAAGCAATTTTTTTACAGGCGCAAAGATTCCACAACAGATCTCTGTTCTGATCCATGGGTTTTTAAGGTTTTCCTATCTCGTTCTCAAATCAAAGCTCGAGTTTCTTGGTATATTCCCCGGTTCTTGAATGTAAAACCCGGTGGTGATCTCTCCGGTTCCTTCACCTAAACCTTTCTTCTTGACAGTTTCTTGTATGTTTTTGTTATTGCTGTTGTTGTCATACTCCACTGTCTGGAGACGCAAACCGCCTTTGCCGTTTTTGCAACCGCCAATTTCCATTTCCATATCATATTTATCTCCTCGGGGTCCAAAGGCTCGGTCTAGCTCAGATGCAATGGATCCAACCTCCACGTCAGGTTCCTGTGGAGCCAAGTCTCTGAAGTTGATCATTGGAGGTGGGATTCTAGCAAAGAACACCTCAAATAGGTTCTTGAAGAAACCCTTTGCGTAAGGGTTTTCTTTATTGTCGTATCGGTACCGGAAGTTCTCATAAGTCGTCTGCAAAAAATGTATATATTCAGAAATAAAAGAGTCAAAGATACAAATGACCCAAACAAACGTATTTTGCAAGGTAAATGCAAACAGAGCAGCAATAAGGATCTTGCCTGATTGGTGCAGATGAGGTAGAAGTGGAAAACAGTGAGTCCACCAACAAACCAGACGACGACGAAGCAGTAGAGGATGAGAATAATAAATACAATGTCGTCTGTGATGACCGCCATTAACAACATATTGCCGTGTACCTCAAGCACACTCACCCATGAGAAGACAAAGACGTACAAGCAGAGGAGTGTTGAAGTTGATATGAAACATATAAAGTATGGATAGTTTCGCTGCAAATACCAAAGTTTAATTTATAACATGTTAAATAACACATCCTTTTTGTTTCATGAGATTCAAAAAAAAAAAAAGGTTTTTGGAAGATCACTTACTAAAGCTATGCATTGGCCAACCCATGGACAGTGATGATCAAACTTTTGAACGCAGTTGTTACAGATTGAGCAGTGAGAGGCGCGAGGAGGACGGTAAAGCAAACATGTATCACAGAATTTAACTTTGACAGTGTGTCCATTCACTATTATATCTTTGGTTCGAGGTATCTTTGTGTCACCACCGAGTTTGTTGTTTACCCACTCTGAGGATTGAGTGATCATATCAAGCATTTCTGCTTCAGGTGCTTCTTTGTTCCTCGGGATGATCCCTGGGTCTCTCGATGACGTTAAGAAGAGAAATGTGAAATCCTAAAAAGAAGAACATGTTTACAAAGACAGAAAGTAAAAACATAGGTCACAAAGAAATAAGTATAGTTATAGGTTGTTAGGGTTTACCAAGACAGTGAGCAAAAGTGCACCCATCAATTCAAGAGAGTGGAACCAAGGAAAGCCTTTCCCGATCATGAAAGCCATCCGTATGCAGAAAGTGAGAGCTGGACCTCCAATCATAATTGTGGTCAGAAGAAGCGAAGATGCATCTGGACCAAACACTAGTCTCCCTCCACAATAGAATTTCTGAAACATAAAACAAGTAACTTAATCAGTACTTATGTCATGTGTGAAACATTACACATCACCCTTTTGCCTATTTCTAAATCTAAAAGCCAAGACATAGGAGAATGTAACTGAGGTAACATAACAAATATATTTTATTTTATTATTGTTTTAAGAAATTCAGAAACAACAAAAGAATTTCATTAGCGTGATGGAGAAGGCATACATTGTTGCCGGGCCAGAGTTGGTAGATCCTCTTGGGTTTAGGATCGTGAGAATACACGGTGTCGTCATCATCGGAAGGAGCACTATGAACATGACAGCTTTTCTTCTTCCTCCCCATCACCATCTTCTTCATATTTTTCTTTTTCTTCTTCCTTAAGCCTCAAGCACAACGACGAAACGCCCAAAACGTAATCTCCATTTCCTTCTAAGAGCGTCGTCGTTGTCGCGGCCAGCGAAAGGAAACCGGAGATTTCAAATCGCTGCCGCCGGGCGTTTGGCTTCTCTCCTCCTCTCCGCAAACTCTCTCTCTCTCTCTCTCTGCCCTCTTTCGCCTCCACCCTCCTCCTTTCATTCTAATTAAGGGTTGTTTGTTTCAAAAAGAATTTGTTTTCTCTCTCTTCCCCTTAGAGGTTTTTCCTCCGCCATTGGAAGTTCGTCAACAACACCCACCAACATCCTTAACATAGTAATCTCTCCATCATACCAATTTCTAGTTTTCTTTTTTCTCCTAATTTCTCGTAACCTTCCTAAACCCTTAATGTTTTACCTATCCGTTCTCTAATCACGCGCCATTTTCTGTTACCACAATCAGTCACCAAAGTCGTTAATCAGGTTAAATGTGATAGGTCGAAAATACCCTTATATCAGGGGTTTAATCCAGTCCGTCCGTTTAGAAGATGAAAGCTAAAAATCTCCAAAGTGCAAACTGTAGAGTTTTGGTTATTGACTTCGAGCTATATGATATTACTTGCTCTTTTCATAAAAAAATTTTTCGCCAAAATATTATTTCATTCATTGAAAAGAGTTTACATAATCAGAATCCAAACATTCTGTTAACCACATTGGTGGGTACAAACATAAATAAATCATGGATTTTGACTAATATTTCATAACTAATTAAATCAGTCAGTTGTACAATATTTTTGCTGATATTGCACTGAATCGTTATGAATATAAAACGGTGGCGGGAAGTGAGAGAATACTTCTTATGGGGGAGATAAAAACAGTTAACTGGTAAGTTAGTATTAAGGCGGGGTTTTTAACATACTTGTTATTGGGCCCATTGGATCTCGGCCCGGCTCAATATATTTAAATTAATTGGGGATGTTCAGTCTGGAGGAAGCGGCCATTGAAGCGCCACGAAGTCTCCTCTTCTTTCTCTAGAAACAGAGAGAGATTCTTCACTATTCCAATTCCCTTTCTTGATGTTACCCACACGAGCGCAGATTTATATACACAAATCTCTATCTATGTATATGCTTAGCAATACACACAAGCAAAAGCAATCGCTCAAATCAATTTCAGGTGTTTGCGATTCTGATTTAGATTTGATCGGTTGAATATTTTCGGACGATTCGTGATGGTGGATCATTACCAAGTCCTGGGCGTGACGAGAAATGCGACGAAGCAAGAGGTCAAAGATGCGTTCCGGAGAATGGCGGTGAAGTATCACCCGGACAAGCACGCACAGTCTCCGGAGCACGTTCGGCGAAACGCCACCGTTCGGTTTAAGCTTGTATCGGAGGCGTACGAAGTCCTGAACGACGATCTGAAACGCGCGTCTTATAACGCTGCCAGCGATTCCGATTGCTTCCGCCGCACCGGCGGTTCATATAGCAATAACCCATACGGAAATAGTGGTGGCAGTGGCAGAGCGTATGGCTCTGGTTACGGTTACTCAGCGAGGAATCGTCAGGCATCCAATTTCAGCATCCGGTTTGATTCGGCGTTTCGTTACTTGACTACGCGTGCGTCTCTTCTTAATCTCGCATTAGCTGGGTATGTCACAGCTTTTAACTTCATCTTTTTTTTGTGACAAATGCTTAATTATCTGACTGGTTCTAAGCTGTGACTTTAATGATGTATAATTACTCAAGTAGTCTCTTATCATTTCCTTTCCAGTGGTGTGTGTTTTGCATTTGCTGCGATTGATTTAAGCGGAGAAACACTATGGAAAATGCGTAACTCAGGGGTGAGTACCATATTGTATTCATTGATGGTCTAATTACACCTTATGCAATTGACTGTTTTGATGATCTTGTGATTTATCCGCCTTGGTGTTTATGCAAAAGTGAAGTGATTTGGTTTTTGTTCCTGTTGTTCTCTTGGTGTATAATTTCCAAATGCATCAGATTGAAGTTCTTGTGAATTGAATATGCGTAGCGTAGTGACACTGTCTCATCTCTGCAAAGTAGTTTTTGTAGCTAGGGACTATGGTGGTGTTCACAGACTAGCTATCCTACATATGCACACTAGATAGGTTTAGAGAGATGAATAAGGAGAATTTGTTAATTATTGACTACTTTAGAAGCTTGGTGTTGTAGTGTCGCTTACTGAGAATGGTAACCTATATGCTCTATGCAACATATGGAGAGCAACTTGTCTCAGGGTATAGGATATGCCAGAAATTAATAGATGAAAATGTAAATATACAAGCAATGTAGTTTCCAATGAATCTTGAATCACTGATAATATTGACGGTATAGTTTCCTATATTCAGCATTAGGAACAGAAGGGCATGTGCATATCTCTGTTTGTTTGCAATGCATGTCGACACTCTTGGCTCTTTCTGATTGTGTTCTTGTGTTTTTTTCGTCTGTATATTCTAGGACAGTTAAAAAAGACTGACAAATACTTTGCGTATATTTCAGAAATCATTCGAAGAGACAATAGAATCAATCGAGAAAACAAAGGCACATAAGGATGAAGGGTGAAAGAAAAGGAATCAAAGGTACGACTTTGACTTTGACTTTGACTTTGACTTTTGATTGGGGCCTTGTGATTCAATTTGGAGTAGGAATTTGGGCATTTCCTCACGACTTTTCTTAGATTTCAATTTCTTTATACAGCGAAAGTCTGTAGTGGAAGTTAATATATTAAACATAGCAAATACTCACTCGTGTAATATATAAATTTATAACTGAACCTTGAGAAAGTGGTACCAAGCATTTTAACTTTTTAAGTGTAATAGTTGCAGTTTTCTTTGCTTGTAACAAATAATTATATCTTCAGATATTAAATCGATTATGAGAGAGTTCATACTTCACGCAATTGCATTTGACTGCATAATGGCAAGCAAAGGATGGGGATAATCTAATAAAACAAATATATTTCTCTTTTGGCATTGTATCACTAACGGAGACATTATTGTAGTGGTGGTGGTAACGTATTTGATTGTCGTATAGTATAAGATGTTGACAAGATATTCACTCTGCTCCACTGAAGTATCGTACGATTATTTATATTTTCAACGCTGAGAAGACTCGTACACTATAGTAATCAATCGATAAAATGCTCTTTAGTTTTTTAATTAATTTCTTATGATGCGCATACTGAAGTTTAGCTCCAGTTTATTATACCAACCAACTCCATCTTAACAACTTTGTTTTATCTAATTCATAATCTAAATCACACTCTTACGGCTCGAGCTTGGCTAAAGATCTAAATAAAGAAATAAATATATGACTTATCCAGCAAAAAAAAATCTAAAGTCAACAGAACAAAGATTTATTCCATTACATTGATTACCAACAACTATGAACAAGTAGATATTCATGAAAGGATGCAAAGAAAATATTCTGAAGAACTTTTTGTTCTTGAGTAAAAATGTTAACATAATTCTGAAGTTAAAGAATTCATCATATCACATAACTTTCCACGACTCAAGCGTCGGGAAAGTTGGGTAAGTGTCAAACTCCACGGCGGAGCCACCACCACCACCTTCCGTTGTTGCATTAAACTTTGCCGAGGGTAGTCCAACGCCGCCGTTGTTACCGGAGAAAGCGTTTCCCGCGACGAGGCTCTCCTGGTGATGATTAGACAAAAATGCGGACGTATCAAGAGTTGGAACAGCCGTGGATTTCTCGGACGGCACACACGGTAGTCGATTACTAAGCCTATGTGGCTCCGGCTTGACGATCGGAGCGAAAAACACGGAGGAAGAAGTATCGTACTTGGAGCCGGTCACTTGCTGAACCATCTGGCGGAAATTCGACGGATCCGCCGTTATGAAAGTGGTCTGAGACTTTTTTGAAGCTCGAGAGCGGCGCTTCGTGGATTTCGCTTGTGAACCGCCTGAAACGGTATCAAGACAGTTACGCTTCCGTTTAGCTCCGCCGCGGATGATTTCAGGATCGGATCCACCGGAGGAGAGTGTGTAAGTCGAGGAAGGCTGAGAGACGGCGGCGGAATCGTAGAAAGCTGAGGAGGGAGAGAGAGTGTGAGGTGTGGATGATGTGACGGTGGTGTGGAGAGCTCTGGCGAGCAAATCGCTGTCGTGAGAGAAGGTGTCAGGAAGCAACCATGAGTCTACGTTGAAGCCTTGCCGATACAACCAAGGATCGACGTTTGTTAACCCCTCGGAAGACGCCATAACCAAAGGGAAGGAAGGAAGAAGAAGAAGAAGATAGTCGCAGTGTAGAGGAAGAGAGTTTCTAGAAGTTAGAGAGAATGATAGAGAGAGAGAGAGAGAGAGAGAGAGGTAGGAAAGAAATGAAATGGGGCCGAGGAAATATATTTAAATAAGGACGGCGTTTAGAGAAAGAAGCCATGAAACCGCGTTGAGCGGAGACAGAAAATGACACGTGTACTCGTACCGAACTTTGTTAAGCTCGTTTTTACGGTCCAAATCCATCTGTGTCAACATAAGTGATAAATTTTGCGATCAAAAGAGTGGAACTATTGATCTTGTTGAGTGTTTACAGGGTCTAAATTGCAAATATTATTAAGATACGTGGAATGAGAGAGAGAGAGAGAGAGAGAGAGAGAGAGAGAGAGAGAGAGAGAGAGAGAGAGAGAGAGAGAGAGAGAGAGAGAGAGAGAGAGAGAGAGAGAGAGAGAGAGAGATCAGCTTGTTCCATTCGTTTCTCTTGAAAATAGTAGAGAAACCATTTATGTTCGAATTTTGTGATTAAATTTCGTGTTTTTTTTTGTATGATAGGGGAAACCTTATTCCATGTATTTTCATTGTAAAATTATGATAATGTGACCGTCCATTTCGATAAAAAACAAGCCATGAAGAATACGTCCGATCTCTTTCTTTTCAACTACTCATGTGATTTTGTTTTCTTGTTTGATTGAACAATTGAGAATCTTTGGAAGACTCCGTATTGATGTCTCAGTTTCGTGGCTGTCCTTTGTACATGTTTGTCAGTAGTTATCTTCTCTATAACAATCTTTCAGTTGGAAAATGGAAACTAATAAAAGTTATAACATTTTCGTGGATACTCCAATTTCTTTTTGTTTATCCAATATTCAGATCAAATATGGTATAAGAATATAAGATCTACCACGATATCCTAACATTGGTGATCCTATGCGAATATATAAGCTTTTACATGTATCCAATCTAATATATTAACCAGGACCCTACGCGGTGAGACATGCATATAAAGCCATAACAAAATAAACAAATAAATTTAATAAGGAGTTTCTAAGGTCAATTTCCAACGGCTGATTCATAATTAAATGGGACCAAACCAAAGATGAGAAAATTAGAATCCGTCGTTCTCAGCTTCGGTCTTTCTTTTGTACACCTTGATATACATCACCAATCTAAATTAGAGTAGTCGCATATTTCTGTCGATTCCTGGCAAAGCACTAAAGCTACAAATGGGAGACCTTCATTTTCTTTACTTCCTTTTTCGAATATACTATATTTTTTAGTAGGAAGAATTTGCAAATGCTAATTAACTATACATGTCGACAACTTCGCATAAATATATACATGTGATATCGATGTTTGGTTATTTTCATCTCCAGTCTAATATAGTAATATTTTGTTACTTTTACGTCCATAGTTGTTGCCTAGTTGTAATTTTGTATTTTGGCCGATGAATTTAAATGATTTTTGACAAGCATATGTCTGCATAAATCCTTGTTGATGATATATAATCTTCGCTATGCGGCCTATTGTTTTGCTAAAGTCAAATCCGACTTCGTTTCGCCTTTAACAAAAAAAAATCAATAAGAATTAGTTATCGTATAATATTCAAACGTATTTATCAGTATCATATTAGTAATACAAAATACTACAACAAACAACTCTATTTACAGCATGTTAGAACTAAGAACTTTCAGTAAGTTTTCCATCCATAAAACAGACTGACCATATTATAATTCTCTATCGGATTTAAGACTCTAAATGTGTGTTAAAAGAGCCCAGAGAGAAAAAGGAGCGTCTAAGTCTAAAGCATGTTTATCCAAATAACCAAACATGGAATTAAAGTAGGCGACTGGAATATATATCAGTTATCCAAACATGGTTGACTTCATTCTGCATTAAATACAAAATATTTAATTTCAAATCAATGTACGGTGGATTCTGGTTGGATCATTGACCTCTTTGTCACAACTAGTTGAATGGTCATTCCATTTCCGCATATCACGTAAAATTTGCTACTCAAACATGAACTACTATTAATCGATATGTCCAATGTCGAACTCTGTGAGACTGTGTTACTTCGAATAATGAAAGACAGATTATCAAACGACTGTAGATTCATTTTGGATCATAATCAGCCAATTTAATAAATATCAAATGAATATAGATTCATCTTAATTAAGTAGAAAACTAACATATCTGTGTTTTTTGCTAAATAAACTAATATTATTTTGAACACAAATATAAAATGTATAATTATGCTCTTAACTTCCTATATGTATCGTGCATGGGAATGAAGGTGGTGTCGTGGTGATGCTACGTCAATACGTCATCGCTTTAAAACGCGTTTTCACTGCCATCATGTTTGTTTTTCTGATCAGATCTATCTCGTACAGTGTCATGTCTCCTGTCCCATCTCTATAATTATTTCCACATATATGGTTTTCTTTTTCTCAATAATCCGTTTGCCTACTCACTTTTTTTTAATGTAATGGCTTGTGCAGTCTGTGAGTATGGGCTATGGCTTCAAAGATCAGTCGACTCGAATCTTTCTTTCTTTGCATTGTATTCGAGTGAACGTTCACTCGAATCAAAGTCACTAATTAACGAATACTAAAACGACTAACGCCACTCCCATGTATGATTTTTTGTTTCGGCATATATGAATCACGTTATGAATATAGTTCATCTTAAATTTCGCTTAGGGTACGGCTAGTTAAATTTATAGAGATAAAATAGTGAAGTGTATACCAGTCTAGCGGAAAGTAAATTCTACCACTTTTTCAGATTTTCAGTGTACTGTAAAACAAGAAACATGCATTGTTTTCTTTTTCCCTCTAAATTTGAGATGAGGAAATTAAAATACACTTTATCATACTCTAACATAACAAAAGACCTGGTGGGCGTATATATATACCACAAGCCTGACCACAAGCAGTCGATAAATATCGTCTAAGATAGTCAACTATTGACTCATTGTATCGACTACAGAATAATTACTACTTGTCCGAGTCGTGTCGTTTACAAATGGAGAAAAGATATATCAATACGGGAAATTATAGTATTATGATATTATCAATATTTCGACTGCATTATTCGGATTGTAAAGAAAACTTTTAAAATAACCGACAACGTAACTATAGTATCATCAAAATTTCGACTGAATTATAGTGTATTCGTCATCGTGATATCAAATTCAGACTATAATACATTTGATAAGACGACCCTAATTAATGAGCTTTAGTGGTTCATTGTTTACATATTCATTTTGTTGGTATACATATCATAATCGCATTTTTATATTTTGTTGGAAATTTCTTAAAGACTCGGATTATAAAAAGAAAAGAAAAACCCCGTAAAATACTAAAACAAAAAGTAAAAAGGTCAATAGACGCCAGCGGTGACGTAAGCGAATTTAGAGGATGTAATGATGATGAAATGATGATGAGGCTGAAGAAAGCATGTGATTGTGAGGAGGCGGTCGTGTCCTTCCTTCTTTTCACCGAAAGATTCGTCAATTATTTTATTCCCCAATAGTACTTTTGTACTCACTGACACTCCTGTCCTGTCTCCTCCCCCTAGTTTACTTCCTACTCGGCTCGGCTTCATTTCATCATAATTCATTAATTCATAAAGATACCTTGATTAATCATTTACACTCCTGTCCTGTAATAAATATCACAACTTGAGTTTTGTCTGTTTATTTTTCAGACTAGAATAGTCTTGTAGAGTATCCCTTTTTGCTAGCACAATCACAAAACATATTGTTTTCTATATGATCCGACTTCCAACATTTAAAACATCAGTGGGCCTTATTAGTAAATGGGCCTAATTGATTATCGGTAAAAAATTTAGCTAGGGCTCTCGGTCCTTCTCTCTGCGACTCGCAATTCCTGAAATTTGATCTCTAATCGGAATTGAACTTTAGTTACGTTGAAAGCTCGGAAATCGAATCTGTTTCTCGTTTTCTCATCCTCACGCTTAACTGAATAATGGAAGAAGGGTTGCAACAGCAGCAGAAGGGCTCCTCTGTTTATAATCAAGCAACTACGGAATATGGCTATGGAAGTTCGCTAGCCTACGATCAGTCCGAAGACATTGAATCTGCCGCGAGGAATGCTCTTCTCCGAGAACAAGTAAGTACATTACTTTTGTTCATTTCGATTGTAAATTTCGAAACTTTAATTCCCAGATTATGCCCATGTTGATTTGGTGTTGTGAATTTTTTTTTCAGGACATAGAAACGCAGAAGATCATACAAGGTCAAAGGTTCTGTCTTTCTCTTGGTTTGTCTTTTGTATCTTGCTGCTCTTCTTATTCTTAGGCAATTTCACTTGTCTTAATGTAGTTTTGCCTGAACTTTTTGTGTGTGTGTTTAATTGGAAACTTTTCCCCTATTTCAGAGAGGCTGGGACTTCAGTAGCTGAAGACAGTAACACCGACATTCTTCGCAATCGTGCTGACCCCAATGCGCTAAAGGTTCTTGATTCACTATTATTTTGATCTGTGATTAGTAGTATGGAGTTTTGTTGTGGAAGTAGAACCATTGTTTGATTCATATCCGTTTCTAATCTACACAGGAACATTTGTTAAAGTTCACTGCAAATCACCGGGCAGAAGCAGCGTCGAAGCGTGGGAGTGTGAGTACATGCGGAGAAGGTTAGTCTTAGCTCATGAGCTCAAATTATTTTGAAAAATTCACTAAACTAGTTCAAATAAGTGAATTTTTTTTACTACGACATCAGGTAATGTGGATGTTGGAAATGGTTATGGTATACCGGGTGGAGTTGCTTACGCTGGCCACTCCGAGAAGCCTGAACCCACTGATGCTTCAAACAATTTGCCTGAATATCTCAAACATAAATTAAAAGCCAGGGGAATTCTCAGAGAGGCTGCTACATCCAACACGCAACATGTAATCATCCATCTCTCACACAACACTGTTATCCTTTGTGACATATGTCTGCTATGACTAGACCAATTCATGTTATTATTGTTGTTAACCTTTTGACGTTTTGTTTGCTTGTGCTTCTTCTTATCCTTTTCAGGAACCAGCGGTTAGTTGGAATAGACAGACAACTTTACCTTTTCCGACAAATGCAAGCACCTTACCATTCGGATGGGTATGAATGAGATACAATTAACGTCTTTTCTTCTTCTTGGTTTTGTCTTTGTTTAACCATCAAGTGCAGAGCCTTTTTTTCTGCTAGCTGGCCACTTATGCTTTTGATGATGTGTTTTATTAGTTGTATAGCAGCCGCTTACACGTGTTCTGTTTCATTCAGGTAGATGCGAGAGATCCTTCTACTGGTGCTACATATTACTATAACCAGCAGACCGGAAAAACCCAGTGGGAAAGGCCACTTGAGCCAACTCCCACCGCTTCAATTGCGCCACCTTTGGCTCCTAGAGAAGAGTGGATTGAAACACTTGATGAAACATCTGGTATGTGATTCTTACATTTACTCATCATTATGACTAGCTCACATGCAATGTTTGCTGAAAATTTGGATCTGTTTTTGGTTGCAATCCTGAGCTCTGAACCTTTTGATTCCTTATGCACACAGGCCATAAGTATTACTACAATACAAAGACACATGTATCGCAATGGGAAGCTCCACGCTCTTTACAGAAGCCCGCTACCACAAACATCGCTAACAACGCGGTCACTCAAGACACTGCTAGTGTGAAGAGCGAGCATACGCCCTCTCAGCTTCCTAGATGCAGCGGATGTGGTGGCTGGGGAGTGGACCTTGTCCAGAGCTGGGGTTATTGTGTCCACTGTACCAGGTCCATTCCACTGTCTTGCTATACTCTTTCTAGTCATATTGCTTGCATAATAGAGACTGCTCTTACATATTTTGAGGTTTATGCCTCTGCCATTAGTAAAGAGGACTGATACTTTATGAAAATGCAGAGTTTTCAATCTCCCAGAACGACAGTACTTGCCAGCAAGCTTAAACAACTTCACAAATGCAGGAGAATCTGGGCCAAAGGATCCAAATCAGAGGTATGATGCAAAAATGATCCTTCTAATCAGTCATCATCATTTGACTTCAGTCTTTACAAATGATATAAACATGTCAATGATTGAAACAGGTCCAGTTCAAAACCTCCCTTGAAAAAAGGATCAGGCAAGAAACGAGCTCATGCGGAGGATGATGATTTGGACCCAATGGACCCAAGCTCTTACTCAGATGCGCCACGTGGTGGCTGGTAATGTCCATAACTCTCACTTTTAACCACTTGATGTGAAACCAAAGCTTATTATGCTCTTAGGTTTGATTTGATCTTGATTGAAACAGGTCCAGTTCAAAACCTCCCTTGAAAAAAGGATCAGGCAAGAAACGAGCTCATGCGGAGGATGATGATTTGGACCCAATGGACCCAAGCTCTTACTCAGATGCGCCACGTGGTGGCTGGTAATGTCCATAACTCTCACTTTTAACCACTTGATGTGAAACCAAAGCTTATTATGCTCTTAGGTTTGATTTGATCTGATTCCTTTTCGTCTTGTAGGGTTGTTGGACTGAAAGGAGTACAACCGCGAGCCGCTGATACAACTGCCACAGTAATGCCACTTGTTTTTTTTTTATATAGTTCATGTATAGTTGCTGCAGCTTCACACAGCTTCCTAACTTCAATGAGATTTATTAAATCTTGTTTTTGCAGGGACCTTTGTTTCAACAGAGACCGTATCCATCACCTGGAGCTGTGCTGAGGAGGAACGCTGAGGTGGCATCATCGCAGAAGAAGAAACCAGGCTCTCATTTCACGGAGATCACAAAGAGAGGCGATGGAAGTGATGGTCTTGGTGATGCTATTCCTTTTCGTCTTGTAGGGTTGTTGGACTGAAAGGAGTACAACCGCGAGCCGCTGATACAACTGCCACAGTAATGCCACTTGTTTTTTTTTTATATAGTTCATGTATAGTTGCTGCAGCTTCACACAGCTTCCTAACTTCAATGAGATTTATTAAATCTTGTTTTTGCAGGGACCTTTGTTTCAACAGAGACCGTATCCATCACCTGGAGCTGTGCTGAGGAGGAACGCTGAGGTGGCATCATCGCAGAAGAAGAAACCAGGCTCTCATTTCACGGAGATCACAAAGAGAGGCGATGGAAGTGATGGTCTTGGTGATGCTGATTGAGAGAGAGCTCCACATTCATCTTATAAAGATTGATATCGTCTCCTTCTTCTTCTGTCTGTCTGTTGCTTTCTCCATATATTATGTTGAGGAGAAGACTAGGTTTGTTGACTGGATAGTGAACACAAAACAAATTATAATCAATGTGAATTTTAGATTCGGTTTATGTATACACAGAATATTTATCTTCTAACCATCGACATTTGTTCGTATTTCAAGATGATGGCTTTGAAATAGCAAAGGCTTTCATTTTGTTGCTCTGCAAGTCCCCAAGTGAATTGCCACTCTTATTTTCTGGAAGCTGCAATACCAAAATCACACAAAAGCTCCGTTTCCATGCAGCTAATATAGACTGCTTGCCGTTTTAGAAAGAAGCATGTCTGTTATTTTGTAGTGTTGTTGTGAAAAGCAAAGTGTGCCGTTTTTTTGAGAAATACAAATAAAAATGTTTAACAAAAAAGTATTTCCGCTGCCGGGCTTCGAACCCGGACTCTCGGTTTCAACATCGAGAGTTAACCTTAGTGCTACAGCGGAGCTTCTGATATGGTGTGAAATTTAATTTATATATATCATTCAAAAAATACAAAATTATAACAAAAAGTTTTTTCCGCTGCCGGGCTTCGAACCCGGGATTCAAAGTGATGTCAGTTCATCATCTAGCCAGAGTGCTACAGCGGAGCTTTTGATATGTCATGCAATATTACTGTATATATAAAGACATGAAATACAAAATTATAGTAAAAATATATTCCGCTGCCGGGCTTCGAACCAGGGATTCAAAGTAATGTCTGTATAACATCTAGCCAGAGTGCTACAGCGAAGCTTTTGATATTTCATGAAATATTACCGTATATATATATCATGAAATACAAAATTATAGTAAAAAGATAATCCGCTGCCGGGCTTCGAACCCGGGATTCATAAATGAATATATTCAAATATGGAAGTCTCTCTAAACGGCAGCTAATAGGCATGCCATACATGTACTGTTTTCTGTTTGTAGTGTGAGTGCGTCTTCAATTTGTTGTTTTAAAGAAAAAGAACAAAACTGTAACAAAAAAACATTTGCTCTTTCGACCAAAAAAAACATTCGTTCGAACCTGGAATCTCAATTGATTCTAACAAAGAAATTTAACCAGAGGATTCTTCTTCTATCTTCTACGCTTAGATTCATGGGAAATCAGGGTTTTGATTAAAAAGTATTGCTTTGGCACTATAGTCTACAGACTATAACTATATTTATCATGTGTTATCTATACTGTTCTTTTTAAAAAAGGTTTTTAGTTGAGTTTAGTTAGTTTGACCGCAATGAGAAGATATGATGTGTAACTAAAGGAACCAATCAGATTCTGTGTACCCAATTTAATCGATAATTCATAAATTTACAGGAGAATGAATTAGTGAACGAGAAGTGTGTGTCATCTTTAATTACGCCATTGTTAAAAACATAAAAACTAACATAACCAAAATTCGGACAACACACTTTTTTTGCTTTCAGATCTTGTTACAGATTACACAAAAATCTGCTCTTTTTACTCTTTGTTCTCAGCTTTCATAATTCGTATAAAATTGGGCCAAAGCATCTCTCTCTGCTCGTTGACTCTCTGCTCTAACGGCGATGGCCGCGCTAACAGCTTCTTCTTCTTCTTCGTCTATTACTCTGCTCAACAAGCCTTCTTTACCTAAACGCTCTTCCTTCTTCTCCTCTAATTCACACTCTCGTCTTCTCCGATTCTCTGCTTCTGCTCATCCTCGTTCTCAATCCGCCGCCATACGCGCCGTTGCTCTCGAACCGGTGCGTTATGATTTTGCTGTTCCTTTCTTGAATTGGTTCACAAGTTTGTAAAATTAGCATTCAGACAGACAAGAGCTCATTTATCTCTTCAATGGTATATTCAGGACTTAAACAAAACTCCACCTGTCCAAATTGAGGAAACTCAGGTTTTCGCTTGTCCTGTTTGCTACGAACCACTTCTGAGGAAAGGACCTTCAGGTATCAACCTGTAAGTACCTCCTCAGATTATAAAGTTTGTTTCTTTTCATTTCCTTTTTTGTCTTCTCTTAAAAAAAGCTTCTTACTTTCTTTGTTTAAATCTGCAGGCAAGCAATCTACAGGTCAGGATTCAAGTGTGGGCAATGTAAGAAGACATACTCTAGCAAAGATGAATACTTGGATCTTACCGTCACTGCTGGTTTGGAGACTTTCAGTGAAGCCAAACCCATCACCACCGAGCTCTTTCGGTATGTACAACTTCAAATTCACAAACTTTATCATCTGATTATCTACTTTCAACCCTCTTAGCTAAAGTCTTGTGTTTGTGTAGGAGTCCATTAGTTTCATTTTTGTATGAAAGAGGTTGGCGAGACAACTTCAAGCGAAGCGGCTTTCCTGGTGCAGAGGAAGAGGTACATACATACACAACAACAACACCTTTGTTTTGTCTGATCTTTGTTGCTTGTCCTTATGGTCTCTGAAAATGCAGTTTAGAATGGCTGAGGAATACTTCAAAGAAGCACAAGGAGGAGTTCTTGTGGATGTTAGTTGCGGAAGCGGTTTGTTCTCAAGGAAATTCGCAAAGTCTGGCAAGTACTCTTGCGTGGTTGCTCTCGACTATTCCGAAAACATGCTTCGTCAGTGCAATGAGTTCATCAAGAACGATGATACTTTCGGCAGCTCGACTAATATAGCCGTTGTGAGAGCAGACGTCTCTCGCCTCCCTTTCCCTTCTGGCTCTGTTGATGCAGTTCATGCTGGTGCTGCCTTGCACTGTTGGCCTTCTCCTACAAACGCTGTAAGTTCTGATATAACTTCATAAGTGTTTTGAAAATATGTTGCAATGTTGTTCATTTGTGTTTTTTTTTTTTTTGTGTGTTTTCAAGATTGCTGAGATATGTCGTGTTCTGAGAAGTGGGGGTGTGTTTGTTGGGACGACGTTTTTAAGATACAGTCCTTCGACTCCATGGATTATAAGGCCTTTCCAATCGGTAAAAGAGAATGATGAGAATCAAAGTGGCTAAAATTCTGTTCAACTTCTTGGATTTTGATCTTTTATAGTTTTGGATTTTTTTTGGTTGCAGAGGATTCTGCAGAGCTACAATTACTTGATGCAGGATGAGATCAAGGATGTGTGTACGTCATGTGGTCTCACAGGTTATGTAGACATTGTTGATGATTCTTTTATCATGTTTACTGCTCGCAAGGCGTAGAGAGATTATGCTCTTTGCTCTCTATTCATGTAACTACAAGTCTCATATAGTACTTTTATAATTCACAGTACAAAAGAATTGTAACAAAATAGTTGATTTGAGTGAGTGATATTAATATTGTTGAGCAAACTCTTGAGTGAGAAATGTCAAAACCTTTGGTTGCAATGGATCTCTGAAGCTCTTGTAGAAGAAAACAGAACAAGATAACGGAAGCCATAGTTGATATGTAAGAACAGAATCCAAACCAATAACATCTTCTATTATTAAGACTCAAAACCCACAAAAGTAGTTTCATCAGCACAAAATTTAACTCAATCTTCAAGTTATAAAGAAAAGAAGAAATGAATAGAATGAGATGAATCTTGCTCTGGTCAGATCAGATCAAAACTGTATCTGTTCGAGTAGCCAAGCCTTAGACAGCTTCTGCTGTCTCATGCTTCTTCACGTCAGAATCTTTGTCTTTGCGACAGCGGAAATGGAAAAACTGAAGGAGAATCTGAAACAAAGTATAAAAAGAAGTTAGAACTCAGTGAACAAGAAAGGAATCAGAGACCATGAAGGTGATGAGAGAGAGAGAGAGAGAGAGATTGTATACAAGAAAATCAAGCACAACACATCCTCCTGCATCAACAAGCCATGGTAGATTCGGTGCAAGTTTTATCCATTCGACGCTGTTTACAAGTATGCTGCAACCAATAAACAAGAAGGCTCAAAATGAGTTTTAGAGGTTCCACTAGAGGTTCTTTAGATTCAAAGCAAGTAAAAGGTATCCATCTTCTTTACCTTCCTACATAAGTCATATTACCAACTAATGCAAAGAAGAACATCAATGGATTCAATCCCTCAACATGTCCTCTCCTCATATTGAGACATATTTGAGGAAGCCTCCCGCCCATGTAAATGGCTGCCATTGCCCAACCTAACAACATTCCTATTTTGCTGCTTTCTCCACCACCGCTATGTTCTGTTAAGTTGCCGCTAGTAACCTGACAAAGAACACAAATTTACACTAACATTTAGTTGTTTTATACATTTAAGAATCTGTGACTGATAAATTTCAGTTCGCTGAAGATCATAGACTTAAGGGTACCTGTAAAAGCTTTCTTGCTGCACGAACCACAAATACTCTGTCACTCTCTCCCATAGCCATAGTTCTTGGTTCATTTAGCAAATTAGGAACGTTGAACGTTCCAAGAAACAAGAATACCGAGACCTATAAGAGAGAAATCAAAATGTACAAAGATAATGTTCAATAATGAAACCACTTAGAATGGAGAAATCAAAACCATGGCACTGTGAACAAATCTAACCACGCATAGCAATGATTTGGTGGAAGGAGGTAATGAAGTAGGCGACGCATCCTCCTCGGGAAGCAAGGGCTCTTCAAGAGTTGGTTCGCTTTGACCACGAGTCATTCTCTGAGCTAAGACAGATCCTGCTGGTGGTGTATGACTACTCGACAGAGATCTTGCAGACCTAACAAAACCAAAACACAGAAAAACTTTTAACAAATTTCTTGCTTAAAGATATAAAATTTCACAATTGCTAGAGAATCTAAATGGCATTATTACGTGTAAAACAGTTCTCTTCCGGTAAAACTAGTCCGATGACTCCCAGGAAGCATACTGATAGGTGTGGTTTGACCTCCACCATGAGTAGCATCAGCGCAGCTATTCCTCCATCTTGCTGGAATTTTCGCATCGGTGCTTATGTTTGATAAACGTTCCGCCTCAAGCTACACCAAACCATACATAGCCAAGCTGTTTTAGTATTTACACATAAATAAACAACCTTGAGAATACTAATGAAATAGTGTATACCAACTGATTTCTTCTGTTCTTCAACCGAGGATAGATATGGCCATAATATATAGATTGAACAAAGAGAACCGATGTAGTCACTGTATACAACTGCAATAACAAATCGAAAACATATCATCAAGCAAAGAAACATTGTACAAAGATACAGCTGCTTCTACTCATTTTGTAAATTTACCAGTGCCATGTAGAATTGTGTTGGAAGCTGCAAAAGGGATTTGGAAATTCAGAGTTAGCTAAAGCTACTCAAGGTGAAAGAAATAAAAACAAGATTCTGAAAGATTTACTCACAGTAGCTGGTTCCATTAAGCAGCCAAGGAGATTGAAGATATCACTACACAACAAAACCAATCCTCATTAAACTAAAGTTCAGTAGAGGAAGAACATGAAAGAAGGTGATGTGTTTGATCATCTTACCCGATGATCCATGTGGTTAAGAAGGCGATAGAGAGACCTTCAGTTGATTTCTCACTGTAATTAGTCATAATCTGTGGTATCTCCGCAACACCCCAACTGATAACACTGATGACACCAAGAGATAGTGACAATTCATCTCTCACACTGCTATGGAGGAACATCGTTCTTTCACAGCAGCCACCAACAAAACTTCCTGTTAAACCCAAAACAAAATTAGTCCTCTGACTGTGCAAAGTTAACGTTTTTATTCGATTGAAAACTAGAAAGAAGATGAATAGGAAATGGTTTGTAGAACAGCGAATCTAATTCAGTGAATAATGTATTTAATACAGATACAGACCCCACAAAACTGAATATTCCCCCAAAAACCCAAATCATCCCAGGATTCAGATACGATGGAATTAATGTTCTTTCCAAATTTAAAGCAACAGAATCGAGAAACGTTACACACAATCTGGTTTTCGACATTCACCTACCCACACCACCATTGTTTACATTTCTATTTGTAAGCTGAAATATTCGGTTTTTCATTCAAAAAACAAGAGAAAACGATTCACTGATAACTTTACATTTACGAGACACGAATCAATACGAGAGAAAGTTCTTACCTTTTCCAGAAGAAAAGAGGAAACCCGTGATTTTCGACGGGCTCTGCTTTTGTTTTTCTTCGAGGAATAATCAGGGAGATTCCAAAGGAGAGGCCTTTATGCGTTTAGAAGGCTGGTTTCGTTTGTCTTTTTGTTTATTATGGCGATATCATCTTCTTCTGGAAAACACAAATCACCACCCCAAGAGTTTTCTTCTGGCAAATTCCAAAAACTGAAAAACCAAAAAAAATATACAGAGAATATTTGTTTTCTGTGGTGTTATTTTATTTCATTTGTTCGCATTATTGTCGCTAAGCTAGTGCATTTGGTTTCGATATTTCCTCTTGGAAAGTGTTTTACTTTTTTTATTGGAAACAATAAATTAATATCGTAATTGGAAACCAATCGAAAAGCACCCAAAATGAATATCATATCATCTACTGCTAATAGTGGAAAAATGACATACAAAAAGTAATCAGTACAAGAAAAAATGTTGAGCAAAAATGTTCTCCAGCCCATTCATAATCTAGTAAACTTTTTTTTTATCTATAAGCTTAGTGTAATTAGTAGCATTATAACAAATCTCATAAAGTTTTAGAGTGGATACTTTTAGAAAAGAAACAATAGAAAACAAATTGAAGACAACCAATCAAAAAGTGCCGGTTGGGCGGCACCAAACCACCAATTGGCAATTGCCCTCCAAGTTGGCCAGTATCCTCCACTCTGAGCAATCACTGCCTTTATTGGTTCAAGAATTTTTAAAACCTGGCTAAGCTAATCGGTCCGGCTCAGGGGTCATACATTTCAAGTAATAAATCGATTTCAGATGAACCAAAAGTCAAATGCACATATGGGCCCCAAATAAGTCCATAGATGTGATAAGTAAATCGAAGGCCCAATTTGACAAATACTGCATTTTTTTGTTTCTTTCTCATAAGACGAGATTAATGCGCGACTTCACACGTAAGCTTTCATTCAATTCAAGCCGCGTCGCAGTGTTTGTAATTAAAAGAGGAAAAATCAATTTCAGAGAAGAAGAAGCAGCAATTGCAAAACCCTAGACTCCATAGGACTCTCTTCGATCAACCTTTGAAACCAACGATTCCGTCATGGCGATTAAGAGAAAGCTCGAATCTGAATCCAACGAGTCGTCAGAGCCTCCGCAGAAGCAGCAGCAGCAGCAGCAGCAATGTAAAGAAGAGGATCCGGGAATCAGAAATGACGATAATCAGAAACCCGGCGATGTAAAAATTGAACGCGACGGGGTAGAGGAGGTTAAAGGAGATGTCGAGGTTGATACGTCTGGTGATCAGACGGAGGCGGCGACGTCGTCAGGATCTGGGAATCGGGGAGGTGAGGAGGAGGACGACAATGAGCCAATCGGAGATCTATTGGAACCGTTTACAAAGGATCAGCTGTTGGTTCTTCTCAAGGAAGCGGCGGAGAGGCATCGCGATGTGGCTGATCGAATCCGGATTGTGGCCGATGAGGATTCCGTTCACCGTAAGATCTTCGTCCACGGATTAGGATGGGACACTAAAGCCGACGCGCTCATCGAAGCTTTTAAGCAGTACGGAGAGATCGAAGACTGCAAATGCGTGGTTGATAAGGTCTCTGGGCAATCCAAAGGATATGGTTTCATCCTCTTCAAGTCACGTTCCGGTGCTCGGAAAGCGCTCAAGCAGCCTCAGAAGAAGATCGGAACTCGTATGACGGCGTGCCAGCTAGCGGCCATAGGACCCGTTCAGGGAAACCCAGTCGCAGCAGCGCCTGTTCAGCAGCATTTCAACCCTGAACACGTCCAGAGGAAGATCTATGTCAGTAACGTTAGCGCAGAGATCGATCCGCAGAAATTGCTTGCGTTTTTCTCGAGATTCGGGGAGATAGAAGAAGGTCCGTTGGGGCTTGATAAAGCTACAGGGAGACCCAAAGGCTTCGCTTTGTTTGTTTATAGATCCCCAGAGAGCGCTAAGAAGGCACTGGAGGAGCCGCACAAGACCTTTGAAGGTCACATCTTGCATTGCCACAAAGCAAACGACGGGCCAAAACCGGTTAAGCAACATCAGAATCAGCATCACCAGAACTCTCACAGTCAAAATTCCCGGTACCAAAGGAACGAGAACACTGGTTACGGTGCACCTGGAGGCCATGGACATTTCATAGCTGGTGGTAATAACCAAGCAGCGCAGGGGTTAAACCCGGCCATTGGCCACGCTCTCACAGCTTTGCTAGCGTCTCAAGGTACTGGATTGGGTATGAACCAAGCATTTGGACAGGCTTTGTTGGGGACATTGGGGACAGCTAGCCAAGGAAATGCAGCTGGAATGCCTGGTGGCTATGGTGCTCAAGCAAACATCACACCAGGGGTCTTTCCTGAGTACGGTTTCCAAGTCGGTTTTCAGGGCGGTTATCAGACTCAGCAACCTGGTCAGGGCGGTGCTGGAAGAGGTCAGCATGGTGGAGGCTATGGTGGTCCTTACATGGGTCAATAGATGTAATCACTCAGGTATACATTTCCACCTTCTTTTTCATTTGTTCCATTGATGGTATGTGCAGACATTACCTGTGTTTTGGCGCTTTCATGGTTAAATCCATTACTGTTAGTTTTTTGCTTGAGGGTATTCCGTTTTGCACCGGTTTATAAAAGTCTACTCTTAATTTCTCAAATCATTGTGCAGATATTCGAAAACAGTACTTTTAATATTGGGATTTGGGCTGGTGAATCTTCTGAAGTTATTCAGGAGCTGATGCAAATGGAGTTGTTTAATATTTGGATGAAATGTTACTCTTTCGTTTCTTCAAAGGCCATGACTCTTCAAAGCTTTCAAGAACTTTTAGTTTTTTCCCCTGCTTATTTTCCAACTCTTTTTTTTTTTTAATGATATTCCAAAGAACGGCTCTGTTTTTACTATTATCGTCTGTGTTTTAATATTTCTGCGAATGTTTTAGTTTGTAAAAGTTAAACAGTGTTTCTCATTGTTGATACACAAATGCTTTCGTAATTTTCATTTTTCTTTTAATCAGTCTGTACGTGTTTTCTTTCATCGGTTCTATCGATGTTGCGGTTTTGGTGGATTTTTCCTCCTGCACATAATCCTCTTAATGTTTCGTGCATGCTCTATTAGTCGAGAACCTTGTCAGATTAAGACCAGAATTTGACTATACAATCAAATGAATGTAACATCACGGATTTTCTTTGATTCCACATGTTATATTTCATTAATCCTTATTCCTGTCCCAGGTTCTTTTGACTGCAGGTTGAACGATCAACACTAACACCCAACAAATTCCTGCAGGGTAAATCCCTTACCAATTCCAATTTATTGACCAAATTTGTGAATGCAAATTTCTAGCAAAAGAAAATGGGGTGAAGCTAGGAATTAGTGGTTCTAGGAAAAGTCGTGATCTTTTACTTGTTTATCTTCAGTAGATATATCTGCAACCTAAGAAACCAATTTTTTATGGCAAGTTTTAACAAGTGTTGCCCTGCCATTTTCAAGCTTTGCACTTGTTTCCTAGTTTCAACAGAATTCTCTCTGTTCTAAATACATGCGTTTTTGAATCAGTGAAAACAATAGGCTATTAGGAATGTCTGCAGACATCTGAAAAGATTAACTAACGTATCTTACATATCTTCTGAACTGAATTTCATAACACAGCTGGAATTGGTGTGCTGCTGTTGCATCTATGGGAGCTTCTTGTCAATTAAAGGTAAGTATTAATCGTGTATTTTAATATAGAACCGTTGTTGGGTAATGAAGTGTAGGTGTATTGATAATAAAAATGGAGTTCCACACACAAATGCTGAAGAAAAGATAGTGTGTGTGTGTGTGTGTGTGTGCGTGTGCCCTGTTCTTGTTCTCTCTCTGACAGGATGAAATGGGCAACAAATGATTCACTGGTAATCATATTCTCATCGTATGTACCAAAAAGGAGTAAGACTATAGACTCTTTTTCTCCGAATCAACGTCACATTCGATGTGTACTAGTACTAAGTACTAATATAGATATGATAAGAATATCTTTGTACTAGTCTCTCTAGATAGTAGTACTAGTATCAGTGTAGAGAGGAATAAAGAAAGGAAGGGGAAACAGGAACACGTGGGAGAACATCCCAAAGAGGAAGCACACGCGGATCCTCATGCAACCTCTCATTCTCCTCCTCTCTCCTCCTCCCATGTGGTCCCTCTCTCCCTTTGTCCCCTCCTTCTTTCTCCTTTTACCTTTCTACTCTTTTTTTACTGCCATTACAAAACGAATCTTTATCATTAATAAAAGAAAGGTCATTTCAATTTTCTTGATTTGTATAGTCTCAACACTTTCTCGGTTTGTTCCCACTACCACCCTCACTTTTTATTCACTCTAGAAAATAAATGAAAAACCGCATTTTGGGAAACTTGTTTTCTGAGAAAGACCAGTTTAAAAAGAGAAAACTGATTTCTTAAATAATAAAAAAACAAAGATAAAGTTTTATTTGTGGGGAATAATAAACTTGGTATCACATTTCTCTTACTAAGTGATCATTAGTTAAGAATACTCAAAACACCAAAAAAGGAATAAAAGTGAATACGCTCATATCTGATCATATACGTACGGAGAGTAGAGGGAAAAAATAAAGTACGGAGAGTATTGTCTTTTTTTATACATTACTGTGTGCTTTCTTAAAAAAGAAGCTTTTGTTTGAAAATTCCTCAAGGTTCGAGTGTAACTGTTTCTGAGGCAAAAGGGTCTTTCTTTTTTTCTTCTTTCTCTTCCTTGGAGGAACCTATAGAGAGAGAGAGAGAGAGAGAGAGAAGAGAATGCATGTCTGGCTTTAGTACTCTCTCCTCTGCACTTACCAAAGGTTTGTCTCAGACCGACCATTTCCACTTCCACTTCCTCACAGAGAAACCCAATTAGCTCCTTTCTTTTTCCGATCTCCTCACTTCTAAATCTTCATCTCTTTGAATACTGAACCCAATTCAACATCATTCTTTTTTTTATTTGTTCCCTTGTTTCTTCATATTCCCCTGTCTCCACTCCTTTCTCAGTTTTGTATTTTTGTAATCTCAGATTTTCCAAGTTTAGTTATCCCTCGAATGCTGCATGCAATCCCTGTTTCTCTCAGATTGTGTTATCTTAGCAGTAAATTCGAAACTCTAGATTTCTAGGTGTTTAGATCCATCAAAGGTTTCTAATTTTGCATATAAGATATATAGACAGACATTTTTTAGTTTATCTTCACAAGGCTATATATAATATGGGTTCTCTTAGAGGAAACGTTGAAGCAGAGCCCATCTCTCAGTCATTAGCTAGGCAAGGCTCTTCTCTCTATAGCTTAAAGCTCCATGAAGTCCAAACCCACTTGGGAAGCTCCGGAAAACCACTAGGAAGCATGAACCTTGACGAGCTTCTCAAGAGTGTCTGGTCTGCTGAAGCTAATCAGCCACCACAAGCAACAACAGAGGAAAGGATTGCTCGTCAGGGAAGCTTGACTCTGCCTCGAGATTTCAGCAAGAAGACGGTTGATGAAGTTTGGAGAGACATTCAACAGGACAAGTATGGAAGCAGTACTAATCCTCATCATGCTGAGATGAGAGATAATAATAATAAGCAGCCTACACTCGGTGAAATCACACTTGAGGACTTGTTGATGAAAGCTGGTGTAGTGACTGAGACACTAGTCCAAGGCTCGAACCATGGTGGTGGTGATGGTGGTTTGGGGCAAAACGTAGCTCAAAATGGGCAATGGATTCAGTATCATCAGCTACCTCCGATGCCACCACAGCCTCAGCATCATCAACATCAAGGGTTTATGCCGTATCCGGTTTGTGAGATGCAAGAAATGGTGTCTCCAACGTCTATGATGATGGCTGGAATATCTGATGTTCCACAAGCGCATGGGAGGAAAAGAGTGGCTTCATCAGGAGGAGAGATTGTGGAGAAGACTGTAGAGAGGAGGCAGAAGAGGATGATCAAGAACAGAGAATCTGCAGCACGCTCACGAGCTAGGAAACAGGTTGGAGAAACAAACAAATTTTGTGTTTTTTTTAGTGTTTGATTTTGTTAAATGGTCTAATAACATTGAGAATTTTGTGATGAGCAGGCTTATACTAATGAACTAGAGATTAAGGTTCAAAAGTTAGAAAAAGAAAATGAAAAACTTCGAAAGCTACAGGTAAAGTTTATTAGACTCTCTTCTTCTTATTTCATCTCATTTCATTTCTTAATGGTTTCTTTATTTGGGTGTTGATTAATATAATATTAAACCCATCTCTTCTTCTTGTTTCATCTAAATGAAGGAGGTGGAGAAGATACTTCCAAGTGAACCGCCACCGGATCCTAAATGGAAGCTCCGGCGAACAAGCTCTACTACTTTCTGATCTCAAAGACTCTTCTTTTCTTCTTCTTCTTTGTGTTGGTTTATATATCATATGCACCGGTTAAAGTGAGAGAGACAGCTTTTGTTCTTTGTATATTTTCTAGAGTTTATTGCCTCGGTACATGTCCTAAAATTACATTTCTTGAGTGTATTTCCTTCTGCAAGGTGTTCAAACTTTTTGAATATAAATAAACACCGGTTCAAGTATGAAAGAAACATTGCCGAATCAAAGTTACGTTTTGGGCTTTTCTCTTAATAACAATATTGGGCTTTTAATTACAGCCCAATAAAATCTAACTACAACGAGAATCGAATCAAAATTCAAGAGAACACTCTCGCGCCTTTTCCTTTTTCTTTTTCAAAATTTTTTTCTCCGGTGGAATCTCCGGCCACTCGATCGTGATACCGTTCGGCTCTTTCCAACTTTTATTCTCTCATGTTATGTTCTACCAAGCATCCTCCGTTGTTCGTCCACTGTCATCGGATCCAGCGACCGCCATTGCCAATTTATGCTCAAAGGGAAACCTCCGAGAAGCTTTCCATAGATTCCGACTCAACATCTTCACAAACACCAACCTCTTCACTCCGTTCATCCAATCATGCGCCACCATAAAATCAATCCGATCCGGAAAGCAGCTCCATTGCCTCCTCGTCGTCTCCGGATTCACCTCCGACAGTTTCATCTGCAACCATCTAATGAGCATGTACTCAAAGATCGGAGATTTCTCTTCAACCATCGCATTGTATGACTCCATGCCTAAGAAGAATTTCATGTCATCTAACATTCTCATCAATGGGTATGTCCGTGCCGGAGATTTAGTAAGTGCCCGGAAGGTGTTCGACGAAACGCCTGAAAGAAAGCTCACAACTTGGAACGCCATGATCGCTGGGTTGATCCAGTTCGAGCACAACGAAGAAGGTTTGCGTTTGTTTAAGGAAATGCACGGATTAGGGTTTTCGCCTGACGAATACACACTCGGTAGTGTCTTTAGCGGATCTGCCGGATTGAGATCGTTGACCATAGGGAAGCAGATTCATGGCTACACGATCAAATACGGGCTTGAGTTGGATTTGGTAGTGAACAGCTCCGTGGCTCATATGTATATGAGAAACGGGAGATTGGAAGATGGCCAAAACGTTATTAGGTCAATGCCTGTTCGTAATTTAGTCTCATGGAACACACTCATCGCAGGGAACGCTCAAAACGGATGTCCTGAGACCGTGCTTCATCAGTATAAGCTGATGAAGATCTCTGGTGTTAGGCCGAACAAGATCACGTTTGTGACTGTGCTTAGTTCTTGTTCTGATTTAGCGATAAGAGGTCAGGGTCAGCAGATTCACGCGGAGGCTATCAAGATTGGTGCTAGCTCTGTGGTAGCTGTGGTTAGTTCGTTGATAAGCATGTATTCGAAATGTGGGTGTCTTGAAGATGCAGCTAAAGCTTTCTCAGAGCGTGAGGATGAAGATGAAGTCATGTGGAGCTCGATGATATCTGCTTATGGGTTTCATGGACAAGGCGATGAGGCGATCAAGCTGTTTAATACTATGGTAAAGGAAACAGAAATGGAGATAAACGAGGTTGCGTTTCTGAATCTGCTTTACGCTTGTAGCCATTCCGGTTTAAAGGAGAAAGGGCTTGAGTTGTTTGACATGATGGTTGAGATATACCGGTTTAAGCCCGGTTTAAAGCACTACACTTGTGTGGTTGACTTGCTCGGTCGAGCAGGGAAGTTGGATGAAGCCGAGGCGAAGATTAGGTCAATGCCGATGAAACCAGACACGGTTATATGGAAAACGTTGTTATCTGCGTGTAACATACACAAGAACGCAGAGATGGCGCAGAGAGTCTTTAAAGAGATTCTTGAGATTGACCCTAACGACTCTGCTTGTTACGTCCTGCTCGCGAACGCTCACGCCTCGGCTAAGAGATGGCGAGATGTCTCGGAGGTGAGGATGTTGATGAGAGATAAGAAGGTGAAGAAAGAGCCAGGGATCAGCTGGTTTGAACATAAAGGCGAGGTGCATCGGTTTACGATGGGAGACCGGTCTCAGTCGAAATCGAAAGAGATTTATTCGTACATTAAGGAGATGACGTTAGAGATGAAGTTGAAAGGGTACAAGCCTGACACAGCTTCGGTGTTGCATGATATGGACGAGGAAGAGAAAGAGTCGGATTTGGTTGAGCACAGCGAGAAACTAGCGGTTGCGTTTGCGCTCATGGTGTTGCCTGAAGGCGTTCCGATTAGGATAATCAAGAACTTGCGCGTTTGCGGTGATTGCCACGTTGCGTTCAAGTATATCTCTGTGATCAAGAGCAGAGAGATCACGTTGAGAGATGGTAGTAGGTTCCATCATTTCGTAAACGGAAAGTGTTCATGCGGCGATTATTGGTAAACTAATTGGAAAATGTCATGAACACTTGTTTTAAAGTCAGAGGACTCAAATCCTATAGCTTTGTGATAAACTGATAATACATTTGAGATCGTGCCTGGTTCATAATTGATAGTAAATGATAATTTATATACAGATGTGCAGTATCGTCGCGTCACGTTAAAAGTTCATAAATGAAAATTCAATTCCGTTTCATAATTGGGAGTAACGACCAATTAACGGAAAATCAAACTGGGCGACTCAGGGAAAGAGATGACGTGGCAGTCAAGTCAACGAAGCGCGTAGAGACCGCGTGAACGTGTGATCCATCTCTTCTCTCTCTCTCGTCAACCTCGCGGTTTATTTGAAAACTCAAATTGATGGCATCGACGTGATTAATGGGCACAAACTGAGGGTATAATAGAGAATTTACCATAATTCGGGTAAATAAAAATATATAAACGCCCTCAAGTCCGGGTTCACTGCATAAATAAATCGCTCCGAGAAGAACGGTGTATCACTCTCACAAACTCTTTCGTTTTCTCCTTTTGCTCTCCTCCTCCATTAGAGAGGACCAAAGAAAGGCAATTAACAAGTTTTACCAAGGAAATAAAGAGAAACTATGGCGGATCAGCTCACTGACGATCAGATCTCTGAGTTCAAGGAAGCCTTCAGCCTATTCGACAAGGATGGTGATGGTATGTTTCCGTAATCGCAGATGTTAAGAACTTTTTGATCCTGATCTGATTTTGGTTTGAGCTCGAACCGGTTGATTTTGATGATCTGTATCGATTTTGTTGGTGACCGATCCAATTTTTTGCTTTGAAATCAAATTGAATTAATAAAATGTCCGCAGATGTAAAGATCTATGTGGTTCCTCGCTTTTATCAGCGATCCTGTTTGTAGATTTTCATTTATTGATGAATATTTCGTTATTTCCGGTTTAAAACGGTTAGGAGAAAATTGTTGTGTACCTGTTTCCAAATTGTGTTGTGGCATTTGCGATTCAGATTGGAAACTGATATTACTGAAATGACTTTGCAGGTTGCATTACCACGAAGGAGCTTGGCACCGTGATGCGTTCCCTCGGTCAGAACCCGACCGAAGCCGAGCTTCAGGACATGATCAACGAAGTGGATGCAGATGGTAACGGAACCATCGATTTCCCCGAGTTCTTGAACCTGATGGCTCGGAAAATGAAGGACACGGACTCCGAGGAAGAGCTCAAGGAAGCGTTCAGAGTGTTTGACAAAGACCAGAACGGTTTCATCTCGGCTGCTGAGTTGAGACACGTGATGACCAACCTCGGGGAGAAGCTGAGTGATGAAGAGGTCGATGAGATGATTAAGGAAGCTGATGTTGATGGTGATGGTCAGATCAACTACGACGAGTTCGTCAAGGTTATGATGGCCAAGTGACGAGAGTCTCACACAACTCTCGCTTCTATTATGTAATACCAAAAAGAATGTTCGTCGTCGCTTGTTCTAAATTTCATTCATGGTTTTGGTTTTTTGGTGGTTATAAGACAGGAATGTTGTTATTTATCCTCTTTTGTGTTTTGTCTGAACGAGACTCAGTTTACTTGATTGTTCGTGTTACTGATAGAAACGGAAATGAATTCGTCTTCTAATATATCTTTAAATTGTTGATTTACAATCATTCTCTTAGAATCTCTCGTCGTCTGTGAAAGCAAGAAGATGCTTATCGGTTGCTGTTAGAGTCGGGAGCTTAACACGTGTTGGCTCAGAGGAGGAGCTTGAAGGAGAGAAGAGTATAACACTTGTTTCAGACATTCTATCGTTGAAATCAACCACAGTCTCTAAGCTGTATATGCTTTGTCCAGCTGCATAACCACCCAAGAGCTGATACGATCTGTCTGATTGATCCATCGTCAAACACATATCTTCTGAACCTATCAACATTCAACAACCAAACCAATCTCAGTTTCGAACTCTTTGAGTGGCATTAGGTATAATTTTAACATTAGTACTACTTACAGGCAGCGAGTTCGAGCTGAGTTTGATAAACGAATTCAAGAACGGCAGAGACGTCTCTCTCGAATTCGTGAAACGGTCCGTCTTCGAAATTCATCTTCCTTAGCTTACCTACTCCTTCACCTAACTCCATCATCGCTCCTTTATGGTTCTACGATCCGGATTTAATTCAAAACTCAAAAATGTTGATGAAAACAGAGAGATAGAATTAGAAAACGGAGATTAGATTTACGCTGTTGAAGAGATGGTGGAATCCGACAGCGCATTGAAGAATTCCATGGAATAAGGTTCGAGTTGGCTCCTCAGCTCGGATCCAAAGAGACTCGAGCGCGTCGTGACACCTGTAATAATCTCTCTGGTTGAAGAGCGTTACTGCTTCTTCAAAGCTCCAATCTTCTTCCTCCTTCTCCTCGTCATCTAAATTTTCTTCGTCTTCTCCGGCGTGATCGTTGTACCTGACGATCGATCGTCGACTGAAACGGACGCTTACGGAAGCGGATTTCGTGGAGGCTCGAATCGTTGAAGCAGTGACAGATAGTGGAGACGAAGTAATCGTGGAGATTAAAGAAGAAGATGATGGAGGAAGCTTATAAGGAGAAGGAAGATGGAAGTGTTTCGGAGAAACAGCCATGTCAAAGTCAAAGGTCGAGCTCTACCTCTACTGCATTGGTTCTGGGTTTTTTCTCCTCCTTCGCTTCCTGTTTGCGCCATTTTTGTGGTCACCGTTTACCAAAAACTTATTTACTGGGCCAGGCCCTTGGTTTTTTGCTTATCTAGCTAGGCCCATTGTTTCTTCTAGCTAGTCATTAATTAACAAAGAAATCAAATGTTGTTTAAATGGTCGTAAACTAACGAGGTACGAGTACGACGATGTCGAAAATACAAACACATGTAACAAACTATGCACTTTGGTCGTTATACGAGTTCACACCTTCACACGTAGTAATAAACGCATCTCAACTTTTTGATTCTCATGCATTTTAATAGAAATTGTTTCAAGACAAACAAACAAATAATACACTGATTAATTTATGGAAAAAAAAACTAATAAAATTAGTGGTAAAAAAAATATCATTTATTCACAATAGCTAGTGATTATAGAACATTGGCTATTAAAAAATGCAGTAATACCAAAATCCAAAATCCTATTGTTTATCCAGTTTTGATAGATTTATAGATCATAGAACTATTTAGAATAATGATGGTGCCAAGACAATGACCTAATTAAGGACCCTTCCCAAAAATTCCAACTCTACAGCAACTTTTTTCCCCACCACCAGGCACCAGTACACATTTCTAACATATACTATTTTTGTTGAAATTTAAGTATTAACGTTATAATAATAAATATTAAACTACACTATCTACTCTCTCAGTTTACTTATATATAATCCATCTTTTAGGACAATACCCACCCAAAGCTCCACAAACCCACTAGAAACAAAAGAAGGCGGCGCAAAAAGAAAGACAAAAAAAATGCAACCAGAGAGCTCAGATCAGATGTTGTATTCGTTCCTCGCTGGAAATGAAATCTCCAGCGGTGGATACTGTGTCTCCAGCGACTGCATGTCGACTATGCAGAGCTTATGCGGGTCGTCGTCGTCGACGTCATCTTATTACCCACTGGCTATCTCCGGCATCGGAGAAACTATAGCTCAAGACAGAGCTATTGCTGCTTTGAGGAATCACAAAGAAGCTGAGAGAAGAAGAAGAGAGAGAATCAATTCTCATCTCAACAAGCTTCGTAACGTACTCTCTTGTAACTCTAAGGTAATATAAACTTTTAATACATACGTATATATCTCCCCGTACATATGTATATAAGTATATACACTTATATACATGCGTCTATCTTATCATTTTAAGATAAGATTTTGAAATAAGTATTAGGGTTTTGCATCTTCTCTAACATTAATTTTACATCTTTAGAATTTTCGTATTTCCATTTTATATGGTGTTAGCTAGCTCATGAATACTAAATTTCACTTTCATTCGAGTGTTTTTTCTTCTTCTTCTTCTTCTAATTATAATTATTACTAAAGCAGACATGTTTATCAAAGATGATCGATAACTCTCAATATATATAATTTTACAAAGATCGATGTTCATTGATTTTTGAATGTATGTATAGAGATTATGAATATTCAAAAATTGCAAGTAATGAGAATACAAGATGAGGGAAAAAAAAAAAAAAGCTTCATGGCCTTTTTGTGATGCTCGTTGGGAATCTTGGGATAGTATATCACCTTTTGGGAAAGTTCTCAAGCTTTTTTCAGTTGATTTGATATGATATGAACATCAAAAATCAACTTATTGATCCAAAACTCAAATAGGGGTTTCTAAAGATCAAACTTTTCATTTCTTATTTCATGTTTCTATTTCAGACAGATAAAGCCACACTGCTCGCCAAAGTGGTTCAACGCGTCAAAGAACTTAAACAGCAAACCCTAGAGATCTCCGACTCCGACCAAACCCTATTACCCTCAGAGACCGACGAGATCAGCGTTCTACACTTTGGAGACTACTCAAACGACGGTCATATAATCTTCAAAGCCTCTTTATGTTGTGACGACAGATCAGATCTCTTGCCTGACCTCATGGAGATACTTAAGTCTCTTCACATGAAGACTCTTCGAGCTGAGATGGTAACTCTTGGTGGTCGGACAAGAAGTGTTCTTGTTGTAGCTGCAGACAAAGAGATGCACGGCGTCGAGTCTGTGCATTTTTTACAGAACGCTCTTAAGTCGCTGCTCGAGCGGTCAAGCAAGTCGTTGATGGAACGGAGTTCTGGTGGTGGTGGAGGAGAACGGTCAAAACGGCGTCGTGCGCTGGATCACATCATAATGGTGTGAGATGATGAGATTTGAGTACACTAAGAAGGCTTTAATTGATTAATATTTATATAGGGTATGATCATAATTAACTTGGTTATAATTACCGAAACCTTTTGTTTTGTTGTTTCTACTTTATATGTTCTATGGTTTTAGTGATAAGTTGTGGGAGTGTAAGCAAATGTTGTAAGTAGGTTTGGTGTGTTCTTTTTCTTTTCTTTTTCAAGAAAAATAAAAAGATAATATATATAAAAAAACAAAATTTTCATGTTATTTTTCTTTATATGATATTGTGTTGGGTTGTTGGTGTGATCTATGGTTTTGAGATCGTGGGAATATTTGTCGATGTAGAAGAATCTAAGTAACAGATGTGATTGGTGAAGTCCAAAAGAAATTAGACTTTCGTATATATGTGAAAGTAAATATGTAGATGGTGAATAGATCAGGTCTATGTTTGTATGCTGGGAGTTTCAAAGTGACCCTTATGTCACCTTTGTCCCCAATGAATCCAATCTCTCTTCTTTCTTTCGTTGTTTGTGTCTTTCTAAATGTGTACATTTGACCACATTATTCAGACTGAAGAATATAAACAGAGCCTCAGTTTTCTTTTGCGTGTGTATATATTCAATATACAGTACTACTTATTTAAATACATACGTGGTTGTGAATATATATACTGCTTTGCTTTTAGACTTTTAGTTGAGATTTATAGGGTTATTAGCGAAATACTTAGTCTACGTATACTGTTTGATCATATGGAAAAAGCGTGCATATATGCACACAGATTTATGTATATGCTTAAACCCTATACGAGTAACATTAAGTCTGCGTACATTAAGTAGTGCGTTAACTAAATAGTGAAATGGCATATTAGCGGCATGATCAGTTAAGGTGGAAGTAAGATATTGTAAATGATATACGAGAAACATTAAGAAAATGTTTCTATTATATATGTGACTATAATGTTGGTTTAGTTATAGTTTTGGATGAAGAACCTCAGTGATATATATACACACCGATAATGAGTGAACGTCTGTATCCGATCACTCACTATCTGGGAAGTGAGATACAGTATATATGAACCAAAAACTTAATAATAAAGTTAATTAGTGAAATTGAATAGGAAGAAGAAGAATGAGAATATGTGGGATTAAAGGGGAGGAAGCGTGAGAAAAGGGGACTGACAAAAGGAAATAAAATTGATGGGCCATTGGCTCTATGAGACAAAAAGGACCGACTCTTCTCATCACTCTCCCTTTTTCCCTTTCTCGCTTTTTTTACAATTGTTTTCTCTAATTTCTGGATAAATTATTAGAGCTTAAATAACATTGAAGAAAATCAAGAGAAGAAGAAGAAGAATAAAAAGGTGGAGAAAGTATGTCTATGGAGCGTGATGGTTTTGGGGCAGCCGGTGTCCCCTCTATACTCAACCTCTCGACCAAAAAGTATATTTTATAAAAATCTTTATAGCTTTGGCACTATTTATTATTATTAAAGTTATGTTTGTATTCAACTCGATACATAATAGAAAAAACGTCAAGTATTAAAAATTCCTTTTGAAGTTTTTGGGTGTTGTGGCAAAAGCAATCATTAACCTCACACGTTAGTGTCTCATCGTGTGAACATGTGAGTCCCCTTTCATATCTCACCATACAATTTTGACCATCCTATCTCCTTTTTGAATTAGTAAATAAGTTAGTATATTTTCTTTGTGTTTACTTTATTTTATCTCATTTCACAAACAAGCAAATATGTTTTATCATGTTATATGTCATATATGTTTTTGTTTCATGTGTTCGTGATCACTTTCTTGGTCAAGTGTTCTTGTTTTATCGACTCACACAAAATGTGGGAACCTTTTCAGTTTTCACTTACTTCGGTGTTTTACCAGAATTTTAGAAAACCTATAATACTGCTGAATCATCAACCTCAGCAAAATGTTGTATCCGTTTTAATATACTAGAGGATTAGTTTTCTTTTCTGAAACAGATAGTTTACTCCTTTTAAAAAACACAGCTTCTATGTAAATGAACTATAGACTACTGAATTTTTCTACCCAAGTGTTGTTGTTCTATTTGCGATCAATCTTACGCTTTGAGTTTTGTACTACGTAAAAAATTATAATATGATCATCATCCATGTTAGCACTTTTTTAACTGATCTAAGGTATAGTAATATCAAAACTTAAAAGGTTATCTTTTATACAACGTTGTATCTAATTAATTTTAAATGATTCTCCGTCCATACGAACTATGGACATACATAAACTTTCAAAAATAAATCATCATTTATATTAACATCTATGAAAGATCAGAACATTCAAAATTAATAATCTATAACTGGTTAGATTACCTAGAATACATAATTTGTTTTTTTGGTTTCTCCAAAATTTTGAATAACTTAAAAGCTAAATCTAGTATTATACATAATCTAGTCTTTTGGATAATTTTGGAGTATATTTATATGCATGCAGCCGTTTTTTATTTATAGTTTTATGCTTCAAACCAAGACTTAAGACTTAAAAAATCAACTTAAAAAAATACTTTTTATGTGGTTTGGGTCACTCTTATCTTTTTAAATGCACGTATAAATGAAATGATCAAACTGTTTCTCTTTCCAATATCAAAATCTTCCAACGGATTAATAAATAAATAAAACAAACATATCTTAAGAAAGGTTAAGGAAAGAAGATAATCCAAGCCCATCTAAGAAGACTGGACAGGGGGCCAACTTGGAATGACAACCAAATCGGTCTAGGTTTTTAGAGAGAGGCCCAAAATAGATTTGAGTAGAGCATTCCATAGTGAAAGTGACTTCGACACGAAACTCTTCAACACTTCAGTTACGAGATGACGTCTCTACTCTAAGCCTAATGCCGTGCGTCAAAGGCACCAACTCGTTTATCACATCTATGTATAATCGATTTTATAACATTTCTTACAAAACTCCAAAATAATTCACGGGAACATGAGTTTTGAGTTGGACTGGAAACCGAAACGAAAACTAATAGCTACTTATAAAATATTTTTTAGGATCCGACTTTATAGATGCAACCGAAACTGGGTAAGATACATGAAGTTACGTACATGTGATTATTGTGAAGTTCTGGAAGAGTTTTTATATAACGAAAAAAAAGGAAGCGAACATGGAGCGGACGACTACAAAATTAATTATTCTTGTTACACACACTCTGTTTCGGGCAAGAACTTGGTTTTTCACGTGGCAAGATTGTAAAACTAAAACAAAAATATAATGCATGAATAAACTGCTATCCAATCAAAGCACAAAGAAGAGGTTAGTAGCCAAACTCCCGGAGAAAAGAGTTTATGAAACTTAAGACTTTTATTAATAGAGTGCGATTTTCAAATGAATGCGCAGTTTTATTCTTGTCCTTTGTGTGTGGGTCGAAACTGGTTATTAAAACTTGGAGAAAACGTAAAGCATTTTATAAAACTTACATATTATGGAAAATGCCCTCTACATAACATGTGTGTATAAATGCAACTTTGTTTTTTGATTCACATAAGAACTTACGAGATAGGGGAAAACAGAGACGAAAGAGGTGGCAAAAGAAAAAGAAGTGGAAGATCGACAACATATATCAAGGAATATAGATATTTCTTCTTTTCACTATACTTGTATTGTAACCCCATTTCTATCTTGTTAATAATTAGAGTTTGCTGCCAAAATAACACACAGCCAAAAAGCCCAACCGACGATGGTTGTTAGGCTTTCTTTGGTTTGTCCATTTTTGGGGGCTATCTATCTTTACCTCAAATATTTCTCTTTGCTAAGCTTGCCATCTTTTATTAAAAAAAGAATCCTAATATCGCCATCTTTGTATTGTACACGTCTAGTAAATTATTAAATTGACTCTTCTACACAGTTTGGAAAAAAAAAATCGGTAAATAAGCCCAAATAACTAAATATGTTACCAACAATGAACACAATTATTAATATTCGCCAATAGTCTTTTTCTTCATAAAATTCGGGCAGTATTTATTTTATTTAAAAAACTGACAAGAGAGCCCACTGTATATCAGAAACACTCGAGGACACTCATTTCAAAAGAAAGAATCAATCAAATCATTTGCCTTCCAACTACGGAAATTGAGTGTGTAACTCATTGTAACACGTGAGATCGTCACTATCTCTCGCATTACACAAAAGTTTATGTATGAAACAAACGAATAATGACGATTGACTGCATTGGAAGATGTATAGTCCATGAAATAATTAATGATATCATTTGTAGTTCCATTGCAAAGAAAAATAATTAATCTGAATATTATAGGTCTAGTGTTGCTCTATAACTTTAAAATATGTTAGACGAAACCATTATTTAAAACGTCATCGAGGTGAGGTTTGTCCAGACGTGATTTGTCTATAACTGCGACAATAACATCAGACTCTATTGACCCATTAATCAATAGAGAAAAACATACAGGCTACTAGGCTATACTCGATCGGCTGATTAACTTATATATGCCAATGTCATAATACGAGGAGGATATTTTTCACAAGTGGAAATTAATCGGTTTTCATATGCCAAACCACATTCAAAATAAAAAAAAAAATTGTTTGTACCAAACCCAAATTATTGTTTACTTATATGTTCGTTTGGGGTTTAACGTGCAAATAAATTTATGTATAGATGTTGTTTTCGAAAGTAGGCAAACAAAAATTTCGGAATTGTTTTATAGATATAGTATTTTAAGTTTTTAACTTTTGTCCACCCGTTCTCACAACTCTCGCCCATTTTTGGTGTAAAATGTATTATACATGTGGGTAGTGAAATTGGCAAAAATTTATACTCCGTAATTGCTAAGAGCTAAACCCTATGAAACTCATGAGGACTGTATCTGGCTGGCTTTCTTTTATCAAGTGCCAACTTCGAGGTTATGTCACAAGATGGTCCTTTACGTTTTGGCATTGACTCAAGGACTCTTTTGGATCCTCTGATTTGTAATTTTAGCATTGCAAATTTGGCAGTACGAAGATAAGGTTGCTGTGAGTCTTGATAGAATTTGGCAATATTTTTTCAAATATTTTTTAGGTCTTGTCTATTTTCTCAACTCTGTCTAAATTTTATCTCTTTATAAAGTTATATATATTGATGGGGAAAGAAAAAGTTTATCAATGCAATATTTTTTAGGAACTAGTAGGGGCGAATCTAGCATACAAACAGGAGGGGCAGCTGCCCACCATGGATTTATTAAATTAGTGCAATTTTGTAAAGGATTTTCATTATGCCCCTGTTGATATTTTATTTTTATAGAGGTAATTAGTACTTTTGCCCCTTATGAAATTATTTACTAGATAATAGTATTTTGTATTTTACTTATCGAACTAATTAGTAGAGGTAGTTAGTAGACATCCAAAACTACAAAACACATCAGGTAATTATTAATTTATTATGAGCCAAATGAAGAAAAAACTCTCTTTTTGGCCAACTAAAGATCACATTAATCCCGATCTAACAAAAGAGATTGCAAGAGAAAAAGAATAAAAAGCAACCAAAAATCATATACAAAATGAAATAAAACAAAAGAAATCAATCAAGCTTTGTTTGCTTTGCTTTTGATTCTCTTCTCTCCTTTTTTCTTGTTGCTTCTGCCAAAGCATCTTCTTCTTCCCTTTTTCTCATTCTTAACACTTTGCTTTTCCTTCTTCTACCGTCTTTACTTAACTTTCCTTTTGATTGGAACGAAACTCGCTTTTCAGTCTTCTTCACCAGCTTTCATTTGAGTTCTCAATTCACAATCCATGGGGATTTGTCACGGAAAACCAATCGAACACCAATCGAAGAACACTCTCCCAGTCTCCGGCGAACCCGACGAAGAAGCTCCGACGAATTCGCACCCGGCGAAATCCTCCGGCTTTCCGTTTTACAGCCCGAGCCCATTACCGAGCTTATTCAAATCCTCACCGGCGGTGTCGTCATCGAGCGTGAGCTCCACGCCGCTCCGTATCTTCAAGAGACCTTTCCCTCCTCCTTCACCAGCAAAGCACATACGCGCTTTCCTCGCGCGTCGTCACGGCTCCTCCGCGAAGCCCAGCAACGAGGTCACGATCCCTGAAGGCAAAGAGTGCGAGATCGGCCTCGACAAGAGCTTCGGCTTCTCGAAACACTTCGCTTCACACTACGAGATTGATGGCGAAGTGGGTCGTGGACATTTCGGGTATACTTGCTCTGCGAAAGGTAAAAAAGGAAGCTTGAAGGGTCAAGAAGTTGCTGTTAAAGTCATTCCTAAATCAAAGGTTCGTCCTTTTTCATCACTCTGTTTTTTAAATTACAGATCGATTTTTCTCTCTTATCAAAATCAACTGATCCGTTTGTTGATTCGTTTATCAGTTACAAATTCTAGTTTCATTGCCATGTGTTTTAGAGTTGAGCATTTTTTTAAAAATATATATTTTGGCCACAATGTTGTCAGAGATATATGATTAAGGGCTCTGTTCTGGTTTTTCTATATTAAAATGTTGGCGAATTATGTTTTAACTTTGCTTCAGGCTTCCATTTAGTAAAGAAATGATGCTTATCATTGGATAAAAATTGATCCTTTTTTAGATTGAGGCGAACAAAATTGAATCTGAGTGTCAATAGAAACAGAGTTTATCACTCTGTGTGAATAAAAACAGAGTTGTCTCGGATGATTTCAATAAGCTAGCTATCTTCTTGAGCTCGTTGCTTGTTCGATTCGTTGCTTAGCGTTGTTATATGTTGTTGTTGACTGCAGATGACAACTGCGATTGCAATTGAGGATGTTAGTAGAGAAGTGAAGATATTACGGGCTTTGACTGGTCACAGCAACTTAGTCCAGTTCTATGACGCGTTTGAAGATGATGAAAATGTTTATATTGTCATGGAGTAAGTATATACATCATTCCTTAAGCTCCATTACATCATCTTCCAATGTATTGCGATGAAATTACTTTAATCTCATTTATATTAGGTTATGCAAAGGTGGTGAACTCTTGGACAAAATCCTTCAAAGGTAAATTTCTTGCTGCTACATCTCATGTGGCTATGTCTCTACTGAATCTTGCTTTGACGTTATTGACTGACTTTGTTGAGGTTGATGATTCTGATTTAAGCTCCATTACATTCATCTTCCAATGTATTGCGATGAAATTACTTTAATCTCATTTATATTAGGTTATGCAAAGGTGGTGAACTCTTGGACAAAATCCTTCAAAGGTAAATTTCTTGCTGCTACATCTCATGTGGCTATGTCTCTACTGAATCTTGCTTTGACGTTATTGACTGACTTTGTTGAGGTTGATGATTCTGATTTAGGGGTGGCAAATACTCAGAAGAAGATGCTAAAAAAGTTATGGTACAGATTCTTAGTGTTGTTGCTTACTGTCATCTACAAGGTGTGGTTCACCGTGACCTTAAACCAGAGGTACATTTATAATGTTTTAGTTTCCACTTTCCAGAGTGTTCTCTGATTGCTCTTGTTTTTTTGTAAATCATTTGGCTTTAGGTGACACTTCACTTTCTTAGGTCCCATCACATTATCAGTAGCATGACTTTCACTAACTTATATGCAGAGTGATAACGACCGTTATGTTTCTTTCTGTTTGTTTGTTTTCCCTTTCACAGAACTTTCTCTTCAGTACTAAGGATGAGTCTTCACCTCTGAAAGCAATTGACTTTGGCCTCTCTGATTACGTCAAGCCAGGTCAGTTATGTTAAAATAATGACCCATCTCGATTGTTAAATGGATAATATCTGACATTGTTTTTGAAATGCTTGCAGACGAGAGGTTGAATGATATTGTAGGAAGTGCTTATTACGTGGCACCTGAGGTTTTACACCGAACATACGGAACAGAAGCTGACATGTGGAGTATTGGAGTGATTGCGTACATTCTTCTTTGTGGAAGCCGTCCCTTTTGGGCCCGAACCGAGTCTGGCATCTTTCGAGCTGTTCTTAAGGCAGAGCCTAATTTTGAAGAAGCTCCTTGGCCGTCACTGTCAACTGAAGCTGTAGATTTTGTTAAAAGATTGCTTAACAAAGATTACCGTAAAAGACTAACCGCAGCACAGGCTTTGTGTGAGTATAGCATCTCATTCTTGATCTCTATAATGTGTTCTGCAACTTCTTATACTAAGAATCGATTGTATTTTCTCCTCAGGTCATCCGTGGTTGGTTGGTTCTCATGAGCTAAAGATACCATCTGATATGATCGTATATAAGCTTGTTAAAGTGTACATTATGTCAACTTCATTGCGGAAATCGGCTTTAGCGGTGAGTTGGATTCTTGCAGAAGCTGTGACATATACAAATTTTCTTTGCAAATTTCGGTTCTTGAGCTTAATGGTTTTCTTTTTTCATGGTTACAGGCTCTTGCCAAGACATTAACTGTACCGCAGTTAGCATATCTGAGGGAGCAATTTACATTGTTGGGGCCAAGCAAGAATGGATATATCTCCATGCAGAATTACAAAACAGTGAGTGATCTGTTTTCATGATTCACTCTACTTATATTCCCTTTTCTTTCAAGATTTTTCTGTGATTTTTGATATTTTTTATCATGTAAATATCAGGCAATCCTAAAGAGCGCAACAGATGCAACCAAGGATTCACGAGTCATAGATTTTGTTCACATGGTAAGATACAGAAATGGAGTGAGATTTATCATTACTTCATTAGGTTTGGTGGCTAAAGTGTTCTAATAAACTCTTCTTGGGATGGATGCAGATAAGTTGTCTTCAATACAAGAAACTAGACTTTGAAGAGTTTTGTGCATCAGCATTAAGCGTTTATCAGCTGGAAGCAATGGAAACATGGGAGCAACACGCACGCCGTGCTTACGAGCTGTTTGAGAAAGATGGGAACAGACCAATCATGATTGAGGAACTTGCATCGGTATTTAAATGTTAACCCTTTCTTATTCACTTTAGAGAGACTCACATGAATAGCAAAACTTGAAACATTGGTTTGTTTATGGAAATGTGATAATCTGGCAGGAACTCGGACTCGGGCCATCAGTTCCGGTGCACGTTGTACTTCAGGACTGGATAAGACATTCAGATGGAAAACTTAGTTTCTTGGGTTTTGTCAGAATACTACACGGCGTGTCTTCTCGGACGTTACAGAAAGCTTAGAGCAACGCCACCACATTGTTAGATGAGAAAAGATGCAACTAGGTGTAGATCTGGTTTCTTCTTTTTTTTCTTCATTTCTTGATAGTTTTCTTTTACTTCTTCTATTCATGGGTAAGGTTTTGAGTCTGTGTGTATCAGTGTATGTGTGTGGTGAAGAGGATACGTTTCAGAATGTACAGAATGAGACACATTCCATCTCTACAAGTCTATAAGTCTATAACTTGCTTTTCTGATGGTTACGGCTTTGATAAGAAAGAACCTTAGTAACCAAGATTTGTGATAAGAAAACACTAAAAACAGGTAAAGATGAAGATAAATTCCTCAAAATGCCATAAATAAAAACTAGTTTTTGTTCCTAATTTACCACACTTCTAAAACTTTCATTCATAAACATGTGTGGAGAAAGAGATAAGAGACGATTATGATGTTTAATAGTATGAAGATTGATTAATATGTAAGATGGGTACACATTAATTCGAACATTGATAGGTGACAATCTTATGTCTCTCTTCAATTTTCTGTGAAACTTCTAATATCATAAGGACGTCTGAAGATTTTGTAGGCAGAGGGTCTGAATCTCTCTGCATACTGAATGAAGTTATCCATTGCCCCTAAAATAACGAAACCGATTAACCTTAACTAATGCACCGATTAACCCTAACTAATGCACCAACTATCCAGAGAAAGCAGAGAAAAGTGAAGAAAATTAACAAACCTGTTGAAATGGTGTTGTATCCTTCAACGTAAATCCTGCTCATTTGTACAAGTTTCACACAAAAACAATTGCCTTAATGATTTGTGTTAGGGCAGCTCTCAAATATTGCAGGACTATAAACTTCCAAGTAATCTCAGCTATAAGCTCGTCCATCTCCCCTATAGTTAAGATACATGAGCCAAACGGTTACTTGACAATTAACATTAAAAGAAAAACGAGAGAGAGATAGGTAGATTGGCTCAGCGACTAACTTTGTAACTTCAAGTATTCGGTTGAGCGATTAAATTTGTAACTTGTACTAAGTGTCAACGCCTTCACTACTGCACCAACTATCCAAAGAAAATTCAAGGCAAATAGGTAACTTAAAAGCAGAGAAAATTGAAGAAAATTAGCCACAAGTAAAAACTCATGCTAATGATTGAATAAAAATTTATTACCTTTTGCTTTTAGACTCGCGAATTAAACTGAATCTGCGTGTCAATAAAAAACAGAGTTTGAATGCTCTGCGTTGTGAACTGTGGGAGAACGTACAATTGATATTGTAAAAGTGGGAACGTATGCATGTCTGGTAATCTGAATCATCGCTGTCCTCTGCACTTTACGTGCCAAGCACTCTTTCCAATTGCCGCCGGAAATACAATGTTTTAATAGGTGACATGTTTGGATCGTGAGCAATGATAATACGCCACGTGATTGTGTCTCACATTTGCCGGAGACTCCCATGTGACCTTCCTTCAGATCTCATCTATGATCTGCTGCTGCTAATCTCTACCTAAAACCGTAGCAAAAGATGTTTTCTTTCTTCCCTCCTTTTGACTCTACCACAGTTAAATGGCGACAATGAGCAAAACTCACAGGTCAAAAAGCCACTCCAAGATCTCAGAGACTTGTTCTGTTTTTATGTATACTAGCATCCGTCGCATTCCTCATCCTTTTCTCTTCGGTCGTTTCCATAAGCGGATTGGGTTTACCGTACCGGAAAACCCTACTTGATTATTTCGTTAGGTCTCCTCGAAACAAGAGACATCACAGTTTGTGAGACAAGTACTTGTATTGGGGAGACAGAATCGATTGTCCTGGCAAGAATTAAGTCTTAGATGTACCCTTGAAGAAGCCATGTGTGCTGATGTGTGCTGAATTGACAATTTTTGAATTTGTTTGTTTGTTGAAGGACATTTGTAATGCCTTCTCGGATGTGTATTAAGAATACAGAGACTGGTTTTTTGCATTATCTCCTTTCAGGACTACTTTGGTAATGGCTCATGAGGATCCAAATCTCCCAAAGCCGCCATGTTTGAGTACCTTCCTCCCTTATCCGTTTAATGCTCGTGTGGATAGTAAGACTGGGTTTGTGTGCATTGGGAATACAGAGAATGGTTTTGAACAGTGCGTGGGAGAGATACCAGGTCCTGCTTCGAGAGTCCGCTACGCACGTGAGGATCCAAGTCTCCCCAAGCCGTGGAAAGGTCTTGTGGATATTAGCAGTGGGTATGTCTACTTTTGGAATACAGAGACTGGTGTTACCCGGTACCAGAGACCACCTTCAAATTACCTACATTGGTTTGTTTTAGGGTAAAGAAGATGACTACGCAGTAGACAGTTCGAAGAAGAATAAGGCTACGAGAGGAGAAGACAATGTTTTCAACTTATTACTTTGTGTTTTTTTTGTTCTTTTGTACAGAATGTAGAGAATGAGATTCTCCATGGAGGGATTCACCACCAAAGTAATCTCTTCTTCGATCCTTGTGGTTTTCTCTAATCTCTGTTTTCTTTGATTCTTTTTTCATGTGAATCTCAGGCAATCCTAAAGAGCGCAACAGATGCTACCAAGGATTCACGAGCCTTAGATTTTGTTCACATGGTAAGATACAGAAATGGAGTGAGATTTATCACTACTTCATTAGGTTTGGTGGCTAAAGTGTTCTAATAAACTCTTCTTGGGATGGATGCAGATAAGTTGTCTTCAATACAAAAACTAGACTTTGAAGAGTTTTGTGCATCAGCATTAAGCGTTTATCAGCTGGAAGCAATGGAAACATGGGAGCAACACGCACGCCGTGCTTACGAGTTGTTTGAGAAGGACAGGAACAGACCAATCATGATTGAGGAACTTGCATCGATATTTAAATGTTAACCCTTTCTTATTCACCTTAGCTAGAGAGACTCACATGAATAGCAAAACTTGAAACATTGATTTGTTTATGAAAATGTGATGATATGGCAGGAACTCGGACTCGGTCCATCAGTTCCGGTGCACGTTGTACTTCAGGACTGGAAAACTTAGTTTCTTGGGTTTTGTCAGAATACTACACGGCGTGTCTTCTCGGACGTTACAGAAAGCTTAGAGCAACGCCACCACATTGTTAGATGAGAAAAGATGCAACTAGGTGTAGATCTGGTTTCTTCTTTTTTTCTTTCATTTCTTGATAGTTTTCTTTTACTTCTTCTATTCATGGGTAAGGTTTTGAGTCTGCGTGTATCAGTGTATGTGTGTGGTGGAGAGGATACGTTTCAGAATGTACAGAATGAGACACATCCCATCTCTATAACTTGCTTTTCTGATGGTTACGGCTTTGATAATAAAGAACCATAGTGATGATAAAACAAAAACAGGTTAAAGATTAAGAGAAATTCCTCAAAATGCCATAAAGAAAAACTAGTTTTTGTTCCTAATTTACTAAACACCTCTAAAACTTCCATTCATAATAACACTTAAATAGAATTAGAATGATCCTTTTGTCCTCGTTGGAATCATTCAACAAAAAAATCTATTTTTGGGTCATCAAGAATCAAGCCTTAGATGTGCCCCCTTGAAGAAGAAGCCATGTTTCTTTTCTTGAGAGATAAGGTATCTAATCAGATATTCCTTTATTGAGATTTTTTTCCATTTTTCTTGACCGATTCCAAAACTAATTGGATATGGATTAAAATGTTAATAGTGAGTTTTTCTTATTTGTCCAAAATTATTTCACAAAAAAATATTATAGATGCGTTAGAAATACTTCTTCCTCTTCGACAGCATCTAGAAAGACCTAAAAAATCCCTAGAAGTCTAGACCTAAACCTAGCTTTGTCGCGACTTCGCAACTTCTCCATGGAGGGATCCATTACCAAAGTAATCTCTTCTTCGATCCTTATGGCTTTCTTTAATCTCTATTTCTCAATTTTGAAATATCTTATTAGATCTTTTGTACCTTAGGGTTTGGCATCGTTGGAATTGAACGATAGTGATGCAGCCATTCGAAAAAGCAGGTAACAATTGATACTTTTTTCTTTTGAGATGTGTGTATCTAAGATGTGTTGGTTGTTGTCACGTTAACAATATTTTCACCCGCATGCAATCAAATCTATTTTGCAGTAGCAGCACTGTGAGCAACCAACACTTCGCTTTCTTGCCTTAGTCTCGTTTTGGCTATGAGAAAACATTTCGAATCATGTGGAAAGCTGTTGCATGTTTATATTCCCGGATACTTGAAACTCAGAATTCTCAACAGGTTTGTAGTGTTTTTCCTCCTCCAATATAAAAGCTGTTGCATGTTTATATTCCCGGATACATGAAACTCAGAATTCTCCCTTGCAATGGTTAAACTCTTGATTTTGTTTTTACAGTTTTGCCTTGATTTATATTCGGGGAGAATGTGCAGAGGAGAAGGCGTTGACACTTAGCGGAAGTTGCATGGGAGGACACAAGTTGGTGGTGGAGCCTTACCCGTTTCATGCCACACACCTTGACCATAAGTTTGCTCCTACGAGAGACGCAGACAATATCAAAGACATCAGGTAAATTATTATTGTTTTTTTTTGTTGAGATTTTTGTCTAAAACATAGTTCATTGTCATGTTGGTTGCTAATATTATCTCCTGGAATCAAATTATTAGGATGTTTTTTGAAGGATATGACACTTCGCTTCCCTTGGATCGTGTCGAGAGCATGCTGTATCGAGAACTCGGTAAATGTGGACGTGTCTGTGATATAGATGTTGACCAAGACATAGAAAACGAAGCTCTTCTCGAGAGGTTTGTGGCTTCTTCCTCATCCCAATTTGCTCTCGTCCGTGTTATCAAATGCTAACCAAATATTTGTTGCTTTTTTTATAGAGTCGCCCTCGTTGCTGCCGAGGGAATAGACATGGTAGAGAGGTTGCTGCAAATATGTGGTAGTGATGTGAAAGGATTGGAGAATATTAAAAGTATTGGTGTTGTAACTCCAGAAGCAGACGAAGCTAGCTCCGCCAATTTCTCACCGTGGCAATTTGCATCTACTCCTTCCAAAGCTCCTGAGTATCCAAATATCCCCAACCCGCCACATTTTGGTAGCAAACTCCCTTATCCATGGAATGTTTATGTGGATAGTGGGACTGCTGCGTTAATGTGCATGAGGAATACAGAGACTGGTTTTGTCCAGTACGCGGAAGAGACACCAGCTCCTGCTTCGAGAGCCCGCTACGCACCTGAGGATCCAAATCTCCCCTGGCCGTGGATAGGTCTTGTGGATACGATCAGTGGGGATCTCTACTTTTGGAATACACAGACTGGTGTTACCCAGTACCAGAGACCACCTTCAAATTATATAAATGGTTTGTTTTAGGGTAAAGAAGATGACTACGCAGTAGAAATTCTCAAAGAAGAAGAAGGCTACGAGAGGAGAAGACAACGTGTTCAACTTATTACTTTGTGTTTTTTTTTTTCCTTCTTCTTTTGTACAGAATGTAGAGAATGAGACATATTCTATATATATATAACTTTATCAAACAATTCTAAAACTTCCACATCTCTATATTCAATATCTCTATAATTTTATTTTGTGATGTTTACGGCTTTCATAATAAAGGACTTTATTACAAACGTTTTGTGAGAAATTCTTCAAAATGCCATGGAAACTAGGTTTTGTTCCTTGGGTTTCAGATGGAAAACTTAGTTTCTTGGGTTTTGTCAGAATACTACACGGCGTATCTTCTCGGACGTTACAGAAAGCTTAGAGCAACGCCACATTGTTAGATGAGAAAAGATGCAACTAGGTGTAGATCTGTTTTTTTCATTTCTTGATAGTTTTCTTTTACTTCTTGTATTCATGGGTAAGGTTTTGAGTCTGTGTGTATCAGTGTATGTGTGGTGGAGTGGAGAGGAGACGTTTAAGAATATATAGAGAATGAGACACATTCCATCTCTATAAGTCTATAACTTGCTTTTCTGATGGTTAGGGGTTTGATAATAAAGAACCTTGGTACCAAGATTTGTGATAGTATAACACTAAAAACAGGTAAAGATTAAGAGAAATTCCTCAAAATGCCATTAAAAAAACTAGTTTTTGTTCCTAATTACCACACACTTCTAAAACTTCCATTCATAGCACTTTTCTTTCATAGATTTAGAATGATATTTTTTTCCTCGTTGAAATCATTCAACAAAGAAAACTATTTTTGGGTCATCAAGAATGAGCCCTAGATGTGCCCCCTTGAAGAAGCCATGTTTCTTGAGAGATAGGGTATAATCAGATATTCTTTTATTGAATTTTCCATTTTTCTTGACCGATTCCAAAACTAATTGGATATGGATTAAAATGTTAATAGTGAGTTTTTCTTATTTGTCCAAAATTATTTCACAAAAAAATATTATAGATGCGTTAGAAATACTTCTTCTTTTTCGACAGCATCTAGAAAGACCTAAATCCCTAAAATACTTCGTCTTTTTCCGTCGCGACTTCGCAACTTCTCCATGGAGGGATCCACCATCAAAGTAATCTCTTCTTCCATCCTTGTGGCTTTCTTTAATCTCTATTTCTCAATTTGAAATATCTAATTAGGTCTTTTGTATCTTAGGGTTTGGCATCGCTGGATTTGAACGATAGAGATGAAGACATTCGAAAAAGCAGGTAAATATTGATGCTTTTTAATTTCTTTGGAGATGTGTTGGTTGTTGTCATATTAATTGTATTTTCACCTGCATGCAAATTTATTTTGCAGTAGAAGCATTGTGAGCAGGATGTACGTTGAGGGATACGACACTTCGCTTTCTGGCCTTAGTCTCGTTTTGTCTATGAGAAAACATTTCAAATCATGTGGAGAGCTGTTGCATGTTTATATTCCCGGATACATGAAACTCAGAATTCTCAACAGGTTTGTAGCGTTTTCCCTCCAGTTTTCTCAGCTTTTTAAGTTAAACACTTGCAATGATTAAACTCTGGATTTTGTTTCACAGATTTGCCTTGATTTATCTTCGGGGAGAAGGTGCAGAGGAGAAGGCGTTGAAACTTAGCGGAAGTTGCATGGGAGGACACACGTTAGTCGTGGAGCCTTACCCGTTTCATGCCACACACCTTGACCATAAGTTTGCTCCTACGAGATACTTTGACAATTTCAAATATATCAGGTAAATTATTATTGTTTTTTTCTTTGTTGAGATTTTTGTCTAAAAACTAGTTCATTGTCATGTTGGTTGCTAATATAATCTCATGCAATCAAATTATTAGGATGTATTTTGAAGGATATAACACTTCGCTTCCCTTGGATTATGTCGAGAGCATGCTGTATCAAGAACTCGCTAAATGTGGACGTGTCTTGAATATAGACGTTGACCAAGACGTAGAAAACGAAGCTCTTCTCGAAAGGTTTGTGGCTTCTTCCTGATCCCAATTTGCTCTCGTGTTATCAAATGCTAATATAACCAAATATTTGTTGCTTTTTTTATAGAGTCGCCCTCGTTGCTGCCGAGGGAATAGACATGGTAGAGAGGTTGCTGCAAATATGTGGTAGTGATGTGAAAGGATTGGAGAATATTAAAAGTAGTGGTGTTCTTACTCCAGAATCAGACGAAGCTAGCACCGGCAATTTGTCACCGTGGCATTTTGATTCTACTCCTTCCAGGACTACTTCGGTAATGGCTGCTAGAGCTCCTGAGGATCCATATCTCCCTAAGCCGCCATATTTGGGTAGCTTTCTCCCTTATCCATGGAATGCTCGTGTGGATAGTGGGACTGGTTAATGTGCATTTGGAATACAGAGACTGGTATGGTCCAGTACGCGGAAGAGACACCAGCTCCTGCTTCGAGAGTCCGCTACGCACCTGAGGATCCAAATCTCCCCTGGCCGTGGATAGGTCTTGTGGATATGAGCAGTGGGTATCTCTACTTTTGGAATACAGAGACTGGTGTTACCCAGTACCAGAGACCACCTTCAAATTATATACATGGTTTGTTTTAGGGTAAAGAAGATGACTACGCAGCTCGAAGAAGAACAAGGCAGACAATGTTTTCAACTTATTACTTGTGTATTTTTCTTTCTTTTGTACAGAATGTTGAGAATGAGACATATTCTCTATATATATAACTTTAGCACACATTTGTAAAACTTCCACATCTCTCTATAACTTTCAGAATGTACGGAATGAGACATATTCCATATCTCTATAACTTTATTTTCTGATGTTTACGGCTTTCATTATTACCACGCTTTGTGAGAAATTCTTCAAAATGCAATGTACTAGGTTTTGTTCATTTAGCACACATTTCTAAAACTCCCATTCATAACATTTTTTTCATCAACAGAATGATATTTTTGTCCTCATTTAAAAGTCATTTAACAAAAAAAAAGGAGCTATTATATTTCTCCGCAGTGGATGTCTGGTAAATGGTTATCTGTGCACTGCACTTTACGTGTGAAGCACTCTTTTTCTGGCCGCTGGAAATACACTTTTTTAATCTGTGACATGCTTGGATCGCGCGTGAGCAATGCTCGCCACACGTGACGTGATTGTGTCTCACACTTTTCATTAATAGAATGAGAATGATCCTTTTGTCCTCGTTGATAACTTGATACTATCATTCAACAAAAAAAAACTATTTTTGTGTCATCAAGAATCAAGCTTTAGAATGAGATGTGCCCTTGAAGAAGCCATGCATGTTTAGGGTTTCTGAAACTTATATTTACTTTTATTGAGATTTTTGTTTTCCATTTTTCTTGACCGATTACAAAACTAATTGGATATGGACTAAAGAGTTAATAGTGAGGTTTTCTTATTTCTCTGAAATTACTTCAGAAATAGTATTATAGGCTATAGAAAAATTAATTAGTAATAATTAAAAGAAGAAAAAAAAGGAAAACAAAAACCATCTTATTATTGTCTCACCCTCAAGTCTAGAACTGAAAATAGGGATCTCATCACCCTCGGAAACCTATCTCCGTCACATCATCTCAACTTCTTCATGGAGGGATTCTCCACCAAAGTAATCTCTTCTTCGATCCTTGTGGTTTTCTCTAATCTCTGTTTCTGAATTTTGGAATATCTGATTAGATCTTTTGTACCTTAGGGTTTGGAATCGCTGGATTTGAACGATAGTGATGCAGACATTCGAAAAAGCAGGTAGATAGTGATGCATTTTCTTTGGAGATGTGTTGGTTGTTGTCACGTTAATAATATTATCAAATCTATTTTGCAGTAGCAGCATCGTGAGCAGGATGTACGTAGAGGGATACGACACTTCGCTTTCTGGCCATGATTTCGTTAAGTCTATCACTAAACATTTCGAATCATGTGGAGAGGTGATGAATGTTTATATTCCCGGATACTTTCAAGGCAGAAATCTCAACAGGTTTGTGGCGTTATTCCTTCAACTCTTTCAGATTTTTAAGTGAAATACTTGCAATGGTTAAACTCTTGATATTGTTTTTACAGATTTTCCTTGATGTATATTCGGGGAGAAGGTGCAGAAGAGAAGGCTTTGAAACTTAGCGGAAGTTACATCAGCAGAGGATACAAGTTGGTCGTTGAGTCTTACCCGTTTCACGCCAAACACCTTGACCATAAGTTTGCTCGTGCGAGATACGGAGACAATAAGCGAGATTACGGGTAAATTATAATTTTTTAAGATACTTTTTTGAGATTGAGTTATTGACTTATTGTCATGTTGGTTGATAATATTATCGAATTATTAGGATGTCTTTTGAAGGATTTGACACTACGCTTCCCCGTGGATATGTCGAGGGCATTCTGTCTCAAGAACTCGCTAAATGTGGACGTGTATCTGTATATATTTACCAAACCAAAGAAGGTGTTCTCAGCAGGTTTGTGGCTTCTTCCCGATCCCAATTTGCTCTCGTGTTATCAAATGCTAATATAACCAAATAATTTGTTGCCTTTTTTCTATAGCATCGCTATGGTTACTGCTCAGGGAATAGACACAGTAGAGAAGTTGCTGCAAGTTTGTGGTAGTGATGTGAAAGGATTGGAGAATATTAAAAGTCAGAGTATTTTACCTCCACCTCCAGACGGATCGAGCTCCACCTTTATGCCACCCTGGTTTTTTGCATCATCTCCTTGCAGGACTACTTCGGTAATGGATCCTCATCAGGATCCAAATCTCCCTAAGCCGCTGGGTAGCTTTCTCCCTTATCCATGGAATGCTCGTGTGGATAGTGGGGCTGGGATAGCGTGCATTAGGAGGAATACAGAGACTGGTTTTGAACAGTATGCGGGAGAGACACCAGCTCCTGCTTGGAGAGTCCGCTACGCACCTGAGGATCCAAATGTCCCCTGGCCGTGGATAGGTCTTGTGGATATGAGCAGTGGGTATCTCTACTTTTGGAATACACAGACTGGTGTTACCCAGTGGCAGAGACCACCTTCAAACTATATACATGGTTTGTTTTAGGGTAAAGAAGATGACTACGAAGTAGAAAGCTCGAAGAAGAATAAGGCTACGAGAGGTGAAGACAATGTTCTTCTTTTGTGTTTTGTTGTTCTTTTGTACAGAATGAGACATATTATTCTCTATAACTTTAGCACACATTTCTAAAACTTCCATATCTCTAATTCTCTATGAATGTACAGAATGAGACATATTCCTCCATATCTCTATAACTTTTTTTTCTGATGTTTGCGGCTTTCATAATAAAGGACCTTATTACTACGTTTTGGGAGCTTCAAATGCCATGGAAAGAAACTAGGTTTTGTTCTTAGTTTAGCACGCATTCATAACATTTTTTCATCAACATAAAGATATTTTTGACCTTGTTTAAATGTCATTTAACAAAAAAGAGCTATTTCTCCGCGGTGGATATAACGGAATATTCTGAGCTCCAACAATACAAATGTGAACGTGTATATATATCTATGCATTGCACATTTGGACTTAACGTGTGAAGCACTCTTTTTAATGGCCGCCGCAAATACAATTTTTGGATCGTGAGCAATGATAATTCGCCACACGTGATTGTGTCTCAATTTGCCGAGAGTTCAACTTAGCTAGATTTGTGGAAAGTTTCTAATAAGATTAGATTTTGCCTGGAAGATTATTTTTGTAGTTATTCCCTTTAAATTAATTCAAAAATCAAATGATATAAATACCTTCTTCCTCTTCGACAGCCTCTAGAAAATCCCTAGAACGGAAAAATTATCTTTTAAGGTTATTAAATATTAATTATTATTGCCTCACCCCTCGAAAACCTAGCGCAGTCGCACCTTTAGTTTCTCAACTTGTCCATGGAGGGATCCGCCACCAAAGTAACCTCTTCTTCGATCCTCATGGCTATCTTTCATCTCTGTTTTCTCAATTTAAAATATCCTATTAAATATTTTGTACCCTAGGGTTTGGAATTGCTGGATTTGAACGATAGTGATGTAGATATTCAAAAAAGCAGGTACAAATTATTATATTTGTTTAGATATGTACGTATCTGTAAGATGTGTTGTTGTCATGTTAATAATATTATCACATGTATTGCAGTGGCAGCATTGTGAGCAGGATGTACGTTGCGGGATACGACACTTCGGTTTCTGGCCATGATTTCGTTGAGACTATGACAGAACGTTTCGCTTCATGTGGAGAGTTGATACATATTTATATTCCCGGATACGCTAGAGGCAGAAATCTCAACAGGTTTGTGTGGCGTCTTTCCTCCAGTTTTCTCAGCTTTTTAAGTTAAATACTTCCGATGATTAAGCTCTTGATTTTTGTTTTATAGATTTGTCTTGATATATCTTCGTGGAGAAGATGCCGAAGAGAAGGCGTTGGCACTTAGTGGAAGTTACAGCAGCAAAGGACACAAGTTAATCGTTGAGCCTTACCCGTTTGATGCCAAACACCATGACAGTGAGTTGGCTCCTATGAGAGACGCAGACAATAAGCAACGTCACGTGTAAGTTTTTTTAAAGATTTTTGTGTGTAAGATAGGTTCTTGTCATGTTGGTTGATATTGTTATCTCCAGGATTTTTGTTGATGGATTTGACACTTCGCTTCCCTTGGATTATGTCTAGCGCATGCTGTCTCAAGAACTCTCTAAATGTGGACGTGTCTCGCATATTTCCCTTCACCCAGAGAAGTACCGAGGTCCTACTCTCTTCAGGTTTGTGGCTTCTTCCTATACAAGTTTGCTCTCATGTTTATCATCAAATGCTGACCAAAAGATTTTTTTTTCGTTTGCTGATTTTTATAGATACGCTTACGTTCACGTTGAGGGGATAGACACAATAGAGAAGTTGATGCAACTTTGTGGATGTGATGTGAAAGGATTGGAGGATATTAAACTTTCCAGGGTTGATCCTCCAGAAAGAGTTGATGACAGCAGCTGCGATATGCCACCCCTATCTACTTGGGGATGTTCTTCTTCCAGGACTGCTCCTGAGGATCTAAATCTCCCTAAGCCGCCGCCTGAGGGGGAAGATCCTCCTTATCCTTGGAAGTGTAGCGTGAATAGTGAGACTGGGTATTTGTGCTTTTGGAATCCAAATACTGGTGTCCGGATAGAGGAACCCCCTTCCGCCTCACCAATACGTTACGCACATGAGGATCCACATCTCCCTAAGCCGTGGAAACGTCTCGCGGATAGCTATGGGTATTCGTATTGGTGGAATACGGAGACTGGTGTTACCCAGTACGAGAAACCAGGTTCAAATTTAGTAGATCGATTGTTTTAGGGGGAAAGAAGACGACCATGTTATCAACTTATTTACTTGCTTATCAACAATCTACCTTCATTAATTATATAACCTAAGCGTGATGTATTTATCTGGATCAATTCGATTGATTAGGTAAGAAAAAGCATAATCTTCCATCTCAATTTGGTTTTGCCAAAGTGTATCAAGAAAGAAGATTAGTTGTAACTTTTGCTCCCTAGTTTTTTGATGATGCTTTTGCGACCTTTGCCAAGCCTCATAAAAAGTATGAAACAAGACCATATTTTAAGCTATACAGGGGACGTCGTGTACTAAAACTCAATGCAGACCATTCTTTATGTTACTTTATGTTTTGGTGCAAAGCCTTCTCAAGATTGAGAAGCATCAATTTGTATATACTATATACATTATTCCCGGTTCTGATAATCCGGTTATGGTTGTTGGCTTCGCACCCATCTACATACAAAACAAGACATGAATACCCAGAATATGCATCAAGCAAAGACTTCAGTAATCATTGTTTTGTGATAAACAAAACATTAAGAAAAAACTCTTCAAAATGCCATGGAAACTAGTTTTTGTTACTAATTTAGCACACATGTCTAAAACTTCCATTCATAACATTTTTATTCCTAAATTAGCACCTCATTTAAATCTCATTTAACAAAAAAAAAACCTATTTATCCACGGTGGATATAACGTAATCTGAGCTCCCACAGTAAAAGTGTGAACGTATATATGTCTTTACGTGTGAAGCACTCTTTCCAATGGCCGCCGGAAATACAATTTTTTAATAGGTGACATGTTTGGATCGTAAACAATGATAATACGCCACGTGATTGTGTCTCGCATTTTCCGGAGAATCCCACGTGACCTTCCTTCAGATCTCTGCTCTATTGCTGTGCTAATCTCCACCTAAGACCGTCGCAAAAGATGCTTTCTTTCTTCCTTCATCTTCTTCTTCCTCCTTTTGACTCTTCCACAGTTTAATGGCAACAATGAACATAACAAGAAAGGTTTACTCAATCAGAAATCTGTAGTTTGATTGTCGATTGAGTAAACCTTTCTTGTTATGTATTGGATTGATACACATCCGAGAAGCCATTACAAATATCCTTCAACAATTTTTTTTTCAAGAATTGTCACACACACATCAATTCACTGGTTACTTTCAAAGTTATAAGTACTTTCGTTTTTTTATTTGGATTATTTGGTTATTTTCAAGTAATTTCGTTATTTTTTTTGGATTGTTTATTTTTTCAAATACTTTTGGTTATTTTTTAAGAATATTCAGCTATTTCCAATTGTTTTTTTTTTGGATTTTCAAATATTTACATATTTCGGTATTTCTAGATACATCTGAAAGTATAATATTCTTTTTTTAGGCTGTCACATCTTTAATGCGTTGTTTAAAAAATTAACAAGAGAAATTTCAAAACTACATCTTTGTAGGTAGGTGTACATTTTCAAAACTACTTTGTTTATTTTCAAGATTACACTTTTTTATTTAAAGTTTTGAAAATTAACATTCAGAAGTGTATTTTTAAAAAAATTACAGTTTTGAAAATTAACATTCATAAGTGTATTAACTTGCATCTATATACTCTTGAGGGGAAGGAGAGTAAAGGATTCCCTATACAAAAGAAAAGAGAAAAGAGAAAAGAGATTGTTTACAATGATGTTTGCTTATTGTGTAAAAATAAATGAAAAAGTGTTTAAAATATTACGTGTCTTGTAGAATTGTAAGAAGGTAATATGTCAATCCTAATACAAATCGGCGCCCTCCTCATATTAAAGACCTCAATACCAAGACCATTAGTGTTTGCGAATATATTCCATGCGCTCAAGCACTTTGCAGCTAGAAGGTTTGAATATAGTGTCAAATTGAGATTCAACCTTCCATTGTACTTCAAGATGAACTCCAAGTTTCGGACAATCCAGATGGCCCAACAGTTGTTAATGATTTGGGCTAGAGCAGCACACAGATAATGCACAATAAAAAACAGAGTTTGAATGCTCTGCCTTGTGAACTGTGTGAGAATGTAGAGTTGATATTGTAAAAGTGGGAACGTATGCATGTCAGGTAAATGGGTAATCTGAATCATCTGTGCTGTGCACTGCACTTTACGTTTTACGTGCCAAGCACTCTTTCCAATTGCCGCCGGAAATACAATTATTTTATATGTGACAATGTTTGGATCGTGAGCAATGATAATACGCCACGTGATTGTGTCTCACATTTGCCGGAGACTCCCACGTGACCTTCCTTCAGATCTCATCTCTGATCTGCTGCTGCTAATCTCTACCTAAAACCGTAGCAAAGGATGCTTTCTTTCTTCCCTCCTTTTGACTCTACCACAGTTTAATGGCGACAATGAGCATGACTCACCGGTCAAAAGCCACTCCAAGATCTCAGAGGCTTGTTCTATTGTTATGTATACTCGTCGCCGTGGCATTTCTCATCCTTTTCTCTTCCGTCGTTTCCATTGGCGGATTGGGTTTACCGTACCGGAACACCCTACTTGATTATTTCGTTAGGTCTCCTCGAACCAAGAGACATCACAGTTTGTGGGACAAGTACTTGTATTGGGGATACAGAATCGATTGTCCTGGCAAGAACTGCGAGACTTGTGCTGGTTTAGGTCACCAAGAATCAAGTCTTAGATGTGCCCTTGAAGAAGCCATGTTTCTTAACAGGTAATTGTCAAAAAAAAGTTCTAAGATTTCTGATCGAGTTAGTACATTTCTTGAAAATTCTTGATAATGAATTGACAATTCTTGAAAATTTATTTGTTGAAGGACATTAGTAATGCCTTCTCGGATGTGTATCAATCCAATACATAACAAGAAAGGTTTACTTAATCGATCCGACAATGAAACTACAGAGGAAAGGTAAAAGCTTCTTGATGTCTAGTTGACTACTTTAAAACTTTGACTTTTTTTTTGTTCCCACCTTAAGACAAGAGGTCTCTCTCTGTTTTGCATGTTCTTAGTTGGGAAGTGAGCTCTTGTGAAATGGAATCATTGTATGATATTGACCTCATCTCCGAGGAGATCCCTGTGATCTTGGATAACTCGGAAACGTGGCACATTGTGTTATCGACGAGTATGAAACTTGGAGAACGAGGAGTTGCACATGTGAATGGAGCCAACAGGCATGAGCTAAATGAATCTAGCCACTTTTCAGATCTTTTACTCATAAACCGAACCGCAAGCCCCTTGGCATGGTATGAGGAAATTGAGTATCCTATTGACTGATGTTCACAAGCATCATCTTCTTATCTTGTCTTTCTTGGTCATTCATCAACATACATTAGCTTATATTCATGGTAGGTTTGTTGAGTGCAAGGATCGAAGTAATCGTAGCGATGTCATGCTTCCGTATTCATTTCTCCCGAACATGGCAGCATCAAGATTGAAAAATGCTGCAGAAAAGGTGATAGAAGTTTACTTTAACTTGAAATCTTGTTTTTGAAGGCCTTAGGTTATTATCATAAACCAGTTTTGGTTGAGCAGATAAAAGCAAAGCTCGGTGATTACGATGCGATCCATGTTCGTAGAGGTGACAAATTGAAAACAAGAAAAGACAGGTTTCGTGTTGAAAGAAGTCAGTTTCCACATTTAGACAGAGACACACGTCCAGAGTTTATTCTTGGTCGGATTCAAAAGCATATTCCACCAGGACGAACTCTTTTTATAGGTTCTAATGAGAGAACTCCTGGTTTCTTCTCGCCTCTCGCTGTCAGGTAAAAATCATAAATAAGGTCTAGATTCAAGTTTATACGTAGATGTTCTTATTAAAACTCTTGTTAAACTGCAGCTACAAAGTGGCTTACTCGTCGAATTTCAGCGAGATTTTGGAACCGATAATCGAGAACAATTATCAGTTGTTCATGGTGGAGAGGCTGATAACGATGGGTGCAAAGACATTCTTCAAAACATTTAGAGAACACGAAACGGATCTCAGTTTAACAGATGATCCCAAGAAGAACAAGAAGTGGGAAATACCAGTTTACACCATGGATGTAGGCAAAGAAGAAGGAAGCTAACCTTCGCCTGAATTTTTTTATGTGTATATAATGTGAATCCAAAGGCAAAGAGTCACTTGTTCAATTTTTCTTGCTTCCTGGCTGTTTCTTTTTTTGTGTATATTCAAATTTTCATTTTACAACTTTAACATTAATCCTTTTTGGTCAATCATAACTGGTCATCCAATCTTGTAAACAAGTTTTTACTGGTACATTTGGACTTTTATCAAATCAAGTCCTCGTCCATCAGAAATGTATTTTGATATTTTTTCTCTAAGGAGAATTGGTTTTGTGAATTGTCAGTAGAAATCAATGAAGGTTTAAACTGAATAGCCTCTCCATAATTCTAACAAATTTGCAAGAAAAAACTGGCTAAATCTGAGCTACATTGACACAACCTACACACTTTGTCCTAAACTACAACGGCAAAAGAAAATATGCAAAGAGAAATCCTAAGAGAAAAGGAAAAAAGAGGATGCAAATCATTCGCTGGACATATTATCGTTAAGGCAAGGCCATTTTCCTGTTGTTAGAACGCAGAAGAAGAATACCTCTTGGTCTCTGCATCTCGAATCAACAATGTTCCTGAGACTTCCTATCCAAGGTTTTAGTGAGAGTGTGCTTCAAGAAGGATGTTGGTGGCTGAGTTGACATCATTTCTGGCGTGTACAAGAGCCTGTCTCGCTGCGTTCTGGTCAAATCCCATAGATACTAGAGTAGCTATGGCTTCCTCAGATGGCTCAATACTTGAAGACGGCACTGGAGCACGGTAAGATCTCTGTAAAAGACTCAAACATCAAACGTCAGTAAATGAAGGTGGGGCTTTTAGATTGTGATACGAGTTAAAAACAGATGTTGCAGAGATATAAAGACTTGCCACTGCTTGGCGACCTAAGTTGGGCGTTGTCATTCTTGGTGCTTGAGAATGGCTGGAAAATAACGAAGCCATGAAGTCGGGGAGCTGCAATGTGTTTATGACAAAAACTAATGTTACTCAAGTGACAAAAAAAAAACCACATTTGAGGAGATAAATGATATTTTCTTTTAGGCAAAAGGCTGGAAAAGGTATACGACCTTTGCCTTGCGGATACCAAAGATGTTTAACCGATACAAGGAACCAGCAATTATTCCGCAAATTCCAGGAATGATGGATCTTTTCCAAGATGATAGTAAAAGCTACAAAAATGGAAACCGATAAAATTTTATCTATCAAAGCAAAATGGATCTACTGTTTAAAAACAAGAGTACAGATACATATATATGTAATATTGTTTACCTGGAGACCTGCAAGATATATGAATGATTTATCAGAGAAGTTGATGCCAAGTACACGAAACCTCTTTAAAACTGGAATGTCCAAGTAGAAGGGTACAAAAGATGCAAATATGAGGGCGTACGGTCCAGATGTCACTAGGTTTCCTGTAGGATGTACAAATATAAACAACACAAGTGTTTGCGTCACAGAATGTAAGAAAGTCAAATCCCAAGTACTTATTAAGAATGCCTGAAAAACAGTTTCTGGTAAATCTAAATCATGGGCCAGGAGAATTCTTTGTAAAATATAATAAACACTGTGAGAATGAAGAAAAGTTAAATTTGAAACCAACAAAACATCATCACCAAATTTTAATCTTCCTCGTACAGTTTTTTCTAGTAACAAGTTAAATTTAAGCCAACTAATAACTACGATCCAAAAGGACTGAGTACTGACCAAAAGGCCCAAAACAGAGTAGATTTTGAAGAGAATATCTGAACAGTGGAAGGTGCATACCTTTAAACAGTGATAACATGATGATCTCTAGAATAAGTGTTACAGACCCGGAGAAGAAGATGGAAATCTGCATAACATGCACTAATTAACCTCATAGAAATGAAGGAATTATCAGCAGCTGTCTACCATGAAGAAAGAATTGAGCTGAACTATAACCACTTACCCAATACTTATTTGAACCAATCTGTCTCTCAAAGAGTCGGAAGTAGTACATCAAATACAAGCCAAACAACAGTTCTGATGCGGACGAGAACGCAAAAGCCCATAAGATTGACTTCCATAACCGAAACTCAAAAAGATCCTGCAGTGAGATTGGCAAAAGTTTATAAAGATAAAATCCACTGCATTTGAGATATTTAATTTTTCATTGCAACTATCCAACTACAAGCATCTTTCCAGGTGCAAGGCCACTGAGATACACAATCAGATGAGTGGATGCAAGTTATCGAACTAGTTAAGATCTGGAGCCTAAAAATCAGCTTAAGCAAAATACATCTATTAATCAGTCTCACACAGCTCACTAATCACCAATCTAAGTGAAAAACCCAACAATGAATGGCAATTTGATGCCAAGATAAAAGCTTTTACGGTTTAGCTGCTTCCTCGTCATAATGCAAAAACCTTGTAAACTACAGTGGAAACCTAAGCATAATCCGAAGTAGTAATCCTCAATCTTTTTCTTGTCCAAAATGTTGGTAATTATAGCACAATAAGGTAGCACAACAATTGGTACTAAAAGCTTAAATCTCGAGAATATCGACAGAGAACAAATCTGATCGTAATTCTTCTCTAAACCCACAAGAGTAAGAGATCACAAATACAGCACATTCAGATGAGGAATTTACCTGGTAAGACAAGCTGAGCTTGGAAGAACCTCCACGGATCCCGAAGAACACAGTGAAAAGGGCGCAAGTGATGACACAGGCTCTCGTGACCGGAGCGTTATCTGCAAGTTCGAATAATTCGACATTAATCGAAGATGAACAAAACAAAAAATCCCCAGAAACTGATCGAGCGACGGAGAAATGAGTCATTCTAATACGTACTGAAACCGGAAGGACCTCCATTCATCGTAATCGGATGAACAGAAAAAAGGAACAATCGCGGAGGGAGCTCGTCGCGAAATCAATCTGGAATTGGAGATGGATCGAGGCTTCTTCAATTTCTGCTCAAGTCGTCTCCTCCGATGTGTTTTCTACGAAGGAATTCGAATTCAAACAAAATATTGTTGTTATGTTGCGAAATTGAAAAATCAGCCGAGAAAGAGAACAATCCAGAATCTTTCGCATATGCGGTAAAGTGTAAATTAATTAAATAAACTTAAAACGTTATTGCATATAAGACCTTTACCCCTAGTTTTATTTTTAATATTAAGCCTCTAGTTTTAGGAATAATTTAAAACCCTTATTAGAGCCATACACACTTTGTTATTAAAAATTGGATATTTACACAAATAACTCTGTTTTTTTTTTCTTTAGATCCATGTTTACAGTCAACTCGTCGACAATATCCATCTGAGGTTGCTATTTTCTAAGCAAATTTCTCCCCAAACCACAAAAATTACAATAAAAACAGTAAAAGATATCTATAAGGTTGATGAAATTGGTGCTGAAAAAGAAACTAATAATTTAAGAACGTGAATGCTTATGTTTAAAGTTTTCAATATAATGGATGATCATGCTCAAAGCCACATAAAAAGTATATCTCGATCCGGAGCTTTGAAATTGAATACCATTAATGGTATCAAATGCCGTAGCATGAGAAATTTGAGAATTGCACTATCATTGTACATGTTCCCTCGACCCATGGAGGCATAAAATAATTTTGTTTATTAGACTTATAGGTTATCTATCCAAGAGCTAATGAATTATGCTTCAAAGTGAAATCTTTATCCTGGTGAGTCTGGTGGAATGTTAGATATTCGGAAAATGCTTTTAGAATTTTGATTTTACTGAACAACTTGGAGCCGCTGGTTTTCTCTAATTAGTAATTCATCAACTCTTGAATGGATAATCAGTAACTAAATCTATCAATTTAGTATTTTTTCGAATAAACTTTAGATTTTTGACCAACAATATTGTCCAATAGTTAAATATGGTCAAGAGTTAATATGCTCAAAGTCATTTCCGATATATTTTTTATTAATGATATTTATTGTAATTTCAGTATATTTCTCGAATTCAAACAAAACTCACAAAGATAACGAATTATTCGTGTTTAAGAAAATAAAATAAGAATGTAATTATGTTGCGAAATAGAAAATTCAGCAAAAAGAGAACAATCGTTTGCTAATTATCCTGTAAACTAATAAAAGAAACTTTTAGTTTCGTATGGTCCTATAAACTAATAAAAGAAACTTAAAACATTATTGCAAATAAGAGCTCACTCCTAATTTTCCTATAATACTAACCCCTAGTTTTAAGTCTGAACATAAAAAGTATCTACTAACTTGTGCATCATCAAAACTGCATCATCATCATCATCAAACCCATACACACCTTTGCTATAAAAAAAAATTGGGTATTTACACAAATAACTCTGTTTTTTTCTGTGATTCATATATCTGTTTACAACCAACTCGTCGTCGTCACTTGGAATTCAAGAGTTAATGACTGGCATAAAATTGCGACAATATCGATCAATTCAAGCTATTTTCTAAGCAAATTTCTCACCAAACCACAAAAAGAGAAGGCAAGAAAAAATATACAAATAACCTAATAGCTAATACTATTCCAAAACTTGGGCAGGCCACAATCGCTTCCACGTGGTAATCTCTTCCTCCGTACCCAATTTCTTTACCCCGCCGTAGAAACCGTCGGTTTCATTCCCCGTCTCACGGTGATTCTTCCGGTTTATCACCGTCGCTCTCCACGGCGACTCCGGTCTGAATTGTCTGAATTCCATCACCACATTCTCTGCCGAACAAAAAAAAAAGTCCACTTTTGTCAATTTCTTTCTAAACGAATCGAATGTTTCGGCGGAAAAAACAAAATTATTTGTTTACCGTCTGCGTGGCAACTACAATTCTCTTCTCCGTCGCAGTTTTGCAGATGACCCACGATTCCGTACCACCACCCTACGCCGGAGAATTAAAACAAAAACAAAATCAGATGAAATTACAACGCAAAGTCGCCGAATTTGGATTGGTTTCAGGGGTTATGAATCAAGTTGACAAAAATTTGGTTACCGTAAGGAAACTCCTTGGTTCTTCTCCATTGGATCTCGAAATGGTCGCCGGGACGAAGCCCCTGCAAACAGTCGGACACGTGAAGATCACGTGACATTGTGTCGATTCGAGACGGTCTCAGCCTCTGCCACGCCACCTTCTCCTCCGCCGCTCGCCGGCCATGCGCCGAGTATCTGTCAAACAGAAACATCGAAAAAATTTCACATTTTCCGGCGGAAATCTCAGCGACGATTTACTTTTCAATTCCTTCTTCCATTGATTCTTTACCTTGCTTGAAATGTATCAGATTTGCAATCATATCTGACTTTAGCATCGTAACACGACATCATGAATCCAACATGTCCGTTCTGCATCCAAAACCAATCCAAAAACCCAAAAATCAATAACCGAAATTTTGCATTTTGTCACGAATTCGTCAAAAAGGTGAAGCCTTTAATTACCTCGCGATTGTAGACCTGAGCAGGAAACCAAAACTTGCCGTTCTCGAGATTCGAGTACCAATACATGACAGAATCAATAGCTACTTGCGAGCCTCTCCTGTAGTCACAGCCGTGGTTTCTGCTTAACCATGAGAACGGTTTAAGATTCGCAACAATCCTCGACCTCATCCATTTCGTGTTACTAAAACTACTTCGACTCGAATCTCCGAGACACAGCATTAACGTGTCGACATGAGATTTCCACTCTTTAACCGCCGCATCGCCCATTAACCTTCCCCATTTCTTCTCCATGTGTTTCTCCCATAGATGATCGCTCACGCATTTGTCCTTAAGCTCGGAGCAAACGCTAGTCATTGCACATAGCTCGGATGGAGAGAGCTTCTCTAAGATGCAGTCTAGTGTTAAGTCAGGCAAATCCAGGAGTGACATTCTGTTTTCTTCTTCTGGAATCTTCTTCTTCTTGTTCTTGGTTGCTCTTCTCCATGGTAGTCCATTAGTACGGAGAATGCTTCTTGCGAGGCAAGAAACTATGAACAACCAACAAATCGTGTGGGAGAGACAAAACGAAAGGAGCTCCATTGAGAGCAAGAAACTAGGGAGAAACAAAGAGAGAGAAGAACAGAGTGACATTTTAGTGCCTTTTGTGTCTTATTTGGACATTCACACACGCAATTTCAATAGGAGCTGTCTCAAGAACTCACACTTTGCATGTGTGTGTGTCTCTGTATTTTTACAATTATATTAAGCAAGAATGCTTGAAGCCATTAGTAATACAGATATACTTTTTAGTATAAAATGAATTAAAAAACACTAAAGAGACATTGAATTGGTTAAACAATAAGTGTTTTTGTAAGAGATTCGTTGTGAGGCTGTTTAATTAATTGAAGGTGCAAAACATTTAATTGGGTGAGCAATAAATACTGTTACGGGTAGGTGGAGCAGAGGGAGGAGCCAATGACATTGGTGGGATCAATAAGACTTGTGTGACATTACCGTGAGGGAGAGAGAGTGACTTAAGAGTGGACAGCTGGTTTTAGTTGCACCGAATATTTAAAGCTCAAAACATTTCAATCTTAATACTACTCAAAATCATCAGGTTATGAATGTCACTTGGGCACACAATTGTATTGGAATTGTTGTTGTTGTAGACACATTCCCAACTACTTTCATTTTTTGTAGCCTAATTTAACCAAACTTCCAACTACTTTAGAGATTATGGAACTAAAGTGGGGTTTGTTGATATATCCACACAATCTAAAAAGTCTTAAAGCCACAATTTCACGAAACCAATACCGACTTGGTCAACTTTGTTTTGGGTGATTCAACTAAAAAGTGAAGTGGACTATACGACAAATGTAGTTGATCGATGAAGTTTGAACAAAACAAAAAACTAGTCTTTTTTTTTTTCCAAGGTAGACAATCAAACACCAAGTTAACTAGTCATGTCGATCTCACTTTACAAGATTCTCTGATGCATTAGTGTTATTTTAAAGTCTAAACTCATACGCCATCTCATTCCCTTTCAAGAACTGAAATAAGGGAAGGTGAGATGTTTATGTTAACCACAGCTTGTTGAATGGTTTCTTGTGGCTCAAGATCACCAATTAACCTTACTATCTCCAACGATGAGCAGGCTGATAATCAAAGCGAAATGATAAATTAGGATTAAGATAAAAAAGAAAGTATAAGTTACCGGAATATTTGTAAATTTGCATACTTAATAACCGCTCATTATAGTGCCTATTTTGTGGCCACATTTACCTTGCTTTTTCTGCCCCAACAGCTTTTGCTTTTGATATGTGGTCATGTGAATCGTTCTGCTAACACTGCATCATGATCTGAAAACTAATTCCAAAGACTTCTACCATAAAGCACAAATCGTTTAGCAAACGGGCCAGTTTCATCATTCAGCAGCTCCTCTAACGCTAAACTTACAGTTTGCAACAAACAAGAATTAGCAATTCTAACTAATCCTGTAGGAGAACTGAAAAGAAGGGATAGAAGAAGAAACATAACGAGGAATGCATTAAGATTGTGTTTCTTGGGTGACTCTAAGGATAAGCAAGAAAATGAATGTCCCAAACCCTCAACTAAAGAATGTGGGACGAGGCTTGCTTTTGGAGCTTTGGTCCAATGGGCTTCTTGTTTTCATCTATTTTCAAAACATGGATTTAGAGATTCGGTGATGAAGAAGGTTGTAAACTTGTAAAGCGTTGCTTTTGTCCAATGAGGCTTCTCTTTTTCAGTGACAAAGAAATGGTTGAATCAACAAAAACATGAACACAAACGTTATATTCACTTTTTGTAAAATACTATTGTTATGGATGTAATATTTGTTCAACTGTTTTTGGAAACTACATATACAAAAACAAATTTTGTAACCAAACCTTTTTAAAAAACTTCTCAAATAGTAATAAAAGTATTCAAGTGCCATTTATACTTAATTTCCATGAGACTAGTGTAAGATCCATACCCTAGATTCATCCATGAGACTAGTGTAAGATCCAGACCCTAGATGAATCATGAATCGATATTTTCTACGATAAATAACAAATAAGAAAATATGAAGTGGTTGGAAGATATGGATATGTAAATGGATAGCTTTGTGGACAATAACTCTACAGATACGAGTACGACACAAGCATCTTCTTCGTAGATTATATTATTATAAATTTCAGAAGAAGTCGTTTCCATCCGTTTACTTCAAAGTCAACACACGTACACTCCTTATGATGCAACCACGAATGCGTTTTTTTACGTTTTACTTCAAAGTTTCCAAACTCTTTGATTTTACCAACTTGTTCGGTTCTGGTGTATGTGTAATGTGTTATTACGATTTCTGCGATTAGGCAAAAAAATAACATTTCATCGCCATCAGTCATCAACTAGTAGTTGGTCGTTAGCTAGAGATGAGCAAGGTGTCAGCCGACAAATTCTTGCTTTTCAAGAATTTAATCTGGAGGAAATATGAGTCATTTTGAATTTATGAGATTCGTAACTATAAATGTGATAGTTATTTCAAGAGAGATACACGAGTTTTTTGTTTTTGTTTTATTGAGCAATGGTATACGAATTTTTCTTCTTCTAACTTTTATGGACAATCAAACTTGGAATTATATTATTTTTCATGAGATTTGAAAGACTCTCTATGTACATACACACGTGACTTCTTTCGAAGATGTATAAAGCTTCAATGTTTTGAAACAAACTAAAACTGAATATATGTACAAAACTCTCGAAGCTTTTGATTAGTTAACTAATACTCCAGCTTAAATTACACGTTGGAACCTCATAATCTTTGTGAAAAAAGGTTTTAATAAAAGGAAATCATAAGTAGGAGTAATTGGGTGGGGAAATTAGAGGGCCCGCACCTAATATAGGCCGATTTTTAATTAGGATTTAGGACTGACCGCACAGCACATACCGCAGTGCTACACCAAAGCCCCTCCCACTTGTCCACTTGGACCCCCTTTGCCTTCATTTCTATCAATTATTTCCCAAAATTTTAAGTTTCTCTAATAATAAATCGTTGACTTTTTTGGTTTAATGCTAATAAAAATGTTAAAGAGTTTTTTTTTGTAAGATTTGAATAAGATGTTGGGTTTTCTACTCAATACCCGTACATAATAACACTATTCGAGATTAAAGTCTGACGATTTGCACGTATACGTTTTTGGTTTTATATATAAACAATTAAAATTTAGCAAATGATTTATTTAGTTGGAGTCGCACAATCAAAGTTCGCCTAAGAATTCATATGAAAACTAGGAATGGCTGATCTAAATTTGATAGTAACTCTAAAGTTTTTTATCCTCTAGAGATATGAAAACTGTTTCCGTGAGAAAACAAACTATAATCCACTAGATTAAATTAGGGACCGGTTAGATCTAATGTACAATTGTCTTGTTTCCTAGTATAGGGATAATCATAGTCTTATGTGTGTTGTAAACCTTTGTTGCGTTTGTAAACTTCTCTTCTTTGGACTACGTAAATACTAGACACTCTTATCCTTTATGCTCAACAATTGAAATATTTACACATTTAGTTTAATTAATGGTTAAGTAGCATCGTCAATATACCGAGTTCTTCAATAATTCCCGCGAAGGTTGAATATGGTTTTTGTTCTTTCTTCCAGATTTGTGATCTGTCTTCAGTTTTTAGTTATATAATTAAGTTGGTGACATCACTATCGTCGGGTCAAGTGTCGTCACGGCGTCTATATGTCAACATCACCGATACTGACGTGGCGCTTCTGTGGATGCCCTGATGGCTAATCTAGCCGACGGCGGCTTCCACTGTTAACTTGTCCTCATTTGTTCCATCACGCGATTGTTTCTGCGCGTGCACAACACGCCCAAGCTGTGAATAATTATAATACTAAATATTTTCCTCCTGAAGCATTCGTACTTGTTTTTTTTTTGGGGATGCTAAACATTCGTTTATTTCAGTGTTAAAACAAATTTCTGTGCACTGATTGCGTGTGCGGTGTCACTGACTCACTCACACCTACACCTAATCAGTTAACTGAAGTGAAGTCACGTTAAGTTTATGTATTTACTTTTGTTTAACAAATTAGTACTCCTACGTCTAAATGATTTTTAGGTATTTATATTTCTTAGATTTTTTTTTTCTTTTTTTTTATAAAAGGTATTCAGTTCTTAGAATTTTCTTACAAAAAATTACTAGTAACTACAAATATATGACGTGGACGATTTTATACTAATCGATTTGATTTTTATGTGTTTAAGACTGTCTTTTTTACAAACAGCTGGTTATTTTCGTTGAAATATTATATCCTAAGCTATGATAATTAAATTAATTCAACACTAATCACTAATATAGTTTTGAAAAGAGAAGTGGAAACTAAACCTCAGTACGTCAGTCTCCCGACAATATATTTTACTCTCTTCTTTTGGTCCAACAAAGAGTGATGAATATCACACTTGTTGAAAGCAACCTCATGGAGAAACAACGGTGAAGAAAGAAGTACCGTACGTGGATATAACCGCGCGTGAATGGAACGCGCCGTCGGCAACCAGCAGTCGCGAACTCAATGGGACTTCATCATTAAATTTTTGTTTACTTACCCTTCGTTCACTGTAAGTTTGTAACTTCTCTCCTTTTCCATTAACTTCCACTCTCCTTCCTAAAAATAGCTTAGAGCTTTTATTTATATATATTTAAAAATTGGCCTAAAACAAGAGAGCTCACATCTGGATTTCCTTTTCCTTTTTTGTTTTTCAGTTCTTTACAAATATTCAAGAAGATGGAGTCATCATCGACTTTGCTCACAAGCTTTAACCAGAGAAAGTCACCAGCGTCTCCGACGAGCAAATCACCGAAGCAGAAGAGGAAGACAAGGATGAGCAGTAACAAACCCATCAAAGTCCGTTACATATCAAACCCGATGAGAGTGGAGACTTGTGCTTCTAAATTCAGAGAGCTCGTTCAAGAACTCACCGGCCAAGACGCCGCCGATCTACCTCCAGAGCCAACCACTTTCGCCGCCGCAGATCTTCACCACCAGTCGGAAATGAGTCATGCGCCGTTGGATGAAGGGACCCGTGAGTATTATTCACCGTTGGATGAGGAAGTGTTTAACACTCCTCAGATGTCGGCAGGTCTTTCTGGGTTTTTCTCGTCTGGGTTTTACAATGTGAATGCCTTAGGAAGCATTGGTTCTCTCTGAATAACTTATATACATATATGTTTTTTTATTTAAAATGTAAGTTTCGTTATGGTATTACCGATCAGAATAAGAAAACATTATATAGTTTTAGGGTTTTCATCGAAACGTATAGATGGAGATATTAGATATATTGCCTTTTGTGTATTATTTTGCGTTTGTGAGTATATATATGCAAATAGCCAAATCATTTCATTTCAAGGAAGAAACCTTGTATTTGTTTGTGTTTAATTTAAGTTATCAAAACTTCTCTGGCTGCTTTGATCTATGCATATATACATATATATCTTTCTTTCTTTTTAGTCCAAATCTATATGTAATGACTAATAAACTATAGTAACGTATCAATCTTTCGATTACTAAAATAAATAGACATATCAGAAATTTCAATTTGGTGGTTGTAATTATGTGATCAGTTTGATCCCATGTAGATAATGATCAGAAATGGAAATAAAAAAAAGAAGCAAAAACAAACAAAAAACAAAAAACATTAAAAGCTTTTATGTTTTGGATTTCGAAAGATATTTCTGGATGTCCACATCTCTCTTTTTATAGTAGAACTACGCAATAATAAACCATTGTTTTTTAAAATATTTTACAAAATAATGCGAGTGGTTGATGGTTTTGTTATTTTCTTTCTTTCTCAGTCGCATTTACTTTGTGGAACAACGTACGATATGTATGCAAAGATGTTGTATCGATTTTTTGTTTTTGTTGTGGGAAAATATGTAGCCGTGGAACCGTTTTTATCTTTTGACGAAAAAGTTGACTAGATGAGTAATGTTTTGATGCTTAATTCGCACGGCTAATCGAACCGACTTGTTTTTTTGTCCGTTAACAAGAGCTGACTCGTTGACATAGAATTAACTATCGATATGTGATTGTATCTATTACGTACTTGTCACTAACCATCATATTACTGGTTAAGAAATCTAATCTTCGAATCAAATTAAAATGTCCTTTATAGCCTAAAAAAAGCTATTCACATTTCGATGTTGTATATAAATGCAATTTTGTTTGTTTGTTCGTTTTGTTATATAGTGTTTGGATGCAACTATTTGCTAATGTCCTCACTTTGTAAACAAAGTTATGATATTGGGCTTAGTAACAAGCGAAGGTTCAACTTTCAAGTGGAAATCTGATACAACCATCTTTTTTCCGCCAAAAAGTTTCAATCAGTTCACTTATTTGAACATAGTTTTTAGAATGAGGTAAATTTGAACATAGTTTTTAGTTGTGTCTATTGAGAAATGTCTTTTTTACTAGGTGTGCGCATTGTATTTGTACCCAAATCTAAACAGGAGAAGATACCAAGACAGATGGAGAAATGCACAAAATTACAAAAGCAAACGTGACAACTTTGAGAAAGAAAACATTCACTAACTTTAAAATCCAAAATTAAATATTGATCAAGATCTTATTAGCTTCAACAAAAACTTCAACTCAAAGAAAAGAAAAGGAGAGACTAATTAAGACTTTGTCATGGAGCTTCTTCATTATAAGTTCCTAATGATCTTTGCAACCGAAGAGTATGTCCCCAATGTCCCACTCACCAATCCAATGGCCACAATTATTGAACTCAGAATCATCTGTATCCCACAACACAACTCAGTGTTAATCTAAGAATCCAAATACAGAAACTGGTCCCAAATTACTTCAAGAAACTGAAAAGAGGAGACTAAAGAAAAGATCAATTTAGATACCTGTGTTCTTGTAGCTTTGTTCCCCATTATCCTTATGAAGCATAGAGCTGGCATTACTATTGCCTGAACCACACAAACATTTATGTAAAAGACTTTAGAGTTTTGATCCAAGAAAGTGTCTCCCGTCTAGATAAGAATACTGTTCTTAGGATATTAAGAAAATAAGGATAGGAGAGATGCTGAAAACTAACCACAAGTATACTAAGAAGAGATCCTATCAGAGCCATCACAAGTCCTGTATGGAGAAAAAGAGGAGTCTTGAGACCACTAAGGAGCAAACAAGTAAAATACATGAAAATTCTCAAGTTTAATTTTCATACCAAAAAATGGGATAAGGAAAGCAGAGAAAACAGAAGAAGCAACGAGTGCTGTTCTTAGAAGAAGAAAACACCACACGTTCTCTGATATTCTTTCCGGTAAAAGTTCTTCTATACTCCTTGCAAGTGGATTCATAAGGAGAGCGTATTTTGTAAACGGACTCACAACCTGAAGAAAGAAAAAGAGACAAAACAGAACCAAGATTGAGTTTTACTGTAAATGACTGAACTTCCAAAGGTTATAGTCCATAGAGGATAAAACCGTTTTGTTTTCTAACCGTTGTCCATTGAGCAACTTTTGAGAAAAATAGATCCTTTGGCATGTTTAGTGTAATCTGAGACAAGGTGGCTTCACCAAACATGAGATAACCCATGATTGCAACTCCTCCATATATCAAAACACATAAAATGAAACTGCAATATAGGCCAAAACAGAGGAAGTTGTTGGTTTTAGACTTGGACTGAAAACATCAAGAGAGTGAGTTCTTTAGTTTTTTTACCATGTGATCACAGCTTTGTTGAATTTGGTTTTATCAGCCATGGATTGGTATATATTTGGGAACACAGAGTGTCCTGAATAGCAAAATCCATAGATACCAATCGCAAACGGTATCCCATTCCATTTCACAGCATGACCGGTGTGGTGAAACCCGATCCCACACGTTGTCCCGAGGAAGAATGTGCTCACTGCTATCAAAACAGTTGCTATAACTCCACCAGCTGTGGTGGAATCAAAGAAGTTGAATCAATAATCTTGACTAAAGGAATCCATAACAAACAAGAAAAAGCAGTAGTTGGTTGTTTTCTAACCTGAGAGGTAAGAAATGATGCGAAGATCCTTCAACCAAACAGTTGGCAGAACAATGAGAGCAGTTAAGATTCCAAACAAATGTTTAGAGTCAAGACTGATCCCTAGCCAATCCACCGATGTCCCAGGGAAAAGCCCGGTAAGGTTATCCCCTTCCAAAATGATGAATTCCACACAATATGACTACAAAAAAAAGTTGACAAATCAAGATTCTTCTAAGTTTCACATTGTCCAGACAAGAGACAAGGTTAGGCCTGTCCAAGATCCATAGCAAATAAAATATTCACTTACATATAGTTCAGTGTACAATAGCACCTGAAAACACACACAAAACATTGCAGAAACCATAAGAAATAAGCTAATGAAAAACAGAACAACTGATCCAAAAACACTCAGACTAATCAAAAGGAAGATAAATTCAAGGAAATGTGACTTACACAAATAAGAATGCGACCATATTTGCCAAAAGCAGCTTCACCAATATCAGGGTAAGTGATAATGCCGGATTTGTGCTCGAAACACTCTTTCATCAAAGTAGCAGTGTAACAACATATAACCGCAAACAAGAGAAGGATCACCATACTTGCCCAACCAGCTTCTTTCACTGTAAAAGGTGTTGAGAGAAGTCCAACTCCAGCCATCACATTAATCGCTGCAACCAAATATTGGTCTTAATTAGGCCAAGAATCATCATTATATCATTTATAGTCTATTCTTGTTTAGTTAACTACCATTGAAGATGGTTTGAGTGACGCTGCATCCATATCCTCCAATGGGTAATTCTTCAGCAAAAGAGCCTTTGTGAGACCAAACTGATTGTGTAGCTGAGGCTTTGTCGGATTCTTCATTCCTCTCAGGGAGCAAAGGAGCTTTTGACGACTCAACATCTAGATTACTTCTGCTCTGTCTATAGAAACTCGGATTACTTCTCAGAGACCCAAAGATTGGTGATGCAGCAATCGTATACGAATCAGTCGTTTCCCTGTGAAGAAAGTAACAATCAAAACCACAGGAATCACAAAAAAAAATCTCCGAGAATGCAACAGATAATGTTACCTAAAGCTTTGAGGCCATTGGACCTGAGAAATGAAAGTGTCCTCGTTGTCGTCGTCAGCATCACCAGGAAGATCTGCGAGATCGCTTCGATCAGTGTCACTGTCGTTCTCGTACCTACTGCTATCTTCTAGATCGTCGTCGTCGTCTTCGAACGTAACCACCGGTTTCTTCTCCTTATCCTTGTTCTTCTCTTCCATTTTTTTTCTCTACACTAATAATCGATCTAGCGAGTATGAAAGAAAAAATGAAACCTTAGAAGAGGATAAAATCCCACAGAAAAAGGAAAATAATAAATCAAGAAGATTGGTTTAGAGTGATTTTTGTAGTTTTTGGTTATTACAGAAGAGTGGGGTTCGAGAAGATTACAGAGAGGTGGTGAATGAGGAATAGGGAACGCTGGATTCTTGTGAGCACAAAATGTCCGTTTTTTTGGGTCTGTTTAATTTTTAATTATTTTTGTTCATTTCGAGGCTTTATGATTGCTCTGTGTCTCTGTTTTTGCGAGTTGCTTGGCTAGTTATAAGGCGGGAAACGGTGACGTGGCGGGCAATGATAGAGGTTAGAGATCAGAGTTGAGAAGCAAAGTCAAGAAGACATGATGGATGACAAGTGATGAGGTGGTTTCGGTCTCTGTCTGTGATTGATCCGAACAGAGGTGTTGTTGCCATCGCCGGGATCAGCGTCTGTAAATCGCGTTTGATACACGCGTCAAAATATTACGTTTAGCACACTTGCGTTTGGATCTCTGCCTTTACACGAATTTGTATCCATCCAATGATTTCATAATTTTCATTACATAAAGATTTTGTTAGCAAAATGTTCAAAAATGTTTTTTATTTATTTATTTATAATCAAATAATGTATTATGCAAATTTAAATGTGATATTTAATAAGAGATATCATGTTAATAAATCCAGATTTAAATTCTTCCTTTTTTTTTTACTTAAGTAGATCCAGGTTTTTAGTTTAATTCATAAATAAATTAATTTACTATGCAAATTTAAATGTAATTTTAATAAGAGATATCATGTTAATAAATCCAGACTTAACTTTTCTTTTAAAGGTAAATCCGGATTTCTACAATATTAGATTGAAATACTGAAAACAAAATCAGAACCGTTTGGAATTGGTGATTGTTGCTGGATTCTTATGCTTTTAGTACTTACTTTTTCTTTTGAATCTTAATGTCTCAAAAGAGACCAAATTAAGATGAATAATATGATTTGAGTGACGCGAAGTCGACGAGGGAATGGGGTGTAAATGTAATCTTGTCGGTGAACATGGAAATAAGTTATCTCTATGTGGTGCCATGTGATTTTCTCCAAGTGTCAAGCTTCCTGTGCACATTTCCAATTTTATAATTTATCCTTGACACAAATGTATTTTATTTTGGTTGACTGTCACCGATTTAGTTTTAAACATTGTCTTATACAACAAAAAAACAAATATTGCAAATCAGGAGAATATCTTCCTTCGAAGTTGTATAATGTTGCACGTCATCTTTAAAAATCATTTGATGTTAAACTAGATGTTTATTACAAAAAAAATTACGATAGAAAATGAAAATGGCAACCAAAACAAAACAAAAAATCAATTTTTCTCCAATAAGACTTTACCTACTTGAAAAAAAATGATTTCACGGTCTCCTTGTCTTTATTTATTTCCAAAGTCAATAATGTCGGGATATTATTTTATTTTTCTAAATCACAACCTATTTTCGACATTAGCTCACTTTTTCTACCGATCCTTATGTTCAATTGTCACGCTTCCGGTACGTGGCTTATCGATCAGGAAATGCCAAGATACCGAGCCCACCTCACAAGTCACAAGTCACGTCTCCAACATTTGTGTCTCAATATTATCCTTGAAATTTTGTTGCACTACCAAAAAAGAAAAGAAAAGAAGAAGTTATTACAACATGGGTCAAGCCCTCAATACCGGTTTGTGCTTTCTCTTTCTCCACCCCCAAACTCACTTCTTTTTATTGATGTTCATTTAAAGATATATACTATCTTCCATTAATGAAATATATTGTAATTAATGTTTTTGGTTTTACTTAATTACTGAACGTAGCCAAAGGGAATGGAGAGGTAATGGGGAAAGACTTGGAAGCTATGGCGGAGAATTGCTACCGCAAACGCTTTGAAGCAAAAAATGACGATAAAGAATGGTCTTTCGGAGACTTCTACCGCACTGTCGCTGAAGCTGTCGAGTAAATTTGTTTCTTGACCATTTTCTCAGAAATAAATAAATTGTTTCTTCTTGTTTTTATTTTGTTATTTTTCTACGTATCACCATCGTGTAATTACGATTTACGACTGTGGTATAATTTATACCTATTTATTTATTTGGTATGACAGAGAAATCAATAGAAGACTCGGTGGTACCCAACTTAAGGTGCCAAGTGTTGAAAAACTACAAGAAGCTTATGAGGTAAAGGTCTTCTAATTTTTATTTCGTTATAGCTTTTTTTTTCTCAACGTAAATTAATGGTATCTTGGATTCATACTTGAAGCAAGAACACGATGTATTGATGTTCAGAAAGATAAAATAAATAAAAAACACGATGGATTTGCAAACATTCACATAAATACCATTCATATTGTGTAGTACTATATATACTTTCATAGCGTGTATCATTAACATTGACGTTAGAACCGAAATATTCTAGAAATTTACAATATTCAAATATTTTGGAAAGAAACTTTTATTATATGTAAAAGCTAAAATATAAATCAACTGAATGTACTAAAAGAAAATAGGTAAGTAATGTACATTTGCATAATAAACACTTTACTCTAAAATTTGGTCCGATATTCTGAAAATTCAAAGTTTTAGCTTGCTCACAAGTAATAGTGTTATAACCTTCGTCTCGTATACTTGAATCGGGCAGAGACACAATCTCGGGGAGGGGAAGAAGCTATCGAAGGATGAGTTTCAGAAGCTTCTTCAGGAGGTTTTGATCGGAGCTGGGTTCACTGGCGTAGGAGGAGTAAAAGAGTTTCTACTCTTCATCTTTGGAGTTCCAGCCTTGGCCGTCTTTATCAAGAACCGTATAGCTCCGACGTCCATTCCCAACGACTTGTTCGTCCCGGCCGTCACTTCCGCCACCGTCTTCCTCCTCGCCAAGCTCAACAAGATATGATTATATTCGTTTGATATTTTCGAGCTTTACTTTGTTTTATAAATTTGTATTGGTGAATGATTATGCTTGTGATAAATGAGTACTTATAGTTTCATTAGATTCATGACGTGAGCTTAAGTTGCTTGAATGAGTTTGAGTTAACTTTGTTTCTGATATCATCTTTTAACGAATTCAAGCTGGGGAATTTCTTGGTCTAAATTGTTCCGCTTTAAAAATATTATTTATTTTTATTTCATAAGAAATATGACTTTGTTTGAGAGGGAAGCAAGGAGATGCTAAATATAGAGAATTTGAGGGTCTTGCTTGTTTCTCTGAACGTCAAGGCCTTTCATTGGTTTGAGGATATGAACGACTCCTTCTTTGATTAGTGACAAAATTAGTTTGAAAAACTGATAAGAAAAGATGAAATCTCGGAGACATTTTTTCCCTTTTAACTCTTTTTTGTCCAGTTTAGTTTTCCTCTCTTTTCCTTTGTTTGGTTTGGAACATGGTCCAAGCAATATTCAATCCAATAATGCTGCAATCTGAAAGAAAAAGTAAGATCTATGCCACATCGAGATCACAGAGGCAAAAGAAATTGACCACTGACACATATGTTTGTTGATTTCTTGGGTATTTGTACATCTTTAGGATTGTTATACTCTTGACAAGAACATACATTTTTTTGAGGGCATGTTTCTAGATGCTAATAAGATAAAGTTTTGTCTAGATAGAAGGTTTTTCTTAGTTTAACACAATGAGCAAGGATCAAAGCAGCTATGTTCTAAAAGCATGGGAGGTGACCATGCGAAAGACCCAACAAGCCAAGAAGCGAGCCAATAGCGTTTTTGGAACAGCATCAGTAGCTAGCTCTCCTACAGATAACTATACTACAAATGATGAAAACGACGACGACACCACCTCGAACACGAGCAGCTTAGAGGAAGTTTACCACGCTGAGAGAGTGCTTCCCAATGGGGACTACTACACAGGGCAATGGTACGATAGCTTTCCTCACGGGCATGGCAAATACCTCTGGACAGATGGCTGCACGTACACCGGTGACTGGTACAATGGCAAAACCATGGGGAATGGCAAGTTTGGTTGGCCATCTGGTGCCACATACGAAGGAGAGTTTAAAACTGGTTACATGGATGGTATTGGCACGTACACGGGTCCTAGTGGAGATACTTATAAAGGTCAGTGGGTGATGAACCTGAAGCATGGACATGGCGTCAAGAGCTTTGCAAATGGAGATGGTTATGATGGTGAATGGAGGAGAGGCGCTCAAGAAGGTCAAGGAAAGTATGAATGGAGCGATGGGTGCTATTACACCGGCGAATGGAAGAACAGTACGATCTTTGGCAAAGGGAGTTTTGTGTGGCCAAATGGGAATAGATACGACGGGTGTTGGGATGAAGGTTTCCCTAGAGGGAACGGAACGTTCAAATGGGATGATGGAAGTTTCTACGTTGGAAACTGGTCTAAAGATCCTGAAGAAATGAATGGGACTTATTATCCGTCAGGAAATGAAGGGAATCTTGAATGGGACCCTAAAGATTTGTTCAATAATCTGAGTGAGTACACGATCTGTAGCGGGGAGAGGGTTCCTATGTTGCCTTCACAGAAGAAACTATCTGTTTGGAACTCTTCCAAGCGTATAGAGAAGCCGAGGAGGATGTCAGTTGATGGGAGGGTGAGTGTTGGTGTGGATAGAGCGTTTGAGAAGATGAACATGTGGGGGAACGAGTATAGTGAAGGAAGCGCTGATATGAGGAGAGAGTTGGATGCAGAGCTGATGAGATTGGACGCTGAAGGCTTTCAGAGCTTGAAGTCTAGCCCTGTTCCTATGAAACTGCCAAAGGCTGGAAGGAAGCAAGGGGAGACGATATCCAAAGGTCATCGCAATTATGATCTCATGCTTAATCTACAGCTAGGAATCAGGTAAGTTATGAGAGATACTATATGCATCTTGAGCTATAGAGTTTGATCTTTGTGTTGTTGGTGTCATGTTTTGTTGGTTTTGGTTACACAGGCATTCTGTGGGAAGACAAGCTCCAGCGGCATCTCTTGATTTGAAGCCTTCAGCGTTTGATCCAAAAGATAAGATATGGAGGAGGTTTCCACGTGAAGGAACCAAGTACACACCTCCACATCAATCTACTGAGTTCAAATGGAAAGATTATTGCCCTCTAGTTTTCAGGTTAGACTCTAAAAGACTTGTTCCAAAATGTTATTATTTTTGTCTTGGATACATTTAACATGTTCTGTTTATTTGGTAAATTTTTTTCACAGGAGCTTGAGGAAGCTATTCAAAGTAGACCCAGCTGATTACATGCTATCCATATGTGGGAACGATGCCCTAAGAGAACTATCATCCCCTGGTAAAAGTGGGAGCTTTTTTTACCTTACAAACGATGATCGTTACATGATCAAAACAATGAAGAAGTCGGAAACAAAAGTGAGTTTTTTTTCTCCATGTGTTGTGTTTTGCTTGATATTACAGAGTATTTAGATTTCATATACTGAAACGTTTCTATTTTTGTCTACTTGATGTAAGGTGCTTCTGAGGATGCTTGCAACATATTACAACCATGTTAGGGCATTTGAGAACTCTTTGGTGATTAGATTCTTTGGTCTACACTGTGTGAGATTAAATGGACCAACCCAAAAGAAGGTAGATACAAAACGTTTAATGTGAGCATGGCTTTTGAAAAAATACTTGTTTTGATCTTATATCTCTTGTGGTCTACAAAAAACTATACAGGTGCGGTTCGTCATAATGGGTAATCTGTTTTGTTCAAAGTACTCTGTTCACAGACGCTTTGATCTTAAAGGATCTTCTCTTGGCCGCACAACCGACAAACCCGAATCAGAAATAGATTCAAACACGATCTTGAAAGATCTTGACCTGAACTTCATTTTCAGATTGCAGAAAGCATGGTACCAAGAATTCATCAGGTCAAAAACCAGTATACTCTACTCTTCCATAGTTAGTTTGTTCTTGTTCCTTTTACTCATGGCTCATTGTTTACATGACAGGCAAATAGATAAAGACTGCGAGTTCTTAGAACAGGAAAGGATCATGGATTATAGTCTTCTAGTTGGAATTCACTTCAGAGAAGCTTCAGTCGCTGGAGATCTGATTCCTTCTGGAGCTCGAACACCTATTGGTTCGCTTTTGTCACATCAAATATTCTCCACTCAGAAGAAATGAATCATTCACAAAAGCAATGTTTTCTTCTTTTCAGGTGAATCCGAAGAAGAAACAGGCCATCGTCTTTCTAGAGCAGAGGTTGATCAACTTCTTTCAGATCCCTCAAGGTAAACACAACTCAAGAGAACAATAGTAACACTTTCCAAAAGAGACACATAAACATAAATTTGGTTAAGTTTGTGCTGTTGTTACAGGTGGGCTAGTATCAGACTGGGAACCAACATGCCAGCGAGAGCAGAGAGAACGATGAGGAAAAGCGACTGCGAGTTCCAGCTTGTGGGAGAGCCTACAGGAGAGTTCTACGAAGTGGTGATGATCTTTGGCATTATTGACATTCTTCAGGATTATGATATCAGCAAAAAGCTTGAACACGCTTACAAGAGCATACAGTATGATCCTTCCTCTATCTCTGCGGTTGATCCAAGACAATACTCGAGGCGTTTCCGTGACTTTATCTTCAAGGTCTTCACAGATGACAACTGAGAGAGGGTTCCTATTGTTTTTTGTGCTTTTTAGGTTTCTTGTGTCCCAAGAAAGAGGGATGCTTATAATTTACATACAGTACATACTTGACAAGTATGAAGTATTATGACACCAGTTTTGTTTGTTTGTTTCAATTTTCATAGATCTTTCTAATTTTGTGTTAAAATTTGTAATCAGTTGAAAGCTATAGCAAATGAATACTCATTTTCTTTTCTTGTATACTGTCATAGTAAAATAAGTTGCATAATTTCAGGTTTTCAACTAATATATTATGATAAAGTTGTTTTGGTTAAGAAAATAGACATATTCAACACAATTTTGTTTTCACCAAACACTCCAACGTTACTCCGCACCTACACAAAAGACGAGGTGGTTTGCATTTAGAATTCCAATTGTGACATGATTCTACTTATAGAAATTGTAACAAATTATGTTTGGTGCAACCAATCAAAAGATTCAATTTCAAAAACTAAAAGTAAACTTTGAGTGGTCATCATCTTTGCTAACAAAAAAGAGAGTCTGAAAAGAAACTAAACGTTCCTGAAAAAATTGAAAGTTTCTTTGTCTGGTAATGGGATGCTGAACAAGACAGCAAGCAAAATTTATAAATATACTTACATATAAAACTTTTGGCAATGTGGTTACGTAGGTGATGATGTTATTTTTTGTTTCTTTCAATAAAGAAATACAGCAAAGATTCCAATAATTGTTCTAATGTACTAACACTTGCTGTTGCTGTCGTTTTCTGTTGAGGATTTGAGAAAGAATCTCTTGTTTTCTTCTCCGATTGCCCCCACAAACTATAGTATAAAACTCTATTTGTGACTGTTCAAATTCAAACACTCTGTACTTAACACAAATAATCTAGTTTTATAAGAAAAATGATTACGCATTCATGAATTGAACCAATCTTCTTCATTCATGTAAAGAAGCGACACACATGCGTCACCAAACGCACCGCTAGATCTTAAAAGACGCGAGCGCGTTTGGGGTCATAAAAGCTAAAATTAGCTTTTCATCACCTTTTACAAATTACAACGACAAGAGAAGCAAAAAAGTGACGGCGATTCAAGTCCCTGCGTTGTCGTGCTCACTGATCACTCAACAGTCAACATCTTCTCTTAGCTCGTGCCATGATCTGAATAACATCAGCGATTGGATATTCTCTGCGATTCCGGTGCACTTTACACTTCATCGCAGGGAAATCAATCTCTACTTCCATTTTGACTTTCTTTTGAAATAACGGCAACAGTCGCAGAGTGAGTTCGAAATCCGATCGCTTTCTCCCTCAGTGTTCCCACTCGAAGTCTCTGCGATCGCT